TTCCTCCAGAAACTTTTTACCACTTAAAATATGGCACGTGCTAGGTCACGTGGATTTACACGCAAGTACCAGGAAAAGAAAGAGTCCGAAGCCAACGTCATCTCCTACCTAGAACTTGCCCCCGCTATATTAAATATATACGAAGATGTGAGATATATTTGGACTATATGAGTTTTTTACGAGCTTTATTTAAAACTTTTGACCGTCTAAATGATTTAAGTAGAGACTTCCACGTGATGAACTAATATGTGACTTTTCCAACTTAGAAGATACACCTTATCAAATACCCTAGTAACTTAAAAGAAGTTGCGGAGTATTATACTATAACACGGAAATGAATGCCTTCCTACTTGAAAATCTGGACCTTGAGACAGGGCAATGTGCCGCCGCGCACAATTTTTGAGCTTTTTAGATCAGTCCCAAAATTTGCGATTATCATAAGGGAATGATGATTTGCAAAAGAATCGTCCCGGAGACCCCCGCCCGACGGGCTCTTCGACCTATAAAACCTCATTAGATAGTCTTTCTCTTCTTCAGGACATCCCATTGTTGTAGGACCGCCGAGATCCTGACGACACGCTCATTTTGCGGAAGTAATTCCAAGGTCCTTTGTCGCGGATGTCATGCAAACCTCATCTCTCCCAATACATACGTGAAATAAGCTGACGCTCATTACCCTTATGGCACGCTCTCCACTCTTACATTACGCCACCTCAGTCCTTTTATTTAGAAGCCAGCCTGATCGAGCGATATAGTCATTGTTCATCGCATCATGGGCATTTAGATAATCAATATGAGAATAACATATACAGTATGAAAGTCGAAACAGCAGAGAATGCGGTAATTATCATGGAACGAACGAGTTTAACTACCAACCTACGTTTAGGTCCGGCGTTTTCCACACCAGCAATATTCGAGAACTAGATGTACTCGCTGGAATGGGATTGGCGGGGTTTCCGGTTGTTTTAGTTAAGAAGTAATAGTAAGTCTAAGAAAGCTGTCATTTCTGAGTTTAAATGTCTTACTGGGAGGACAAAATCCTATTGAGCTATAGTTAATCCTAATCTGGGATCTATAATTGACATTACTAATTGAGATCGATGTTATGGGTTCCATGATTGATGTAACGAACCGATGCCGAGTTGATGCCAGTGTCGAGGTTGCGGGATCACATGACCACAACCCGTCCCTTCTCCTGTATGATAACGCGTGGGAGCCTACCTCCCCTCTTTCCTTTTTCCTCATCTTTGATACTTTAGTTAAATCGTATGAAAGTTCTTCTGTTTTCTGATTCTTACAATTGATATGTTTTAGTTATATTTTGCACACCTCGCTTAAAACGATGTTGTTTAACTCCTGGCTACAAGAGGGACAAATAGGTAAATACTTATGTTATTATAATCAGGTGTTACGACGCTAAGAGGGGGCGGTTAACCCACATTAAGCCTGAGGTAGGATCTTTGTGGGGCCAGATTAGTTTTTTTTCTATGAACGGTTCGACCCGAGCCAGACGGTCATCAGTTCAGGTAAGCTTCTCCAGACGTTGTGAAAAATGCATCAAATTGTCTTCTGAAAAGTATACTATTGTCCGCCAGTGCAAATTACACATCTTGTTGTCATTTGGTTGTGATTGTGAATGAGCTAGTATAGGATACCTCAATTTTTGCTGCGACCATTTTTTGAGGACCTGTAGGAAGAGCGCATTCAATAGGTCGCGAGCCGCATACCCCAGATCTTTCGCCCTCATATCTTTTCGCTTGCTCTCCGGACAGATGGGTGAGCAAGGTGAGCAGATGGATTCGCCCCTGCTAGTTCAATACACAATCTATTACTATGGGTATATTTACGCTTGTATCAAATTACTGCTAAGACACGGGTCAAGGGTAGAGTAACTGCAATAAGTATAGTAAGTTCCGAAAAAGGGTTCGAGAAAGAATCTCTGTGTGCAAGTGGTGAAAATGATTTCGGTCCTCCCTGTATGTATTATGAACAGGGATGAGGTCTGTGGAGCGAAACATAGTCTCCTAGTCTGGTCGCTGATCTCCCTATATCGCTCCTTCACGAAAGAGGCGTATAATATAGCTAGCTTACTATTATATTGATACCCAGTGAAGAGTCAATATTGGAAATCATTTTACAGGTGACTCAGCGAGCGGGGGAATTTTTGCTCCACATATCCTCAATCTATATTTTCCTGTGAACGTGCGCGCATTCTCCGTTACTACCATGGCGACAGACCCTTGAATCATAACGTAAACATGTTCACCCAGCCACCGGGTTTACCTATGCCATCATTCACAGAGCTAAACCAACTGCGGAATGAGCAAAAGCGTCATCAGCTTCCCAGATTGACCGTAGCACTTGGCACTCACATCTGCATCTGACCCCACTTTTGGTGTATATTAAGGGTCAGTATGTATGCAGGCATATGGGGTATATTAGGGCGAAGCTCTAACCCGAGAGAAGTTAGCATTTTTTCAAAGTTCTGCAGAACCGGGACTTGCAGCATAATCCGGTGCAGTGACGGAATGGCGACACCCTGGTGTTTTAACTCCGCAATTCCCCCATACGCGTTACCATATTGGGATGCCGTACTCCGCAATATGCCTCGAATTGGTGCGGGGACTTCTCTAGCCCCGGATGCAAAAGATTTACTATGTCTGTGGGCGTGGACCCCGTAAGAAGCGTATCCGGGACGCCGACATCCTGAGCTCCGCTCGTCCATTGTGGCGTTGAGTATACTGTCCATAATTTTGGTTACAGCGCATTTCAACTAGTCCACTACTTGAAGAACAAAATTTAGTCCTCCACGAGTGGCCATCGCTGCGAGCCTTTTAAATAGCACGATGCTCTCCCCATGAAGAAACCCCAGATCTGTTGATCAGCCTTCACAAACCCTCTCAGGCATTATCAAAGTCCTGGTGCAGACCTCAAGTTCACCATCTACTAAACTCACAATGAAGTTCTATTTGGCTACTCCACTCATCCTAGGGGTTGCCGCGGCGCAAGCTGCCACATGGGCGCAGTGCGGTGGCAGAGGGTATACAGGCGTCACAACTTGTACGTCCGGCTACACGTGTGTCGTTGTCAATGAGTGGTACTCTCAGTGCCAGTCTGGTGGCAGTGGATCAAGAACAACTTTACCATCTACGACATTCAAGACATCTTCCACTACATCTTCCAGTGTCAGTCCTACCCTGAGCACGGGAACGGTTCACTATCTTGGCCGCGTCAACCCGGCGACCAAGGAGCTGACATGGCCAGGTACTGGTGTAGCCTTCACTTTTACTGGAACGTCCGCCAGCATAGGCTTGTCATCAGTTACTGGCACCAACAGCGTTGACTTGATCATCGATGGTGGCGCGCCGACAGTCATCTCCAATGTTGCTGGAACTTCAATTTCCACGCCCGCCGGACTGAGCCAAGGAACCCACACTGTCGAGCTCCGGAAACGCTCAGAGGCCCTCTTTGGCACGATCGTGATTGGCGATATTACTACAGATGGAACTCTAGGAGCGTATACCGTCCTTGCCAAGAAGATCGAGGTGATCGGCGATTCCATTACTGTTGGGTATGGCCTCGATGGCACTTACCCTTGCACCAACACGGCTGCTGTCGAAGACAACCCCAAGACATATGCGTCCCTGGCGGCGGATTCGCTGGGAGCCGACTATAGTGTCGTGGCCTGGAGTGGCAAGGGGCTGGTGCGTAACACTGCTACTGGCACAACCGACACGAGCCCTCTCATGTCGGAGCTCTATACTCGCTATGGCGCCAACGATGCCGACAACAGCTACACTTTCCCGTCAGACTGGACGCCGGATGCTGTGGTCATCAATCTCGGCACGAATGATTTTAGTTATCTCGGTTATGACGCCTCGGGACAGTCGTACAACGCGCGCTCGCCCATCGACGCTACCACCTACACCAACGGGATGGTCGACTTTGTCCACAGTATACAGGAGCATTATCCTAACGCCAAGTTCTTCCTGCTCACTTCTCCCATGTTGAGTGACTACTTTCCAACGACGGCAGACGCTCAACATACCACCCAGAAGACTGCGCTCCAGTCTGCTGTTTCGCAGCTCGGGTCCAATGCCTACCTAGTTGATTGGCCCACGCAGGGCTCAGATGTTGGCTGTGACTATCACCCCAACGCTTACACGCACGCTGCGGAGGCGGCTGTTCTTGCCTCCGCGATCAGCTCAGCGCTGGGCTGGTGATGATAGAACTTCGGAGCAGAAGACCCATATGGAACTTGTAGTGTGGTACTTTCCTACAAGAAGGTTTTATTTAACCCAGAATGCATACATTGTGAAGTCCGACTGAAATGCTTGATGACATTGCTGATGTATTTACCTACCTGGCGTCTGAAAGAACAATATGATTCTCGATCAGTGATTGGAGCTCGTTAAAAGTAAAACTTGATCCGATAATAAGTCTCCACTGCTATGCTCTTGGGAAGATTGTAGTATAACACACCCCCAAGCGCGGCATGAGCGAGGACCCCTGCTGACTCCATATCTATCCACCGTCATTGAATTAGTCTGTCATCGCATCATATCTCTGAATAGCCGCATTGCTCCCATAGAACAGCTTGGAGAAGTTAACGAGGACGACATGCACCATGCCGTAGAATTCGTATGGCAATACCCCAGTGTACTTCAACGATTATGGCTGGAATCGAACAAAGCGGTTGTTGCGTAGGTACGAAGATCGAGATCATTATCGTCCTGGGATATGCGTGAAGACCCTACTAGTTTCGATATACCGAAGAAAAAAGAAGTGCACACCTCGTGCATATCCCTGGCCTAACCCAGTAGGGGTAGTGGTCAGAGATCTTAAGAGTCATACATCCCAGCCCCTCCGTGACAGAAAGGGGAAGGGATTAATTACATTGCGCTTGCAGGGGATTGCCCGGGGAAAGATCCATGCTCGTGCTTGATTATGCAGGCCGGCAATTCCGAGGACATACTTCAGTCTAGTAGAGAATAGCGACGATGGAGGAAAATGCAGGACCAGTGCAGGAGTGAGTATCAGTGGACCACTAATGCGGGGTAGGATCACAGGCAAGGATTGGCTGGGCACTGGAGGCTTCTGGTTCGACAGACTCACCGTTGGCCCATGCTCTCTTGTATCCGGAAAACAAAAAAAGAATCCCCGTGCCATTTTCGGCGTAGCTGGGACACTCCAGCACGATCGCACCCTTAAAACTCGCCCCGTCAGGGGTCTCCGACGAATCGCACGAGAGGAGAGCGTTGGTGCCGGATCAAGGGAAGTCTGATCTGAGGAATGCGATTCAAGGACGAGAGATCACCCTGGTCAGGCTCAGTCTAGAGGCTGCTCACCGCGGTTTTGTTTGAGCCCTTCCCTAGATACGCCGCCAAAAGCTTACCGGAGAAGGTCCAAGGAACGGTTGGAACCATCCGAGAGTCGGAGGGAGACGAATAAATACGTAATCCACAATCAAAATCTCCTGCCCCAGCCCTGCACGAATGTGTACCCATCAAGCCGAAATGCATGTTCCAGGCAGATCTGCCGTTGTGACTGCAAAGGGTATCGCTTCACTCCCTGCGTTTGACAGTTTTCACAAGCGATCGAAACCGAAGAGTGCGACGACCATTCCCGCTTCTCATTCCCACCTGTGAACACACAATCAAGCTTTTTTTTTTAATTCATCTGTCGCATGCCTGGAAATCCTCAATGTTTCACACTTTCGAGCTTTGCCGGTCGAACTGCCCACCGGAGCCATCGGAGGAGGATGGGAAACCACAAAATACGGCGTTTCTATTTGACCGTCGCGCCTGCGAAGAATGTTGTCGCCGCAAATCTCGCTGTGATCGCTTGCAGCCTTACGGATCGTGTGTATACTACAAGAAGCCGCATCTCTGCCGGTATAGGGAGAAAAAAACTGTCCTCGCGGTACGCATAATCCACCCTTCACTCGGATTCCCGGTACGGCGGGGTCGCACAGGAAGCTATTGGGAATCTGAGATATCCTGTAATTCTAACGCCCAAAGTATCACAGAAAGCTATCCGTAGTCGGCCTGCAATATCGGGATGTCCCAAAACGCCTTTTCCTATCTGTACAGCTCGAGTCGCTCGTTCACTTTACCCGCGAACAGCTGATGAATATCTTGCTTTTCGATCAAAGAGACGGCTCAAACACAATATCCAGTCTTTCGTCGGACACAGCTTCCACATTACACGCGTCTATGGAACTTGAAAGCGATACATATGGCGAAGAGTGCTGCCTTGAAACACTGGAAACAGTTCCCGTTCAACTAGAGCCGGATCGCGAAGTACAGCAAGATCTCACGCATGGTGTCTCCGATGATGTCAATTCTCTTTCCCCGGTGGCGCAGTCCTCTTGCTACCTAGGCGTCTCATTAATCAATGCTGTGATTAAAGTGATGATATTGATAGATCCAAGCGCCATCTCCTATCAAGCCTCACTCCCTAGTGCCAAAAGTCAATCTGGCCTCGAATCACAGCTGCTACTCGGTACCGATTATCGTGATTATGACCGTGAAAATCACAGACCATTGGCATCGACTTTGAATGCGCCCTCTACCAGAATAGTCCAGGAAGTCGCCCCTCTCACTTTTCACGCCGGACTGAAGTTGATCGACGCATTCTTTACAAACATCTAGCCACTAGTCACCATTTTAGACGAGGTCCAGTTTCGAGCAATGTACCAGTCTGGCAACCGACACGACGATCGTTAGACAGCTCTTTTGAATACAGTGCTTGCATTGGGGAGTATTGCAATACGTCCGGCAGGCGACTATTCTCATAGCATCTATTACCAACGTGCACAGGCAGTTCTTGGCCTTGAATACTTCGGTCAGCGGCACGTGGAGTCTATACAAACATTGGGACACATAGCGGGTTACTATCTGCATTTGTGAGCCAGCTTAATCTAGCATACTCCCTCATGGGCATTGCTATTCGAATAGTAGGCGCATTAGGCCTGCACAAGGAACCGTTTGGCTTATCCGGGTCGTCTGCTGACCTGAGGCGCCGTGTATGGTGGTCCCTGTTCTGTATGGACACATTCAGCTGCATGACCCTCGGCCGACCGACATTTGGAAGGTGTAGGCCCTCCATTAACGTTAAACTACCTTCGCTGTGCGGAAATGACGTGAGTCAGGTCTCATAAATCTCCCGGTCACATTGGTGCAATATCGTGCTAACTGCTGATCTTGCACTTGCGCAGAGGTCTCTCGCCACGGTGAGTCTGGTGGAGAGTACTCGATTTTGTATTATTGCAACTCAGATACAAGAGGCTCTTGCTACCTCCCCGCGAATCCGGCACGATCAAGTGGCCGAGCTGGACAAGAAGCATGTTGACTGGTACGAGCAGTTACCATTACTCCTATCCACTCCACAGGAAGCCACCACTGCCGCCATCTCTACAATTCAGACAAACATTCAATGGCGGTACTTGAACTCTCGCATGCTTCTATATCGATCTGCCTTACTGGATTACGCAATGCGCCTAACACCTTTTTCAACGTTGCCTCCAGAAAGGCGCCACGTAATATCACAATGCCGTCTGATTGCCAGGGAAAGTATTGTATACATTGCGGAAAACAGCATTTCTAGCCTTACCGCGGCATGGGGGAGCTCATGGTTCATGTTTCAAGCAGTTTTGGTCCCATTTATCTATACTTTATATAAAACTTTAAAAGATATAACTACTAACCAGTCTAAGTTCTAAGTATACTAACACTTATTTTTAAAGTAATCTAGTAAGAGTTCATTATTATTAGTAGTAGTATTGTTTTAATACGTAGAGCCTACTAGATATAATATAGGATGTATCTTTATTACTAGTAATTATAATACTTAAGTCTTTACATAGAACCTAGGCTTATAACCTATTTAAATACTAGATAGATAGTATATAGTATAGTAATATCCTCAATATATTACTTATTCTTACACTATCTAACTGTTACTGCATGCATGTATATTGATTGATATTCCAAGTGGAGGATCAATGAACGACGCATGTTGATATTAGAACGGGCACATGACTTACCGAGGGTTCTACCCCCGGACCCCTCACGTGAAGCACACGAACCATGGTTGATATAAAATGTATGAATGCTTGGAAGCAGTAGAGTTCCAAGGATTAGTTTCTGTATAACTTTATGAAGAGAACTCTATCTAATATCACTACTTCTTATCTGCCTAACCCTTTGACATCAATCTTAACACTAACATACGTAAGGTTAAAGATATTCGAGTATTATATAAGTATTTGCACCAGTTTGCACTCTCCACTTCAACAAGTTACACGACATAGGATGATCCTCACCCGCTCTCACCCGGATCCTCACCCTGTCTATTGCACAATCACCCTATCTCATTCTAGTCACACAGTCCTAAAGCAGCACTCACTCATTTCTCGCCCGACAATAAACTCATAGAATACTCAATCTATATATTCCAAGTTGATACTCAATTGGTACATACGACCACAGGGTGTGGAGAACAGGGCTTCCCGTCCGCTCAGCCGCACTTAAGCCACACGCCGGTCAGTTAGTAGTATGGTGGGTGACCACATGCGAATCCTGACTGTTGTATGTTTTTGTTCACCCATTTTTTTTGATTCGTTGGGAAAGTGCTCTTGCCGCCCTACCCCTTCAGCCCTTCACCTGAGCGTCCTGAACAACACTATTTTGCACCTGAATATCCTGTATAGCCCTGAAGCGCTGATGTGGTCTCCTCCCCCCGTGCTGACTTTTACTTTTAGGTGCGTTGTGAAAGTCCCACATGTATGGTCTGGCCTTGGTTACGCCTATTCCAAGGGCGCAGTAAGAATAGTAGCAAATAGATAATTAAATGATGGAATATTTATTCCATATACCCGCTTTATTCTAAAAACTTGGGACTTATAACAATAAACGTAGACAGCCATGATATTTCAATGTTATTCTTTTCTTACTTTCTGCTGTTTGAATCTCCTGATCAGGAGGAGAAGAAGGGGAATAGTAATACACACATATAGTAGTCCTGTCTTGCAAGCGATTATAGAAGTATTTAAAAAAAAACGTACAATAAGTATTTTAATGACGAGTCCTAGGAGTATGGAAGCTTGGCATAAATTTCCATCTTAAATATGGTTCGTGTTTAAATAGGCGCTTATACGCGTTATCCATAACGCGCGTTTACTCTTTAGTCCGATTGCGCAAATTCCTGTAGTATAACTACATGGAGGAGACTCGGGACGGGTATGTTTGCATGTTTGGACGTTTGTATGGTTTGACCCACTCTCCAGACCAACTATCTGATTGGTCTGGAGAGTGGACATCCGCCTACATGTACGTAGCAGAGCTTCCCTCTCTCCTTCCCTTCTTCAACGTTTTTATTCGTCGTTCTTCGCACCTTTCTCCATCTTGGTAGATCGTAGGCACCTCATCACAATTCCCTATATCCGACTAACACCAAAAGCTCCTAAAATTCTTGGAGTATAGTTTCAAGGGTAGATTAATACTCGGAGCCGCTTAATCTCTTTTTTGTCTCCAATTTTATGCGCTCCTGCAAATTATTGATTTCCAAAATTTCAGATGGTTAATTTTCGGGCAAATTTGGTATTCTGATATTGAGTTTTTAAAGGGTTTTCCCGTTACAAATCCTCTAAAATTCAAAGCGAAAAATGCCTATGAAACTTTCGAGCTTCGATATTATCCTTGGGAAACTGTCTCTTTCCCACGAATCTGCTTTTCAAGAAAGGGAAAAAACTATTACAAGGGCAGAGCTAATATATATTTGTGACACTTTCAAATAAATAGTTCAGGGCCCCGGATCATTCGGGAAGGCCATCTTGATCGACTTATCCAGATCTTTAAACCAAAAGGATTCTCTTGGCTCAATCCTAAAAACTTCACTCAGGTTTCAATCAATCGCGATGTTTTCCAGTGAGCATTAGCTCAGAATGGTCAAACAGGGGTGACTCTATGCAGCTTAGAGTAAATTATACTATATGTTTTGCATCATCTGAAGCTGATATTCAACCAAAATGCTAGACAATCACATGTGCCCGTCACCACGGGTAGTGATAGTTACAAATATTGGCTGTGCCAAATATTGACTGCATTAGTAACGATTCTAATAGGAAGTTAATAACCAATAAAGAGACTATCTCCAACTCGATATCAAACAATTGTATACCGCCTTGTCTCATATTCTTTAGCGCTTCAGGTGCTAATTGATATGACTGGTGCTCGTAGTTGAAAGCCTAAATTTAATATAAACGATATTTTTGTATTGAGCCATACCGAGGGCTCATTTCCAATTGGTAGTTAAACACCTTTGTGTTTAAGTAATTCATAGGAGTGAATAACTTCCAAGATCGGCGGCTGCCCAGGTGCCCACTCACCCTTATTATACGAACTGAAACTTTTCATGAGTATCTGTCGGGGTGAGCCTAATTTAGGGTGGATCTCGGACCCCGCACTTAGCCGCTGGCAAGGGGCCATCACAATGCAAGGAATTCCATTTAAGTTGTCTGTTGTGAAGGAATCATCACCGCTCAAGCAGGAGAATCCATGGGGCTCCAAGGAAATAACCATCTACAACGTTCGTTTTGAAGTGCCTGCGGAACCAAAGGACTTATCTACCAATTTACCTTTCGACCTTCTCGTTCACTACTATTTTCTCGACAATGACCTCTATTGAGCAGCAATGGAGTGCTTTCTCAATTATCGACGCCGAGGGTGAAGAAGAATACAAGCCGTCATCAAAAACGCATATTTTGACCGTTTTTGCTCCCTAGCTGTTAAGCTTCGCCAACTACGAACAGGAAGCTTGAATGAACTCTTCTGCACTATTGATACCACCAGATTCACAAGTGGCGCATGCAATATTGTGGTCGCATTAAGCTTCTCCGATGGGCTCCAATGGGTAGCCAGAATTCAACTCCCGCTCATTGATGAGAATGATGATAGTGAAAGTGTGGAAACTTCACTTCTGAGTGAAGTCGCGACAATGCAACTGATCCGCGCGAAGTCCACTATACCTATACCCAGTGTTTTTGGGTACGATGCGTCACCTAAAAACATTGGATATCGGTACATTTTGATGGAAGCTCTACCAGGCCACGCCCTCACCAGCCGGATGGCGGTCTCGATACCGGACGAGTACAAGGAAGAATTTGCAGCTCGGTTGGCTGGCCACTTATTTGACCTCAGCACAATTAGCTTTGGTCAAATTGGACGCCTTGGCAACTCGCTGGATGAGTTGGGTCAACATATCATGCTACCATTCTCAGTCCCAGGATCTTCGAAAGAGATCCCCTCCCGTAAATACCTCGTTTGAATTCTTCTACAGACTTCGCAAAGAACATACCTATTCAATACTCCGGGACCATGCGGGAGATAATGAATGGGAGGCAGCAGCCCGATTGCTGGGGAGCTCCGTGGCGGCGATGTTTACCGAACAAAATATCAATGGTCTATTTCCACTTTGCCATGTTGACTTTCACTACAACAACGTGCTCGTTGATGATGAGTGTAATATCACCGGTCTTGTAGGCTGGAGCAATGCTCAGACCGTGCCCCTTGAGCGATTTGCCATCATCCCAGAGTTCGTCGCACCGCCAGCTGCACCAATTGCATCCAAACAAGCAATCGCCAGCTTCCGCCAAACCTTTGTGAGAGCATTGGCAAAAGTGCAGGTTGAGCGCGAGGGATTGCAATCTCCAGAGCAAGGGACACTATCACACCTCTTTGCCTCTCCTCGATCGGAACTTGTTGTTTGATGTACCTACAGCTATCCCTGGAGAGCTATCTTTGATGCCCAACTGATTCTTCCTTTGCTATATGGAGAGGGCGCTTACTGGGTGGACTTTCAGCGCTATTATACAGAGGACGCGATATAGATTTCAAATAAGATCATCCATCGCTGGGTGTTATCTGCTTGGTATTCTTTTCTTGAATCGGCCCGTAACATCTTGCTTGCCTCCAGCTTTTATTCGGAAAAGAATAGCTCTCTCGCGAATAGGGATAGCACTGTCTCAAGTTCAAGTACTGACAGCCCCGAGCTAAGTAATAACTATTAGTATAAAATCTTGAGCTGAGCCGGCTATTAATTTTTACCGTGACATTATTGACCATAAGATTTATAAAGGAACGCCAATAACTGATTAGTGAAGTAATAGGGGCAGCTGGCCAGTTGGGCACCTGTAGATGGAGAATTAGACCAATCAATTTATAAATCACTGGAGCTATGATTCCCCCTTTTGAATGCTCTGCCTCCATTTCCCTTCTCCTAACCCTGGAATCTTTGAACACACCGCATTGATCATGAATACTCAACACCAAATTCCTGACGTGCATTGGTTTACGAAGTCCAATTTAGAGCAAAAGAATCAAACAATGCCATGGCTGAATATTCCCATTTTGGGACTATAGAAGTAATAGTATTTAGCGAAAGCGAGAAAGAAGCATGTGCATTTGGAAAATACACGGCCGTATACTTACTGAAGAGAGTTTTTTTTTCTTTTATGCTCGAGCAACCTAAAATTGACCAAATAGTGTGCGAGGTGGAGTCTTATGCAACTTGATTGCAGATGCTGAAGAATTGATGACGCATTCATCGAAGTTAAATCAGGGAGGCGATGTATTTATTATTCGCATCCGTCAGTGATAAAACCGCAACTGTGGCCTTTTCGCAACGGTGAACTTGGACCTCTCCATGACCGTTTTGCGCCGGCAGCAACACGCTTGCGCGAGAAGTTTCAAATGGATCCACTTTTAAGAGGACGACATGATTACTTTAGTGAATTGAGAAACACAAAATAAGAAACCTCAGTACGGGATTCCTCCTGAAGGTCCGCGGATGTCCCTTTCCGGATCAGTGCTCACTCCGTCGCCGCTTTTGCTCAGTGTGTAGGTAATCGGATAAGTTAACTAGTTAGTTAATTCCTTTTTCCTATATACGCTGTATATCCTATGTACAGCATAGATTGGAATTATATAGTACATATTACCTAATTATAATGCTTTTTACACTATATCTGCTTTATAACGCAATAAAGGGAGCCCATAACCCGAGGACATACCTTTTTCAATGAAGGATAGATCTTTGTTCCCCTTATGGTCAGCGTATTCATTTCACCAGTAAGACTACTAAGAAAGTCTCATCACGTTCGCATCCATCTCAAAGTCGACAATTACATCATTGAATTGCAGCCGTTACAATTTTTTAACGTAGATGACGTATATTTTCTTATCAAAAGACAATCTCTCCGCCTCTGAGTCGCCTCGTCAAGGGCCCGACCCGCGGCCCGAACCGACAATGTAGTAATGAGCAGGATATACCAGAAGTGCAACAACCATAGATCTACCTTCCCCACATGCTATCCAAGCAAATAATTTCTGCTCCTATTGAATTTACTGTATTCCAAAGTAGGAATACATGTCAAGGGATGTGAAATTCTTATCTTTGATGGTAAATCACATCATGTTTTTGGAAAGCAGTGAACTAGTATCTCACCCAATTGTCGGAGTCCCCCCAGTAACCCTTTGCAACTACTCTACAAATCGCAGTTGATCAAATCTTGATCCAAATTCTTCTTCGGTCAATCCAGCCCAGAATGCTGTGACAACCATTTGCAGTGGGCGGGGATATGAAGCATCTTGGTAAGTCGAATATAGCTCTGTATATGTTATCAATCTATGTCTGCTGAATCAAAGGGGTATTCTCGTCAACTATGATATTGACTAAGAAGATTTTATTGAAGCTTATAGCGTGATATGATATTACTATAAGAGGGGAGGGATCGAGGGCTGACTAGACCGCCATGGATAGTCTACGTATCAGCTAAGTTTCATCGGTCAAGTTCATTCACCTCAGTTCAGTTCAAACTCCGCTGTCAAAGCTGAACGAGCTGAAGAATGTACTTTTGTCAATGGAAACATCATTGCCATACCCACTTTCATTGATCAAGCATCAGATAGCCCTGGTTAACTTGACCAAGTAACTTGATCTCGGTGTAGCGGGATTCAAAGCTACCATGGTATACAATTTACCAGATCAGGATTTGCTGCTCAACTCAAAATGTAGCTATCGCCATAGACCAATATGTGCTGTTTGTGATTTATTCTGACGTAATTCATCTTCTTGCATCGCGTCATCTGAAGCTTTGTGCGTCGTTGTTTGGAAAGCTTCTACAATCTTAATTTGATATACCATACGTATTTTCTCGTTGTATGCGGTTGAGATTTACTATCTCCCGTAAACATCCGGAGAATGATACATTGACTCTAAAAGGATTATGTATGTTACAGTTTGCGAATTTGGGGCTGCAAGTACGATGCCTATAAGTTAAGATGACAATACACCACTGCCACGGGGCTTTTCATGTCTCAATACAAAGCTCCTTCGTAACTACCAATTATTTTGATCAAGCTACCTTCGAAGTATCATGGCTGACCAAAAGGTGAAAGAAATACTTGACGCATTTCATAACCTGAAGCCCTTTGGTGCTGCTTCATATGTTGACCCGCTTGGGGGGCAATTGTCTCTGCAGGACCCTGGTGGAATGTACGACAAGGCTCCAACGACTTTATACAATGAAGTACCAAGTGACGACTATGAGATCCTGGAGAAGTTTAAAGTCCAGACGATAGTGATTGGAATATCTCGGAACTCGCGCTTCTCCTTTAACCGGGCCGTGAAAGCAGTATGTATAAAATTTATCCTACAAAGAACAAAGACATTAGTACTAATAGTGGTTTGTAACAGGACGGAATCCAGGGAAAGATGCAGGCTGGAGCAAGCAGCCTCGCACACGTGCTGTATCGCGACTACTTGGAGAGCGTTTTTCACAGTTCCACTAACTCTCATCTTGATCTTTCGAGTCTGGAAAAAGACTCTGACTTCTGCGTTGCGTTTGCGACTCGAGTCTTGGACCCTGATTTCATTAATCGTATCCTGATTTGGACTTATATTAATGAATCAAAAATATTTGCTGAAGCGATCGCGTTTATATATGAGCGCGTGCGCAAGACATTGGCAAAGTCTCATCCCGAATTGAGCAGCCGGTCGGCCAAATCGCATTGGGAACCTCACGCCAAGAAGAATTCAGACCTCAAAAACATTCAACAGGTCGACGAGTTTCTGACCACGTCACTTCCCATAAAGTGGTCTGATGAAAAGTCATTACAGGGCCCATCGTTTCCTGCTATGGGAGACCAGTTGATTGAGATTTGGTTCGTCAGTCCCAAATGGCAGGGTCTGGTCAGCTCTGCTATCAGTGAAATGAGATCTACTCCGGACTGGGTGCGGCAAGGCTCCGGCGGACATTTCCCTGTTACAGTCCCAGGAAGTGATATTTATGCCGAGAGACTCCTAGATTGGGTAAAAAACCAGTCCTCCAAGTACGGTGAATATTTCAGTAGTTGGGTCCCAGATACTATCGTCCAACATCCTGCCACATGGTTAACATGCTTTGTGTCTGGAACCAAAGTTTCCACTGCGCGAGGAAATGTACCCATCGAAGACCTGGAGCCAGATGAATGTGTCTTGACGAAAGCGCCGGCGGAGTATGGTACGTAGTTCTACATACCTTCGTATCCACTTATTGAATCGTACTGACTCAAAATTCAAAAAAATACAGGCCTGTTATCCGACGAAAAACCGTACGAATCAACAATGCACGGTGGAGAGCATATGTCCAAGCTGCCGCTGTTTGGATTCAATGATGAAGAGCCTTTCTTCACCGCGGGCCATATATTCTTCACCATGGCAGGTCCAAAGGCCATTGCCCCCAGTGTAGCTCGCGAGGAGAATCCAAGCGTCGCCGTGTCAAGGCTATATCCTGGCGATGTACTTTATCGCCTCGATCCTGAGAGACTCGTATACAGGAAGGTAAAGCTTGAATCGTTTACTGTCGGAACAGCGGATGGACGTGGCGTGTATGGCCTCCACTTCCGCCAAGGGAGTCATGGAGGCGCACGCTACCATGCCAATGGGTACTTGGTGGCCGCAAATTATCCTGAAGTGACCATTAAGCGGTTTGCAAATCACTTGGCCGCTCTGCCTATCCGAAGGCAAAGAGAGGCAGTCTCCTCCGTAAGAAAATGACAACGTAAGGTCAATGGATGTCAGAAAAAGAGCTAACATCATGGTACTAGATCCAACGTCTACCATCAAATCTCTCGGCCGTATTTGGATCCTTGTTCCCAGTCTTCAAGAAAGAATTTGGGCCGGACCGGCCAAGGGATATGGGGGATATTCAACCCATATTGGAACAGGCCGAGAGACGACGACGCGAACAAAGGCACCCAGCCCACGCTCTAGTCAGGGAGTTCGATCTAACCCCCGTCTCAATCAACTCAAAGCACAATACAACGCGTGTGTCGATCTGCAATGGCGCGGTGCTAGTGAATGAAAGGCTTGTGCAACATGCTGAAGTCACTCACGAGTATGTACATTGGAGTGTCAAATTGCCCGACGAGAAATGGCAGCATGGCTCCATTCGCCTGAACCATAATGCGTTGGTAGCACATGGGGCTATCGCAGTCGTGCCAGATGCGCGGTCATTGAAAAGCAAGGCCGATTTGTCGTCTACGGACGCCACGGTGACAGCTGTAGTCGGGACAGTTCCATCCATAGTAAACACACCACTCGCCACCGATAAAACATTTGCCACTGCTAGAGAGGCAGATTTATATGTCCCCTCCACCTCCGAAGGGCATACCACATTTTGGACTGTTAAACTCACAGTCTATCAGGACAAGACTGGCGGCTTCTCGCCCTTGATTACCATACCAGCGCTGGACAGCTATGTGAAAGAAAATAAGCTGATTTCAATCTACACATCCAATCCTTTACCCGATAAAAAGTTCATCATTGGACAGGCTCAGATTGTCGATGGGAATGAGTTTGCAGTGGACGATGCTATCAGCAAGATGTCTGGGCAGTCGAAGCCCCCTAATTTCAAGAGATTTACAATCAAGCTTAATGCTCTCACTGGGGAAATCCACGGGCATTACTCGGAATCTGTTTCAAAGGACGGTTATATCTACACAGAGGGCCCCATTCACTCCCTGTACCAGCAAGTGGACGATGGCCAAGCTAAACTTGTTGCAACAGTCTCGCGGCAAATTTCGGAGTCAGAATTTGCTGACAAGCATTATGGTTTACAGTGCAATCTTTATTCAGTATCCGCCAATATCCACGAGAAGCCTCGATTTTCCACAATGCTCTTAGCACCTTCTGATGACTCGCCACTTTCAATACCAGAACTGCAAAATATGGACATCCCAGACAGCCAGACTAGTCATGAACTGACACAAAACTATCTCATGGCAGCTGCTGGTTACTGGAGGGGTGAAAAGGAAACGAATTTGTTTGGCGATGGCAAGCCGGCAAATGAAGATATTCTGCCTGATTCACTGAAGAAAGAATTGTCAGACGATAATAGGAAATTTTTCAGCGACTCCTACAGCCGGGGCTTGTTTTTGCACAGTTTGTGCACGGATGAAAAATATGCATCCCGCTTCAATAAGGACGATAAGGAGAAGCTTACATACTTTTGGAGAGGAAAAGTAAGTCAATTCAAGGAGCTAGTAACAATATTGCTGTGCATGCACTCTAACACGTGGTTCGAATCCTGCACAGTCCAAAGGCTGCATCAGTGTGAAATCACAACTTGGCTCTGTCAGCACAATAGCAGCAAACGAGTCCCTGTTGAAGGCCGTGCCTCGCTTGCGTCAATACCGAAATGATGGTAGTGTAGATTGGGCTGAGAAGTACTATACTTTTCTAAGCAGTGACACACAACTGAACATCATGGCGTTAGCGAAAGTTTACAATAAGACAGACCTTCTGACCCAGCATTGTCAAGTCCTGGATGTGATCGACCGCACGAACAACAAGTATGACCAGAAGCTGTACAACCAGATACTTCAAAAGAGCATCATGATTTTGACATACGAGGGGGGGGCCAGTCGACGCGAACGGTTGGCCAAAGTACGCAACCGAATTCGCCGAAGTGCTTTTCGAGAAAATTGCAAGCAATGATCCGAAGGTAGCAAAGGAATTGAGGGAAGAATTGCACATCGACATGGCCGCTCTGAAAGAAGCATATGGAGTAGATTCTGCTGCTCAACTGGCAGCCAGACTTTATGGAGCCGGAACTGAGCTTGGGCGATTCTTCCAAGCATTTTTCAAACAAGGATTTGATTTTGTCGGGAAGAAAAACATGGCTGGTTTTGCAAAGATGATGTCCTGGGTGAAAGATCAATACCAGAAAAAGATGCCTGACGAATGGAAGTCAACAGGGTCAAAAGTTTGGAAAAGTCTGACTGCAGTCACTTCCATCATGTAAGTCTGATCACTGGCTTGAGGTAGGAATAGCATGCTAACCTCTATTCACCACTTGACAGTGCTCAAGGCATCCAAATTTGGCAAGCTGTGGTATTCTTGATGAACTGGGATAATCTGAATCCTGCGGACCGAGCTGCGGGGATCTTGCAAATTGTGCAATCCACTCTCACATTAGTTGGTGACGCAGTAGGTATATACCGTATGTTCCGAGACAAAGCAGATAGCGAAATTGGACTACGGCAAGCAAGTGGACAGATGAATGCCCAGATTGGAGGCGAGAAACCCCGAATCCGCGTCGAAGTGGACGGTAATGAGCAGGAAGTTATCGAGACACATGAACTAGCACAAGTCAACACGGAGGAAGGAATAGCCGGTACTACTATTGAGGAGCAAGTCGCGACTAGGACCGCCGCCTCAGAGATTGAAGAAGAGGTTACATCGCGCTTTAATCTTGCAGAGAGTGGAGAACTAGCGTTAGCTGCAGTGACTGTTTTGGCGAATGTCGCTGTTGCTGTTGGACTGGGAATCCGGATTGCTAAAGAGTGGGACACCGAGTCAGTGGGCATCAAGGTGCTGGACATTATCTCCCTCAGTACAACCATTGCACAAGTGTCCCTTGGTATCGCAGAGATCGCCTTGTCTCTTGCTGGAGTGGAGAGCATGATCCTTCCGGGACTCGGTGCAGTTGTCGCCCTAATAGGAATAGTACTGATGTTTGTAGAGTGAGTATCATCTTGCCTCTAGGGCTCCGAAACTCTCATTGGTCCGATATGATTTCTAACGCCATCCTTGCAGAATGTTCGTCCCCCGGAAACCCCCCGAGGATCCGGTCAATAAATATATTGATGCCAACGCTTCGACCTTTGTCGAGGACATTACCAGTCCGCCTCAGCCAGAACTAACCTACTCCGTGCCCAAAAAACTGACTGTGGGCGACAAGAGTGCGACGCTTGAAATTAACATGAGCAACCCACAGACTAAGCCTGTGAAAATCAATAACTTTATGATCTCATTACCTGTGGGAGATGACAAGTCCGACTTGTTCAAGAAACCGATCGTTGCAGAAGACCAAAAATCCGTTCAGAATGGTATTACCTGCACTGTAACCGGAAACAAGGGATACACCTCCAAAGCTATATTGGATCAATCATCCGCGAACGACAGATTCAACATCCTCATAAAGAACACCCAGAAGGAAATCCCAGTCTTCGATAAGCTCACGGCCACTATATCGGGGACCGTTAACGATTCTGGAGATACCGGAACGATCTCTATTCAAGAGGTACCGACAGAGGACGTTTCAGGCAAGGCCACAACCGACCGAATCAAAGAATTTACAGTCAAACGTTCATAATATGAGTTCGACTTTATGGAGCCTCCTGCCCCCGTTCAGACTGAATACAAACATGTCTCACGGGAACGATTTGATCTGTTTTTTAGACAGTCGAAAGACGATAAGCGAAGATAAAGATAGTTCTTTTGGGCTTCAGCGTTCCAGTGAGGCAACAAGCTTCGTCTCCGTTATCAAATCAATATTACTGGTAAATTTATCGAGCAAAATAATCGGTGCACTCCTAAGAAAAACTCGAGCAATGGCGATACGTTGCTCCTGGCCGCTGGATGTGCCAGTTCTCCCGATAATGCTGTCATAACCATCTGCGAAGCCCATGATATCATTGTGTAGCATGGCATCCCGGCACGCAGCGTGAATTTCCTCGTCCTTGGCATTAGGCCGCGCGTATCGCAAATTTTCGATGATTGATAAATCCTGCAAAAGTAGGACCTTTTCAGGTAAATTTTCGATATTTTGGGTATCGATATGTTGGCTTTTGCCAAGAGTCCTCGGAGCCGGGAGACAACAGCAGTTGCAGACATGGTTCGGTAATTCGAAGAGTGAAAAGAAACTGATCACGTGGAAGACTGAAGAAAATAGAGAGAGAACGGAAGGAAGGAGGAAGATAGCAACGTTTTCAATAAGTAGCGGAAGGAACTTGACTTGGGGAGGGGTAGTCACGAGGAAAGATTTGTGCGGATTATCAAGTTATGCAGGTTCGCAAAAGTATCGCTGCTGTGATAGACTGTACGATCGCTGATTTGTCGACACCGCAACGTAGAATGGGGCCAAATGGTGTGGCGTCCAGCAGCGCTCAAAGACAATGACGATCACATACGAACTTGCTGATGCCCCCCTGCATGAGACAAGAAAGCTATAGATCCTTCTCAAATCGTGCATCCAAATTTTCGCAACAGCATCGTACTTTTGTTAAAAGATCTCAAGGGGGGCAAAGGGTTTGGAGACTAGTACGACTTCACCTTTACCTAGCAGACCGAAACAGTTCTAATCATATGATTAGAACAAAAACCCAAGGAAGTGGTGCCGTTACATCAAACCGGAAGGCCTGCACGACATCAAAGCTCACAGCCTGATAGGGGACAGGCTATCGGTAATCGAGACCGAGTATTATTTTCACGAAGAACGATTACGTGGGTTTAGGTGGAGCAAAATGTCCTGTTACATTTCCTGCTAGAGCTCGACAAATATGCGGAAATATGAACAACCTCCCAGACATAAGGAGAAAATGTTATCTGTGTGAGATGACTGATAATTACTTGGTGTCTGACTAATTTGATGATATCCTGCTGATATCCTATTTTTGGGCATCTTCATGCAATAGTAATACGTCCGTGTTGTTCTCTGGAACTCGGAAAATATAAATCAAAACCACCACCTTTATAAGGTTTATTTTGGCGATTTGAAGCTATGCAGTACGTGAGTAGCGAATGATGATAATGGTGAGGTTGAAGTACATACCGTCACGATTTGGGTTTGCGGGTTGGTTTGTATACAAGCAAAAATCGTCGAACCTAGCAAAACAAGGAACATCGACACTGGGCCAATGGACGCCACCCACAAAGCTCGCTGGTGCCTTGCAGCTTTGAGGTCCGGATACCGCCAGAATAATTTGAAAAGAATTTGTCTGCATATGCGATGGCTTCGTGCATATGAACCAGGCTCTGATAATTTGGGCATGATACCTGCTAGTAGGAACTGAATTTTCCAGTCTTTAAGTTCAAATGTAGACCCACCTTATATATAATGTTTCGAGAGTAGCAGTGGTCAAGACAGGGTATGTCAACGCTGAGGGGATGTGTCGGATTAAGATGTTATAAAATTCAGTGTATCATAAAGGGAAATGTTAAAGACACATCCCTCGGTTGTTAAAAGTACACCCCTTGGCGTGAATTAGTTTAATGCTACAATTTTATTACCAGTGGCTCTCATCTTTGGTAATATAATAGCTTCAATTATGAGCAACGTATCATTAACTTATTGTACATAAGCTGAAAGCTGATTTTAGGGGAGCAGCATCCTCGGGTTCCTCCCCAAGCGTAATTGTGTATACACCATTGAATCCATCATACGCTTCACATGGATATTTGGGCTGTGAAGGCAGATTCTCAGATCTGGTGAGTCGCCATGAGCTGTCATTTTGATATTGTGGTCGTAGTTCCCCAAACCGGCCAAGGCAACAGATACTCACCATGTCATAAACTCGGTCGGAGAAGTCGCCGCCGACTTCTAATGAAAGTTGCGAAAAGAACTCTGTATAAAGTGAAAGTGATCCAATGCGACGGTATGCTTTGGCGTTGTGATATATGACAATAATTCCGAAACAGCCTGCATGGCTGCAGAACGTTGGGATAAATAGGTGCTCCCCAGCGTCGGAAGACGCTTGGATTTCATTCTGTGCCATGTCACAGTCATAAACTAATTTCGAATGGACCAGCTTTGAGTTGATAAGCTGGCCATTTATAGACAATCCAACGGGGTCATTATTCTGCGTGACACTGTGAAACCTCAAAGTGCTCACACAACAACCTATGCGAAGAAAACGACAAGTTGAGGGCCTATGATTTTGGTCCAAGAATTTGAAGTCGTTGACTGATATAAGGGGCTACAGAGGCCTATAACCCCGAAGCCGCGGAACGTTCACAGTGTTGACCTGTCCATTTTCATCCATGACTTTGATAGCATGGTGGATTGGATATGTGACTTGGCCCTGAACTGATGCCCAGGACCAACTCGGAGCATCAATGAAGGCAGAACCTTGCTGATACAGAGTTCGATCCTCTTTTGTCCGTTCCCAGGGAAGCTCAAATGCAAGTGTATGATTCCACATGCCACTAAGAAACCAAGAGTGGTTTTGGGTCGCAGAAGCTATCTGTTCCGCGAATCCATTGATGGCAATAAGTATATCGCTATGGTTGGTGAACTTGCGTCGTGTATAATCCTGAACTATGGCTGCCCAGGTTTCTAATGAGAAATTTCTGATACTGAGATCAGAGCTGAATACTGACTTACTCATACCTCCAAATGAAGCAGGGATATGTTCGGGCAAATTACTCTCAATCCACGACACCCCATTGCATTCCCACGCCATTGAGCCAGCTCCTAAGTGCAAAATTCGATTTGAGGCCATCCGCTCTTGGAAAATCCAACCACGAGTGCTCAAAAGGCCTTCAGATACAATGTGATGCCAGACGTCGTGTATAGTGACAATAACTCGAGAGCCTGGGTTTGGTGAAGCTGATGGTATAAAAGACGCCTGGTGGAAATATTTTGGACATCTATTTTGAAGTAGATCACTCTCAGCAGATAACATTCCTGAAGTGGATATTGTAAGAGCACTGTTCGAGTAGACCTTAAACATCTGCAGCGATTCATAGAGCCAGTCCGACTTGTCATCTTGGCAGATGCACAACGCATCCACCCACAAATAAGAGAACCCCAGAAAAGTTGTAACGGTAATCGCATCTATAATAGAGCCTTGAAGAGATGAAGTGGGGATTCCCGCCTTGAACTGTGTTATAGTGCTTTTAGTCAGCGTTGTCGGCTGTTTACCCGACGTTGGCCAACGATAGCTAAATGCAGTGTAGCTTCGGTCGGCAGAAAAACAATGAACATAAGTCTCTATCAGTCTAACGATGCCCTTGCGTATATTCAGATGTAATAGACGAGTGGGGACCCAAAAGCACCCATTAGCATCAAGATCTCGCTGCTGGCAAGTATGGTGCCCTGTCCGGCATCTTTGATACCAAGCAGCGACCACTTGACCATCAAAACTTTTCTCTGTTGATAGGGGAAGGTCGGACATATTATAATAAGGCTGGTGTGAACATTGTTTTGGTACAACATCTAAGGGTTCAATAAAATCAGACTTTATAACTGGACATGCATAACGCATACTGACAGTCTTTATCCGCAAACTCCAAAGTGACGTATACACTAGTCTGCGTTTCTAACTGATCTTCGTCGTAATCGACTGTCGCATTAAACATATATGTCATTCTGTTGAGCATTGGCCTGTCATATAATTCACCACTTGAAGTCCCTTCGGCCGGAGATTCAATGGGAGGTGGTGTGCATGTCGATGATCCATAGCGATGAAAGCGAACCTTTTTCGATATACTTGCAGGATGTGGAGCTGCGTTGGATATATGCGCCACTGCAAAGCAGGTTGACAAACACTCGCAAAGTACGCAGCAACGAACTGTACTATCACTTTGAAGCGTGAAGAAAGTTTCATATGTGCCATCTCGAGGCTTGTCTGGACTTTCGAAAAAGTGGATCATTGCTCTCAGACAATTATCACATAACATGTCGAAGAGTCGAGTGGACAAAACACGATTCGTATGTACTTTGACTTAGAGATATAGCTTCTAGTGCTGGTAATATAATAAGGGCTTTAATCGTATTGAGGTAAAGATGGAAATAATTATTATATTGCAGGATGGATCGGAAACTAAGTCTTTCTAATGGACACGATGTAGCTATATACCTTAAAAGTCTATAGTGAGAGAGTTGGGTTTTCTTCCCACCACTTCCGGTTAATGGGCTTTTAAAATCACTCAGCCGCGCAATGAGTGAAACCAGAATGAATATAGTTGCGAGATACGTGTTCTTGTCCCTCAGCTGAAACTATCAGCTGGTGGCGTCCACTGGCGACGGCTCACTGCCCTGAAACCCCGCATTTATACCTAAAAAGTAACGATGGCGATAAAGGAATATCGGGCTTCATTTTCCTATTCTAGATCCTATGATACAAGCCTCTCTCTGCAGAAGGGTGTCTTATAGGAGAGTATTACAATAAAGGAAAAATTAAAGAAATTTAAAACATACAACAGTCACAAGTATTTCAATGATCACCTAGCGCCCACAGCAGCTTACAGCTTTATTCAGCCCACTTCAGCGCAATCTAGGCAGCGAAATGTGCTGACTCAAATTTTGGGCGAGATCCTCTTTCTCCTTTCCAATTAATCAAGATCTAGTGTTATAGGAGAGCAAAAAGCATACTGAGCACCAATTGAAAGGCCACCAAGAAGGCAAGTGCTTTTGCTGCACTATAGCGTCAAAATCACGGATAAATACGTATATAAAGGGTATTCGCAGATTCTAATTCACATCAGTGCTTATGCTCAACAAGATGACATCCCCTGACTCCGCTATCAACTTTGCGCGGTCGCCTTCAAGTAACAAATTACCATCAAGTCCAACCTCCAAGATGTCTTCTGGCTCGCTTTGCGGATAGCGAGGTCTCTCATATCTTTCCTATCTCGCCTCTTTAGCCAAAATTGCTTTATCCACGTTCTTACTTGAAAAAAAGTTGAAGCGTATCGTTCGGTATTGCACCGCAACAGCTTGCCTTTAGGCACAAACTGCTGTTGTTGGCCTTCCGCGTTCTCACCAGAGACTGCCAGTTTAGCATCTGGTAGGTCACCCAATGGCACAATTACTCCTGATGCGGCCAATACACTGGTAATCGGAATCTGTAGATTTTCCTTCAAATCATTCAGCTGTCGCGATTGTTCGACAATTCGAGCATCCAACGCAGTGAGGTAGCCGATCACGACGTAGATATCCTCTCCTTCATCGATAGTACGCTCGATCCATCTCCGTGTATTTTTGGACTTGACAGCATCTCGAAACCACTGTCCGTTATTGTCGAGATAATAGGTTTTCACTTGATTGGTGGTGATTGAAGTCGATGTTTTCGTAGTTTTTGTCAGGAGGTAACGATTGAAGAAAAAAAAGGAACTTGAAATACCTGTTGATGGGCATCAAATTATGATGTCGTTAATCAGTACTTGGACAGAGCATTTGGCAATGCATATGACTTCAGCCAGGGAAGTCGCTCTTAATTAAAGACATCATACATGTCACAGAAATCTCGTCCTTCTTCCAAAAATGGACTAAAAATCACAAAAGATTTGCAGCATACATAGAATGTTATTGAAAAGCTGCAGAATGCTGCCTAAGATAGTCCAAGGTTTCATGCATCGTATCCTTGAATTGATCATCGCGGCCATGATGACTCTGAATACGAGCCTGGGCCCGGTCCGTGCGTCTAATACCCCTATATAGTGGGGCTTTCCTCCTCTATCTTCAACCAAGCAACAAACTCATTCACTAGAGTTTCATGAATTTAAAATAATGGACCCAAAAGAGAAAGTACTGATAGCATCATGTCATTGTCGCAAGGTCCAGTTCACCATTTCTGTGCTTGCTGAATCTCTCCCGTTCAATGTACATCTATGTCACTGCAGCATCTGTCGCCACACACATGGGACTCCGTGTGTCTTTCACGCTCGACTGCCCACTGGAGTTGAACCCCATTTTATAGCTCCGTCCAGTTTGAACGATTTAACGACTTACCAACATGCCGACTCAACATGTACAAGATATTTTTGCAGCACTTGCGGGTGCCAAATTGGAGATCGAAGCCATGATGGTAATAAATGGGTAATATCCACCGCTATATTTGATGCCAATATGGAGGACGAAGGGATCTGGAAATTTTATACTCATTTGCATCCGGACTCTGCGCCTGATAAGGGTCTTGCTGCCTTTATCTCTACAATCGATGGGCATCAAATGGAGATGGTCAATCCAGAAGATTCCTCGCGTTCCAAACCGCCCATATCTCAGGATATTGCATCTGATGACAAGGAACTACTTGCACAATGTCATTGCGGTGGTGTGTCATTCCATATATCCCGACCGAAAGCCGATTTCATTGAAGATCCAGCAGGTCAAGTTTGGCTCTCCCCGCTAGACAAGAAGAAATGGCTAGCTTGCATGGACACCTGTGATGACTGTCGACTGGTAAATGGCACGCATGTCATCGGGTGGATGTTCGTCCCGGTGAGCCATCTCTCGCCTATGCCTCCTGCCGACTTGATGATTGGGTCATCGAAGGCCTATCGCTCCACCGAGAAAGTAAATAGAACATTCTGCGGCACATGTGGAGCAACGGTATTTTACAGTTGTGACGAGAGACCAGGAATAGTAGATATTGCAACTGGAATATTGCGGGCGCCCGAAGGAATCATGGCTAAAAACTGGGCACTCTGGAGAGCGGGCCGACTTTCTTGGCCAGAGAATGGGCTACGATATGATGCTAGCTTCACTCAAGCATTGCAGGAAGGGTTCAAGCAGTGGGGGATAGAGCGGGGCCAAGCGCAGGATTTCGTCATACCATAGATGAAAAAAGGAATATCATTTCTCCCTCCAAAGTGTGCAATGGTAAGCCAAAAAATAATATTTTGCCGATAATATGCGGCAGGCGTCGGCACTGACACTGTAAGACCCACCGTGAAAGGGCGTGTGGGTGAGTCAAAGTCAAACGAGCAACTTGAAGTGGGGTAAAGTATAAAATCGAAGCTCTTCTTCAGGCAAAAACCCATCAAATATTTGCATAGAATTCAATATCTTCAAATGAACCAATCGCAATGACTCAACTGTCTTTCGTCACTCTTGACGTCTTCACCTCGAAGCCGTACACCGGCAACCCACTAGCCGTGGTCTTCCTACCGGAAGATGAATCCCAAGCGTTGACCCAGCGACAAAAGCACCAGATCACCCTGGAATTCAACCTCTCGGAGACTATCTTCGTGCACCCAGTGCGCGATCATTCCAAACGCAAGATAGACATCTTCACAATTGAGTGTGAGATTCCATTCGCCGGACACCCCACCATTGGCGCCGCAACATGGTTCCTGTGCCACGCCCCGGATGCAGCCGGCGGTGCGGTGAAGACATTGACCACCAAATCGGGTGATATACCCATCTCCATCCAAGACAAGGCAAGCCAGTACGTCGCTGCGAAGATTGCCCACAACACACGCATCCATGCAGCGAGGTATCCGCTCCAGGAAATGCTACGCCTGCACCCGACCTTGGCACCATTCTTCCCCAAGTCGGATACTTCTTTCCCGCTCTTCTCAATTGTCAATGGAATGGCTCAGACTTTTATTGAGCTGCCTTCTTTGGAAGCACTTGCAGCTGTACCTGTCGCGACAGGAGGCGAGTTAGTTCCCGTTGAGAAACACTTAGACGAGGGCTGGCGATCGGGATTGATCTGTGTTTATTTCTTTGTTCGTGATGTTGACGATGAAGTTATGAACCAGAAGGTTATCCGCACTCGTATGATGTTGGGAAGTTTCGAGGATCCCGCGACCGGTAGCTCGGCTAGTGGGCTGACAGCGTATCTGACGCTGACTGAGGGACAGGCTGGCCAGGAGCACAGGTATCACATTGTGCAAGGCGTTGAGATGGGTCGGCGGAGCGATATCGGTGTGAATGTCACTTTGGACAACGTTAAGAAGATTGAGCAGGTTGTCTTGACCGGCACAGCGGTGCAGGTTTCAGAGGGCAAAATCACAGCACCCGAAGCATAAGAACAAGAACCACACCACAATTGTATAACGATATATGGAAACCCTGCGATACTTTTCATTTTAACATCTTTCAATTGCCTGAAATTGATGAAACCTCGCGACCTTAGTACAGTAACCTGTTGATCCTTGGTAAATTGAACCTGTCGTAAGATTTGATCGGTAGTCCTCCTCTCATCGCAGAAAGGAACGTATTGTCCATGGGGAGGATAGAGAGAACAACTGTGACATGTGGGAAAAACTTGAACGAGCGACAAAGCTTTTGAATCTGATATCAATGTTATCCTACTTATCACCTTAGCTTCACAGTTAAGCAATCTATGGCTGGACGAGCAATTGAGTCATTATCAGAGTCCCAAAAAGAGCACCATCCAAAAACCTCTTCACCTGGAGACAAGCATGGATGTACGAATCTGTTTCCAAGCTGTTGAGATAGAATGATGTGATCAATGGTCAATTGAAACCCAGCGGTGAAAGTATAGTCCTAATGAAAATCTCCAACCGGTTTCCACTAGGCTGTGACATGTTAATTTTAGCGTTTTCAATCTCCTACAGCTTTGGAGATATATTCGATGGCTCTTAACAACTACTAATGTTGCAACAATAAAAATACCTCGTGCAGGCCCACGTAAGGGGCGCACTCTTTTCCTAAGAAAGTGCGGAGAACAAGAAATGGGGCTCGACAAGGGGGCCGCGCTAACAGCTCGGGGGCCACAGGTACTAAAACCCTTCTGCTAATAAGCCAGTCAGGCTAGATAATGATCTAGGGGTGGAGTGTAGGCTCCATACTTGGCAAACTAACACTAGACCAACAACACTTTTGTGTCTAAATCGACAAGATCAGCACTTCAAATTCTTCATTCAGAGCCGTGCACATAACAAGAAGCTGCTTTTTTTAGATAACGTGTCTGGATGGCCCCGGGGGTTAAAAAGCCAAGACTTTGACCCTGGATATAAAAAAAACACTGATATCCCTGAAAGTGACTCAGAAATCATTCCACCTCATATCTCAGTCTTCAACGTAATAAATTTCAACTTGAAACGACTCCACTATGCGACCTGCTACTATTCTCCTTGTCCTTGCACCTGCCATGGTGTCCGCCGAATGGGCATTTGCCTGGTGGGGAAATGAAAACTGCGACGACAGTAACAGACTCGGCTATATCGGGGAGAAACCCGATGATCAATCATACGCGGGTACTCTTGACAGCGGAGTTCTCTCAGCCAGATTTACCTTCACCGATACCAGCAAGGTGCCGCGGTTTGCGCATGGCGCTGGTGACCCCTATCCCTCCGGAGATGGAGCCGTCAGTGGTCACTGTTATACTCTTGACCCGAGCGCAGAAAACTACTGGGCGTACGACATGGATATCACGACTACATTCCCAAACCGTTGAAGTAAACCGAAATGTTATGACGCTTGAACGACTGTATGTTATTTTGTCTTTATTGGAGCATTTCATGTGTAATACATCAGATGGAGCAGCTGACTCAATATTAATAGAAGACATACGGATAGAGCGTGTCCAAGACTACTCCGAGTCTGAACCAAGTGTACACAAAGCTGTTATGTTGAGATGAATGCATATTGAGATAGATTATTGCAACCCAGTAGCTGGAATATACTATTCTATGAGCGGTATACACCTTTATCAGTCTACCCGATGCCAAATATGTTTTTGCACTGATAATATGTTGTATTTTCAAACACTCAAGCGAATTGTGACTGAATTAATGACATGGAAATTAGAAGACCTTATATACTTTATCCCGACGTAAGGAATCATGCCTTGTCACCGATAAAGGAATCAGAAAATGAAATAATGACCTCACTAAAATTAGTCTACTGACTCGCTGTCTTCAAGTTGACGGTCTGACTCAAGATGAAGAGCAGGGTTGCATCTAGTTCGAAGAGGTCGCCATTGTGATCTCCGATTCTTTACTCCGAGCTCGGATACGAACTTTCGATATGGAGACTACTTGAGATCAATGATCACAAATAAGACTCGGAGTAAATAGTCCAGTGTTTATATCAAAAATTGGTAAAAAGCCAACTTGAATAGAGCCAAAGGAACTAAAGAAGGAATTTGAGAAAAACGCGCGCAAGAGGAAATATGGGATGAGTTTTACTCGAATATATTAAATGGCGAAGAACAATGCACATAAGCTGGTTCCAATACAAATGTTTCACGATCGCAAACCCCTCCACAAGATTGCAGAAGCCCAAAAATCCACTCATCAAGGTTCAATCACAGCTTATTCTCCGAGACAAGCTGGCGAATTGACCTAATCGTCCCTTCAACAGCTGATTGAGCCATCCCCTTTTCCTTCACCATAAAGGCGGCCAACTCCTCCTTCGAAGCTCCAGGATGCTTCCATTCAAAGATATATGTAAGATACAGCTCTCCATTACCACCTTCACTGATAACGTTGCTGATATTTCCACCCGATTGCGTGAACTCCACACGGGTGGGTTCGTAGACCGTGACGGTCTCCTGTTTGGGCTGGTTTGATTCGCGGAACACGACTTCTCGTACTGTCACGGCATTTCCTTCTGGATTGATCGATTCACTGATAACGTTTGTCTTCGAGATAGCGCCAGGAACAAATGTTTCGGCAGAGCGGATCTTCAAGAGTAGACCGGCCCAGACTTGGTCTCGCGAGAGCGGGGCTTCGCCAGGTGTGTTGATGAGAGCCGTGAAGGCGAGGTTATTTGCGGAGGACATGATGGGTCTTCGGCTTGTGATAGAAGAATGTGGAGTTATGTTGTGACTTGTTATTGGAAAAGATCAATTCTCATGGGAAGATTTGTAACTTAAATAAAGCTCAAGCTCAAGCTCCTAGTCTTGTTGATGTGCGGGTGATGACGCAGATAAAGCCGAGGCCGTTAGCAGCGACAAACCAAACGCGCAATGTGTCAGCGATCGGCCTTTCGGCCCTCCGAGCTTTACTACCTCAAGCCACGATAAACACCGACATTACTTCTAGGCAGACTCATTTGTATACATTATATCCGACCGAACAGTATACTTCACACCTCGAAAAACATCATCACCACAATGCATCAAGTGTCGTTGCTGGAAAATCAAAATGGACCCTGTTTTCGGAAACACGCGCACCACCTCCCTCGCACGATAATCATCAGTGAAAGAAGTAGCACCACCAAGCAGCTTCTCCTTATTTGAATCTGCAGCTACACGCGCAGAAGTACCAGATCCAGATCCATCTTCCAACTCAGACTCATTACCCACATCCATTAAATCCACCTCGCCACCCTTCACAAAGAGCGCATTCTTCTTCTCCGCCCGCTCAATCTCCGGTAAAAGCTCCTCCATATCCTGCTCCCCCTCCCCATTCAAATATAAATGAATTGTAAAAAGCGACCCCTCCTTCCCATCAGGCCTAACGTAACGCCCATCCCAATGAGGTCGAAAATAATCACCACCCTCATAGCGCAAAAAGCGCAATCGCTCATTAAGCCCTGAGAGATGAAACGTTTCACCGCGCCGGGCAGGACCAAGGCCCGTGACAGCCGGCATATCATGAACGCGATCGATATTAAACTCTTTCATGAATGGCATTAAACGATCAAGAATCCGTTGTGCGATATCGGGTGAATCAAAGATGATTCGGCCACTTTTTCGTGAATCAACGGACATGACTTCTTTACCTCCGCCTGAGTTGATCATTGCGCGTTCCCAGACTGGTGTCTGGTCGGAGGTGGGATTTGTAGATTGTTCTGCGAGATGAAGGAGTTCTGTACATTCTGATTCGGTCATGAAGTTGTCTATTACGGCTGCGAAGTCGTTTTTGAATGCGGGGATGGGTGGGGTTGTTTTTGTGAAGTCGATTTGGTGAACAACGGCTTTTTGAGGGGGTCCTTGTAGGAAGGACTTTGGAATAAATGATGAGACCATGGTGAGATTTCTCATTGATCTCATCAATGGATAAGGGGAAAATAGTGAAATCGCTTCTTTTCTTTTTTTCCTTGGTGGTCTTTGGATTTATTTTGCGAGACTCGGGGCTGAGTCAATTGGACGAGGCTGAGGCTCTTCTGCCTGCGGGATTGTGTGGAGCATGCCCGGGCCAGACTAGGACAAATGTGACATTTTCAAAAGGCTATCTGTATGCATAGCCCAGTGATTGCGTTGCTAATGCTAATATAAATATAAACCACTGTCTTTCAACAGAGAATCTTCATTGGGTCCATTAGCTTCTTATGAGTTTGGCCTGCGGATAAGAGCTAAGCCATTCTTGTGGGTAAAAAGCCCGGGGAGGCATTTCCAGACAAAAAGGATGTAGACCGTGAAGATGTCAAGACACAGAACATGCAAAGGAGTTTTCAGAGGTTGAAATGCCAGGGCTAGACTCTCAACAGTACACAGGGTAGTCGGTGAGGTTTAGGTAGAAATCAGCCCGCAGATCTTAGTTTTAATAGCGGGGTTAGGGAAACACAAGGCATCCATCCAACCTGCCCAACTGATAACATGGATGAGTCACCTTAGCCTGGAACTACAACCTGTAAGAAGTATGCCCTCTTTTTCTACAATTATCCGGTGAATAAGAATGCCGATTTCTCATTCTCCGTACGGCCCGGCTAAAGACCGAGGCAAAGCGCATAAAACCGGGCCGGTTAGTCGATCAGTGGGGTTGATAAACGATAAGAACTCACACAATCAAGAAAAGAAGCAACGCGAACATTGAACGAAAAAATAAATGAAATAAAATAAGAAAGAACCAGCATGTAAAGAAAAAGGGTATATTGATCTATATTTATATCTATAAGGATCCATAATTGTTAGGAAGGAGCACGCTCATCCAACTGGCCATGTAGATACAATCGGCCTTCCGTATTGAGGAACCCCCCAATACCAAAGGCAGGAATAATCCGACACATGCGAAGCAGCGATGCCCCAATCCAATCACGGCTAATGCGAGAAATTCGATCCTTGGTCGGTAAAACCTGGGGTCTATTATAAACATCCAATCCGAAGAGATGAATGGGGGTACTAATCAGTTGGATAGAGGCGGGGATGGCAAGTTGAGCGATCAGGATCTTGAGATATTCCTGAGAAGCGATAGAGTCGGGAATAGTGTTTGAAACCATTGCTGGAAGGCTGAAGGAGCCGAAGATGGTCAGGCCATCTCGGAGGAGGAAGGCAGAGTATGTTGCTAAAGGAATGCGGGTACGGCCGATTGAACGGACGGTTTTGAGGGGTGGTGGTGGTGGTGCAGAGTTGGTATGTGATGCTGATGCTGATGCTGATGAAGGAGAGGGAGTTGTAGAGGTTGATAAATTGTTATTATTGTGGCCGAAGAGTTGGGCGAATTTGACATCTTTCCAGATACCCACGGAGGAGTTGACGATGAAGGTTGATGCAAATGTGGTCATACCGGCGATGGCAGCGTCGATCTTGGGATAGACTTTATGCAAAAGGGTCTCGGAAACGTTTGCCGTTGCGAAAGTTGCAGTATAGAGGGACCAGACCAGAAGGCTGGGACGAGATGTTAAGAAAGTAGCTGGCTGTGTAATGGAGAACCATAAATGCTTGCGAAATGCAGGGAGAAGAGGCTGATTGTAAAAGGATTTTTCGACGACAAGTCTGGAAACTCGTTAGTAAATATAGATTTATTTTTTATGTGCATAGTATTGACTCACCTGTCAAAGATCATCACGGCGGGCGTTACAAGGGTTGCTGAACCTGCAGCAACAAGGGTATCGGCTACCATAAGCTCCCCGAGCCGGCTACGGCTGCGCGGAATGCTCAATGCCATGGAGTGTTCTTGCATTTGTTGGGTCATAATGAGTCGAGTTCAATGTTTTAATGTGGCCGCGCTGTTATTTACCCCCCTTGGCCAGTTCGGGGGCTGTTCAGGTAGTCGGGGGTTGAATATGGGCGAGTAGAAATTGTAAAGCTGGAAAGGAAATGCCCCAGAAATGTAGAATCTAGGGTTCAATCTGTGACCGGGAAGCAATTCTGATTAGATAAAAACAACTCGAACGCGGGGCAGTGCATCATAATTGCAGGTTATCTGGAACACAACGTACTGTGGACCGGTCTAGGGCCGGAGGCCAACTTCTGCGGGCCGGTGAAGCGAACGGGAGATGGAGAAAAAGAGATGAAAAGACGGTCAGGGAGGGAAACCGAATCAAAGGAAGAAAGATTGTTGAAAGAAGGAAAAGAAAGATTGACGATATCTAAGATATAATATTTTCTAGATCATGTAATAACCACCTTTATCGCCCAACACACACTGTTGAGCGTCTAATAACTATGAAAATCACATTTATAGATCAAGCTTGAAACCCGACCCCTCGTCGGCGAGATACACCAATCACAGTCCAACCGGCCCGGCACCCCGGTGATGCATGTCGGCCCGTGATTGGCTGAATCGCCGCCGATGATCGCCCTTTTTTTCAGGAACAAGAGTGTTTGCCCTGTTTGTCAAGCTTATCGTTATCGGACTGACGTTCTGGAAAGAACGGTGAAAGTTCATCGCGTCCCGACATGCCCTTACCGCGTGGGATTGCCTCAAGGGGATGAGTGTCGTGATTTTCCTCCCCGCATTTCCCCGATACTCTGTACAGCTCCACGGATGATGCGTCGAGATATCCTGGCAAGGTTGGGGTTTTGGTATGTCAAGTTTTCATCTTCGTCTGTGCGGAGTGGGGTTGCTCTCCTTTTTATTGCAAAATCAGGCATTAGCAAGAGACAAGGTTTAATACTAGGTCATTCTAGCTATATTTTAGGAAACTTTCGTCCCGGTAGTTGGACACCAGATGCAGCCAATATCTATATCTCATCTTAATCATCCTATTGCAATTTAACCATAGAGTTTGATTGGTGGCTCGATGTTGTTGTGAATGTTTTGTTATCTACCGTACCCACACATTTTGCGCACAGATGTTGTCAACTCAATTTAACCAACTTGGAAGTGAATATTCTTCATATTTCAAACTTATATACTCCCTACCTTGGAACATTGACACGCACGAACTTTACCTTCGCCAACGAATATTCAAAACACTCGCTCCCTCTTCCCCAGTAAATCGATCCGCAAGCCATGTCTCCCAACCAGGAATCTTCCCATTAGCGAATGCGTCATCTGTCCACGAATCGTTACATGACATAGTGTCCGAGTCCTTGGCCAGAAACTTATGCACAGTTGCCGGCAGTTGAGAACCCCCAATATCACCAGCTCGCGTCTTCAGTTCCGAGAGAATGCTGCACAACAGATTATAATAGTCAACTGGACTTCTTCCCCCATTTCTCCATTGTCCAATCTTAAAGACGAGATTCTCTTTTTGCCCTTGACCATAGACGTTCACATATTTTTTCATCAAGATGCAGGTACGGTCGACAAGCCGCACAACCCTCCCCACACTTTCAAACGAATCATCCTTCTTCTCCCCTGTCTGTTCGACACGGATATCCCGCAACACTTTTTCGAACGTAGACTGCAATTTGAGATTACTCTGATACATATTCTTCCCTTCTCTCTTTTTAAGGAATTTCGACCAGCCAAAGTCACCCACGACCTTTCTCTGAAGTCGTCGCTGACAGCGAAAGTAATCATTCGATAGCTGTACTACATTATCAGAGTTGATGATATTGTGCTCAATCAAACCCGTCAGATACAGAACTTCCTTTTCGAGCATTTTGATATTGTGCACCAATCTACGTTCCGGTCGCCCGAATTGAAAGACTCGACGGTTTTGTGGTGCACAAAATGTCTTTCTGTTAAAAAAAAGATCGTGTCCTCGGTCGGCTGGAGAGTAGGAAAAGCACCGATTTGATTCTCCAGTCGGGCAAAATCTTTCATATGTGTAGGCGGCTGTAATCTGGAATCTTCAAACATCCGCTCCGGTATGCAGAGACAACGGTCGCGAGGTGTTTTTCTCCTGGCCCGAAGAAGCACAGTGACCAACTCCGACAGAGATTGGAGTGGCGCGACCACTGCCTTATGCTTCTCGAACCAACCTGGAATCTTTTTACAAAGGTTCTCGAGCGCAATTGACATGTTCTCACTTCTTGGAAGCTATACCTGTCAAGTCACATATTGCTTGATGTGTCATTTCTTCGATGAGTCTCCTCGCATATTCTCAGTGGCCACTAGTCACCATAGCAGATACTACCATAGCTGCAGCTTGCTCGAGATCGAAGCGAGTCATTGTAACAATGAATCTTTTCAAATCTTCATGGCTCACCGGCGTATGACAAGGTTGTATATTTCCGAGAAATAGTTCCTCTCGCCCCAGAGGAACCGGTCGGAGCCTCCTTCTAGATGGCATTTCATCGCGCTCGAAATATGCAGTCATTTGGCTTACAATCTTAGGGTGCCTGTTCCATTTATGTTGTAAGTAATCGTCGAAATTGCTAATCTTGGGGAGCCTGGCGAGATCTAGCGATTCTCTCAGCGGGATATTCGGGCTGAGGGTGGGTGCTGAGCCCCTTAACGCTGGTGTGCCAGAATCACCACCCGTACCGACGTCGTATGCTTGGAGTGTATATGGAAGATGCACGATTCCATTTGAGGGCGCGTGGATCGCGTCATTTGATTGTTAATTCGACCATTTTAAGGCCTTATTTTGCAAGGACTTTAAAAACATTTCTCTAATTTGATTTCCACTGCGGAATAGGGGAAGCTCCGAGTCGACGTCAATACTAAATAGAGAGACCGTCGGCTAATTTTTCGAGGTTAATAGGGGGAATAGCCGAGTTAAATAGCACTCGCATGAGGCTGAACCGAGTCGTTGTTTCCCACCCCGATCATGAGTTGCCAATGCGGGCACCTGGGAAGATAAGGCAGAACACAGAATAAAAATCTAGTCAGTCAAGTTTTAGAATTCCCAGATCACGCGAAGAAGCTTTTTCATGAAATCGACAATTTATGCTCACTGCCAATCTATTCTGGTCATGATTTCCACGTCATGAAGTACGTACTAAGATGCCAACTCCACTACTGGCTGGTCCACAATTTGCTATCATCAGTGTCGATCTCTGCCAAATAGGGCAATAATAGTCCGCTTAGTAAGGCACTTCAAGGTGTTGTTTATACAATCTTTCATTTTTTCAAGGGCTTGTTAATTTTTTTTCTTTTTCAAACTTTGGACATCTCAATACCATTGGAGCTTCAATATTCCAGAATTGACTTTTTACCTTCCTGACACATCTGTTGACCCCGGCCAAATTGAGTTAAGTCATGTATTCTCTCGGACTCAGCTGCATCTAAACTGTTGACAAGCACATCCTAGGCCATTTTTGCTGCAATGCACGACCGTTAAACCTACTCAGTAGCCAATTGGCTTTCCTCGCTGATCGTTTCATGCACGGGAAAATGATGTATGCTTTGGATCACAGCATGCGGAATTAAACCATAAACCGAGACCAGTTACTGCGGCAAAGGAACTTCAGGTTTAATTCTTTCATGGTCTTCAGTCGACGGAAAGGGACCCAGGTGCCCTTGCCGTAGTAGTTGGTCTCGGTATATGTCTTACTTCAGGCACTGTGAATGGGAGTCCGGTAGGGGTATAACAACAGAGAATATGTGTGTATTGTGGGAATCTCCCGGGCTGTCGGCGTTATCTCACGCCTATTGGGGAAGCTTTAGCACTATGGTACAATATACTTTAGAATCCTATATATTCAAGAAATAACTTAGCCTCGTATCTTTGTAGATAGTTATTGATATAAATATCAAGATCATATTTCTGATTGGAGATCTTATGAAGAATCACTTTTTAAATTATGACATTTGAATTACATGGGTACCGAGCCAATGAAAAAGAAAGAAGAAGTAAAAAACAGTGGAAGAAGGAAAACAATGGGAAGAATTTCAAGAATCGCTGTATTTTCTATTCATGAAATTACAATATTAATTTTACAAAAGGTTGACTGAATATCTCCAACTTTCGTTCCGTTTCACAGCCACTTCAAGTTCCCTTTCATGCATCTGTCTCTTGAAGATTAGAAACGGATACGGCAGAATCAGTTATGAATTTTTTGTTGCATTTTTTCAACAGACCCATTAGTACCATGATACAAGATAAAAGAACGAGGCAGCAGCCCTGGGGCCTTCTAAAGTTCCAAGATCATAGGCATTGTACGGGACCAGGTAAGAAACTGGAATATAATCGTGCAACATGCTTTCCCCTAAATATCATTGGTTTTCGATACGCGCCTACAAACTTTCCTCTTAATTGGAGCTGAAACAAATAATTAGCCATAGACCCAGACGAGCTACTGCAGCAAGGACTTCGAGTTCCTTTCAGTTAGCTTGCGATTCGACTGCCATATTGTGAAGAACTAGCTTTGGAAGGAACTGTACTCCATTTGCCAATAGCGAATCAATAATTGGTCGATGTGGCAATTCAGAATGGGATATCGAGAAGATTTTTCATATCTTAACCCTGCATGTGCTCAATAACCAGGGATTTCATGCTTATACTGTTGTTCGTCGTTGTTATCGTGATTGTGCTCTTATCTTATCGCCGGTAACACTTGATATGGCCAGTGGCGGTCGAGTCTCCGCTCTCACCCGCTCATTCACCCACATCCCCACGTTTCTCTTTTGCCGCAAGTCTACGAATCTTACAAGTCGAACGGAGTACTAAACCGAGGAGATCCACCCAGTGCGGCTGAGATCGATGTCATGTCCGCCGAAAGTGACACCGCAAGTTCTCTGCGCGTCTCTCAGCGTCGGCCTTTAGCCTGTCGAGGTAATTTTGATCCCCCCTTGCTTGAAAGATCACCGCATTGATAAGGCCTAGAATGTACCAAACGGAAAAGAAAATGCGACAAGCAGGTTCCATGTTCAAGATGTCGAAGGCTCAACTTGCACTGCTCAGTTGAAATTGTTCAGCTGCGAAGAAATACCGTGCAGCATGCCTCTGAAATTCAATTCCTGGCCTCAGTACTGGCGGACCTTGATACCTCGTCTAAAAAGTTCCCAAGCGTCAGTGAAAAGCTCAGAGATCGAATATCTCAGCTTCAGACAGGCAAAATACAACACGCCGATGACTTCGGCAATGTACCAACCGTGGATAATCCGGAGCCCTCTAATGCTCGCATGGAGCAAAGTCTACGACGCCACTTTGCAGAGACGCCTCTAGAAAGCACAGACCCCCCGCTCCTTACAGCAATAGAGCACCTTGCCTGGGGACGAAATGCCGCCGGATGCTTTCCTCACAGGAGGTGTGGATGCCAATATCGAAGAGATAAGCCGGAACAGTTGTCAATGAACAACGGAAGCTTCCAGTTTTATGGCTCATCTTTGGAACCTCTGGTTCAACTACCCGGTGTCCTATATGCGCAAAGACTTATCAACTTCCATATAGGCCATCTCACATGGCATCATAATTCTTTCCACGGTCCCACATTTCTCGAGCAATGCGAATTATTCTGGACGACGGGAAGATGTGATCACCCTCTTTGGGTGGCGCTCTATTTATCTGTCCTAAGTCATACAGTTAACGCAATACAAAACAGTCGAAAATTAACAGTGCTAATCAATGTTGACTTGAACGACGTACAATCTGCCCAGCAACTATTTTCCACGATGGTGCAGACCCTGTATAGTGCCCATTTCCTGAACAACCTGTCAATATACTCAGTTCAGTCCATTGTGATCTCAACAGAAGTCGCACACAACCTGGGACTCAGTCAACTAAATGCTACTCTATTTAATGCCGGTGTGCGCATCGCCGAATGCTTGGGCATTCACAAAATCAAAAATCATCCGCTGACCCCTACTAAATCACAAGACGAATGGGAGGAAAGGGTTGAGCGAGAGGTTGGACGAAGGCTGTGGTGTCAAATGCTCATTCAAGACCATTTTGCCATCCCATTCACGGATACATATAGCATTTCCCCAATGCATTTTTCGACCGGTCGACCTCTTAACGCAGACGATCACGATTTAATAGATGTACCACCCGAGACACCGACTATTAGCAGTTATGTCCGTACATTAGTGGAGCTAGCCGCCCTGATGCCCGCACTAATTGACGGCCTGGGACCAATGTATCGTCGAAAGCCCCTCCGCGAACAATACGAACATATTCTTCGTGTGGATCAAAAGATGCGCGCGATTGTCAAAAACATACCATCATTCATGTTGCGACCAGATCCTATTAAAGAAGCCGAAATCCCATGGCTGACAATTGCCCGCCGAAGTCTCGCCATCACAGCAGCTGAAAAGATCATCATGATACATAGACTGTTTTTGTTTCGATCCTTCCATGACTCGACCTATGTTCACTCCCGGCGGACCTGTGTCGCAGCCGCAATGACAATTTTACGTGAACATGAAACTATAGTTGAAGAAGATGACTTGTCTATTTGGACGCATACTGCATTCGCAATAACAGCAGCTGTGATATTATGTTTCGAAGTAAATACTGTGATGGAAACAACCGACCGGAGAAGTGTACCGATGTACAGAATGGCTGTCGTCGCCGCTCGCGACCGTCTAGCCTCCCGGACCGGAGATATACTCGCTCAGCGAGGCGTTACTTTGATTGATGCAATTTCTATTGCGGAGCAATCGAGTTCCAATGTCCCAGAACCGAATCGACTCTCTTCCATCGACTTCAATCGAGTATTCGCCAACTTCTCAACACTAAGCAAGGCCACATTGATTCCTCTAGCCGACGAGATGACACCAGGCAAAATTTCGAGTGGCACACCCGAGAATTTTGATCCGCTTGATTTAGGTGAGATGCAATCGGCGTGGAATCAAGAGGAGATTGATTTTGATCTTTGGTTTAATGGAATTTTCAATAATTTTCCGGATCACCAGCTCTAGCTGGGAGTTGGTGATAATGATGGTGGTGTTGGAATGTCAATAAAAATCAGTTGTTCATGTACAGATAGAATTGAATTAAATAAAATATCTATACAAGCAAATCGAAGGCCTGACATGCTGTCTTATGAGTCTCGCCATCCGGGCCGCTCTCGTGAACCCCACATCATAGACATCCAGGTCAAGTGGTTCATGTCAGCCGTGAGCCCCGGCTGGTCAATATTAGAAAACATTCTTGGATCCGACCCGAAGAAAGTAGATTGTCCACCCAGCCCATCGAAAAGGCACTCAGCTCCAAACCCCGCATCTACTCCCATTCCCATTCCCATGCCCATACCTATGTTTGCCCCCATTCCCATTGTCGCTGGCGCGGACATCTGATCAAACAGAGTACCTAAGCGATCACCATGTAGATCCGCGTTGGGATCTGGGGTCTTATTGGCTATATCTGATAGCTTTTGCTTGATACTGGTAACAAGCTTTGGGGGAACAGTCGAAGCTCTACACTGCTTCAGAATTCCCTCGATGCCTTCCCATTTGCGAAGAATGACATTGGCAAACATAGCAAAGAGAGGAGCATGGACTTCATCAACAGGGTTGAACCGGGTCTCAAAGTTATCATTCATCACTTGCCAAGCTCGAGCGGCATGGCCACTAGTAGGGCGCTTTTTCAAGTCATGCATAATATGAATAAACGCAGGGAAAGGGAAGTAATACTGCATGAGCCAGATAAATCCTTTGCTCAGAGGCGAAGTATAGATCTTTGTATCAGCCTGGAGCATACAAATTGCATGCTCGACAAAAGAATCACTTTCTGTTTCTGTGGGAGCCGTAGTAGAATCCAGAAATCGCGCATAGCATTCCAAAAGGTAGTATTTCGAAACCTGTGCTCGCAGTGCCCATATTGTCATAAAGTGAAGCGGATTTTCTTCATCGCAGAATTTAATATACTCCTCTCTGATTTTCTTGTCAAGCGTGGCCACATCTCCGCCACTATGAAGCATGTTTGCGATGTGCTTTAGCGCAGGGTTCAAGAATTCAAGATGGAACGAAGAATGGCGGACATAGTCAGCAATTTCGCTCCGCACGACAACGAAAATCGCCTCGCTGACTTTACTCCTTGCAACGGGGGGCTCTTTCATCTCTGGCCATAAATCCGAGTCATTGACATTCATAGGAGGTTTGCAGTCCCAGGTAGGATTCAGGGATGAGGTTTTCATCTCCGAAAGTTCACCAACCCGGCTATCGAAGAGCATAAGCGACCACCATACTCTTCGGCGCATTTCAGCCTCGAAAACGGTGCACCTGGACAAGAAAGACTCGCTATGTATTCCCATACGTTCTGCCATTCGTATGGCAAGGGCAATCATTGATGAGAGAGTGCGAGGATTGGTGTTCGACTGGAGCGAATACTAAAGAGAGATCAGTAAATATTGAAAAGAATCGGCGACGCGAAGAACTCACGAGAAAAAGGAATAACGCGGTCAAGCATTCCCGATCATCTGATCGTAGGAACTGACAATTTAACAAAGCTTGTTGACAGCCAAATTGATATTTTGTCAAAAGATCATCTCGCGACAAGCCAAATATAGCTTGGCAGGTTTCCGTGGCGAGACTCTGGATGGCCATACAGTATATGCTGAACATCAGAGCTTCGAGGCGTGGCTCAATATTTGCCGTGTTGCTTGAGGCCTCGATTATTTTCCCTTGTAAAGAAGGCGTATGGGTAACTTTGAAGAGAGGATTGACATTTTCAAGGTATATCTGCCAGAGCCTGAAAAGATGAATTGGGTTAGGATGTAGCGCTGCAAGATCAACAAGCCCTTTGCGTGAGCCAAGTATTATATGATCATCGTCTGCAAATCGTTGATCCCATGTCATCTTGCCTAAAGCCTCACGCATACGACATGCGTCTTTGGCGGACTGGCTCGGCTTATTAGAGTATCGAAACTAAATTAATATTAGCCCAGTGAATATTCGATTACGATCCATGATAACTTACATCTTGGCTCATAGCCTTCCACAGGTTCCTATAAAATGATATCAATTAATTGATCTAGTTCGACAGAGAGGAAAGCAACACGCGGGAAAGTATTAACAAAGAAAAAAAAGGTCAAATCTTACTTGGGCTCGTATGCATTCTCCGACCTCGTTGATGTTGCAGGAGAAGATCCGGTTAAATCATCATGGCCTTCGTATTCCGACATTTCCTCACCCATATCATCATTGGGATTGTTGTTGCCATGCAGAGGGTCGAATTTGACTTTATTCTCCCGGAGTAGGTCTTCATACCTCCTGATACGGGTCAATAGCTCGCGCTCCGCGAATCGACGTTTCCTTGGACGGGGATTTCCAGCTGGTATACATGGTATGCGTTGCCTTAGACAATTTGCACAAGGAAACTTTCGATCGCATTTGACTTTGCGTTGTTGACAAGCCACGCATGCGAGAACTCGTCGGGGCTTGGGCAATCTTGTCGGGGTTTGACCCGCCCGAGGGTCAGGCAAGTTCGAGTTCTTCCGATCTGTAGCCATGCTACGGTAATATTAGCAGGCTAAAATGAAAGCTGCTTAAGCTGCCAGGTCATAAAATCACATCAACGGGTAAATTTGAAGGCCGAAAGAAGTTTTTTCCTTGACTGGCCTTTTAATCGTTGGGCGGCGAAGGAACTCGGAGTCTTCGGGGTTTAAAGTGCGGGTCGGAGAGTTCTATTCTCCGATCTCGGGGTTTAGTACCACCCGAATCGTATCACGGTGAATCTATTATACACTGCCCTGGTGATTGAGATGATATTAATATAATGAGAATACATATAATTTCATAAGATATTTCTAAAATATTCTGCAACTGGAAGTTTTTTTTCCTAACTCGTGGGCCTCTGACTGCGTGGTTGCCAAACCAAAACCAGTCTATAGAGGATAGAACCTCCAAGAAGTCTTGAAATCTGGCGACAGATCCTGGTCTCGCATCAAGGCTCGTACTAACTCAATTGGCATGCAGTTTCCTTTCAAAAATCGGTCATGAAACTCCTTTTCGGCGATTCGCCCCGATTCAACCATCTCTTTACGCAGAGCGTAAATCTGCAGGGCTCCTAGCATGTAGCCAGCTTGATACAAGGGCGAATAATCACCATTCAATGATCGTCTGACTTCACCTTCTGCAGTTGCACGCTCATGCCCTACCTGATTAACAAGAAGATCAATACATTCCTGGGGAGACATCTTCCCGAGATGAAAATTGATGGAGAAGATGATTCGAGCGCAACGATGGAGTCGCCAGAAAAGGATTCCGATGCGATTCTGGGGAGTCTTTTTGAACCTATCGTCATTCCACAGAAGAAATTCCCAGTACAAAGCCCATCCTTCAATCGAAAAAGGTGTCTCGAATAGCTGTCGATACGGTTTATACCTCGCGTTCATGAATAACTGCAAATGATGACCGGGGATCATCTCATGGAAAACCGTGGCGCGTGAGAAATGGATGTTGTTACCACGCATGCTCATCAACTTTGCTTCGTGATCCATGGACTCGACTGGGTACGACACGATAATGCATGGGCCTCCAAGAAAGAAGGGATTCACTTTCTGTCGCTCTGGCGCCATCATGAACATTTGCAATGTCTCTTTGGCGAGAGGGGGTACAGTCACAAGATCGTGTTTCTCCACAAATGAGATAGCCTCCTGCATAAGGTCGTTGACGAGCTGTGTTTGCTGTCCCGGCTCGACATAGTCGTTCTTCACATGTTCCAGTGCGTCTTGCCAGGCCTCATAGCCTAGGCTGTTGGATGCCTTCTTCATCTCAGCCATGCACCAGTCGAATTCTTTTTCGCCTATGGAGATTATCTCTTCTGGGGTGTATGGTATCATTTCAGCCTGCAACTCGGCCAGCAGGCCATCTCTTCCGATAGGCTGGCCCACGACTGCATCTTCGTTTCCTGGCTCGATACCGACTATTTCCTCGAGAATGGCCTTTGCGACAGTATCCAATCGTTCCTTCACGGCTTGGTAAGGGGCTGACACCCACCAGTTGAACATTGGATCGTACCCCTGATAAAAGTCAAACCACTCTTGCAGATGGTCTTTCAAGGCGCTGACGATGTTTGCAGCGCGAAAAGCTGAGGATTTGTTCAAGTCGAACTGGGTGCATTTGTTATTGATTTTGCTGACGAGCTCATCAATTTGCACTTGCGTCTTGAATAACCGCTGTGCGGTATCCTTGGGGTTCATTGGAGAGACGATCGCCCGCGCTTCACAGAGACCCACGATCGAGTCGGCGAACGAGATAAGTGGCCTTGTCTTTTGATCTCGAGTCCAGCCAAGTTCCAACTCTCGCAATTCTCTCTCCAAATAATTCTTGATGAGAAGGTAGTCCACTTTCTCTTGTTGTTCATAGATATCGAATGGTTGGCCACGGAGTGCGTTCAGCTCACAAGTAAGGAATTGACGCAGACGTTGTATTCTTTTTGAGGAAATCTCTATAGGGTAAAATTGTTTGATCTCTTTCAGATCTTCCGTTATGCGCTCGATTGTGTCGCGCATATTATCGCCATGGGCGCGACGAATCGCGACACCTCGTGGTGTGGTGATCGTGACCATGATGTGCGATTTGCCGACTTTTCGCCAGTTTATGAAGGGTACGAAGTGGCGCGTGTTGAGATAACGTTCAGTCGTGAGTAGAGTGTGGTTTTGCTAAGTGAGGAAGGCCCAAGCTCTCACTGTCTAGGCTAACTAGGGCAAGTTGTAGCGGGGTACGTCGCATTTCAATCCCGAATACCACAGTGAAGAAACAACCGATAAGCTAAAAGTCGCTGGTCGATCCGAGTGGTTGAGTTTTGACCATATCATATTCACGATAGGTTAATCTGTCTTCAAGGTCAGTGAACTGCGGGGACAGTGCTGTTTTGCTCCGCGTTTTTACCTAAACGGGCGATCTTGTTATCAGTCAAGTTGAACTAACGTGAACTAGCGTGAGCTAAGTTGAGAGCTAAGCTACATTGACTACTTTGACTGCATACGACTTGCCCGCCAAGAGAATCAAGCCGCGCTGTGCGGGGAAAGAGTGAATCAAGGGGTTGCATTGGTAGGACGAAGCTTATCTCTGAAGTACAAAAGATCGATCGTGTCTCCACTTCAACCTCAACCTCAGTGCAGATGAACTGACTTGGAAGTTTACCAATTTGTAGATCTCTCGGAATGACTTCGAAGTCTCTGGCCGATGATGGCCCACAGATATCAGTTGAATCGGAGATTGTGGCCGAAAGTGTCAAGGCAGATCTGAAGGGACTTCAGAAGTCTCATCAATGGGACCCGAATTTATCGCAGGAGAAGTTGGATGCGATCAACGAGGCCGCGAATACCGAAGACCAAGAAAAAGCAGTTGAATTCGAAAAGTCGGCAGTACAGGACTCGCAGTATGAATCCGTTCGCGCTGCCGTGCGCAACACAGATGGCGGAGAAATCGCGAATACAGTACGAGCATGGATTCTCGGAATGATATTCACGACAATCGGCAGTGGATTGAATATGTTCTTGAGTATGAGGTACGTGTCTTACTTTCTGTCTGACCTCTATGTCACGTCTGCTCTCAAATAATAACACATTGATTACAGGAGTCCCGCCATCTCTTTTCCTGCTATTGTGGTGCAATTGGTCGTCTACCCAATAGGCTGTTTATGGGCAAGAGTCATTCCTAAGAAAGTGTTTAATACGTTTGGAGTTCAATGGACCTTCAATCCTGGACCATTCACAATCAAAGAACATGCAGTCATCACGGTAGGCTTGCAAGAATAGAACAGCAGTGGTTTATCGATGACGCTAATTTTTTCCTAGATCATGGCAAAGTGAATATCGATCCTCTCAGAGATTGCGGATTCCTATTAACAATTAACAGTGTGTCAATTACCTATGCGTATTGTACCGATGCCCTCTTGGCTCTGAAGGCAAAACGTCAGTCTTGTCTAATCCAATCACGTGCAACCATGTTTCTGCTAACGCAAGACAGCGTTATATAACCTCGACATCAGCTGGGGTTTTCAACTCCTCTTCGCCATAAGCAGTCAAATTATTGGGATTTCCCTTGCAGGAATATTCCGTCGTTTTCTTGTCTGGTGAGTATCAAACTTGAGATGGATTAATTCATCTATACTAACAGCATGCAGGCCTGCTGCAATGATATGGCCAACTCAATTCGCCAATACCACGCTATTTTACGCATTACACGACAAGAGCCGCTCAGACCCAGCGGAAACCAATGGGTGGAGCATTTCGCGATACCGCTACTTTTTATACGTTACGCTTGGGGCATTTTGCTGGTACTGGTAGGTCTTCCATCATGATACACTCCAATGTCGTGGGACTGAAGCTAATTTCTTTGTAGGTTTCCTGCTGTCATTTGGCAAGGCTTATCAATCTTCGCCTTTGTGACTTGTTGGTTATCCTCATCAAATTCGCAGATATATTACTAAGCTCTTCAATAATAGGGATCAAGCCCAACAATGTGGTGCTAAACCAACTCTTCGGCGGCTTCACTGGCCTTTCTCTCATTCCTTTGACATTCGACTGGACGTAAGTCTATATCGCAAACTTCGTTCTATCAACACCTGATACGAACATGGAAAAGCAAGACCGGGCTGACTCCTAATAGATACGTTTCGGCATACCTCCTCGATCCGCTTCTGTCACCCGCCCATGCAATCGTGAACACGTTCATTGGACTGGTCGTATTCGTCATAATTACAACCATAGGAATTTCTTATTCGGGAGCTCTGTATGTTAATTGTCACTTTCCGAGATTGATCAATTCTAACAAAAGTCTAGTTATTCCGCATATCTCCCAATCAACACATCGACTACCTACGATAACAAGCAGCAGCAGTACAACGTCAGCAGAATTCTTGGTCCGAATTTCTCTTTCGACGAAGCGAAATACAAGGCGTACTCACCAATGTTCCTCCCGCCTACATTTGCATTGAACTACGGTCTTTCATTTGCAGCCTTGACAGCGGTTATAGTTCATGTCATTCTCTTCCACCGGAAAGAGATTTGGCACCGAGCCAAGGCGGCCCGTGATCAAGAGCCAGATGTTCATTTGATGTTGATGAAGAATTATAAAGAAGCACCCGAGTGGTGGTATGCCGCTCTTTTCCTCCTTGCCATTGCCCTAGGGCTAGGAGGTGTGCTTGGCTATGATACCCAATTGCCATGTAAGTGCCTCATAATGACCTCTCGTTGACAATTCTAAGATATAATAGGGTGGGGATTCTTCGTTTCCATAATAATTGCCGTTATCTTTATTGTAAGTGATCTCCCAAATGTTGGAGACTTTTATTGACCAAGAAACAGGTTCCGACGTGCATGATCCTGGGTGTCACCAACATTCTACTTTGTAAGTCTTACAGAAGCCTGAGAGGTTTCCAAAGGAATCTAACAGCTTTAGCTCTCAATGTGCTCTCTCCATTTTTGGCCGGATTTATGATCCCAGGTAAACCGATCGGAGTCATGGTTTTCAAGGTGTTCAGTACCATTACATTGGGGCAAGCGTAAGTTATAAGAGTCTTGGCCACTATGCATTATGCGAAGCTAACAGATTTCAAAGTCAAGTTTATTGCCAAGATCTTAAAGTAAGATTCCACCAAAAATGACCAAAGGTGGATATTCACTGAACATTATCGACAGCTTGCGCATTATATGAAAATCCCACCCCGTGTCACCTTCATGTGTCAGGTCGTTGCTTCAATCTGGGCATGTTTTGTTCAGATTGCAGTCATGAATTGGACTCTCGGAAACATTGATAATGTTTGTGCTTCGTAAGTCTACTCCCATGTTCTCTATATGCAAATATCAGCTACTCATATCAACTAGAGACCAAGCAGCACATTTCTCATGTCCGAATGGGCGAACGTTTTTCTCGTCAAGTATCGTTTGGGGTGAGTTTCGTTCCATGGTTCCCTCGACCCATAACCATTCTAACAACTTGTTTATTTTAATCCAGGGGTTATTGGACCTCAACGAATCTTCGGACCGAATTCGATCTATACGCCAATTCAATACTTCTGGCTTCTTGGAGCTCTACTTCCAGTCGCTTTCTACATCCTGATGCGAATTTTCCCTAGATCTAAGGCCCGACTCCTCAACGCTCCTGTGTAAGTACCAGATGACAAATTCGTCTTATGCACTCACTAATAATTGCACCGGTAATAGAATGCTAGGTGCCATGAGTTGGCTGCCACCGTAAGTTGAACATTTTCTAATTCAAAGGTTCAAATTATACTAACATTTCCAAAGAGCTACGCCGATCAGCTACACATCCTGGGTAATGTTTGGTCTCATTTTCAACTACTGGATTCGACGCAGATGGGCTGGTTGGTGGCGTCAGTACAACTACATTACCGCAGCTGGTCTCGATACAGGACTTATTCTCTCGACGATTGTTATTTTCTTTGCCATTACCCTTCCTGGTGTCCCAGTGCCAAACTGGTGGGGAAATACTGCACCTTTTAAAACAATGGTAGGCTGCCTTTGAAGTATTGAATATCTTGATTGCTAAACAGAATTGATAGGACTACATGTATACGGCAGTACGAAAGACAGTCTCAGGAGACGAGACCTTTGGACCAGCTACTTGGTAAATCGGGGTGGAGAACTACATAGCGAGATTGCCTTCGGTCATCGAAGTTGATCTTTGCTGGAATTTTTTCTTATCAATAGCATAGCATAGGACGTTCAATGACTATTGATTACTATTTGAAACAGCTCAAGCCAGTCACCGTTCCTTTCATGTAGATCAACATCAACTACCCAGGTTAAAATATGGGTTTTATGTAGAAAGCTGTCATATGTATAGATCTAAACTTGGATGGCCTTCATAAAGGCTGGGCTTTCATGTCCCTGGACAACCTTGGAGATGGGAGTGAGAAAAGCGTCCGAAACCCCGAGGCTGTCTTGAAGTTGTCGGACATAGGCTTGAGCGACCTTAAGCCATACGGCCTTCTCCCTGTCACTCGCCTCGAGGCCCTGCCAAACCCACAACCGGCTCCCAGTATCATAAAGGAAGACATCGTGACCATCCAAATCAGAAGTCTGGAAGCGAGTACCATCCTTCACAAGATCGAATGAAAGTGTTCCGGACCCATCACTGAGTCGGAAAAGCTTACGAGGGCGAGTCTCACGACTTTCTCCACGAGCGACCTTAGAGAAGTAACCGGGTCGCTGAGATTGCAGAGAGCTTTGGTCAACTTCCTTGCCACCCAGCAAATCCACAATAATCTTAGATCTAGATTCAAGTTGTGACAGAACTTCGACATCGACGTGCTTTGCCAGGGTCAAATCATTGACAACCTGAGCGGCCTTAGCCTTCTCCATCGGGCTACATTTCTTGCCCTGCCAAACCCAGATCTTCTCGCCCTTATCCAGGACAAATACGTCATTCTCATCCAGGCTCTGATATGTTGGTTCCACCTCATGAACAATAATGGGGCTAACGTGTCCAGATCCAGGATACTTGAAGATACGAAGCAACGTAGTAACCTCCTTAGGCTCCTCAGGTTCAACATGAGTAAATCCAGACTGCACACCGCCAGAGCGAATAGTATAATGGCGGAAAAGCGATAAGAACTCTTCCGATGGCTGCTCTTGAATCTCGCGATGTTGTGATGCGGCACCATGCAAAAATTCATCCAACTCCACGGTCTTGTAGGCAGCAGTACCAGCTTCATCTTGAGTAGTCTTGCTTCCGAGCCAGAAGAAAATATCATGGCCTAGTTTGTCGTCGCCGACTTTGTAAGAGTTCAAAACGATAAAGCTGTCGCCATCGTAGAATTGGCCGGTCTTCTCTTTTGGCCAGGGGACAACTTCGAAGTTCTCAATTCGCCAAATGAGGAGGCCAGCTTCTTGTCCCACTTTCCCATTGTTCCATGCGGGCTCTGTAGCAGCGGAATTGTATTTGACGCGGTGGTCAAGGTCGGATCCGATCAATTCTACATTGCTATCCTTGATATCATATTCCTTAGGATGCACCAGTCCTTCGTGGGGAGGCATCTTGTGTTGATTTCTGAATATGCTTCTTTGTTGTGTAAATAGTATTGATGAAGTGTTTGCGTGCGTGTGTGAGATGGACCAAAATAGAAACACCAGATCGGCTGATGTCATAGTTGGTCACATGACCCTTGCGTATGTTTGGCGGGGTGTGTTATCAAAATACTGTAAAGTACAAATTTATCGGTGAATTCTCTGATATTGTGCAGACGTATCGGTAACATAGTTACATCAATCAATCTATCAGTCCAGTGAGCCTTTTGACACTCTCGGCCACAATACCTTTATAAGCAGATATGTTAATGCAAAAGAATATTATTAGGAATATTTGCCGAGGGACTGACGACAATGAGGTGGCAATTCTGGCAGGTGTGCCTGCCTTCAGGGCTCTGATTCGCGCACGGAAAACTGAGGTTGGACATGGCGATTCCTTTCGTTCGAGGGGGTTCTATTGAGATATCCGAATGCAGTTTCTAGGGGTCTTAAAGCAGTGAAAAAAGGTAAAATGTAAGAAGATGAAAAGAGATAAGATGCAATAGAAAGAGAAAGAGAGAGACTTTAATTATATATGTGAAGATCATATATGAGAATGGGACATCTATGAAGCCTGGAGGGGGTCCTCTAGGCTTTAGGACTGAAAATAGGAAAAACGGTAGGAAGTGAGAGACGAAAGAGAGCCTAATTATGTATGAGAATTGGTTACCTCCATCAATGTTAAGCAAACAAGAGGGGCACTCCTGATGGAATAGGTTATCTCCATTTGAATCAGGCCTCGCCATATGTAGTAAGCTTTGTTTCTTCATTATAGTCTCTCTCTCTCTCTCTCTCTCTTCACTCAACGGAGTTTAATTTCACTCCACTACATCTCTACAACTCTGCGGCTCCTTCAACAACTCTGTGTATTCAACCGTCAATTTACATATGCATCCAAATGTATCCAAGTGTTGGCTGGGTAAAAATGCCTGCTTTCTCTCGAGTCTAAAGATCCCGCAGGGGCATAGTGAGGAGGATAGTATTTTGGTAGTTTAGCCATCTTGATGCCTTGTTTTGTTTAATATCTATAGTGGCCTTTTTTAGACTGACGGAAACAAGCAGAATGCCTATACTATCATCACAACAGCCTAACTAACATTCGACAGAGTTCCATGTGCCTGGGATTATGGCCTTGAGAGGCTCACAAGCTCGTAACAACGCCGGTATCGCAACGATAATATCGCCGATTGTATCTTATGCTACGATACTGTATTGTGAACATATTTCTTTGAATGCAAGGCTCAATAAAAAATACCTTACTTTTCATCGTTTCCTATCTCCGATGTCTTTTTTATTGTAAGGAGACCCTAGACTCCGGGGGCCAAATTGAGCCGCCCAGTCTCTTGGCAACTGCCATTTTTGACGATTCAGTTTCCCACATCCTTCCCCCGTTGTCCTCTTTATCATAATAGGTGGTGTGTTGCGAAATTCACCGTGGAGTGACGTTTACATATTTACCTTCTCGATGGAAATAGTAGACTACAGCTTTGGCGACAGAGATTCGTTCCTCCGGTCCTCGACCCTGGGGGGAAGTGCTGAATTTGTAAGTTGCCCTCCTCTGGAGTCGTACAGAAACGCTGACTTGACTAGGATTCTTCTGCTGCTAATCTTCGTCTCATACATCCCTCAATATGTCCGCATCAAAACTTATCGTCCCAAGCTTGATGGCATATCGCCTATGTACATTTTATCGCGCGCCATCTACTCAGGCGCTTGTCTCGCTAATATCTTAGTTCTTCTCGCTACATTCAAAAGGCAGCAAGGATGCCGTGAGCAGAGTTCAACCAGCAAATGCATGATTGTAATGATGGATATCTGGCAATTCACAGCAGACTGGATTGGCTCGCACGTCATGTACTCACTCCGAGCACTATAACGCCTGCTAACCAGATTTTGTAGACTCATTATCTACCTTTACCACTCGCCACACTATTCTCTCGGTTCATCAGAACAGCCACAGCGGGAACAGGGCCGCAATGCGAAGGGTCAACACGATCAACGCCAAGATCAGATACGGGTTCAAGAACAACTACCAGACAGATGGCCGACAACTTCGCCTCCTTTCAAAGTGGCAATGATCGTTTTTCTTTCTCTCGAGGCTGTTATGCTTATTCCATTACTGTCCTTTGCTATAAATCCACGAATTCAGTCGCCGGGGTACTATATACAGGTTCAGCTCTGGTCTTTCGGGACCGTCGGACTCTCGTCAATTTTGAGTCTCGTCTACAGCCTCCCCCAGCTCTATTGTACCTGGAGACTGAGACGTATAGGAGCCCTCGGTCTTCTCACGATAGCAATCCAAAACCCGGTTTACTTTTTGGTAGCCGTATCGCTTGCAATCCAGTATGTAAAATTAGACGAGGAATCGTTGCAGAGCCGTTGGTTTGCCGCGTGGAATCCGTGGATCGATCTTATCATTCAAGGATTTCAGGAAGGAATCGTTTTGGCCTTATGCACTTATGTATATAAAAGCTCGGCCGTTGATGAAGCTGACCCTGTGTTGGATGATAATACGCCTCTCTTACCCGATAGCCAAGATCACGATGATGTTGAATAAACCGGTCAGACATTGCTGCATAATTTGTATGTCTTTTGACGGGCCTTGTGATAGAATGCAACCACTCGCAGATGAATGAAACACGCTACGAGAAACCAGGTCCGAAACACAAATCCCCGAGGCCCACAGCTTAGCCTACATCTGTTACTAAATATTGGGCGTGTTCATTCCTCGCCCAAATTGAATGGGTATCTTGCCCAGGCGTATTGCTATGTATTTCAGAAGCATCTGTTGAAAACATCTTTTACTTTTGGGATTGTTCAAACCGAAGAAATTTAGACTAATGTTTTAGATACAATTACCTAGAATCATCCAAACATAGATGGTAACTCGGGTCAATAATTAGGATTCCATTTTTCAGGCCCAAATCCCGAGTGATTCGCATCCACATTCTTGTGATGAACGGGATAAGGTTCGTCAAGACCCACCCCTATAACATCTCCACGGAAAATTGAGATCCTCAATATTTGGGCTTTCTGAAACGCCTAGATTTATATACCTCGGCGCGTGTCGGAAAATTCCTTCTTACGAATAAAATAAAACGTCCTTTCTCTTGAAGACTTCCAACCCCCCAAACCGACAAAAATGGCGGCCAAAATCTCTACCGCGCCTGGTGACATATATCCAGTGCACGTAATGGATGATGGCCCAGCAAACCATTGTTATGTCAACTGGATGATGCACTTCAATGATATTATTGAAGCAACCAAGCTCAATGAGGCGTTAGTCAAGCTCTTGGAGAAAGGAGACTGGAAAAAGCTTGGTGGGAGGCTACGACGCAATGTAAGCAACGTCTCTTCAATCTCAGGGGGCGGGAGCAAGATAAAAGGCTAACACTCTAAAGAAATCTGGAAAACTCGAGATACACGCGCTAGATTCATCAGATCCTGAACAAAAAAGTGTATTCTTCACACATAATACTTTTGACATGACAATCGACAAGCATCCGGTTGCAAGTCGCTTACCCAAAGAAACTCACTCCCCGTCCGTCCAGCCACTTCATGATGCTGAATTCCGGCCACTTATTGCACGCGAAAACTTGCCGACTTTCCATGAGATGGTTGAAAAGGATCTCCCATCAGTTTCATTACATGTTACTTCTTTCAATGACGGGACGTTTGTCGGGTTGGCGTGGCCCCATGTGTTGATGGATGCAATAGGTGCAAAGGATCTACTGGCAGCTTGGTCGTTGGTATTATCGGGACAAGAGGAAAGTGTTCTGCCTGTGCTTGGTGCAAAAGAAGATTTTCTCCGAAAAACAGACGCGTTGTATGATGATAATGAGACGCCGGAAGAGTTTGGGCTCGAGAAACATCGCCTTGCAGGGATGGGTCTTGTTGTGTTTGTAGTGCGATTCTTATGGAGTAAACTGTGGAGCTCCCGCCGTCAACGCAAAGTTGTCTTTATTCCTCGAGATGCTTTTGCGAAAATGAAAGTCAAGGCCCAAGAAGATGTTACGACAACTTCCCAAGAAGTGGAAGATCAAGCGTTCATTAGCAGCAGTGATATTCTCACTGCATGGTTCACTCGGGCAGTCGCATTGTCAGAACGAAAATCTCGCCAATTCACAGTTTTGAATCTTCTGAACGCTCGATTCCGGCTTCCAATACTAGTGAAGTCTAGTGGAGTTTTTCTCGGAAACATGGTGCTTGGAACATATTCATTTTTATCTTCCCAGCTTGGTAGCAAGGGTGTTGGATCCATTGCACTTGAACATCGCAAGCATTGTACGGAACAGGGTACTGCAAAACAGACCGTCTGTTTCTTGGAGAGTATTCTTCGTGATGTCGATTCTGGTGGCACTCCACGGCTGATATTTGGAGAACCATGGGCTAGGGTCGTTGCTTTTAATAATTTGCTCAAGGCAGATGTGATCAGAACTGTGGACTTCAGTGCTGCAGTTATACGCCCGGGGGATGTATCTGAGAAAAGGAAAAATTCATCAGGAACAATGCTTTCGTATTTCAACGGAGATATTGATCAGTCCTTCAAGGATCTCGACATTTTCGTCGTCCTTGGGCAAGATCATGAGGAGAATTATTGGGTTCTGGGATGTGTTTTCCCACGAGTTTGGCAGAAGATCGAGCAAGAGCTACGATCTATAGAGACAAACTTGAATCTCCAGTAAGGAATCTCAGCTGTTAAGCTTTTATGGTTGTTTATGTGTGTATGTATTCTAAATGTCTTTCAAGGACATTGTCCTCCTTAAATTTTACAAATAGAGAATAGGCAGCTATACTTACTTAGTTGGTTATGTAGAGACTCTTTAATGAGTTTGTCCAATTTGCCTAATTTGCAAGGTGGTGAGGCAAGCAAAGTGAGCTCACCTGTTGCTCTTTCCCTTTCTCTATCGCACCCACTCGCACACCTATCCTGCTACGTTTTGACCTCTCTACCCTTACATTTCCCCTGCCATCATTCTGCACTTCATAAAAATTAACTTCATTAAAATCCCTCTACTCTGCTGTTACTATGGGTCGCTGGGGCCGTCGTAAGTGGTCCGCCTGTGATGCCCTCATCAATGAAATCTGAACAGGACATCTAACTCCTTTACCTCAGGTATGTTCGAGGGTGATAGCGACCTTGGCCTGCTAGCAGACCTAGAGAATCATGTTGGAATAAAGGAAAAAGGGGAACACAGCATGGAAGACATGATAATGATGAGTAAGTCATCTCTTCCAACTGACCCAGGGCACACTGACAAATTTTAAGGAATGCCCGACGAGAAAGTGAAATACGTCCGGGAAAAGCTGGGCACAAGTAGCTACGGGGAAACCTTGCTAACCAACTGCAAGTCGAAGGATCTAGGGTGGAATGGAAAACATTGCACTGTCATTCTGGGCGCTGTGATGATTGCTGCAGGGGCCCATACTTCCTCTGAGAACATGCAACACCTTCGCAAACCGGTTCCTCAGATTAACTGCAATACAGGCTATACTATGGCCCTTTTCGACGAAGGGTTTCGTGCTCCGGGTCGACCTCAATTCATTGCTGCTCTCGATCACTACCAGCCCGGGATTGCTCGAAGCGTTCGCGACCTGCGGTATGTTGGAATTCTTGATATTGGTCGTATATACAGACATCGGTATTGTAAGAGAAGTTGACAGCCCACAATTAGCTGTTTCTACTGTGGAAAGATTGATAGTGATATTGGACGCCCTCTGTTGAAGTGCGGCACGTGCCAACTTGCCTGGTACTGTCATAAGGTATGACCTTCTGGTTTCGTCTCGGCTTGTGGGGATATGAATCTAATTCATTTCACTAGGATTGTCAGCGTGGTCACTGGAAGCAGCACAAACCTGCCTGCGGTGATCCAGAAAGCAAATTGATGCTGAATGTCTGACGGGGCATATTTGCTGAGGTTCGCTGTCTTTCTGGGCATTTGAGGATGAAATGCACTGTGAGATGTAGTAATGCTGCCTGGCTCAGCAGGAAAATGAAAGGGATCTCTTTACATCTAAGGTCTAGTGCGATTTATTGCTGGGGATAGGACGTAATAATAATCTAGATAGTGAAGAAATGGACAATTTAAACAGCGAAGGGAATCCCGCTGGATGAAAAAGACATGGAATAATGATATGCAGAGGCCTCGCTGGCATCAGTATACATTTAATGAGCGTCATGATAATGACGACTATTAATCACTCTAATAAAAAGCCAATGATAAACTTGGAAAAGCCCAGACGACAGATTTAACACAGATCGATAGCCTATAACAGGCATGCAGATGATTGGGTATTGATGCAATATGCTAGAACTTCGTAACATCGTGATGTATTATACAGGTAAATATCCCCAAGGCTCTCTCTTGTGGCTTCTCACTAGAAGCCATCTTGCCAGTTGAAATCTCCAGTCCCACGACAGTCAAACCACATTGAATGACTCGCTTCGTTGCTCGCGAATCCGATTTGGCACCAAGTTTGCGCAAAGTCCAAGGGTTCACCCTAAAGAGGAAAAATATCGAAGTCGTCCATGGGCGCGAATTTTTGAGGGGTCCGTGGAACAGAAATGCCGCAGCCCAAGAGCAAGGTTTGTTTAAGATTGATTCTTGCCATGTTTCCCACGGCTGTCGTTCCATATTATGGTAGGTGAAAACACTATCCATGCAGCCCTGGGAAATTTTCCAGCAAGATCGTAGCATGAGGATGCAAGAGCGATCGCGAGATATCGGCAGTCATAAGACTGTACGCTCGGGTACTTCGATTGTGACCCGGCATAAATTAATGAGTATTATATCCAAAGAGCGTGATCAGATCTCATGGTTCTTCATAATCGATAGCTTCAAATCCGGTCGCGCGACCTTTCGACCCCGAACTTGTCGGTAAGGAGTCCGAGTGGGTAAAGTCGGGATTGTTGAAATTGGGGGTGATCTGTGAAGGATCGACGAAGGAAGGGTAACGGCCACGACCAACGCGAGACGACGATTGCCAGAGATGTTGATGGGCAATGTTGACCAATTTACCAAGAACAGCAATCTCCAGCTTAAGCTTGATGCTGTACAGAGTAGCCTTGAGAGTCGTCTGGTAGATATAGAAGTTCATAAACTCGATTACCATCAATGCAATATCCATCAACACACAAGAGACGTTGACAGCAAGTAGCTGCATAATAGTCTTCCGACTACCGCGATCGGGATTCAACTTCAACATCCTGTTAGTCTCCCACATGTACAAACTGGAGATAATAACTTCTTGAACGCAGAAGCCAGTAAGTTGAAGTTTCTCCATAACATCGTACCCGGAGACAGACGCGTAAGTCCCGGAATAATTGGAGTCAAAAGTCAAGACCGTAGTAGGGACATGAAGAAAGAAAATATTCATAATAATCATGCCCTTGACAGCGCGCAAAATACGTTGATTCTCAACGACCAAATGCAGTCGCGAATAAAGAACAAACGATTGGCCCGTCACCATGGCCCACCAGCCCACTGTGAGTAAACTGATAGGTAACCAGGTGGCAGTCGTCAAAGCGAAAAACTTCATCAAGTAACCGACGGAATAAGGAATAATTCCAAGAGAAGAAATCAACATGCTCCAAAAGTAACATCCCTCATAGCGCTTGAAGGTTAAGAAGATGAGTACAATCAACTCCAACACGTTGTACCACGCGACACCCACAAAGGTCGCGATCGTGATGCGCACCCCATTACTATCGCCCGTATAGCTGCCGGTAATCCAGTTGCCGGGACTGGCTTCGCTGGACGAAGACATGTCCTCGTTGCATGTGAGGATGCGTTCTTTTTGGGGGGTTTTGGTTCGTTAAAGGTAACAAAAGGAACAAAAGGTGGAAAAAAGAGGAAGAGAAACTTGAAAAGGGCCCAGGGGCGGCTTTTCGCGGGGTCGAAGTCTTGGGGGCGCGGGAAAACGGGAAATAGGGAAATACGAGAAGCAAATTGGCTAAGGGATGAACCCGCGTCTCCACTTGTTCCTTTAACCCCCAGCCCTCGCAGGGATCGAGGAGGCTTACAACTTAGAATTGAAACAATATGTGATGGAGAGGTCCGTGAGTCGAGCTTATCTTAATCTCGTGGGAAAAAGGGGAGAGCCACTGGCAGTACGGTACGATCGATCCGAGTTATCTATCAGATCCGGAACTACGCAGGGGAAACACAATGGCCGTGTCTATCTTGGTCTTCTTTGTGGGTTTTTGTGCACTGGCCACTTGGCATGCATGTCATTCTCCACTATTAACCGGCGATTTGCTACGAAAATTCGGATGTTGAAGAAGAGCGAGCCTTGCCTGATGTCACGGAATAGAGGAGATCTAAATACAATAGATAAATAGTACAGTAGTACTCTAAGTAGATCATGGATCATCACAGTGGCGGAGTGTCGGCAACCACATTAATATTCATTCTATATGCAAAAAATCAGTAAGGGGGTCACATCACAACACGGACCAGGGGGGGGGGCCTTACGCTGCAGCATACCGATCTCCTTCAACTTTGGTCCGCTCAACCAACTCACGAATATCCTTCAATTCCTCATCAGAAAGCTTGAGCAGAGCAGAATTTGTGTTTTCATCCATGCGCTGATGCGACCGTGTGCCAGGAATAGGAATGATGTCGGACCCCTGAGCCAACAACCATGCGATCGAAACTTGGGAGGGCGTGGCCCCATGAGCTTGGGCCACCTTCTTCACACCCTCAACCAGCTCCACGATCTTAGGGAAGTGCTCGGGCTGGTACTTAGGCAAGATACGACGCCAGTCATTTTCGGGGAAATCTTCAAACTTCTTGAAGTCTCCAGTCAACAGACCCCGACCAATAGGACTGTATGCAACGACTGCAACACCCAACTCACGACAGGTCTTCAAGAGGTCTGTCTGAGGTGACTCGATGTCAAGGGCGAAAGGGCTATATTCGATCTGCAGAGCAGCGATCGGGTGTACAGCATGGGCACGACGTAAACTGGCTGCTGAAACTTCAGAAAGTCCGATATATCGAATCTTTCCCTCACTGTAGAGGTGACAAAATGGTATTAGCACCGTACTTGAACTCGTGTTATATGCAGGTAGGCACTTGCTTTTTCAATTCGACCATAGCCTCGACGGTCTTCTCAATGGGAGTGATTTCATCAACACGGTGGCAGTAATAGAGATCGATAGTATCCACTCCTAGACGTCCAAGACTCTTGTTGCACGCTTCCTTGACGTACTCTGGGTCCGATCGAATTCCTTTCAAAGCACCGGAACCCTCCACGATACAGCCGAACTTAGTAGCAAGGAAGATGTCATTGCGCTTGTCGCCTCGTCGCTTGACCCATTCTCCAACAACATCTTCGCTATCGGCATACAGATCGGCGGTGTCCCAGTTCCACTGGCCAGTAGCATGTGCATGATCCAGAATAGCGAGTTTGTCCTCCAGAGAACCAGCAGAGCCATATACACCACCGATGCTCATGAGACCAAGGCCAACAGCAGGCACCTGTGGGCCATCACGACCAAGGGTTCGAGTTGGGATATTGGCCATTTTGAATCAGAGGGATTAATTAATTAGAAGACTTGATTGAAGAAATGTAGTGAACTGTGAAGTAGATGAAGAGGATTGAATGATGAATGAGAAATATCGAGGGGCTCTTTGGGTCTTTAAATATCTTTGCTCAGACAGAATAACAGAACCGACTCGGGTATGATAGTCATATCGCTTCTCAAAAGCCTACCATATTATGCAATTCTTTTTCTTGTTGTGCCACCGATTTCAGTCCATGACGCTCTGTGATATTCGGAGTTAACGGGCGGGAATGTAGACGGTGATAATAGAAGACAGGAAACCAATGGGAACACGGGGCTGTGGGGATGCTCCACCTTCGCAGAATATCAATCAATCACAGACGATAGTTTGCGAGCTGTCCAATCAGTCCGACCCCGCCCAACTCCACCTTAGCTAGGCTTACAGTAACCTGCTTGATCTATTCCAGCTGTTCTTTCTCTTTCTGCAGATTACTTTCTCTTGATCAACTCAGCATTTTTTGAATGTGATCTCGATTCTCGAAGATGCATGTATCTAGTAATGGCTCCGAACAGCCTCGTAATAAGAGGAAAGTCAAGACAGGCTGCAAGACCTGCAAGTAAGTCCTTCATCAAAGAAACGACAGGAACACCCCTAACCGAATCAATAGACTCCGTCGCGTGAAATGCGACGAGAGCCGACCAGCATGTCGGCGTTGTGTATCAACCGGGCGTGTCTGCGATGGCTACGGTGTCTGGGGAGGAGGCGGAACTCCCTACGGTCAACCACAGAGTAGCCGTGCCTTATCAGTCTACTGCACACCGATTCCCAGTGGCAGCATGACCCCCGACGAACAAGCCTACTTCGACTGGTTCTTGGAGAAAACCACAAAAAAGTTCGCTGGTCTCTTTGCATCCGACTTCTGGGAGACATTAGTCCTGCAGGCAAGCGCTCAAGAACCAGCCGTGCGTCACGCAGTAGTTGCATTATCCGCAGCCCACAGGTTCGATCTTAATTATGAACCGTGGACAATCCCTGCGACATACAGCTATGACGCAGAACAATACACGTTACAACAATACAATAAAGCTATTCACCATTTACGCACAACGACTGGTGTTAGCCAGAAACATAGTTTGCGAGTTGCCTTGATCACCTGTATGCTTTTCGTGACACTGGAATATCTGCGCGGGCAGTACCAAATGGGCAGTGCGCACCTGCGTTATGGAATTCAATTGCTTTCTCAGATTTCATCACCGAAGCCTCGTTCGTTGATGGCACCGAGTCTTCTTAGTCCAGCAGAGGACTTTACTCATAATGCCCTGATCGATTCTTATTCGCGCTTAACTATTCAATCAGCTATGTTTGGACATATCCCATCACATATGTGTACCGTGACACGCGATCCACAATTTCATGCAATCCCATACACTTTTTCCTCCGTGCTAGAATCGAGACAAACTCTTGACGACCTATTGAACAGAGTCCACTGCCTCAAAAGACACTATTATGACATACGAGCATCACAAAGAACTACAAGTGATGCGTCAATGCTAGAGACGCAGCAGAAAATCCAGACAGATTTGTCTCTTTGGCGCAAAGCATTTAACATCTCTCTTACTCGTCTTGAATCAGAGGCGACTCGTCAAGAAAAATGCGGATATTTGCTGCTACGTATATATCATGAAATGGCAACAGTAATGGCCGCTGTTTGTCTTTCGGACGATGAGATGATATTCGATTCTTACACAGAAAACTTCGTTGCTATCTTATCGGGGTTCAGAGATATTTGGAACTTCTGGATTACTAGTTTGGGTTTCCAGGCTCAAGAAATCGAGGATATACTCAATGCTCCTGAGGCATCTTGTTCGTCCCACGGGTTCACCGTGGAGCCTGGCTTCATTCCTCCCGTATACTATGCGGCGCTTAAATGTCGTATTCCTCAAATTCGACGAGGAGCGATCAGGATTCTCAGGTCTGCTCCACATAGAGAAGGGGTATGGAACGGACCACTCCTGGCCCATGTGTTGGATGAGGTGGTGGAAATTGAAGAAGACGGGATTGTTTATAAGGATTCCGGTCTTCCTGGGCCTATGATTTGGGATGACCTATCAGGCAAGAAGTTTGAGTGCCCGTCCATTAAATTGTCATCGCGCATTTCAGATGCAGCGGTTATATTGCCTGACCGGGTCAGAGGAGACACATTTATAAGTTATAAGAAGTTAGAAGGGGGTCAATGGTTATCTTATAAGCGGAAAGTAAGGCCTGGATGGATCGGAGACCCAGAGCCGTTGTTCAGTTTCTCTCGAAGATCTTGTTCAAGTTCGTAAGATGGAAATCAAGCATAGCCAAATTTAATTTTTATATTGTACATATCTCCAATATTAGAGAACCATCATTTTAGATGAATCAAAAACCAATCATTATTTCGTAAAATAGCCCGCCGGACCAAAGGAAACGCCAGCCTGATACTGGAAATGAGTGTCTTTCCGACACCCGCAAATCGTTATAATGTAGCCTTCAAACCTGACCTACTTACCGACAGCTCGGTCGCGAAGAAACGCAGCCACCTGCTCATGCCGCGACACAAAGAACATCCGCTTTTTGTCTGACTTCCAGACCAACACTCCGATCTCAGCGGCATACCTGCAAGGAGCATCATATTCAGCTGAATTGTTAAAGTCTTTGAACAGGAAGCCTGCCGTGGCGCGCACACGATCACGCTCAAGTTGCCATAGGCGGATCTGATCGGTCACAGTTGGTGGAAGTACTGAAGCCTGAGCTGTATTCGCGGTAGAATGGGCAGCATTGTGTTTCCGTAATTGGGGATGAGCATGCGACATCAAGTAAGAAATGATTTGTTCAGCGGTAATACCCATCTCGATAGCTCGACGCACTGATTGCCGAGTGATTTTGCCCGTAACCAAGTTCGGAAAGCGATATTTCAGATTTGTAAAGAGGGAGATCAGAGAAATCTGAAGAGGAGATGATGTGTATGCGTAGAGGCGGTAATTGGTTTCGATGATGACGCCGCCGGACTCGGGACCAGATAGTGAGCCACTGGCGGTATTACCGAGCGCACTTGAATCAGAAGTCAACGTGGTTGCAAGTCGTGTGGGGTAGAAACGCGTTGCTTCGGGTGTTTCTTGGTAGATGATACCGAAATCCGCCAAGTTGGCTAAAGTTTGCTGTTGTGTGGATGAGAGGTGCTTTTTCTCGTACGACTGGCCCAGTTCCAGACTACTAAGCAGGAACAGGAACGATAGAACCTCGACACTGTCCATCCCCAGTGATTGGGCACTCTCAACGTAGAGAATCATAATATGCCAGACCTGGGTGTTGACATCTTGCAACACGAAACCGAATCCATCCTTTGTAATATCCACTCGGCGCTCTCTGATCTCTACCAGATTTCCCGCTTGCAGGAGTTGTTTGACACCTTTGCTCAGGTTCACCGAATCACGTCCACTCAAAGCACTTGTTCCCACCATGTACCCAAGAACACCTTCCCATTGTCGTCGAGCGTAATCGTCTAAATCTGAAACTGTCACTGTGCTCTGATCGGGGACCTGCGAAAAGACACCGAATGACTGGGTATCCTCAGAACCTGTAAGAGCTTGACGAAGCGACGACGCGAATGGGTTGGTAACCATGTATGCCCGAGCATTATTTTCGGTCCGAGTAGTCGATAGAATGTGTAATCTGCCCAATATCGAAAGAGCATTATCTCGTTGCCTTTAAATAGATAAAGTAGGAAAACGTTAGCTTTCACTGCTCCCCTCCACAATAGCTTTAAAGGTCACGCGCACTCACTTCTTGCTCTCAGCCTTGACCCATATTTCAAGATCAGCCGTAGGAAGAGGATCCTTCAAGTACAGCAGGGCCATGACAAAACATTTTGCTATCCTCACAGTTAGTTCTGGGTATCAATGCCGAAATTTCAAGAGCTCCGATACCCAAGTCAGGCAGCATGCGCCGAAAAATCGCAAGAGCGGTAGACGGTTGCTTGTAAAGCTGTAGGAAGATTCCGCCGGGAAGACCCTCTAGATACTCGAGAGGGCGGGAGGTAGGTGCCGCCATGTTGATGAGGGAGAGATTTGGCACCTCTGTGCCTCTTTGCTGAGAAAGCGATTCAGGTCAAAGACAACGCGGTGAAGTCATGGGCTAAGACAGTCCGGTGGGCGCAGCGGCCACTTTGTGCAGTTTCCGGCATGAGCACGTCAACTGCCGAACGAGGCTACTTCGTTCTCTCCTTCTTATCTAGAACTCAATTGACAGTTGAAAATATGACGACCCTTAGGTTTGTTCGATCTGTATGTCTTCATTGATCCCGATGGTTTTTATCTCTCAGAACACCGTCTCACCCACAACTCCTTCTAGGTCTGGGAGTCCTTTCGGGCTTCTTCGGGATTAGAGCCTCGGTAAGTGGAATGGTCTACTCTTCAGATATGTCAGTCGCTGATTGTGTTGCGTTTTCGATTATTTAAGCCTTTTGGATAGTGTATGTTAATTTTTAATATGGATCCCTATGAGGATCCCTTTCATTGGGATGTGAGCTTATCGGTATATTCTTAGCTTCGCGTTACTGCTGCTCGGCCTGGAACTGTCAACTTCGAACTTGATGTCCAGAAACATCACACTGTAAGTGCAGATGATTTTCTAAGTATCAATTGGATTGAGACCCTTTATCATACTTTGGAGTTTGCGCGCGTTGACTTGGTTTACTGGAACTAACCATTTGTATAGAACCGCTTAAACATCCTTCATGGAGGCACGATTGCCAGCATGGGTATGTTGTCTGTCTTTATAACCTTGATAATACTCGAATACACACTGACGGTTTTTAGTCGACCTGGGCGGGTCCTTGGCCGTAGCGTCTCGTGGATTGTTTGCAACTGGCGTATCAACTGATCTCAATGGTAACATCCCCCGGAAAGATATGGGATCATAGCTTTGAGAAATACCATGCTCTAATGCAATTATTTGTTTTATAAATAGTTACCTACCTGAACTCAGGAGGCAAAATTGGTGACAGAATCTTGGCTGTAAGTTTCATGCCCAGCACTCGATGAGACTGATTGTTTATACTAACATGAATATAGGAGGTGACTTGCGACAAGTGTAGGTTTACAACACTGACAACTTATTTTATTTCAGAAGAGTCTCAACTGACAGCGAATAGTCGGCAAAACTCTCGCATTCACAAACATCCAGTTCACTAACCCCAAGGGTGATGTTGTTGCTCGAGGCAGCCACACCAAGTGAGTTGATCAGACCCCCTCACATTGAACATATACAAACGCTAATTCGACTTAGATATGTCACTTTGGCTTGGAGAGACCCGCAGAACATTGTGGAAGAGATCAATAAACTTAAGTAAATATCTTGAATGAAGTTCACCTCGCTTCATACATTGAATATATAGACCATGATATGTGCTACAAGCCTATACATCCATGAACATCCATACAAAGCCTACAGTTACAGTCGCAGTATGAGGATCAAGAGAGTATAATTTCAAAGTGCATCAAGATCAAATATCATTCACGCGGTAATTTAACCGGCTTCAAGTTTTGTTGCAAATAAATGTTGTGCAAACATGTTCATACAATATCGCTATCCTCATCTTCATCGGCACCTCCCATGACCTCATCTTCGTCTAGAGCAGCATCTTCACCACCGGGAGTAGCACCATCCAGAACCATCTGCCCGTCACCCAATGCCTTCACCTTGGCCTGTGTCATCTCAAAGACGTACTGGCCAAGATGCTCAAGTCCTTCCATTGGAGTGCCCTCGACGTCAGCGTCCAGCGCTCGAGTAGTAGGGAACATTTCACCCGGAGCAAGCATTAACTTATCTGGGCGCTGCAGAAGGCGATCAAACGCTGGCTTAAGCTCGTAGCAACCTTCGAATACTTCCCGGCGACCGAGAATGTAAAGACCCAGACGAGCACGTGACAGGGCCACAGTCAGACGACGAACATCACGTAGGTAGCCAACAGTACGGGTACGAGTGAGGGAGAGGATAACATCTTTGAAAAAAGAGGGGGTTAGTACAATGTTGGAAAGAAGGGACCTGATTGTCCATAATTGGGGATAAGACTTACAATCATTCTGCTCTCCTTGGTATCGATCCACAGTAGTCACAATCTTTGGAAGACCAAACAGATGGTTCTTGCCACAGCGATGGTTCAGTACATCCCGAATCAACGCAGTTTGTCCTGCATATGCGGCCAGTATCGATATTTTAGCCGCTGGGTAGCCCAGCAATCGCATGTACTGATACAAAGCAACGGCATACTCTGCTTCACCCAGATTTTGGACGAAGTGAGGAGTAGGCTCACGCTCACCGGTGCCTTGATAATCAGGGACATTAATGAACTGATAATCGAATTGGAAGCCTGCATTAGCCGATTTAAACTCCTCTGCCATCTCGACTGACGGAAGATCACCCAGCTCCTGGTAACGCCAACGGAAGAGCTCTGCAATGCTAGGCCGAGATCGACCTTGCTTGTCTAAAGTGATCACAGGGACTCCTAAGCGGGCCAAGCGGAGGAAGAGACTCTGTTCAAAGTGTGCATATTGTCTGAAAGCAAGATTTTGAATAACGGGTGAGTTCTGCAGATGGTCTCCGCAAAGCACGACGCGCTTGAGAGCTAGTTCACCATTCTTCATGCCTTGAAGGGCAGTTGGAATGAAACTCTCGATTTCAGTGATCTGCGCAGCTTCTTCCATAACAACATTGTCATAATGGAAGCCCAGGTCTGCAATTTCCTGTCGGCGCATTGCCGCGTGTGTTGAGGTCATGGCAATAACGCGGGCTTCCTTCAGAAGAAGATAGTTGGCCTTGTCTCGAGGCTGTCGAAGAATCTCAAAGGGTCGAATATCTTCAAGCTCGGAAAAGATTCGATCAATGTGTCTCTGGCAGCCTGCAGCGACATCCAACGCTGTCTCTTTGGATGAATCAGCCTCAAATAAAGGCCGAGTGGCATTTGAGAAATATGTGTGGAATGGGAATGATGCGACAATGTCCTCCGTGGAAGTTTCTTCGGAGTTAACACTGTCCCAGAACTTAGCCCATGCAGGTTGAACATAAACCGTATTGAAATAGCCAGCCGTTTCACATGAATTTCCGTGGGCACCTTCAGCACTGATCGACGCTGCTAACCGCATAACCTCTGACAGATAGTTGTTGCGGTTATCGAGGAATGATTCGACCCGACCATATTTACTGTAGTTGGAATTGGTGTTCAGCTCCTCCTCTCCGTGACCCAATCGTAACAGGTGGCGTTCATCAATGTCAAGCGCAATGATTTTCTGGAAGAGTTGATTAAGTGCCTGATTGCTGTGGGCAATGAGAAGTGTGCGTTCAGCGGGGAAGTTGTGGTATAGGTTATTGATTATTTGAGTTGCAACGTCTGTCTTGCCAGTGCCAGGTGGCCCCACGATGACAGTTAGTCCCGGTTGAGTACCGGACGCAACCGCCTCGACCTGAGCAGGTGTGAACCTCACAGTGTTATGCTTAGGTGCGTCGACGGGGTAAGGGCCAGGGTTTGGTGGCTTGTAGGTTGACACACGGACGGTGGTGGGACCTTCCTCCGCCTGTTCGGTTTGTTCGCGTCTGCGCTTCTTTGCTGGAGCCGCAGGGGCCGCAGTCGTCTCAGCCTCAACGTTCTCGAGGACATAGGGAGGGCCGAAGCTAGAGTTTTCAGCCCCCGAAGGCTCAATATTCTTGCCAGGATAGCTTTCCACTAAGTGGGACCAGTCCAAGAAGGTATCACGGAAATCAACGGATTGAAGTCGGTTCGGCAGATTGGTGTATTTGGCCCCTGCCGGATCACCGTAACCGAGGAAGATATCTTGAAACCAGGAAGGAAGGCTCATATCCGAGACAATTAGCTTTTGCATTGTCTGCAAGATCGACTTGAAATTGTTCTCCCTGCCCTTTCTCCTGGCGACCACATTGATTAAAGGATATATATCCGGCTTGCCTGTCAATTGGCGATCCTTGTCAGCCTTGAATGCTGCCGCATCCAGATTGACGAGAAGTTTTCGTACTCGTGGGCGAGAGTTATACCCATTTGTTTGGCCACCAGCTGGTTGTCGCAGAGCGCGACCTTGCTCGTCGAGCACCTGCACAATCTCTGCCGTGCGGAGATGGGTCATACAAGGTGCTTCCGCGGTATCATCGCGGATACCCAACTGCGTGGGAGATGATGTCTGAACGGCCAGTAGATAGACTACGTCATCTGGACGAAGGGATTCCCATTCTTTTCGAATATGATCTGCAAGTCTTCCAACCTCGATTGCGATTTCCGCGCGAACGAATGATGGATTTGATGAACCTACCTTTGCAGGGGCAACTTCGATAACGGCGGGCTTAGAAATCGGGATTGCCATTCGAGAGAACCCCTCGAAGTTCAAGGTGCCATTGCGGTTCGCCCGAGGCTGCATGCGCTTAACGACAGCCTCCATATCCTTGCGAATTTGAAAGAAAGCCTCGGACCGATAAAGGAGGAAAGACCTCCAAAGGAAGTCTCCAAGACTCAAGTACTGCAGATTCAATTTAGGAATTGCCAGGGGCCGGGATCCATCATAGGTCTCGTTCCTTAACAAAGCTGGATCGTAGAGGCTCTCCTCGGTGGGGATCACACTCAATTGCGATGCAACTTCTTGGAAAGCTAGCTTCCGTTCGTAGAAAGACAGAAGGACTTCCAGATACAGTTGGTGGCTTGGTGTCACGTTTGAGGACTTCGGGTAGTTTGTTCGAAACCCTAGGTGAGAGCATAGGCTCTGCAGCTCCGACTCATCCAAAGGTGAGAGTTGCCCTTCGAGTTCAGATCGTTGTTCAATAGAGCCAAGATTGGAAAGGGCAAGGATCATGAGCTTGTCTTTGAAATACTTCATAGATGTTCGCTGTAACTGCGCCAGCTGCTTGCTGTGCAGATCGTAGACTGCCTGTGGAGAAAGAGCATCGCCTGAGTGATCGTCAATAGCAAAATCGACGAAATGTTTGACGAGGCTGTAAAAGTCGCGGAAAAGAGCGTTTTCCGGGTTGCGGTACAAATGCGATAGGCGGATAACCGGTAAAAGATTGAGGTCTTTGAGGAGTGTATTGACGTAGCGACGAGTTGGAAGCTGACTCAACAAATCTACAAGTAGCTCCAAGAACCGCTCACAGTACAGTAAATCCTCGTTTTGGTGCTGCTCCGGGCCATTCAGCTTCTGCAGAAAGTCCAGTAGCATGGTATATAGCCAAGACCGTTCGAAACGACTCTTAGCCTTAGCAGCCTCATCACCAGCATCATATCGCTTCCCTGCGGCTCTCCATGCCTTCTTCAAAGCCGGGGACTTCGCAATGACGCGCTCTCTGGCTTCATCACTGGCCAGGTTGTGCCAAGTCGAGATCGAGACGAGTGGGGCACATTCTTTTCGGATCAGTACGTTATCCAGCGACTGGAAGGCGCCAATGATGAACGAGATTATGGACATGCGCGAATGGGTAGCTAGTGAGGGATCGATGCTCATGGAAAGAATACGGTGGAAGAGGCTTGAGAAGTCATCGCTGCGGTCGGAGAAGATGTCTGCATTCACTATCAGTATATACGTAGGGTAGAAGACAGGGTCATAAACCATTCACTCACCCCAGATCGGTAAATGCTCGCGATATTTCACGCTCACGATAAGTGCGATCAGCAGAACATGGTGGTTCGAAGCATCTTCAGTGTACGTCGGCCAGAGAAATCTGTAACCGCGATCGGGTTAGCCTTGAGCGCAAAGAAACGATCCAAGAATCATCGCGGGCAACATACTTCTCCAAGATATTAAGGTTCTCCAAGATCAGAAGGGTGCGACTGTTGAAGTTCTCTTTCTCTAGTGGATCCCACAATTGCTGTTTGATCACATCTGGTTTCGCCTTGCGGACTTTTGTATCCAACCAGTGGGCTTTGGCCAGCTGCACCCACGAGCTGTCCTCGCGAAAGTCCACCACCGTTGGTCTGGCATCGAGACTCTGCGCCATCGCAGCACTCGATTGTCCCTATTCCTGGTAAACTGAGGTTGGTTGAGGGACGTGAGGTGGATCAGCGCACGTCGGGAACAGCGAGTTGAAGCTGGGGGGAGCTTTTTCAAAGTCTTGGCTTTTCTCTCCGCCGAGCCGCAAACTGCCCCCTTCACCTCAAAGCAACCCTCGACTTTCTCCTTCCCTTTCCTTCTCCTCCGCCACGCCCCTTGCCCTCTTTCAACCTTATTATTACCATCTTGGATGAAGATGGCTCCGGTGGAAGTTGAGGCTGTACAGGTCTACAAAGAGCAGGTGAATGGCCTGTTAGACCGCGCGGCGCAAATCAAGCCCGACAAGCAGATCGAGCCTCCGTTGACTGAGGCAGTTTTGGGCGAACTGATCTGGCAGCTTCCACCACAGCAAGATGAGATCATAAAGTCTCTAAACCCGCAGACTCGGCTTGCTGCGGTAGAGATTGCGTTTCGTGAGAAGTTTTATCATACTGTGGTAAGATATAGCTATTCTTTGATGAAGAAATGAGTTCCATGATGTTTTTGGTAGAAAGTGGCTAATATTTGGACTCTCTTCTCGCTAGGCTGCGACCTCTATCAACGAACCTTCCTTCATTGACATCTGGAACCTCCTCGATATCGTTTCTATCTTCTCTGACAACGGTCGGTCATCCACGTCCTACCGAACAAAGACTATCCTTGCTGATCATAAGTAGAACAATGTGAACCCGGCTTGATCTTTTGGCTTATTGAGGAATTGCTGGATAGCCAGACAATTGACGGTTGCCGCAAGGTGTTTGACTATCTAGAGTCGCGTCGAGAGCGGAATATTAAGGTACGACATACCACCTCTCAAAGACTGGTTTATTTGAGAACACCGGTACTAATTTTCACCCAAAGAAACATTTCAAGCAAAAGAGCTTGGTTATTCTCCGGTCTTGCAATGAGCTTCTTCGCAGGCTGTCACGAGCAGAAGATACCGTATTCTGTGGACGTGTATTTATTTTCATGTTTCAAAGTTTCCCACTCGGCGATAAAAGTTCAGTCAACCTCCGAGGAGAGTTTCACACTGAAAATGTCACCAGCTTTGACGAAATCTCGCGACCTAAGCTTGGTGACGAGGAGGGGGACTCCACCATGACCGAAGGGAATGAGGACACACCTATGGTTGACGGTGCAGCAGCAGGGACACCTCAAGCTACTGGCCAAGAGAATGAAGGTACCCCAAAGCTGCCCAAAGTTGTTATCTCGGGTGGTCAAAAAGGGAAGCCGGATGAAAAGGTAGACTTAAATGCTCTTTATCCTATTTTCTGGAACCTGCAGTCTTTCTTCTCGACTCCCACCAAGATGTTTGATACTGAACGTTTTGTTTCATTCAAAATTGGCATGGAGGCCACTTTGAATGCCTTCAAGAATATCAACACGGAACTTGAAAACAAAACCCCCGCACGTTCTTCCGATGAAGCTATCAAGTCACATAAACGAAAACGCATGAACGATGGAGCTGAGTTTGGGACAAGTTTTAATCCGAAATACTTAACCAGCCGAGATCTTTTCGACCTTGAAGTCAGTGATACTGCATTTCGACGACACGTTTTGGTACAAGCTCTTATTCTTCTGGACTTCATGCTATCTCTTACATCCCAAGCCAAGACACGATCGACAGATCTAACCAACAAATCGGTGCTTTACGGCTTTACATTGAGTGACGATGACGCAAAATGGGTCGCAAACATGCGAAAGAGCATTGAAGGATACTTGGCAGATGGCCTCGAAGGCAAGTTCTACTATCGCATGGTGGACACTGTCTTGTCCAGAGACAGAAACTGGGTACGATGGAAAGCCGAGGGCTGCCCCCCCATTGAGCAGCCCGCCATTCCAGTGCCTGAATATATGAAGGCGCGAAATGAGGCTAGCAAAATATACACCAACAAACGTCTCCGTCCCACGCCTATGGGCTCCTTGGACTTAAAATTCCTCTCTGATGCCGAAGCGCTTGCCAACGTTGAACGTCTTAAGGAGTCAGATCGCTTTACCGTCCCGACTGCTGATTCATTCATGATGGGAATCATGGATGATGAGATGGATATTGACATGGCACAGACTCCAGATGATAAGAATGTTGCTATCATATCGAAGGCCAGTAAGACCTGGCGCGTTCTTCGTCTTGCTGCTAAATCCAGGCTCTCCGCCTTTGACAAGATCGAAGATGGAAATAATCTCAAGGCATTGTTCGAAGCTCCTGCACCACCAGCAGACACACCGCCACCCACAGAAGCAAACCAGGGTGCCGAAAACGGCGAGACCACTGAGCACGATTCCAAAGATTTCACAGAGAATACTGAGGAAGCGCAAGAGCCCCAAGAACCCCAGGAAGCCCAGGAAAATCAGGAGCCTCGAGAACCGCAAGAAACCACTGAAGACAGCAAACCGGTCACCGAGAATCCCCATCAAGAATTGGAAGCTACTAGTAAGGAGAATCCCGCCACCGACCGAAATCCTGGCGCATCTAGCGCGCTTTCCGGAGATGATGCCATGAAAGACTCGACAACCTGATAGCGTGGAACTTCCTAAAGTTTTAGCAGGATATTTCTAGCTTTGACCTCTTTCTGTGATACCGCGGAGGTATATCCAGAACAAGCATCGTCTGAATAACATATCATATTCGATCAACCACATCCAATGGTTCAAATCCCATGTGGTTCTTGCTTGCTGCATCACCATCACAAGGCTGCAGGGTAATGCAATTTCCAAGTCGACAGGCCCACCGCGACTCAATACATGCATATTCTTCGACGATGACACATTGCTTGCTTCACTTACCGCTTGAATACTCCTCGCGTCTCCTTTTTCAATTTCCGGTGACCTGCAGGTACGCCACCCAATCACTGCGCTTCGGGTAGCCTATGACCCGACAGTTCGCAGTACACTTTCTGGGGAATTGCGAGGCCCGCTGCAGCGAACGCCTATGCATCCGGAATCGAGCATGTGCCGATCAAATGTGGTTCTCCTGCAGTCTGTTTCACCGCGTCGTAACGATTATGGAGCAGGACTTTGGTGATCCTCGCATTCAATGTGCCGATAAGGAGACATACCACCCAAACAAGAAAGAACAGTATCTCTTCAGTGTTAATGGATCCATCATGGATCTAGGGCAAACATACATGGAGTATTCTCATGCCGAATTAGCTACCGACGTGGGGTCTGAGGTATTTTCCTTTGTTTCTTTTATTTATTTTAGTTGATCGGCAACTCTATTGAACTTGAGGTTCCTGCATGAAATGAACAATCCACACAACATGTGTAAACATATATTTTCCGATTTAAAACGGGTATTTAATAAATAATTCAAATCAAATTATGTCTAAGAAACCTTTTCCACGTGCAAATAGTGAAGAAACCCCCCTTTACCCCTGGTCTAATTGCAGTGGGAAGGCTGGGGCGTCGAACCGTCGCAGCCATGTTTCACTTGAGACCAGACCATTGAACTAACGTGTAGCTGGGAAGCTTCGGCGTCAGAGGATTTCAAGCTACTACACCTTCGCATAGAGCTAGCGGCATGTAAGAAAGTGGGCACATAAGTTTGGCCCCTGAGCAAAAATGCAGACAGAGAGGGTAATTGTCCGGGAGGTCCGCTGCGACCCCCGGGCCGGAGGGGATTGGGGCGGTTGTTAACAACAAATGCATACGGATTACGGGCGGCCAAGTGGATTCTGCTGTGCATGGTCAGGAAAGGATTATTCTCGAAAAGACGCACTGATCGCAAAAAGTGCCGTGAGCAAAGAACACTGTGGTATGGCCCACCGCTTGGGTCGGAGTGTTGCGAGATCCGCAGTGGAGCTTTGGTGGACGCTACAAGCACGGAGGACGGACTTTCGAGTTTCCTTTTTTCTGTTTTGGATTTTTACTTTTTTTGTCTTCGAATTCTTTTCTTCTTTTCAATGGATTCCGTGCTCAATCTGGAATGCACAGGCCAATGTCTTGGAACTATACGTCTGATACTTCAATAGATCCAAGTGAGAAGCTCCATCGTCCCGAATACGGCGTGCGGCATCGGTAGCTACTAGCTGCTAGAGGATATCGGAGTTAAAGACCTTCTTATCCAGCGTGAAAGTATAGGCGATCCATGGAAATCAGACGGATGACACTGTCAACCAAAGTTTTGATCGGCTGGGTTTGGACCCGCCTGTATAACTGTTGTCTCTATGCATCTAAGTAAGTACATTTGACAAAAAGAGAAACAAATGTCGTCAGGAACACTCCATCGCGATAGTTTGCAGCAGCGATTATCCTGATCTACAGGGCCAAGTTGTCCCTTCGGCCCATTTTGCCGGGGAGAACGTGCTTTGGGGCTGTACATCTACACATGCATCAGGGGAGAACGAGAGAGAAAGGAATAGCTCCATAGAGCCAAGAATTCAGCTTGCGTCAGCCTTTTGTCCGTTTAGCTCGCCGCTATGACGACGTGTAGACATTCTACGACTCTATGGAGGTACAGGTACATTAGTTTGTTAGACGTGCGATACGAAATTGAAGGAGTATGCTTGGCACAGTCCTTTTCTTTGTTCCTTTTTGGCCCCGAAATTAAAGTTGTTGCGGTATATTTTCCACGCGATCAGAACTGCGATCGGATTCCCCGCACCGAGTTCCGTCGTATTCAGGCACATTGACCACGTTGATAAAATGGTGGTGGCGAACATACCTAGTTCCAAGTGGTGTGTATCTATACAATGTGATTGCCCATACTAGTACCTACTTGTAGGCTAGCTCGCTCGGTACGAAGTACCTGACTACGCTCTATGTGGACTCCAACTCCGTAGAATATCACTATCATAGAATAATAGAAAATAAAACTCTCTATTACAACCTATTTTCGAAGCATGGAAAAAGATCTCCGTATCCACATCACCAGCCTCAAATCCACGCTTGGAAATACCATAAGCATAGCCATCCTTGATGAACAAAAAATCAAGAAAAAGAAAATCCTTCTTCATCATTCACGATCTAAATCTGGTTTTTCGCCTTCCTTTTGGTCTAATTCCTATTTCAACCCCCACACGGAGCCGACCGGGTCATACCAGGAGGGGAAAATGAAGACTTGCACACGTTCAAAGCCTGAGACTGCAGCGATCGACGAAGGTTTCGGCCGTAGAACTAGTCTCTACGCCCTGTGATTCGGGATCGAAGGGCTAACGGTTCCGAGTTTTCTCCTCCGAAACTCGTCTAAAATCAAGTCCCCAGTTTGTCCCCACATTGCCTCTCGATTCAAAGTCTCCGATGTCCTGCGTAATACTGGTTCGGGGCCCCACCCACTATTGAATCCGGGTATGCACTGTAGATGTAACTAACCTGTTAGCTCAACGTCCTTCGAAAGGCAAAAAAGGAAATAAAAAATTCCTATTATTCATTGCTTTTATATTATAGCCTTTTACACTGTGGATTTATCGCGGAAGTTGGTTTTTTATCAGGCATTTTCCTTCTTCAGTGCGGGTGTGGCACTAGGAATGACCTCATCGGATATTCCGAGTTTCCTTGTCTGGAAGAGATAGGCGTTAAGGTACGGAGAATATGGATTATAGAATTCATAATGATAGTTAGAAAAAAAGAAATCAAAAATCAAAACAAAAGAATTCTGATGGGGATATCGCCGTAGCGAGTTTACTGATGTATTCGTAGCCAACAGACCTTTACTAGGCAAGTCCAGGCCTACGATAGTCAAGTGGCCCGAGAGTCCGAACGAGAAAAAAAAATCGACCGATTAATTCTAGGAGATCGATCTAGTGGCGCGGGAATCCTGAGAAGCAGTGGGAAGAAGTCTAGAAGGCATATCGATCCGTTTCATCCAGTAGAAATGTAGTTTATCAGAGGGGTAAAGAAAAATAACACACCTCACTGAAGGAGTGCTCATTTCCCAACTGTGACTTGGATTGTTTCATGGTTCTGGATGTGGAGATTTCAAGGAGCTTTTCTCGGTGGAGAGCCCATGCGACGGCTTCTGAGCCATGGTAACCCTAAAATAGGCCCGGACTCCGTAGCGTCGGGTGGAACACTCGGCTGTAAATATTTCTAGGCAACGCCGGCTATCTGGTCTGATTGATGGATTTTTTCGTTGTTTTCGAATCAGTAGATAGAAGGGGGAGGTACAAAGTACCGCATGTTATTTTTCCGGCACTACGGAGAACAGGAGGCTCTAACGGAATGCATTTGTCTCCGATGCTGGTCATATTTTGGTGATTTCTGGTCTATCTGTTCCTGGTACCGCTCGTAACCGACCAGGCCCCATCGCGGGTTTCAGGGATCATTTTTCATCACCAATGACAGTTTTGATACTACGGTCGAGACACTTAAACGCCCATGGATAATTTCGAGTAACTGGATTCCAGGTAGTCACAATGTTTCCGAGCTCTTAATTAGGGATTATTATTTAATTTTTTTCCCATTATGGGTATTTTTTGAAGATTCTTTTTCTCTTTTTGGTTTGCTCCTCACTCCACTCTACTGGTACAATCTCCACTGGGTTTCCCAAGCCACCAATGTACGTTTTCATATCACATCCATTCACAGTGGGTTGTGGCGGGCAGACCGCTGAGTGGCTGACAGCTCTTCCTTGATCGATAGCCCCGAGGGGCCGGCCGCGTTAGACTGACCTATGGACCCAGCACGCCAGCCCGACAAGAATTCCACATGGTGACCAGCCTCCGTGCCTGCCGGTGAGCAAGGGTCTGACGATATTCGATCCCCCTCCAATCCCTAGTGGTTGGTTGGTCCATGCACTTGCCACGACCAGATCGCCCACTACGCAATCGTCTCACCTCGGAAAATTTCTCTAGTGTTAGTTCTTGGCCAAACTGCCCATGGACGCCTGGGAAGGATGCAACTCTTTATCATCGTCTATCTCCAGGGCGGTATCTGGCACAATCGGCATGGGATGTTGGATCATTCTATTAGTATATCATCCATATCCATCCACGTTGTGGGTAACCAAGTGGGACCTCTCAGGTATATGGATCAAAAATGCCCACTCAACCATTTCCTTGGGATATCCTGGAGCTTGTCTGGGTCTTTAACCTGGAGGGGATTCTAGTCCGTGGTCTTCGTTCCCACAGGGCTTTTTTTCAGCTCGGGCAGAACCGCAATTCGCCACAAGGTCCATTGTGGAATGGTGGGTTGGTGGCTGGTTACCATCCAGAAGGTCCTGGCCGTGGTCATTAGATGGCAATGGAGAAGCCCTGTGCTCTGTGCACGGCGCTTTCATTGAAAAATAAAAAATATAATAATAAAAGAGGATTATAACTCGTTACCTCGTACTTCCATACTTCGATTGCACCCCAGACCTGTGCGCAGTGGAGGTATCTCATTCTATCCCGTGCGTTTCACCTTGGTGGCTCATGATCACCTTATGCCAAATGTGGGCACCGAGATCTACCTAGAACTTTGAGATCGGTTATTTCTCTTTCCCTCCCCTTTTTTGTTATGTTGATTTTTGTGCTAGTCCTAAGTAAATGTAGGTGCAGGTTCAAAAGGACCGAAAGTCACAAACCCACGTACTTTGCCTCATCGAGAATCCTTCGCATGCGATTGCTGATCTTTACCAACTAAATTCTGATTCTAAGTAGCGCAGTTTATTCTTCCATGCGACTAAATCGCCTTCTACGCTATGTTTTGGCCCACTCTTAGCGTCGATTCAAGGTTTAGAGAATTGAAAATTCGAAGCATTATTTTTGCTCTGGGTTTACCTTTGTTACAGTACCCGAGTTTTATTGTTTTCTTCGCTCTATACGGGCCGTTTTGACCGTTGAAAAGATCGCCATGCTAAGACTACTACAACAAGACCTAGATTGATATCCGCTCCGTAGACATAACTTGTTCAAATTTAGTAGTACCACGGTTAAAGGAAATGATTATAACGTCTTTTACGGCAGCTACGGACCATGGCAACTCTGATTACCCTTAGGTGGACCCTTCTCGAGGGGAAAGAGGAGGGGGCAATTACGGGCGTCCGTTTTAATATCTTGGACCGACTGGTAGTTATTTCCACTACCTCGGACGTCCCCTCTTCGCTTGATACGCTTGGTCACTCTTTCTTGCTCTCCTTTCTCTCTTCTTTATTTGATTCGATTATTTGTTTTCTCTTGCCTTGTTTTCTCCTGCGTCGTCATTGTTTAGGAGATCTCCGGCTGATCCCTGGTCAAACCTCCCACACACACTTCATCTACCGGATTCTGCACAAGTACCCCCATACATCAGAGGTGGGTATTTTGAATGTCCTCGTGTCTGGTTTGCGGCCGAGATACGTAAGGATCATCATAACACGGGTATATCATCCCAGTGATCTAAGATCTAAAGAGGAGACTTGAGAAGCCGTTGTCCCGCTCTTGACGTTTTCTTTTGCATCTGAGCACTCCTCGGCGCCTAACCGGTCATACTCATCCCCTTTATATCCAAGAGGGTCCATATAACTTTGATTTGACTTGACCCTTTCTTCCGTTTAATTGAAGAAAGCAATTTAATAAACGAAACCCCGAGTTTATTGCGCAAGCGCCCCGGTACTTCGACCAGACCCACCCACGTCTCATCTCGGGAAAAGAAGAGCCTTGGTTCTTTTGTCCCTTTTTCCTGCGTCCCTTTTTTTATTACTATTTTTTATTGTTTCGTGTCAGTTGTAGGTGTGAGCCTGCCGCGTTTGAGGCCTCTCAAACTGATTTCGTGGATCGTGTTTTCGATCCTGTTGCGAGACTATTACGGTCACAAGAAAAGATCCCATCACAACTCTTACCATGTCAATCGGCGGTCCTTGTCTCTGGGTGCCTTCTTTATCGTCACCAGTTCCCTCATCACTGTCTGCAGTCACTTCTCATTTTTCAGCAGCTGTTCGTCACGGAGACCGGTTCTCTTCACCAAGAACTATATCGCCGTTCCGAAGCGTGCAAAAGGAACGAGAGCCTAGTGCCTCGGTCGGTCTTTCTAGTACCATGCAAAGGGATGGCTCGAAGGCTGAGAATGCCTTGGCTCCTGCTCTGATTCCAGGCGGTGCGGCTGGCTCTGGACCCAGCCCTGAGGGAGCAGCCCGGTCGTCGCGTGAGGCAGAGTCTCGACAGTCTCCAGCGACCAGAGGGGATTTGCTTCCTCGAGTTAAGCTAGAAATCCCCGGTGATAGCTCGAACCTTTCCGAGTCTCATACTCATGATGAGTCTGATCAATATGGGGACGAGATGGATTTCGACGGAAAGGACGAGCACGAAAGAGAATTCACCATCAGCCCAACGGACGAGAAGGGCGATGGAGCGGGCAGCGATGGAGACCACAGGTCTGCCCTGGAAAAGAAGAAGATGAAGCGATTTCGGTAAGGCACTTGCAAGGGATCGAGGAAAGCTAAGAAAATTACTAACTCTCTATCCACAGGTTAACTCATAACCAGACTCGCTTTTTGATGAGTGAGTTCACTCGCCAGGCCCATCCAGACGCTGCTCATCGCGAGCGACTGTCGAAGGAGATTCCTGGCTTGACACCTCGTCAAGTTCAGGTCTGGTTTCAGAACAGGTAAGTTTGAACTGTCCCCCAGTCCCCGGACTTTTGACCTGACAAGACCAACCTCTACAGACGGGCAAAGCTCAAGCGTCTCACCTCCAATGATCGCGAGAGAGTACTCAAGTCCCGAGCCCTGCCCGATGATTTCGACACAACCAAGGTGCTTCGCACACCCTTCGAGAATAAATCAACGGGGCAAACACCCATTGCATCACCTCATGATTACGGTGCTCCTAATCCAGACTTTGCAGCTTTGAGAGCGCTTCGCACCGATTGTTTTCAGCGCCCCAGTGATGACGAGTACATGGTCTCACCTCTCAGTTCAGCGTCAACCGCAGGAACCTACATGTCTTCTGCTGGACAGGGACGGAGTGACGGCCTTTCACAATCCAACATGATGTTTAGTCGGCCAGCAGCATCGGCATCCATGCAAGACCTGCACAGAACTATCAGAAACGACTATTCGATTACTAGATCTAGCAGCCTCTCAGATGCTTCTCCTCAAGCCTCTTCTTTCCACTCCGGTTACCCTCTACACAACAGATTTGCGGCTGCGTCAAATCCAGTGAATATGCCCTATGGACGACAGCCAATGGATTACGGCGTTCATCGTCCAGGTACGCTGGTCACACCTTACGATCAACATCAGTCATTCGAAGGATCAGTTTCCCCAACAGACTCGCAAGAACCTCAAATGACATATGACATGAGTAGCCTAGGTATGTTACACCACTCCTGTTTCAAATTCCAAAGGTCAAGTGAGTCCAACGGCAAAGCAGAAAGCTGACTTCATTGTACTCTAAAGGCACCCAATCACAAAATTATCAATCCCACCTCGCAATGTCAGGACCAAAGGATTACACTGGAATGGGAATAGGATCACAAATGTCGCAACATGGCAGACCTATGCCAACACTTCACTCCCTCCCCGTCTCCGCCTCCCAGGACTACAGATCTTACCCATATGGAAACCCCTCGATGGGCAACGTTCCCTATACTCAAGCCACCAATGCCTCAACACTGAGCCTCCCCGCAACATATGCTCAATCCGACCAAGCAACAACCGCACACGACCACCTTCAACAAACACCACATACCCTCGAAAATATGCGGAACAAATTCGGCAACCCATCATTCAACTATGCCAGCTATATTCAACAATGATCTACATCGAGGCCGGACCATCAAAAAAAGACAAGTTCCTTGTCACTCTGCTGCATTTATAGCCAGCCAGCCATCATTGGGCTGGTCCCCTTCTCTTATTGAAATTTGGCTCCCGTGGTAGCCAACTGGGCATTTGACCTATATTAGCGTGTTAATTTTAATGCTTGTAAAGCCCGTTTTATATTTTTCCTCTTTTTCATTCTCATTTCAATCTTCTTGTTTGGTTTCTTCATTAGTCGCCGGTTTATCTCACTTTCTTTCTCCTTTCACCTGTACATGTTACTATTTCTGTCATTTAAATTGGTTTGAGGGGCGAACTCTCTTCATGCTGGAGGCAAGCGAGTTGGGGTTTCATGATGGTTCATTATCCTTTGGGTTTCCCACAGTACACTAGCGTTGATCAAATTCAGGGATCTCTGGCATGAGAAGAAGTTGGTCTAATTCTAATTGCTTTTGGATTTTCATTCTCAGTTTAACGTAGCCATTGGCTCCAAGAATGGCTGGGGCGGGGTACGATTGGGGGCCTTATGCCCATGATGCATGTCCCTTTCAGCGTGAGGGGTATAAGTACCCCTCCGGTACATAGAAAGAATATCAAAAAGCTCCAATATCGAATGAATAAAGCCATTCCATCCTTCTTTCAAATTTTCCTCATGTACTACCTCGTGCGTATAGTAAGTTTAGGGTATCTAAAAAATTTCTTATTATCTTCCACGTTTTTGTATGGGCTTTACACCATCTAAATGTGTGGTCACTTAGCACCTTACGGATACAGTCTTGACTGGGCAATAAATCCATTATGAAATGATACAATCAACCATTTGATTATTAAATGATATGGAGGGATTTAGCTCCTTAGTCTCGTTTAATCAAAGGATTTTACAATGATGCGGAATAGAAAGCATCTCCTCTTCCAGAACTGTCCCTATTGTAGTAGCAAAGGTGTTTCCATTGCATCCGATGGATGCATATTGTCGACCTGCAAGCAAACATATAAGACATATCTTTCCCAATAGTATAGTGAATGCCGATCCAGGATCTCGGGATTCTTCCGCTTTTCTTGATCCTGCTGATGCATTAGTCAATTCATTATTGCCTTATCGGTGATATATACATGCAAGATGCAGTTTGGAGGTGATAAAAGCCGCGCAAGCTATCAATAATCTCAAAAGGGTTATCGACTTGAATTGCAAATGAAGATGCAATTCGGATGAGTATGTAGAAGAAAATTGAAGTAAATGCCAGCGTTGCTATAGCATTATGCTCATCTATTCGCGTTACAGATATCATGATCAAAGCTGGGCTAGTCCAGATGCATTGCTGAATCGGGCCTATTTGATATATTGCTGGATACTTCCCCCTTTGGAACAGGCTTAGGGCCCTACGTACTGGATTTCCACTCCCAATTCTTGGCTTTCCTCTCCCGTGTTAGTGCTCAGCCCCTCGCCGCTTTTGCTCACTGAGTAGAACTCAGCACGCCTCTGAGCGCCCTGATCTGCTCACTGATCCTCATCTGAACGCTCCGATTCGCTCACTGAGCGGAACCTGAGCGAAAGACTGTGAGCTAAGTACCTCAATAAAATGTAACACGCTAGCTCCTTCCACGTGCACTCTTCCTCCGTAGATCGCTTGCATCATCCCATCAATAAATGTCGGTGTCACTAAAATGGTCGTTTATCCCAGGAGCGAGGCTCCTGAGATAGTGGCAATTTCACAGCGCGCTTTGTTTGATTGGCCTATCAAATTCTTATCTCAGGATGTAAGCTCCTAGGAGTGCTTCATTTACCAGCCCAAGGCATTAGACGAATTTACTCGACGATCTCTAATCTTGCTCCGTGCTAGGTTCGAATTGTCAATCTTAGATCAACCTTCTCACTGATTCGCCAAACCAGACTTTCTACCTTTTCCACCACTAAGACTATGTCTGATGAGGAGTGGAGCTCGATTCTAGCTGAAGAGACTGATTTGTTGCTAGCAGTCGTTGAAGCAAACAAAAGACAACATACGCACCAGGCCAGACAATTAGTACTGAAACGCATTACTGTTGAAATGGAAGCGTACAATATAGACATGCAACACCCTCGGAAAGTCTTGGATAGACTATTATCCGAAATTCTTCGGCTACGGTGTGGACAGAAAATCAATACTGGGCACGAAGATCAGCTTCCTGTTGATACTATCAATGTTATGCCCGATGATTCTTAATTCTCTTAGTGCAACGGGGTTGCTTATAGGGATTCCATCCCTACCCCTATTAAGGCGGAGCGCACACAATCTCGCTATCCCTGATATATCTTATGATACCTTCTTTTCATGCCCCAGAGACCGCTAGCTTCAACAGATTGTGCATGGCAACTATTCAATGACACTGGGGTTTCCCAATCAGTTCTGTTGACATCAATTTACTCAAAAATTCCTAGCTATTTGCTTATCCTCTTTCATGGTTCCTATTATCATATTATACTTTCATCAGCTCAGCTAGGCATGCTAGTTGTGAATATCTAAGGAAATGGCCATCGTTGCATTTGATATAGAGATATCAAGCTGATGATCGCTTGGTGAGTTCGCGTTTTGTATTTGTCTATGAACGGTATATATAGTAATTATTGACCCTCTGTGGTGTGATAACACAGCCATGATATATTACCACAAGACACAATATTTGACAGTACTTGAATCCAAAACATATACATTTTAGTCACAAACCAGCCTTTTAGTAGGGTAATTTATAGAATAAATGCTGCGAATCACTACTGGTCAATGCTGACCGATAAGTTAGATACTTCATAGTTTATTTGATGTATTGCTATACGGTTAGAAAGAATGTGCGAATAAAAACAAATGGTCCAATATTCAAGTGGATCGAAAGGGCTAATGCTCAAGTAAAGAAGATTGATACCATCTGCTTAATAAGTCCATCAACATTGTTTCAAGGTGATTAACAATAGTGAAATACACCCGGTAGATGTAGTCTTTATTAAATAAAGAGTTGAGATGGTGAAATGGGGGAGAGTGGTGAAATGAGGGAGAGTGGTGAAATGAGGGAGAAGTGGTGAAATGGGGGAGAGTGGTGAAATGGGGGAGAGTGGTGAGATGAGGGAGAAGTGGTGAAATGGGGGAGAGTGGTGAAATGGGGGAGAGTGGTGAAATGAGGGAGAGTGATCCTACGCTTCAGACTGTAGACTCGGACTTCATAGTCCAAATTCTGAGGGAGATGGAACTGACCTTTCTCACGGGCGAGCGACGCAGAGTTCGATCTGGTGATTAAAATATTCGGTGGTCATCTGTTTATAGGTGGGGAACTCAAAGAAGAGGCAATGGTGGTCACGGATGATGGATATTGTGTCTACAAGCCGTTTTATCTTACTGTAAAACAAGGTGGATCGCGTGGAGTTATCTTTGTACATACAAGAAGTAGTAATAGTAGTAATAGTAGTAGTAGTAGTAGTAGCCATCCATTCATCCATCCATTCGTCCGCGTAAAAGAGCCACACGGATTGGCAAGTCAAGAATTTAAGAGCAAAATGATCGGCACTCCATGAAGCTGTTATCCTATGAATATCAACTTCAATGGGATGCAACCCTCAGCGTAATCGAGGCGTCCAGCTCAACCGCCGCATCAGTAATTCTTCTATCACAATGACTAAGTCATGGATGACCTCAATGATTCTGGATTACGAGATGAAACTTTCTAAGATTTCAGTGCATGGCGTGAAAAGCCTGTGCCAGACGACAATTTGGAAAGCACGGTTATTTTGTCCTCCACGCCTTGAAATTTTGCCAAGCTGGTATTTCGTACTCGTTCTAGGTACCCTAAGTGCTGATCTCAAGGCTGGTTTAGGAATAAATAGCATCTGGACGGACCAATATGTCGAGATCAAATAATGGTCCCCAAATCTTAGAACAACGAGCTCATTGAATCCAGGTCCAATTTGTAGCGGAGTCCATCAAACGATAAATACATCAAGTCATAGCGAGTCAAATGTCTCGTCGGGAATGGTAATAACTGACCGAGAAAAAGGGAGAGAAGCTATCGAGAAACACCAACGCTGGCTGTCTGAATGCAGAATAATATAAGAGCCGCACAAGTTGTCAAGTATAAAATATGCCTCCAACCATATGACCAGTACTACGCTGAGCTCTTCCAGGGCTTTACAAGTCATTCGAGTGTCCTTATTTCCATCCAATTGGAAGATGACTATAGGCGATTTCAGGTGCAGCAATAAGTTCTTCTTCAGCTGGCCAAAAAGTCTTTCCTTTTTGTCGCTTCGCCAAATCAGACTTCTCTGGATGGTGTGTTGCTTGAACAAACTTCAGCGTGGCTTTGTCCTTCACATAACCATGACTAGCCACATGGGTACCCCGAAGAAGTTGGTCCTCATATTTATAGCAGAAAGTAACATATAGCCCCGATGGGTCTTTAATTCTTATACCGTTGATGCTAGTGGTAGGGTGGACCTCGGATCTAGCATTTCGTTAGAACGTGGTCAAAACGAATAGACCTCTGATGGCTCCATAAAGAACATAGTATGAGCGGTCTTAAGATTTTAAGTTACCTGATAAGGATTGCTTTGGGATATATCTTTCTATCTCTTGCAGTCTGATAGGCCAAGGTGATTAATTGGCGTATACGCTCTTTGGACCTTGGGATCAAGCCTTCATAAAAGTAGTACTTGATCATGTTAACGGTAGACATTTTGTTTGATGGAGCTGGCTTGATCAAATCGAGAAAATGTATCAAGGTGGGATTAAGAGATAGTATTGATCTTCACAATCAACGAGAAGATTGAATAGACAATAAAAGTCGCTCTGGAAAATATCCTGCGTTTATCGGGGTTCTGGAGCACATACCTCATCTTACAGTCCTTGTGTCGATAGCTAGGATGAGCCTCCAATCTATCAATAGATTGATAGCCGCTTCCATGACATTAATATCTAGCAAAGTGTCTAGCGATAGACATTACTCAGACAAAATCGGGGGTAACCACAAATAGGTCCAACTGAAATGGCTCTCTATCATGCATGAACTGATGATCATGATGTACCTTGGAAAATATATCCTAGAGTTCTTACGCCCAGATACTGGCGCGTACTTTTCACCGCTGTGGAGCGGTACTATTTTACTTGACGCCTGGTGTAAATAAGTGGATAGTTACCTTCCAATCATCTCCCAGAAGAGGGTTGTGCCGGTCAGCTCTTGGCGCGTATCTTCGGGCAACCTCGAACATGAACCTATTGTCTACGCACCGAGGAGTAGCTGAGACAGGCATATGTCCTAATTTTATAATGATTGTTTTCACTTAAGTAGAATTTAGCTAAAGGGCTAGCTGTACCATAAGGAATTTGATCTCACCCCCATTTCGGCCTTTCTATACGCGCTTATTGCTTTCTTATCTTCATTCCACTTCTAGCAAAGCCCGACAAACTCAGCATTGCCACAACCATTTTTGTGGCCTTCTCTGCACTGCTGCTCTTATGTATCACTCTACCTTGGGTGATAATTCCTCACGTCACCTTTATAAGCCTATTGAAGGAGTAGAAAAACTAGAAAGCTATTGTGTAGGAGGCTATCTGTTACGGACCCACTACGGAGGGACCTCCCAGGAGCAACTACAAACCAATCAGTTGGCGGTCAGACCAGGAGTGGACGACCGACCAAAATGGGCACAGGGCACCAACGGAGCCAGTTACGGCCTGCAACTTGGCGTCCGAAAGAATACTCCATTTACGAAAGTAACGGTGCGCGAGGAATCACTTCTGGCCTCCTCGGCACAGAACCATTATTGGGCCTAGCCACAAGGGGTGCAGGCTATAACACAAAGGGACACGTGTGGAAGCACCTGACCAAAGGGACTATTCCAACAATAGATCCTATCCCACTGACAGGATAGGATCCTATTACTCACAAGGGAAGAACTAGACATATAAAGGACTCTTGTTACCGCATGATATATTTGGTTCTTCACGATTATTCTCTCATTATTATTAGACTCTACAATTCAGATTAATACTCTGCTTTATCACAATCAACCTTTTAAAGATAACCATTAACTAGTAGGGGAGCTTACTCTATGACTAACTTACTGGCGAACCTAGGCTGTGCCATAACCCGCAAATAGGTAGGTTTAAGTCAACCCGCAACCCGCAACCCGCAAACCCGATGGGTAGATCGAGTCTAGACCTGTGCAATGGCGGCCCATTGCACAGGTCTAGTAGCCAGATTCCAGCCCATAGGCCGCTCATTGCATAGGTCTACATAGGAGTCCCGTGGAATTCCCACGATGGGACAAAGATGATATCTTAGTCCCATGGGACTTGGGACTGACCCTGACCTAGTCCTATGGGAAATATCGAAGGTCTACTTCTGGCTGTGAGTGCGTAGAATTACGAATTTTGTCATTGTGGAGAAGATCCTAGGCTGCGGATTTTCCACGATCTCCCCTTCAACAGAATCCTCATCTAGCGCCTTTTCTCACACTGCTTACCCACAGTCACAGAAGCCCAATAGCTACCAAAACACCCCAGAACCTGCGATAACTCCGTCTAGGACTCACCATTCTGGTTAAAACAATACAAATGGCCACCGGCATTCCCGATCCAGTTGTCTATTTGCGATGGTCAGTAAATATTTCTTGCAATCTTGTGATGTAGCAAACATAACGACATACTTGTATCAATTGAAGTAGCAACATATGTTCCTTCGTCATTTGCACAATTGGCATGCAGGACAGTAGTATCTTCTAGGCCTATATCCTTGCAGGATGTGCCAAAAGAACCCCTAAGAAACCGCGTCAGTATGATTCAAAGTGTCAATATCAGGAGACAAAGATTAGGAATTTAAGATCTTACTTCAGCTGGCCGACAAGTTTTCCATTCGAGTTGCCAAAGCACGAACCAAGATTAACCACAACGGCTAAATCATAAATTTGACCAGGCGCTATTTCGCAATTGGCAACAAGATCCCAGTGAGGCACATTTGAAGTAGGTGCGAGGAGGCTCGGCGAATTGCAGCTTGCTATATAGCCAGAGTTTGCAGCCACTTCATGAGAGAAGTAACCCAAAAGCAAGAGAGCAAAGGTGGATAAGAGGTTAGACTGCATCGTAGGGTATTAAAATGTTAAGAAAAGTGCCTGGTACTTTTGATAAGTGAAGTAATTAGATAGACGTTATTTTAGGTGAAACTTGCCTCCTTTTATAGATAAACTATTGAAACTAATACAGACAGCAAACTGAACATGGTAATGACTAGACCTTGACATTTCCCATGAGACTAGGAGAAATCCAGTCCCATGTCCATGGGAAATTTCGAAAATCTAGTCTCATTGGAAATGGGACTACCTAGTTATTTAGGTTAGAGAATTACCTAGATAGGTGAAAAACCAAAGTCTTAGCATTGAAGACCAAAATTTAGTCCCATAAAAACGGCCCCCACGGGACTCAAAATTCCCATTTGTCTAGGTCTAGTCATGGCTGCCGATATGAAAATCCTGAATTCTAAGCGAACATTCTAAGCGAGCAATGTAAGCACTAGTTGAGATAGCAGTCTTCCCTGTCTTGATTTTGAATCTTCGTGTTGCCTTCTGTCTATAAAAAAGCCCTGGTGAGGGGAGTGTGTTTAGAACCCCCCAAGAAACAGTCTTGCGATAATTTGACTTGGTGACTTCTTCCTTGCGTGATCAACAGGCCTTCTACCCTGCAAGTAGATTCTATCTTAACAGCTGTATGATAACAAACCCCCTATAAAGTCTAGTTCACGCCTCATTCAATTGCAACTGTCATTGATTAATCCAGGATCCTATACTGCTCTAAAACTAACAATATTGAAGATTTCCCCGCAGTCAAAGTACCTGAGCGCGGAAATAGTAGCTAGTAGATTCCTAGCGTTACTTTTGCCCATAGCGGAGCGTTGTCTAGTTTATAATAACCTGATCAAGGGAGCTAAGGAATCTTAATCCTTTTGTGGCCAACTGATGCATTTCGTTTATTTCAAATATAAAATGTAACCTTGTGGCGCACTTTTGGCAAAAGGAGCTGTATTCATGACTGGTCGCCAGATGATTGCCTACTGTTGGAGGATGTCGCTTTGTCGGTACGAATACCGCGGTGTATTCCTACCGACACCCCACCTCAACGGCCGCAGGGGCCCTGAGATTGCTGGATTTTCCCAAATCTCTCGAATCCGCGGTCTTTTCAAGCCAGCCTCCGTTTACACTTTGGAACTAATTGATCAGGTGACGAATATCAACCATTCAAAGCAATCGGACGAAGTTCTCATGTTTCTGACGCGGGGAGACAAGAGTAAGCAAACCTCTTGTCTAGCTGGGCTGGTGTCTGTATCTTCGGCGTGACAATATTGTTTGGAATGAGGAATTAGGACGGGCCTGAATTATTGACTTCCATCGCTTTACTTTGAAAAATCGGCCAAATCGGCATCGACCCCAAGCTGCAAAGCGACGGCAATGTGGAACAGAAACAGAACCTTCGTAGAAATGTCTTCGTGTTTCCTGAAGAGGGAAGATTCTCGTCCCCGATTTCCATAAACTTTTGTTTTGTACTCGTTTCGAAATGCCGTTACTCTGCCTTTGAGCGCGTATGCTTCTCCTATATTCGGCTTGCTTGTCCAAGCCAGTCGAGCCACAATTTTTGACGTGGATAAACGTCAGGTATCAAATATGTGGCTATTCCTTTTCATGTGCAACCCGGAATCTTCCCATAATATTGTCGCGTAGTTTCGATTACATATGACATGCTTGATATTCTTCAAGCGGTGCACATCAATAAACAAACATACATTTCATTACCGGGGCGCTGTCTCCAAGTTCCGCTGCAATGTTTTCGCTGCCAACTACAAACAAATTTAGGTGACTCGAGCTTCATTCTCCTTCGCGAGCACCTGTGCAATTGTTACGGTGTTCTTGATGTGGGTGATAATGGTCAAATTGATACGAACCCAGTAGCATCAACCTCGCCTCTATATTAATGTGTTTGGATTCTAAGGGCCTCGGAAAGAAAGGCTGGAAATTATTTTCCAACTCGTAAATAATATAAGGCAGTTTATATTACATGTCACTCGAATACACCACGCTAAGACAGACTCCATGGCTAGGCTCAATTATGGATACCGCGCTCGATGCAGGCCGGAGGGGGTACTTATTTTGTTGTAACGTTGACAGGGTTAAATCAAGCCAATGGTTGGTTTACTGATGCGCATGACTGGCATAAATTTCTTTGTTTCTTTTTTTGGGGAGGGGTAGGGGTGGGGGCTAGCCGACTAGCCTTTTAGGTGGAGTAATTCAAATCAAGGGCACTCGGCAACTTTATCTGCATCCTTATTTGTAGCATTGCTCCAGCCTCCAATAGTAGTTGTTATTGAAATTTACTCAAACCCCAACTTTAAACCATACATGTAGTATTCAATGCTTTGGCCTTGATTCAATTCACGGTCTATGCGACCGTGCTTTGCACTGCCTTCCACAAATCTGGTTCCTGAAGCTTCCAGATCCTCGAGGCGAGTTTCTCCTTGCTGACATGCCATGACAAGTATACCGCAGATCATTATAGATATCTCTATCGAATCACAGTCCTTGTAAAAGTCAGCATTAACAATCAAGAAGAGTTCAATGTTAGTTCAGCCATTCACGATGCGCGGATTGATGTGAGGCAGGCACATGACCGTGCTCAGCCAATAAGGAAGGAGCTATCCCCTGGTCATGCAATCACGTGGTGTACAAATCAACCAATCAGAGCTCAGATGATAATAATCAAGCCACCAGGTGGCACCAGACTGTGACGCATGCAATCAAGTATAAATATTCAAGGACACGCTTTCCATGTTTTTGCTTTTTAATTCATTCCAATTCATCATCTCTATTCGTGAATCTAAAAGCCTTTTCATCCTTAAAAGCTTCAATCCTTGACATTGCAACCTCCTCCACAACCACCACTCTCCATCTTCAAATCTTCGAGAACTTCTCATCTCCACCTTCAAAATGGTCCACCCCGCCACCACCTGCTGCAAGACCTCCGGCGCCGGAGAGTGCGTCTGTGCTTCCCAAGCCAAGTGCTCCTGCGGTAAGGAGAGTGCCCTCCACTGCTCCTGTGGCCAGGCCTCATCTGAGAATGCCATCTCCGGACCCCGCTGCTCATGCCGTATGTTTCCAAATGCCCCGATCTGATAAGGATGGATCCATAACTAACACCTTAAATAGGCGCCCGTCCTGTTGGTCAATGCACCTGCGAGCGCTCTGTGAGCGAGAACAAGCCTGTTGCTGGTGATGCCTGCGCCTGCGGCAGCCGCCCCTCTTGTAAGTTTGCATACATACCCCTGCAGTCGCAAGGAACTCGGTCCTAACATTGATTTTAGCATCTTGCACATGTGAGAAATCTGAGGGTATCGAGTCCGCGCTCGAGGTGGACTTCACCACCCGCGTCTAAATAGCTTGACTATTTCGCTTTCGCCACTCCTTCTATGGCGAGAGTATGGATTTTCCAATCATCAGTTGCATTGTCATGGGTGGAGTTCAACTGGATGGCGTTTATCGAGCTTACTGGGTTGCACTTTTTTTTTTACCACTTGAACTTTTATAACAGTCTAATCCACTGTGGATGACTTATTTTGCTACGACGAGTCATGAGGTGTCATTAGAAGAGAAAATAAATATATAATGAATTATTAGTAAAACATCGCTGTTTCGTAAGTTGCTTAAAGAAACCTGTATCATTTCAAGTGCATTATGAGTGAGGCACTTTCAAAGTTTGCGTAGAAGATTTAGTACTCTTCCAAGGTTGTCATGTCACTCATGTGTGCTGTGCGTATGCCTAGTAGAGATCTAGTATTAGGCTCAACAGGATGATGTTCGTTCATGCAGCTTTGTTTGCTTGCGAATCTCCCAAAGCCACTTGGTATGTTTCCAGCTAGCAAATAGATCGACCGAGCACTTGAGGTATTGAATCCTGCCCAGGTGGAACTACTGTTGATTTTCGTTTTTAAAACTTACCTGGCTTTATAACTTTCTTCTTGAGTTGCTTGGCGAATAGCTAGCACTTTTTATACATAACGTATTCGGTAAGCGAGTGACGCATGTAAGCGAGTGACGCACCCCGCCCAAAACGCGTCTATGAATTAGCACTTAATTAATTCGACCACCCATTATGCCACCAATTCGCCTCCAAACCTCGAGAAACTCAATCGAGCAAGAGGGTAGGATCTTATTAGCTATTCAGGCTATAAAGAACCAAGAAATCAACGCTGTTCGTGAAGCAGCACGTCGTTTTAATATATCGGAGCCGACACTTCGCCGCCGCCTCCGCGGTATTCAAAACCGCGCGAATTCACGCGCCAACTCACATAAATTAACAAAAATCGAAGAGGAAACGCTTCGAAAATAGATCCTATCGCTTAATAATCGTAGAGTAGCGCCCCGGCCGACTACCGTACGAGAAACTGCGAATATTCTTCTTAAAGCTCACGGAACAACCCCTATTTAAACAATCGGGGAAAAATGGGTTTATAACTTCGTGAAAAGGTATCCTAAACTATTAAACTGGTTCTTAAGATACTATAATTACGAACATACAAAGTACAAAGACCCAAAAATTATTGGTAAATAGTTTAATCTTGTTTAAAAAACTATACTTCAATACAATATCAATCCTAACGACGTTTATAACTTTGACGAGACTGGTTTCGCAATAGGATTAACAGCGACTGCGAAAGTCATTATAAGGGCTAAATACTACAGTCGGCAATCACTTTTACAACCCAGAAATTATAAGTAGATAACTATAATTAAATATATAAATACTTTAGGTTAGGTCTTACCTCTATATATAATTTTTAAAGGTAAGGTTTTTATTAAATCTTAGTTCGATAATCTCCCGGATAATTAGCGATTCGAAGTAAGCCCAAATAGCTGGACTTCTGATAAAATCAGTCTTCATTAGCTTAAAAAGCTCTTTATTCTATCGACTTCTTTACAATTAAAAGGTTGGTATCAACTTTTGATACTTAACGACTACAGAAGTTATTTAACCCTAAGGTTTGACGAAATCTATGAAAAAAACGATATTATACCAATTTATATACCTATATATTCGTTATATCTTTTATAGCCTCTCAATATTAGCTGTTTTGTAGTATTAAAGCACTTATACAATCAGCTTATTAAAATAAAGATATATCTTAGGATTAACTATATCGATAAACTTGATTTCCTTAAGATATATCCGTATATCTGAATTAAGGCTTTTAAACCTAATACTATTAAAAATAGCTTCGGGACAGCCGGTTTAATACCTTTTTTACCCAATCGAGTACTCTTAAAACTTAATATTTATTTTTAAACCCCAATACCCCTAGCAAGCTAGGGTAGTAAATCAAACTAAAATTTTATACTAAAAACTCCCTATATAGAGAAAGAACTATATCGATAGGCTTCATCGATTAAAACTTTACTTCATATATAATCTTATAGTCCACCTAGCCTATTAGATTGTATATTAAACCAGCTTATAAAAGGCTTTTAACTCTAGATATAAAGTTATATTCTATAAGTATAAGAAATTAAGGAATTACGCGCCGTTAATAAGAAGTAGAAGCAAAAGCAGACTCAGTCGACTAGGCAGATAGCTTATGAAGGCGATATCTTAATTTAAGAAGTTTGTGAGCTACGTGCGGAGCCATTTGAGGCCTAAGTAGCCTGTATCAATACCTATCGTGAGCAGGTTTCAGAGGGTTTACAGCCACCTATGCGGGGCCAGCGAGGATATAGAATATGTAGGAAGCCAGGATATAGAAGAGAAACATGCCCAGATAGAGAAGCTAGCTAGTTAAATTAATTTAATGGCGTTTTGGTTAAGAAAAATGTATTTAAAATAGATAATGTATAGTAGGTGCGTCACTCGCTTACATGCGTCACTCGCTTACCGAATACGTTATATACTTATCAAGTTCTACCAGGTCTGAAACATAAAGAAGCCCCCAAATAAAGCCCCAGCGCTTGAGGCTGTGGTAACTTTGGAACTGCCTTCTCATCATGATGGTGATGCACCAGATCAGCTTCAATCCTCAGGATTAATTTTTGGTAGGTACTACTTTCTTGTATCCAACACAGCATTCATCTCCACACCATCATTCTTCCATGGTACTTACAATCAAAGATTTGCTCATCAGTTCCCTCAAGCTTGGTGTTATCACGGCGTTCAAGTTATTGAGCACATGGATGTGTTTCACTGGCAGGGTTCATGCTTATTATGTCCCAACTACTACTAGTACCCATCATCATCAATAAAGCTTTCCGTGGATCAGAGACATGGACCAAGTTGTCCTCGATTTTGAAAATACCCTTGGCGCACATTGTGACTGGGAGTCAGATTCCTTGGTGAACGGCAAGAATTCGACTACCTAGTCGAGCTCTTCCACCTGAGCATTGGGGGAGAAGAGGCCTCTGGTTGCGCACCATGTGATCTAGATGACAATATATAGTACTAAAGAAGTAGTACCTACGGTGGACTGCCCAAGTGTTACCACCCCTCTGGTCATGTGATGGTCAGCAACTTGAAGCCAAGTTTACCACTTAAGAAGTCAGCAGAAATTGAGTTTCCAATTTTAGTTGAGAAATATATTTCTTTTTCACAATTTCGTAGACCAAACTAAAATAGATCGAGATCGGCTCTGCATGTCCCTTATATACTAATACTGGTAGTCCCTGTTCCAATCGCACCGCCACAGTCGCATCAACGTTATTCCTGCGCCACAGCGGAAGGGAGTGATCGACAGCGGAAAGTGGCCCAAGGGAAAGAGCGAGTGTGATGGGAAGATCCAACTCGGAATTACCATCTCTTGCGGAAAGGGGAACCTGCTCTGCATACATTTGGTACGTGAATGATCAATTTTAATCAAACGAAACTACCCCAGTTTTTGGCCTGGATTTCATGACTTCGTGCTAATCGTCGTTCTTGTTACCAACTCTAGACTCGACGGATCCGCACTGGGCCAACCCCTGTTTCTAAGCTGCTAAGCTTCGCCCCATCCCAAATCCCCCGTCGACTCGATTCCGGCCAATGCACCATCGAAGTCGCGACACAGCAGGGACATGGTTGTGTGACGTTCTCAGCCCGATCGCAAACCCCTGAGGTGATCTTCCCCCCGCGTGGCATGCGAGCCATATATCTCAACTCCACCCCACTCCTCATTCCCCGAAGTCTAGCGTTAATTGTGTCCAACGGGACACGGTAAACCCGGACCCACGAAACAAAAGAAGAAGAACAGGGCGAAAGTCACACCGCAATAATGTCGTCAATGAAAGGATTGGTGCAGTTCATCGCGGACCTGCGGAATGCCCGGGCGCGAGAATTGGAGGAGAAGCGCGTGAACAAAGAGCTCGCCAATATTCGACAAAAGTTCAAGGCCGGCAATCTCAACGGCTACCAAAAGAAGAAATACGTTTGCAAGCTGCTCTATGTCTATATTCAGGGCTATGATGTCGATTTCGGCCATCTAGAAGCCGTCAATCTGATCTCCTCGACGAAGTATTCTGAGAAACAGATTGGATATCTTGCTGTCACCCTGTTCCTACACGAGGAACATGAGTTGATCCACTTAGTCGTCAACAGCATTCGGAAGGATTTGATGGATAATAGCGAATTGAATATTTGTTTGGCGCTACATGCAGTGGCCAATGTCGGTGGTCGAGAGCTTGGTGAAGCCCTGGGCAATGAGGTCCACCGACTCTTGATTTCGCCGACCTCGAAGGCATTCGTCAAGAAGAAGGCCGCTCTCACCTTGCTTCGTCTCTACCGCAAATATCCTGGTATCGTCCGGAATGAATGGGCTGAGCGAATCATCTCGATTATGGATGATCCGGATATGGGTGTTACGCTCTCAGTAACCTCGTTGGTCATGGCTTTGGCTCAAGATATGCCAGAAGAGTACAAGGGTAGTTATGTCAAAGCTGCGCAGCGACTTAAGAGAATTGTGGTCGACAACGATATTGCACCAGACTACCTCTACTACCGTGTGCCCTGTCCATGGATTCAAGTCAAGCTTCTTCGCCTGCTACAGTATTACCCTCCTTCAGGTATGTTGAACCCCTTATCCATCTCTCTCTCTCCCTCTTGATGTCCCTCGGTTACTTACTCCAATCGCAGATGATAGCCATGTCCGTGAGATTATCCGAGAATCTCTTAGGCAGATCATGCAAGCTGCCATGGAAACACCAAAGAACGTGCAGCAGAACAATGCGCAGAACGCAATCCTCTTCGAAGCCATTAATCTCCTTATTCATCTTGATTCTGAACATACTCTCATGATGCAGATATCTACTCGCCTGGGCAAATACATTCAGTCCCGGGAAACAAACGTCCGATATCTTGGACTGGATGCGATGACACATTTTGCAGCCCGGGCGGAGACTCTTGATCCGATCAAGAAGCATCAAAACATCATCCTGGGCTCGCTTCGAGACCGCGATATCAGTGTGCGCCGCAAAGGACTGGATCTATTGTATAGCATGTGCGACACCACCAATGCAGGCCCCATTGTGAATGAGCTTTTGCGTTATCTCCAAACTGCAGATTATGCAATTCGCGAGGAGATGGTTTTGAAGGTTGCTATCCTTACCGAGAAATATGCTACAGATGCCCAGTGGTACATTGACATGACCCTGAAACTGTTGTCACTTGCAGGCGATCACGTCAACGACGAAGTATGGCAGCGAGTCATTCAGATCGTCACCAACAATGAAGAATTACAAGCTTATGCAGCTCACACGCTTCTTGGCTATATGAAGACCGATTGCCACGAGAGTTTGGTGAAGATTGGCTGTTATGTTCTGGGCGAATTTGGCCATCTCATCGCTGACAACCCTGGATCGAGCCCCATTGAACAATTTTTGGCGCTACAAGCAAAGATGTTTACTGGCTCGGATAACGCAAGGGCTATGATTCTCTCGTCATTCGTCAAGTTTGTCAACCTGTTTCCTGAGATCAAACCGCAGCTTCTTCAGATTTTCCGCCTCTACAGCCACTCTCCGGATTCCGAACTACAACAGCGAGCTTTTGAGTATCTATCCTTGGCAACACTACCAAGTGACGACCTGCTTCGGACTGTTTGCGATGAGATGCCGCCTTTCTCTGAACGAACATCCATTCTTTTGTCTCGCCTCCACCAGAAGACAGCTGGCACTAGCGAGAAGAAGACCTGGGTGGTTGGCGGTAAAGACGCAAACACAGACAAGAAGGAAGTCCTCATGGCACAAACAACTGGTCTGAAGCGCTCGTTCACCACTATCGTCAATGGTACAAGAACCGGATCCACTCCCAACACTCCAACAAGTGCAACAAGTGCATCTGGTGACCTAGCCGGACTTGACTTTTTCAGCGGACCGGCAGCACCTCCTCCAAACCTTGCCAGTGCAGCTCATTTGACACCAGACTGGGAGGTAGGCTATAACAGACTCTACTTCGCGCACGAGGGTGTCTTGTTCCAAGACGCTCAAATCCAGGTTGGGTTACGATCAGAATATCGTGCTCATATGGGTGTTGTCAAGCTGTACATTGCCAATAAATCCACATACCCCATCGGATCCTTCACTACTACGATTGATAACCCGGCTACTCCAAATCTGAAGATCGACAGCAAAAACCTTCCCGATTCTACCATTGCGGCGTCTAGCCAAACCCAGCAAACCTTTTTCTGTGCCTCCCATGGGCCCTTCGCTGATGCCCCTACCATTCGTATTTCATATCTGGCTGGTGCTCTGCAAGCATACACTCTTCAGCTGCCCGTTATGATGCATAGATACATGGAACCATCCTCAATTTCTGCAGATGATTTCTTCAAGCGCTGGAGACAGATTGGTGGCGGGCCTCTCGAGTCCCAGAAGACGTTCGGCTTGAGCGGGAAGAACAAGACCATCAATGAGGCATACACTCGGCAGTACGTGGAAGGATTCGGATGGAAGATCTTGGATGGTGTCGATCCGAACGTGCAGAACATCGTTGGCTGCGCAGTATACCAGTTTGAAGGCGGCAAGACGGGTTGTTTGTTGCGTCTGGAACCCAACTACGAGAAATTGGTAAGTTATTGAGATCACCCCCGGGATATCTGATATCTCTTCCTATAATACACAAAATGCTAATATATACCCTTCAGATGTATCGCGTTACCATTCGTGCCACCCAAGAAGGAGTTCCGCAAGCTCTGGCTCGGCAGATGGAGCAGAAGCTGGGGCAAGGAGTCAGGAATGATTGATGGTCTTTGGACCCTACGATTAGCGAATGAAAGCATTTGCGAAGCAATGTGAGGCAAATATGTACATTTTCAATCAGCTTTCGCGTCAAATACTAGCGAGCGTCCCTTAGTAATGGACACTTCGCTTTCTTGTACAAGTTTCTCTCTTTGTTTCTAGCGTACAGACAATTATGTATATGAGCAGTAGTTTTTATCTGAAGCTTGATCTATCTATAATCATGCCATTCTCCGTCAGAAGTACCTAGGTAGTATGTAGCATTCATCATTCAATCAGCGCTGCCTGACTTTAGCTCGCGGTACTACTAGTAGTCATCCACACTTCCAGGGCTGGGCAGTCCGAGGTACTCGAGGGTGTCACACGCGTTAGGAAATAGTCACATCATATACTAGTAGACATTGCCAAGAGCTGTGCCTGCTCCATTAAAGCGGGCTACAGAACTGAATGGGTCGTTGATGACTTCATATCGCAATTTATAACAGCGTCCTCCCATATTTTAATGCATGTATATACAACACAACCATCATTATCAAGACTAGCCTAAGCACTATGCCCCACTGGCAGTCTAGACAACTCTAGCCTCAGACTTGGGCGGCCGATCCCCAAAAATAGTCGTTCCCACACGAACCTGATCTGATCCAAGGGCAATAGCACCCTCAAAATCCGAACTCATCCCCATACTCAACTCCAACAGTGCATCATCCCCAAGAAGCCCCAACTCATTCACAATTCGATCCCTCGTCTCCCTCAAACAAACAAAATCTTCATTCTCATTTTCCGGCGTCGTATCCCTCGACCTCGCAATAGCCCCAATAGTCATAACACCCTGCAATTTAAGCCGTGGACACTTCTCCCTGATAAAGCGACAAAGTCCCGAAGCCGCACCAGGCTCAACACCAGCCTTATTCTCCTCGCCCGAAGTATTAACCTGGACATAGATGCGCAGTTTAGAATCCTCAGCATTCGTAGTATCTACATCCTCAGACTTCCTCTCTCCCCCCACCCCTTATCAAGCAATGTAGCTTTTTTCTCTGAATCGACGCTTTCAACTGCCCATAGCCCGCGCACGTCCCGAGCAAGCGTAACGCATTTATTTGATTGGAGACCACCGATAAAGTGCCATTTCACGGTGCGGGGGAGAAGTCGGGATTTCTCAATGAGCTCTTGGAGGTAGTTCTCGCCGAAGTGGAGCTGGGAGGCGGGGGGTTGGTGGAGGGCTAGAATGTCGGAGGCGGGCTTGAGCTTGGATACTGCTACTAGGCGGGTTGTTTTGGGAGATTGGGCGGGAGCTGCGGTTGTGACGCGGGCAGAGACGGCTTTTAAGTTCGCCAGGAGGGTTGAGGCTCTGGCGGGTGTTGCGGTCATGTTGGGTGGATGCTCTGTAGATTGGGACGGAGTGGTCATTGCAGTTTTCGTGAAGGGTTTTGTATAGATGGGTTTTGGTGAGTCGATTGATGTTCTTCTGAGTGGTGAGGTTTATGTTCACGAGTGCGAGTTGGGATTGCTCAGTAATTAAGAGCTGGTGTAGATGTATATGCAGGTGAGGTGAAAGAGCTTCTCGTTGAGTCAATTGAGGAAAGAAGGAAAACTAGTGGCGGCGTTTAGTTCGACGGCGATAATGATTGCGATCGTTGCCTGAGGCCACTAACTTCCGCGGAAAAGTGACAGGTCACATGACAGATCGGACAGTCTGATAAGATCTTACCGCCTGCCTGTATAGGATAAATTACCCCATTTATCTCTGACCGCCTTTATTCCACTCGATCCATTGAAGATGATCAAGATCCGTTTGCGACGTGATTGAATTTGATCTAATTTCTAAATTTTCCATGCGACGCTGTACCTGTTGACTCAGCCACCTGAATTTTCTTTGTTCGGGATTTTCGGGCGGCAAATGATACCAGGGGTTTTCTTTGGGGCTGCATTAGGGAGAGCGGCTAACTCCAAGCCAATCAATGCGCATAGATGTATGGAACGGTTTGGCGCCCGGGTCACCGCGGATCCTTCACGATTTAGCCTGTGTCGATCTCCGTTGAGTTTCGAGCTGGAACCTTGAGCTTTGTGAAGCTTTGTGGTTTATCGACATAGGCTAAAGCCTATTTTTAAACAATAGAGCCGCCTATGAGGGGGCTTTATAGCCTTACCTAGCTATAGAAGGTTAAGGTCTCACCGCATACTTCCTTTTAGTGATTTTTTACATCGATGCAGCCTGCAGCTAGTTCTTCGCCAAGATTCCAAGATTCCAAGATTTCAATTCATTATTTCTGTTACCTCATTTTTTTCAAATTTTACTCAGCCGCCTCATGATCGTGAAGCCATAGTCTGGTAGAGGCCCAGGCAATACTACCTGACTCTACAGGCGAAGATGTAACCCGAAGCGCCGAAAAGGGTAACTTCTAGTCCAATCCAGCCCCGGTCGACCTGATTGATTATGGGAGCGGCCCAATCCAGCTCAGTTAATGGTCTTCCTTGACGTCAGCTGTTGCAGGATCCATGGTTTCAAGACGCGCTGCTAATACCTATTCACTCATTATTACCATCAATTTACCTACTAAGCCTAATTAGATAGCTTGCTCTGCCTGACTCCCCCAGGTTGTAATAGAACATAAACCTGCAGATCTGCTCTTCTGCTCTACTTTCCTTTCTTCCTGCACCTATTTTCTATTCCCATCAGCTGGCCTGAAACACTCTTTGTCGTGAATAAACCCCTTTGATCGCACCTCCGTGGGACAATCTATACTCCATCTGCTCCGTCATACCACATCTCTCATCTCTCTTGATCAGCAGCACTAGACGCATTTCAGTCGACCAAACCTCAACTCATATTAGTTTTCGACTCTCGATCTTCATCTCTACATCCAGAAATCGCCGACCCTCAGATTTACCCCTCCAAATTCTCCGCATACTTTCAATCAGAAGAAAATCTTCTTGCGCCGGAATTGGTCGGATCCCCAATCCTACGCTCCACTCTTCGTTCCATACAAACCATTAAACACCAATTGAATTTCCGAATCTCTCCATCAATCATGTGTCGCCAATATTTCACCTTGTATGAATGGTGTCATTGCGAAGAAGATGCTGGTCAAAGTGTTTGCGCCGGTCAACGCCGCAACAGTTGTCCGGGAGTGAGCTTTGAAACAGTGCATATGCATTGCTTTTGCAACACCCACGCTACTCGAGGATTCAAGTCCGAGAAGAAGACCGTTAAGGAAGCAGAGAAGAAACGTCGCCGATCCCAGGATTCTCTCGATGAGAAGTCTTCTTTCGGCCGTCGCTGGTATCAGTGGTATCAATGGCGCGGTCTGTGGTCTCGGTAAATGAAATACTTTATTCTTTTTCCGTTCTCATGTCACCTTATTTTTCTTATTTTTCATGATTCTTGTTCATTTCCCTCAGCTTTGGTGTTTCGGTTGAAAATAGTTTCATTCAATTCAATTCTTGGGCGAATCTACTATGATTCTGGAAGGAGTTTGGACATCAGGCGTTTAGGGAGGAAAATTCCCCTATGATTTTCGTTTTTATTTATTTCTCATGGTCATTTTTGAATCAATAGAAGGAATGATGCTTTTTCTTTGACAGACATATTCTAGTGAAACATGGGAGAGAAGTAGAAGACTTGAGTATACTATTAGAAGAATGTAGGAATGGGATCGACGATCGACTGACCCCTTGCCCCATACAACCACCACAACCAGGGAGAAAGTTGAATACATCCCGCGCCTCTTCCCTTTCTCTTCATGCTCCCTACGAGTGACATACGCAGGACACAAGAAAACAATAAGAATCTCCTTTTTTGAAATCCTTTGTATCTCATGCTTTTCAGATCTATGATCCAACATCATGGACCCCTCTAGATCCCAAGATGATCCCCCTCCGCGCTTTATTGATAACCCAAACAACAACGCGATGAACCAGCCTGACCCGTCTGACTTTGACATCGCTGATTCTTTGAATCGCATGTCTCTGGCAAATGCTGCGGCAATCCCACTACCAACTTCGCCATCTCTTTTATCGCCTAACGATGTCTCATCGCGCCCCATCCCAGTCAACCAACAACCCGCTCCAAGACGCACCCCCAGCTCCAGCTCTCTGCGCGACGAACGTCGCAAATCAATCCCTGCCCTACAAAAGCGCCAGTCAACCGCGTCGCTACGATCCGTTTCTGTAACCAACGGCCCCTCTTCTCCACTCGCCGACTCGTCGCGTCGTTCCTCCGCTAATTTCGCGGGGTCCCCGACCTCCGCCGCGTCGCCCGCAATGTTGCCACCGCGGCTCGCGTTTGCCCCTCCAGAGCCCCAGGGCCCCACGGCAGCTTCCATCGCGGCAGAACACTTCCAGAAAGAGGTCGATCTACACCATGCGGTCGATCTGGGTTCCAAAACAGTCGTTGTGATCCACGATGCATGTTACGGCCATCGCTTCTCACGCCCGCGAACAACCAGAGCGCAACTAAGTACCATCGTGGAAAGACCAGAGCGGATTCGTGCTTGTGTAGTAGGCATCGCTGCTGCTTATGTTCGTCTCGGTCGTCGACATGCTGGGGAACTATTTGCGCCTCACCCACAGCTTGATCTGCATCTCTTACCTCCGCCACCATTCCAGATTCGCAAATCGTCGCGCTCATTGCCACTGACCGATGAAGCTGTTACTAGCGTCCATGGAAATCTATGGATGACAGAGCTCAAAGGCATGTGTGATCTTGCAGAATCGCGCCTCGCCTTGACTGGAAAAGAACTGGTTCGAAATCGCACCCAGGAGAATGATGGCCTAGCTTCTAGCGGGCCAGAATTACACTCGGGTGACTTGTATCTATGTTCAGAATCGCAGAATGCTTTCCAAGGCGCATTGGGTGGTGTCTGTGACGGACTCGACCTTGTACTTGGCCCGGGTCCTACTACACGCGCATTCGTTTGCATCCGTCCTCCAGGCCATCACTGCTCAGCAGACTTCCCCTCGGGATTCTGCTGGATCAATAACGTGCACGTCGGGATCTCATATGCAGCTACTCAGCATGGATTAACGCATGCCGCTATCCTCGATTTCGATCTGCACCATGGCGACGGCTCCCAGGATATCGCCTGGGACCATAACCGGAAAGCATGGTTTGCTTCGCGCAAGTCGTCACCTTACGAAAAAACACCTATTGGATACTACAGTCTTCATGATATCAATTCTTATCCTTGCGAAGACGGCAATCCAGACAAAGTTCGTAACGCTAGTGTCTGCGTTGATGGTGCACACGGACAGTCAATTTGGAACGTCCATCTTGATACATGGGGAACCGAGCCAGAATTTTGGAAACTGTACAAGACCAAATATGCTGTTTTGATTAATAAAGCCCGTACATTTCTTCGAAACCATACCAAGCGACTTACTGAAAATCCAACTGGACCCCCTCCGAAAGCTGCGATCTTCATTTCTGCAGGATTTGATGCAAGTGAATGGGAAGGTGCTGGCATGCAACGGCATAGGGTTAATGTTCCGACTGAATTCTATGCAAAATTTACCGCGGATGTGGTTCGGATGTCTGAAGAAGAAGGGTTAGGTGTCGATGGGCGTGTTATCAGTGTCCTGGAAGGCGGTTATAGTGACCGTGCTCTCACCAGTGGTGTTCTCAGTCATATTGCTGGGCTGGGAAATGCGTCTGCAGATACTCCGCCTTCACGAATGCCCAGCCTTGCTGCTACATTGACCAAGGAAACCATGAAGCCTAGCCAGTCGGAGTATGATATTGACTGGTGGTCTCCTCAACATCTTGAGGAATTGGAAGCGCTCGTGGCTCCGCCAATCAAAACTCGTGACAAATCTGCGCCAACCTTCTTGAACTCGACTCGCTCATTCTCAGCCAAGGTAGTTACGCCGACATGGGAGCGCAAGAATTTTGGATCCTACCCAGGCCTTGAACCTAGCCTTCCCCCTCTGCCAGATGTGGGTTGGGCAACAGCCGCGCATGAGTTATCAAAGGTGCTCATTCCGGAGGATCGGCAGACTATGAGCTGCAAGCCTGAGGATCTCAACGCCGCAGCTTCTCGTCAACGGCTTGAGCGGCAAGTTGCGCTTGATGGCGGCGTGATGAATCCAGCGATCATCCCCCCCCCCCTCCAGCCCCTATTGACGATAAACGGCAACTTCGCGTGAGAAAAACCAAATCCCCAACCCCGTATTCTCCTCGCCCTGCCACGCCTCGACAACAGGCAATGCGCAAGAACCGCAGAAAGACCATTGAGGGCAACGAGCTACCTGATCCTTTACGTGAATCGTCACCATCCGTGGATGCTAGTAGACGAAAGAGTGCAACCGCCGTTGCTCCTATTCCCATGGGTGAAATGGGCGGCTCGAGCGAGAAAGGGACACCTACTGAGGAGACAGCACCATCTACAACCCCCAGACCTACTTCATCTGGTGGCGCACGAAAAACAAGTGGATCACGCCCTGGCACCCCGAAGCGTTCTGCAAGCCCGCGGAAAGCCCCTCCTGTTCCTAAACTCCCAGCCGCATTTATGCCCTCGAAACTTTCTGATGAAGTGACCTTGCCCCAAGATGATGTGGAAAATCTCGCAGCTGGCTTGCGCAAGATTAAGCTGGTCATGCCTTCACCGGAAGAACAAGCTGCCCGAGAAAGGAAAGTCACCGAAGAGCGAAAGTTAGTTCCCAAACCAGCCAGAACTCTAAAATCGCCCAAATCACCCAGGAAGACCAGTGCATCTAGAACACCCCGTGGAAAGGCCGTAATCCGCTTTGGAACAACGCCAAATACTTCTCCACCGGATATCCCCACGCCTCCCATTGGTATTTCCGCGAGCGATGCAATGATAAAGCAGGAGAACCAGCCCTCAAACTTCGGCTTTTCCTCAGATTCACTTGCCACCTCTTCATCCATGGCTTCGACCGAAGCAACTGGGATGAGCGGTATGACTTCAATGTTCCCTGCGTTCAAATCCTCTGAGGGGATAACTCCATCAGTCTCCCCATCTATCAACCAACAACCGACTTTCTTTCCTCCCAATACGTCTTCTCCACCTCACACCCCCGACAACCAGATGACCCAGAGTACAGAATCATCTAATGCTAAATCCAATGTCTACTCGCCCCCTACATCAGAAGCTCAGACAAAAACGGGGTTACCTGTTTTTACATCCAATAGTGCCATTCCCTTTGCGGCGCCCGGGGCTTCTCAGAACAATCCTCCGCCAAACAACACTTCTTATCCAGTCCAGAAAAACTCTCAGGAAAACCGACCTCACTACCCATCAATGTAACTTGTTTCGTCTCATCTATTCTTTGGACTCTCCTGGCGTTATGATGGATTCCGGTGTGATAAACCTGTGACCTCGCCGTCATTTGTGTCTTTCTTATATACCCCTTACGTTCAATCTTCTTTTTGGGCTGTATTCTACTCATTCTTTTCCTTTTTCCTTTTTTCTTTTATTTGTGGAGTCTCGGTTTTTGTCTGATCATGTTCTACCAATGTTCCTAATCAGTTTTACTGGGTCATTTTAAACAAAATTTACGATTTATGATCCCTCGACCACTACTTTCACTTTGCTCTAATATGTCTCACTTGTTTAAGCTGAACCAACATATCACACTGCAGGTCTGTAGATTTTGGGTGGTACAAGAGGATATTCATGCTCATCCAATGCTCTTTGTCTGTGAAAGTGGGTCGATCTCCGAGACCCTGCGCTAGAAGGCTTCCCTTGCCGACGAGTCGACAATGCAAGTCTCAATGGCCTACTTAGTCTCCTGATTGCAGGAGCCAGCGTTCGTATACCGACTGGAGCAAATCCAGAGTGTGGTGCGGTGTTTAGCAGCAGAATATGGCTTGGCTGTAAAGCAGAGGCGGGGCAAGTAAATAACCTTTCTCGGGAGTTGACTTTCAGCCCATGTCATCTCTGCCTATCTATCTAGAACTGTCTTTAAATTTGCGCACTTCTTTCCTCTTCTACATCTCCCATCATGAGTTGTAAGCCTGAGCCTCGTCCAGCTTGCTCTTCTGGACGCTGCAGTGAGCAACGCGACGAAAGAAAGACCAATGATGCCTCCATTCCCAAGGTCCCCAGCCAAGCCCGTTCAGAGAGCAACCGCACCACACAGAGAGCCCAGAAAGAAAACCACGACAGACCCAGCTGTTGCAAAGACAAGCCATCCCCCTGCTGTGATAATTCCTGCCTCGACCGCATTGCCCTTCGTGAATGCGATAAAGGAAGAACTTCATCACCTAACCATGCATCCCCAAGTAAGTTGAGTCATCTCCGATTTCGCCCCCAATCAGCTACATTAACGCCAATTTAGAATATGCGAGTTCCGGCTGTCACGACCACGACGGTGAGCCATGCGAGCAGCATCTTCGTTCCACTCGCAATAAGTACGCAGCTATCCTCGAAGCTCTGGGGTGCATTTGTCGCGCTTTGGTAGAGCTCGGACAAGAATCTTGCTGCGCACCATCGCGGGCGTCTTCGTTGCGAAGCGCTCGCCGCTCGACGGAATCATCTCGGAGTATCCTGCGAGTTTCTCTTGGCACGTGCTGCAAAAATGACGGTAAAGGATTCGAAAAACGCAGTAACCTGCATCTAAAAGAGGAAGCAGCATGCCAAAGAGGCTGTTGTGGTGCTGCCGAAGCCCCTCCTTCTCCTGATCAGTCTGCTACTACCAAGGAAATAAAGGGGAGAAATTGCAACACTGGCTGCTGGACTAAGCCTCAGATTTCCGAGACGGTCGAGGAGCATGCATCAGTTCCAAAAGGAGCAACTGGTAAAGCTACAGGCTGCTCAAAGGGTTGCTGTGGCAAACCCAAGGAACTGACGGATACAGTTGCCGGAGAAAAGCCAGACAAGCTCGATATTCAGGGAGGAAGTTGCTGCAAGAAATCAGGCCCTTCTGCGTGCTGTTTTCCCAAAGAAAGATCTAGCGACTCAATAGAGATCAGTCAAGAAATTGGCACCCCTGATCTGGAAAAAGGCTTCACGGGCAAGGAGCATGTCATTTTGAGTATATCTGGAATGACCTGTACTGGATGCGAAACAAAGCTTAAAAGGGCCCTGGGCACACTGCAGTCGGTGCAGAACCTCAAAATCAGCCTGGTGCTCTCAAGAGCGGAATTTGAGTTGAACACCGGTCTCCAGTCACTAGATGAAGTGCTGAAGCACCTGGGGAAAACTACCGAGTTCAAGTATGAAAGGTTCAGTAACCGAGGATCCAACATGGATGTTGTCGTGTCCGATGCCCCTCATTTTGCTAAGCAAGATTGGCCGCGTGGCGTGACTGAGGTGACCATTTTTGATGAGAAAACCTTGAATATTGCATTTGATGCGGAGATAATCGGGGCGAGAGACCTGCTGACGCATGGTTGGGGTAGACCTTTGAGCTTGGCTGGTCTTCGTGCCGATCCAGCTCTTGCAGCTGGAAGCAAACATGTGCGCCACATGGGGTATATGACAATATTGTCCATTATTTTGACTCTACCCGTATTGGTCCTTGCCTGGGCTCCTCTTCCGAAGCGAGAAATTGCCTATGGTTCTGCATCGTTAACTTTGGCGACCATTGTCCAAATCGTCATTGCTGGTCCGTTTTACCCCAAAGCATTAAAGGCATTGGTTTTCTCCAAGATCATTGAAATGGATCTCCTCATTGTGTTGAGTACAAGTGCTGCGTATATTTTCTCTGTGGTCTCGTTTGGATATCTTGTCGTGGGGAAATCACTGGCTACTGGTGAATTCTTCGAGACTAGCACCTTGCTCGTCACGTTGATAATGTTCGGTCGGTATGTTGCCGCACTTGCTCGCCAGAAAGCAGTCGAATCCATTTCAGTCAGATCACTGCAGACGTCTATTGCTACCCTTGTCGATGAATCTGGGGCCAATGAACAGGAGATTGATGTGCGACTCTTTCAATACGGAGATATTTTCAAGGTCGTCCCCGACTCTAAAATTCCAACCGATGGAACAGTTATTTCAGGATCATCTGAGGTTAACGAGTCTATGCTTACTGGAGAGTCAATTCCGGTAGACAAATCACCCGGCTCTGTCGTTGTCGCGGGCTCTGTGAATGGCTCAGGGACGCTCATTGTCCAGTTGACTAGTCTTCCTGCTGATAATACGATCTCCACTATTGCAGGGATGGTCGACCAAGCAAAATTGTCCAAGCCGAAGATACAAGATATTGCGGACAAGGTGGCGAGTTATTTTGTGCCGGCTGTGATTACTTTAACTATCATTACGTTCGGAATCTGGATTGCTGTAGGTATCACAGTACGCAAATATTCCGGATCTCGAGCTACCACTGAAGCAATAACCTATGCTATTACTGTACTCATTGTTTCTTGTCCATGCGCTGTTGGTTTAGCAGTGCCGATGGTAATCGTCATATCCAGTGGTGTCGCTGCTGAGCGAGGTATCGTCTTCAAAGCTGCCGATAGCATCGAACTCGCCTACAGGACTTCACATGTTGTATTCGACAAGACTGGAACTCTCACCAGAGGTAAGCTCACAGTTACTGTTGAGCATATAAATCATACAGAGAATGCCATGTCCCTTCTGCTAGGTTTGATTGGATGTAACAAGCACCCAATTTCAGCCGCCGTGGCTGCGCATCTCCAAGCAAAAGGCATATCAGCGTCCGCCATCACAGACAGCGAGGTATTAACCGGCAAGGGTGTGGAAGGCAATTCATCTGGCCTCATTTTACGCGCAGGAAATTCACGGTGGCTCAACCTCTCGTCCAACCCGCAAGTTCAATCCGTCCTTAAACGAGGGTATACGGCATTTTGTTTCACAGTCAACAATGGTGTTGCCGCCGTCTTTGGCTTAGAAGATTCGCCACGCCACGATGCCCTCGAAACTGTCACTAAACTACAAGAGCGCGGTATAACTACCCACATTCTCTCAGGCGATGACGAAGGGCCCGTAAACTCCATTGCAAGACAGCTCGGGATCAAAACTGAAAATGTCCGCTCCCGCTGCTCCCCAATCGACAAGCAAGCCTACATCCAAGATCTTCTCACCATTGGCCATCAGGCATTGCCCAACAAAGCCAATACAACCATATTCATTGGTGATGGTACAAACGACGCTGTTGCTCTTGCTACCTCTACAATTGGCGTGCACATGAACCAAGACACCGGCAGCGACGTCGCCAAATCCGCTGCAGACGTTGTGCTCATGCAACCCATCCTGCTCAACATACTGACTTTGATAAATATCAGCGAGAAAGCAGTGCGAAGGATCAAGTTCAACTTCTGGTGGAGCTTTGTCTATAATTTGTTCGCTATCTTGCTTGGTGCTGGGGCCTTTGTGGATGCTAGGATCCCGCCGCAGTATGCTGGGCTTGGGGAATTGGTGAGTGTTTTGCCTGTAGTTACGGCGGCGGTGCTTCTGAGATGGACAAAGGTTTAGATGCGAAAGTATCTGCCAAGCAGATAATACTTTGTTATTCGAAAGGGTTTGTCGCATTCCGGGCTCGTTCTAGAGCTTCAGACTATTGGCAATCAAGAGCAGCGCGTGGAAAATCACAATCCCATTGCATTTTATTCCAGTTCAACTGTCAGTCCCAATAGCCAAAGCGTCCAGCAACCCTACAGGTAGCATGAAGGTTGTTTCCAACAGTTGAAGTGCCATCATTGGAGTTCAGTAATTCTATACATAAAAGTCCCTTGTCAGGTGTGTGGGCGAGAGCGCGGACTAGACTCAACACGTCCTGAATGAGATCTCTCAGTACTCAATGATACCACGGTACCTTGTTGATGGGGTATACAAGAGACAACTAGAAGCGACGTGAACCAATGAGAGACGACGGTTTGATTCAAAGGGCGGATAACCTCACATCATAATTATTATTGTCAGCCCTGGTTCCAAGGTTCCGCAACTTGTGAAGCGTATTGCCCGCACTGTATTTGGACTCGGATGCAAGAATTTGGAAAAGGCAGAACAAACTAGAACATTTCAATTTCAGAGTATGTGTCCCTTCTTAAAACCCAACAAAATTATCATCAATCTCCTACTCCTATTTCAACAGAAACCAGCCCTGAAGATTATACCGAAGATGGAGTACTTACCAGACCTCACTAAATCTATTTGCTCCGATCTTCTAGGATCACAAAAGCTTTTTGTCAACGACCCTGAGCACGTCAAGGAGCTCCAATCCCTTCTGTTCGATACGCCGCTTCTTCGAATATGGGATGAAAGTTCTGAAAATAGACCTATGACACGTCGTGGGGGGCCGTTAGATAGACGGTACGAAAGTGGGTACATAATAAATCGCATATTCGCAAGAGCTCCACGCCAGCCACTGTGATCGAAACGTTCATGGAAAAAAGAATTGAGCAGACACTGTCGGTACACAGATTGCCATCCAACACCGTTCATCTCATTCAACACAAACCCAAAAGCTATTCAAGCACCTTGCCAATAGTTGCAGTAAACCAAGACGCAAACTTGGTCCTGGGATGATCTTTGCGAGGATGAAGACTGGTACAATAACATTGTGCTTCCAAATTTCAGGATACATCAGTTTAAAAGGTCAGAACATTTCCAAACATGTTTTAGAGAAATTGGGTGGTCCGGCACTATTGGACAGTCAGCCGTTACATGGACCAGGTTTATGAGATCAGAGGAATACGAAGCAATTCAAACTTTCAGAGAAGCTGTACGACTCAACGCAAAGCTGTCTCAACACTCCGATGTGAGTTTTTTTCAGGAGAGCGAGAGTGGTCTGCTGCTGCACTTAGGGAATTTATCTTTTCTACTCAAGCCCGAAGAAAGGATCATCGAGGTAAAGGACACATTGGATGTTATTGTTTCAACCTTGCTCAAACTTCAAAATCGCATATCTCTCGGAACTCCGCCTGAATAATTAAAAAATACCCCCGGGAATTCATCGGAGTCAGTCAAACGCAGAATATTACAAGCTAGCTCAGCGGCCGATGACAATACCGACTACCTCGACGTGCTGGAAGGATTTCCTGAGTTATTCGCAGACAAAACTCATGAGGATACGGGTACTTCTAAGTACGTAAATGGCAATAATATCGGTAATGTCACCCTCGACGAGGAAAAAGTCCATGTGACTGAGCTTGGAAATTATCTCATGGGTAAGTCATTCGATTTGAAGCATTGAACGGTAGAGTTAATATCTGCGCAGATGAAGAAAATATTGAAAAAGGCCCTGGTATAAATTACTTGAACGAAAAGTTTGAAACAGAATCAACCGACGATGATTGGGCTTTTTCAAGCTCGAGAGAATTTTGGAATATACATTTAAAGGACGACATCGGAGTCTGATCAGGATGTTGATGATGGATACGAAAGTACTATTTATTGCTTTACACGATATATGAAAATGGTGCTGGATTATTTTACTCGGATAATATTTGGATGAACACCCCACTTGCTAATGTAATTCATGATTTGAATCTGTCAGGTTGAGGTCAGGGGTGTCTCTATAACTTTGATGTATTGATACTGAAATTCGTTCTTCGAGTTAATAGTTTTTAAGCATAACGAATTAAGGCATTAAGTTTTCAGAAGCAACATTATAATCTAACCTTTCCATAATGAAATAGACTCAGTTTCAATCAAACAAAATGTTGTAGCAGCAAAGTGGCAAGATTATGAAGCAACTCGATCTATTGAATCTATAGAATCGGAGCCGTAAACGCCGGATCTCCGTGATTAGTCAAGCCCGAGGCGCTTCTCCGCATTAGTCAATGGAGCCAGCACCTTCTACTCACTACTAGAACCAATTCGCATCATATACCCAAGTCCACCTTCGCATCGCATTTCGTTTTCCTTACAGCATTTCTACACCATACAAGCTCCCAAAACGACAATCATGGCTCCCATAACCTCAACCAGAGGAGCCACACCCGCAGCTGACGACTCATTCACGCAAATGGCCGACACAGATCTAGAGTCAATCGGCCGCCACTGCCAATTCGAATACTGCGGCCAACTCGACTTCCTCCCCTTCCGCTGCGAATCCTGCAGAAGTACATTCTGCCTAGACCATCGCTCCGAAACAGCGCATAAATGTCCCCGCGAAGGCGAATGGGCTCGCCGCCGGAACGCAAACCAAAAAGAGAACCTGCCTGCTCCTGAAAAGCCGAACATCTACAACTCAGACCAGTGCTACCAGGTCTCCTGTAAAACACTCATTAATACACTCAAAGATCCCGGTGTGCGCTGCCCAAACTGCAACAGGGAATACTGCTTGAAACATCGGTTACGGGAGGAGCACGAATGCGCCAAGCTTACCCCGCTAGGCGCACGACAAGGCAACGGTCCAACACCCAACCAAACGATTAAGTCAATGTTTGCGCGCGTGCGGGACTGGGGGAAGGATAAGCAGGTTACGAGCGCGAACTTGATTCCGAAGACCAAGCCCAAGCCGAATAGCCCTGCTGCGAGGGCGGCGAGTGTTATTACCATGAAACGGTCGGCGAAGGGCGAGGCAGGCGTTCCGGCGGATAAGAGGTTGTATCTACATACTGTTGGGACGGCGGATACACAAGCTACAGAGCCTCCATCTGGTGATTTCTATTTCGACTCTCGGTGGAAGGTTGGCCGAGTTCTCGACGATGCGGCAAAGAGGTTACGAGTTGAGAACTTGAATAATCGGACTGGAGGGGAGGGAGAGAAGTTGAGGATCTATCATGTGGAATCTGGGGATTTCTTGGAGTTCTCGGAATCTATTGGGGGTGGGAAGGTGAAACAGGGTGATACCATCGTGCTTTTACGAGGCGCTGGGAAGGTTTTGGAGAACTAATGATGCATTTCGCAGTTCGCATTTTGCATTTATTTGAGCCATTTAGCTGATTTCCATCGGGAGAATCATGAGCATATATTGATACACCGACGCATTTTGTTCTCATCTTAATGATACCTGAGTACTCCTAGAGCCGGAGGCACGCTCTTTCATACAATTCTTTGAAACAATACATAGCATATTTCGACCTTATCATCGTAAATTTTCAAAATGGCATAAACAATTTTCGCATTGATAGCATCGCATCTATATTCAAAAAGACTGGTATCGTCTAAACATCATGATATAACTTGAGAACAAAGAAACCACAGAGAGCGTTGAGTTAAACATCAAACACTCATCTTCATCTTGATGATCTTGTGAGGTTTGTAGCCAATAATTTCAAACTCATCTTCTTTCCATCCGTCAATCACAGCGCTACCGCGATCATCACGTTTAATACGTAATTCGGGGAACTCAGTAGGCTCACGAGTGAGCTGCTCATTCAACGCGTCAACATGGTCAAGGTAAACATGGGCATCTCCCATAGTGTGAACGAGGGTGCCAGGGTTCAGGTCTGCAGCATGAGCAAGGATATGTGTAAGAAGGGCATAAGAAGCGATATTGAACGGAACACCCAGACCCATATCACAAGAACGCTGATAAAGCAGGCAAGACAAGGTTCCCTTCTCGTTAGGGCGACCATTCTCATCAAGCTTCATAGTGGGCGGGAAAGAGACGTAGAACTGTGCGAACATGTGACAGGGCGGCAAGGCCATCTTCTTCAGATCTGCTGGGTTCCACGCGCTCATGATGATGCGACGATCAAACGGCGAGTTCATAATCTTATCCACTACTTCTTTCAGCTGATCGACGCCCTGTCCTGTGTAATCCGTCTTCGCATCAACATATTCCGCGCCGAAATGACGCCACTGGAATCCATATACGGGACCCAGGTCACCTTCCTCCCGGTGGCCGAGGCCAACTTTGTCAAGGAACTCGCGGCTGCCATTTCCATCCCAGATCTTAATACCAGCTTCGGAGAGAGGCGTGGAGGATGTAGTGCCTGCAATGAACCAGAGAAGTTCGGCGAGCACGGCGCGCAAGAAGACTCTTTTCGTGGTAAGGAGGGGTAGAACGGGAATTGGAGCACCGCCGTCTGGGTTGGGCTTGGAGAGGGAGAATCGAAGTTGTGGTGGGCCAAACAAGGATCTGGTACCGGTACCTGTCCTGTCTGGTCTATGTTCTCCCTGGGCAAGAATGTCGCGAATCAGGTTGAGGTACTGATGCTCCTCGTGCGAGGGGTTGTGAGGCGCCGGTACGACCACATTTGGGGTATTAGTGGTCTGATCTTGGGTCATATTTGAGGTGTTGGGTATTTTGACTCTCGGGTATTTTCGTCTGGATTTTTCACGGGGAAATAGGTTGGGATAGTTAACGAGACCAAGCAATTGATATGCGGAGATGCAAATGCTCTGGTATCGTTTTTCGCGTCAAACGCGACACGCTGTCACGTGCCTTTCTTATCTTATCGGCGTGGTGTGCTTACGCTGTTCCTGCGCGATGCGACACCTCGAGCTTTGATAAAACAACCCAAGATATCAATTTACGCTTCCTTCGCTTTTTTCGAGGAAGATTGGCTTTACGAGCCAGAGAGTTTCGATTTCATTCATGCACGATTACTTGCAGGGTACGTCATCAATTCCGCATTTTGAGATTACTTTACTCACTTAAAAGTAGATGTGTCGGGGACTGGCCACAGTTCTTCAAGCGTTGCTACGATTGTCTCAAACCAGGTACCTATTTTGAAATCCAAGAAAGTGCAGTGTGGATCTGGAGTGACGATGGAAGCTGTCCGTACGACTCCGCACTTTTTGAGTGGGTCCGAGCAATGGATACTGCTTCGAGAGCTAATGGAAAGCCATGTAATATCTATCCCTACTTGAGAGATTGGATGATAGAAGCAGGGTTTGAGGACGTGCAACAGTTTGTCTACTTTCTCCCTTACTCGCCATGGCCTAGAGATCTTTATATCAAGGAAATCGGGAGATATCAGCTCGTCCAGGCACAACAAGCCGTTGAAGCGTACTCCATGCGGCTTTTCACAGATGTTCTAGGTTGGGGAGAAGATGTGTCTAAGATATTCCCGGCTCAGGCTAAACATCAGCTTCTTGATAAGAACATGCATGCTTATGTGAAGGAGTAAGGCATGTTGTGTGGTCTGAAAGTATCACTTACTAATCACCAAGCTTACACAGATTTGTCGTATATGGGCGTAAGCCTTGCAGTTGAATGGAAAGGAGAAACAGTCTGAAGTCCGACTACAGGCCTTTGTTCAAGCAACCGCGTGTGCGCCAATGACGACGATGTTCGTGGGCCTATACAGAATTCTTGGGCATGACAAAATGAATGCCATTCAACACTGGTTTTTGTAGATCCCGTGGTGACTTTTTACCTCCAGCACTAAAATCACATGAAGTGGGTCACGGTGATGATCACCCACATTGATGATGATGTCCCTGGCAGCCTGGCTCCATGAAGACAGCCACTTCTTCTAAGATATCTACTCCGGACATTCGCCCCTGCCACTATCTTACTTTTCGGGAGACTGTATTCCACTGGAAATAAGTGAGGGGGCCGGCATACGATTTTGAAATTTTACATTTGAGTCATCAGAGCAAAGTCACAATACCGCACCCGCCCGACTTTACCGACAATGATATCATACACAAATCCGAGATCCAAAAAGGCATCAATAATTTGGCTGAAGATGATAATAACAGCGAAGAGAGCCTGAATCGACGCTTTCATATTCTATCTATAGCATGGTGGCCAGATTCCACGATGTCAAAGCCCAGTCGAAGAAAGGGTAGCTTTTCCTTCATTACGAAAGTGGAAAAGATGAAAAGACTTTGTTTACATCTAGAATAAAGATCAATGCCGAAATGGAAGGTTCTCGCGCCATAAAGGGCCGTCTTTTCTCTCTTATCTTGTAACCCTGCAAAAGTTAGGCATGCATGGTTGAAAGCTTTCTTCGCGACTCCCTTACCAGTGAAATTCAACCTCCCTGGGGAGGGGCAAGAGAAAATAAAAGGAAAGGAAACACTAAATGTAGATGTGGTTTGTGTGATTTACTGGGTTAACCGAGTGCAGATTGTTTCTTTATGGAAGTCAAATCTTCTTGATATCTACGGTCCAGCTATTCTGTCTCATTAACTATTCACAACACACCCTATTCAGATATGATGAGTAGTTGGTTATGCAGTTTGATGTCGTCGAGAGAGAGGGAGGGGTACGGGTTACCCTGCCAGGAGGGAGGTTGAGACTCGAAAGTTTATGTGTAGCCACGGCCTTACTAAAATTGGAACAAAGAAAATCTCCAATACCCTATAGATGGATGTTTATATCTGCTATCAAGGCTTTAAAAATAATCCATCCACTAATCTCGTTTACATTTATAGTAATTCAATTTGAAGGTCCACATAATTGATTTAATGATTCGAACTAGCCCTAATATACCGCTAAAGAAACCAAGCGCCCATTTTTGCCCAAATTCAACCTCTCACTTATGTACATTTCAAGAATCAAAGTCATGTTCTACCACCCATTCAGCTCTAATATGCGTTCCTAGCATGACTCACCAAGACTAACCGCCATACTTCTTTCCAGATCTATGTGTTCGTTGACGACCCTGTTGTGCCTGAATCATCGCAGCCCTGTTGGCCATAGCCATTTTTCGTGCGCCAGGTCCACGTGGTCTTCGGTCAGGAGCAGGGATTGGTGCATCAACAGGGCCTGGCGCGGCTACAGGAGGTGGTGCTACAGCAGCAGGAGGGGCACCAGCAACAGGGAGCAAAATAGGAGGAGCAGGAACAGCAGTAGGCGTTGGCTTAGGTTTAAACTTCTTTTTGGTTGGCTGTAGAGCTTCTGACTTGTTCTCTCCCCTTCGCTTTTGTCCAATAATAGGAGCTGGTGGAGCAGCAGGTGGAGGGGCAGCAACAGGTCCAGCACCGAGTATAGGCTCAATAGCAAACAACATATATGGAACAGTTATAGAACCCTGTTCTCCCGGCGGCCCGAGTGGGAAATTTTCCATCGAAACAGCAATATACGAGATATGGTGAGTCCCGCGTGGCCAACGCCCCAAGACAGTTGCGCCTACTAATTTCCCAAGTTCCGTACCCAGCAGGCCATGGTAACTATCTGGATCTTCGCTATGATAAAACCTAGTCATGAATATACCACCAGGGTTTTGAGGATATGCAAGACCATTAGCCTCGACGAATAGGTGGTCTGTGAAAAATTCCGTTGTGTCTTCGTTCATAATATTGTCCACGAAAACATATTCGAGGTCGTTTCTAAAGGCCACCATGTCGTAAAGACAATTAGACTTATCTGATGTAAAAAAGCGACTTCCTTCGCTAATGACAGCTTCTAGGTCGATAAGTGTGTCAGCAACAAGTCCAGCCCATCCATTTATCGTAATACGATAGCCCTTGATATCTTCCTCCTGAAATATATCCAATTCGAATCTTGCGCATATATTACCCACAGTATTGAGGTCATTGGAAGAATTTTCGATTGGCTTAAACCTTCGTATAGGTTCAATATCTTTAAGCGAAATATTTAGGTCGCTTTGCTCGACGGGGCATGGCGGCGCAGTTGGATCATCAAGCATCCATCGACGTAGCAAGATACCCTTTTCCTGGCGTGCGCCATATCTGAGTGTAGCAGGGCCTGGAGCTGCCATAAAATGAAAGTCCGTTCTTTCTCTTTATCTCATGTACTTGCAGTTTGCTTTTTTAGCTTCTTTTCTGGCCGTTTCGTGGCTACTTGTGTTGTTCGATTTCTTGTTTAAAATATAGGTTCTGATTGTGCTTGGTCAAAACTTCCGAGTTGATGTTATCATAAATCACTGCAGATCTCAGACTCTAATTTCTGGGTTCTGGATTTTCGATTCTGGATGTTGGATTCTGGGTTCTGGAAAAATGAATTTGCTGCAGATATCAGTCCAATATATAGTGAAAACTTGGCTGCACATGACGTAAAAGAAGCAAATGATAATGGACTACGTATATAATTTTATATTCGAAACGGTTTTCATCGTATCTATAACCTGTAGCTTCAAAGACTTAAGCCACAATGCTTTGTTTCATAGAAATGTATTTTTAATGGATATTTTATCGAATACACGCAAAGGACAATGAAGCAAAGCATACAATTGTATTTAGAGAACTCAATGAAAGAAATGTCATACAAAAACCCCCGGAAGCGCTAAAGGAGGATCAAAATTGATCTTTGTGATGACACAAAGATCTGAATAAAAGAGCCGCATAGGGTAGACACGAGTCGCCACTGGACAAGACTTGCCGGCTATTATTAGGCATCAGCGTACGTAGACTGGCCGACTTTTCCGAGGTTGGATGCTTTGGAGGAGATGGGGATGTCTTCGCTTACAGAGTAGCTAAATGGTAAACCAAGGGTCTCAAGTGTGGATTTTCGTATCAAACGGATTGTCATTTCACTTATTTCTACTTTGCAAGAACATCATAAGAACATCAAAATGTAATATCCATCAATCTTGTTCTAAACATCCTCCACAAAAAAGACGCCTTGAGCAACAGAACGACCTAGTGGCTGAATCTTCACAAAACCATAAATAAAACTCGTGACTTAATCGCACGCATGATACTAAGCTGCCTCAGCCAATCAATCGAAGAAACTAAGAAGAGAAGTCCTTGATAGCAGTAGAGAAGTGCTCATCAATCTTCTTAAGCAAAGCAGGGCCCTTCTGCTTAACAGAACCAGAAAGATTCTTTATAATAGCCTGACCAAAGCTATCAGTAGCCTTCTTCAGGTTCTCAAGATCCTGCTCAACGAGGCCATCAGCGGAGCCACCCAGAACAGCCTTCTGAAAGACAGCCTTCTTAGCGACTAATCCATCAATCAAAGAGAAGACATTAGTCGACAGGGACTCCGTAGCAGAGTACAGAGTGTTCTGGTCGTCCGAGTCAAGGTTGGAAACCTTTCCAGCAGCCGTAGTTCCATCATTGATATCGTTAAGAAGGTCGGTGGCCTCGCTCTGGATCTTGAGAGCGGTTGTGGTCACGGAACCGTTGTCGGCAAAGTCACTCAGGGTGGAGTTGATGGTGGAGACACCGGTATTGATGGTGTGAATGCTGGAGAGAATGTCGGAGGCACCGGAGTCGGCGTCGGCGACGGGCATGCCTAGCACGCTCTGGCCGAGGGCGAGAGCACCGAGAAGGAAGAAGCGTCCGGAAACCATTTTGGATATGTTTGGAATGTAGTGAAGAAACTTGAAGATTTTGAGGTAGAAGAGGAAGTGTTTGAAACGCTTTCCGAAGTGGGCTTGAGATTATAGAAATGTTTTTGAAGATGATTATTACTGAAGATGATTCTGAGGGGGCTTTTATAGTTGAATCTCAGTCTTCAAACAAGCAACAAGGTGACTTGAAGACCAAATATTGGTTATCACGCAAAAGTGGTCTTTCCCTGCATAGTACGCCATAACCTCAGACGTCCAACCCGCATGACGGTTAGGTGAGCGATATAGCTTGGACTAGAGGTATTCCCTGTGATAGCATCAAACTTCAGATTTTTACATAACATAATACACACTGAATACTCCAGTAACCTCGGCCCGCCCCAGAATTTAACTCTCATGAATGCAAATCCTTGTAGGGTCTAAGCTTTCAGGGTTCAGGTTCATCAGTCCTCAACGCAGATCTCTTTTAAGGCTGAGGTATTTGAAGAATCTAATATTTATTCTACATGTATTCGGTTTTTTGAACTTAGCATGATGAAATAACTATGTGCTGATCACCAGGGGGACAAGGTTAAGTCCCTGAAGATCAATTAACTCAGTTCTGGATTTTGAGCCATCGCCACAAAATTGAGACGAGTGTTGGGAGCTCATCCCCACCTTTTTTCGACTCCCCGGGAAGTTGAGTCTCCATATGGATCAAAATCGAATATTTTTAAATGTAAATGTGACTTTTAATTTGGACTTTTTTGCAAAGTATTTCCATAGGGAAGAACTAGATGGCTTATCCATGAATATTCATGCCGGAGAGTGAATCATTCAAAGCTGCAGAACTAGTCTGAATGTTTGTCAAAGTTGTCTATAAATTGCCTCATTCAAGCATGCAATTGCGGAGTACCCCAGTCTCGAAACCCTCATTCTCGGCTGGATTATCGGTTTTGGGGAGTATGACCGTGTCGTGCGTGCTAGGACCGTGCTTCAGGTGGATCGCTAGTCAAGCAACTAGCCCCGATTTTGAAGTCTAGAGAGGGGCCTTGGTCCCCAAAATTAAATTTGAGGCTGCTGCATAGGTGGCTAAGCGGGGGCGTGAGCGACAATGTCGCTTTTTTATCCTCGAAGCATCTTGAAGACCTACTGATACTACGTGGATTTAAAGAGAGTATGAAAATAGCTGAAAAGCAACTTGGTTCCTCATTAGGTTCGATCCAGAGCGCATAAGTACATCCATAAATTCACATAGACACGTTGAGTCGACATAAAAAGACCCGTATCATATCAAATATTTCCATCATGAATCAGTAATAAAAGAGATAAAAGAAACTCCGAAGGAAAATTATCCGTAAAACTCCACCGATGAGAACTTGAAACAAAGAGATATCATAACAAAAGACAAAAAAATCAAACAAGAAATCTAATTCTTGCGCCAAAACATTGCCTTCCCAGCCGTTCGGCCTACAGCCCATCTCGCTTCATTGAAACGATCCTTAATGCTAGGCTTACCGCTGTATCGGACGGGTTTTTGAGAGCTGCGCTCAGAGCTAGCTCCAGCGTTACTTCCACTGAAAACGCTGGGTGCAAAGTTTGTGAGGTTTCCGGCGTCGAATTTTGTTTTCCCGTCGACGATCTTGTGGACGAGGTGGAGGATAGCGTAGACTGTTGATCCGACGGCACGGACTAAGGCGAGACCTGCTACAGCCCAGAGGAGAATTGAGAGGTAAATGTTGGTGCCACCTTGGTCGACGCCGTAGACTTGAGAGACGACCATGCCCAGAACAAGGTTGGCAACCATCCAGACTGATACCATGTAGGTACGGACAGCACGGTAGTAGTCCTCTTGCAGTTGAGAGTCACTCAATGGTGGTTCGGGAACCTCAAGGCGATCACGGAGGTTGCGGAGCGCAGCATCGTACCCACTGTCAATATCCAGTTGCTCGGATGGCATGTCCAACAAAACTGTTTTGCCGTTGATTGTCTTCGCAGTACCGAGATCGGTGTTCATAACGTTGTCACCCTTTGTACCCCAAGTAACATCGTGGGTGTTGCAAAACGCATAAACTTGCAGTGTACAGATGTAACTTGGCATGAGCAAGAAATATTGCAGAGAAGATGTGAACATGTGCCATGGGTCGAGGTAGAGAATGGAGATGTAGAAGTAGAGACCGACTGTTGACAACATGGAAATGACGATGTTCATCATCAATGTGTTACTGACCTTTAATGATGAGCTGCCAACTCCAGCACGAGCCATCAATTCTATAACACAAAGATAAAGTGTGCAGAAGATGGTGTAGGCCATGATGATGCTGTAAACAATCATACCGGACAGGTAAAGGTTCTTGGCACCTTGTGGGCGATTACCGAGGGAGATGATGAATTGAAGACCCATTACTAGCACCAGGCAATAGCGCAACACTTCAAAGATCCACTTGCCCATATTGTGACCAAAGGGATCAATCGTCTCATCAGTCAAAGAGCCAGCGATGAAGTAGAAAACCAGGTAGAAATTTGCCTAATGAAGAGGTTAGCGAGTGGGTCACTAAGCTAGTAGCATAGTTAGGAAGACATGTCTCGACTTACCAAACCGAAATACGTGAAGACCAAGTTGAAGAATTGATACACAAACTCAATGTGTAGCAAGATCTTACGACCGATCGTGTGATCGGTCTGCCAAATCTGCTTAGCATTGAAGTTGGAGTACACAGCCGCGAAGAAAGCACCGTTCAGCCAGCGACGACGTTGCGAGATGAACTCTGGAACCGAGTCAGGCACATCAGTCTCGCCAACAGCACTCTTGACGAACTTCAAGACCCATCTCTCTTCACGCTTAGCGACCAACTCCCAGCAAAGAATACGATCCTCGGCGAGATACATGTTCGCAGTGAAGACATCGGCATCTTGACCATGAAGGGTCTCACCCTTGAAGTACTGGTTCAAAGGACCATTTCCATCGGCATCATTCTGCAGAGCAAAGAAACGGTAGGCACTCAGCGCACCAGGCAGCACAGTAATGTATCCAAATACAGACTCGAGTGGTTTGTCCAAAATATTGGACATCTTGTACTCAAAGTTTTGACTAGCGACGAGAGGGTTGAACAGTCCGAGCATGCCCTTGCCCTTTCCGGCCTTAATTTCTCCGGCGGCACCTGCAACGTTGGAATCTTGGTCGAACGCCTTCCACAGGTGGTAACAAGCAGTAGGGTCGGGCTTGGTACCGACATCGAGAAGAACACAAATGTTGGGTTGGAGAGCGCGACCGAAAGCGTTGAAGAACCAACGGTGAGAGTTCAGCTTCTTTTGATTGTGCTCCTTCAGACAAAAGATGACCTGGCAAGGCACAATACCCTTCTCGGCACCCTTGAACTTCAGATCAGAGTCAAGCGACACCTGAGTGGTGTATTCATAGACGTGAGCTTGAACTTCCTTCTGGTTGACAACGTTCTTTGCAATACCCTCTTGGTAAACACCGAGAGCAGCGAGGGCATTCAGAGTTCGAGGATGAATCTTTTTACGTCCATCTGAAACGACGCAAACGACGATCTTCTTCCATCCATCCTTACCCCAAGTACGAGACTTCGTACGAGAACATAGATGGCTGATGTTTCGCATAATACCATGCATAGTTCGCGTAAAGCCAATCTCATCCTCATTGTACATGGTGACACAAATGAACAATTCAGTCTCACGAGCAGTGCTGCCGATCTGTTGTCGAAGCTTATAGCCTCGAGCTGTGAAGTCATCAGGATCACAAGTAACAGCCGTGTATCGCATATGAGTGAACTCGCGATCGTCACGACGAGGAAGGAAACTGTGCAGAATTGTTGGAATTTTGCACTCCAAAATAAGCTCTCCATTAATCAGTTGAACTTCCTTTTTGGCCATCTGTGTGTCACGGACACCGCGACGGGATTGCTTATCGGGCGCAGGCCCATAGTGCATGTTCGGGTCGACGATGCCGCCGTCCTCTTCCTCGTCCTCATCATCCAGACCAACCTTGGACATCATGTCCTTTTCATCGCCCATGTAGGTCGAGTCACTCATGAATGATCGCACACTAGCGCGCGAATTGTGGTGAATGGTCCGGCCATCGCCACCAAAAGGATCTTCATCGGTCATGCCATCTCCGATATCGATGCTGGCATCTATGCCCGATGATGCAGGGCCAGAAAATAATGGAGCGGGGGGCAATGGTCGTCGGGGACTTCCTCCATATCGAGAGCTTGGTGTTCCTGGTCGCGGGCTGCCGTTGATGTCGGCACGCTCGTAGCCAACACTGGACACGGAGGGAGGTCGAACATGACCTGGACTCCAAGGACGAATGGGTGAGCCTGTTCGTGGAGGGATGGATGGATACACTGAAGGGTCTGCTAAGCTGGCAGTAGATGGTGCGATATTGGGGACAGTGCCGATGCTTGATGTAGGACGCGATGGTGATGAAACACTGGGAACCTGATAAAATCGAGCGTCGTATGGTGTTTGACCAGTCCTATTTCGAGATCGAGTGTTAGTTCGCGGTCGCCCCCGATACTCCATTATATGAAAAGGTGCCGGCATATTGGCGTGTAAGTTGGGTCACTTGTGGAACGCGTCGACGAACAAGAGCTTTCTATACACTGTTTACACCAATGCGACCACAAGCTAAGCTTTGAGGAGCAAACAGCAAATCACTCAATCAGGCTGGTCATTCCTAACCAGTCCAATCAAGTGCTAAGCCGCCTGGTTCTCTTGTCAAGGGAGGGCGGGAACTGGGTAAACGCGCATGTGGTCCTGTTGTCGTGGACGACGCCAGGAATGCAGCTTTTTCCCGGGCACTTGGTGATCGAGGAGAAAAAGAATAAACTAAGTACTTACGGAGTAGTGTCATAGTCCTGTGTGTATCTGGATGGCGAGGGCGATCTTGGGCTCTCGGTCAAGTCACCATATGCATCACCACTTGTGGGAAGCAAACGCATTGTCGCGCCATTCTGCCTTGTTGGAGATTCAGCCTCCGATAAAAACGATGTTGTTTCTTGGTCGTATGCTGGCGGCTCTTCGCCGTAGCTAGACGGTGGGTGACGATTCATGACGCGCGGAATGTTATGTTTTCTTGTATCTCAAGTGCTCATAGTAGACTAGATCAAACGTGAATGGTTTACAGAGCTTTCACAATCGGTACGTCAAGTACGTTTGCTCGGCTACCAGCGCTGAGACAGCAATTTGAGGTAGGTCTGACAGGTTCACAGTGGGGTTAGTGGATGGTTGACAACGCGTGAGGAATGTTGACCATGGTAAGGAATGCTGCTCACCTGAAATAGAATCTAGCGATATCGAGAAGATACGAGAGATGGAGACAAATTCAAGAGCGGATGTCTAGAGTAATAAGAGATGTACGATGCAATAAGAAAGCTGGGAAACAAGTCTAGCCCGGTTCATCCGTGCTTGATCAACAAAGTGGAGGTGGATCCCGTTGCTAGGACAACCAGCGGCTATACGCCTGTGCTGCACGGGGCAGCCAATATTCAGCCCCGGCCATTACACCTGTCTTCTGAATCTAACAGGATACAATTTACAGTAGCGCATAGCGAATAATCAAATATCAACACTATGATCCAGTATTTACCATCATGCATTTTCCTACACCATCCACGGTTATTGTTGAGCATCACCCGTGCTTTCCAGCAGCCTACGTCCATCATCTCCACTAAGTGGGTCCCAGGCGCTGGAAGCTACGCAATCTCGATTTTAAGTGCATGAAAGTAATGAAAAAGTCAATGAACACAACGATAAAATAGATAAATTGCACTATTATTATGATTGAAAGAGGGGGGATCGTTCTCCATCAACACATCAAATCATCATGCCGCCGTAGCCGTCTCATTCCCACTATTCCATTCTCTCCAAGTTCAAGTTCCTTCCAACTTCCAACTAAAACTAACCCGGATAAATATCTTATCTGGTGTTGAGTCCAATCCCACTTCCACAACTTGAAATTGTCGCACAATTATTTATGGCGAGAAGCAAGCTTACGCGCTCTCATGGAGCAGAGGTTGTCTCTCGCGGTCGCCCGACTCTGGGTGAGCCACACGACGGAAGAGTGAGTCGCGTCCTGAGTACTTGGTAGTCGAGATATAGAGCGAGGTCACAAGGAAGACAGCAAACACGACAAAGGCAAAGATCCACTGGAAGGCGATAATCTTGATGGAGATTTGCTGCACCGCAAGAGCTAGAAGAATTATTAGCAAAGGAACTGCGTATTATAGATCCAGTCCCGATGTAGAAACTTACATAGACTCAAGAAACTCAAGCAGTATCCAAGGATGTAATCTTCAAAAATCACAATGTCGAACAAGCCAATGGCCAAAATCACCCAAATAAAGATATTGGCAACAAGTCGACCAGGGAGATTATGGCTGTGCACAGCGACAGCGCCGTTCCAGAACAAGGCAAATAGAGTCCAGGCATAAGGACCCGCGACGGCGGGGAGATGCACGAAAGCCGGAAGGCCGCGGTGACGCCAGTAAGTAAAGCTTTGGTTGATGAAATGGGCGATCAAGATAATCAATGAACCCCAGAAGTAATTGCGGGTCCAGAGGAGGATCCATGAAAAGGTGAACAGGTTGTTCAAGATGAAGTGGGTTGCTACATTGGCGGCAGATGCGACGATAGCAGCATCTTTATGGAACAGCTGCCACACATAGCTGATTTGGGAGAGTAGCAAGAGGACCCTTGTAGAAATAAGTATTTTTTCGAATCACAGCTTGCTATCTAATGCATTAAGTTCAAATGCTTACCAGTAAATCTCAGTCACAGTTTTATTTTGCGTAAAAGGCGTAGGGTGCCTTTTAACTTGCTTCCAGATCTTCTTGCTATGCTTAGTATCATCAGGCGAATGAATAGAATAATAGATCCCAGCAACAACAACCAATAGCCACGTGAGAGGTACAAGGACACGATAAGAATTCAGCGCGTGAACATTATGAGTCTCACGCCGAGCAAAAGGGTTGTAGTTCGCCATGATAGAGGTGTTCGTGTGATAAGGCGGGGTTGAAAGTCAAGAGACCGTGCCAAATCCAGAGGGAGGGGGAAATACGTTATATACAGACGGAATTAGTACTACTAGTAGGTAGGATGGTCCCCGCTATGGTCTGATGACCAAGTTCCCGCCAGTCATGATGCAGCTAGAGAAGCTGCAGTGGCGCCAATCCTGATGTTGCATTGTAGGTCCAATGAGGTCAACGCGTGGTGATGTCAAAATTGTTCGACTTTCAGCAGCCTGGATTTATCCAACATTAAAGTTGGCAGGATACGCCCCACCATAACCAGATTTTCGTGCTATCTAGAGTCTAGAGTCTAATGTCTAATGCGTTAGAACAAAAAGAAAGTGGGTACTTGGACGACCTTGGGAGCTGAGATATTATTATTTTGGGGCTTATTTGATCTTTGAAGAGGGAAACTTTTGAAGTATTAGGCACCTGGGTGCAACAAAGCTCTGACTTGAATGACGCAACTGTCGATCAGCGTGCACGGACGGCGCTGTACGTTGGAGATCAACCTGGGGTTCGAGAGAAGGGGGTGCATGCATGTTCTGAGCACTTGGAGTTGAGGAGCTGAGCTAAAGCCTAGTAGGAACCCTACCAGTAGTGGTCGAAGCATGCAATTTGGGGTCTCTATATCATGGTATGGGTTTATCTATGGAGGCGTATACTAGTACAAAGGCATCAGGCAACAAAATAATTTGTCTCATATTCAGTCATAGTCCCATATTGATACATACTACATATATGGCAATCCAAGGTCCCAGTACTAGTACCAGCAATATACTTCTGCTGACCGTAAGGATCTGAGGACCCCCGGAAGCGCGGGGCAAAGGGGCCGGTGCTATGAAACACCAGAAACCCAGCTCAGCCCGACTCCACAGTACGGTATACGACTCACGGCCACTCCCTATTTCCTACCTAACCTAAGACAGTATAATCAAGAGATCTGTTCCTAACAGGGTATCAATCACGCCTTGCGCATAGACCGACCGCTGAAACCAATCCTCGGTGCCTACAACGCTTGGCATTTTAACATTTCATTGCTTTGACTCATGTATCTTTTTGTTACTTTCTTTCTTAAGTATTGTTTTGCTTCAAGGAGAGGAACCCAATTACTCCCCAGTCATTCATTACATTACTCGATTGACTGCCGTACAACACGAACAGCCTCAAGAATCTGACCATGAATAGATGTAGGCGCCACAACCATACCGTGACAATCAGCCAAAGTCCGACCTAAGCCACAGTCTACTGATTTGCCTTCCAGATCTGTCACCACACACCCAAGCTCCTGCGCAAGTAACATCCCACCCGAATGATCCCAGATCTTAGATCGGTATGTCGCCTTACTAGGCACTTTGATGAATGAATTGCACCCGCCCTGTACAGCGATAGCTATGTATCGCATCTGCGCGGACCAAAGGTCAACGGTATTAGGCCAAGGACACGATAAATGCGCTGCGATTTTCTCATGCGCGTCTAGTCGTTGTGAGCTTGACTCTTGCGTATCAACTAGTCGGATTTCGCTAGTTTCTGTAATTTGTAGTACCGGGTCGAGTTGTTTCCCAGGTAAAAGGGCTCCAGTACCCATAGGTTGAATGAAAGCGCCTTGTCCTGCGATCGCAGTTAAAAGCTGTCCGTATCCATCCCGATCCACCAGATCTTCTGAGACAGGTCCAGAACCAAGCTGAAGGTTCGGGCAGCCGATCACTCCCAATTTTTGTACGCCGTCTTCCACAAGCGAGAGACAGACAGCATACTGTTGTCCGCGGATATAGGTAGCAGTCCCGTCTACGGGATCCAGGGTCCATGCCCGGCGGCCGTGCCTGCATTCGCCGCGGGCTCCGAGATCAATCAAGTCCAGTAGCTCCTCTCGGGTTTGTGGGGTATATAGGAGGGCCTCGTTTGCTTCGTCGTCTAAGTGGACGGATGTGGCGAGCTCCCATGTTCGCTCGAGGAGGGCGGGGTTCTCGCGGAGAGCTGTGGCATCTTCTTCGCCTACGATGTCATCGTCTGGGAAGGTGTGATGAATTGCGGCGATAATGGAGGCTTGGGCGGCGAAGTCGGCGATTGTCACGGGGGATGCATCACTTTTGCTTAGGGAACCCTTATCAACAGCTGATAGCAGTTGTTTTGTGAGGAGTGCAGCTCGTTGCACGGCGAGGCTAGCTATGTGGAGCTCTTGGATGTAGGCGTGACTCATGATTGCGATAGTCGTGTCCAATTTGGAAAGATTGTGAAGAGGAAAAGAACGTGGAGATGAAATTGGGACAGGGGACCCAGTGTAGTTGGACCGCGACCGGCCAAAATGCGATTGTCTTTGTTAAAAGACACAGTTGCAGGGCTGCGGGCATCAGGATCATTATATCCCGCCGATCATGGCCGGGGTCACGGTGGTCACGTGTGGCCGGTGAGATGGCCATGCGTCATAGGCTTCTTTTGTTTTCCTTAGAATGGATTTCAAGTGGATGCGAAATAGATAAGTGAATATTGGAACAGAATACGGATGACCGAAATAATTAAACTAGCTTGACGTGGAAGGAATTGGAAATCAATTGAGATGGTTTTTGTTGGAGTCCATGCCCCGTCACGAATGACAATCTTGCGATCGTCTCGACTTAATAAACGAATGCCCCATAGGTATATCTCGCACAACGCCGGTACTAATAGACAAGAAGAACGAAAAAATAAACATAAACAAAGTCATGACACCAATTAAAATGGCGCGAATGCTAGCTCGTATGCAAAAGCCAAGCTCATCTTTGCGTGCTGCAGCATGTGGTCAAAGCTCAAGTATTTGATCAAGTCATCAGTCGAGTGAATCTTCTTGTCCGAATTCTCAAAAGCAGACTCAATCACAAATGCTGAGGGGTATCCAAATCGGCTAGCCGAGGCGTGATCAGAACAGGCATAGCCGCACTTAGTCTCGACGTAAGGGATATCACAGTACTATTTAATCGGAGCAATGGTCAGAAAAGTGGATCCTCGTGTGTTAATATATGACTGGTCACTTACAGTTGTGATAACTTCCTTAATGAATTTGGTGAGACCTTGATCCACATAGTCGACGATAACGCCGACCGACTCTTCCTGGCCGGCATCCAGGGTACCCTGGGCATAACCAGTCATATCCTGCTGAAGCATAGCCTTAATTTCACGGAAGTTTTTCTTGTATTTGCCAAAAACAGCCTGGGAGCCTAGAAGACCGCCCTCTTCCGCAGAGTACCAATGGAATTCAAGGGTATTTTGCGCCTCGCCGTGCGAAACGGCCTCTGACTGCAGCAGAGCGCGAAGGGATTCGAGGATAGTAACAGTTCCACTGCCATCGTCATCGGCGCCTGGAGCAGCCAGGATGGATGGGAGGAACAAGTTGATGCTGTCCTGATGGGCGCCGAGTACCACGGTGTTGTTGGTTTGTCCAGGAATTCGGGCGATGATACTGAACTGACCCCACGGGTGGTCGAAACGCTCTACAGTCGCACCGTATTTGGCCGCGCCCGAGTCTTGTAACACATCAGATACCTGGCTCAATAGCCATTCGGCAGACTGAATACCGGTCGAAGACTTGTAGTAGCGGGTGTGGAAGGAGGTAAAGTGCTCCAAGTTCTTTTTCATGTTGCTTTTTGAAAGTCCCTCGGTCAATGGAACCACAGCCTCCGAGTGCTGCATCTGTCCAGGGTATTTGACGATGCGCTGGGAATGAAGAGTGCCATAAGAACCCGACTGGAATTCGGTTGTAACATCAATGAAGTTCACACCGTCCTAAAGAGGGGTAAGACGAAAATGTTAGCCGTTATTAGGAGACAAATGGTTCCGTCTGAGATACGCACCAACTTCAACGCCCATTTCTCTTCCTCAGTCACCCATCGCGTAGTGTACGGGGCCAACTCAATCAGCCATTTGGGCTCCTGGGTATTCTGGACAATTGACGGCCCAAGCGGTTCTTGTGGGATGACCGCAGCCAGGGCAGTCGAGGCGGTTGCGCTCAGCGCAAGAGTTGACAGGAACTTCATAATGAACCTGCACGGGTAAAAGCCAAAAAATTCGGGATAAGAATATTTCCAAGAATAAGAAAGTGACAGAGCTCCGATTATAAAGAAGCCTAAAAAGAATGCAGTGTCAGGTTTTGGGGGCGGCGCCCTCACGCGCCTAGGTATCACTGAATGGAGCTCGCCAAGCCCCTTCTTACCTATTCGGACCCCGCGCTAAACAGGGTTATTAATAGCGAGAAAGCCTTGCTCTCTCTCTTTTTTGCTCTTTTTCTCGTACTCCGTACAGAAACTAACTAGGATAAAATAAGAAAAAGCTACCCCTTGTAATTCCTGGCATAACCATCCCTTCTCTTTGAGCAGGAAACAGGCAAATCACTCATGCCTTATTCTCCACTCTAGAGTCATAGCAAGTCATCTCCATTTCCAGTCTTGGCAATTTCAGGCTGAATGATTTTCGTGCGGGGATCGGGCGGACTGAAAGGAAGAAGCTCCACTTTCTCGATCTGTGAGTCACAGCCAGTCAGAGCCATGTGGATAATGAACGATTCATCGATAAGAAGGATGAAGCCTTTTCTGGTTTTTAAAATTACAAAAGGAGGCTATGTTCTCCATTGAAGGGCGCTAGTTTCTATGGCAGCCGAGCCTTGGAAAGGATCAAAGGAACCAAAGAATCCATTCAGAGCCGAACGAGCCGAACCCACGGCTCAAGCTTGGTAAGCTGCAGGTTCCAAGGTTTCATCTCGTGATCTCGGCATCTCGTGATTTCCCAATCTTGCCTAATACAGGTGCCTTCCCAATCAGGAAGTCAGGGCTCAGGGTTAACGGGAAAGGTGCACTTTCCGCCAATCAACGCGTTATCTGTGTCCCGTGCAACAAAGAGGCGTCAACTGGTCCGAAATTGCCTTATCTATCAGTGCTCGAGGGGTCCTTATCCATCCGGTCCTTATATACATCCTTACCCATTCCCCCTCTTCCAGGACTTGATCTTACATTGGATCCACCTGGTATTCTTATTCTAACATCCTACAATATGGCCATTCATCCGAGATTACGACCCCAGGCGTCCCAGGCGAGTCTGTCGCCACAGCAAACTATGGCCATCTCCGCATGGACGGAACAAGCCACCGCGTCGCTACAGGATCTGTCCCTCTCCGAGTCCGCCCCAGCCAACATGCCTGTCCAGCCCTCCACACCAACATGCTCCAGTCTCCGCGGCGTGACCGTTCCCCTCTCGATTCCCCTTGACGATGAACCACCGGTCGCTCCATCCGCGCAAGCGAAGGTGACTGGAGAGCCTCGGTCCACGCCGACAGTCAGTTTCCGGCGTCGCGCGCCTCTACGACAGGATAGTTTGAAGAGTCGGGAGGCACTGCTTAAGGGCAAAGACGGTAGCCGCCGGCGACAAAGATGGGAGAATGGTACGTGTCTTATCAGTTTGGTCCCATAAGGACCTGATTACTCCACGCCCAGGATGGAACAAAGAGCGAGCGACGCTAACTTTACTACTACAGACCGTTTGTTGCATAACCCATGGGCCGAGCCACCATCTTCAAAGGATTGGGACATTGAACCGACCTATACACGTCATAACCCAATGCCATACTATCTGGCCCCGCTCTGGGATGTCCACTATTCCCGTGTGGCAGACCATGATGCAGCTCGTAAGAACGCCGCCAAAGCCGCTAACACGAAGTATCGCGTCCCCAAGGAACTCCGGTCGAGATTGAAACATACGCGTGCTGCTCGCGGCATGCTGCAAGATCTGGAAGATGACGTCCGACTGTTCATTCGTAAGTGGAATGAGAAGCGGCAATATCTTGCAAGTGAGGGTCTCCAGGATGCACCCGACTTCTCAGCAAGTGATGACTCAGAAGATGAGATTGTCTTTGTTGGTCGCAATGGACAGATGCATGACTCCCCAGAGCGACGACGGACGCTTGAGAAGCTACGTCAGGAGCTCAGCATGCATGATGAGCGGGATGGTGAGAAGATGGTTTTCGAGAGCTTGGTGGATGACCGTGCAGCGGCATTTGGGTAAGTTCGCCGCTTGACACCATTGCTTATCGATCCTTCAGAGCACTGATCGCATGTATTCGTAGACGTTGGCTCGTACACTCCATTGCCTCCTATTATGGGCTGCACACCTGGTCAGTGACGGTCGGTGAACCTGCTCGCCGAGAAGCCTATGTGGGATTCCACCCGCCGATGCCTGGCAGCCGAGTTGGCCTAGTCACTCAGCCTGCCTGTCACACGGAGCTGCTTAACCCCGGCGAAGAGCTTCCTCGGCCCCTTTACGCGCAGGTTTAGATTCCTTTCGCCATATGGTCTTTCGACAGACCGCATGTAGACCTTCTTTCTTCCCTCGGAACATCCTGATGGGGGGGTTTTTTTTCGGACATCTCTTTTAATGCCAAGATACTGGCAGGGTCCAGTAACGCCTTTCGGCGATTTCAATGTTCACATATTTAGGTTTTTCATTGGACATAATTTTCCCCTTAGACTCATTGACCTCATATCTGCCTAGCATAGCCACTGAGGAGAACCAAAGATCAAGGCAAAGTCATCTTGCCAGTCCATCAGACTAGCGGTGACAGGCTTGGACCTTGGTTTCTGTCTTCCAAGCCCTGGAGGTCATTACGAATGTACCGGGCAATGATGACATGTAAATTCTTAATGCATCTATGTTTGGTACTGAGAAATTCTCCGCAAACTCTCTAATGTTTGTCCGTGCGCCTGGTCCCATGCTTTCAAGGTTCATGCCGTCACCTGGCATTGATGACCATCGGCAATGCCTGCATGGCGCATAGAGTTCCATTATTAGTCTTTTGTCTTTATCAACAACATAGAATGAGGAGCAATTAGCTCTCGGGGTAATAGCTTGTGCAGCAGGTGGAAATCCCCTGGCAATAGATGCATGATACGACAATACCTGGATATACAAACGAGGACATAACCATTGAGCTCTACCTAAAAGTTGAGATATATTCATGGATATCTGAAATCGTTAATCACCACATGCATCATGTAGTATAAATGAGGATTGACAAAACGACTTGAAGTGAGGCACTGCGACTTTTCCTGCGTGTATTATATCCATGGACAGGCATTTGCAGTCAAATATTTCACTTTACTATGACGATAGAGACGTAAAACATTCATCTCGACCCCTCTATAGTTTTCCATTTCTCTGCCCGAAATGTCGGGCTCCGTCATCGGAGTTCCCCCTCCAGCTGAGCTTCCAGTTCCCGATGACGCGTGACGAAGAACCAACCTGTCAAACTTCCAGAAACCCATGAACCACTGCCAAGACAGCATGGTTCCCCGTCTATATTATCGCTCTTATACATGGTACGTGATATTAAGTATATGAATTTTCATAACAATACGGCGCATTTAATAAAGAATCGCACCACGTGTATACATACTTAAATGCCTACAGTACAAAGACCAAAGATTGGTTCCGGATCGGACCGTAATTAACCCCCACAGTGAGTGGCTCCATATGACGTTTTTATTCTATACGGGACCAAAAATGAAAAGAAAGCAAAGAAAGCAAAGAAATACAGGCCCAAGACCAAAGAATGCATACTGTAATGCACCAGGTCCATAGTAACGAACAGGTTCAATCGAAGTATTGACGATCAGACCCTGCATCTCTGTAACTACTTCTGCCTGGAGCCCGGAGCCCGGAGATTGCGCGAAAAAAACCCCCAAAGAAAAGAAAAGAAAACCAAAAGAGGGGCTTATGTCTCTGTGTGTGTGTGTGTGTGTGTGTGTGTGTGTGTGTGTGTGTGTGTGTGTGTGTGTGGGAACAAGCCCTGTTTCCAGAAAGCACGCCCGCATCCTCGTGTCCAGACCCCGTTCGATGCACAGATCGCTACAGGTGACTGGTGGAGGATAGTGGGGGGAATGAGCAGACCCCATGAAGAGGGGGTTCGGCAACGAATAGAGGCTTGACAGCACCCAGACAACGAGAGACAGAGCTTCCTGTCTCTCAGCCTAAGCCGCCTTGACGCGGGTGCACGCATCACACAACTGCTGGATTTGGGCTGGTCCGGGCGTTGGGGGATTGTAATAGGTAGGTTCCTTTCCGATGGTGAGGCAGCGTGTTTCTTGTGGTTCCCACCATTAGATTAGAATTTATTTACATTTCCAAGCAGTACATATTGCATTTTACTGAGAGGTTCATTTTTTATTCGTAGGGTTCATGTTGCAGTCCGTGTTGTTTGTACGACGACGTAAAAGGTTTTAGAATTAGATTTTGGTTTTTTTGGAGAGAAGAGGAGATGCTGTGTATTTTCGCTGAAGATATTTATTGTTGCTGTTGTTGTTGTTATTATTATTATTATTATTATTGGAAGGGAAATAAGAAGTGGTTCATGGGAAATTATACTCCAGTAAGGTTGTAGTGATCGTCAAACAAAACATTGGGGGAAAACCGGATCATCACATTCCTCGCCTCATTCTTTTACTCTCTGGTTTTCTCAATAGATACTTCCGAGAATCAGAGGTTCAGATACCTTTGGTCAATTTTCACATTCTCATTTCCTTTCCACACCTTCTTTATGATTTAGAACTTATTTCTTTTTTTGGGGGTTCTTTTCCAAGTTCTTGGGTACAGTACAGAAGAAGCCTTGCCCCTCCTTGCACTCCACTTTCTTCTCTTCCCCCCATCTTGTCTGGTTGGGCTTCTGCTTGTCTGACTACCTAATCATTCTCCAGTACCTCCTTACAGCCACTATCATTGTTGTCTCTCCTATGATTACGGATTACTATTCTTACCATTATTCTCTCTACCTGTTTATTTTCGTCTCTGTCCCTTTTATATATGTTTTCTCCGGGCCGAATTCATTTGGACCCAGCTTCTAATCCCTGCAATCCTTGTGCACCTCCCGAAATTACCACCGTCATATGATTTTGGCCCAGGCCTATTCTCTCCGATATACCCCTGATCACGTCTCGCGTGGTCCCCGAGGAATTTTTCTCTCCCATACATACCAGCCCTTAAAGAGTGGTTTGATCTACGTCATGGGAATCTAAAAAACGGCATCCATTTGAATATTTTGGAAAGACTACTTCAAGTTACCCAAGTATCTATCCCACGCCGCGGCATTTATCGTTCGACTTCAAGTTCTTTGTTGCAAAACTCCTAGGTCGTTATCTAGGTTCATCATCTTTCCGATATATTACACTTTAGTCAGTGCTTATTCAGACTTCACGCTATTTCACACAACCTTGGAACCTATCAGCCTCAAATCAGGGTTCATCCCATTTTCGAACATATACTAAATACGTGGGTGACGTGCCATGGCTTCTTTTAAGTCACGCCAAGACCGAGCAGTGAGCAGAGGAAGTAGTTCCAGCTCAACAGACACAAACAACTCCGTCCAATCAAAAAGTACCACGCCAACGGTAGTTAGTGATCGCACCGTGCCAGCGAAGTATGAGGACTGGGTGGAAGAGTATGAAGACGGATTTGAAGACGAGGTTGAATATGGCGGCGGGCCGCGTGATTCAGTCTCAACATATGCCTCGACTACCCGCTCTATAGCGGATGTTCCAGAAGAAGAAGAAGAAGTAAGGTATGAAGTAAACGATCGCCAGGAAAACTTCCCAGGGGATGCATTAGCATCGACACCTTCATCATTTGCGTCATTGTTTCCTTCCACAAGGAGACTTCTCATTCGCCATGATGATGCTACCATTGACGGGAACATGAATCTGCGAGTTGATACAGTTGTCCCCCGTCGCGGTGGATATCAACAGGAGGTGATCCTATTTCATCTTCGCATGTATGATCTCTTCTCTCGAAAGTTCTCCTTCAGACGCTATTGTCGCGACTCAGGCCGCGAAGTATGCCATTCAACGCGAAAGGAAGCCCCGGTAGCTAGTCAGGATGGTCCAGGTAATCGACGGCGCTCACTGAGCAGTGTTCTTGCCAGTTTCAGGCCGGGATCAAGTGGACATCCGTTTGGAGGCGAATTTAAGCGACAGAATTCGGGGTTCGAGGATTCAAAGTTCGCTCGTCATATTTTGGGGGGCAATGAATCAAAATCGAAAGAAGTGAAAGGGCCGGCGCTTGAGAATACCATTTTGTTGGAGTTCTCAAACTATGCACATGTGGAATTGAAAAGACGCGGGCCGGGTGTAGCAAAACGGTACGAATATGAATACTGGTCAACCAAGTATCAGTGGCGCCGTGAATTCAGGAAAGAGGGGGATCTTCGGGAAGTGTCTTACTACCTTGTTGATACGCGAACTTCTAAAACGATCGCCCATTTGGTACCCGAGATCCTCACGCCACTGGAGGCAGTTGAGGAGGACAGTAAAGGTGGCTGGGTCCCGCCGTGTTCGCTGTGGATCAGCGATACAAATGTCTATGAACGAATGCCTGATATTGCCGAGTAAGTACTAACCTAAGTCTGTTAAGTCAAGGATGACTTGTTGTTCGTTCCTGATTCCTTGATTGCGTTTCCCGTTCATTCCTAGCCTGGTTAAGTCCTATCTAGTTCCACTTCACATCCCTGTCATATTTCCCCTCTCTGCTCTCCTTTTCGGAATCCTCCAGTTACCAACTACCCCTGGTCTCAGCCCCCCTCCTCTTCCAAGCTCCACCTTCCCCCCCCCAAATATTGTCGTCATTTGTTACATATTGCAGTGGCTGCATTGCAGGACAACAGTGAGGCTGATGAACCGGTTCTTCTCTAGTGTGATTGTTGCCACAGGATTAGTGGCTCTCGTGGATGATTACATTCATCGTCGCTGGCATCACGAGCGTCGTGTTCCATGGATGCTCCCCGCACGATCCTCGCTCACCAAAAGCCTGGAACGCATGGGCCCTCGTCGACTGATCGGCGAGGTACTTCAACGGAGAGGATCCGCCTAAAATGGCAACAGACGATCTATTTCGACAAGATGATGTACGTGAGTACATGAATCATGAGACCTATGAGCTGGCTTGGTACTTTTGTTCTTTTCTATCTTTTGTTTTCGCACCTCTTTATTGGTTCCTACGTATACTAGACCCCATCCGGTCTGGATACTATGATGATGCTCACGACAGGGTATGATGACAACCAGCCAGATTTTTTCGAATCCTTTTTTACAGGGATGGTTAGATGCAAAGCTACCCTCTAATCCCCTGTTTCTCCACTGTTAATATTTTTGTGATGTATTCACGGCCCAGATTTATCTATTGGATAGCATGTTCGGAAGCTCGGAGGGTGTTGGGCGGTTCATCTATTTTCCATGGCATTTGGAGACCGGCATGTGGGCCATGTGGCTCTTCATGCATTGTCGCATCCAGATCCTCGTTTTTTTCTTTTTCTTTTTCTTTTTTTTTTCTTCGATTTTCTCGTTTATGCCGTCCAGGACCTGCGTGTACATGGCATCTTCATCCTGCGGTGCTCTGTTGGCGATGCATATTATCCTTCCCAAAGTTTGACCGCCGCTTTTTTTTTCAGACTAAGAAAACCATTTACCAATTTGGCAGTTGATGATTTCAATTATTTTAGTCGAATGAATATGTAATACCCCTCACCGACTGAACCGAGTAACTATTTGAGGCGAAGAAGAGGCGACCCAGTCGCTCTGAATGATCCGCATGCGAAACCAGGAACTCATACTAGAATCCACACTAGCGCGAAGCAGTGAAGAAAATAGCAAATAAATAGAATCAGATCAAATGAAACGTCCCCCTCAATAGTTTCTATTTTCTCCCGGGTCCAAAAAATTGATTGGCCGTGAATGAATCTTTTTGATCACGCCCAAGACCAGACCCTGGCATTTAAGTGATTTTGCTGCCTGAGTCGATTAAGCTTGTGCGGGGCCCAAAGGCGCTTACAGGGATTCCTGTTCCTCATGAACGGTAACCCAGAACGTTAGGCTGGATTTCTATGGTTGTTCCCCACGGAGCTAGTCGTCTATCGGTCTTGTAGCCGCATAGTCGTCACATCCATGAAACTCATGGAACCATGGAACCATGCTGAACGCCAGACGACGGCGCAAGAATCCCTCATCAACAACTGCAAGTATGAGTGCCCAACTTCATCTTGCGAAAAGAAAGCGGCGAATCAAGCCCGTCTCTTCCGACTGGTGTGAATTTATTTTGTTCCTTCTTTTTTTTGCATGTATGTATGTATTTATTTTTCTATTATTTAAAATTAATTTCATGCTTTTTTTTTAATGTACGGTGCTGCATTTTTATTCCCCAAGTGCGCCCCTCTCTTTGGGCGGTTGCTGCGGTGCTGCACGGCCGAGGCGGTTAGAATCCGAATTACGAGGGAGCTTGGACTCCCCAATGGTCCCGAGTGACTTATGACCTACATTGAATACTTGGTACCGATGGCCACTCTAAGGCTTTAGCTGCTTAATGGATATGTACCTAAGATGTATGTACATCCTTGTGAGTGGATCTTTGTGCTGCCAGCGAACTGGAGTTCCTGTGGGTGATTCTACCGGATCAATGGTAATTATGAATGAACTACGTACTTTGTAGTGAAGAATATGGTTGTCCTTGTTTGTCCTTATTAATGTTTCTCATATGTTAATTCATTTTATTGTATTGTAGACTTTCTATTATATTAAGACAATACACGATGGGGTTGATTTCAACATCCTGAATCATGCAAAGCGGCCCGGTCTGTGGCTAACCAACTGGTCCATGGTCATAGCAGAAGCTCGACCACACTGGGCAAGTTGCTCCCTTCGGCTTATTACTTCCAGATACCTCGGGGCAACCAAAAAATAGACAAAGTAGAATGTGAATGTTCCTTTTCCTGGACAGAGATCTAGATTCCAATGTTATGATCTCATCCATTTGATGAGCTGGCACCTCGCTTCATTGAATTTGACATTTTTAGCTGCATTTTCGGCATCCATTTATTATTTTAGGATTATTTTAATACTATGCGGCCCAACCGTTCCTCTACGATATGAGATTATTGTGTACATACAGTAGATCCATTTTTGATCCTCCGCCCGTTCTTCGCTTCTCCGGTACTTTTGGGCACCACCCATTCGTCATAAACTAGTTGACTAGTTTATGACGGGGACCTAGCCCTGGTCCGCTTGGGCAGAGATCACCCACATATCCCACCACCATGCATTTCATACGTCTCAGGGTTTCCAGAACTGTTACCCACCGATTTGGTTATTGTCTATGCACCCTAACCTAACCAATCTGTTTATTTTGGTTTGATCCTAATGCCTGGCAGATGAGGCAGGGACGGGGCTACCGACGCAATCATATTATCAACGTGGGGTTCTCTGAGTTGTTCATGCTCGCCATCCAATCCCGATCCAATCTCGCCCCGTCATATTAGGTACTGATTTTTTTCTCTCTCTCCTTTTCCCATTCTAATATTCTAATCCTTGAACATCTTTGGCTTGTTCATTGCTTCACCTATGCATTATTCTATTGGTCTGTTAATGTTATTTCATTCCCATATGGATTTTAGGTCCTTTTTTTGTGTTCGTTTTCGTTTCCCCCATACTAGTCGAGATTTTTTCATTTTTCTCCTTGCGTAAATGATCAATTTGCCTGTCACATTCACTGTGGATTCGGCAGTGGAACATCCCGTTTATCTTTCAACCCTTACGGCATTGTTCTGTCTAGCGTTTCTTCAAGGGTTGGTCTGGTCGGCGTGCGCCGGCCCGTTCCAGCTTGCAGCCTCAAAATGATCCGCATGTCCTTCCCGCACCAGTCCTTGACTGGTGGATAAGGGAGGAGGGGGTACTCAGGCTGACGCTGTACCGTGTACCCATAGCCATGCATAAGGTCGTTCCGTTTGGTTAGGTTTGACGGGTTGGGCTCCATGTTTGACCAGCCAGGAGAAAAAAAAGAAAAAGAAAAGAGAAAAATGTGTGAAAAATCAATAAATGCATTTTAAATAATAAAAATAAAATAAAATATGAATGTGGATTCGAACGGAGGGGGAAATAATGACATTTCAAGATTATTATTATTAGTATAGAACAAATTATGATTATAATTATAATCATAATTTAATATTATTATTATTTTCGTCTCCTGGGGGTCATTGGAGATATGGCCCACCGTTTATATGACTCCCCGCTCCCCATGTCCATCACCGAGGGGCATTTAAAAAGGTCACGCAAGATTCCCGGTCCATTGAGCTTTGCTGGATTTCTTTCTCCATTATATCTACTTTGCTTTTTTCCACGTTTACTTTTTCTTTTTTCCCGTTCGACTCTAATTCTAGTTCATCGGGTTCCTATATTCTGAATTGCTTCTTTTCACACAAAGACCATTCCATATCCGCCGGTAACGAACAATTTCAACATCATTGCTCATCAATTGAACATTGAAACAAGCTTCATATCTACCATTATCCTCAATTGATCATGTCAATTCCCACAAGCCCCCCAGGGACCGGCCGCCCCAGCTGGCAGGATCAGCTCTCAGGTAAACCAATTGGATTCCACCCCTCTATATAGTCCCTAATAAAAGCCCCCATTCTCTTCCCCTCCCTAAAGCCCCTGCCAAAATCCGACCTCCCTATAACATCGAAGCATCAAGCGAGCTAACCAATCCCAAAGAGCATTGCAGACGCAACAAACTGGCTGTCCCCATCTTCAATATTGTGTCCGATCGGCGAGGTACCTGCCCATTTCCATTTCCATTTCTTGATTTCCTTTCCTCCCCCACAGTCTATTTGTCACAGCATCCTTCTTCCACGATCCTTGATATGCGTTTCTTGCTTCTGTCCCTTTTTTTCGGGTTCGTCTTGCTTCTACCCACCAACCGCGTGTTTCGGCATCGTAGGTGTGGAGCTGCAGAACGATCCGTACACCGACTTTTACCTCCGAGCTTGACAGCGGATGCTGATTACCCTTGCGCCGGAAATGTAGGAGGTCGAACCGCTTGGTCCAGTACCGTCACCATTCTACAATCACGACTGACCGAGCCGGTAGCAGCTCGCTACTGGTACGATGGTCAATACATCAACAATGCTAAAGAAGATGCTGCCGAAGTCGCCCTGAAGCTGCTCAACCAGCAGCCGCGTGCCTCTACCGTCTATCCGGGTCAACTCTTTCCACAGGGTACAGCGGGCTATGGTCGCGGTGGAGGCGGGTTCTGATTCGATTTCCTTCATGACTCGAATGTTTTTTCTTTTGTTCGGGTGGTATTCTCTTTTATGTTTTTATTCAACGTGTGTGTGCGTGCGCTGATTGCTCATCTCTGGCCTGCGGAGTTTTTTTCTCGCTTCTTTGCAAATCTTTTTTTTCTTTTTCGTGTTCATTCTTCTCCTGACTTTGCTTCTGCTTTTGCTTCTACTACTGCGCGGTCTTTGTGTGGGCCCACATCAACACACAGACCTTGCTGCTCTTTCGTTTGTTTTGCTCTTCCTTTTATGCGCTATGCAGGCCAAAAATTATCACGCACCACACCTCACACCTACCTCATCGTGCATCGAACGTCCTTTTTTTCTTCTCCTCGAATCCCGGATATGCGCGCCACATTCCCGAGCCGGTGAAACAATGACGGTTGGCTCGATGCGGATGGAACTTGCAGCAAGGTTTCTTCACCGTGTTCTCAGGAGGCCTGGGCTCGAGACCCGGCTCTCGGCTGGACAAGGACAATGCAGGAAGCCTTGAAGAAAGGGGCAATGGATATACATCTTGGGATGAGGACTGAGCTACGTCTATTCCTTTCGTGATCCGGCCCCCCTCTCCATTTTCATCGACCTCACCGACACCTACGTTCTCAGTACCTTACAATCCGGGCTTGGCGTTGTGTGACTACCCACTGTGGTTGTGACACCCAACTCAATCCCAACGGCTCAGGAACATTCTTTTCTCTGTCGGCTTGCTTGTATTGCGGAAGATTTTGAAGAGGCTTAGGCGCGTTACTGGAACCACGGTCTGGCCTCGAAGAAGCCGAGGAATAAGAGGGGAAGATCCGACACTTTGTTTTGCAGCCATTGAGACTCGGAAAGCTATTGGATCATGCCCTGACAAGGAACATCCCTTCCATCTGCAGTCTGTGCGTGCCGTCAGTTTCTCTACCGACCTTGGAAATGAATCGGTGAAGATATCCATGGTTCCAAGGTTGTGGGTCCCTGCCGTCAGCCACCCGCCTGACCTTCTTGGGACGCAACATCCTGCCTTTTTGGAAGCCGAACGAGTTCTAGAATCTATTGGGTGCCGATCTGAAAACTTTTTGCAACCCGAAGACTTAAGATGATTCTTGCTACTGTTAGCTCCGCAGGGGGCTAGTTGATTCGAGCTTTAGCCTTGAGATAATTGACTTACCCGAGGCAGCTAGTACGTCGATACCAGGGCTGCATAAAGCGAGAAGCAGACCATCTATAGCACAAATGAGCCATCGGGAAATGGTGGCAACAGACGTGTTTGAGGATTCACAGCTGAGGAACAACAAACATTGAAAACGACAGTCTTGATGATAATTTTCTCTTTTCTCTTTTTGCTTCTTGCTTTCGTTTTTTAGTTTATTTTTTCTGGGCTTCATATTCTTTCAAGCACAAAATCACTTTTTGCTTACTTGCTTTGACCTTTTTTTGACTTACAGCTTTTGGTACGGCCTTCTCAGGCAACAATTCGACTTGGGAGTTTTCATTGGATATGTACGACTGTGTGGGACTCAGGGATTTGATTGAACTTGACCAGTTCTTGAATTTCACGCTGACCGATTTCTTTTTCTCCACTTCTTTGCACTTGAGAGCTTGTTATCAAATTGTTTGCGATTGCTTCGGCTACAAGAAATATCGACAGGACATGCCTAATGAGGAACTTTGCTTTTCACTTGTTTCCCACGACTTTGTGGAAATTTAAATGCGTTTGCTCTGTTTTTGTTTTGATTTGGAAGATAATGTCATATTACTCCACACTGCTTTTGATCTGAGCATGAAATAAAGCTTTTCTCTTGTACAGCACTCTGCCATATGTGTAGTTGTCTATTTGTAGAAGACTGTAATTTTCCGATAATTATCGACAATTTCATGAAATGAGTTTATGGGTGATTGAAAACACAATACAGTTGTTGATTTATAGAGCATCCATGGATCTTGTCATACTTAGGGATCCAAATATCATTCGCTGGGACAATAATCGAATCTTTGGTACGATCCATCGATCGCCCGAATCACTTTCCTATTCGGATCTGACACGCCCCCGGTCGGCCCCAGATCCAAGAATGCGCCCGACTCAGGATCAAGCTCGGCATTATCGAACGGTGGCTGTGCAATTCAAGTTACTGATAGGATAGGCTCCAGTAATAGCGTCTATAAAGTGGTCAAATATTCCGAATTCACACAGTTTTGGTGGCTTCATAGTTGTGTCCACACTAAGAATCACCTTGAGCATCACGGCCTTCATTAATAACACGGTCGCTCGTCAAAGCTCCTCGCGCACTCAACTATTCCCGCCAATTCAAATAGTTGATTTTTCTTTCGTGCTTCTCTCAATATGTGTTTTGGGTTTAGCGAATTGAAACCTCAACCTCCGTCCCGGGCCACCTACCGCGAGGACGGTTATGGTCAGTACCTTCGTGATTACGATGCCTATCAAAAGGCAGCCCACAGCTACAATACGAATAAGAAAAAGCGCAAGGCTCGTCGGCCTAACCATACTGCTGCACTAGCTGGCGCGGGCGTTGTCCATGCTGGCCATGTTAATGGGAGCGGTTGTTAGGGAGGATATCATGGTGTGTGACTTTATTTGATCTATCTTTTCTCATTTATCAATTTTGTATACCACTTGAATTTTAATTTCGGGATTTAAGGAATTGGTGGGGTCTGTCAAACTGGAGACAGCATAGATGTTAGGAATCATTGACAGCCCCATCGCTAGATTATTCCGTGTATTTCTTGGAGAATTTCGCCCCTAGACATTTGAGATAAATCATAGCACTATATCAAATTGTTTTATTTGTCATCCACATATGTATCGTAAGAAGACTTTTGAATATAATGGAGGTATATGATAACGCACAAAGTACCTTGGAAGTGCGGGAACGGGTGGCTAGCTGAAAGGCAAGGGGACCCGGAGAGATTCCATCCCGGGAACCTTGCTTTCAACAATGCCTTGTCTTCTTTTTACAACTAGCTGATTGTTTGAAAAAAAGAATGATATATGAAATATTTGTAATACGTATTATTTACTTAAAATGTAGTTTTCGATATACAGCACAGGCAGTGAAGAGCTTCAAATATTTATGGATTACCCCTTGACAAATCGAGTCGCTGAGCCTATGTCTCAAAATCAATGTACTGTTGGGCAAAGTTTAGCGACATCACACTAGTATGAAAGCTATTTATCTGTGTTATCCGACAAAGAAGGCAAACTGCTTGTGATATTCATCATAACCGCCACAGGCTCTAATTAATCTAATATGCAAACTTCTTTCCATTTTCATCACCACCATTTCGCTTGTTCTTCCAGCTATAATAAAGGCGTAGTAAAATACACCCAGCCGTCACGAAAAGAAGAAGGGCAGCATTAGTCCAATGTCCCGTTGGGTACCCTATCGTTGCCTCGTCTGATTTGTAGATCCATACTCCAACAATCTGACCAGGTGCACCAAATGAAACATTCAAAGCAATTGCGAGTCCAGCCCCAGCTGTGGATTTGAGGTTGGATGATAGCCATCCCAGTAATGGAGGAATGCAGGCAAACGCACCACTAGCTGCAACTATAAGACAACCATAACGATGCTGAAAATTGGTTAGCGATTTCCGTAGAGCCATTTCAGTTGATGTGATTGGTTTGCTTACAAGGTACGCGTCTGCTGGGAGTACAGCCGAGGCGAGAAAGCCCATTGCACCAATGAAAGAAAACATAGCAGAATGAAGACCGCGACTTGTGAAGTGTTAGTATTATCTGAGATTCCAAAGTCAAGGTACACTACTTACCTGTTGAAATGATCCGCAGACCATGCCGCAGCTACAGTGACCACATATGCCACCGCATACGGGGGCACTGTCATCAGCTGCGCCCGTAAGTTAGAATAGCCTAAGCCGGACGTGATAGCGGGAGTAAAGAGAGAGAGACTAGAAAAAGGCGTGGAAATGCCAAAATAAACCTAAGAAAAAGTCAATGAAAGCTGTTTTGAAAAAATATCGTTCGCCAGGAATAACATACTGCATAGTGAGCATATAATCTCCAGTCGCAAAGTACTGCTTTTGCATCGGCCCAAGACATAGCACTTGCCGAACCTTTCGACCCTTCGGTCTGTAACCGATAAGCTGCAAGCTCTTTCTCCTCCTGTGAAAGCCAATGAGCCGTTTCGGGATAATCTGGTAGAAAAAACCAAACCAGGAATGCTGAGGCGCATGACGGTGCCCCTTCAATTATGAAGAGCCATCTCCAAGCCGAGAGCCCATGCGCACCGTTCATATGGCCTACGCCAAATGCGATAGCACCACCAAATGCACCAGCGAGCGTTGCAGAAGCCAAAATTAAAGCTACTCGCATTGATCGTTCAGAGTTGCGGTACCAAAATGTCAGATAGTAGACGAATCCGGGAAAGAGTCCAGCCTCCATGACACCCAGTAGGAATCGAATTCCTGTTACTTGAGCATAGGTATGCGTACCACCTAGTCCCATAGTAGCTGCACCCCATGATAACATTAGGAACGCGATCCATCGCTGTATTTTGTTAGTACACCCTGCGGTAGATGCCAGAAAGGCTTTGACGTACGCTAGGCCTAAGCTTCTTCAAAAAATAGTTGGAAGGAACTTCAAACAGTGCGTAGGCTATGAGAAAGACCATGAGTGCAATCCTATAGGAGCGAGTCAGTCACCCATTCCCTTTATCGATGGGCAAGTCGCGCCATACGTATACTGAAACGAGGTCATCCCAGTCTCAGAGAGAAGATCATTGTGGGTGTCCTCGTTGAGAATTTTGGCATTTCCTACTGCAATGAGCCTCTGTCTTTCGACTCTGAATAATTAAACATACCAATATTGGATCGATCCAAATAACATAAAAGGTAAATTCCTGCACAAAGTGGAACAATTCGTAGATCCTGTTTCCATATCAAAGCTTTCTCGCGCGCCTCAATAACCGGATCACTCGGTATCTGTAGCAATAAAGCTTTTTTTAGATCAAAATAAAGAAATTAAAATAAACTTTTTCGTAAAGAACTTACTTCTGCGGCGTACTCGACATCTTGTCCATATTTCTCGGCCATCGTGCAGTGGATGGAATTGGCGATCAGAGCGCATAAAATTCTGAGTCAAATCGTGGGGGGGGAAAGCTCCTCGAACCCCCTTTTGTTTGCTCTTTTTTTTTTTCTCGGGCATAAGCAGTCCCTGAACCCCGGAGAATGCCCCCGCAATCATCTCGCACTGGCCATGTCGGGCCTTCTCCGACTTCGCGGGGGGTTTCCCGGGAAGGCTTCGGCAATGGCTGAATGGCGATGGGAAGTTCATTTTCAATTACTGTAGAGGTTTCTAACCACAAAAAGCATACCTTCCAATGAAATGACCTGATATTTTTCCATCGAACCACCAGGTAGGCATTTTTATCGGATTTGAGTGTTAAAATCTTATGTGGGTCCAGATAATAGGTCGCATAACAAGTGCTTTTTAACGAATGAACAAGCCAATGACTGACTTGTGTCCCAGTCACGCGCAGCATTTGAACAGACATAAGAACTATAGATGCATATAGCTCGATGCACTATTCACCGCCAATATGCAATTCGGGAAACTAGCAAATTATCTCCGGGGTAGTGTCGCTGTCAAACCAAGTACTATGAGGAATGCATGTGATATGGAGAAAACTGTTATCTTTAAACGATTCATGAAATTCTGTTTGTCAAAGTCCCACAAGTGATATACCCTGTTAGATATGGTGTGAGCAAGCCCTGGGCTACATATACTCTATACCCATTTGGGTTGCTATGCAAACCAGACAAACAGCTTATCACGATAAAGGATTCTCCAGTTAGTCGCAATGTTTCTGTTGGCGAAAAGGTTCCCCATGCAATGCCACCGGTGCTGGCTAGATTGATTCCAAAATATATACACGTGGAATTATATAAATCAGTCGCAAGGATGTCAACTGCTACGGAGTCTACTCGAAAATCCATGCCCTCCGCATTGACGTTTGAGCGGCACGCGAAATGTTCGGTATTCTGTCCTTGACCCCTCCAAATACTCACCATGACATTCGCTGACTATAAAATCTTGATGGATTTATTCATAGACCACCAAGGCGCGTGCTAGCACCCTTCAACTACCCCACGGATCCGTCCCACTGCCAATCTTTATGCCCGTCGCAACACAGGCATCTCTCAAGGGCCTGACATACGACCAACTACGCGATACTGGATGCATGCTATGTCTGAATAATACATATCACCTTGGATTAAAGCCGGGTCAGGAAGTCCTCGATGCTGTTGGTGGCTCGCACAAATTGCAAGGATGGGACCGGAATCTCCTGACCGATAGTGGAGGGTGAGATATTACTGCCGGTGATCTGCCACGATGTATTGGTGATTGAGACTGACCTGAACATCATAAAGTTTCCAGATGGTATCTCTTCTAAAATTGGCTACTGTGACCGAGGAAGGCGTGCGATTCCTTAGTCCCCACGACGGCTCGCCTATGTATGATTGCGGTTCTGCAGCCCCGCAACAAAAATAGATGGCTAATTCTCGATAGGCTTCTGACCCCCGAACACTCTATCTCCCTTCAGAATTCAATTGGTTCCGATATCATCATGCAATTAGACGACGTCATTGCTACTACGTCCCCGGATCATGCACGGATTAAGGAGGCCATGGAGCGCTCTATACGTTGGCTGGACCGCTGCATTGATGAGCATAAATACCCCGAGAGGCAAAATCTCTTTTGCATTATTCAAGGTGGTTTGGATCTAGAACTCCGAAAACAATGCTGCGAAGAAATGGTAGCCCGAGATACCCCTGGAATTGCCATCGGAGGCTTGTCGGGAGGAGAAGCCAAAGAGGAGTTCTGTAAAGTGTAGGCCATTTCCATCTGTCGGGTCTCTTTTCACGATGAACTAATTTCGGCAGGGTGGATACTTGCACAAACAATCTTCCAGAATCGAAGCCCCGATATGTGATGGGTGTGGTAAGTTTCTCCGGCTCCAGCCTGCTACTTCAATGCTTACAATGTATATGTAGGGATATCCTGAAGATATTGTTGTCGCAGTCGCTCTTGGTGCAGACATGTTTGATTGCGTGTGGCCAACTCGCACAGCGGTTAGTATTGCTCATCCGTTTTGCTGTTTTTTCATACTAACCAATCGATCAGCGGTTTGGTCAAGCAATCGTCACGTCTGGCACAATGGTCCTCCGCAACAAATGCTTTGCCGATGACTTTACCCCAATTGAAGAGGGCTGCGCCTGTACTATTTGCCGACCGGTTGACCAAGGCGGCCTTGGTGTTACGAAAGCCTATATGCATCATATCACAGCAAAAGAAACCGTCGGTGCTCATCTGTAAGACACTAATCCCCGCGGATCTTTTTGCTTCTTCGCTAATGCATACAGTCTTTCCATCCACAACGTACATTTCATGTTGAATCTGATGGGCAACTTGCGACAAGCCATCATTGAAGATAGGTACCCGGCCTTTATTCGCGAATTTTTCTCAAATATTTACGAAGGCGATAAATCGAAATATCCTGAATGGGCAGTGGGAGCCTTGCGCGGTGTTGGCATGGATCTATTGGCTGATTGATATCAGGTTTGTTTAACGAGAAACCGATAAATCGATAAAAGCATGTGCACATATATGAGCGATTTGAATGATTTATAACAACTTGGCTATTACACAATTGACAGTATCATCTCATGTTATGCATACACTTTGACCCATCAGACAATATTTCCTTTTTGAGAGAACAATTCCGCCGGCAGAATCATCCGAAAGCGGTAGGCGGCTGTCTCTACAGGCAAGAACTTCAAGGCGGAGAAAGGGGAAGGTCTCAGTTGTGGAGAAAGTGCCGAAGGAATGTACAGGCACCACAATTAAATCCCCAGTGAGCTTTCGGTTGGTTCTGCTCAAGGATCTGACTCCAGGGCTTATCTGATGATCTGATTGACTATAGACACTGTATTACCTTTCCTGTGACATATATATTTAGCACAGGACTGGCGATTACGGCTAACTAGTTAAGTACAGTCACTTACGTCAACACCATGCAGCTCCGGTTGTTACTACAGTAAAATTCTCAACTGTTCCGCGAGTGCCAGCACTGCCCAGAAGTGTTCCTTATAAGATCCTTTGAGCGCACACTTACGAACGTTGGATGGGCCCTCTCTCATAATGAAGCGCTCGACGGCTCGACGACCGCATACCAAATCAAGGAATGGATGTCAGCGTTGCAAAGCGCGCAAAGTAAAGGTAGGCAAGCTTTTTTTTTCTTGATTCTGACCTCAACCGTTTGAGAGCCTAATTAACATTTTCGGCGGCATCAAAGTGTGATGAAACCAGACCGCACTGCCAAAACTGTACCAAACATGCGATCGATTGTTACTACTCCGAGAAGGCAATCGGCACAGCGGCCAGGAGTCCATTATCTGCTCCGCCGTCCGCCACATCCTCAGTAGAGTTCGTACAATCGGATGAATTGCCATCTATCGGGCAAGGCACTAGCGATCCAGCTGGTCCAGGTGGTAGTTCAGTGCCCGGTCAAAATACCGACATGGCCATTGGGATCGCAGAAATGGAATTACTCCATCACTACTCAACCTCAACATGCTATACGATTACTCGACTTCCGATATTGCAGACCGTCTGGCGCATCAAAGTCCCCCAATTTGGATTCTCATTCCCATTTGTTCTGCACGGTATCTTAGCCTTTTCAGCTTTACACCTGGCGTATTTGAGGCCTGAACACCATGCTCATTATGTTGATAAGGCCGAATTTCACCATAAGCAAGCACTGCAGATGGTCTCTACTATCATGCCAAACATAGATGAGGACAATGCTCCCGCTATCTATTTGTTCTCATCTCTCACATCTCTAATCTCCTGTGCAAAGCCACGATCAGCTGATCAATTCTGGATGTTTGGAGAAAAAGATCTTGAGCTGCTAGCCTTATTTCGTGGTACACGATTTATTATTTCTGCAGCAGGGGACCCGATCAAGTTTGGGCCCCTCGCGCCAATATTCAAAAATGGGAGCATGAGGAGCAGTACGCGGAACAGTAGATCTACGATGAACCTGTCCTATTTAAATGATTTGCGACAACTTTTGAAGGATAATGTGCCAAGTACAGAGGAACTCGATCTTTACTTTGAGGCTATTCATGGTCTAGGAAAATCATTTGCAATGTTGGAAGAACAGGGCTATCAAAATATGCAGACGGCAGATGTTTTTGTTTGGGTTTTGGAGCTATCCGATGGATATCTGAGTCTTCTTCGCCAAAGAAAGCCTGAGGCCCTGGTTGTCCTTTCATATTTTTGTGTCATTACTCATTCTCTTGAATGGGCCTGGTGGATGCAAGGCTTAAGCATCCATATGATACGGGGTATATACCATGCACTGGATGGGGAGTACCACTGCTGGCTACAGTGGCCGATGGAGCAATTGGGCTGGGTCCCGTGACAGCTTCAAAGGCAAAACGAAATTTTGTGCGTGTCTGCTACTATATAAATCCTGACAGTAAGCAGGCTCAGTTGATATAAAAAAGGGGTTAGCTTACAGAACAACAGCAAGCCCTCCTGAGAATCGAATTCTTAGTTAATTTATCTTTCCTCGAAGATTTATACACGTCGTTATAGACCGGGCGCAAAGGCTATCTGGCTGGCACCTATCCCTCGTAATGACCGCAAGACTTGCTTCCAAGGTTGCAAAGGGCGCGCAACATATACGTGGATAACTAGCTTCAAGTTGGGACATTCCAACATCCTTCGGAAAAGTCAGGGGCCCTGGGCGGAGATTTCCGACAGACTTGGTTGAAACCACCCCCAGTCAAGCAACATTTCGAACTTCCTAATGTCATTCAAATTTCTGTTGCTCAAGACTGTGATATGTTCATCTTCAACAAGATATCTGGCAGATTCCAAGCTCTCAGAGCGAAACCTCTAGAGCGTCCAAGAGAAGCTAGGATTTGCCGCAGCAATTTCCCTCGCCTGAAACTATTTCCTCAATATGAGAGCTGGATGCACTTTTATCTGAAAATCGGTTGTTTCATGTTTGGAGCTTGTAGGATATTACTGCTGGGGCTGACGACGTTAGACATATCCGCCAGGGATGAGAAAGAGGCGATAATGATGATGGCCCAATGGTGGCATTCAAGTTGTTAGCCATTATAGTATATGATATATTGACTTTCGGTTCAAATTCATGAGTGTATAGGTGGTATATTATGGTTTTTATGGTTCTAAAGCGTCTTGATTGCCCACTGGGAAAAAGGGTGACAATTGGTATAGAAATGATCCTCGGCCTGTGGACCTCCAAGTCGGAGGTGGACTCAGTATTCGTCTCATTATTTGGTCTTTCATACGGCACTAGAGCAACATGTTGATTGAATTATTGGAAGCGGCTGCTGAAAGTCACGATGGATACCAGAGATGTAAATGAATAACTATAGATTGGGTGGATGCTGCTTTGTTTCCTGTGCCAGGGTTGGGATATTTGTATGGAATCCTTTTTGTTGTGCGATACGAATAGGAGATGGGAATCGGTGTAGATCTTGATATTCAAGTTTGATACAAAACCAGATGAAGGTGATCTAGGGGCGAAGGTCGAATTTAAGTATCCCTGAATCCAGCTTGCTAGGACTTCCAAAAGAGGCTCGAGAATTTCCTTGCTGTACCAGTCCGAACCCGAACCCGAACCCGAAACCTTGCAACGCGGATCTTCCCAACCTTGGAACCTCATTGATTGAATTTTGATACCAATCCGAATACGATCGTATTCGATATTAAGCCTTCGATGCTGAAATCATAGCAACTCAATTAACCCACCCCGTGGGATTTTTTGGAGCCTGTTCTCTTGGCGATCAGATAATACATAGTGAAGCCGTATGTCTTCAGGCCTAGAAATGGCAAAGTGGAATTGATCTCATTAATACTATCAGCCACTCCGTCACCTATGCGCTTGGATATCACGATGATCTAGAATGCCTTCTCATGCTTGGATATAAATAACTACCACTAGATATTAGTACCTAGGTTATCTGAGCATGCAAATTGAAAGATATGGTGATACTTATTGACTAGTACCTGTCTTTCAAAAAAATAAAACACTAGTAAAACACGGGTCGGAACTGGACTGTACTACCTAGCAGGAGGATTGCTCGCGTTGAACTATAAAGGGTACGTATGCATATCATGATATTCTAGAAGCTCAAGATGGTGGATCTTAAAGAGCTTCCATTATGAATCTGGGATGCTTCTCGTGTCAGCTACGGGAAAATATTCAAGAGATTCTCCTAAGTGACGTTCCATGGTAGATGCTGAGAATGCGAATCCGAGTACGACTATGTATGTTCTTACTAGATTTCTACGGTCAGGATGATCGGCAAATGCCAAGACGGCAAATAAAATTGATTTCAACCTTACGAGGATCTTCTCACGTTTTTGGACAAGTGATCCACATTCTAATGTGCTCTTTCGGATAGTATGGGGCTCGGATACTCCTTATAGCCAGTGAAACCACCGTGAAACTGGATCTTTCGATAGTCCCGAGGTTCGGGACCTCTCCCCCGTCAATTATTCAACATTCAAAAAATTCATGTGGAGCTTGGATCAAACTGCTACCTACGCCTGAAACCTCGTCCAATGACTATTCATAGCACGGATCGAGTTTTCGGGTTTTTGAGAAGTCAGTCCATCATTTCCTATATAAGATGATAGAACGCCGCTGCTGAAGAACTCCAATTCACATCTCTTTATCGTTCGGCACCTACAATAATGAAGTCGATTTTGTCCCTTTTGGGGCTCGCCTCTGTCTTTGGAATTGGAAATGCATCCCAGGCCAGTGTCTCGACTGGTGCAACTATAAACACCTCCTTAGGAAGCTTCGACCTTACTACCGGGGCTGCCTGTGCCTGCAAGAAGCTCTCCAGCTTGTACCCAAGCCAGTTCATCTTTCCCGGCTCGTCCAATTACACAACCCAGGCTGTATACTACTGGGATATCCGCGCGGACCTGAGCCCAGCTTGCATTTTCATGCCTAACACAGATGAACAAGTTGCTACTGCTGTTAAGACATGTGTCCAGTGCGATGCTCAGTTTGCCGTTCGTGGCGGTGGTCACATGAACTTCCCCGGATCCAACAATATCGATGGTGGTGTTTTATTGGCTTTCAACAACATGACAAGCTACAAGGTGAACAGTGATACCATCGAAGTTCAGCCAGGAATGACTTGGTACGATGTTTACTCGGCACTTGATCCGTACGGCCGCACTGCTATTGGTGGTCGCTTGAAGACCATCGGTGTTCCTGGACTTACTCTTATTGGTGGTGTATCTTATTTCATCAACAAGTACGGCTTTGCCATGGATAACGTCGCGAGCTACGATGTCGTTCTTGGTAACGGAACCCAAGTCATCGCAAACTCGACTTCCAATCCCAACCTTTTCTGGGCTCTGAAAGGTGGTGCTAATAACTTTGGAATTGTTACCAAATTCACTCTGAAGACATACTATATGCCACACATTAGTACCACGATCCAGACCTTCAACGAGACCTACGCATACGATTACACCAAGGCTGTTTGCTCCTGGGCCACTGCCGACTCCGAGAGCCCTGTTGCTGCTGGATCTGTGATTACTGTCACTTACAATGCTACAACCAAGGTTTTGGAACCAATGATTCTCGGTGTCCAGGCTGGTGTCAGCAACCCACCTTCAGAATTTGCCAACTTCACTGCTATCCCCGGTACTGCCAAGATCAACAATGTCACCACTGGCAAGCAGTGGGCCTCAACTCTAGACTCGCCTAAGCAGATGTTCCGGTATTTGATCCACCCAATGATGAATAGCGCCAGACTCTTAGCTAATAAATCATGCCTGATACAGTGTTATGTTCGCTCATCACTCGATGGTTCCCGATGCAGATGTTCTCTACGGAATGCTGCAGAAATGGAAGGCGTCAGTTGATGAAATTTCAGATGTCCAAGGACTCTACCCTACATTCGTCATGAATATCTCTCCTGCTAGCGCTGCTAGAGTGGCTCAGAAGAACGGTGTTGGTAACGTTTGGGGTCTGGATGATGAGCCTCTGATCTGTAAGACAACCCCCTAGTGATGTAACTGAGTACAATAAGATACTAACACAAACCTCAGGGTGGCAACTCAGCACCGGCTGGGACCTAGCGCAGGATGATCTTCGTGTTCAGGGCTGGGCTCGTCAGCTGACTGAGCATATGCACGCAGAGAACCAGAAGAATGGTCTTGCCCGGGAGTTCGTGTATATGGGCGATGCAGGCGAGTGGCAAGACCCATTCAAGGGCTTCGACCAGGAAAATGTTGAGCGCATGAGAGAGATCAGAGCTGCCTATGATCCCAAGAAGACCTTCTCCAAGTTGAACTGGGGTGGCTTCAAGCTTGGCTACTAGATACTACGCCATGCTAATGCTCGAAGTAAATTCCTTTTACAGGAATTTAAACTAAATTAACTTGTTGCTCTAGATCACTCTTGGATCAAAACTGTGGACGTTTAAAAGAAATGTTAGAAAGCTAAGCTTAAATTATTGTATTCAAACTATCTGCGGGATAGTGTACTCCATAAAAATAAAATCTGTCCCTGTTCAGAATCTTGTGAATGCATGTCATAAGAGTTCAAAAGAACCCTGAAATCTGAAAAAAAGAAAAAAAAAATTGGAGAAAGAAAGCTTGTTCGTCATGTTCGAATATAGCCCTTGATTGCTCCTGCTGGCGTGCTCGTGAATAGAGAAACGCGCTAACGCTGTCACTGAAAGCAATGTCGACCGAAGTCAACCTCATGTACACCGCCATCTGTACCATAAGCTCTACATACATAGAAAAACAAGTGGAAAGAGAATTAGAAAGACGATTGAAAAGATAAGTAGAGAAGTACATCTTAAGATAGCATGATTGAAGCTTAACCATCTGGGCATAGAACTTCAGCAGTATTATACTAGTAGCACCAACCTTGTAGCCTCCAGATGCCCTGACGTGCTACTACGGGGTGCTAAACTGTTAAAAAAAATAGAATTACAATTTACAGAGAGAAGAATGAGTAAAAATCAAGCTCATGCACGCTTGCGGGACGAGGGCCTTGAGAATAATGTGTTTCATAGTGAGTGGACTGGGGACGAGCAAAATGTATACTGATGTAAGACTTTCCACTCCCTTTGGAGTTTGATTGTGCGGCCCGGGGACACAAGAGAGGTTTGGAACCACTTCATTTTGGTGGGAAATGGCAGTGGGAAATGGTAATATCCAGGTGATTGATGAGAGAAAGAAACAAGCAATGCACAGAAAATCAACTGACTGGGATGTCTAGCCATATAGTTATGACACCTTGACACCTTGAATCCTCGACACCCGGTACGGAATAAGGTTTGGCGTCTCACATTTATGCCTTATTTTAGACAGCCTTAACCACCGCTCTGTGAATTTACTGTATACCACCTGCGCGTTAACCAAGGCCACCAGATTCCAAGGTTCCCAACCTGAACTTCAGTTTATATTGTTCTCTTCTCTTCTCCCAGCCCTTTCTTCTTCTTGAAACCCTGATCCTGGAAGTTATTTTGATGACGGAGGCTACGCCGACATTTATGCTCGGTTGGGGTCTAGCGCATTCATACCCTGTCTCAGAAACTAGATCCTGATCTATTTTCAGCCTTATGTATTCTCAAGATAAGAAATTTAAGCTTTTCCAAAGCTTTTCCACAACCAGCTGAGTCAGATCGAAACAGTTGCCTAATCGGGACGTTCTGGGGTGGTCCGTGTGGAGATACGAGATGTGTGGCAAAACTGGCTCGCATCTGGTCTATCGAAATCATTACCCAATTTCGATCTGTCCGTTTTTACCTTCTACATCTTTTTTCATCCCTGTCTACGTCTGCCGTTGCGTTGCTGTGCAGCCCGGTTCCACATATTCTAAATTGCTTGTTGTTGCTTGGTGTTGCTTGTTCACATTAGTGGAAAGTATACACGCCTTCCGTCCCCTTCCGTCACTCGATTCAACTCCGGATAGGTAGAAACGAGGGGCATTGGCTCGTGCTAGCTCCAAGATTCGCTCGCATGGTTTATCGTGGGAAACCAAGCAGTGCCTGTGAGCGTTGTCGTTCGAGACGTTTAAAGGTAAATTTGGCCCCACATTAATCTTAATCGGGCCCAAATAAGGCAGAGCAAGGGTCCTCGGGAGGAAAGCCGGCTAATTTGGTCGATCAGTGCGACCAAGGCACTCCTACATGCAGTCCATGCACCAGGGCAAAAGTTGAATGTCCTGGTTATAGGAATACGCTGGATCTAGCCTTCAGAAATCAAAATGACAAAGCGATCAGTCTCTCTCAACGCTCTACAAGGAAAAAGCAGCATGCGACGACCAAAACCGCTAACGTACGGGTGGCTTCGTCTTCGTCACCTGACTACCCCAACTCAGTGCCATATGCTCTAGAAAATCCACTGAACGACCTAGCGATGGGATACTTCTTTTCCCACTACATAACTGGGGGTCTTCAAAAGGGATATATGTCCTATCTTTTGCCACTCATTAATGACCCGTTTAACGTTGCGGTTATATCCGCTCTCAACGCAGTTGGACTAGCTGCCTTATCAAATATCAGATCATCCCCACAGATGATGCTCAAGGCTCGAAGGGAATATACCAAAGCGTTATCTGAAACCAACAAGGGCCTTGCAGATATCGCAACATCCGATAGGGATGATATTTTGGCCGCGGTCGTTTTACTTGGCATGTATGAAGTGAGTTTACCCTTTGATCATCGCAGGCGTACTAGGATAAATCATTATCTGACGTCTCTCAGGTTGTTACCTGCTCTGATGGTCATTTTATCGACCGATGGATGAAGCACGTGGAAGGCGCGGCAAGATTAGTCGAATATCGAGGATTGAAACAATTAGAGCGCCGAGAGGGATTGGAAATATTCACCCAACTGCGCTTGCACATTGTACGTTCTCTTCGTATACCAGCATTGATACGGTACTAATAGTCGTCTCCGTAGAACACTTGTGACATTTATCGAAAAAGACGCAGCACCGCACTTTACATCCGGCTGACAGAAAACGCGATGAAGTATCGGGATGAAAATGATCAGATCATCGATCTTCTTTGCCTCGAAGTCATCAAATTGGCCGATTTACGAGCATCGATTGATGATGGGAGCATCTTTGATCCCGGCGAGATCATTCGTAAAGCCCTAACCATCGATGCAAACCTCGCATCACTTTTCATAAGTGTCCCAACGCCTTGGCAGTACCAAGAAATTGAAAATCCGTTCTCTAATGGACCTCAAATTGGCCGAACTGTTTGGGGCAACACCTATCATTTATATGGAAGTCTAAGAGCAAGCAACATGTGGAATAACTGGCGCTCTGTGCGAATCCTCTTGCATGAACTCATCATCGAAACTGTGGCATCTCTAGAAGGCTGTTCTCCTGGCCCCGAGCGTCGACAGCAACTCGCATTGGCTGCTCATAGTCGATTTATCGCTTCACAGTTGGTGGAGGATATATGCGCGAGTGTGCCTTACCATCTTGGCGCAGGAACAGAGGACAACGATCAAGTCCCGTTGCCAGTGACAGGAGCAGGAGGTTTCTGTCTGATGTGGCAATTACTTATTGCCGCTAACTCGGGTCTTGCTTCTCAGGATCTGCGTTCATGGATTATGGACTGTCTTGATAAGATTGGGTATTCGATGGGAATTAATCAGGCTTTGGCGATGTCGCAACTCTTACGCGCAGGAAAACAGTCAGAATCATTGCATCTGCCGGAGAATCATACCTTGGGAATGGGAAGAAATCATTTTGTGGGACTTATAGAGGAATAGACTTGGAATAGAATCTAGATTTAAAGCGAGAATACAGGATGCGCAATAATTGATTGAAATTAAATTAATAATGCTCAGAAAACCTTTTTTTTGCTGAGAAACTTTCCAATACTGTCGTATACTATGCTCTATGCTCCTTTTTCAATCTCATCCAATGCAACATCATGATAATCAAGGACATCAAAATAAACCGCAAATGTAACAATGCTCGCCTTCTGTAAGTAGATCAAAATAATTAAAACCGACTGAAACACGAAACCTCATAAGAAAGCCTTTGATGAATGGGCAATATTGCCTTATCTCGTTTGCTCTCTTTGGCTCTGTCGTGCGTAATTCTGATCATACGCCTGCTGAGCTCCAGCCTTAGCATAAGGCACATTGTTGTATCCGGGCGCATACTCTTCGGAACCCTCCTCAGACGCCATGGGATAAGCTTGTTGTTGTCGACCATGGACATCCATAGTTGAGCGAGAAAGACCCAGGCCCAGAATAGTGTATATGACCACAACAAGAAACTCTTCAATGGTTGCCATGCCGAGCTTGACCTTCGGGTCTCCGCCCAGGATTGAGAACTTGCTGTTATGTCCGAAAGCACTTATGAGACTGTATAGTAGACGAACAGCGATGAGTGGCAATGCAATGAACACGCAGGAGAATATTCTCTTTTGACCTGCATCCATGCTTCTGAGGTCACGGGTAGTGATCACCCAAAGAAGGCATACGGCAAGGTAGACGAGAAGATAAACAATAATTGCGCCGCGGACCTTGTCTTGGCCACCGGAATGGTCTGACACGTTAGATGAAGCTTCGTCACTTCCTCCACTGATAGATAAAATCAGTGCAATTAATGCGGGGATGTGGAGAAGCTGGGTAACTCGGCTTCGGCGAGAAACGGCAGTAGCCCTTTTGGTATAAATGGAAAACCTGAAAGTTTCATGTGTTAGAAAACATACAGCACTAAGACGATGGTGCATCTACACAAGGTGCTCGATAACCAGATACTTACAGTTTACCAAAAATTCCAGAGACGGCACCTAAGCCTTGCAAGACGATGTTGCGATTGGAGTTCGGGTCGGATGGTGCGCGTGTGGTGGTTTCGTCAAAACTACCGGTATATTAGCAATGGAACGGTATGATGTGGCTTATGGGGGAAATTAAACTGACACTCTTTTCAAAAGACCCAAAGTCGACAGTAACAAAGGCGAAAGACCGACGGATTGCAGGATCATCGCCCACTCTGCGTCATTTGTGTTGTCGGGATGCTGCGTACTCAAAATCTCCAAGATAGCTCCAGCAATGCGAATACCTCCAAATATGCAGAGGTAAATCCATCCCAGTTGCTTGTGAAATCCATGGCGAAAGACAACAAAGATGGCCAATAATGTAACTGGGATATATACCACCAGTTCGGCGATAGAAATGCTCTTGTCGGTGATGGTGCCCATTGTATGCGAAGCTTGAGAGGCGAACCGCGAAGGAGAAGTATAAAGAGAAATCCTCAGACTATGACTTGAAAGCGTGAACAAATTCAATAAGAAAAGATTGCTGCTCAAGTAGCTAGGTATTCAGGAAGTTGGATGTGTATGCAAGATGAAAAATAAGTTGAGATGGGGGTGCAGCGAGGAGCTACTTATAGACCGCGAGCCCAACAATTTGAAGAATAAACTTTAGGCTGGGATCAGCCTCAAATCCCACAAGACTCAACTCTTCGAAGTAAGCCCGCAGTCTCTGCTGCAACTCGGGTTCAATGTCAGCCTTAGCCTTAACGTGGCTACGCCGCATCTTGGATGCCATGTTTGGTACTAGTTGCGATTGCGATCGACAAATTAAATTTGAAACTAGTCGGCAATGCCGCTGCAAAAAGGGGACCAGTTACGATCACAAAAAATTTAGACATCGCTACTCTATGTACGTTGTGGGGCGTTGAAGCATTATCCAATGATAACGACGTCCGGAGGGTTCACCCCACAAATTACCGTAACGGGAAGCTGTTTCGATCTGCCACTATTCAAGTTTACGAAAAGTCAGGCATCTGCAAGGCCCCAACGTCTTTTCTAAAATCATTTATTTTCGGAGGAGAGAATATACGTGATAATCTAGGTTTATTTCGGGTCCGAAAATATGTGCCAAGACAATAGTTCGTACTTTAAATCTCTAGCTGAATAACGACGGCCAAGTTCATGTCGTAATAGGAGATGACAAGGTCTAAATTCCACGTTAATTAACGATGGGGAACTTGAATATTGCTATTCTGAGTACTTGCGAATCAGAAACTTGAATTCTTGGTAGATGTCATAGCAATGTGTTGAGCTGAAACTGGGGGAGAAATTCGCGAGCTACATTCAAAACTAACAGAGTGAAGGGCGCTCTGCAACCAGCAGCGCTAATAGAAGATCTCTCATGCTGTAAGCAATATAACAAGTAATGGTAGTTTGTGAATCTTTACTATTTAAATTATGATGTCTGAATAGATTATGCTATAAAGATTATTTTCAACCCCCCAATGGACAGGATGGAAGAATGTGCTGGGAGGCGAGATATTATAGATATGGAACGTAGATTTTTGACATATTGTATATCAAGGAAACTTGAAGAACATAGTTAAAATGACATAGATCGAACCGCATAAAGCCGACTTGGTGGCTGGGTCATATAGACGACGAGGTCTCATTATCTTGTCCATCCTCAAGATTCATACATTCTTGGAATCTGACGCGCTCAACAGTGAATTCTAGATTTACTGTCTATTCATCATTACGACGAAGTTCTGTTTCGAGATCTGCTCCATCGCCATCTTCAAGTTGTAGATCGGAATATGTCCGCGGTTCAGAACATTCAAAATAGTTGGGTCAGATGATACCCCGCATGCCCAGGAAGTTGAACCTAGGCAATTATGATGCCAAGGGCAGCCCAGTCTGGAAGTAAAAGATGTCAAGCAGTTTAGGCTTTCTATTCCTCCGACAGCTTAAAAGACGCTGAAACCCCCTCATTCTACAAACCATCCCTCTACATCACCTTCTTGGACTTGCTTCTAGTCTATCGCTTGATCGTTACACACATTTGATCTTTTACCCCACTCGCCTACTTGGAAAAGGAAAGGAAACGCAAAGATGCGGGAAGAGAAGGATATCGAGCACCATGGGAATGATGACTTGGAGAAGACTGCGGTTCATAAGGAGAATATAGTCAGCCCAATGACTCCAAGCAACGAGCGAAAGCTCATCAGAAGGATTGACATCCGTCTCGTTATCACTCTTGGTCTTCTTTATTGCATCAGTCTCTTGGATCGTACTAACATGGGAGCCGCCTCAATTGCGGGGTAAGAATCTAGTGCCCACTTAGGAAACAAGCCCGAGGCCCAAGTTGACTATGTAGCGAAATGAGCTGACGATCTTTCCAGTATGCAGGTTGATCTTCATATGAATGAGAAAAACAACGCGTACAGCATTGCATCACTTGTTTTCTTTATCACATACACAATTTTCCAAGTTCCGGCTACCGCAATAATACGCAAGGTTGGCCCGCGGTACTTCATCTCTACTATCGCATTTCTATGGGGTGCGATTATGATAGTATGTCTTCAATCACTCTTCTAATGTCGCACTTTAAAGAAGTCGACACTTATTCTGACTAAATTAGGCTTTTGGATTCGTCCCGAATTGGCAAACCTTGACCGGGTTGCGGCTTATTCTTGGGGCACTTGAGGCAGGGTTTTATCCCGGGTGCATCTTTCTCCTGAGTACATGGTACACCCGTTATGAGCTTCAAAAACGCAATGCTGGCTTCTATCTGATCGGAAGTACTGCTTCTGGCTTTGGTGGCATTCTCGCCTATGGCTTGATGCAGCTAAAGGGGGTCGGCGGACGATCGGGATGGCAATGGATTTTCATCGTAAGTAAAAAAGGACATTTGCCTAGCTTTGTTACCTCACCAAAATCTCGTGTTTTTTTGCTAAACCATGACCCGGCTATAGATCGAAGGTATTATGACATGCGCTCTTGCCGGTCTAGCCTCCTTTATCTTAGTAGACTTTCCCGAAAAGTCACCCCAATCCTGGCGATTTCTGAATGAAGAGGAAGCAAATTTTATCGTTGACCGATTGGAAAGAGATAGAGCGGATGTATTTGTTGAGCCATTCTCTCTAAAATCCTATCTGGCGCATGCAGCCGATCTCAAAGTGTGGGCGTACTGCATGCTTTACCTTCTCACAACCACCGTCACTTACTCGATCGCTTATTTTCTGCCAATAATTCTTTCACAAAGCATGCACTTCTCCATCGCAAAGTCACAATGCCTCGTCGCCCCACCATACGTTGCAGCTGCGATAGTCATGTTTGCGGAAGCGGCTTATGCAGACAAGTATCGAATCCGAGGTCCGATTGTTGCCCTCAACGCTGCACTTGGGCTTATAGGTCTTGGGTTAATGGGATATCTTCATCAACCTGGCCCACGATACTTTGGCGTGTTTTTGGCGACCATCGGAGGTATGTTTGCGAAGAAAGTCTATGGCTGAAATAGTGCTCCTTCTAACCACATCGCATTCTTTAGGAAACGCAAATTGCCCAGCTCTAGTTTCATGGCAAAGGTACCCATGACACATTCTCTCGAAGCTTCATACTGCATAAACTAACAAACGAAACCAATTCAGCAACAATATTCGCGGCCAGTGGAAACGAGCATTTACCTCCGCCACTCTAATCGGAGGAGGTAGCATTGGTGGAATCGTGGCCACGACGGTATTTCGGGCTAAAGATGCGCCGAGCTATCACCCTGGCCTTCTAACTACAATACTAGCCAATGCGTTGACCATCATCATCGTGGGTGGCTTGCTTGTTCACTTCTCTCGGGCAAACAAACGTGCGGAGGAAAGAGGGGAAGCAATAGAAGGTCTGGTGGGCTTCAAGTACACACTCTAGTGGATCAGCTACTTTTTCGCCCCTACATCTTTCCGTCGTTAATTTCTGTGCGAGATGCAGGAATATCAAGGATTTTCAATATTTGAAGTGGCAAAACACAATGGTGGCGTTTTTAACTATCGTATACCTTCCTGGCTTTTCCAGCCATGACCTCTGTGAAATATTCACGGAATTCTCTTGGCTTTAAGTCCGGGTAGAGCTCTCGTGCGTTCAGATAGCCCAAAAAGTCTGCATATTCTGGCGTATTGTCCTGTCGCACATATTTGCTGTATTCGTATTGAGCCTTATAGAGGCCAATGCGCTTCATCGGATCCTCTTGATTCAAATTCAAAGCAGCTTTAGCCTGTTCAACGGCTTCCTCGATAGATTCAGTCGACACCTGCAAATTAATTGATTTAGAGTGTGCAAGATACGCGAAAGGGGCCAACTTACCCGAGTCGATTCTACCTTCTCCCCAGAAAGCTCCTCCACAATACGGTAAATTTCGTTCTCACTAAGGACCTCCCCAAACGAATACACGTATCTATTTAATGTACGGTCGTCGCATAGTATACTCGCAACAAATAACCCAATGTCACGTAAGTCAATTAGAAGATTTGGTGCCGTGCCGTCGCCATGGATGACGTTCTTCGGCAACAATGTTGCATAATCCACTTTGCCGGACGGGAGCGACGGAAATGAGATTTGATACCAGTATCCGACATCTATCACGGTGTATGGAATACCTAATAACTTGATGGCATTGTATATCTCCTCTTTCTATTATTTCGAGTCAGAGATTCGGTCACCTTTATAGTTTAAGACACTCGTACCTGATCGCGAAGCAACATGGCGCCTTGCGGAGGTGCGACCGTAATGAAAGCACATGGGACTATTCTTTTCACCCCCGCAGTTTTGGCAGCCTGTAGTAGCTTCTTTTGTTGTAACAAATCATGGGGACCGATGGCACTGATGAGAATGTCGATCCCAGTCAGTGCAGATGTGAGTTCGGTGGAATCGTCAAGATCTATGGACCAGATCCTCACGCCTTGCTCTTGAAGCTTTTGAACTGATGGCTTTTTCACGGAAGCAGGTCGAACTAAGATCTCTACATCCTTTGAATGGGAAAGTATAAATCAATATAGGTCGCAAAAGCTGGGTAGCCTCATTCAAGTTTAACCTACAAAATTGCCAGACTCTTGAAGCCCATTTAGAATGGAGCTTCCAGTCTCGCCGGTAGCTCCAAGGAGCAAAACCCGTTGTTTGGTAGTCATTTTATAGTCACCGGAATCTCAAGATATGAGTCCTCAATTTGTGTATAAAAATTAAACGGATCACAGTTAGATTTGAATGGTCTTTTGTACCAAAAGGAGAGATGCATTTGTCATCATCTTTGGTGATCTGTCATCCTGGTTGCGAATCCGAATACGAATATGTGGAGCATCCGCCAGGTCATTGCGACATTCATAGCAGTTATGCATCGGAGATAAATATTATGAATTATGGGGAACCACATTCATAATAATTGTCTTGCACAGAGATGTAATAAAGCTATGGGTCTCTAAATGGTCTTGTCTTCGACCACATTGACTGTATTTCTCCATATAGCCCCTCGGACGTCGATTCAATTGTTCGACCTGTTTAGCACTTCTAATAGTTGAGGAGAACGCAAATGAGGAGCGCCCAAAGCACATCAATCAGTAATTTGTATCCGAGAAGAACGATATAATAAAACTCATGTACTTATGTTTCTAATGAAAATATTGAATGAAGTACCATATTAAACCTGGAATAGCATAAACTTCCAATCAAGTTTGATTGTCTGGCCAGACTTCCCGCCTCGGGTAAAGAGTTTATACCAAAGGAAGACAAAGAACTCAATAAACATTTGAAGTAAACATTTGAAGTAAGCACCTTTAATACCACCCTCAAGCTCTATCTCACTTCTCGTACCACCAACCATTCCGTCACACGTATCCATTGACTAAATCGAGACATTCTGAGAGCTCAATACACAGCCAGAATCCAATCCCAAATGCAATATGAGTGGTAAATCAAACTTCCCGTTATGCAGCTGTGTTATAAATAACATTGCTAACCAGGTGATGGGAACCAACGTAGCCTTGAAAGAAGACTCAGCAAATGACATCCTGAACAAAATGAGCAACACCATGAGTCTCAAGGACTGGGAGAACTGGATAGAAGATCACGTTAGCAAATTTGGAACGCCAAATCTTGGGAAAGAAGATACGCTGCTGAATGGACTGCATCAAATGGCTGTACGGCGACCACCTAAATGGCGGCTCAAGAAGAACTGGACAATTGACGACTTTGATCGAACGGTCGCCAAGCGAAAGTCTTATCTTGAATCCACTTATGCCCAAATGGGGGGGAAGGAGCTTACTGGAGCAGCCATGTGTGACAGCTGTAGGGGAGAATTGGGCACATTCTGTGCCTGCGTTGTGACGCCACATCTCTGGGATTTAATGCCCATGTGTGCAAACCGTCGTTGGGTTGATCAGCGTGGCCGGTGTTCTCTCATTAAAGAAAAGGTGGTAAATGATAAACCAAAAAGTCGACCATTGTCTCTGGGGAACCCGCGATTGTCTTCCACCCAGCCGCGGCGCCCAACTCCGATGACCGAAGACTTGTCATTGATCTCGGACCCAACGAATGTGGCAAAGTTGAACAAAGCTTTCGCTGGCCTCGGGACTCCCCAGAAAACTGTCCCCGGTGCTCCTGTCGGGCCATCACGAGCCAGAAATACCCAAGACCCGCTTTTAGACCCCTGCCTACTACCAAAAGCCGACTCACTTGTGGGTGCATCGGTGTACCATGCGAGTATTGAGGCATTAGACCTCAGCATTGCAAATGCTAAATTGCACGAGAATGTGTTGACACAACACGTCAAGTTTCTAGAGGCCGTGAGAGGGTTGAAGGGTTTTCATAAGAAGAACAATCTTGGGAGTTAAGTATGCCATAAATCCGAGACAGAAACATATCCATGTTGACTCTTGCATATGTTATAAGTGGAAGTCTTTCGTCAGATGAGTATTTAAATCTTCAAGTTGTCATGATTATTCATTGCCCTGAATGAAATTTCAACGTGATTGAAATTCCTCGTCCCTACTTCACTTTTATGATTACTTTACAGTCAAGCACCACCGGAGTATGCGTAAATGAAGGTAAGTGCCTTTAGGCCCGCATATTTCCATAGATCTTGCTGTGACGTGAATTTCTTTATCAATAGGACCACCGACGTCACAAAAATGAAAATATCTAGCGACAAGTGGGGAGTGCTTGCCCTGTTGCCCGCTCCACTTTGTTGTGGAACCTGCTCTATGATCTATACCATACATGGCGTCCAGGCCGACCTGACTAAATCCTTCGGTTATCCACAAGGTATTTGAAAAGGTGCGGGGTACCACCTGAATCATGCAATAATTCGTTTCATCACTTCCTATCATAATGGCCCCCAATATTTTCTTGTGAGGACTCATTTGCAACGTTACCCAAGGCCTAACTAACGATATAGGACCGGTGCAACTGGCTATGTTGGAGGTGACTTCCTCTACCTAGCTTCCCGCACTCATCCAGAATGGAATGTATCAGCCCTTGTGAGAGATGCTGAAAAAGCTGCCAAGCTCGCTCAGGAGTATCCGGAAGTTCGCATCGTGAACGGAGACCTTGACTCGGCCGATATCATCGAGAAGGAAGTCAAGAATGCCGATATTGTTTTTCGTATGTCGAACTTCATGCTTTCACTCTTTTATTCATTGGTATACTGACCGTTAAGAAATTGCCGACTGCGACCATGTTGGAGCTGCAAAAGCCATAGCGAAAGGTGCCGCCCACCACACTGCCGACCGACCGTGCTGGGTAATCCATGCCTCAGGAACAGCTAGTTTCCTTTTCGAAGATAACCGAGAGAAGACATACGGAATTGAGCGGAAGCAGTATTACAATGACTGGGATAAAGTGGACGAGCTTTTTAACTTGCCTGATGATGCATATCACAAGGATGTGGAAAGAACAATCATTGAAGCTGGCCGAGTAGACCCACAGCGTATCAAGACCGCTATTGTATCGCCTCCAACCGTCTATGGACCTGGTCGTGGCGTGATCAAACAGACCAGCATCCAGGCCTACTTTCTAGCAAACGCAGTTCTCAAGCGAAAGGAGGGAATCATTGTCGGCGAAGGCAAGAATATCTGGAGTCAAGTCCACGTTCAGGATCTTAGCGATTTGTTTGTCTCTCTGGGCGAGGCAGCAGTGGCAGGGGGTGGAAATGCAACCTGGGGAGACGAAGGGTACTATCTCTCGGAGAATGGAACATATGTCTGGGGAGATATTGAAAGAGCCGTTGCGCAAGTGGCATATGAAAAGGGTTATATTCCAAGTGCAGATGTTACTCCGCTGCGAGAGGATGAGCCCCTGGGGGATACACTCGGCTATGGTATGTTGATGTGGGGATCGAACAGCCAAGGAACTTCAATTCGCGCAAAGAAGTTGCTTGGGTGGACTCCTACACGGCCTAGCTTATTAGAGGAGATTCCCGGAATTGTGGATGGGGAGGCAAGAGCACTAGGGATTGCAGTTTGAGATAGTCACCCCTAAGTAATGCAAGCAAAAAGATAGACGGTTGACTCAATGAATTGACTTCAGCTATTTTGAAATATTGCAATCTTCGGAAGTCTTGTCCAGAAAAATCATCTGTGTCTCTTACCTCTCAATACCCAAGCTAGGTTGATCTATCTGGTTTAATATTCTGTCGTGCTGACATAGTCCATGCGGCATATGCGACTTCAGAAAGCTTGACTTCAAAAGATAGTAGAGCTACAACGATAATGGACCAGATATCTGTACAGGTATCCATGCAATTCTAGTCGCAACCTTCTACTCTGTTACTCAAACATTGATTCTACAGCCTGGTGAGAGTCTGAGCACTCTATATTGTCCCAGTATTTATCTTTTTTGTTTGCATGCTGAATTGCAGAATTCTCGCATTTCAAAATGGAATGCATATTCAAGTAATTCAATATTTGACAAGCGACTTAAAAGGCCCCAATTATCCTCCTTTACTAACAGTATACTTCATCCGGACAAAGAAAAATACTCTCCAGCTTGCAATGCCTCATGCATTGTTCCTAGAAAAGCCAACATCACTAAGACCTGATTCCTTGTTTATCATCGAAATAAATATACCATAGGGCAGAAATGTATTGCAGAACCAACTGAGAGTAGAAGCAGCCCCTCGCCGAATGAAAAAGCCGCTACTGCCAAGAACATCGTTCACGACATTCGCGGCCGCAGCATCGATATTCGCCTTGTTTGGATGAACCAATACCTTGTGGTGGCGGTCTATAATACTCAAAATATTTTGGTAGTACGAGTTCGCAGGCAGCTCAAGGTCTGGTATCTTGGTAGCATCATTTCTGATTGTCTGCACACCCCCAAGGATGAGTGTGACAACTCTCACACCGAGAGGTTCCATCTCGAGACGAAGTGTTTCCGAAATTCTCGTAGTAGCGCTTCTAGAGCTACTGTATACACCTATATAATTCGATTGCATTAGCTAGTAAACAGAAAGACCTCATGGGTATTTCTCAACTTGCCTTGCCAAGCAAAGACCATTTCACCAGATACCGAGCTGACGTTGCAGATAGTACCCTTGGATTTGATGAGCATAGGCGCAAATGCCTGGGCCATTGCGACAAGGGCCCAAACGTTGGTGTCGAACAATTTCTTCGCTTCCTCAATTGAAGTGTCCAGAAGCGGGAAAACAGTGCTGAGGCCCGCATTGTTGACAAGGATATCGAGCGATCCTCCCGTATTCTTCCCGATAGATGTGGCGCATTCCCGAATAGACTCGGCCGACGTGACATCGAGTTTGACGATTTCTATACCTTCGATCTCGCTCAGATATCCGACCTTGGCCATATTTCGTACCGCTGCGAAGACTCTGAAGCCTTTCTGATGATAAACTTTGGCCATTGCCTCTCCAAGTCCACCAGCACTGCAGCCAGTGACCAAAACTGTCTTTTGGGGCATGTTTGATCGCGAGAAAGAACAAATCTGGATGGGCTGAAATGCTCTGGTATATTTTGAACTGATATTGAATTAATGGCAAAAATGGTGCCTTCATTTATACGTCGTCTGCTAAAAAGCCCTAAGAAGACATTTGTCAGTGAACGGATTTCGGAGACCAATTCCGATGGGCGCTATCTAAGAAGCAGCGGCACCTGAGTGGTGCAATTGTCAGCCTTGGACCCCCCTTTCTTATTCTCGGCCCCTGATCGAGCTTTGTGATTCGCTATCCCGTCTAATATCTTACTTCCACTGGTTGGCTCGAGTCCTGGAGACTGTATTGTTCTCAGATCTTTACATTAAATGCCAAGGCTTCCCGGTCTCAGAGCAATCAGCGTGCGGATTTACGGCAATCGCGGAGATAAGCTATCTTGGCTTAGTATTCTTTAATTATGCTTCCTTAATTTTGCGTCCGGAACACGGGATGATCTGTGGTGTAACAATCTCTTGGGTGAGTTTACTCGCGGAGTATTTTCGAAAATGGTGTCCGGTGTCCGTGCCTGCAGTTAATTCCTCGTATTACAGACAAGCGGCCCCAAAGTCTAATAGCGGAAACCGCGTACGCGGTGAGAGATCTGGGTTTAAAAGACAGAGAAATGAAGTATTTAAAATATATTTAGTGATAATCTCATTGAAAGCAATACGCGACTAAGCCACCTTCGGCAGGTAGGAAGCTGAGTGCATGAAGAAATCTAAACAAAAAGATTTCCTGCAATTCACATTTGGCAAGTCGCTTCGTTTCCAGTCATCTTTTCGATTTCATTGTCCATCAAATCGGTGATCGCTTTCTCGAGGTGATGGCCCATTGTGTAATGATTTTCTTCAAGCTCGTGAAAAGCGGGTTGTGGAAGTCGCTTGGCCATGTAACGCACCATACCGATCGGTGCATTTGTATCTTTAGTGCCATGCCAAATGCGAATCCCGCTATAAGACACATCTTCAAATTTGAACCCCCAATCCTGAGACAATAAACGAGCTTCCTGAACAGCTGCCTTAGATCCTTGCGCAAAGGCTTCGAATGATGTACTCAACACGCGTCTTCTAGCCTCTGCTGTCGGCAGCTCTTCGTTTTTTTCACTTTGCTGTTCATCCGAATTCTTGACTTTGTCACGTTTCATTCCATCTATCCAGTTATCAAGCCATCTTGTGAGTGGGCCAGACTCCAGGATCCATCGAAGGGCAATGAAAAGTCGATTCAACAGTATTTCCAGTATTCCTGGGCAATAGATAGCCGCACGGGATAAAAGTTTCCTGCTCACGGTCACATCTTTTGTTCCTGCTATCCATGGAGGCGATCCAGCCAAGAATGCCACGCCAGATATCATATGAGGAGGGAGTAAATGAGCGCATGCGATTGCGTATGGACCGCCCCCGGAACAACCTAGAACTGCGAATCGTTTCAACCCCAAATGCGTGGCGAGAGTTTGCACATCAGCCGGCCAGTCCAAGATCTCACGTCTGGGTTGGTAACTGGATAGTCCAAATCCAGGTCGATCGGGGACGATGAGGCGATATCCATGGCGCTGCGGTGAATTCCCAAAACCCCAGCCTTCTAGGCGCGAAGATGGATAGCCGTGGAAGTAGAAAATCGGATAGTCCCGGGGATTTCCATATTCAGCGTAACCAAGGGTGCGACCATCACTCAAAGCGAGAGTTTGGTTTAGGCAAGATGTCTCCGAAAGAGCTGTGGGCGCATTTCCCATTTTATGGCTTGATGATGAGCGAAGTCCAACTCTCGCCGCGGTGGAGGTTGCCATTGTGCGGTTAATAAAAGATGATGAAGCAGGGGATATCATGTCCTGAAGATTGCTAAAATTTTGCAATTTACGCTTTCGATCGAGCAAAGGACGCATATTAAGTATTATTTCCCTCGTGGAAATGCCGGCACATCATAGAAGCCTCGTATTCGTAAAATACGATCACGATCACGACCACGATCTATAATCCACCCAATAGTGATCGAGCTTCCCGAGTGCGAACCCCACTCACGATGGAGGTAATTGTGATTTACGAAGGTGAACGCTACCAGCGTCTTTGTAAATAGTATGTGATGAATTTGATGATTCTAATAAAATGTCAGCCCGACTGTGTCATATTTTAAAACTTAAATAATAACATCGAAATCAGCATACATCTGTAAATCTGCGCTGGTGGGCTCAATCCTCTTGCTTCTATTGATGCTCGCGATCGCATGCCATCGTTTCTATAAATTCCAGGATCCTTCTGATAGTAGTCCGTATGGACGGATCAGTGGTATTATTCAACTCATCATTTGATAATTCTTTTATCAACGAGGTTCCATATTGCTGGGCCCACCACACGTCGTCTCCGAGTCTCTCAACAAGAATACCCCAAACCATCAGTATTACCCGCGAGATATGATCATTCGCGTTAAGAGCGTTGATATATCCTTCTCCAGCCATGTTGAGCCACCCAAGTGCATATCCTCGATACACAGGACCGACGCACTTCTGGAAACATTCTTGCAGCAAAGATAAAGCCTTCTTGCACGCCTCCCAAAAGGCAATTTGCCGAATCCGTTCCTCCTGTATCTCCTGGACAGTCTCAACAATCCTCTTGTCGTTCATGTCAACGAGATCTAAAATGATCTCCGCGATGGATGAATCCAGGAGTGTTGAAGGCAGATCTTGGAATGACACTAGATTTTGCACGTATTCATTCTGCCTAATTAGATCCTCCTTGCCAGTCGCGACCTGCACAGCGCCGCGAACAAGCTCAAAATGAACTATCGTTGTCTGTAGGACGCTTTCCTCATCATCTGACGATGCATGTTGTTTAAATCGAACTGACGCAAATGCTAGGACCATTAGCATTAGCGAAAAACAGAGTGCGGCTCTTTGGTTCTCGCACTGGTCAGAGGTGATTTGAGCACGGAAACTGGCTAATGCAAGAACTTGGTACTCAAGCGCGGATTTTATATATTCTTGGTAGCTTGGACTTTCTCGGTCATGTTTCTTGAGGATGCTGGCGCATTCGAATGCTGACAGGGCTAGTAATCCGTGTAAAAGAAAGTCGTATTCGAGTGCAAGAGCGGGTACTATGAGCTGCCAGAGCGCCTCGTCACCAGATCCCGGTGTGCAGCAGCTTTTATATGTACTTGCAGTCCATCGATGCATAAGTTGAAGGTCCAGGTGGTGACGATTGGTAGGAAAGGACGGGCAGATGGGGTGTGAATCAAGTGTTGTTTCTGTCGTGCGACCTGCTTCTTCTGGTGTATGTGCAGACAAGGATTGTGGATCGAGGTTGAGATGTGGGTATTCGCATATTGTGCTTCGGGTTTCACAACGCTTGCAAGGTGGGCCCGTTTCATCACATTTGACATGACGGCGCTTGCAAGTGAGGCAGCCAGTGTGGGATTTCTGATGGGAGCGACGAGGAGGCATTGCAGATAAAATATCAAATTTGAGGCCTAGGGAATTCTGCTATGCCTATTTCTACTTAGTCCAATATAACCTGGACTCCATGCTAAGCAGAAAGATAGGAGACTCTCTGACTCACGAGTAACCAAGGTGGAAAATTATCAATCAGGACTCGCTACGCAGAGACTCAGTAATGGGAGGAAATACTTAACACTCCAGATGCCCGGTGCCCACATGTGCAGGTGGACGAGTTTCTACGTGTGGAGAGAAATGGGGAGAAACAGCAGATGCGTGTGCCATGGGTGATCCGATGCCTACGTAATAAGGCATCCATATTCTCGGTGTAGTTATAAGCCACGTGACCTCTCGCTCGGTGACCACACTAGCTTAAAAGAGTTAGGCTATTTTGACACTAAGACTATACTGGTGGGCACATGCTGTAGTGTGGTTTCAGTCAGGACAAACAACCTTATGAATTTCCCCAACCTCCTTTCAAACTATGAATAATATGACAATCACTCATTTTCTTCTTTCAAAAATTCCATTTTTTATAACTCCTGGGCTCCCTACATGTACGTAGCATAGCTTCCCTCTGTCTTCTTCCCTTTTCTTCAACGTTGCTATTCGTTGTTTTTACACCTTTTCTCCATTCCAGTAGAGACGTAGGCACCCTATCACAATTAGTATGGCTGGGAGGGTGTGATGAGATGAGTGTGTATCTATGCGCGGCGGTGAGCCCAGCGGTGCATTCTGCTCACTCTCTGTAGTTAGCTAGTGAGAGATGGGAGGAAAGGCTTCCTCCCACCACCACCATTCTACGTCAGAATACAGCCGTATCTTCCTTCGTTTCTGTTACCTACGTACGTGCTAGTGCGTATCTGTAGCACCCATCAACTTCGGGGTTTGGAGCCCAGGCATACTCCGTCGACTCTAGGTAGCTGAAATTAGCTTAGGATGCACCTCTCAGTCCCGGAAATAATCCGGAGATATTGAAATAATTTGTTTTCCCATCACCTTATCTCATTTAGTAATGCATTCTCCATAATTTCGTAATTACGTTCACGCTGGCCTTCACTTTCCAAATCTGTCGAAGAGTTATACATCTAAATCACCTTGCTCTTAACAGTTCACAAGTCGTCCATGTGTATACTGACTCATTGCATCTACATTGAAGTTCTTTTTCTCATACTAGTAAATTTCTAGCCCAAACTCCCATGCGGAAAACGACTATTCCATGGAGAAAAAAGGAGCAGCAGCATGAATTTGTTCGCTCAGAATAGTAACTTGTATGTCTCTTATTTAATGTCAAGATCAAAGTTTAGACTGCTTACTACCGTCCTTGATAATCTCATCGACCAATTTAGCAGCGGCCAGAGTCTCCTCATCTTTGAAGTGTCTCCCAGCAATCTGCAATGCCACTGGCGCGCCCTCATATCTCTGGGGATCCTGATACTTTACCCACTCCCTTTCATCAACCTCACTACGCGGCTGGTATTTCTTATCTTGTTCAGTCAATGTATCCAGCGTTAAATCAACCGTGAGTCCCGACGGGAAAACAACCGAGGGAAGATCCAAAACATTCCAAATCGCAGTATAGTTCCAATAATGTGACTCGCCGTAAACAGCGGCGACACCCGGATAGGCAGGTGAGAGAATAAAATCAACGCCGCGACTTTTTATTAACGCATTGTATGCATCACGATAAACGTCGCGTTCGAGTTGTAACTCCCAGGCTTCCGGGTGTGTAAGTGATTGAGCGCGTGAAAAATCAAATACCCATTGGGTAAGGGGGAGCACAGGCTCGCCCGATTCGCGTATAAATTTGCGTTGTAGGGCAGCGCTATCGGGATAGTAAAGGCTAGACTATCAAGGGGTGAGCAATGATTATTCGCGAGTTACTTTAAGTCAGAGAAAAAACTTACAATAATCTTCCAACCATGGTCATGCTTGAACGGTTCCCAATCAACTACTTTGATTCCCGCTTTGAGAAGCTTCTCTTTTGCAAAATTAAGAGCGCGAATAACAGGTGGATGAGGACGAACAACGCTGGTTTGAAATCAGTCATAATTCCGAGAATGGTGAAATGAAGCTTACCCATCATCCCACATGATAGCGACCGTGATCTCTCGACTGGGTGCAACTGTCTTCCAAGGTACTGGCACTAGTGAAGTTTCATCATCCCATGGCTCTTGATCCATCACTGCCTTTTGAAAAAGCTCCAAATCTTCCACTGAAGAACTTGCCAATGGACCCACCACGCCGTGAATCGTCTCTTGTCCAATGGCCGCGACTTGAATTCCTGCCATTGGGACCCTCATTGATGTAGGTCGAAATCCATATGAACCACAAAATGCAGCAGGCACACGAATGGACCCACCGATATCTGTACCGATACCGAGTGGTGCACACTTGAAACCGGTCGAAGCGCCCTCGCCTCCAGATGACCCTCCTGGTGTCAATGTTCGGTTATATGGATTCAAAGTTGCTCCGGTTATATTATTGCTGCAACAAAGATGCTAATTCCCATGATATCAGTCATCTTACTTCCGATTCAAATTTCAAGATAAGCATACCATGAGTGATTGGGGCTGGTTGGTTCGGACATGGAATACGGCACCAGCGTTGGCTAGCAATTTCACTAAGTGGGCATCTTCAGTTGCAACTTTGTCCACCCTGTATATCTATGATTAGTGACAATCTCGTCATAAATAAGTAATTTGACGCACCAGGCTACATAGCCCGTATTACAGGTTCTATTCTTGAGGCCGATATGCTCCTTAATACTGATTGGAACGCCGTGCTGAACACCGATTTTGTTAGTATGCAACATATTTTCATAAGCGAAGCTCGGTTACTTACCAGAGGCCCAATCAGCTTTCCAGTTCGTTCAAAGTAAGCGTCCAGTTCTCTGGCTCTGGAAATTGCCTCATTCGCCATAAATTCCGTCGCAAAATTGAGCTGTGGACTGGATTAGCGTTTCGCCTTCATTATGAGAAAAGAGGCCGAGTTTATCCTCACTAATTGATGACCCAAGACAGCACGCTTAAGAAATGCAATAACTGTTTCTTCGGCTTTAAGACTTCCGTTTTGCATTTCAACAACTAGCTTTGTAGCAGAGAGATCTGTAATCCAGAGTTCTCGCTCACTAAGAAGGCCACTTTTTCGTGGAAAGTCAATGACATTCTTTTCTGTAGCTGGGGGAAGACTAGAAGTTGATGCGAGCCATTGATTGGGAACAGATTGACTGAGGATGTCCCTTCCTCGTTGAGCTTGGCGTTCCCAGCGCTGTAGGGACATATTGGATGCTTGTGTTGTTGCGTGGGTAACTAATTATGTATAGGATGATGGTAAAGTAGAGATGGAACGGGGAGTACAAAAGTTTAAACTCTTTCGAAGGCACTGATAAACGAATTCCGAGATTAAATAGTCTCGGTCATGCAGATCGGCTAAGGAGGACTACCTATTATTATGCACAATCGTGCAGAGCGGACTCATCCCCGCATATTGTGATAAAGGTGGAGCACCTTTAGGTGGTCGGTAACTATCCGCGCTCCAAACACTGTGGCCCGTGCAATGATACTGATTGCCCAAGTCAATGGCCACGATTTTCATGCTTATCTTCCTCTTTTGGTCTCGAACGTTGCCTGGAGAGCGGTATCTTGGCAATCAGGGCCCGCAATATTCTGATTCGAATGCACGCCAAGTCTGTTTGATCACCAGGTCTGACTGTAAAGCGGAACTCTCTAGTTACATGATTGGAAGAAGGACCCGGTGCGGAGGAATTCCGTGGGTCTTTAATCATTAATTGGAGAAAATTAAAGTGTAGGGTTGACGCTTTCTATCAAAGTCCTCCATCTGTTCTTGCAGTATCCATCTGTTCTTGCAGTAAGACGCTGTAGCGTGTAGAAATAGGCGGCTGCATCTCCAACCCGAGATCAATCGATACAAAAGATGACTTGTGAGCAAAGACTCATGGTTTGATCCTGTCTTTTGGCCAAAATAAAATCTTCTCATGAATTATGTACTTTTTGATGGGGCAAAAAAATAAATCAGCAAAAAAGAAACTCTCCCTCGGGGAATCGAACCCCGGTCTCCCGCGCTTGACGGTGTTAATGACAAGCGGAAATCATGACCACTAGACCAAGGAAGATAAGACAGCTGAGTTCCACTCGGCCACTTGGGGTGGTTGATGTCTGTGCTCTCAAAATTTGCAGTCACAATTGTAGCGAAGGAAGAAGGTGCCTATGCTGTGCCCATGCTGTGCCCATGTTCAACTTATCCACAGCAGGTCAGCCCCTCACACAACGTCCCACACACCATTTGACACCGAAACATCTCCTCCCCATGGTGCACAGCGTCATCCTTAAAATCGGCGACCACTTCAGGTTGCAAAGTAGCAGAGTGAATACCATAGGCGTGGAAACACTGATTGATTGTTTTAGCTGTTTGGAGAAAAGCGGCGACCGATGGATCAGACACAACAACATGCACAGATGCAAGGGTCTTCCGCTGGTTCAGTCGCCAAATATGCAGTTCGTGAACGGATTGTACACCGGGAACCTAGAAAATATGATATTAGTCTGATGATAAGCAAGGAAAATGTCATAACCTTAATTCGGGTCTACCTTTTCGAGATCATGTTGCACGTCCCCCAGATCTAGGCCGGTTGGTGCGCTTTCGAGAAGGATTGATCCCGCTCGTCGCACTGTAGATAAATGATAAGCCCAATACTACCCATATAAATCCCTTGGGCTGAGAGCTTACCAAGCGGAATAGATGACAGAATAATCATTATTGCGATGCCCATGCTAACGCCGGGGTCGGCATAATACCGGCCGTCGTACTTGGCAAGCCAAATAACTAAAGCGGCTGCGATGACACCGAGGTTGTTGGCCGCATCGCAAAGAACGTGCACGAGGACTCCCATCATTCCTAAATCACCATGATCATGCCCATGCCCATGCCCGTGATCGTGACTGTGGCCATGGCCATGGCCATGATCGTGGCAGTGGGTTTGAATTGGGCCATTGGGCTTTTCAGATCCCACATGCTTGTGCTCGTGATGCTTCACTCTGTTAGTGACTTGAATAGAGTTTGAATAGGAGACCGAAAAATACCTTCGAGATGGAGTCTTGTTCGTCTTCACTGCCAGTGGTGGGTGACAACCCATCTTCAATTGTCAGCGGCGGGCCGTGGCCATGGTCATGGTCGTGTCCGTGCTCTGAAAGAAAAGTATCAGTGAAATGCTTCAAAATTGACATTGTATACCTGATCCTCACCGTGAAGGAACAATGCACTTATTACATTCAAACCGAGCCCAATAGACCCAACAATCAATACTAATTTTGGGTCCTCGATACCTAAATTTGTCAGATATATACCACTCAAGTAAAATCCTCGCATCGACCTTAGGAACTCACGCTGTAGGGCGATAAATCTCTCAATAGACTGTAGGAATATACTAAGCCCAAGCGCAAACAGAAGAACTCCGTTGAAAAATGCGCCTAAAAGCTGCGCCCGTTGCCATCCAAATGAAAAGCCTTTTGGCGACTCATCCTTTTCTGACACCTATGATCTTATTAAATTCACCGAGTTTTAAGTTACAGTGAGAATGTATGAAGTGAAGCATACCTTCAATGCCACCAGAGCAATGACAAACCCCACCAAATCATTTAACTGCCATTTGTTAGTACATGCATAATTTCCGAATTGAGTTGATAACATACGTAGTGGAAGGCATCTGCAATAAGTGCCAGCGAATGTGTATAGAAACCCACTGAAACTATGTTAGTATATTCAAATGCATTCAAATAAGTGCTCTGACGAACCTGAAATTTCCCCAAGAAAGAAACATGTTGATATCGCAATAACAGCAGATAGTCGCGTCGAGCGCGATAGTCGAAACGTCATGATCAAGCGAAGCTCAAGCCTGCTTCAACGTCGAAGTCGAGGTAAAATTGTTTTTCGTTACCGGCAAATTTTCTATGATGCGTAGAGAAGTAGAGAAATAAGACTTTCATAAATACCTATTCTCGAATCCCGATCAAGGCACTATAAAAAGCACAAAAATATTAAAAAGCAGAACAAATGAGAAAAAGTCCCGAGAGATCTGGGCAAAGAGACTTTTTGTTACAGATCTTGCACACAGCATCCATGCCTAGCACAAAATAGAAGGCTGGAGTTTACCTTTGCGATGGCTGTGTAACTACTGAAATGCTGTGCTTGAGGGGGCCCGACCCCGTGGTGGTATGTCACGAAAATGACCCTGGAGGTATGCGGGAGCCCATCTACCCAGGTCCTCTCTCTAAACATTCGATCCACATCTACAATTTAATTGATTTTCGCGATACTGTCTCTAATTATATTATCCTAAAGTATTTAAATTTAGTATTCTACTCCTACTTTCGGAATGAGGTATGGTCGCTTGAGCTCTGCTCTGCACAAATAGCGTCACATAAATTAAGCTGATAGAAGGTTAGTGCCGCAGATGAACAAAACCCTTCAATTGCCAAGGTGAGAAGGGGGAGAATTTCTGAGCTCTGCCCAGCCCTACAGAAGCGTGTACAACATGCTTAAACTTTGTTGATTGCTTGAGGAATGCAACTACGCGATGCTCAGGCTGCAAGGCACCAATTTTCCATGGCATGAGCATCAGGTTTCCAAACACAAGATACCGCTGTCCACTAAAGTACAAAAAAAGGAAATCTTATGAATTTACGATGAGTAGACCTTGAGATATTGAGTTTCTCTATTTGATATAAGGGCTAAGACAATTTTCCCTAATGGACGCACAATCATTAAACTTTGAAGAAAACTTTGAAGATGATTCATATTTTAACAAATTTTTATACCTAGAGCTAGGTATGACAAGTCCAATTTTAAGCTGCAATCTGATCGGCCAGCCCATCAAGCTCACGCTGCCAGTTTCTATGTTGCGAAACATGCCAGATAAATTGCTCAGCAAGTGTCTTTGACTCAGGCCCAATATTCTGAACATCAAGCATTGCAGCAGCATCACCATGGCCCGTCACAACACCATAAGACTCAGTCAACAAAGAACCGGGTTGAGCCGTTTTCACCTCCTCTAAACCAATCTGTTTGGCGATGAATGGAACAGCTTCATTAACACCAGAGATGGGTTTCAAATGCGCGAAAGACTCGGTAATCCAGAACTTGGCGACACCATTCTTTACCAACGCGTTGGCAATATGCTTGCCACCCGGAACAAAAGTAGCATCGAAAAGCGTAGATCGCATACCAGAGAAGAAGTTATCGGGCACAACATTCTGCCCCGTTTCAGCTTTGACGCCCTGGCGCTGAGCGCCAATGGTGAAAACAGAAGCACCGCGCGCCTCGAGATTTTCTTTCATGGTAATGAACGATGAATAATCGAACCCATCTGCGATCAGAATAGCAATGCGACGAGTAGCTATGGTAGGTTTCTTGGGCATGTACTCCAACTGACTGAGACCTTTCGCTTTTTGGCCCTTGTTTTGCTTCAAGGCTTTGGTGGGAGTGTCCCCGCCGACATTTTTAGCGACCTGCTGAGCCAGCTCGAGACTTACAACTGCGACACGCTCAGACATACGCTTGTAGACGATGGGATCGTCGCAGTGGTCAAGCTCAAACGAGAAGGCCTTCGCAAGATGCAGCTTCTCAATCGGCGAAAGAGAATTGTAAAATGTCTGGGCTTGGTTGTAATGTTCGCTGAACTTCTCTGAGAGCGCACGCGTCTTGATGCCATTTTGCTTCTCGGGGTAACTTGTGAAACCGCCCTGAGCAGCGGTAGCGGGCGGGTTGGCTTCATATCTATTGGGCCAGTAGTTGACCGTTCCCTTGGTGATACGGTGTCGACTGGCACCATCACGATTGACAAGGCTCATGTATGGACAGACGGGTCGATTAACCGGTAGCTCCTCCCAGTTTGCGCCGAGACGCGAAATTTGGGTATCAAAGTACGAAAAGTTGCGGCCCTGGAGCAGTGGGTCATTTGAGAAATCAATACCAGGCACAATGTGACTGGTACAGAAAGCCGATTGCTCGGTTTGTGGGAAAAACTCGTCAACATTGCGGTTGAGCTCTAGCTCGCCGATATACCGAATTGGGACCAGCTCCTCTGGCCAGACCTTTGTTGCATCTAGCGGGTCGAACTCGAAGTCATCCAATTTCTCCTCCGGAATAAGCTGTAGGCCGAACTTCCATTTGGGGAAATGCCCCGCATCGATAGCAGCCATGAGATCCTTACGATGGAAATCAGGATCTTGACCAGCAATTTTCAAGGCCTCATCCCAAACTAATGAATGCACTCCAAGTTCCGGGGTGAAGTGAAACTTTACAAAATGACGCTTTCCCTCTTTGTTGATCAGAGAGTAAGTGTTGACACCAAAACCCTGCATCATCCGGTAAGACCGAGGGATAGCTCGATCAGACATTTGCTACATAAGAATTATTAGAATATTGTTGACATTCAAGTCAAGTGGGGAAAAATCACTTACCCAGTAATTCATATGGGTTGTTTCTGAATGTAAGTAAACAAAGTCCCAGAAATTATTATGAGCGCTCTGACCCTGCGGTACCTCATTATGCGGCTCTGGCTTAACTGAGTGTACGAAGTCAGGGAACTTGACCGCGTCTTGGATGAAGAAGACGGGTATGTTATTTCCGACGATATCCCAGTTGCCCTCTGACGTGTACATCTTTACAGCAAATCCACGCACATCACGAACAGTGTCTGCACTGCCCTTGCTGCCCTGCACAGTGGAAAATCGTAAGAATAGGGGTGTTGTACGACTGGTATCTGTCAAAACGCCTGCGGTTGTGACGTCTTCGGCGCTCTCAAATAATTTGAATGTACCAAATGCTCCGGTCCCGCGGGCGTGGACAACTCTTTCAGGTATACGCTCATGGTCAAATCTCATAATCTAAGACAAAATCGCATTAAAGATAGTTCTTCTTCCAGAATACGTTGAATCGTACCTTTTCTCGGGCAATCTGATCCTCCAATAATGCTGGCCCAGTACTCTTGTCACTAGCGATGCGTAGCGAATGATCTGGATCCGAGATCTTAATTCCATAGTCTGTTGTCATATGCTGCTTTCCGTTGAGCTCGACTGTATCTTTCTGCATGTCGGCAAATTTGCCATCTTCGGTCTTCGAATTAGCCGTAGGAGCCATATTGAATTTGCGTCGATAAGAAGTATTGGCGAAGTTAAATTAATCTGGTATATTATTGATTGTTAATTCGAAGGAGAAAAGTTCGTAACTTGAAGGGCACTCCCGCATAATATACAGGTCATTAGATTCCTCCCCCAATGGACATAAAGTCCTATAGTAATGATGTAATTATAATGGTTACCAATCACAGAAATTTTGATTTAAATCAAGTGTTCCATTGAGCAGGATTCCAAGCATACGGATTGAGTAACCAGAAGGCCGGAAAAAGATCAAAAACTGCAGAGTGGAGCCAAATTTTCTTGGTAAGTAGCATAAGGTTAGTAGCTGAGCTTGTTTCACTGCTTGACGCTAACAATTTGAAGTTTGATTACCCAGGTGGCCAGGAATGACCCAGTTTTGCGGTCATGGTGAGCCAATGCCGAGCTGCAATGCGATCATCAGCTCTGCATTAGCTTTTCTCAAACCTGTCGGGGAGGCGTTGCAAGGGAGGATGCAAAATCTATTGCGAATATAGACATTCTGATTGGCGGATCAGATTCCAAGAATGACCCTCGGTCCTCTGACGATGGCTGTTAATGCCATTTCATGTTTGTCGTTTCCTGACCTTACTATGACTTATCTACTCTCTTCTTGATGGATCCATGGATTGAGAGTTCCTTTCTTCAATTCCCGATCGCAAAGAACGTGACGTTCGAGGTTATTCCTTTTTTCCAATCCCTGACCATTCAGTAGCATTAAGTGCTTTACTAATATTCCTACTTGATTCTGCCAACGGTTCATCTTGTTTTAGCTATTCAACGTTGACCCACTTTACTATAGATGACATCATTATTAGGTAGAGCTACCCACTACCTTTCACAAGGTCTAACAGAAGACCGGGAGAAGGTCAGATTTGAAGTACGATTTTTGCATCGAATGACTTGAAGAAAAAGCTTTCTCTAGTATACATGTTGTCCTGGTTGTTCATCTCAGAGGGGAGAAAGCAACTCGAAATGTGTGCCTGATACGCACAACGGCCGCATAACTTGAAAGACCATCAACCTTACTTTGATGTTAGAACATAGATCATCTCAAACGAAGCTGTTGAATGAGACTGTGTATTTATTATTAGTTAGTTAGTTACTAACTTCCTCGAGTGTATTGAATATCGGTTCCTCTCCACGAGAAATTCTCCAACGGTTAGTCGAATTTATCAATTCTTCACATCCATCCAACAACCAACCCCATTCCGTTAAGAAACCCAGGGTACATTCCCATGAATTAACGTCCCAAGGGTCACCCCATACTATCAGACCTTTTTGCCTACAGTCTCCGACATTATCGTTTTGAAACAAGGTTCCGAGCATGTCTCGGCAAAAGCTTCCCACCGTAAACAAATCGTTTCCAAGAATAATGAGATTATCACGTAAACGGGGAAGAGGGAAGAAATCAATTGATGGTTCATGTGGAACACCAAGCTGTAGTCGTGTTGGCATCAGAGAAGGTGGTATATTTTTGGGAATCATAGAGGGCGTGACATAGCTTTCACCCGGTTGCCTTGTCGAGAAAACATGGGAAAGGGCCATGCTGAAACTGTTTGACAATAAGGCTCGCCAGACGTTAAAGTGGATCAATGATAGCAGGTGATCAACCGGCAAGGAGTAGTTTGATCGGCTTTCAGGCAGAGGTATGATTATCCTATTGGGGACTAGCATTCCAAACCCGGACTGGCTTTCGGATTCTTGCGTGTCCGTTTGGCGTGGAGCCTCATGCTGTCGCAGCTGTCTCTTTCGTAGCTCTGATTGATGTTAGGCCCGCGGCTTCAGTACTAAAATATTCATGTAATCGCTTACTGTATGATCTCTGGTTTAGCCTGTTCTGTAGCTGCCGCCTTTCTTGAGCGGATTTGGCCTTTTGCTCTCGGTCGGCATGGCTGGGCTTTGGCTAGTTACGGGTCAATTTAGGCCGATTCGCTGGAAGCTAAATGATCATAACAAACGCACCATGGTGTATTCTTTGTACAGGCATCCATTGGCCTCTATTGATATTCCAGCTAAGTCTGGTCAATGTACATCGGATATCGGATGAAAGCAGAAATGCACGATCCAGATGCTGGAATCGCCATTAAATCGGAGTCATTTCATACCGACCCCATACCCAAAAAGGACTAGCGTCTGGAGTTCTGCTTACCCGCTAGAGAGAGAAGGGCTTAGCTTCAATTCTATACCGTGAACTATTCTCATCCATAAATATCTCGTTGAGGGTGATCAACAGATATAAAAGGCCCGAGCAAGACATTAAAAAGCTACACAAGGCTCTTATCTTTGATTCTCGTTCAACATGAAGTCAGTGCTGATTACCGGGTGCAGCGATGGCGGAATTGGCGCTGCCCTATCCATCAAATTCCAACAGAAAGGATTCATTGTTTTCGCTACCGCAAGAACATTTTCAAAGATGACCGAGCTTCAAGATGTGCCAAACATCAAATTATTGGAACTGGATGTCACATCATCGATTGATATACAGTCGGTACTCAAAGTGGTGCAAGAAACAACAGGCGGGAAGCTAGATGTTCTTATCAACAACTCCGGCCAACAACTTGTGGTCCCCATGCTCGATATGACTCCTGATTTCGGGCGCAAACTTTTCGACGTAAACTTCTGGGGTGTCTTTGATATGATCCAAGCATTTACACCGTTCTTAGCGGCAGTTAAAGGTATTATTGTGAACGTGTCGTCAATCTGCAGTTACCTTCATACGCCATTCATGAGTATGTTCTCTTTTCTTAAATCGCAATTTGAATTCAGCTAACAGTCTTCATCAATTTGAAAGGTGTATACAATGCTTCAAAAGCCGCTCTCACTATGTTCGGTGAAACTCTACGTTTGGAGATGATGCCCCTAGGTATCAGAGTCTTGACAGTGATCACGGGGGCCGTCGAAACAAATATTATGAAGAACGGAAGTGTCCCCTCTCTCGATCCATCACTTCCGTATCACAAATCTCAGCAACGAATAGCCCAGCTTGCATCCGGGAATGACGGTGTCAAGCGGATGAAGAGGGAAGAATTCGCTGGGAAGTTGTTAGAAGATGTCCTTCGAGGGAGCAATGGTAAAGTGTGGAGAGGAGCTTCAGCTTCAGTGACACATTTTGCGTCACTTTTAATGCCTGTGACTATCTTGGTAAATATCTTATCCCTATTATACTACTGGTCAATGGGCTAATCGTGAACAGGACATTATTCTGTCAAGGAACAGCGGGCTTTCAGACATCTTGTAATTTGGACCGGATTCATGTTTTCTCGATTTCACTTTGGCTATTGTCAAATTCATTCGCGAGGCAGGCTTTATTTTCATATGCTAAAAATACTGAATGATAACATGCCAAGTTGCCGAGGCTCACACAACATGTCTAACTAGATTCCAAGCTTTTTATACATCAACCCAGACAATAAATAGATGACACTACTTTTCTTGGCACCTTCATCATGCTGATTTACAAAGCAACTATTTCTTATTTTTTTTCTTACGACCAGAATATAGGGACTTTTGTCAATCTCTTTTTGGCTCCTCTTCTCGGTCCAAAAGCTTTCCGGCGCGGAAGCGGACACGGCAACGGAACCCATTGCTAGTTGCTTACGGTAGAAGTATAAAGGCCTGTAAAGGTCGATTGGCCCGAGTAAACTGTGAAAGCGGACACGGACTTCATTAATAATTTACTTGCGATAGAAATATAAAAGGCTACATAGGCCTGGTCTGTAGGCCTGTAAATTGTGAGAAGCTCACATACCACGAGCTTGAAGTTCACATAAAACCTTGGAAGGCATGCCTCAACCCAATCTCATTTTTGGTGCTGGTTCCTTTGGGAGCCCAGTGGTTGGAAAGAATTTATGTACCCCCGAGAGCATACAGGAGCTGCTGGACCAGCTAAAACTCCATAATGTAGACAGAATTGATACTGCTGCTCGCTATTCACCTGGTAATCCAGGCGGCTCGGAGACATTGCTTGGTCAACTAGTTGCTGCTAAGCAGGGGTTCATCATTGATACCAAAATCAATATCCCAGATGCCAATATTGCTACCGGTGCGGGATCTTTAAGCCCTGCCGCTATATCTAAGTCTATCGATGAGAGCTTTCGTCGGCTCAATGTTGAAAGTGTTCACATTTTGCATTTCCATCGATCTGATTCTGTCACCCCTGTGGAAGACCAAGCAGCCGAGATGCATAAACAATATATGGCTGGTCGTTTTGAAAAGGTTGAGTTTTACCTCTTATTGAGACTTTTGGTGATTTTAACTGACAACGCTTCAGTTTGGGGTTTCCAATTTCACGCCGCAGGAGCTTGCTGAGCTTATCTCTGTGTGCGAAAGGAAAGGCTACATTAAGCCAAGTACATATCAAGGGTGCTATAACGCGATTGACCGCCAGTTAGAGAAGACCCTGTTTCCGTTGCTCCGTGAACATGGCATTGCATTCAATGCGTATAGGTGATTTTCTCCCTCGTTACACTTTAATAGTGCTGAATGTTAATTTTTGTTATAGGCCCCTAGCAGGTGGCTTCTTGTCAGGCCGAGCAACGCGAGGTGATTTAGAGAACTCTCGATTCTCGCCTGAAAATCCAGTATCGAAGATGTTGAATGATGAATACGACAAGCCAAATCTTCATGCTGCAATGAGAGAGCTCTTACAAGCACTTGAGCCACATGATATCAGCGGCTCGGAGGCTTGTCTTCGATGGATGTTCTACCATTCTGCCCTGGGAGATGGCGACGGTGTGATTCTTGGAGCTAGCAGAACTTCTCAAGCGGTGCAGAATCTTCAGGATATTTCCAGGGGGCCTCTGCCAGCGGAAATAGTGGGAAGAATTGATACGATCTGGAAACTTCAATAATTATGAAAAGCCAGTACTGTATGCCGACCATGCAGGGTTATCATAGTCCGAAGGCCATAAATTAGATCAATACCTTTTTTTTTTCAATTTCTGATTTGTTTATTCGTGTTGAATCACCGGCCCGCAGTAGCTTCTTCGCCAGTTTGACGTAATATTCCATCACTCGTTCTTTTTAGAGTATACGCCTACCTAGTATGCCGATTATGCAAGTCTCTCACACAACCGGGGTCTGTTTGATATTGGGACTGTCGCTTCTCTGTCACGACAGTCAAAGGGGATAGGGGATCTCCAAGAAAAGGGCAAAGCTGCAATAGTCAACTAGCCAGATGCCGTCATCAACGAGTCCTATTATCACAGCCACAATAACATCAAGAGAATTTGCGCACCCTCTCATGCTTGCTGATCGGTCAGGATCGACCAGGATCGACCGAACTAAGCCGCGCGCACAGCGCGGAAGAAGCCACAATTCCATGGGTGCCTTTGTGCCTTAATGCCTGACGGCTAAGGCGACATATTCCGAATGATTTCGCTTATTTCGCTTCCAAGATCAATTGATTATCTGATTAACTGATTGATAACCGGTCCCGTCCGTGTACGACCCCTTCCAAGAGGCACTAGTGAAAAAGTTACTAAAAGATCGTGACTGGGCTCCACTTGTCAACCCACGAAGTCTCGTGGGCGAATTCATACAATTAATTGTTATGGCTGTATCGGCAACTCCGTGACGGAGTCCGGATGCTTGGTTGTAAGCCAGTCTTTATTTACTTTTAGCTTCGTTCCTGACTTACGAGAACAATAGTTGGATATGGTCAAGATCGAGGGCTTATTTCTTCCTCTCAATTTTTTCTTTCGAACAGCTGCCCCTCTACATTGCCGCACGGATAAAAGTGGCGATAGATTCGAAGCTGACTCCTGACCCACCACACTTGCCAGGATGTTGGCGTCGATCCGCCGGCTGGGCCAGTTAGGTCGGTCGTCTAGGTGGCCTGAGAGGGTATCTTTTTGCTTTTTCTATTTTGTTTTCTTTTCCCACCCGCTCTTAGCCCTCGGTGGAGCCTCTAATGCACCAGAGAGGCAGGAAACCCAGTGATTCATTTCTTTTCAGCGAATAATGGCCCGAAGCCAAGACGGCCCCCGGTCTGCCTCTGCATCTACTCGTGTTAGCTGGTTTCCGATCGCTCGACCGACTTCGGTGATGCGTTCTCCATATGAGCGAAGATATCTCTGGCTTATTTTCTGGGTCATTTAGTATTCATGTCGTCTCGTTTCTTGGTTTTATCCACATTCTGCCACCATGGGCGTTCGACCTTTACTTCGAAGAGGCCGTGCGGTCTGGCGACACATGCTGCCGGGGGATGATGAAGATACCGACAGAAACTCTGTGCAAATGGACACGGCCCAGCAAGTTAAGAGCGAGGGAGAATCGGGTCGCCCACCAAGCTACAGTAGCTCTGCACCACAAAATATGATGCCCGATGTGCATGCGCAACATGGTGTTCAAGATGTTGAGGCTGTAACAATCACTTGGTCAAAGGGCACTCTAATTGCTGTATTCATCAAGTATGTTCACACGACACATTCCCTTTGAAAATCTCGATAAACTAATTTCTTTTCTCTTCAATCGCAATAGTATCTGGTTCATATACTTCGTCAATGCGTTTATTTCCACAAACAATACCAGTCTGAATCCGTACGTGACCAGCCAATTTGGCGCACACTCGCTATCTGCTGTTCCAACTGCTCTCGGAGATGCATTTGCAGCTGCGCTGTACCTCCCTATGGCTAAGATGATGGATGTTTGGGGTCGTGCAGAAGGCTTTCTCTTGATGGAGATATTTCTTACGATTGGATTGATTATCATGGCAACGTGTAAGACCTTTGAAGCTTACTGTGCCGCCAACGTGAGTTCCAAATCATTGATTTCGCCATATACTTTGCCAAACAAAAGGCTTACATGCAATCTACTAGGTCTTCTATTACATTGGTTTCTATGGCCTAGAATACGCAATTGATGTCGTGACAGCTGATGTTTCAACTTTGAGAAACCGTGCATTTGCTTATGCATTCACTTCATCCCCGTACATTATCACAGCCTTTGCTGGTCCAAAGGTTGCCAGCAAGTTCTACTATGAGGTCTCCTGGAGATGGGGCTATGGTTGTTGGGCAATTATCGCGCCCGTTGTTGCCACCCCCCTTTATGTCATGCTGAAATACAATCTGCATAAAGCTGAGAAAGAAGGCCATCGTATCAAGAGACCGAGTGGTCGAACAGTGTTGGAAAGTATCTGGCATTGGACTGTCGAATTTGATAGTAAGTACAGAGTATCCGACGCCTCGTCAAATTTCTGTGTGTCTAGTCAAGGCCAATACTAACCTCAATTGCTAGTATTCGGTGTCTTCCTTTTCACTGCCGGCCTTGTGCTATTCGAGCTACCCTTCGACATCGCCGATTATGCCCCGAATGGCTGGGCCTCGGGCTATATAATCGCAATGCTTGTCGTGGGATTTTCAATGCTTTTCTTCTTCGCGATGTGGGAATGTTATGTGGCTCCCGTACCTCTGGTAGGAATGGACTGGCGTCTCCTCGCAGATCGTACCATTGTCGGTGCAGTCCTTCTGGATACAACCTATCAGATCTCAAACTACTGCTGGAGCTACTATTTAACATCCTGGCTTCAGGTAAATAACGACTTGACGATCACTACCGCCAACTACATCGATAACATCTTCGATATGGTATCTGGCGTACTCCTACTCCTGATCGGATGGATCATCCGCAGAGTTGGCCGCTTCAAGTGGACATTATACATTGCTGTCCCGCTTTATATCTTCACCCAAGGCTTGATGATCTACTTCCGCCGACCCAATATGAACGTTGGATACCAAGTTATGTGCCAGATTTTCCTTGCGATTGGGGGCTCAATCTTCATTCTCGCGGAACAGATCGCCATCATGTCTACTATCGACCATCAACACGTTGCCACCGCACTAGCCATATTAAATGTGGTTGGAACTATTGGTGACTCTGCAGGATTAACAATCAGTACTGCTATCTGGCAGAACACGTTCCTTAAGGCTTTACACAGATATCTCCCAGAATCCGCCTTGCCAAATGTCAATGAAATATACGATAGTCTCCCAGTTCAAAAGAGCTATCCTGTCGGAAGTGCTGCTAGGCTTGGTATTCAAAACGCATATGCCTACACTGAGCTGAGACTTCTCGCCGTTGGGTGCGGTGTTATTGTGCTGGCAATCCCTTGGACCATGCTTATTAGAGATGTTGATCTGAGGAAGAGAACACAGGTTCGGGGTACGGTCTTCTAGGCGCCAGAAGCTGATACTTTACCGTGCTATTAGATAGAAAAACTCGTATTCCAATGACGTTTAAAATGTTCACCAATAGTTCCATAGTTCTCAGGCCTCTTTATTTACTTTTTCTGCGTAGTATATCCCATTTGGGTTCATATCAAAGCCACGCTGTAGATCTACTGATAGTGGGCATATTGCGCCTCATCTGCCAAAATAGGGTTCCTCTCGCGCTAAACATTCAAATATGGCAGATAGCTGCCCATGTGTTCTATGAAATTTGTCCCGAGGCCCATAAAAAGCGGCAACTTGGACAAAATATCTTGTGGATGCACACGCGTCACAAGGAGCAGTGGGGCGTGGTATCCATCACATACGCTAAACGGACTGGATTTTCCCTACACGGAAAAATAAAGTTTACTGTCTATTTTGCTTCTTGTGGTCCGACAGGAGACAAATGTCGGCCCGAGCGAATGTAGCCTGCGCTAGCGTTTTATTTAGTGTATGGTGGAAGAACAGTGATCTCATCTTGAAGACACCATCTGCAAGTGTTATTTATGAGATAACACCCTCTCAAAAAACCCAAAGTCCAGATTCAATGCACGCCAAGGTGGCGGTGGAAATCCGAGATCGGACACAGCCCAATCATCCAGAAGGCCGCTGTGAGCGCGTAGGGCCAGATATAATATGCGAGCTGGGGTGGAGCGCACAGCCATGTGCACATTGTGGCCTTGCGCTGGAGACCCCACTACCCGAATGAACATTGTTGCATCACCTTCTGGCGTTTCCTTGGTTCTCACGTTCTTGGTTCCTTCATATACTATTTAATAGTCTTGGGCCGCGGCGGGACTCGGAGGCTCTGTGAGCATCTGTCATACTCCCAAGCTTCTGTCCATTTGTCTTATGATAGCGAAACCGCGCACCCGTGCCCGAGCAGATGAACAAGTTAAACGGTTCATACCCGGTGGTTGAAGTCGTGCGGGGTCCTATATTCATCATCAATGAGCGAAGCAAAATGCAGGACTTGAACACAGACTCTGATCACATCGAATCTGCGGACAAAATCATCTACGAAAATGCCGGGGGTATCGAAATCGTCAAAGCTGGGACTCTGGAAGGCTTAGTGGAGAACCTGACTCGGCCTGATAAGCTAGATGCGTTGTTCAATCGCACATTCCTCACCACATACAAGTACTTCACCTCAACAGCTCAGCTTATTGATATTTTGCTTGCTCGTTTTAACTGTCCACCGCCCATAACAGAGGAAACAAAGTCCTTGGTTCGATTAAGAGTTATAAACGTCTTAAAGCAATGGCTCGAGCACTTCTGGACCGAGAGAAAGTCCCCAGAGACAGATCAAAATCTAGAGAGAATCCGAGAGCTCGCTTCAAGAGCTGCAGGATCTTTGGAAGCAAGTGCCGTACAACAACTTCTCGGAATTATTCAACGACGACTTGCAGGTCTTGCTCGCATGAAAATATCACGACAATCCATCTCAAATCCACCCAAACCAATACTGCCCCGGAAGCTAGACAAGCTTCAATTCTTGAAAATTGAAGCCAAAGAAATTGCCCGACAACTAACGATAATGGAATCACACATGTTCAACAAAATGGAACTAAAAGAGCTTTTCAATAAATCGTGGCAAAAGAAAGAGAGCTTTGCCGGACCAGCACCGTCCCCAAACATCCGAGCTTTAATTCGATATTCCAATCAACTCTCTAATATGACCGGCTCTCTGATTTTGGCAGAAACGGACTTTAAAAAGCGAGCCCAGGTCATAGGCCACCTGGTAAATATAGCAAATGTACGATAAAGTTTCTTACTTCCTTCACCACTGTTCTTTCTGCCTCTTTCCGATTCCTTTGATACGATTGTATACAGAGCTAAAATAATATATAGAGCTGTTATGACCTCCAAAACTATTCCGCAGTGGTCTCTATATTGTCAGGATTCCAGAGCGCCCCTATCTATCGACTCACCCGCACCTGGGCAATGGTAACAGAGAAAAGCTGCAACATCTTAAGGCCTTTACAAGGTCTCACTTCGAGTGAACAAAACTACAACACCTACCGCGAAACACTGCGAGTCGCAGTACCACCATGTATACCTTTCCTTGGTAAGTTCAAGTAAGCAAGTTGCTTCACTATCATTTGAACAACCTAGCAAAAGAAGAATACATACACATGGAAGAACGCGCGTGCTAACAATTAAAAAGGCCTCTACCTAAAAGACTTGACCTTCATCGAAGACGGAAATAAAGCGCAAACACCAGAAGGTCTAATCAATTTCCACAAATGCACCATGCTATCAACGACAATTCACGAGGTCCACCGGTTCCGAGAAGCTCCATACTCCCTATACCCCGTTCCAGAGCTACAAGAGTATCTTGCAAGTCAACTACAATCAGCCACAGGATTGGACGAACTGTGGGATCGAAGCTGTGAGCTGGAGCCCAGGGGCCGGGGCGAGTTGAAGCCGAGAGATTTCTATACCCCTACTGGAGGAATGACGACATCTATGGTGGTTGCGTGTATGGTTTTGGATGATTGATGATTTATAACGTAACCTAAACTTGAAATTTTGTGTCTGTCGCAGTGATACCTATAGTCTTATTAATTCGGCATATTTGTTTTACCCATCTTGTGTATAGATTTGTACACTACAACCAACTTCAAATAACATTAGAATAGAACTACTTGACCTCTTGGTTGAGCTCTGTATTGAGTATCTTTATGCTAGAGATTTTAAAAGGAAACTCCACGGACATGAAGGGCTTTTGAAAAATACTAAACGCATTGCCAAAATGCTTGATCAATGATTTTACCGCCTGTCAATGCTATCCGCTCCGACCCATATCCATCTCGTCAATGCTTTTTCCGCACCGTTATTACTACCTAATTATACCATTTAAGCTCTGAAGCCTAACCCTATCAGACCTCAAAGCCCATACTGTTCAGACTCCAATAACTCAGACCTTCCAGACCTCAAGACCTCACAAAGGTTGCGGCCCGGGTCAAGCTTCAAAACCCTAGTGACTAGGCAGAATCGTTCCAGCCTCCTCCGACCAACCTGGGAACCTACATGACCAAATTTCCAACAAGGTACCTGAGGTCCAAAGCTACAATCCTTCTAAGTACCTCTGCACTGCCCAAAGTCTCAACCATAGATATTACCCCCGATCATCGGCTTGCATGATCAAAATTTGAGTTCAAGGTACAACAACATTTGAAGCTAACCGCCCTTGCCGTGCCCCCCACATAGTAACGTTTATTGGCTCGCCTAAAGGTAAAATACTTATCAATCAGTGCGATCAGTTCAGATCTCCGGAGTTGCTTTTTCAACATTACTCGCATGCAGATTATGACGGTGACCAGATTTTCTTTTTCTCTTTACATAGATCAAAGTTTGCGCTAGGACTATTAGAGGTATTTACACGAGAATATGCTCATGCGGAATATGATGTGCTGAATACGAATTGGGTACTGGTTTGCGAAGTGGGGTGCTGGTTTAATCCACGGCTGTGGGTTTTAGGAAGGTCACTGTTCTGATGTTGGCTGTGCTTATGGAGTATTATGGGGCATTGACATTTGTGGGCCTTGGGCTTCAAAGTGTGGAACTTGAGGTTGTTTACTTTATCGATACATGGCATGATCATGAGGGTGGGCAGGTGGGCAGGTGGAGCTAATAGCTCTGTTGAGACAAATGATATCTAAGTAATGAGGTCTTAATAATGAATATGGTATGTAGATGTACAGCAATCCAAATATCTAACTCATCATAATAAATGTACAGGTATCTATAACGCGCACTCGACTTCGTCTCGTCCACTGGTAAAACTAGAATATGCAATGCAACACCAAGCCTCGAGGTATTCAACTACATATTATCCTCACTCCAATGACTCCTAGTCTTCAACCAAGCCTCTCTATCCTCCTTCCCCTCCTTCTCATTCATCCCAATCCCCATCCCCCTCTCAACCCACTCCTTACTCTCCATCTCCGAAAGTCTCGAAAGCGCTCTCGCAAACGCAAATCTCTCCTCATCACCACTAAAAATCGACGTATTCTTAAGCGCCTGTACCGACATCCCCAAATCATCCATAAGATTCCGCATCGCATCCGACAGATCAGAATCATCCCCATCCTTCTTCAACCCATCCTTCACATCCGACGGGGAAAGAAACAGATTCCCAAGCGGAACCTCAGTAGTCAAGACAAGTTTCGCCCGACTCTCATACACAGCATCGATGAATGTAATGAATCGTCGCGCCAGATCACGCTGGTTCAGATTCATACCCGGTACATCTGTGATGATGAAGGCGTTGTAGTGACGGACTAGCTCGAGGTAGTCTGCTGCACCGGTTGCGGAGCCGATAAGCTGGTTGAAGGTGAATTTTGCGGCTTTGCCGCTTGCTATGGGGACTTTGATGGTGCGACCCCAGACTATTTGGGTGTCTGGATGGGGTGGGTCGTTGATTGGGTCGCCGAGGTAGTCGAACCATTTTTGGGCGTGGGCTTCTGCGGCTTCGTTGAGGGGGTTGTGGTAGACTGCTGCTGGGGGGCGGGGAATTTTGCGGTAATCGGTTGGGGAGTTGAGGTTTATGACGTTGAGTTCGTTCTTGAGGAGGTTGATGCATGGGATAAAAGATTCACGCTGAATGCCATTTTTGTAGAGGTCGTCTGGGTGACGGTTGGAGGTTGTGACGAGGGCAACGCCGTGAGACATCAGGATTTCTAGAAGTCTGTAGATTTATTAGTAACTGCGTACTGGGGGAAGAAAGAACTTCTTCCGTGATATTCGTGAATTGAAGATGGTAAATATGTGAGTATCTGACCTTCGTAGAATCATCGCATCAGCAACATCAGTGCATTGGAATTCATCAAAGCAAAGCACGCTTGCAGTCTCAGCAATATCAGCAGCAACCATAGGCAATGCATCAAAGTCATTCCCATACTTCATCTTCACAACATGCATGCGCTTATGTACATCCTGCATGAAATTGTGAAAATGAATACGAGTCTTGGTCTTAATATTGGGCGGCAGCGTATCGAAGAACAAATCCATAAGCATAGTCTTCCCACACCCAACATCACCAAACATATAGAGTCCTTCGGGAAGGTTCTCAGGAATGGCCAATTTCGAAGGTTTCCCATCGCCTCCGCGACTGAACAACGAGCCGAAGAACGACTGTTTGGGCTGAGGATCCAAAGACTCGACGGTTGGATGAATGATCTTGGACGGAGTATAATCTTTCAGAGCCTCGTACATATTCTGCAGATTCTGAATAATCGCTAATCAACATTAAAGGTTCCAAGTTAGCGCGCATTCTGTAATGTTATAATTCCAAGTATGAATGATGAATATCGCCTCACCTCTTTGATACGGATCATCGCGAAGTCGACCCGCCTGCACTCGATCATCATACTCCTTCATCGGGCCATCTTGTGGTGGTTCAGCATTCTTCTTCTCCAGAACACCTTCCGTAGACGTCGCCGAATCACTACTAGCAGTAGCTAAGCCCCGCGCCTTCTGCGACGAGCGCAATGGCATCTGCGAGCCTGCAAGCCTCTCCGGGGAGAAAGTAGAAGACAATTCCCGATCTCTCCGCGCGACAGGCACCGAAAGCCCATTCCGTCGAGTAGTGTAAGATCTCTCACGAGCAGCGCGAGCGCCCCGTAGCGGTGCGGTAGTACGCAGTGTCCGAGAGGGCCGTAAGGCTCCTGGGAAGCACTCGGCGCAAAGCTTGGCGGACGGCCGGCTCATTTGCGAATATTGTATGCGTATATACGAGCGATAGAAATGCGAAAATGCGGGTACGAGATTTGGCGAGGTCGGTCAGGTCAGTCGGGGTGAGGACGTAGCCGAGGTATTGTTTCGCCGCAGGAATTGTTTTCTTCCGGAGAGGCGGCGTACAAAGGATAGGCGGTGACGGAGGACGTAAGTAGTGTAGGTAGTAGGTAACTGTGTACTTGAAAGATACCGTCTCCTTTCTACTGTCCTTTCAATTTGAACGAATGTGAGGACCTGAGCGTATCTACAATAGGAAAAAAACGTCACTAATCGGAGTTCGTTTAATGGCTCTAGGGGCGAAAAAAGAACGGCCCGATAGACCGAGTCAGGTGACTCGGGAGGGTAATCGGTTGTTGTCGGCAACTAGAAATGGGCACCGATATTAATGGATAATGAGTATTTCAAGTAATTAATGTATTCATTTTCTTGGTCACAAGTAGGGCAGGAGGCCTTTCCCTGTATATGCACGAAAAGAAAAGAAACCCATATATACATGTCACCGAAGCAGACCAACCAGGGTATGTCACCCGAGAAACAGATGACTTGAATCGCAGAACATAAAACTGGAAAGCTTAATATGGTAGAAGATGCCGGGTGAACAATCATAAAAGAGGAATAGAGAGAAACAAAGAAGAGAAACAAATGTCGCAAGCATTTGCAACATTCGCAATGGAGGGGTGAAAAACAAATAGAATAAAAACCCATACCATGTACATGACGCATAATATTCGTAACACCGTCCTCACCTTCGAAAAAACCAAGTGCGATCGCTGAAAAAAGCGCAGAGAGAGCACAAAGAATATCGATAATGGGATAACCGAACGCCAAATACGCCCATATCCATTGCAAAGAACCATAGGAATAATGAGTATGAAATGAAATGAAATGAAATGTGACAAGGCAAGGAATGATGACACAGAAAAGAGATGGCAGCAAAGCAGGTCTATCACAGCGGTGACTCCAAAGATAAAAATCCCGACTTTTTTGTGTGTTTAAACAATACTGACAAACAGAGTAAGTTTGGTATTACGCTGCATGGCGTTCTCGAGATCTTGATCAGAGACCAGATCGATATAAGTGCCAGAGGACTCGTCCTTGTATTGCACAACAATTTCGTCTTGGATTTTAAGTCGATCGGAGAGCTTGTCCTTGAGATGTTGCATGCTGACACCAGAGGGGATGCGAATGGCAATAAGATCATCCTGAAAGAATACCTTAACCTTCATCGCACTGGAATTCGATGCCCCAGAGGCTTGGGTGAGAGAGCTGGGTTGTCGGTTCATTGGTGGTGGGCCACCATTAAGATAAGACCCTGGGCCTGGTGTGCTCCGTCCTTGTTGTTGTGAGATACGATCTTGAGAAGCGTTCATCGGCACCTGAGAGGACTGGCGAGAGATGGTCTGAGCCTGCTCCACGCCGCCAGAGGAGTGCTGTGAGTTGTCAGAGTAACGTGCCTCCTGGCCAAATGCATCTGGGTCGATTTCAAAGTCGCCCTGTCGGGGACTAAACAATTGGCGGACTAGTTGGCACCGGGCAATATGCGGCGGCATCCCCAAAAGCTTCTTGATGTACTCGTCCAGATTTTGTCGGCGGCCATTAGAAATGGCATCAGTCACATGGGTAACGGGTCCGGGCATGAATGGGAGGGTTCGTGGGCGACCTCGGTTACCGGCTTCGTCCTCGAATTGGGTCAGAAGCGCAATCTGGAAGTCGTAGAAGTCGTGGTAGTAACGCGACAGTTCCCAGCATCGGCCATCCTCCATCTGAGCCTCAATGATGTACCAGTACTTGTCGTTATCAAAGCAGTAACGGGGAATAGAAGCGGCGACAGGGGCGAGAAGCGGTGCGTAGCCGCCCTGCGCTGGGAGTGGCTGTGATTGTTGAGTTTGCGATGCCAGAGTACCTTTGCTGGCGTTGCGGTGATGATATCCCTAAAAACGAGTAAGGCGGTTAGCGCATGGGTCCCCTTCATGCATGCGTTTTTGACGCTGGCAAATTTGAAGCGAGCGGGGGAGAGTTAATCATACATAGGAGTTGCCGTTCTGACTCATGTGGCTGCTAGAATTCTCAGAGCTCATGGACATCTTGTCCATGGCTCCAGTAACTCCCATCATGCTTCCGCCAGTAGAAGATGGTTCAATTTTGCCGAGGGTGATACTGCTATTCTTGTATTCGGCGGTCATTTTCTTCCATTCCTCCACCTTAGGAACACCAGCGCGGCGCACCGCCTCGAGGGGGTCGGTTACAGCCTGGCCAGACTGCATGTCGCGCAGTTCGATAAAGGAGACAGGAATCAGACCGGGGCCGCCCAAACGCCCAATGGGTTTTGCGACAAACCATTCCGGATTTGACTGGGCGATCACAATAATGGCCTCACCAGCGCGAGCATCGAGCTCATCGGGCCGCTCAGCCTGGAAATCGTATTGCACGATTCCATAGACCATAGCGCCCTGGCCCTTGGCGATGGCAGACATCCTAAAAACGGGTTGACGGTTGTTGACGTTGGCGAGAGGAGAGTTATCGGAGACGGAGGCGGGACTGCGGTCGGCGAAACCAGAGTCGTGGTGGTCCTTTTTATGCTGATCGACCGAACCCCCACTATCCCTTTCGTTTTTGCCGATGACTTCGAAGAAGGATACGGGCACGAGCCCCCGGGCACTAGGGATGAGCGGATTACAAGCCTCGTACCAATCCAAGTCGTCCTCCCTGCTGATAACGTGAAAGAAGTCTCCCTTGCTGAAAGCTAATTCTTGAATGGTTCCGGGTTCAGGTGTGTAATCGAAAAGAGCTTTGATGACCTGTGCGCGAAAGAAGAGAAGAGACGAAATGTGGTCAGCCACTTGCCAAGCGCGGGTGGGACACACAGGGGAGAGGGAGAGGGGCAGAGTGCGAGAACGAGTCCCCTCTGGAATTTCGGGGGGGAAGCCAGCCACCACGAGGGGAATGGGTTAGAGAGGCGAGGGTATTCGTGGCGAGGCGAGGCAGTCAAATTATGACAAAATTTCAACTTACTTTTTTGGGAGGGATAATTGCTAGGGCGGACTTGGGAGTAATGGAGATGTGACGATGTTTGGGATCTCTCTCTCCCTTCATGGACCGCCTGATAGCCTGGATAGTGGGTTGAATTAGATAACCAGGTAACGGTACTGTTTCAGGGGGAAGAGACTCACCTTCATCACGGACAAGGCGATCAAGGTTGAAATTCAGGGAGAATGGGGGAGAGAAGAAGAGAAGAAGAATTGAAAAGAAATGTTCCCATCTGGCGTGACCACAAAAGCTGAGAAGTGTGAGCGCGCGAAAGAACAAGGCCAGGACCATGTAATCTGCGTATTGCGGTCCCAACCACAGGAACGGGCTGGATTGTGATTAAAAAAAAGGAGGCCCGCTTTTATTTGGATTGTATATTATTTTAACTGGAGTCCAATTCTGGGGGCTCTTCTTCTTAAGGACTTGTTTCTTTTATTGTTAACAAATCGGTCATTATTTGTGAATCGGGAATAAATCATTGTCTCTTTGTTCTTTGTATGTACGGAGTACGGGAGACGACGAACTTGAGATCCGGGGCTATACGAACAAACCTTCGAGAAGGAACGCCAGGGATAAACCCACCGGGTTCCTAGCTGTGGCGATGTATTACTTTACTGCTTTACTGCTTTACTTTATTTTAGATTTTTGGTCTACATTAGTTTAAAGGTATAGACTCGAAAGTTGAAGTCTTAACTACAATAACTATCTTATTGTCTCGCTGTATACCTCGATACAGACAAGATGGTAATATCCTGGCAAGTTCCACCCGTGGACCTGGGGATGATACATGACAATACACAATACACAATACACAATACACAAGCTCCTGCTCCACTCGCGATCCCGTTGGGCACTTAAACCCGGCGGCTAACAATCACACCCTCGAATGTTACAGGGTTATCCTAGGGGCACACGACCTGCTAGTCGGATTTTTATTGGAATTCCCATTCTTACTCTCCATATATTCCGCTGATTGTTCTAATCTGAAGTGTTTGCCTAAATAATGAAAACTCCAAGAAGCGAAAATTACCAAAAGAACAGTCAATTCCCCAAAAACCCAGAATCAATGTGTCGAATTGCAGGCTCCACCTCTCAGCCCATTCCGTGGTCTGGGAGCCGCTAAGACCGTGGATCTGACGAAGCGTTGTCCCAAAATACACTACGATCGGCATTTGCTTTAAGCTGATACCGAGGATCCCAAACAAAGAAGAATAATTAATACTCCCACGAATACGTGGAAACGAACAAAGAACCTTGGAAGATACGAGGTGTCACTTTAGGCTCAATATCCATATAGCAACACTCGAGTATCATAGTAATCACTTAATTTAATCCCCGAGCACGCGCGGTCTGACATCCCTATACAGAACCTTTCCTGTGGCCCGGATGACAATTCGTCGCCCATCCTTTGGTTCCTGGTTCCCCTGATATGGATCTACCTAGGTACGAAATATAGGGTTGATTATGCTCATACATCAGGGTTCCCAATCCGGGGGCGAGATGGGATGGCTCAGCCATAGTTGGACACGAGGATGTCGATCATGAGCGAAATGACATCAGGTTCTGAAGCATTTTCCTGATTCTGATATCCACGGACAAACTATATCCTTTCAAATATTATTATATTATTCGTGATTTCGTATTCTATGCATCCTTTCGAGCTGAATTCAAGAATACATGTAAGACATGTTTTCTGGTGAATAACTGAAACAAGGCATTGTCTGCGGGTACACATGTTCTAGATAGTGTTCGAGACCTTTTCCTCTCCACCCAGTACGGAGTGAGGTGAAAAAGGCCACGTTCATTTCTGACTTTCGAGATATTTCTCTCTCTTTTGGCTGTATAGTGAAAATTAATCACCACTATATGAATTATAGAAGGTAAAAAGGAGGCCCAATGCGAGATTGAACTGAACTCGGATTAACCAAAAATCTTGGCATTGAATCTACAATACAGACTGAATTTGAAAAGTATGCAACTTCAAACCTTGGATATCGTATATACATCCATACAATAATTGATTTAATCCCATTTCCCCGCGCCCTCAGCGGAGTAATATATACACTAAATCCAATGAATAACAACAAGTCACAACGCTAAGAGACAATGGTACACGCCACTATCAGAGCCCCTCTGGTCAACCATGGCTGGCACGAAGTTAGCCCCACGTGGCGGGGCGGTAATCTGGCTTCCATGGAAGAAATCGAATGTTCGTCGAAGGAATCATTTGCGCGACAGCCGAGCTGAGTGGCAAAACACATGGCTGGTTCGTTGCATTTATGCAAAGGATAGGGGTAATAGTTAAAGTTAAGATTAATAAACTACAGACAGGGGCGAATTATGGGGTTGTTCTGGAAAACATGGTTAATGCCGCCCGGATACGAGATACGGTCTCGGATTTCGGGAAGGATGACAGGAAAGATCCACGAGAGTTCAAGGTTTTGGCTATCGGGCACTGGCATCAAGAACTTGAAGTATATGTCGCGGGGCGATGTCTTTGACATGTACAGTATCTCCAGGGTTAGAGATAGTGGAGAATACAGGTGCAACTGTTTCATAGTCGTAGCAATGAACATTTTTTTCAACTACGCAGGTGCAACATGTATATTATGAATGTGATTTGATTTTAATTCTGGGATGAAATCATTTGTACTCTGCTGTAAATGGGGTAAAGACCAACCGAAGAAAGAAACGGATATCTACTCAATGAACACCAACGGCGCCTTATGCACTCCATCGTCAAACCCCCACCCACCTGCAAAATCGAGATCAGAGGGACCGGCGGGTATTAGTATGGTCGAGGGTATCGCACTGGAAGTCATGACGGGACTCCATGGCGATGAGATGAAAAGAAGCTGGATATGGGGAAACGAGAAACGAAGAATGCGACTACTCCGGGGACCGAGGAGTAGTTTGACTGTTTTTGAGAAACCAATGTAACGCCTGTCGCTCTTGGAATGACTGGGGGAAAAAAGAACCGGGGGAGAATGAAAATAAAAAGAAACCATCGTGGCCACTGGAGGGGTAGGGGTGTTTGTGGGAAACCAGGCTGGTGGTGATTAACTTGGTGGAACAAGAGTGTTGGACTCGAGAACCGTAATCAGATTTGACCTTTGATGTCAACGACGCGGTGAGCTTCTGCCTTAGCATTTTCGAACAACAGGCCCGCCTTGCCAGTCAACAACTTCACAGTCCCTTGTTTCTCTTCGAGTAACTCCGGAGGAGATTGCTCTAGAACGAAACGTGCGGCTTGTTCATCGGACTCAAAACCCAACTCCTCTGTGATGAATCGGATTTGTACGTCGGGCTTGTATCTGTTATCTAGTTAGCAGCTATAAAACAATAGATTGGGTAGGGAATGATTCGAAGGGGGTTGTATGAGACTTACGCTCTGCAAATGGCAGCGAGGGCACTCAACCGCTCACGATCGACAAACATATCCATAAGGTATGCTCCCATATTCGGGGTGTCCAAGTAAAGAGAAAAGAAACGATGGTAGTTACCGAGCGCGAGAGCAGAACGAACATCAAGAGCATGCTTGACAGCAAGATCCTTCTTATCCTCTGCAGTCACGTCGGCAAGCGCATCATTCATGGCCGTCCAGTTGCGGGTGTAAATGAAATAGAGAATACGATAGGCCTTGAATTCGGTCGGGTTGCCGCCCAGTTTCTGCGCATACAAGACACGCAGTTGGGTTTGACACTGATTATACTCACCAAGGTCCCCCTTCTCCAACGCGATACGGGCATGAATCTCATAAACATTCACAGTGAACTCATTCCGGATGTGTTGAACTGTCAAATCCTGGCGAAGGGATTTAAATTGATCACAGATGTACCCGTAGTTGCCCTCCTTCTTCCACTTTTTCTTCAGCAAATCCAGGGTCTTTTTCAGGACAGGCAAAGGGCGAACAGTATCCGGGTTTGGTGCAGAAGTCAAACGGAAGTAGTTCTTCTCCAGGGTCTGGCATCGTCCCACAACGGGTCCTTGGTCCACTTCGGGTCTAGGAGAATCAACGGGGGAGGAGGTACTCGAATTTCCATAGTTGACGCCGGCTCCCTCAAAACGTTTTTTCCTCATTTCCAAATTAGCTTTGGACTTACTAGACTGGTCCAGTTTCATGTGGTTCTTCTTTCCTGTGGTTGGGTAAGTGACTCGATCTTCAAAACGATTGCGATTGTTAGTTTTTCGCCACGGCGGCGAGGCAGACCCAGACGGATCAAGGTTGTCTGTTGATTTTCGCTTGCGCGAGGCATCTGCTGGGGAGGAAGGTTGACTAGTACCGGCCCAGCTTGAGACGCTAGGGTTGGCCAGGATCTTATTGCGTTCATTTTGAATCATGACCTGTGGTAGTTGCAGTTTGTCCCAGTCAATAGTGTGAAGTCGACCGCCTTCTGCTGCATCGGTAATGACTTGTCGCAGCTTCTCTTGCATCTCAGTGTTACCCACGCTGGGTATTTCGTTCTCCGGAGCGAAGCACCGCTGCACGTAAGAGCGAACAGGGGGAGGAAACGCCACGCGTGGCTGGGCTGCATCTGCTGGCGACGAGGGGCTTTGGTGTGTCGTTCCATTTGTGGTTGGATAGTTGGGTTTATTATGGTTCAGGCTACGACGTGCTTGCACCGGGATATAGGCAGGGGTCGCTGTACCGCGGTTAGCGCTTTGCTAAAACTGGGGTTCGTAGGTTCTCCATTCTTGCTTACCAGATGTTGGGAAGGTGGTTGGCGCTGAGTGCACCGAGGCGGTCGCACGCCAAGGTGGAATACTTGAGCTCATCCCGGCTTCTAGAAAATAATGATAATAAGACGGGTCGTGATGAGGCAAAAAAAAGAAAGACGAGATAGGTGCAGGGTCGAAAAGAAGGCTACGTTTGAGACAGGGGAAAACTGAAAGGGTGACGGCAGAAAGTGAAGGAGGAAGTAAAAAAAGAAGCTCCTACGCCACGAGTACTCGACGGGATGATATATCGGGCAAAAGACGGGGATCTGATGAGTACGATGATAGTCAAGGAACCTTCAGAGAAAGAGGAGAACACACAACGACAGGGCGATTCCCGCCCAAGCGAAGGTCATCAGGACTTTAGTTTCTCCGATCGCCGATCTTTATCTGTTATCGCCGCCAAGACTGGAAGCTTGTCAGTGCAATGCTGTGAACCTGCTAGATGTTTTTCAAGTCTCTGGACCTGACAACTGCTCTTCGGCCTTTGCTGTTACCTGACGAGACCCTTCTCTTTGTCCAGGATGCGGTGGGATTATATGAGGGGTGAGTTTCCCGGTTATCGTTGTCCTTTCAGAGTGGTGAACATGCATACTAATAGGGCCCTTCTAACAAGGAAATACAAAATCCCTGATTACCAGGATGGCCATGCCTATTTAACATCTCATCGAGTATGCTATATATCAGCAGATGATCCGCGAAAACATTGCGTGGCCATTGATCTGAAAGAGATCGACCGTGCAGAATATCAGGTATGCTCTATTTCCTCCGCTCTCCATCCCCACATCGCATCATAGGTTATTGCTCCCAGGCTGACATGACGGGTTAAACATGGTAAGGCGGGGTTTTTGAAATCATCACCAAAGATTACTATCTACCCCAAACCACAAAAGAACAAGACAGACAAGTCGCGCAGCGCGACTTCCAGCCCGGCTGTACCCCCGCCATCGGCGTCCCGCCCTAACAAATCCTTATCTCCTCTTCCGCAGTCGATCATATCACAAGTCGCTTTACCTTCACCTTCACCTGCTCCCATAAACGCAACGTGGATTTGTCCCATATGCTCCTTTTCAAATCCTGTTCCATCGAATTTCGATCCAGCGACAGCGACCGCTGCAACGAATCTGCCGCCCTGCCTAGCGTGTGGCATCAAGCCACCAATTACGACTGTTTTAAAGGCAGCAATCAGCGCTGCTACCAGTCGAGACTCCCCTTTGCCCCGACCGAGCTCCGTACCCGCTGGCGAGATTACGGGCTCTAATACTGGTAACCATACGTCGTCTCTTAAGGGAGAGTCTGTGTCTTGTCCTCGATGCACATTTGTCAACCATCCATCGCTCAGGGAGTGTGAAATATGTGCCGCGCCATTACTAGGACAAAGCACTTCTATTGGGAATGGAGATAGTCGTGTAGATTCACCAGCCCCGTTTTATGCGCAATCGCGTATCCCTAATACGGAAGTGAGCGAGAGCATCAAGCTTTCTTTCCGTAATTGGGGCGAGAAAACATTCCATGAGAGATTGAAGGGTGCACTGATACAGCGAAAATGGCTCCTTCAGAATGCACCTCCAGTACCTCCACCGTCGCAAAGCTCCGCACAAAGCACACCTGGTGCTGTTAGTACTACACTAGAAAGTCCACAGCCAGCAGCTCCCCGAGTAACCGCCGTGGGAATTGCGGGGCTGGAGCAACGAGGGTTAGAAGCACGCATGAATAATCAACTAGTCATTGGCAATGCGTTTGAGGATCTAGAAGCCCTCATGGCCTCGGCCAAGCAGATCGTTGCTCTCGCTGAAACCCTGGCACGGGAGTCCGGGATGTCCACGAGCGAGGGCTCCGCCGAGACCCACGCGGTCTTATCTGAATCTGCAGCCGCATTGGGTATGGTGACTACGAAGGATATGCTGAATTCTGGTTCGGAGAACCTTTATCTATCAGAACTATCACGCAATCTCGCCGAATACCTCACTGATGATCGTAAGGGGATCCTCCAGAGAGAAGGGGGTATTATGAGCCTCATCGATCTATGGTCAGTCTTTAACCGGTCACGAAATGGAGTGGAACTTGTCAGCCCATCAGATTTCCAACGTGCTGCGGAACTTTGGGAGAAGCTCAAATTACCCGTGCGTCTACGACGATTCAAAAGTGGGCTTTTGGTGGTTCAGCGATATGACTGGAGTGACGAGAAGACCGTATGCCAACTACAACAGTGGATGGATGAGTTACGGCAAGTCCCACCGAATGAACCCGTTCCGTGGGACTGGACGATCTTTGGCCGGGCCGTTACTGCACAAGAAGCCGCTCAACGCTTTATGTGGAGTGTTGGAGTGGCCGCTGAGGAACTCGAAATGGCAGAGGACCGGGGGCTACTTTGCCGAGAGGAAGGCATTGAGGGCCTACGGTTCTGGTGCAATGGATTGGTAACCGATTTACTATTTGATAAGTCCAACGTTTAAACCAGCTACATAGACTAAATAAGAAGTTGAAGCTACTGAAAGACCATGGTTCAGCTGTATTCCGTAAGGCGGTTCTTGATGGACTCGCCGAGTGCATACTGATGACGATAGAGAACCTTCCCGGGGGGGAAAGTGGTGCGGACTATCGAGAACTGTGGAATGGAATTGATTGGGACGAGACAATCGGCCAATCATATTACACAGATAACCCAAACTGGCATCCAGTGACGTCAGATTTATTGATTACATCAGCAGAATGTGCAATGTACATGTGCGGGGGTTTTGGCTTGGCGCGTTCTGATTGGATGACCCCGCGGTGATTGCTCTACCGGAGGGCTGTGGTCCTATTGGCATCCTGGCTTCCCTTGTGCTTCGTCATATTACTACATGTCTCTTCCCCTCCTTGGAACTTGTCCATCTACTTGCTCATATATCCAATCATCCTCTTTTCTTCCCTCGCTTGGACTAAATTATTTTCCTAACTATTTCTGAAACAAACGCCTTGGTACTCACTTCTCCAATTCCAGTGGATCCTTGAAGCCTCAAATAAGCGTGACCCGCTTTAAAGTGTGTGGATTTCGTGTGGATATGATCGTCACGTCTGGAGCATTAGTCTCACGCGGGAATCATTAAATCATCTTACCTTTTGTCCACGGGTTTATTGTGCATACACCTTCAGTACGAATACGAATATATCTCACTCGCTACCATGAGTTCCTCCATCGCCTTATCTGCCGCCGCGGCGTCAAGACCTGGTGTTGCCCGTCCGGCTCTATCCCAATTAGTTTCAACCAAAGGTGCCCAAAGTCGAAGTATATACCGCGCTGCTCGAAATGGGCAGTGTAAGACGGAGAAATCAGAGCATACTTCTCGCCCGCTCAACAAGTCTCATTGTTCTCCTCATGCCAGCACACGTTCCGGTTCTTGCTTTTCGGGCGGCTTCGCCAGTCATGTAGAATCCATTCACGGAATGGAAAGATTTGATGGATCGTTGCCAGGGTTCTTGCGATCATTCATCAATGCCGAGTCTCCTTTAAAATTTGGTACTCCTCTCAAATCTCACCTCCAGGACTTCAACTTTACACAATCACCCGAATTTAGCCGTGATGGCCTCCGCTACGACCCAGTTTCCGGTCGTATGGTACCTTATTCACCACAGCCATCTAAGCTGGGTAACCAGAAGGTGCAAGACAATCCAGCTATCGATTGCGCTCCTGGCAACGAACTAGAGGCAAAATTTGCCTCTAGTCCGTTCATGGCTGAGGAGACCCAGTTCCAACCAGGAGCCTCTGTTGAGCAAGAGATTGGCAAAACATGCCTTAATCCCCAGCCAATTGATTGGTCTGCTGGAAACGAATTGGATGCGCTTTTCACCTCCCACCCAGCCAGCTACAAAGAGATTCGAGCCATAATCGGAGCTTTCCACGAGTCTGCACATAAACCTAACATCAACATTGGTTGCCCCCCTGGAAACGAGCTAGAGGCTTTGTTTATTTCAGAGTCAGTGCATTCGGGAAAACCACATGCCGAGACATCAAGACCGTCAAGACACTTGAAAAAGCTTTCCGAGGATTCTGGCCTCAAGTCTGGAAAAAGTGTCGAGTGTTCCCCTGGTAGTGAACTGGAGACTCTCCTTACCTCTAAGCCAATTCTTCGTGCAGATAAGACTACACTGGTTGAGACTTACGAGGCGAGTCCTCTTGCTGAACCTCAAAATATCGTGGTTGATTGCCCCCCTGGCCATGAATTGGAGGCCAAGTTTGCCTCGACCACCCCAGAGCCGGTTTCACAAGCTACACAGTCTAACCTTGCAGCCAATACAATCGACTGCTCCCCTGGCAACGAAGTTGAGGCCAAGATCGCTTCCGAGGCAGCTGCTACAGTCAACAAGGAGACCATTGACTGTCCACCTGGGAATGAGCTGGAAACGAAGTTCACAGCCGACCCTGTTCCTTCCACCGAAGACGGACAATTTCAACCCTCTTTGATCGCAGATGAACTCTACACTCAGAGGGCCAATATAACTTTAGAATGCCAACCTGGAAACGAGCTAGAGAGCATGTTCATCTCAAAAGCGGCCAGCGGTAGCCCTTCTTTATCCGACGACCTCAAGTCCTTGACAGCAAGCGACATTCGCGCTCGTTACGCCTCATTGCCCACAGAACCTAGCACGAAGCCCGATCATTCCAAAAATATCGAGTACTCAAGCTCCGAAGATCATATTGGAGAGTACATCTTAAAGACACAAAATACCTCTACCCCCAGCGCCCAACAAGATTCATCTCCTGCCTATCGTATCCTAACATACGACTCCGTTATTTCCCAAGTCACAACTGCCGAATCTGACTCGTTCTTCGGTGTGAATGAAACCACCCCCCTAGCTGAAGTTCTCTCCCGTCTCCAGAACCCCGCCAGGTTCGTCCCATACTTCGACCAAATGCAACGCGACGGATACGAAATAGCCACAGGAGGTGGTGACATCCTGGTATTCAGAAAGCTCGGTAAATCAGCAGCAGAGCAGGATTCTCCCGTCCACGCCGATGTCGCAAAGTTCCTTCGTCACGATGCCTACCCCGTCTCCACCAATGCTGGCTCCTCGCGGCCGTCTTCCACCAACCAGGTGAGTAGACAGTGAAGCTGCTTCCGCCTCGCCATCCTAACTAGTCGACTTCACAGCCCCCCTCTGCAAACCGGTCGAGCATCGAAGGCTCGTCTTCAAATTCGGGTTCAAGTTCATCCACCGGCAAAACTCTCCGTCGAATTATCCTCACTGGAACCGCTACCGCGGCATCTTGCTATGCAATTGGAGTCGTCGTCGAGTATTTCCGATCTGGTGGGAAAGACGGTTGGGGCATTGACGCGTTCACTGTTTTTGAATCAGACCGGCTACATCGAGAGTAAACGATGCTGTGTGTCGTTTCTATCTGTTCTATCTCCTGATTTGAATATCGGCTCTTCTTTTCTTTCTACTTGGGACAGGAATTGCGATGCGGGCTTCACAATTCCACTCTTTTATATACCCATATTCTCCCCTTTCTGTTACTAGCGAGCTATCCTTCATATCATGACATATCCAAGAATCATATAAGAATCATATAAGAATTTAGATTGATAAATTGAAAATTGAAAATAAATTCAATCCCTCATTATAGCGAGAGCTTAGATTGACATAATTTCCCAAATCCTCCATAGATAATTCCACCTTCCACATGCCAAATTGAACCTATTCCGACATATCAAAAATCAAAAATCAAGAAACGAACAAAAAAAGTAAAATAAATCGCCATAGACCCCGTTAGATATCCCCAAGCACGTCACTTACCTACTGCATTCTTGCCCTTTCTTAACCCCAAATATGTGGGGTTCAATAACTGTCCCGGTCACTTTCAGAGTACTTCCTCATCTGGATCCTGGATAGGATGTTGCTCAAACACATTCTGTAACCCTCCACACTTGGCCTCGCCACCGAGCAAGTAGATGAGCAATGCCATGATCATCTTGACTGCAGCCTTAAAGTCCTCCTCATCCATAAATCGTATTCCTTCGACGCCATCACACGGAAAACTCTCGTCTCGGGCTCATTATCGCCATTATCGCGACTTCGTAGCTCCAACTCCGCAAGCTGACGACGGACACGCTCTGTCTCGTCTTCAGTCCTTTGCGTTGATCTTTTCATTTGCGTATGGGCCCTTCTTGTGGCAATAGCCCTTGCGATAAAAGAAATGACGCCTATATTTCTACTACTGAACCTTCGGCGTGGGTTACCTTTAATATAATAGTGATATAGAGTCATTGGGTCTGTGGAGAGCCTTTCAATATGTTTGCAATAGATCATGATGATGATGCAGTAAGGCTTGCCTGCTATACAAAATTGAGAATATACACAAAGAGTTCATGGCTCCCAAGACTGGTGCAGCACAAAGGATTTCTTACAAGTAAAATAAATCCATCTCCCTAGTGAGAATGGGAAAGATGGATCCATGTCAGCCAGAAGATTGTGTACTAGTAGATAGATGTGCCAGTGATGCCTAGGCATTTCAGGAATAAATCCAAGAGATTCAAGTTGGTCAAAGCCCGCGGGAGTAGTACCTACGTAGATAGGCAGGCTTTTTGGCTTAATGGGACTATGGAATCATGCAACAAACATGATAATTCAAATTAGGTACCCGTGGAAAAGCTCCGGGGATAAATTCTTGAGTATATTCGAAGTATGGGGTTTCATTGACATTCTTCAATACTGCCATTACATAGACTCGGTGAGTACATAGTACATAGTACTACTATGCAGTGGACAAAGTTCCGGCGCCCATGATAAAACATATTAAGGCCCTCTGTAACACCACATCCATGCATACATTAGATGTGATTATGCGGATGTAGGTACCCGTAAAGCAGTCGAGATAGTACATGTACGTGCATAACCGTGAAAATACTTATCCGATGAACGCATACGAACGCATACATATATTTCCCCTGCACAACCTTATAAAGAAAGTACCTATGAACCTCCAGCCTGAGATTAGGTAGCCCTAATATCTTGGGTCGTCATCTTTGCCACATATGTGGAGTACACGTACGCTGTACGCAACCAACTACGAAACATATCAACAAAAATGTTCTAGAATATCTTCCCCTCAATCCCCAGCCCTAACCACACAAACCTCGTTCTAGACCTCCATAAGGAGAATGACGCAGAGTGGCTGGGCCTAACGGTCAGTATCCACGTACTCCAGGACCGTACCACCAGTAGGGTAGAGCATCCACAGCATTGCACGAAAAACCGTGATCCCTTGCGTTCACAATGTTCCAGACCAGAAGCGACAGCACCACATTCTCCACCTGAGACGTGTCTAGACCGGCAGACCACCTGATCTCCACCAGTGAGAACTCTACAGTGTGCTTAGGTAACACACCAACCACCAGTCAAAGCTAGACCTAAATTGATCATGGGTGGCGGGTGGGGCCGACAGCTGGCAGAGGCTCAGGAACAGGCCTAGCGCCAGCCTTGCACCGTGGTTCTTTTGATGATCGTGGATTCTGCGTAATTTTGAAAATTTGGGGAGGGAAGTATGGATGAACAGGGATCGTTGATTTTTATCTTCTTCTGTTTCTTCGAAGTTGAATTTGTGAGTATAAGCATAGCCCGGCTTCATGCATGATGATGTTTACGAGGTGGAGTGCATGCGCGGGATTGGGGTCGGGTTAGACAAAGAATGGTGGCTTGTATGTACGGACTCCGAAGTCTATATTTAACCACGGCCATTGACCAGATTTTGGTATATAGTCCGTGCTAATAGGGATCTATATTGGTGACAAAGGATAGACTATTGATGAGATTAGTGATAAATGCTCTTTTTGAGGCTCGGAGATATGTCCATTTTCTCTTGCGGACGAAAGAAGGCGGCAGATATGTGGTATTCCATGGGCTTCGAGAGAAAGCGACCGTGATAACTTGCGAGAATCCTGGAGCCCCTCTTCCCACAAGCAGGTTGAACTGCAGCAAGAATGTAGAAATGACGCGCTTTGCCAGATGCGGGCAATATGAGCTCCTTCATTCCGATCAGCTCATGGCCCCCAGGACACGTGGGAGTTGAAGGTCTTGTCCATCTTTCGTGATCTTTTATCTTTGTTTTCTTGCGATCTGCGATCGCACGGTGTTTCCACCCAAACGATCGTCGAAAGGTGGTCTGTGATATTGATCCTGCCCACCTGGTGGATAAACGTACATCTGTATGCGCCCTATCTTTGGAGAGAGGTTCATCCAAACATGAAAGGGAGAACCAACATCTAGAAATCGGTAGAAGAAAAACCTAATAAAGACACCACATGAGTGCCATGACGTAGGTATTCTCTTTGAGATAAAATTCCAACCAAAAAAAAGATCCTTGTTGATTATCAGCCAACATGAATAGAAACGGGTATGTAGGGTAAAGGGGGTCCGGCCCCGGAGAACAAACAAGAAAGAACCTAACTTAGAATCAGCATGTCGCTAAAGGACACAAGGCAGAGGGCCCCGTCAGGCTCACAGGCTTCGGAGCAACTAGTGCCAAACAAACCCACGATGATTCGATCTTTTTGTTGATCGATTACCGGAACGAGCGTAGAGAAGAGTGAAGGCCTCCTCAGGCGCAAGCCACTAGCCCCTCATCAGGTAAAGTGGCCCCGCGGCATGTTATTAGTGTGCCTGAGTGAAATCCCCGTGTATCATGTCGGAGCGGGAAGGACCATGGTCCCGCTTTAATTGTGTGAACACGCACTACGTCCACTATGTCCACGACTAGGAACACCCTGGTCTGTTTTTCTCCACTGTTAACGACGCCGTCGGTCTGGGCCAAGCAACGGACTAAACCTTCGTGTGGCAAAACCAGGTTGGATGAAATGAGTTTGATTAGGATGTGCGTTCTTGGCATGAAAAATCCCTGAACTGGCGATAGCTTCGGAGGAAGAAAAGGCTGCGAGTCAGAATCTGTTCCTTGAGAGAGGACCCTGAATGCAAATCTAAAGATACGAGATTGTTGCAGATTGTATCAGGTTGCGAATGGCCTTTGAGGATTTCTCATTCTCTTGTTCCACTGGTACTAGCTAATTACGGGATGTAGTTCATTCATTTGGTATTCATTTGGCTCCCTCTTGCCCCTAATGACAATTTTGAACATGAGCTGCTCATTTCACTTGTATCATAGAAGCACCGACCATGGAGGTAGGCTGAGCCAAGTTGTACAAAACGATGGAACGGGGTGCAGCTAAGCGAAAGCTCCGAGCGTATCCGTCGTCGATCTCGACCAGATAGAGATTCAATGATTGAATGTCCAAGCTTGCGTGCTCGTACTTCGGATGGAGTGATTCGCACCTATCTCCTCCTCATCACGGACGAGGCAGGCATTGTTGCGCGAGGATGGTATCAGTACCTGAAGAGTGTATTCATTCCGGATTCCTGCATTAGTGTGCAGCGAGCGTAATCCCCCGGAAGAAAAAGGGGTAAATGCAGGAGAGGTAGCACTTGATGAAGGTATAGGCACACCACACTTGATCTGGATGTGATGTCTTTCGTAGTTGAGTCAGTCTCAGAACCTGTATAGTGATGTTAGTTCATTGTCAGGCCAGCAATAAAGTCTCAGATGGAAAACCAACCCATCCCAAAATTGTAACCACCCACACAATCTCTCAAGTGGAGCAAGACGTGGATCCCCTGAAGTGCGTGTGGATAGTTTAAAGGAGTGAAACTCATTTCCCATCCAAGGTTAATTTACGGTTGTTTACGGTAAGATTACGGTAATCTGGGTCCTTGTTGACCACACGTGTGCCGCCCCCATTTCGACTCTTTCCGCCCCTAATTCGATCTCAGTCGAGAGACTCTTCTGCTCCTTAATCATTCACCTCTATTCACTCATTTCTGTTCTTCTTCAGCTTTTTGCGTCGTCTCGACACGACTATCGGCACTTTGGACCTGGGTCAAGCCAATCCTGCTTCCCCTTGCATTATCCCACGGTCGCCGCTTAGCTTCTTTGTTATCCCATCTCGCTCGCCTCCAGTAGGCCGTCGCTCGCTCCTTACAGCTACCCAGCCCACATTCGCTTTTGCTGCTTTTCGGCCGTTTCACATTTGAACGACCCCTTCCATTCGTTTTATCCCGTTGATCGCCTGTTCTATTCGATCGGTTCCACTCGATTTTCGGTTGCCCGTCGTGACGCCGAACATCTTTCGTCTTTAATTGAAGAAAGGAAAAAAGGAGAAAGGCCAATCGCCGACTCGTGCGATCGTGTAAAGAAACACCAGCAATTCGACCGACTTCATTGCAGGATATTTTTCGTGACAAGGCTTCGGCGCCAATCTTCCCCTGAGGTGTTGACAGACGAGTTTTGATTGCTCGTGCTGTACCCTCGAGACGCTTTTACTTCAACCTTTAAACCAGGAACATCAATCGAAATGCGCTCTGCCGCTCTGTCCGTTTTCGGCGCTTTGTCCCTCGGGGCTTTCGTGGCTGCTCAGGAAGTTGTTGAGGATACCGATGCGGCTCATGTTGAACGACCACGCTACTACTTCCCCCGCGAGGTTAAGCGTAATTACATTCGAAACAACAGCAACCCCGATTCCAACACTGATTCCAACCCAATTCAATCGTGGCTCGACAGTTTGACCGAGGATGTTGCCGGAACCCCAACCACGACTTCGACTTCCGAGGCTGCTGCTAACACCGGAAAGCATGTGGTTGTTGTGATTTCCATTGATAGTGAAGGACACCGCCATACCATCACCACTGAGACTCGTGCTGAGGCCCAGCCAACCAACAAGGAGTCCACCACCACCGCGGTTGACGATACCAACACGAAGGCTACCACTAACACGAAGGATTCCACTCCCGCCACCACCACAGCCACTCCAACCACTACTTCTGCATCCGGAAACATTATCGGTAATGCTGTCAGCGGTGTCGAGAGCGATCTTTCGAACATCCTTGGTGGTGGAAGCACCACTACCTCGGCCACCGCTACGATCACGGGCGCATCCAGCCCTGCATCCAGCGTTGCTATCACCGATAGCAGCGCCTCAGCTACCGCGACAACGACTTCAAAGTCTGGAAACCTTCTCAGTGACGTGAGCAGCGATCTGTCAAATCTCCTTGGAGGTGGCACCAGCACTGGCCGAACCAACGGTACCACCACTGGAACTCCCAGCACCACTAACAGCCTGGGTCTCACCATCCCCGTTAGTGTGCCTGTTTCCAGCCCCACTTCCACCGCCAGCGGTGATGCGCTCTCTAGCATCCTGGGCGGTGCTTCGACAGCACTCACTGGCCTCACTGGTTCTGATGCCAATGGCACCTCAACCAGTGGCCTTGGTGGTGTCCCTACACCCCAGGCCAGTCAGACTCAGAAGTCCGGTACCCCCAGCGGCAGCTCTGGCTCTCCCTCCGGAGCTACTGGCTCCATTCCTGTTCCTCACTCACCTAGTGCTGGCAGCACTGGCACTGGTAAGGCTAGTGGACCAGGATCCGTCCCTACTCCCACCGGAACTCAGACTCCCAAGGTCTCGACCGCTACTGCGACTCCTACTTCCACCTCTAAGCCTGAGCCTGAGACCACGACTTCTCATCCCGAGCCTAAGCCTACTACCACCGCTACTAGCCACCCTCAGCCCGCTGAGAACACCTCGACCGATACTAGCGACTGGATGCCTTCCAGCATTTTGATCCAGCCTACTCTCACCCAGCAGCCCACTACTGCTGAGACCGGAACTACTACTGCCACTTCTGCTCCTAGCCTGCCTGATTCCATCACCCCCTCCAACAGTGGTAGCGAGCCCCCTGCCGACTCTACTCTGCTTCAGATTGGTTTCGACGGTAGCTTGCCCTGGTCCTTTGTTGCCTCCAAGGCTCTGTCGTCGTCTCAGATCTTTGAGTTCATTCCTCAGGCCCTGGCTCACGCTCTCCCCTACTGGGGTAGCAAGGCCGAGATGTATGCTCTTGAGCCTTACTATAACTGGCAGAAGACTGGCTACAACGCCACCATTGCCGTCTTCTACTTCCCTAACGAAGGTTTCAAGAAGCTGCAGGAGCAGAAGAACAACCCTAACTCTGCTCTCTACACCGAGGCCCAGAGTGAGACTGTCAAGGCTTTGATGACCATGGTTGATTCCACCATTCCTCTCGTCTACACTGGCAGTTGGCCAAGTGATGACAACGATGGTTCTTCTGGTTCCACCAGCGGAAATGGCGGCGACAGCGACAGCGACAGCGGCAATGGTGACAGTGGAAACACCGACGACGGCTCTTCCAACAGCAGCAAGAGTAGCGCCAGCTCTGCTGGTATTGCTTGTGGTGCTGTCGCTGGTGCCGCCGCCTATGGTGCCGGTATGTTCTGGGTCGCTCGTCGTTACCGCAAGAAGAAGCAACTGCACCAGCGCTCCAGCTCTACTGCTGAGCAGATGAGCCAGGGTGGATCCAACTCCGGCTCTATTTTTGGTGCCGGTAACCGTGTTTCTGGCAGCCAACGCTCCCAGATGATCAGTGCCCCTGTTATGGCTGAGAACTCTCTGGGCTGGAACTAGACGGGATTCCTTTACAAAACATTAAAAAATATACATATCAACATGGATAGACCAGATCCTACCTGTCTTGAGTCCATTCCAACCTTCGACCGAGAAGATGCTCCAAATCCTTGATGTTCGGCGTCTCGCCCGCTGAAAAGATGAACAGCAAATCTACAGCGATGAAGGCTGGGAAGGATGAGAGCTTGCACAAAACTCTTTTTATCTTTTTCATTGTTCATCCCCTCCAAGGATACACTATGTCATATATAACGTATCTTCCCACTGTGAATTTTTCATTGGCCACATTTATCTCATTTTCATTTTCATATTCTTCTGATACTCCGAGCGACGTCAAGTCACTGCCGGCGCTACATGTGTCATTTCATTCCCAATTATTTCCTTTGAAATATTCCCCATTCTGTTCTACCATACCCTTTTCATTTTCTTTCTATCTCTTTTTCTTTCCGACGGCATTCCGACAAGTGAACGAGACGATCAATCTTGATACCTGCCTTTGTGTCCTTGGTACGAAAAGAATCCTACTTTTTTACTGGTCATACTATGTTTGAACTTTTGCACATCCTTAATGGTCTGGGTGGCCACCATCCTTGATGAGCCGACGCTAGTTTCCCAATTTCCTTACCTCTCTCTCTCCACCACGTTGGATATTTGAATCATTGTTTTTAAACTGCTTTTTTTGTTTTTGTTTCTGTACAGTTGTATAGGGCGGGTAGTTGCTGCTAAGAAGCAGCGAATGAGAGGTGTAGAACTCCTACTTTAAAATCTTGGCCACACCTTCCTGTAAACCGCTTCGAGTAAGATAGTCTTGGAGTTTACGGTTTTGTAGAACCTTCGGTGTAGTTGGAGGTAATTGTAGACAAAATAGGGACATTTGGATGAGCCCATGCAAGTGACCGATAGCATCAATATCCGATGACAACTTGAGCTATCCTTCCAGATCCCAAGTACAAATAACAACACATCACACCATGACACATACAAATGAAGAGGTTGATACCACACGATGTGGTTTGAGGGTTGACAGGAGCTTGAAGTTGGAACGAGAAGTTTGGGCTACTTAGGTATACTATGTAATGTCTACGTATCTATCCGGTCACTTCGAGCGTTCCTCCATATTCTGCCCAGGTATCCTCCTTCAACTTGATAATTTCTCTCACTATTAATTTTCCAATTCTCTAGTACTCTAATCTTTACGAAGATCCTACCATCAACTCTCCGTTCATCCATCCAGAATACATCATGGACTTTGGTCGAATCTTTCTCCCTTGGGTCACTGGGATATTCCTTGCAATATCTCTCGTTTTTGCAATAAGATCCGGCTTTAAGCTTTTTGAATACACCATGAAGAGACGACGCGGTGCAAACCAAAAGTCGGATATAGATACCGGGCCTAAACAAGTTGAAAGCGATATACCTGAGCCTCCGTACGAAATTGCCAACCGCGACTGTGTGCCGGTCATTACATCCAAAACCACGCCTGGGCATGCTCTCTCTGATATGGATCGGGACGTCAAGCTCTCCACTACGTATTTTGTGGGATTAACAGACATTGAAGTTGGAATACGATAGAAATAGATACATTGTCTATTGGGGATTTGGTGTTTGCGGATTCTTGTTCCTGTCGACCGTGTTTCGTCCGGTCTATAGAGCGTCGTCAGAGTATGCGAGTAAGCCAAGGTTGAACTGGAGGGTGCTTAATTATTGCAAGGACAATGGTATCGATTTACCTGGGAGAGATTGTTTTGTTTTGGCTTATGTGCTGATTTCAAATCCTATCTGTTGAAGTTTAGGTCTAGTGAAACGCTTCCAGGTGTAATGCCTAGTACTGTATAGATCTATGAGGAGAATGAAAAGCAACGAGAATATCCCTATTATCCCGGTATCATATGCCATGGTTTCATGTTTGTATCTTCCCACAAGCGCTCATCTATCGGAAGTCAGGACCGAACCTAGGTGGTAAAAAAAAATAAGGATATCAATGAAAAATAAAGAAAGCTAAGAGAGCGGCGAATGCTTATATACAAATAGACAGGAGAGAGGTCAGCCTGCAAAAGGAAGCGAAGGTAGGAGATAGTATATCCAAAATCGACGCCGTCCCAATAGATCCAGGGGGGAGGGGTTTAATCTTTTTTCGACTTGTCGTTAAACCACGATGTGAGTCTGCTCCACTTTGACGAATCCCCAACCTGCTGTTCCCGACGAAGCTCACGGACCTTTTCGCGTTCAGTTTTGTATTCTTCCCAGGAAAGCTGCGCCGCAGCTGTTGTCACTGGGCTCTCCCCGCTGGCACTGCCACTGCCACGAGCATGAGCATGAGGCGGCAATGGACGAACAGCATCTTCGCCGCCGTACACGCGAAGTGCAGTGCCGAATGCCCAGTCAACAGCCTCTTCAACAGGGTGATCGAAAATGTATGGAAGGAAGGGAACGACAGAGAGACCGAGCTATTGCAGGCAGAGGTCAGTATGAATGAGTCATGAAGAAATAAGACTGGGAACAAATCAACATACACCAATGGGAGTCCAGGTACGGAAAAGGTTAGGCTTGCCGCCCTTCAGCATGCGCCCAGAGTACTTGACCACGCTGTGAATAGTAAGTGCGGGCAAACCCATACTGGCGATACTTTGGAAAATAGCGCGTTTGGCCATGACCATACGATAATCCTCCGCCAGCGAAATTTCAGTTGTAGACCAGGGCTCCAGGTCCTTGGAGCCATTCAGCGGGCGAGAAAGGTTTCCAGTCGCCATACCCTGAATGATCTGTGTTTGTGGGACATCGCTGGCGTCCTTGTAGGCTTCGCCGGGTGAGACGAGTGCGCGACGGTTTCGGAGATAAGCCTTGTAGCCTTCGTGACTCACGTCGCCGATGAGGTAGGCCCAGGAGATGCCGTAGGCGGATCGAATAAGCCAAGGGTGCGCGACAGGGCGAAACGACTCGCCTATGTCTGATGTGTAGGCGACATAACGGTGGGCAGAGAGTAGTATTGTGCGAACGCGGCTACCGTAAGCCGCATAACGGTATGCGGTGTCGGTTGAGTCGACGGAGCTAGAATCGGAAGAAGAGCTCATGGTTAGTGTATCGTCTTTTGTACTCGTTGGTATAACTTGAGATTTGTGCAGCTGGAGTTCTTTGCGATGATGTCTTTAGTGGAGCATGTCATTGACAGCCCACGAGCAAGGAAGTGGAGTCGGGGCCCATCGATTCGACACCCGATTTGATCACCCAGGCAAAAGACCGGACGGAAGTAGGGGCACGTAGAACCAAACACCAGGAATGATGAAACTGCAAATGAAGCTTCGAGATTGACTTACTATGGAGCGTAATCATCTTCGTAGGAATCATCCTGGTCAACTAGCTCTTGTAATTGCGCAGGGAGCTTTGCAGGCTTCACATTCGAACCGTCTGCGGGCGGAGAAGCAGGAGCCTCGTCCTTTTGACCATTACCACTCCATTTATTCCAGCCCATTTTGCAGTTTGCGACGTAATGAAGTATGTTTCCCTGATGGCTAAAAATGGAATCAAAAGACTGAAGAACTGCACCAGGAAGTAATGACGGTGTTCAAAGCAGGCTTGAATCGCGAGAGAGAAATCAAAAATCGACCAAGCGCAAATGAGAGACAAAACATTCGAAACCTAGCTGCAGCCTGTGGGCCTAACTTATACTACCTTAACCGTATGCCGTACAAGCCACCCGAACAAGAATAACGATAGCCGGGGTATACAAGTTTGACCATGGAATAGTTTACACTTTCCGCCGAGGTTCCGCGGAGGAGTTTCCTTGTTGCTGGGGAGGATTTATGGGTAAACAAAGAGCTATTCACTGTTTCAAGACTGGGGAACGTATGGTATTCGTTCAGTTTTCTTTCTGAAATGATCCATATTAAGGTTTTTGCATTTAATTCACTTCTCTGGGCAATAAACTGTATAATTTCCATCGGGAAATGATGCTCGAGCCCAAATGATTTACCCGACTCGGTCACATGATGTCGGACTATACCGGCAGATCACATGATATAGAAGCTGCTAAGTCATCATTATAGGCTAAACCGAATAAGGAAAGGCGGTCTCGGAGCCAACTTCGTCTCTGTCAAGCCTGAGGATTCCGCTTCCACATCCGTTGCATTTGATCTTCAGCTCCTCTCCCATCTCACTCACTCAAGATGGTCGTCTACTACCAGATTGCCGGCAAGAAGGTCGGCTCCCACGTCGTAAGTGGTCGACCCCAACCTACTTTCGCCGTCGCGACCCCTCGTCGCCTATCCCTTTTTATGTCCAGTTCGCGGCTACCACTGGAACCCTCAATAAGCTAACAGAACGTCTTTCTCTCAAACAGCTTGCCATGGCCACCCTTGGCACGATGTTCGCTGGCGCCTGGGCTGCTACCGGTAGCAGCGCCAAGCCTAAGACCGCTGCTGGTCCCCCCATCAACGCCTCATCCAAGGAGGAGGGTGACTTCATCCAGTATGTTATATCGACCTTTCGCTCCAATTAAGCATTCAGTTGGTTGAGACAGCTGCAACTAATTGCAACTAATTGCTGGAAATACTGGATACTTCAAGGAAAGAACTTGAGGCTAACAGCTTGCTCAATAGGAACTTCCTGAAGGAGGTCGATGGAGGCGACAAGAAGCCCGCTTCTGGCCACTAAACCTTCCTTGCCTGAATGCGGATGTTAACGATACGCCGGCCCGATTATGATACCGCGTGATATATGAAGTCGAGTCGCCCGTGTTTGTCGCTTTCCGTTACACCGTTGCATCAAGACGTGTCGGTCTTGGAAAATTCACTGAGAAAATCGGACGGACTGACCGTGGAAGTTGATGGATGGATTGCCATGAATCTGTACATAACAGGAGTGTACGCTGCATAGAAGAATTATTCCTTCTTCCCATTCTCAACCTTACCTTTGCCTTTACGCATTTTTCGGATGTGAAAGCTTCGCAATTAGTCAAGATGTTCCATGGATTGATAATACAATACCCGCGGGTGTCTGTTTTTCTTGACATCTCATCTTGCGAAGATAGCACCTTAGTTTTGCTATGCCCTTAGCTTGCAGTGGTATATCAAAGCTTATAGTTGTCTAACGTAGGTTACGATGCGTCAGCGTAGCACCACCGTAAAACTGGCGGCAATGCCATTAGTAGCACCACAGAGACACAACCCGTTCTATCTAATTACACACTAAACCCATTTGTAGCAATTGTGCCAGCGATGTGAAGTTATGCTACTACCCCACTGCGATAAAGTTGGCACGTTTCCCAATCCGAGCTTCCGACTTCTATCCGCACTTCCACTTCCACCAGCTAGCTCCGAATCTCCCTACATACCCTGGAGAGTCTCACCACACCTCCCACCAACCCAATCCAAAATGATACCCTTCCCAGTCGCCATACACCTCGGCACGGACATAGTCCACCTCCCACGAATAACCGCCCTCCTCTCCCGCCGCGGAAACAACCTTTCACGCTTCACGCGCCGAATCCTCTGCGACCAAGAACAGCGCGACTTCCATCAGCGCTTCAAAGACTCAATCGCCCTCCAATCGCAATCACAATCCAAACCTTCCATATCTATACACTCCCCACCCGTTACAGCCGATATGACACGCTGGCTCGCTGGTCGCTTTGCAGCGAAAGAGGCCGCACGCAAAGCCGCGCCGTGCGGGGCAGCTTCGATTGGATGGAAAGACGTTATGGTTCGGGTTCAGGAGGAGTCGGATATGAATCCGGCTGCGGGTGAAGATGCTGTAAGGGCTGCGATGGCAGAGGGTGTTAGTCGGAGGCCGGAGATTGTGTATTTGGGGACTATGGAGGATGGGAGTGATAGTCGGATCGGGCGGCTTTCTATCTCGCATGATGGGGACTATGTCACTGCGACTGTTTTGGCGGCGGGTTGAATGGGTTTATCGGTTTTATTGACTGATTTGTCTATTCTATCCGACTGGTTCTTGTGCGTCCGTTGACTTCGGTCTGATGCGACGTGCACAGTACGCTCTGCCATATTGCACCGGGTTTGAGCCTAAGCCTGAGCCTAGGGGTTCAGCTTCCCCCCTCCCCGGCGTCAAGTCGTGGGTTAAATCGTTACAGTGATAATGATTGAGGTGCATGCAAGCATGACCTTGGACGCATACTATACTCCTGGCCGATACCTGTCTAGGTCTACTGTACAAAGGGCATCAGATGGGTGCCAGGTATGGTTTTGTTGGACACACTATCTATGATGCCCAGTTCGCCATATATTATAATATAAAACCTCCTTTACAATTTTAAGAATGCCTATCCCAATCGTAGAAATTAATATGTAGAGTGAAGCAAACCAGTGCAACGTCTTGTACCTCTTAGGATTAGTGCAGGCCCGGAAATACTTATCGGGACCCCGGGGGCCACTATCAACATCTTGTTCCTTTTGAATCTGCCTAGACCTTCACATCTATCCCACCATACTCCCTGACCTCTCAGTACAGAGTAAGGAAGAATCTGGCCTTCAATTTCGAGCCAGAGATCTTTAGCTTCTTTACCTCTCACCCTGAACATACATCTGTGCAGCCAGACCTCTCAAGTCCACGAACATACTCAACCAAGCCCAAGACCACAGCAAGCATGCCATTCTCTCACCACAGCCACTCAGGCCAGTTCTGCCCCGGCCACGCGCAGAACTCACTAGAAGAAGTCATTCAAACAGCCATCAGCAAGAAAATGGAAGTCTTCTGCCTAACAGAGCACATGCCCCGCCATAAAGAAGACTTTTATCCCGAAGAAATCGAAGCCGGCCAAACAGAAGCCTGGCATGAAACCAACGAAGCAGCCTACTTCGAGGAAGCACAGAAACTGCGCACAAAATATGCGTCTCAGATCCAGATTATCATCGGTTTCGAATGCGATTGGATCAGACCCGAGTCTAAAGATTTAATCGATCGTTCATTGAGTCGGTTTCCGTTTGAGTTTTTCATCGGCTCTGTTCACCATATGCATACTGTGCCTATCGATTTTGATAGGCCTATGTATGAACAGGCAAGGGAACTTGCTGGTGGGAGTGATGAGAGACTCTTCAAAGACTATTTTGATGCGCAGCTTGATATGTTAACGCAATTGAAGCCGTTGGTTGTGGGTCATTTTGATCTTATTCGACTTAAGAGTGATGATATGGAACGGAGCTTTACGACATGGCCTGGTGTTTGGAGTCGGATTTTGAGGAATTTGGACTTTATTGCTTCTTATGGTGGTATGCTGGAATTGAATGGGGCGGCATTGAGGAAGGGCATGAGTGAGCCGTATCCCAAGGGGGAGATTTGCAAGGTATGCTCTAACTCATCGGCTTTGCGATATTATATTCGTTAAGATTATACGCTAACCAAGTTACTTTATTAGGAGTTCATGGCGCGTGGGGGTCGCTTCTGTCTTTCCGATGACAGCCATGGAGTTGATCAGGTTAGTCTCAACTTCCATCGAGTACTGGAGTTCTTGGATCGCACGGGCATCACACAACTACACTACCTGCAGGTAGCGGAGTCGTCGGAATCCTTCACAGCATCCGATGCACGGTTCCCACGTACAAAGATCTCATCAGTCTCGTTGGAAGAGGTAAAACAGATGCCATTCTGGGGGGATCTATAGCTCATCTATTGAAAATGCAACACGTAACGATCTCCGTCCAGAATATAGAAGCCCTGGAGTTCACATTAGAACTACAATACCATCCCTCCCTATAAGATCTACGAAATATAACCGGGTTCCTATGCATGCACGAACCCTCTAGAACCCCAATAGACTCCCGCCATTGAGCGCTATGAAAGATCATCCTCCACCCACCCGAAACATACCGCCACGTTCTAGTGAGGGGCATGGAGTGGTATAGCGATAACACTCAAACCCCTGTCTAGCGCCACGCTGACTGGGAGGCGCAAATCGGAACAATTCTCCTAGCCCATGTAGCCTGCTAAAAGGGCTATAATTTCGACCAGGGTCTGAGAGTGCTTTTACAGTCACATATTCTCCAATTTACTCGCTCTGTAAAGCTATTTTGGTACGGTTTCTACCGTTTGTTCTTATCTTGGGGGGTACCCTTATTGATAACCTTTAAAAACACATTTATGATCTTCGTGCGCCATAATCAGTATTAGAGTTCGTACTTAAGTGGACCACTTCTGTGGAGTGGCAGGATTGGAAGAGACCAGAAGAAAGGCAATGGGGAAACCTATCATATTGAGAGAGTGCGGCTATCCATTACGTCGAGGGCAAAACCCCCCACTTGGAGAATAAGCGGGTAAAGCTCGCGGTGCCCCTCCGTTTCCTTTTCCTGTTCTCTACCATCCACATCCACCTTTGTTCAAACTACATTCACAATGGGTTTCACTAAGACTACCTTGGAGCCTGGCAATGGCGTTGATTACGCCGTCAAGCGGTCTCAGATCAAGATGCACTACACCGGTTGCTTGTACGATGCGTCCCAGCCTAACGGCATGGGCAAGAAGTGAGTACACGAGCTTTACATTTTGAAAGCTGGAATCTACCAATATCATCCTCAATGCTAATCTACCTTTCTTTCATAGGTTCGACAGCTCCTACGACCGCCATTCTGCCCTCGCTAGCCCCATCGGTGTCGGTCGTCTCATCAAGGGTGCGTTTGCTATGTCCTTTCTGATATAAACAATTTTGTCCATCACCAGACACAAAAGAATCCCAGAACTTATGTTGAAGATCATAATTTGCTAATCACTCGAGTCGTATAGGTTGGGATGAGGGTGTCCCCGAGATGACTCTCGGCGAGAAGGCCGTCCTGGATATCACTCCGTAAGTCTCTTCTACTCCAATGACTCTCTCCTCTATTGGACTATGTACTGATAATTTCTTCTTCTTACTAGTGACTACGGTTACGGTGCCAAGTACGTGTCATGTTTTGTGTTTCTACGAATACTTCTCCCATTTGAATACTTCATCCCCCTCACGATACCCACATGAACAACACTACGTTATACAAAAACCGTGGCATACTAACGATTTGATAGTGGTTACCCTCCCGTCATCCCCCCTAACTCCCGCCTGGTCTTGTAAGTCGCGACTCATGGGTTTGCAAAGCTCATTGAAACCCATGCATCAAATTTGAGACTTGGCAGCTGACAATCTCTTCGCAGCGAGGTTTGGCTGGTCCAGGTCGGCACCAAGCTGGCCCCTGGTTACGATGGACGCTAAGTTCATTCGCAATATTTGGAAATATCCCATCATTTGAATCTATGCACTTGGGACCCATAGTGACCGAATAATCACTGTTCATACGATTGCAGAAAACAGGAACAAAACCCAAAAAATAGGAGATGAATTAAGATAAAAAGCTTTTCAATGAAGCTGTTTTTCGTCCCAAATATGGATTGGATACTAGGATCACTCGACGAGAGTTGTTTTTGCTTCGTAAAAGATTTCGTTAAAATTCACTCAAGTCTACGTGTCGGGGGAACGCTGGTAAATAATGGTGTGATGCAATGTTCGAATGCGCTCGTGAAACTAATAGAATGCATGTAAATCATAAGAAGTAGGCAGTAGGGAGCTGCTTAAACAATGCCTTTGATAGATAAATCTTTGTCCAATCTGGTTTTGCTACCTGCTCCCGATTCTTCTCCTCTTAATTTATGACACAATTTCACCTTGCAATACTGTTAATATAGTCGATTCCTTCAACTCGATAATCATCCGCCTCAACATAGCTCTGATTTCTTGGAAGACGGAAGACGAAGTTCTCAGTATGAGATGAAAAGCGAGTCCATTTTGGAATATTGAGTACTACATAGAGAAGGTTAAATTCACGGTTCAGAGCATCCAAGAAAAGATTTATTGATATCGTTGTACTTACTTCCGTGTCCATTCGGATCTAGATCAGCTGCAAAAGACGTCCACATCCGTGCAGCCATTTGGCCCAATGCTAACCGACCGGGTAGGTCTGCTCCTAAAGATGTGATGTTTTGCACGGGGTTGGCAAAGACGAAAGGAATCTGAAGAAGTCAGTAACAGGTTCAATAAAGTATACGGTGCTTATGTTTTCAAGTTTCAAATGCCCGTGTCATACCTCTGCAAAATGCTGGACTCCAATTGTTGTTGTATCATTCAAAGCCGCAACATCCCAGCGATACGAGTAAACGTGGTCCGTAAAAGTGGACATGGTATGGGCCAGTAGTCGACGTGGCGCCACCATGCATACATCTCCGGCTATAGACTCATAACGTTTGTATTCATACCCTAGTTTTGGCCAAGTAACATTGCCCCATCCATAAGGACAGCCAATGGCAGAGGTATTAGGGTAGTGGCTCAAAATATTGGTGGCTTCTTCTAAGGGGAGAACCCAGCGTTTTGAGGCTATCAATCAATCAATAATTAGAATCAGTGATGATGGCTTGAAAGTAAAGGGTGTAATCGGAACTAACAAATGAGTTGTTGAATAGCTTCTTCGTCCGTATTAACTCCAGTGGTTCCAAAGCTAGTACCTTCATCCGTGTTGGTGCCCAAAAGAATAGGAACCTGGGCAATTTTGCCTTCACGGTAGCTGATCTGGGGATACTGCGTAATGAACGCCTTGTCTATAGTGGCAAACCACTCTAGTCCTTCATACGCGCTGTCATAAAACGTAGTATACTGGAGATTTCGCAGGCATTCAAGGGTGTTTGTTGCATTCGAGCATCCAGCTCGGTCCACGATTCTGTTGTACATGGGCTGATGCCATTCAGTCCCATTGTATGGAGGCCCGATAGCATTCCCTGAGTCCATGATTGCTATATAAAACCAGTTAGTTGATAGTAGTCACCAGCTACAGGTAAGTTTCGCTTACCCGCTCTGAAGAGGCCCTCGTTATCTCCACCATTGGTAACCAAATGATCGCCTACGCTATATGCACCACTATTGACGTTGTCAGTTCAGGATCAGCTGTCACAGAAAAAATCCCAAAATGCTCACGCTGATTCACCCCAAATAGTGATCTTGTCGGTGTCGCCACCGAAAGCCTTGATATGCTGTTTCACCCAATGCATAGCAACACGCTGATCTCGCAGTGCCAGGTTTGTATTTCCTTCGGTCTGTAAAAATATCATAGTAAGTTATTGCAAGTCACTAAAACGTCATCTGCTTGAGCTTACCCGAACTTCGGACGAGTCCAGAAATCCAAAGGCAGCCATTCTATAGTTTATTGAGACTCCAAGTACCGGTTTACCGTTTTCTGCGCTTTGTTGGATGATATAACTCATGTTGTACCTAAATAAAGAAGATGATTAAACTTTCTTCCATCCTTTTCCTTCTTGTTCGGTTATTATCTCAATGAAGTATTGACAGACCTTGGATCTGCAGTGGCACCTTGCTGCCAGCCACCCCCGAATATCCAAAGCAACACTGGGAGCAACTCATTACTTTGCGTTGAAGGTTTAATCACATTGAGATTGAGACAGTCCTCGTTCAGTCGTATGAGGCCCATATCCACTAGTTCCGTAGTGTCTGATCCATAACCTGGACAATCATTCCCATATTCTGTCGCGTTATAATATACAGCGCTTGGCTTGGGCTTAAATCCTGCTGCACTCAAGTTATACGCCCCGGAGTCACGGTCGTTGGAAGCGTACTTAGTCTTCAATTTGGATGGTGTAAAGCGAACAGGCTCATCGGCAAATTTGATACCCAAAAACAAATCCTGATCAAACTGGGCAAGTTGGCGGCCAACAAATATGGTATCTGTGTTTGATAGTGTAGCTGTTGGTGGTTGACTGGAACGCGTCTCTTCAGCCAACACAACATGCAGACCGAAGAATCCAAAGATCAAGAAAAGCCATGCAGCGATGAATGGCATTTTCACATATAGCTTATCTCAAACCCCCTTTCTGAAGCAGTATAGCTGAATATTTAAGGGACATACAAGTTTCGCTTGAAGTATTATGAGTAGAAGTAGAGAAGAGAGAGAGAGGCCTTGAAGCGTCGATTGTGAAGGAGTTGACTTATACTAGTATATCAATTTTCTGCCCCCAATCGGAACAATAGGCACGGAAAAAATATTGAATGAGGCCCTGGAGTATGAGAATGCTTCTGCGGTGTGATCAATTTAAATTGATAAATTTAAATAAGGTTATCTTCCGAAATGCCCCCGGCTGGTGGATTTGAAGATTACTGTGGGGGAAGACTTCATGATGTTTTCCCCAACTTTTGTTGAACAGGCGCTTATAGGTGGAAAATTATTGGAACGAAACAAGAGTTTTCACCGGGGTGAGGGGATACAAATGCTGAAACACATGGATCGGTCTAAATACTGACAAGACCATATGTTCCTCCTAGGAAAGAGTTTCCCAGAGCCTGTAAACCCAAACGTCTCTACTATGTATCTTGAGACTTATGAGTTGGATTTCACAAGGCTTGTTTGCTCTGCACTATCGTGACTAGCTAGGAAGACAATCTTTCCCGAGAAAGGTATAGTCGTGATATTCATGCATATACAGCGCATCGCCGGCGCTAATTGCTGTGCCTATCAACCCCTCATCCATTTTTAGACACTCCATCGATTTCCATTATTTTCATGTATTATAAAAGTCTTAATTATTACTCTCTAGAATAGTTCATTCTAAGTATGGAGAAATTCAAAAAATGGCGAAAAGAACGCCGAGCGACCGCCAATGCGTCTAGACAAACATCCCAATCAGAACCGCCAACCCCACGCTATGAAACGGACCCTCCTCCGGAGCCTGTTCCAACACATGTCCACCGATTTGGAATCAAGGTTCTTCATGACTGCCCGGATCCGGTTGTTGATATCTGTTTCATTCATGGCTTGACTGGCGACCGTGATAAAACCTGGACCGCTATAGGACAAACCACGCCATGGCCGAAAACACTGCTCCCCTCAAAGCTCGACGGGCGAATATTGACTTACGGCTACAATGCGCATATTGCCCAAAAATCCGTCGCTTCGTCGAATCGCTTGATTGATCATGCCCAAAACCTTTTAGGTGATCTCACAGCAGACAGAGGCTTTTCCAATGCGTCTTCACGCCCACTCATATTTGTTGCTCATAGTCTGGGAGGTCTCGTTTGCAAAAAGACCATTCTCCTTTCTCAAAACTCTGCAGAACCTCATTCCCGCGAGATATTTAATTGCCTAAAAGGCGTGGTATTCATGGGTACCCCACACAGGGGAGCTTGGATGGCAGACTGGGCCAAGATTCCAGCGTCTGTATTCGGCATCGTCAAATCTACCAATGTTGTGCTTCTTGATATATTGCAAAGAGACAATCAGCTTTTGGATTCAATTCAAGTCGACTTTTTGACTATGATCAGAAGACTTAAAGAAGGTGGTAGAGGAATTCAGATCACATGCTTTTTCGAGGAGCTTCCCTTTCCTATTGTAGGAAAGGTGGTGACGCAGGAATCGGCAACACTTGATGGATATGAGATTTATAGCATATATGCAAATCATCGAGATATGGTCAGGTTTGGTTCGGAAGAGGACCCTGGGTTCAAGCGGTTGCTCTGGCAGCTTCATAATTGGACATCTCAAGTCGGTAAACAAAATTCGTTCGCATTGCTTTTCGATTGGCCACTAACTTTCTGTGCCAAAGATCAAAATTGTAAAACAGAAAAATATGTCTTAGATGCTGACGATCGAGCCTGTATACGAGATTTGCAGACGACTGATCCGCGAGACGATAAAACACGTATCGAAGCCACCAAAGGCGGCCTTTTGAGAGAATCATATCGCTGGATCTTCAACAATGATAAGTTTCTTGACTGGAAACTTCCTGAAAAGGGACCCAAACTACTCTGGATTGATGGTGATCCTGGCAAGGGGAAAACTATGTTGGTTTGCGGTATTCTAGATGAAATATCTCCTGACAGCGAAGGAGTCATCTGCTTCTTCTTCTGCCAGGCTACAGATACACGCTTGAACAGTGCGAGTGCTGTGTTGCAGGGACTACTTTCTATGTTGATTGAACAGGAACCCTCGCTTATCAGCCACGTTCGTGGGAGGTATGACGTCTCAGGCAAGCGGCTTTTTGATGGCCCCAACTCGTGGCAAGCTTTATCCAAGATATTTCTTGATGTGCTGGATCATATTGAAAGTGCTTGTCTCATAGTTGATGCACTCGATGAATGCACCACAGGACTATCCCAGCTTTTGGACTTTATCACCCAAGTGGCATCTACTCATACTCATATCAAGTGGATTGTTTCAAGTCGAGTCCGACCAGACATCAAGTCTTCTATGGATATGATACCGGCGAACAAAATTATTGAGCTAAAGTTGGATGACAAATGCATCTCCGATGCCGTCAAGATCTTTATCAAAAGAAAGGTGCAACAACTGGCAAAGCTTAAGAAGTACACCCAGCAGATCTTCGACGCTGTTTATTCTCATTTGATCCAAAACGCGCAAGACACATTTCTATGGGTGGCCTTGGTCTGTGAAAAATTGGGGCAAGTACCAAGATTAAAAACCATTGAGAGGCTTACAGCTTTTCCTTCCGGCCTTGATGCCCTGTATCGAGGAATGCTTCAGCAAGTCTGTGAGCAAGAAGATGCAGCTGTTTACAAGAGCATTTTAGCAACCATTGCCACATTGGAACGGCCAGTTTCTATTGCTGAACTTGTACCTTTCATTGATGTGCATTGTGATCTACTAGATGATGACTATGAATCCGTTGAGGAGATGATAGGGTACTGTGGCTCTTTTCTCAAGATTGTTCAGAAGACAATCTTCTTCGTCCACCAATCTGCAAAGGAATACTTACTGGAGAAGGGCGCCAACTACTTATTGCCCAATGGAGTTGCAAGTCAACATCGAATCCTATTCTTACAGTCCATCAAAGCCATACATGAGACTGTTAGGCGTGACAACTGGGGATTGAAATCTCCCGGTGTCTCTATTAATCATGCCCATGCCAGAAAACCCCATCCAGATCCCCTGGAAAGAGTAGGATACTCGTGTGTGCATTGGATCGATCATTTACTCTACTGTCAACTTGGGAGTCTGAATCAGGATAGCTTCAACGACGGAGGGAGGATAAGCGAATTCCTATCACAAAAATTTCTTCATTGGCTGGAGGCCTTGGGTCTTTTAGGGCAAATTCCAAAAGGGTTAGCCGCAATCCTCAAGCTGGAAAGTCTTCTCAACGTAAGTGACACGTTGTCTGAAATTGGCGTTTTCAAGGCTTATTTTATTTGTCTAGACTTCAATGACCCAGGACGCTTATCATCTAAGCAATCGTGTCCATGATGCCCGCCGGTTTATTCAATACTTTGGACTTGTGATCGAGGAAAATCCCTTACAAGTTTATTTTTCACCTCTGGTCTTCAGTCCTAGTCAAAGCATGACCAAGGTTACTTTTCAAGATGAGGCACCCGATTGGATTATCACAGAGCCAGGGGTGACTGCCTGGGGACCCTGTCTCCAAACATTGGAAGGGCATAACTACGGTATCAACTTTCTGAGCCAGTCCCCGGATAACTCACGCTATCTATCATCATCTATGGATGGTGCCATCAAGCTTTGGGACTTGAATACTGGTGGATGTACGTTGCAGTTGGATGGGCACCGCGAAGAAATTTCATCTGTTCTCTGGTCACAGGACGGATCATCTCTGGTCTCTGCATCTCATGACAAAACAATAAAGGTTTGGGATTTGTCCAGCGGAAAATGTACATCGACTCTCGAGGAGCATTCTGAATGGGTGACATCTCTTTCCTGGTCTCCTGATGGAAAAAACGTCATATCGGTGTCAGATGACGGGTCTGCTAAAATATGGGACCCAGCAAGCGGTTGCTGCACAAAGACTGTTGTCGGCGAAGCGGACGTAAAGCTTTCTGTCCTCTGGCCTTTGAGTGAGACAACCCGATTGATCACTGTAAAAAAAGATGATGAGATCAAAGTCATGGATTTAGCCACTGGGAAGTATATTGCCACCCTGGAAGAGTCCATCAAAGATATCGACTCCATAATGGGATTGGGAGACGGATTTCGCCTTATTTTGACAGCTTCACATAGTCGGCAGATCATGTGGAACTTTTCTACGGGAAACATAATCCCCCTTCACGAAGAAGGATTCAAATACAACTTGAGCCTGCGAAAGTTATCTTTCGACGAAAAGCAACTTGCATCATCAATTGGGTTCGACATCAGCATTTGGGATTTGTCCCTTGGTCAACGCATATCCACATTGTCTGGACATCTGGGAGTAGTACAATCAATGGTATGGTTCCATGACGGGAGGATAGCATCGTCTTCCTCTGAACGCGATATCAAAATATGGGATAGTTGCTCTGGTCAGTGCCTGTCAACTTTGAAGGGGCATCATGAATCTGTTCGGTCATTGCTTTTATCTCACGACGAGAGTCGACTCATTTCTGCTTCAATAGACAAGACTCTCAAAATATGGAATCTTGATCTACAAGAACGACATGAAGGATCTGACTGCGAAATAGATTCCGTTATCAAGTCACACGATGCAAGGTTTTTTGGCGTTGTGTCAGATCACTGGGTCAAAATCTTGGATTCGGCCACTGGAAAATGCGTCTCGATTTTCCAAGCAGGAGATGATTATATCCTACAAGCTTCCTGGTGTCAGAATGACTTGCTCGCAATTGCACTCAGAGACGATATGGTTATCAGATTGTGGAACCCCAACAACAACAAACTAGGGTTGGAGTTTACTTTCGATACTCAGGTTTCTCCCAAGTCAATATCTGGATCTCTCGATGGGAAACTTCTCTCCTCCATTTGTCACATGGGACCCAATAAAAATATTACTCAGATGTGGGATTCAATTACAGGTGAATGTTTATACAGTGCTTCGCTCGAGGCGGCTGAGACGAAGATGGTTGGGACAAACATAACATGGTCTCCCAATGGCAAACGGTTTGCTTCCGTATCAGTTGGTGAGCTCATAAATATCTGTGATGCGACCACGGGTCAGCTTGAGAGCCATCTACAAGGCCACCAGAATCCAGATAGACCCAAGAAGGCGTGGCAGGTAAACAAGCATGGTCTCATCCAGGATCCTTTCAGTGGTCAGTGGATTAGTGTGATGGGGTCTTACAGTATTTGGAATAAAATCGTACAGAATACGTTCCTGAGCTGGTCGATGGATGGTAAGTGGCTTGCTTCAGCGTCACTTCAAACGACTAAAATCTGGGACGCTGCAACTGGTCACTGCGTCCTTACGCTTGATATCGGGCGACATGCGGGCAAGATTGAGTTTTCGAGACTTGAACCTGGCTCTTTAGACACAAGCATTGGCTCCTTTGACCTTGATCCCTACCTTTCCACCCCTGCCCCCGCTGCTGGCCATTTGTTAGCTCGGCCACAGCCGCAGGGATACGGGCTGAGCGACGATTATACATGGATTACATGGTCTGGTGTTAACTTGCTATGGCTACCTCCAGACTATCGCCCAGACTCTTTCAAACAGACATCTATTCACGGGAATACGGTAGTCATTGGCTGCATGAAAGGCCAAGTTTTGGCATTGAAGTTCACCAGGGAAGGTCCCTTTTGAGAGCAATCTTAAGTACTTGTTGAATATATTTGAATAATGAGTGCCATTGAGACAAAATGTGTATATGTAAATTACCATACTAGACTGTTCTGTATACTGAGCCAGAGTCAGAGATATATTCAACAATTCCCTAATCTAAGAACCAGGGCCACCAAGCAACTCAAACAAAGGGGGTAGTGAAAATGCAACAGCAGAGAGAGAAAACAAAAGATGAAACACCAAGCCGCTCATGAGGGAACAAGAGATTTGAAGAAGTAAAAAAGGTAAAGGGAAAGGAATGCAAAATCCGTGGACCATCCAAAGAGCCCACATACAAAGACATTTCTATTATGTACTTGCTGAAGCTTCAAGCGACTTAATCGTCCTTGAATCTCTCGCCAGATGTACCGGAACCAGAGCCCGATACAGTTGCACGAGACCTGCTCGTTGCGGAGGCAGAGGCCGTGGGACGAAAAGATGAGGAAGATGAGGACTTGACGGGGTCTGGTCTTCGTGATGTCCCAAGAACGCTGGGAGATCTTCGACCTTCAGAAGCATCATCTAACTCAATTAGATCACCCATGCCCCATAAGCCTGAACTGCGGCCTCGGCCGGATGCTGGTGGTGTGGGGGAGCCTTGCATGTCGCTGAATCCAGTTTTTGCACGAGTCGCTACCTTGCGCATCCATCCTTCTAGTGCCCCGCCGATGTTTTCTAGTCCTGTTGAGGCGTTCGATGTAACTGTAGTTTCGGAGCCGAAAGAAGGCCTGCGAAGATCTTCTGACGGTGCTGGTGGTGCTAGCTGAGGCATGTGCTGAGAGAAGAACTTGCTAAGTCCATCTAAGGCAGGCCCGGGCGCAGCTGAGGTGCGATCAAGTGTGCCTACGCCGGTTCCAGAAAGGTGAATGCTGCTGCGCTGACGACGATGTTGAGGACGAGTTGGGCGAGAAGCACCCGGTTTGAGTGACTCCCCTTCACGCGGTCGGGAGCGAGGAAGTATACTTTGTGACGAGTCATGTTGTGGGGAATCGGCCGGAGATCGGGCTCGGTCTTGTGGTGAGCAAAGAGACAGTGGCTCGGCACCAGTATAGGAAACGGATTTCCGACGCGTTCGTGGGAAAAATCCAAGAGCTCTTCGTGGAACACGTCCAATTTCGATGGCCGCTGGAAACCCGTCTATCTCAACCCAGGACTCATGTTTCCAGACCTTGCTGATATCTGGCTCAGCATGCGTAGTCGACGGTTGATCTTTTGATGATTCATCGGTAGAATTGGTCTTAGGAGCAATGCAGCTGCCAGTCCCATCTTCAAAACTCGGGGCTCGCAGATCTTCTTGTTTTGGACGATCCTCTTGTCGAACAGGTCGCCCCTTCACACTGCATGCATCAACTGGCAATAGTACTATATTTCGGCTTTGAATATTGTCGTTGGGCCAAAAGCCGTTCGCCTTCTTGAACACGGCAGCCTGGCAGCCATATTTAATCGTCACTCCTGTGATGCTATCTGTCGTTTGCACGCGATGAATGTATGCCAATGCCTCTTCATCATGGTCTGGATCAATTACTTGATCAGAGAAATCGCCCGAGTCGCGCTTTTTGTGACGAAAATTGCGACCAGCTATTAAATCCGAGTCTGCCAGCAGTAACGCTTCCCGTTTCTTCGCCTGTACTAGCGCCTGGCGCTCCTCCTGGGTCCCACTTCCAATTTCTGGGGAAGCGGGCGCCGACGGACCCCACGTCGAGAAATTTGACCTAGGGATGCTCCGTGTATATAAATCCGAACGTGACGGTTTCCTTCGCGAGTGTGCCTTTGTCGAATTGTCCGTGCCATCGCGTCCTGTATTACTTCCAAGAACAGACGACGCCAGATTCTGAAGTGACGACCATGGGGATTCTAAGAAGTCCGATGTGCCTCGTGCGGACTTGAACGATCCATTCCAACCAAGGGGTGAAGAGTCGTTGCGACTCCGTTGTGTGGACTCGGTGACACGGGAGGGATGTCTCATGGGTAGAGGCGATGGTCCGCGGGATGAAAGCGGCGAGGGAGTGACGCCGCGAGAACGAGCAGTTCCATCCGACAGAAGAGTTGTAGATAGACCGGAGGTGAAAAGTTGGGAATCCTGGGAGGTGTAATGGTTGTTTGTACTGGTCGTGCCATCTTCGCTATCCATCAAGGAAACCAGGCGGCGAGGGCGCGATCGGACCGCGGAGGTCGAGGTCGAGCTTGCGCCGAACGTGTTGGAGCCCATGGAAGCATTGGAAAGGCTATTTTGGGAACTCATTCCTGTCAGAAAGACACGAAGAGGTCCGCCTCCAAAAATGCGAGTTGAAAGCTCCCTTTGGAAGTGTTGGAGTTGCCAAGGCACTGCTTGCCATTAGTAGTCCCCTAGGAGAGACCCATTCGTCATCCGCCTGCCGTGTCGCATCCGTAGCCCTGGGGATTGGCCAGGTAGAACAAGAAGATTAAGTTAAACTTCGTGCAGGGATCGGATCTTTATACAGAGGATGCCTGGTCTAGAAAAGTGAGGGAGGTGGGGAGTGTGGAGTGAGGGAGTGGTGGCTCAATGATGCGATACGATAGGTAGGTAGAGGGAGGCGTGGCCGTTGTGACGATAACGACCCACAGCGGACAATCCCGACTTTGTAGAGAATAAAGTCCAAAGTCCAGGTATCAACAGCCGGTTTGAAGGTGGGGGATGGCTAGGTAGGGAGAAGGTCGAGAAACATGCCGGAGAAGAAGGAGTGGATTTTCGGGGCTGCTGAATTGATCGGCAGGGTGATTTCGCCGCTCACACTGGTCAGAGATACATGACGTTGCCCGTCTGATCCCACCATCCGACGGGTACCCGGGACTCACCGCAGTCCTTCGTTTCTATAAAGATATTGCATGAGTCCCCCCCAAATCAGTGTTACAGTGTGATTAGATTAATTCGATTAATAGCAAGATATGTATTATGTCGTAGCTCAAATCATGATCCAATTATTCTACAAAAAAATCCTCGGTTGAATTCTATACACGAACCGGCCCTGCCAGACAAGAACTGACACTCTAGGATGGAGTGGCCAGCAATAAAACAAAATCCCATAAATGTCCCGATAGATAACACCAAGCCATTCGCACTGCGTTCCGGATATATCAAGAGAAGAAATCACAGTCAATTAGACCATCTAAATGAATATTAAATCCTGCTATCATGGGTCAGGAGATTCGGCTCTCATCGCGCGGTCATCGCTCGAGGTCGTTTCAGATTCGGTGTACCAGTCCACCTTCTCCTCGACAATCTTTCCCTGGGCAACGGATGCGATGACAGTCTGTTGAGAAATTGGTTGAAATTCAACATCTTTGAAAAAGTTGCTCAATCGGACGGGATTCAACACCTCCTCGGTAGCCACCTGGTTCAGATCTTTACCCGTAGAGAGCATTGCCTCAATAGTCTCGTAAGGCGTCGTGGTGTTGACGGCTCTGACACATGCATCTTTGATATCGCTACCGGTCCAACCTTCTGTTCTCCAGATCAATGGTTTCCGGATCAATTCTGAGATAGACATCTTGACCAAATCTTCCTTCTCCTCTTGTAGATCTAGGTCCACCCAGTCGACATAGTCGTTCTTGAGGAGCTTCTTGAAAAGGATTGCACGGCCTCTTGCATCTGGAGGTCGCACCTCAATAGGCTTGCCTCCAAGTCGTCGGATAAAGGCCTTATCAATAGCGTCGCTACGATTTGTAGCACCAAAAACAACAATACGCTGGCGTCCCTCCGTTGAGCTTTCTGATTGGAGACCATCCCAATGTGTCATGAACTCTGCCTTCACCATTCCACTAGCTTCGTGGTCGCGTTCTGACCGTTTGGCGAGAAGAGCGTCGATTTCGTCGATGAAAATAATGCAGGGCTGAACCTTGCGCGCGAGAGTGAACACTGCCCGGACGAGCCTATTTGATTCACCATACCACTTATCGGTCAGAGTAGAGATGTTTAAGTTGATAAAAGAAGCCCCGCTTTCGGCCGCCAGTGCCTTAGCAATCATAGTCTTTCCACAACCCGGTGGTCCTTCTAGAATGACGCCAGATGGTGCGCTTCGCAGAGTATCGGGGTTCGCGGCGAACAATTTCGGATACATCAACGGCCAAATCACTGATTGCTTGAGATCCTTGATAATATCGTCCAGGCCCGCAATATCATCCCATCGAACGGGAATATCCTTCGGATCGACGAGCTCTGTCGCAATCGCTTGTTCATATTGGTTGAGTACAAGTTCGGGTCGGGGTGAGCCATCCTTTGATGCCTTCGAGCCATATATTTTGCGCAAAACTGCAGCTGACTTCTGTCGTTGCTCCTCTTGTTTTTGGTTCTCTGGGTCCGGCGGTGTAAGGTGGTTCAGGACTAATTTGACGCCACCGTATGCAACCATACTCTGAAACTATTAGATTCCGATTCTCTTTTTGATGTCTCAAAAATGTCGTGATAGCCTGAGAAGGCCATGGAGCTGATAATCGGGCACTCACCGTAACTATCATCATTCCGATTTCCTGGACGAAACGCACCCAGGGGAGACCGCCTCGATCGCCTTGCGGGGCCATCATGGGACAGTTTTAGATACGCAGGTATCTGAAGTGAGATGTATGATTAGAAGAAGAAAAACGAGTAGAGGCCACCCGTCACCGAGTACGGAGAGGAAACAAGTTCCCCGAGATGCCCGAGATGAATCGGGCTGTGGCGCGGGCGATCTGTGGCTCGGAATGTCACATGCTCATAGGCGGAGTTGTTGTTGGCCGTCGCGGGCGCGTACCACTTTATCTTGTCGACAGCAATTTATTTATATACCACAACCAAAAAGCCCCTCCAATTGCACCGCGATGCCCAAACGAAAAGCTCCCACCAGAATATCTGGTCTTACAGGCTCAGATGATGAAGACATTATGCAGTTGGCCGGAAATGACAGCGCTCCCCCTCAAGAACCGCGCGACGAACCTGCCGCCAAGAAACGACGAGGCCGACCGCGTACCTCGAATGATGACGCGCCCGAGTCTAAACCAACAGCCCAAGACAAGAAAAGGGAGTCATCTACCGCAGCTCAGCCTGCTCCTACAGCCACTCAAAGGGGTACTCGGCGTGGACGACCTCGGGGCGACAGCCGCACCTCTGAATCCGGGGAAACAAAAGCTCGGGCAGGAACAACAACTCAAGAGCAACAGGATGAGGAAGCCTACAACCAAGAAAATGAAGATCCGCTGGCACATACCGAATCCAAAACCACTAGTGCTACCAAAGCCGCCAAGCCTGCACCGGTTCGTCGCAGAGGCCGTGCGCCCAGCGTCGCAAAGCAAGTAGTAACAGATGGCGAGTTTGAATATACACCTAAAGGCTCTAGGCAAGATCATGCCCAGAAACAATCATTGGCAGAGCCGGAAGCTAGCCCGCGCCCACGCGCAGCCCAACGGCGGAACGCTGCTCAAACGGGTGATTCGGCGAACGATGAGCCCACAGCAGATGTTGTAGACGAGTCTATACTTGCTGAAGAAGCCTCCAGTACCCACTACGTGCCTTCTTCTGCAGTGAAGAATGCGCGGGCCCGCCTATCCTCAATGCGGAATACACAGGATCTCTCTCGTAAACGCAAGTCGAATGATGGTGAGCAAAGTGCTGATCCGGAGTTGAGGCGTAGAATTGGTGATATCACCAAAAAGCACGATGCCCTGGAATCCAAGTATCGCAATCTCCGCGAAATCGGAATTGTAGAGGCCAACTCAAATATGGATAAATTACGCAAGCAATGTGAAACTGTCTCTACTGGTATGTGTTCCAATGGTATGTTCTCGTACTTTTTGTGTTTTTGGTCTAATGTCGATATAGCTTCAAACGACCTGGTCGTTGCTCTCAGATCTGAGCTAGAAGCCCAGAAAACTCTCGGCCAGCAGAGTCGTGGTCTTCAAAAGCAATTGAAGGACAAGGATGCTGAGATAGCTCGTCTTCGGACAGAGGCAGATGAGGCACGTTCTCAAATGGCCGCCACTCAAACTGAGGTGAAGGCTTTACAAACTAAGCTTGCTGCTGCACGCAATACTGCCGCAAGTCTAGAGAACACTGTTAAGGTCCCCGGTAGTGCTATGAAGGGAGGTCCTGCGAATCGCGCTGTAGCAGCCGAAGCTGCGCAAGCAGCACAGATGGCCCAGCTAAAGGAGGATCTTTATAGCGACTTGACCGGCTTGATCATCCGAGATGTTAAAGCTCGAGAGGCGGATCATCTATACGATTGTATTCAGACGGGAGTCAACGGAAGTAAGTCGCTTGTAACCGGACCATTACAAATTTGTTTTAAGCTAATTATGCTCCAAGCATTACATTTCAAGTTGGCTATCCCTAAAGTCTCTAGTGCGGAGTATGAGAAGGCGGTCTTTGAGTACTTACCCCTGTTGGATGCCAATCGCGACCGCGAGCTGGTGGACATTCTACCAGACTTCTTGATCGACCACATTACTTTCGAGCGTGACCAGGCGCCAAAATTTTATACCCGGGTGATTGATGCCCTGATGAAACGCCGCAACAGTACAGCTCATCGATCATAGTCCATTTTACAGTTATATAAGCATTGGGTTGCAGTGTGGAGTTCTTGAGCGATTAATCATTGATGAAATTGATCTCAAAGAGAGATTCTTCAAATATGAGACATGTGTACATATGTATTTCTAAATACCAGTGTAATAAGTCTATGATTCGTCTATTTATTTCATCAAGGTTCTATACTCCTGTAGATCATTGTTGTGAGCCGGTAGATCCTACACTGTAAGGAGCAAGTATATACAATCCGCCGTGTACAATTGCCGCTCTGTGATTGGTGCTTCACCGCCCGTCCTCCAAGGTTGTTCATCCAAAGAAGTTCGCTGTTCAGTTGCTGTCCATGTCCGATATGACCTCCTTTTTGTAATTCACCTTTTGTTTTTGCCCTTCTCCCTTTTGATACCCTTCTCCTTCTTTTCTTCTCAGGGGCCACAATTACACTCTTTCGTCTTCTAAGCCTGGTGTCCGCTCTCCTGTGAGATAAGTGGATAGATCATGGCGCGTCTAGGCCGCGTGGGCTTCCTCGCCCTGGCGGTGGTATTTCACCTCATTTATACATACTCAATTTTTGATATTTACTTCGTCAGTCCGATCGTGAGTGGTATGCGATCATATGGTGTCGATCGAGCACCCGGTACCACTGCTCCAGCCCAACGTTTGTTCCTCTTCGTTGCCGATGGCCTTCGCGCCGACAAGGCCTTCCAGGCTTTCCCGGATCCCTCCCCCGAGAACCCAGCAGAACAAAGCGACGAGTTGATCCGGTTGGCTCCGTTCATCCGCTCCAAGGTCCTCTCCGAAGGGACCTTCGGTGTCTCCCATACACGTGTTCCCACCGAGTCTCGACCGGGCCATGTTGCCCTAATTGCAGGCCTATACGAGGATGTTTCAGCAGTTACGACGGGATGGAAGCTGAATCCGGTCAATTTCGATAGCGTGTTCAATCAGAGTCGACACACATGGAGTTGGGGTAGTCCCGATATCTTGTTAATGTTTAGGGACGGTGCGGATCCTGGCCGAGTTGATGCGGATACATACGGGGAAGAGATGGAGGATTTCAGTAAAGATGCCCCACACTTGGATACATGGGTCTTTGACAAAGTGCATGAGCTTTTTGAGTCTGCCAAGAGTGATCCGGAGCTAGATCGGAAATTGCGCGAGGACAAGTTGGTTTTCTTCCTTCATCTGCTTGGACTGGATACCACTGGACATGCGCACAGACCTTACTCTAAAGAATACTTGAACAACATCAAGGTTGTCGATCGTGGTGTCCAGGCGGTTACAAAGCTGGTAGAGGATTTTTATGCAGACGACAAGACTGCTTTCGTCTTCACGGCCGACCATGGAATGAACGACTTGGGAAGCCACGGCGACGGACACCCCGATAACACACGGACGCCTCTTGTTGCATGGGGCTCTGGTGTTGCAAAGCCACTACCCAATACTCCTGGTGCTCCCACCGGCCACGAGGATGGATTTTCGTCGGATTGGGGATTCGACAAGGTCCGACGACACGATGTAGAACAGGCCGATGTGGCCGCTCTCATGGCCTACCTCGTCGGGTTGGATTATCCTGTCAATTCTGTTGGTCAATTGCCATTGAATTATCTTGATGGCAGTCCTAAGGAGAAGGCGCTGGCCGCTCTTGCCAACACACGGGGCGTGCTTGAGATGTACCACGTTAAGGAAGAGCAGAAGAGAGCAGCCATGATCCGCTATGTTCCCTTTGAACCTCTGTCCGGTGATGGTGAGACTTCAATTGAAGGTCGCTTTGCGAACTTGGAAGCTCTGATTTCCAATGGGGAATATGAGGAATCAATTCGTCTCTCTTCCGAATTGCTACTTGCTGGTCTCGAGGGCCTGCGTTATTTGCAGACCTACGATTGGTTGTTCCTAAGAACCATTGTTACTCTAGGGTATCTTGGTTGGATCGCCTACTCCTTGACCACTGTGATTGACTTGCATGTCTTGCATGGAACGTCTGACTCTCATCGCACAACAGCCAGTATCTCATTCTTTTCGTCTGTCTTGGTGGCTCTGTTTTCTGTGTTCCTTTATCAGAGCTCTTCATGGCGCTACTACTTCTATGGATTTTTCCCTGTTTATTTCTGGGAAGAGGTCTTCGCTCGCAGAAAGGCTCTCATCGCTGGCCGCCAGATTGTTCTAGGACACGTCCGCTCTTTCAAAGGGTATTTGAGTTTTGGACTGCAGCTGGTAGCCTTTGTTGGTGTTCTAGAAGCACTCGTATGTATTCCCCCCTGGGAGAAAATGTATCTAGAAAACAAGATCTCTAACCTAAGAACAGGTTCAAGCTTATTACCGCCGAGAGATTTTGACCATCTGCTTTGGATTGGGTGCTCTGTGGCCCGTTGTCTATGGCTTTGGGTTTATCCGCTCCCATGTGTTCTTGGTCGCAACATGGGCACTTGGCTGCGCTCTCATGGGTCTTTTTACTCTTCTCTCTGTCATCAAAATCGAGGACGTTGATACTATGTGAGTATTCTTTGCATCCCTTGCATTTTGAGGGTTCTTTCCGTGGCTAATACTTTTTCTCTAGTACCTATGGAGGTCTTCTGATGTTTTTCACTGGCCTTCTTTACTTGATGTTCGAGGATTCCATCCTTGGCAAAAGCAGCTCTGCGCCTAAGACCGCAGGGGCAGTCAGTACCCTTGGATCACGTATCATTATGGGCGTCCAAGTTGGCTTGGTTCTTCTTGCCCTGATTGTTACCAGATCTAGCATTTCCTTCCTTCACGCTCGCCAGGGCCTGCCTCTTGGCAACCAAGTCGTCGGTTGGGGTGTACTTGGTAAGCTGGATCCCTTGCTCTCTCTTTTATTATAGACGCTTGTTGTTCTAGGCAGTACTAATTGCAATATAGTATTGTCGGTAATCTTACCTTTCTTCCATCGGCTGTATCCTAACAGCCACTATCTGCACCGTCTCATGGTTATCTTCTTGACATTCTCCCCCACATTCATCATCCTCACTATTTCGTGGGAAGGCTTGTTTTACTTTGTGTTCTGCTTAACCCTGCTTACATGGGTTCGCCTTGAGCACGCCATTTACGTCCATTCGGGATCCAAGGAGGTCAAATCGACCGGGCCAAGCAACGGATTGGTGGCCACATCCGATTCTGCGCCAACTGGATCCGCGACTGTTGATGGTCAGACATACCAGTATCGTGCGCTCACCGTCTCCGATGCCCGTGTGGCACTGTTTTTCCTCTTCCTGCTACAGTCAGCGTTCTTCAGCACAGGAAATGTAGCTTCCATCTCTACGTTCTCTTTGAACAGCGTTCGCCGTCTTATTCCTGTGTTCGCACCCTTCAGTCAAGCGGCTCTCCTCATCTTCCAAATTCTTGTCCCCTTCGCCATCATCAGTGCGAACCTGGGTATTCTCAACCGCCGATTGCAGGTTGGACCCAGCGCCCTGTTCATGGTTGTCATGTCTATTTCAGACGTGATGACCCTGAACTTCTTCTACCAGGTCCGTGACGAGGGCTCCTGGTTAGATATCGGCATGACAATCACCCATTACTGTATCGGCAGCGTTCTTTGCATCTTCGTTGCAGGCCTCGAGTTCGTCAGCGAGCAGTTTGTCAGCGGTGTGGACTTTGGTCCCATTGGTCCCATTGCCACGCCCCTGGTTGCAGTGGCGGAGGCTGTCAGCAAATCTGCTGAATGTGGGCATGAACCCAAAGCGCGGCCCCCTAATCCCAACCCCAAGCCTAAGGGCAAGGGTAAAAAGGCCCGTAAGGGTCAGTAATATGTGATACTGACCTAAAACTTATGTATTTTACCTCTCGGTCTCCTTTTTATGAGACCAACTTGTTAATATAAACATGGAATGACAAGATCAATTTGAAAACAGCCCCTCTATATTACATTAAATGTTTCAATGTGATATCAGTCACACCTCAAGCCATATGTACCAATTTTCTTGTCGTCAGGGAACGAAACACGTCAGCAAAATAACGCAAAGAGACCTGACTTGATTACCCCCTACATACTACACAGTACACAATCAATCGCATCGGAAACTACATCGCCCCGACGTGGATCCCCTTCAACACATCACTCCCAAATAGGCTTAAGTGGATAATCTAGGCACACATCCAGGGCACCAACGACGACGATCGATCTAGCCAGCGAACGGACCACCATACTAAGAAACATCAGGCCCCAGATAAAAGCAAAAAAACGGACAAAAAAACGGACAAAATGAGCGGTGCCTGGCAGTCAGGATCCGCGTGTCAGTCCTTTAATGTATAGACCACAGCCTCAAATTAAACCCACCTGCAGGTACTCCACTATGATTGGTCCAAGCTTACCCCATTTGCGAGTTGCCGAGGCATCACAAGCCCGTGGCTGCGCACAGGACAGATGCGGTAGTAACACACCGTTAAGCTGGGAGTCTTTTGACTTCATTCTTTTTCGTGAAGGAACTCGTGGCGGCGGATTAGATCCCCGCAATTGTCATCATGAGCCCCGGGGTTTTCTGGGATTTCCAATAGATTGATTGATCCCCGCAATGAGGGTGAAACCCAAAGACAGTTGTGGGTCGGCTTCTCGCGGGAGACAAAGTACATAGAATGGTAATCATATGCTTAGATATACCTATTTTTATTTATAATATAACGGTCAAGCGGGCAGAACTGAAATAATCCTCCAAGGTTCTCAGTGGTGTGTTCTTAGTGGTGTAAATTAGTTCCATGCAGGTAAACATAATGAGACAAGCGCACGAGGCCAAGCAGTGAGTGGTATTCCGGTACATAGTAGGCCGCTATCTTCATCTGCATAAGCTGCTGATCTATATGTACGAGGGTACTAGGACCTACCAGCGTCGTGACACCGCATATCTCCGCCTACATTCCAGACAGTACCCGTGGACGCCTCAATGACCTGTATGCCGATCTTGGATACCAAATCCCCGAGGATCCATAGGGCGTTTTCGTTCAGATCTCTTTATGTTCCACCTACGTACGTACAATACAGCCTATACTTCTATCTATGCTATCCCATCCGCGTCTTCCCGCGTGGCGGTAAGAGTCATGCACCAACCCCAAGCCCAAAACTACCGGGGAGAACGGTAGGATGTGCTCAGATCACTTCTGAGTCGAGCTTTTAATTCCGGGGTCGGCTGCCATGACCATGATCACGCCACGTCTTGAGATGAACCGACACCTGGGGTAGAAGGATCCTCAATTATCGTATAGAACACGGGGTATTTCCAGTGTCGAGAACCTAGAACAATGTACCCTGTAACTCCGAAGCCATACAACCCTAGACAAACCATCGGTGCCACTCTCCACACGAGGCTCAGTGGGTACTTCCAATGTGTATTTCCACCTATTTCCACGGCACCAGCAGTAAGTGGAGCTTAATGCTCTAAATAGGGTATCTCGGCCTAGCGTACCTCGTCCTCATCCATGGGATGTCTTACCGATTCTGCTCTATTCCTTGTTCTAGTAGAACCAGTGTGATCACTGATTTTCATATCGGATCCTCTTCGGCGTTTCTAATTATCCCAGTATCTTGGGTTGCCCCTCTCCCCTCTCCCCTTTCCTTCTTTCTCCCTTTTTCCTCTCCGTCGATCCCCTCAATTTGAAGTCTCCCGAGCGGGTCGGATTCCCGGTGTGTGTGCGCCCGGGTCTAACGCTCCCCGGAATTACAGTAGATTACTTATTTCATGGGAGGGTGTAGGGATGTGTCCTTGGGACGGGCAATTGAGGGACAAAGGTTAGGCTTATAGTTTGAGTTTGGAGCGACGGTTTTTTTGTCGTCTGGTTTCTAGATGGCGCATTTTTTGGAGATGGGTCTCGCTAGTGAACCAGGCTCATCTTTGGCTTTTTAATATAGTATTAGGTTTCTGTTAGTGGGATATTGATGGGGACCTGGTATGAACGGGTTCGTTGGTTGACACTGGCAGTATACAGTAATATTGAACATGTGTGTCTAGTTGGCAAGATATGTATAGAAGAGATCCAGTAGAAGAGAACAATAAGAACAATAAGAATTTTATAATATACCAAGCACCGTTTGTACATGAAGAAATGGAGCAAGTCAAGTAGTAAGTAACCAGTCAGGGTGAAGCTGATTTGCATGGTCCCAGTCCCCCACACAAAGTGACCTCAGACCAACTTTCCCTTTATTGCCACTCATCTTCTTATGTTCCTCCCCTTTCCGGTTTCCCCATGCCTATATCGCCTAGAATTCGCTGTTGACCCTTGGGATTTACAACCTCCCTTCCTCTACGACCTCCTCCCCTTTCCTCCTGTGTGCACCCAGAAACCCCTTCTCCGCATGGAGAATTCGCGATAATGAGCACTATTATCGAATCCCAGTCCGGACCCGGCAACCCAGGCAGCCCTGCCCCAAGCGCTACAGGCTCAACAGGAACCTCCGGCATTACAGTGCCCAATGGCCCCGGTGGTCAACCGCTCAGTTTTAGAAGGTGAGCATCCAGCTCTGGATACTGAACCCGTCAAGTTCTTCGATCTTCTTGTGCATGGTGGATTCAAAGGGAGATTGCGTGGTTATCGCGGGGTTTTACAAGTCGCGAGGAAATAAAGGATGGATGGAATGAGAGTGGTCTTGTGGTCTCCAACAGGGTTTTTTGCCAACTTCCCCTCAGATTCACCATGCGCAAGATGGAAAACAACTTGAAAGAAGGAAAAAAGTGAAGAAGTTTAGATTGCTGATTTGTTTTATCTAATCTATAGACAACGTGCATCACGCGCGTGCGAGGTACGTTTTAATTCGGTTTTTCGTTCGCTGCGACGCGATTGCTGAGGAGAGCCGAGGCTGTTGTGTGCCTCGGTCCCCTCCTTATCGCAACTGCATCTGGAGATGATATAGGCCCCTCCCCCCCAAATGGAACATTGAACAACCATAACTAACCATGACATTGTTGATGCAATTAGACATGCCATGCTCGCAAAGTAAGTTCAATCTGCCTTGGAATAAATATTCATTTTTTGATATTTTGAATATTTTCGCCCGCATCACCAATTCTTCCCCGGTCGCAGGATTTCCCCGCGTTAACCTTCATTCCCTTCAACCAGGTTCGTTGCGATGCCGCAAGCCTAGGAGTCCCTTGCACCAACTGTGTCGCCTTCTCAATTGAATGCAAGATTCCAACACCAAAACGAAAAAAGACCTCCAAATCTAAAGACGACACCCGCTACGACAGCCCACCTCGAACCGCCTCCTCGCTAGTCGACGCAGCGGTCGCTCATTTCCAGCCCTCCAGCAATGAGGATTCAGGCGACAATGGACAAGATGACCAGCGAGAACCATCTCCCGATTCAGACCAGAAAGATGATGCATTCGGATACCGCAAGAACAAGATGGCTTCGGACGGAATGCCCATGACCGCCTTTTCCCAAGCGGAGGCAGCCCAGCAGGCTTCGACTGATAACGCATATGCCCAGTTCATGAAGCCCAAGTTTGCACGGGCGCCTATCAAGGAAGCCGGTCGCGTCGCTTATCTTGGAGAATCCTCGAACCTATCATTACTTGTTCAAGATCGTCACGGAACCACAGACGTTGTGCATTACCCACTCCCACCGAATATCAGAGGATCGCGCGCTCGGTTGACGGACCTGGATAACTTGGAGATTGAAATACTACATCAACGTGGAGCGTTCTTGCTGCCTCCGAAGCCACTATGTGATGAGTTGGTTGAGGCGTATTTCAAATGGGTGGCGCCGGTCGTCCCGATTATCAACAAGAGCCGTTTCATGCGTCATTATCGTGATCCCAAAAATCCGCCTTCGCTACTTTTGCTGCAGGCTATCCTGTTGGCAGGGTCAAGGGTCTGCACAAATCCTCAACTGATGGATGCAAACGGCTCAACAACTCCGGCTGCAATGACTTTCTATAAGCGTGCTAAGGCTTTGTACGATGCCAATTATGAGGATGACCGCGTGACCATCGTTCAGGCTTTGGTACTACTGGGATGGTATTGGGAAGGACCTGAAGGTAAGATTTATATTGATGGAACCTTCTTTTCATCCTATCATTTTCGAATATATGCTAACAGACTTTAGATGTGACGAAGAACGTGTTCTACTGGACTCGGGTCGCCATTGTTGTGGCCCAAGGCTCGGGAATGCATCGCAGCGTGGAAACTTCGCAACTCAGCAAGCCTGATAAAAGACTTTGGAAGAGGATTTGGTGGACGCTGTTCACTCGTGATCGATCAGTCGCTGTTGCTATGGGACGACCTATCGGGATTAACACAGATGATTCCGATGTCGAGATGGTAACTGAGGACGACTTCATTGAAGATGAACTCGATGTTGTAGCCGAGTATCCACCAGAGCCAGTGCATGTACAGTTTTTCCTGCAATACGTCAAGCTGTGTGAGATTATGGGTCTGGTACTTTCCCAGCAATACTCCGTTGCATCCAAGTCACGGCGCATGAACGCGATGGATCTTACCCACTCCGACATGGCGCTGGCCGATTGGTTGCAAAATTGCCCTAAGGAGGTTTGCTGGCAACGATCCAACCATCATTTCTGGGCGGCCCTCCTTCATTCGAATTACTAGTAAGCGATCCTCAGATTAACCCTCCCCTTTGGATGATGACTGACCCCTATAAAGCACGACGTTGTGTCTTTTACATAGAGCCCATATGCCTCCAGCTTCCTCTGCGCCTAATAGCTACAGAGTGGAAGAAATGGCATACCCATCGCGTACAATTGCATTCCAGGCTGCAGGAATGATGACTTCTATCATCGAAAACCTGCATAACCATGGAGAGCTTCGTTATACGCCAGCGTTCCTGTATGTTTACCATTCAATTATACCTTCGATCTGATACTAACTTCACATATCTACAGTGTCTACAGTTTGTTCTCAGCCCTGATTATGCACGTATACCAAATGCGTTCATCCGTCCCCTCAATTGTGGCAACCTGTCAGGAACGGATCAACGTTTGCATGAGTGCATTGAAGAGTGTCTCTAAGGTGTGGTTGGTAGCGAAGATGGTGAACACGCTATTCGAGTCTATTCTCGGCAACAAAATCCTCGAGGAGCGACTTCAGAAGGCCGCGGGTAGGAGGCATCAACGGCGGCCCCCACATGACAATCCGAACACGGCTGCAAATACGAAACGGCCGGAGCCTCCCAAACGAAAGTTTGATGATATGGATCTAGGCTTGCCTAACGGTGGACCTACTCCCCCTGTCTCATACGAACGCTCACGCCCTCAGACTCCCGCTGTAACACCCTCTCGAGAATTGAATCAGCCACCGCTTGGTCATACATCGCCTAACGCGCACCGTGGCCCCGCGGATCCTATCACTGGAACCGGAAATTCTCGAAGCAATACTCGACCGACCACACCCTTCAACGCTCAATTCTCTCTCCCTGCCACTCCACCTGACTTCTTCCTTGTTACTCGTAACTCGCCAAATCTTTCTCCATCTCTTTGGGAGAACTTCCAGCCCGATCAACTTTTCCCCGATGGTACTGGCATTTTCCCCGAATTGACCTCTCCGCCTCCAGCCACTATGGATCCCCAACTGCAAGTTCCTAACGGTATTCCCTCGCAAAACATGGGCCAGCGGCCCATGATGGGCAACCCGCAGCAACCAGCTGTCCCAGGACGCAGTATGTCCATGTCACAAGGCAGTCCACAGATGATGCCGGGGGTTCCTGGTGCCATGGGAATGCAGCCTGGTCAACAACAGATGTTCGGTATGGAAGGTCAGACATGGCCGATGCCGGGCATGGATGCGACTATGAATGGACCGGCGCTGGACGCTGGTAGCCAGGACGACACCTGGAGCAACAGCTCCCGCAGTGGACCAACTGCACCCACGACATTGAATGTAGAAGACTGGTATGCTTTCGTCCTCCCCTTATATTCTTCCTTTCACCATAAAACTAACATTTTTACTCCAGGTTTCAATTCTTTGGTATCAATGGTGGTTTCGGCGATTTGGCAGCATAAGCCTGTTCCTGGCTTGGTCAGTTACATGCTCATATGCTCCATTTCTTATTTTAATGTAATCCACAATGTGGTGTATATTGGTTCTTTTTTCTGTTTGCTATTGTTTCTGCTAGTCTACCCTACCGGCTATTTAAAATGGAATGTGTGGGATTTGGTGGGATTTCTTGGGCGTTTTCCTGGAGTGGTTGTTTCGGAGCCACGGATGATTGAAGATGTTCCAGGAAGAGAATATCTATGCTTTCCTATTGCTCTATGAAAAAACTTGTATTCAAATTCAAGAGATATGTACAGAATTCAAACAGCATAACAGCATAACAACGGTATACAAAATGTCTTCGACTGCCGAGTGCAAACCCTGGACGGTTTAACCTATTTGGGCTTAGTCGATGACGGAATCGCCATTCTCTCACACGGACCAATTAGAATGCTCCGAGAGCGGAGTCATCGCGCCTTGCAATGAGTTGTCCGGGGGAAATTGAATGAGCAATCGACATTTTTCTATTTCTATCATCTATTTCTCCCTGTGCATACTCGTGATACCTTCTTGTTTGTTTGGAAATTTCTGAAAATCAGCTGGGAAACCTCAATCGATCCCATCTTTCACCTTCTACCCCTCCAATTACTCACCCACTCTATCTCGCTGCCCCGCCCTGCCGCAAAAGCGATGTCGGCTTCAGGATCCGGTGCACCAAACAACAATTCGGGGGAATCGAGCTCCTCGAAGAAGCCATTCCCCTCGGTTGACCTTCAGGGCAATGACCTTCCTCCGTCCCCAGCTCCGTCCAGCCCGCACGCAGGTCGTCGGTATAACATGGCCACTGAGCTAGTCTACACCGAGGGCAGTGATCAATACAATGCTAGCAGTGTGCCAATTTACCAGGTATGTGCATTCTACTAAAATATACATTCAATGTCAGTTTAGAAGCTTTGGATTTACTAATTGCCCTTTTTTATCTTAGAGTGCTACCTTCAAGCAAACATCCGGCGCTGGTGGTGGAGAGTATGACTACACTCGCTCCGGTAACCCAACTCGCACCCACCTTGAACGACACCTCGCCAAAATCATGTCTGCCCAGCGGGCTCTCGTTGTGTCTTCTGGCATGGCAGCCCTGGACGTGATCACCCGCCTCCTGCGACCCGGCGACGAAGTCGTCACCGGTGACGATTTATACGGTGGCTCACACCGCCTGTTGAAGTTTCTCTCAACAAACGGCGGCATCATCGTGCACCACGTCGATACTACACGGCCAGAGAAGGTGGTGGAAATCCTCAGCAAGAAGACCGCCATGGTCCTCCTCGAGACCCCCACCAACCCCCTCATCAAGATCGTCGACATCGGCAAAATTGCTGCCGCCGCCCACGAGGCTAACCCTAGCTGTCTGGTTGTTGTAGACAACACCATGATGTCCCCATTACTGCTTAACCCTCTTGAGCTAGGCGCCGACGTCGTCTACGAGAGTGGCACAAAGTACCTATCTGGTCACCACGATTTGATGGCTGGTGTCATTGCCTGCAACGATCTGACCCTCGGTGAGCGCCTGTACTTCCCCATCAACACATCTGGATGTGGTCTTTCACCCTTCGACTCCTGGCTCTTGATGCGAGGTGTCAAGACCCTGAAGGTCCGCATGGACCAGCAGCAAAGCAATGCCCAGCGGATCGCAGAGTTCCTCGAGTCTCATGGATTCAAGGTGCGATACCCCGGTCTGCGCTCGCACCCTCAGTACGAGCTCCACAACTCGATGGCGCGCGGTGCGGGCGCCGTGCTCTCCTTCGAGACAGGTGATGTAAATATCAGTGAACGCATTGTGGAAAGCGCGAAGATCTTCGCTATCAGTGTTAGCTTTGGCTGTGTCAACTCATTGATTAGTATGCCTTGCCGGATGAGCCATGCTAGCATTGACGCGAAAACGCGAGCGGAGCGCGATTTCCCAGAGGACCTGATCCGACTGTGTATTGGAATTGAAGATGTGGATGACCTCATTGATGATTTGCGCCGTGCGGTATGTATTTCTTGTTCGCGCTCTGAATGGCTAAAGATAAAACCCTCAACTAACCAATTTATTTGCCACAGCTCGTCCAAGCCGGAGCCGTAAACATGTCACTGGATGGATTCTCGGCCTCAAATGCAGGCTCTGCGTAGATTAAATGATTGGAAGGACATTTTTTTCTCATTTTCTCATCATGTCAATTTCTCATTTTTCAGTGACTATGGCGTTATCTCATGGGGTGAATCTTGAATGTTATATAAAATGATGGTCATTAACAGGCGTTTATCGTTTATCCGGCATTTCTTACTGGTAATCCGGCATCGGAGAACCCGGCACCGGTTCGCGCCCGGTCCTTTCTCGTCCGAAGTGAGCATCACTTCTTCCCCGTAAAAAAAAGCGATAGCTTTGTAATTACTTCCCCTTCATTTGATTCTTCATCATCTGGGGTTAATTTGTTTATTTTCCGATCACTTTATCGATCACTTCTGTCTTACTTCACTCCTAAGCCAATGAAACAACAACCCCAGTGAAACCTGATTTTCAAAGCTTCGGGATTTCCGCTCGAGTATGACTCGCGATGCTCCAGTCGCGCAACATAATCTCAACATGACCACGGTCTCAGAACACCCAGTCGCTCGCTCAACAATCTCAGCAGCATCCACAATGAAGTCCCAAAAGGCTGCGCCAACATGGAACTCGAAAGATCTCGGACTCCGACTCGGTGTCGATGTCGCCAGTGCAGCAACAGCCGGCGCTCTAACATGTCCGTTGATTACAATTATTGATCGGTAAGAACAGGATCTATCTCACAATTATCTCTTCACAAGTAATCGCATTAAACTAATAAATACTTTCCTATCTAGTGCAATTATCGAAAAGGCATCAAAAGGCTTTCCAATCGCCCAAACCATCACCAGCTGTCTTCGATCAATGGTAACAAAACCATCCGGTTTTTTCCTGGGCACGCCATTCCTCCTCATCTACACCTTATACAGCACAACATACCTAACAGCCAATGCAATCGACACCCTCTCTTCAACACTACGGAATCAACCCTTCTCCACCGTAACAGCGGGCCCATTAAAATTCCTCTCCACTACAATCGTGAACATGGCCATATGCGTATACAAAGATGCACGATTCGCAAAACTCTTCGGCGCAAACCCACCCCCAGCACCGAACAACGGCACATCAACAGCTCAATCACAAACACAAAGTGCCCGATCTATAAGCTGCCATCCCACAGCCAGCGCGACAGGACCCAAAATCCCCAAAGTCTCCTACGGCCTCTTCTGTCTCCGCGACAGCATTACCATCTTCGCCTCGTTCAACGTCCCCTCGCTCATCGCACCCTCAATACCAGACTTCATCGCCGAAACACCCCGTATGAAGAGTACTATTGCGCAATTCTCTTGTCCCGCTCTTATGCAGTTTTTCAGCACACCTATGCATCTGCTCGGTCTGGACCTGTATAACAGACAGCCAGCTGGCGGGTTACCATGGAGTGATCGGGTCGCGCGCATTCGAAGAGATTACATTTCTAGTTCGTTTGCGCGGATGGGAAAGATTGTACCTGCGTATGGTGTTGGTGGTGTTGTTAATGTGAGGATGAGAGCGGCGCTGATGACGAAGTTGGAGAAGAATGGGATTATGAACTGATGATTCTTCTTCTTGTTTTGATTGATTGATTGATGAGACTCTCCACTCTAGATTTCTATTTTGAGCTTGGGTTTGATTCTGGAGTTTAGAAGGCGGATTCAAGCCAGTTCTTGTATTTTCTTCCTCTTCCCCTTCTTCCTTGTCTTTATTATTCTTGTCCCGTTTGCTGTTTACTGTTTATCTGTCTATACAGATCTGCATATCATCTGCCATGGCGTTCATGAGAATACACTATAGACGTGATTCTTGTTTCGGGTCTGATTGGTTCCTTCGGGTTCAACTGATTACATTTTTGCTCCGTCATTCTGTGCGATATGTGCATTGCATCTGCACTGTTAATACGAATTTACATCCATACTATGAGACTTCTAGATTTGATTCAAGTTTTCCAGCCTTGCCTGAAATAAAGAGCAAATAATATCATATTTCAACTGCTTCCTATTCCATTTGTGTCCCTAGCATTCGATTTCGGGAATTGTCAACCATACATCGTTTAAATTGAAGCGATCCTTTATATTGACCGCAATCCCTCGATCTCGGTCCCATCAGAAAGAAGCTGCCTCAAAGAGCCTTGAACTGGCTAAGAACTAAACATAACGAACAAATTAGCATATCCCACCCTGAACTGGACGACTGCAGCCGAAGGAAACATACTCTTAGCGTGGCTCAATTCCTCAAGGTCATGCGCCTGCACATGGAGACTAATATCCTCGAAAGTCCGATAAAGATGGTCCTTGTTCGAAGTATAATAACTCTTGTCATGTATGCCTGCGCCCTCCGGAACCCTGATAAATAAACCAAATCAGCAACCGTCACCATCATTACCAGGGATATGAACAAAGCCTACCATGTAATGAAAACTAGCTTGTGTCGCCCATCACCACCAGGAAAATCATATTCAAAGTCCACAACAGCATACCGGGGCGTATCATCCTTGAAAAGCGCCAGGAACTCAGCGTAGTTCTCGTAGTTTCCCGACTCAGCAACGGAGATCTTCTTGTCATGTGCTGAGGCTTCGTAGAGGACATAGTTGATGTTGGTTGTTTCTTTGACTTCGTCGAATGCGAGGCCGCATTCGGGAGCTATGGCTGCGAATCCTCGTGTCATTTTGGGGTTGTGTTTGTGTTTAAGTTTGCGTTGTTGAGTTAAAAAGAGGATAACAAGAAAGTAATATTGATGGATGGATGGTCCTGGATGGATGGGGAAAGAAAGAAAATGGAATGGAGGGAGGGGAAGTAAGAGCTGTGCTGTAGGTCTGAAGGTGGAGCTTACCCCGTCTTTTCTGACGCGGGGAAAAAAGGTCGATCTGCACGATGATTACATAGCTTGGCTTCCTGGATTGGTAGAATCGCGGATCATTGAGTCAATCTTGTTTCAAATATTATTTATTTCTTTGAATAAACGATCATGGGATCCACTGTTGCTCTGTAAATAGTAGTCGTGACGTATACTGAATATGCCCCTGTTTGATCGATGGTGTTTGTGACGCTAGAGATCCGGTTATCCCTGCTCGCGTGCATATTCAGGTGGATATTCACTGGCGGGTCTTCTACTCAATAGGTAGCGATTTACCTTTCGCATTAATGAATATACGTCCTTTTATGTACAATGGCAATCATAGGATCTCACGCTGTCGTAAATTTCGACCGAAAAAGTATTTGGCGCAACTGGAAGTCTAGGATCATGACGATGATCGTTTCAAGAAACATCAAGTCTAAGGAGATAATTGCTAACGTTTCAAAAAGAGAATAGTGAAAGAGAAGGAGAAATAGAGTGGGGGTTGATTATTAGATCATTACGTGAGTAGCGACTTCAGATCTTTTTCATAGGTGGCCTGTAATCACAACCATCAAGGTTATCTACATGAAAGAGAGTTATCAATAAAAATAGTACATGTTGAAAAGAGCGTTATCAGACCAGCAGATACGCAGATCGAAAGTAATAGCAATTACCACCTGTAAGAATCAATCCGTTAGCAAAAAGTACTCATCGTAGAAAGTTTTCACGGGATACTCACGCGAAAGGTTCCGAGTGTAAATAAAGTTCTTCAACCTCACCGTCCATCACCCGTTTCTGGGCTAAAGCAGCCGCATTCCGGGTATCGTGAAGCATAGATGCAGGTCCACAGACTAAGACACCAACCCGCTGCTTTCTCCCGACATGATTTCCCCGGCTACCAGACGTTGCCACGGTACGTGCAATCAGACCAGCGATATCAGGTCTAGCGTTGCGGTGTACATTGAGACTGAAAGATCCGGTTGTCGTAACTTCAGTTGGGAGCATTTTTCCTGGCTCTTTCTCGAATCCAATTGCTGGGGAGGATGTATTCGAGTTGACGCGGGATGTAACGTGTACAGATACAGCTGTTTCAAATCCATTATCTAGGTCCGAGGTAAATGTTGTAGAATGCGAGAGGCGATCCTCAATTTCTGCAGCGTACCATTCTGCCATTGCAGTGTCGCGAGTTGAGAAAACGACTTGCAGATTCCGACGGACATCGTGGACCGGCTCAATGCCTTTCGATTCCAAAGCAGATAACCGTAGTACCTCATCGACCATAGCAAGAGAAAATCCACCGCCTGAACCTCCGGCAATTACGAGAATGGTGTCAAAGCTAGCCATGTGGTGAGCGCTTACACCTCCGTATGGGCCCTCGATCAAGACAGTCTTCGAACAGCCCGGGATCTTGTTGGCAATCGCAGCTAGACGGGCTGTTACACCTCCTCGTGGCTTGATGTAGAAGACAAGCTCGGGGGCTGTTCCAGTTTCATCCGGGTTTCGGCGGACAGAAGAGATTGTGAAAGGGTGAGCTGTCAGAAGGTGCAAGTCCGAAGTCAGAAATCGGATAAACACATGTTGGCCGGGGTGCCAGTTCATGGCTGTGGGGACTGAAACGCGGAGAAGACCACTTGGAAGAAGTTCGATGGTAGCTTTATGAAGGCCATTCATTAAGTAGGTGCGACTCATAGAAAATGCCAGACATGAGAGGTAGAGAGCACCAGTTGCAATAAAGTAGTCCCTGATATATGTCAGTAAAACTCCGAGAAAAAGTGAATATAATAAAGACTTACCATGAAGTAAGCGATGCGTTGCAATGGAAGAAAAGGAAAATGATGAAAACAAGAGCTGCAAGCATATGTGTACCTTTGAAGTACTCGTAAAATCGATTACTGCTCACGATTAGTCAAAGGTTCTCTAGTCTTCAACCAATCCAATATCTCACCGAATAAAAGGCAAAGACATGAAAGTCAGATAGGCTTGCGCGATAATAGCAACGACCCCTGTCCAGTAAACAACACTTGTTTTCCACTGATAAACCAGATCGTGCCATCGCTGATGGATAATTATGAACGGGAACGTATGAACGAGTGCCAATACGAACATGGCGTAGCTCGCCCAGTGGTGGAAAACCTGCAGTTTTTCGTGGGAAATACCGGTGAGCATAGAAATCATATTTGCTTTGGTACTCAGGACTCTGCGTTGGGTATTAGCATCTCATCGGTGTCTTGGTATGATATAAAGCCGTCGTAGTACTCACAGCACAAATGGCAATAATCCGAGAGCCATCCATCCCGTCCGATTCGCAAGAGGAGGACTGTTTCCATAATGCGCATCAGTTGGCCAGTAATAAGGTTGCGGGCCAAGCGTCATTCCTATTTCTCCCAATCAGCTACATTCGCATCTTTCAATCCAAGTATCGTTATTCGTTCCTTACCTAGAAAAAATCCGGTTCCCGCCATACCAAGCAACAGCACTCCCAAGGATGGGGACCAGTATCGTAGTTTCGGTATCGAATATCCCCGGTAAGACAGATATCGAGACATGGAGGCGATTCCACGCCATACTGGAGTTCGCTTGAGCCAGTCCGGAGAGTATCTGACTAGAATATTGGAGAGGACGAATAAACCGATCATAGCACAACAGAAGTAAACGGTGCCCAAGGCGTAGACATGGTCACCCTGGTACCTGTATCCCACATCCGATTTTAGCATATGATCAAAAAATTGAGCGGGGCATTGTGGAATGAGTGCCCATAACATACCAGTTGCGCCAGTAGCCATGAATATAGGCACACTGCGCGGGATTCAACTTGCATTTGCTCTCGCGGGACGAGTGAAATCTTGGTGGCTGGGTAAGCCAGGGCACACCGCCCGGCGTTTCCTTCATGTCCATCATGGTTACGGTGAGGCCGTAAGACTTTGTCGTCGTTGCCGTTGGACGGTTGAAGTTGAAGAGATGTGCGTACGCTCACCTTACACACACTCCCCAGATGTTGTGATTAGATCGGGAAAAGAGAACCAGAGCCGACCATATAGCGGAGATCGACGAATTAAAGTTCGGTCCAACTTGATCTGGAAGTCCAATTCACGGGTTGAAGGTGTTGGGCGTTGCACCGAAAACGGGACTGGGGAAACCTGATGACGGCGAATTCTAGAGGAGAGATTCCCGCATTCCTCGCATTCTAGGATGTCGATCTAGGACCCACTGAGATTTGAGCGAGTTTCGCCGTGTTCTGTACTCAAAGTCTTTTTCTTGTATTTGTTTTCATTTCGTACTGGATACAGTATGTGCTGTGTTCACTTGTCAATCGCGTGGTTGAGCACATTTGCGCCTAATTAGGGCTTCCTTATAGAGGGTTATCTATTTACCCCGATTTCTCCCATTAAAATTGCTCATTTCAAGTCAATTTCACTTAGAAGACATCACTAATAAAACACTATGCTAAGGATAGTAAAGCTATCCGCATGTAATATCTTGCATCACTCATGTACACACAGTCACACTGTGAAGTATACAGTTCTACATAATGTACACAGTCACACGTCTCACTATATTCCCCGCAGTTGCAACCACGACAATGACGTAGCGGTTGATGTACATTAAAAAAAATTTATAATTCATCTCAGTGTAGACTTTAAATCAATTATGGTCCAAAATGACAAGGTTGTATTTACCAGAAAGTCACAAAGAAGCCCTGGAAGCAGGGTAGCATATCCAACCAATCACAACGCCGTATGTATAAGCCCACACCAAAATCAAACATGACAAACAAGTCCCGCATTAGGGTTAGCGCATCCTCACCCTGCATTCTCTCCGTCTGCCTCCCCTGATATCCCTGATATCCCTCGATAAATGACGATCTTGATCATCTAATCAAGGGGTACAGCGGATACGGAAATCGTCGCTGGAATAGGCCCAGGCACCTTGGTGGGCACGGCAGGGCCCTCATTCCCGATCCCAAACATTTGGAGAGCATGGAAGCCTCCACGCACACTATCCGCTTCAAGGCCCCTAGCCCGAAGGACACTGGTAGCCACGCGTGCTGTATCCCCATCGTAGCATACCACAAGAACGTGATGATAACCAAGATCTGAGACCAAGCGGCCATCGCGGAAGATCTGCTCCAGCTCCACCCACTGCGCCTCTAAGATTGCTGGATCTGAAAACGGTGATGGAGTATGCGGCCCGATACTGCTCAGCGGCAAGTTGATCGACTCAGGAAGATGCCATGCTCGGAAGTCCCCTTGTTTCCGAAGATCAATCACTCGATGTTGGGGTTTGAGCGTGATCTCATTCAGTGGACTATCCGCGAGAGACCGGGGCGCTCCGTAGACTTCTGGAAGTACCTCCAATGCGTCACGCTCCCAGCTCTCGTCATAACGGTGGAGATCGACTTTGGCCAATCGCTATACGGAAAATAAAGACGTTGTATTAGCGGAGTTTTGCGGGGTAAAACAGAGTCGAAACGTCATAGTCTTCATCATAGTTGCTCGGGTATCTTACCTCATTGCGAATAGGAGGGAACTGTCCAGGTCCCAACTTCTGGAAATACTCCTCAAGATACTGATATGGCAAGTCGCAACACAAAAAGACGCAATGCGTCACTCCATCCGGACCTGCTAGATCTCCGAGTGTTCCCGCGGCCTTGTGCTTTTCCAGCATTTGGAATAAACCCTGCAGGTTGAATCCGGATGATGGACCACAGACCAGACCTTCTCTGCATAGTCTCAGAGACAGGGTGTACGAGTCGGCAGAGCCAACTTCCTCAAATATATCCACTGCCTCTTTCCATGGGAACTCAACAGGTCGTAGCAGGGCATATGACCTAGGGCCAGGTACGCGGTCGCCAGCTGCTGTGCAGACACCAAGTCGTGTCACAGATGGCTTCACACTCTTGAAATAAGTTCCGAGTCCAGTCATCGTTCCCGAGGTGCCAATGCCAGCACACAAAACATTAATTTCTGGGAGTTGCTTGAATATTTGTGGTCCAGTCCATCGAATATGGGCCTGCCAGTTATCATCATTCTCATATTGATTAGGGTTGACAATTGCTTCTGACTCTTTGGCTTGTCTGTGGGCACTTTGAATACCACCGCGGTGATCAGTTGGTTCTGGCTGCGATGGACCCCCAAACAGAGTAATATCAAGTCCAAAAAATTGCATAAGCTTCAGCTTAGCGTCGCTTGTCTTGTTACTCAGAAAGGCTCGTGTGTCGTCAATACCGTGCATGACTCTGGCAATCATCGACATTGAAATTACAGTTGACCCTGAACTATATTCGATAATTCTATTCGTTTGGTCCGGCACCACGCTTGATCCAAGCATATTCAATGCTGTTGTTAGGTTAACACTTGATTCTCTTCAACTCATATATTGGATTTCTCTCATGATTTTCTTACCAGGCATGGCCTTAACATTATTTGCCGGATGCATTGTCATCATTTTGGCATATATTCGAACACCATCGTGATAGTATGGATTAAGATACTCTGGAAGTTCAACCAGAGGCAAAGGAGGCTGACAATCAGGATCAAAATACTTCTTCAGCGAGTTTGAGCCAAAATAAACATTCCGCTCATTTGAATTTGAATTGGCCATGTTATGAGTAGAAGGTGCCATCTTGTGAATACTATCCGAGTCCACAATTAACGACTCGAGCAACTACACAGGTGGAATCTTTTTAATTTATAGCAAAGGCCCAACCCCAGCCCCACTACAAGGCGAAGAGAAGATTATACTTCCGAACGGCACGCATGAGACCCCCTCTTTCTCCAACAATCTACTTGTTGCCTCGAAAGGGCAAAGAAAAAAGCGTAATGTAAGAGGCAGAAAGAGGCAGATAATTCCCCACAGTCCCACCTTGGTCGTTACACATGCCAAAATAACAGGATTCTAGAAGAGGGGCTATTGTATGTCGTGTCAGGAACTTTGGACAGACCCAGTCTATCTATGAGGACGCTGCAAGCGACCATAACTCAGCTCGCATATTCTAATGAATGAGGAAGGCAAAGGGAGCAATTGACTCATATTCCGCCGTCCAAAGCCATTTCTATCAAATTGAGTGGTTTTAATTCATAATCTCCTATTCCCAGGTTTCTGGCTGACATGTATGAAAACGGCATGATCGACAACATACACAGGGAGAGTGTATGTCATAAAGGGGGTCTCAGATTGTCATTTGGGAATCTCAGATCCATATAAATGCACATCACAGTATGCATTGTCTTATCTTCCTTAAAAAGAGATCAAATACATTCTAGAAAAACTTCGATTAGATTTCCAATATTGCAATTTTCCTCGTGTTGAGTGTGTACTACCTAGAAATTTTCAAGGTCCTCCCTCTCTCCCTTCCCTCCTGCATGGATGAAAAACGCCAACCCCGTCGATCTTACTAGAACAACCTCTTTTGCCTAATTCCCTTAGGTAAACCAATTTACCATCTTGCATCCATAATGCCAAGTCGGGTACCTTGAGAGCGATTGAGCAAGTTTATCTTTAGGCGAAAGTTAAGAAGCCACTGTCGATCGACTGTCAAGTCTGTTCCGCTTTGGCGCTGTCGATCTATGTCGAATTGGGTACGATCCACCCGAACAATGCACGCAGAAATGTGCTCAACTATGGAGTACGTACACTTCTTGCGATATCCAATTATCCGAGATAAACATGAAATTGAAATTGAAATTGAAATTGAATTAAAAGATAAATATTATACTACGTTAATTCAGGGCGGCCTTTAATTAAATTTCTTCACGTTCTGTCCTGAACGCGGTTTGTTTCTTAAGTTGCCCTCGGTGCTTTGTCTTTCTATTCCGATCCGCTACGCCATGTCCGGGGTTCTACAAAATAAAGCTGATCACGGCGGCTCAGGCTCTAGCAGTGGGGATGATGGGAAGCTTTGTCAAATGGAGGGAGGGCAGAATAATGGACCGAAGATATCTTTCAATGAACAGACTAACTATGTTCCTAAACGAACAATTATCACTGTAAGTTCTTACATTTTGCTTGTTGCTAATCTCGTGAAAGGCAAAATTAAATAATATGATACCATTAAATACTGACTGATATTATCATGATAGATTTTCCTAGCATGTTCTACCGTCGACCTAGTGGCGTTGATTGATCAAACGACTTTAGCATCCTGTTTATACGTCATCGGCAATGCATTAGGAGCAAGCGACCAGGCCTCTTGGATCTCAGGCTCATACTATCTGTAGGGACCCAAATCTCGACTATTATTTTTCGATACCGAAGCAAAATCTAATTATAATATCTAGAACATCAACATGCTTCCAACTTCTCTATGGAAAACTATCCGACATCTGCTCTCGAAAAGTAGTCCTCTTCATCGGACTAGCAATTTTCTTCATCGGTTCACTGGCATCTTCACTCGCTCAAACAGTCAACCAGCTTATAGTTTTTCGAGCTATCGCAGGAGTCGGTGGCGGCGGTTTAATAACCCTCGCCCAAATGATAGTAAGCGATGTCGTCCCACTCCGTGAACGGGGAAAATATCAAGGTATCCTCGGCGCAGTAGTAGCCATCTCCCAAGCCATTGGTCCGATAATTGGAGGATCTCTAGCCTCCATCTCCCACGATTCATGGAGATGGATATTCAGGTTAAATCTTCCCCTAACTGTGCTTTGTGTTGGCTCGGTGTATTTCTTCATGCCTCTTCGGAAAGTGGAGGGTGATTGGAAACTGAAGATCAAGGCAATTGACTTCTTTGGTGCCTTTCTAGCACTGGGAGGTACCTCTGTTCTTATTATGGGGTTGACATGGGGTGGAGGTCAGTATGCGTGGGATTCTACGCATGTTGTCGCGACACTGGTCATTGGCATTGTCGTTTGTATCGCTTTTGTTTTGTGGCAATGGAAAGGAGCTGCTGTGCCACTTGTCCCACTGAAAATCTTCCGTGTGAAGATTGTGAATGGTACTTCTCTGACCATGTTTATTCATGGGTGGAACATTTTGGTCCAAACCTTCTACATACCCACTTTCTACCAGCTGGTTTTCGGCTACAGTACCCTGGCAGCAGCGGCTATGTTGCTTCCTATCACAGTCATGCAGAGTGTGTATTGATCAGACTTTTTTTTGGGTGTTTCTACTTACTGACTGATTTTAAGCTTTCTGCAGTACCGGCTCTGGTCTAATTGTACATTGGGTCGGTCGATACAGAGAATGTATCCTTTTCGGCTATGGTATCTGGGCAATTGGTCTCGGTCTCCTATCCACCCTTGATGAATCGTCAGGGCTTGGTAAACAAATTGGCTATGGAATTCTCTCGGGAGTGGGCGTCGGGAATACTCTACAGCCGTAAGTGTAGATTACAAAACTGTTAGAAAGTATCTATCACTAACATTGAGATATTGAAACAGAGCCTTGATTGCAGTTCAAGCCGGAGTTGAACGCAAGGATATGGCGTTCGTTACTGCATTCCGAAAGTATGTTTCCTTCTTTCAACTAGATATCCTAGTACCTCAATATCTAACACTGATATGTAGCTTCGTGCGGAATCTCGGCGGTACACTCGGTCTCGCAATCGCCGGAACAATTCTGTAAGAACTGAACTGAGCTCACTCCTGCCTCAAAGTATCAAACGAACATAAACTAATGACATCTAGCAACAATATTATCTCGTCCTCGATATCACCTCTCGATCTCTCAGCATCTGACTCGCGCTCTTTACTATCAAGCCCATCAACATTTTTAGCGAAGCAATCTCCGGAGAACGCAGCCCACATTCGCAGTGTCTTGACTCCCGCTTATCGGCGTGGCTTCCGAATTATTTTCCTTGTCGGAGCGTGCTTATCGGCATTTGCATTCGTTCTTGCATTTTGGCTGATTCCCCAGCTTGGTTTGAATAAGCCTGATGATACTGCTCTGAAGGAAGAGGGGAAGAGAAGGGCACAAAAAAAGGCGGATGAGGAGAAGGGACCAGAGCTTGTCGATCAAAAGGCTGGGTGAATGTTCTGTTGTAATCCGATTGAGATTTGTGAGAACCGGATTTTACTTCAGCTTTGCGAAGCCAGGGACCTCGTAAAAATGGCATGTAATTAAAGCAGAAAAAATTTGGAAATCTCACTTGCGACATGTAGTTATCTTCCTAGTTCCCAATATCCCATCCCCATGCTGTATCAATTTCTCAAAACCACTGATCGAGACTGTTGAATAATACCAAGCGGAGCAACTACTTAAGGACTCGGATATTGATTGGACCAGCTCGGCTCTTTTTGAAATGTGGAGTATGAACTCTACTCTATGATACTAATACTAGACTAATACTCAGCCAATACTGGCTTATACCCGCTCATTTGACCAATTGGATGAGCCGAGTACCATTAAGGTCATACTACTTTTACATACTTCATGCTTGTAGTTAAATTACTACATCTAATATCTCGTGGCTTTTTGGTGAGTTAAAAAAAAGCCAGCAGAGGGAATCGAACCCTCGTCTCCTACAATCCCATACCTGGAGTTGTCTTGGATTTCTACCAAATTGTAAAGCACCAAGGGCACCAGGGGCCATATGGGGTAGACGTCTTACCACTAGACCATGTCGGCGAATCTTCGGAGAAACTACAATCTTTCGGCTTATCTGTTTATCCAACCAATACTAGACTAAGTCCACTTCTACAGTTCAAAGCTGTTTGTTATAAGACTAGCCTCAAGTTCCAGATAAAAATATCTATATGAACAACACGTAAGTCATTTCTTTATGGTATGTACCTTAGAGCCTTAGATCTATGTTGAATAGGGAATACTCAATCTATCTCAAACCAACCCGAGCTTACGCAGAAGGGACACCTAGCCTCAAGTTGCACATACCTCTCCCTGCGGGGAACGTAACATCCAAACATCTAACCTACCCCACCAAACAAACCATCTTCAAAACAACGCATGAAAACGAAAGTCCTCATCTGCGGCGCTGGATGTGCCGGCACAGCCCTAGCCTTCTGGCTAGCCCGAGCAGGTCACAATGTCACAGTCATTGAACGCAGTCCGTCTCTCCGAGCCCTAGGCGCACAAATAGACATCCGCAACCAAGGGATAGAAGTGATAAACCGAATGGGTCTTCTAGAGATCTTACTCAGTAAACTCGTCAAAGAAGAAGGCACCCACATGGTTAACTCAGCTGGAGAAGTCAAAGCAGCTTTTGGGAAGGGAAACCTCAACGCAACAGCAGAGTATGAAATTATGAGAGGAGATCTCGTCAAAATGCTCTATGAAGCCACCCAGGACCATGAGAATATAGAGTACATATTCGGGAAGATGGTTGAGAGCTTCGACGAGCGAGAAAATGAGAATGATAATCTGGTTCATTTCTCGGATGGTTCGACCGATTCGTTTGATCTGCTTGTTGGTGCTGATGGCCAGGGATCACGCATTCGTTCTGCTATCTTGCCACCGGGAGGAAAGGAGTATCGCAAGCTAGGCATTTGGGCTGCTTATTGGTTTGTTCCGCGGATCGAAACAGATACAAATACAATGTCCATGTATTCAAGTCCTGGTGGACGATTGATGCTTCGGCGATCACATAATTCTACCGAAACGCAAGTATATTGCATTTTCAGAGACGATGAGAACACAGAACAACTCAATAAGCTCATGAGAGCACCAGCTGAAGAGCAAAAGAAGTACTGGAAACAAAAATTCCACGATGCAGGGTGGGAGACAGATCGGTTTATTGCCGGAATCGATGACACTGCAAATTTCTACTGTCACGAAGTTGTGCAAGTCATTGCTGCGAATTGGGTACGTGGTCGAGTCGCTTTGATAGGTGATGCAGCGCATTGTCCTTCGCCTCTTACTGGGCTTGGAACAACGACTAGTCTCATTGGGGCATATGTTTTGGCTGGTGAAATCACTCGGAGTCCTGATGATTTGGCCCTGGCACTGAAGAACTATGAGAGAGTGTTGAGACCGCTTATTAAGGAGGTTCAGGTTGTTGGACCGCTTAGGATCAAGATGGCGCTTCCTCAGAGCCAGTGGGTGATTACTTTGAGGTTGGCTATCATGGGGTTCTTATGTTGGCTTGGGATTCCCGATCTTCTCTCGCAGTATGTGACTGATACTTCGGAATGGCAGTTGCCTCATTATCCTGCACTTGATCTGTGAGACCATGATATTCGGTACCGAACCAATGCCCAGGTATCTTCTTCGAGTGACATTTGCCGAGTTTGTTGGGTGATAGCTCTAGCTTGTTTAGATAGACATACTACAAGTATTAGGATCACCTTTACCTTGAAAAGCTGATCATGCTGGGAATAATGTTTTCAAGAAAATCCGATCATGTATTAAAAGAAGAGACTATTTCATTCCATTTCCTGGAATCGAAAGCCATGCGAGTCATATCAGTCATCACGTCATCTCAAACTCCAAGTCGTAGAAAAAAGTGCAAAGAAAGAAAAGAAAAAATCTCCACAAGGCGCCATACCAAACCATGACCAGGGTCAGGTCCCAGTACAAGGAAAAAAGAAAGAAAAAAATAGAATCATGTATCTTCGACAACTACAACCCGTTCCACAACCCAGTCTACCAGGGCCTGGCCTTCTAATCTCCATCTCCCATCTGCCCAAACGTCGTTGAACCAGTAACGCCATGATTTGCCAGAACTGAGCTGAAGATCCCACATGGAGGTAGACGAATTACGGAGAGAAGAATTTCCTTCTGCACCGGCCGATAGATCTCGATTCACATTTCGGAGACCAAGGGTGGAAGCCGAAGCATTAGAATTCGTATCATTTCCTTGGCGTATAAGCCATTCGCGCTCTGCTTTCTCTCCTGCCCGACGAGCGACGGCCTCTTCATCTTCAGCCTGGTAGAGATCACATTTCGTACATTCGACACAACGAGAGCCTGGGTTGATACGAAAATGTTCACAGAAATGTTTATAGCCCTCGGGCTCTTCAAATTCGTCGTCTTCAAAGGCATCTTCTCCTACTGCGCCGTCCAGGCCTTCGCCGGGGCCGTCGTAGGCTTCTAAGTCGAGCCCATGTCTTCTCCGATTGTTCTGGTGCCCTTGGGGTCGGGTAGGGGTGCCCAGAGCTTTGCGACAGAGATAGCACATTGAGTAGCCGCATACACAAGTAAGTTTGTTGCAGCCGGAGGATTTGACGAAGGAAAGGCCGCAGCGAGGACAGGTTCGTTTGACTGCAGCTGTGCGAGCAGCCTCGACGGTCGCACGCAAATCAAGCAGTAGAGGTTCATGGCAGACATGGGGATCTCGCCATGCCTTTTGGCATGTCATGCAACTAACCCGTCCACATGTAGGATTAGAACATGAGAATCTCTTGGGCCGTATCTTGAGGCAGAGATTTCGAATTGAGTTGTTGAATATGAGTGCCACTGCGGAAGAATCGCATAATAGGAGAATCAACAAGGGTATCAAGAGGAACGGAACGAGGTCAAGTAGAAGGATAATCATTAAAATGGTGTGAGGGACGCCGGCATCCATACGGACTCGCCAGCTGATACCTCGAGATGAAGGGTGATAAGCGGGATCAGCTTCAGCATAAGAGCAGAACGGGCACCGGATGAGTTTCAATTGCGATTTCAGCAGTGTTTCAGATGCTAACCGGTCTTCGAATTTGCGGTACGTTTCAGTCCCAGCCGTGTCGAGTAAGATGGCCTGTCGAACAATTTGCGGGTGAAGGCAACCTTCACAGGCACCAACAGATAGCGGAGCTATGCATTTCAGTGTTGAGTGTTCCAAGTCCACTGATTTGCTCCAACCCTGTCCAAACAAGGCCTCTGAAATGGTTCGCTGAATACAATTATAACAGATTATATGGACGTTGGCTGAGCATGTCGCAATCTGCTCGAATGTCACATCGGCAAAACAGCACTCGCATTCATATAAAGCATCAGCAGCCCTGGCTTCTTCTTCGTTAAGGTCCGAGGCAAAGCGAAAATCGCCAGTTTCCTGTTCATCGCGTCGTTGCTGCCACAGAGGAAGCACAAGGGTCGTATACAGCTCTCCATCCAGCTCGGCACATCCGGTTTCTTTAAGCCTCGGGATAAGCTGACCATCCACACGGCGCTGCCACGTCATAAGCGGATGTTCTTCTCTGTCCTTCTTGCGTCTAAAGGATGGCAGTAGACTGTTGAACGTAGCACGCCAGGTTCTTCGCGACAGATCCCGGAGTATCGGGCGGGCCCGTAAATAGCTGAAATTCACTTCAGCCAGGACGCCTTCAACGGTACTTTTGCTCAGGCTGTTGAATTCCTTTGTAAGAGTCATCCGCACTGCAGCCTTGTACTCTTCGGACCGGAATCGTTCCTCTAGAGGCACAAGACTCCCATCCGTTGGAGCGCCAGCGCTACCAGCTGTTGCGTCTTCTTCCGAGTCATCATTTCCATCCGGTATGTTCCACCTCCCTGAAACCCAGTCCTTCTTATGACGGAGCAGTTGCTCTACACAAACATGTAGCCTGCTATCCCCATCAAACCGGACAAGCAGCTCCCGAAAGACTTCGATTTTCACGTCCGGAAATATACGAGCGAGTGCTTCAAGGGAAGTATTCAGTTCATCCTGTTCCTTATTCTGTTCCTGTGCTTCGCTGGGAAGGCAATCGGTAGGTTGGACCGGGCGAGAACGCGAGGGACTCCCGAAAGGATTATTTCGTAGAGCTTCGCTCAAAGTAACAGACTGGTTGCTTGAAGAGGATGAGGTTCCACCTAGGACGGCGGGTTTCCATGAATTCCGACTAGATGAGGAGCTGGTAGAGGCGCTGGAAGTCGATCCACGGTGACGTTTGTTTGATTGTGATGCGGGCGCGGCGCCGTCGGCGGGGCGTGGGGAAGTGGAGGATTTGTATAGTTTGGGGACAGGCAACGAGAGCACCATTTTGCGGGTGATGAGGATGCTCCTACATCTCGGTCTTTTGAAGAAGAGAAGAGAAATAGTTCTTTTCGAGGAGCGGGGGAATGTTAGGTCGGGGGATGGAATGCAGAGGGAATGGATGGGGGCGGTGACATAAGACTTGGGGGTTGGATTTGATGGTTGCCTTAGTCCGTTAAGCTGGTTTACTTTGAGGTCTAGATTGTTACCAAGCAGGGTTTTTTTATGTGAAATCAAAGGAAATTGAAACTGAAATTGAATATACATCCGACTATGTGTATATTCTATTTTATTTCTCTGCTTTTTCTTTGTTCAATTGCGCTATAATTTTCAACACCCCTTGCACGCTGCACCGGCGAATACTATGCGGCGGGCCGATGCAGTATGCTAGGGCAAAATAGAACAGATGTGTCTAGACCGAGCCTAGGGCGACTTACGAACACGTAGATGGGAATTCTGTGAGAAATGCAAATAAAATACTCGGATCTTATGGGAAAAGGTTGAAATGAACATGAAATATGAATTCTAACAAAAGGAAACCAAATAGTTTATATACATACAAAAACGGAAGCCAATTTCTGACTGGAGTATCCTAGCTCAAATACCATAATAAATCGTTATTTTACAGCTTAGCCTTAGCACCCTCGAGGAGCTCGGCACCGGCCCCGGTAATAGCGGGCTTGCCAGTCTCGACGACAGTGGCCTGGAAAAGGACAGTGTTGCCCTCCTTCCACATCTCAGTGCGAAGAGTTTGTCCAGGAAGGACGACACCAGCAAAGCGAACCTTGAGGTTCTTGTAGGCACCGTACTTGGCGAAGACTGACTTGGCGGCCACACCGAGCGAGCACAGACCGTGCAAGATGGGGGTCTTGAAGCCACCGACCTTGCTGAACTCGGGGTCGATGTGGAGAGGGTTGCGGTCACCGTTGAGGCGGTACAGAGCAGCCTGGTCCTCGGAGGTCTTCTCCTCAATCACGGCATCAGCCTGGCGCTGAGGAGGCTTGTAGGCAGCAGTGGCAGCCTTGGGGCGAGCAGCAGTGGGCTTAGGAGAACCGCCGAAGCCGCCGCTGCCACGGATGAAGACGGTGGACTCGTTGTAGAACAGGTCCTCGCCAGTGGCAGCGTCCTTGGTGGTGAAACCAGTCACGACCAGAGCAGCGTTGCCCTTGTCAACGACATCAATGAGCTTGGGGTAGGTCAAGGTCTTGGCCGCGGTGGGAATAGGGAACTTGCGGACCTCCAGGTACTGCTCGCCGTGAAGCAGCATCATGGGGGAGAAGTTCTTGACAATGTCATCGAAGTTCCAGGGGACGGAAGTGTTGAACCAGGGGATAACACCAAATGAGGGAAGGGCCTGGAAGTGGTCGTTGTTCTCGTACACTAGAGGCAGGTCGGTGCGCTTGGCACCCAGACTGAGGTTGTAAAGGATGACATCACGGTCCTCATAGTCGAAGGAAGTTCCCTCAGTAGAAGTAGCCTTGGCCGATTCGATGTTCTGCAGGAACTCGTTCTTGGATTCGCCGCCAGCGCGGTTGTCCATGTTGGCCATGACCCGAGCAGAGCCATCTTGGGTATCTTCGGGGTGGTCAGCACGACCATCGTCGAAGTTGACAATCTTCTCCCACTTGGCGAGAACCTCCTCGGGTGTCAGCTTGACATCGACGGGGAAGCCATGGCCTCCAGATCGTTGCCAGCGGGTGCGACCGAACCAACCGCTACCGCACTCGTAGAGACCCTTGGTGGCGGGCTCAGGAGAGTTTTCAGAGCCAAGAAGCACAACCAGAGGAGCAACGTAATCGGGCTTGAAGGCCTGAACCATCTCCTCGGGCATGATGGTACGGGTCATGGCAGTACCAGCATTAGGAGCAATGGTGTTGACCTTGATGTTGTACTTAGCACCCTCAACAGCAAGAGCACGAGAGAGACCCAGAATACCCAGCTTGGCCGCAGCGTAGTTGGCCTGGCCGAAGTTGCCGTAGATACCACTGGTACTGGCAGTGTTGACGACACGGCCATACTTCTGCTTGAGGAAGTGGGGCCAAGCAGCCTTGGTCACCTTGTAAGTTCCACGCAGGTGGACGTTGACGACCGAGTTCCACAGGTTGTCATCCATGTTGGTGAAAGCTTTGTCACGGAGAATACCAGCGTTGTTAACCAGGACATCAATACGTCCAAAGGCATCGATGGCGGACTTGACGACAGCGTCACCGTCCTCGCAGTTGGCCTTGTTGCCAACGGCCTCACCACCAGCCTTTCTAATCTCCTGAACCACGGGTTCGGGGTCAACCAGATCGTTGACAACAATCTTAGCGCCGTACTTAGCGAAAAGCAAGCAGTAAGCGCGGCCAAGACCAGCACCGCCACCAGTAACTAAAGCCACACGGCCCTTGAAGTCGGGCTCCTCACCACTAGCCGCACTTGGCATCTTCAAACCACTCTCGAGGAGACCCATGAAATCAGCAGGTCCAGTGGGGTAGTCGGGTTGGGAGAAGTCATTCACGTCAGCCCACTTGCGGGCGATGGCACCGGGTGTCAATGAATCGTCGGTCTTGAGTAGAGCGCCTTTGGCACGCTCCCAGCGGAGCTTGGCCACTGCACCACCACCAAGTTCATAAATGCCACCAGTCTCGGTAGTGTTAGATGAGTGAACAAGACGAGCAACAACAGGGACAACCCAGTCGGGCTTAAGATTCTCCAGCACATCTGGAGGCATAACGGTAGCGGTCATACGGCTAGCAGCGATGGGAGCAATAACGTTGGCAATAATGTTGTACTTGGCACCCTCCTTAGCCAGGGTCTCAGTGAAACCAACCTGGCCCAGCTTGGCAGCAGAGTAGTTGGCTTGTCCGAAGTTACCGAAGAGACCAGCGGCTGAGGCAGTGTTGATGACACGGCCGTACTTTTGTTTACGGAAATGAGGCCATGCGGCACGAGCACACTATAGTTTATGAAATTCCCGGTTAGCATCTTGTCTTTCTCTCGCATGCTATCTTAGATATCTGGTCGAGGACCACTTACCTTGTAAGCACCGTATGTGTGCACACGGTTGATCAGATCCCAGTCCTGGTCCTTCATGTTTTTGAAGCTGACATCCCGGAGGATACCAGCGTTGTTAAGAAGAACATCGACACGACCGAAGTTCTTAATGGCAGTCTCGATAATGGCCTCACCGTTTTCTACGCTGTCGTAGTTGGCGACCGCCTTTCCGCCCGCGGCGCGGATCTCCTCAACGACAACGTCTGCGGCCTGGACTTGAATTAGCTTGATTGAATTGTTCAGACGAAAGTCAGAGAGGGCATACTTTTGATGAACTGCCGTCGCCGTTGTGAGAGCCACCGAGGTCATTCACGACCACGTTTGCGCCCCTTGAGGCGAAGAAAAGTGCATATGCCTTTCCCAAACCACCGCCGGCGCCGGTGACGACGACAGTCTGATTATCAAAGCGCAACTCGGACATTGCGAATAATATGTGAAATAGCAATCCGACTAGTTCAAATATCTGGAGGAACTAGAAGTTGGGGAAGAGACAAGAAAAGGCGGAGGATGGGGAGGTTAAGAGCGGCCCCAGAGCTCGGTACAGCTGGGGGACCTCGGCACGTTCAAGCGTCGTGTAATGTAACAAACGGCGTCACATTTTACCACGGGAAGATCTCACTTCACATGCCGAACATTTGAACATTTGCATGGTAACGTAATCGACGGCAGAATCAGATGCTTTTTGCACAGATCATAAGCATAGATGAATTATAATTATTATGCCATATACATCATAGGTGTCTACTTTGTCCATTGCCGTACTCCGTACTCCGTTCTTATGTACCGGGATTGCCCATGACGACAGTTGGCTTCCCTTTCGGTGTTAGCGTCGGCCCCCTCTTGTTGTCATCCATGTGATGTAAACGTTAGTGGGGTCTTGGTGCCACATATATCAGGCATCTACTTGCATTTACAGTGTTAACTACTTGCCTCGGGTATTCGAATCACTATGGGTGTTCGACAGTCCATGGGAGGTGAGTAAGGATACTCCATAAATTTACATAGGAAGCCACGGCTTTCGATTGTATTTTCTATATGTAACGTTGAGGCTGTTCAACCTCCAAAACATAGTAGTCGCCATGTACCCAGCGCACGTATTGAAAGTGAATTGGAGACATTTATTTAGACCTCATAGACTAATTTGAGAACAATAGCGAGAGACTCTGGTCGAGTTCCCCCATTTCAAGATAAATACAAGGCTCAATAGCTTCGATTTCTGACAAGATAAATGGGCGATCTTCGGTCACCAAGCCATCCACACGCATATACGCATCTTCCTGTTGTCGCACTCCCGAACCGATCCTTGAGCGTATCAAAGATAGAGTTGACGACAGACAAGGTCGTCTTGTGAATCTCCCTCAATTGTTTTGCGACTCAGTTGGCCGCTGAATTGCTGCTGGCAGCGGAACTCGCCGCTACGAGGCGATTTCAGAACCACGTGAGAGAGACTCTCGCCGACAAATATGAACGAATATTCACCCAGCGAGATGGATGGCTCAAACTCCTGCAAAATGATTGAGCTTCCAAGGTGACCATCAATGCATGACTGCAAGTGTGTGGTGTCTTCCTTCGAGAGGTTTGAAATGTCAGAGGTGAGTGTGGTGTAATTAGAGGATGCAGAAATTGCTGGTTTGAGGACGACAGGCCCAGATGATTGAAATTCAATCAGTCGTCGGTGTAACGCGGACGCAGAATCAAATCGTTTCGCCTCAATAATTTCCATCTTGGGTATATCGACTCCCGTGTCGTGCATCTCCAAGAGATATTTCTTGTCCATGTTCCATTGGACCAACTCAATAGGATGCACCATGCAAGGACGACTAGTACCGTCTTTGATTGACTTGATCGCTGTTTGAGCTTCCATGAGAAAATGCTGGAATTCGATGGGATGTCGAATGTAGTCCTCAGCCCAGAGAAAAGTCACAATATCGTGATTCAAGATGGAGGCAATGATGTCCTCATCCAGCTACCGTTTGACGGTGATCAGTGCACCTGCTTTTGAGAGGAGTGGCGGTAACATCTGACTCGGCCAGTCATCTTCTGAAATGTATTTCTCGACAATGTCGGTTGGCGGAGTCGTCAGAAAAAGGATTCGTTTCATTCTGTCCTCATTTCAGCCCTTGAGTGAGTCAGAGTATACCTCAGGTCGTGGATGAAGCGGATTGAGGGTGAGCGGCTCCGAAGGACAGAACAACCAGGAATTAGATATATTAAGAGATGCTTCTAGTACTGGAAATCCTGGCTAGTCGTATTTTATATGGAAAGTCAAATTCAAACGCTATCAATATGATTCGTCGTGCATTACGCTTATGGCACGCACGAAACTTGAACAAGAAAGATTGCCCACAGCACTTGACCGGACTACTATTACGTTATTTGTATTTGAAGTGCGAGAGGACAGAAAAGCAAATGATGTGTTCACGTCTTTTCTCTGTAGGAAACTAATTATTTGGGGGTCTTGTGCTAATCATGTTCTGTGTCTAATCGAATAACCTGGAAGAATTGTATAAGGGACGTATCCAGGAGGGCTATAGACACTTGTGAGTGTTAAAGCCCTTTGCGCATTCTTCAGTCCCGCAGTGTCCCAAAAAGCAGGTCCGACACCAATCGTCTGTCATTGCATCGATTTCGCAAATCCAGCACCAGAGCGGCTTCGTCCCAAGCTGATTGGCCTCTTCAGTCATGACATATCGAAGGTATCTTGTATCGGAGCCAATGAGATATCTCTTGATTGCTTCACTATCCACAGCAGCAGCAACATTAAGCTTGGGAATCCACCGCGCCCAATCACTTCTCCTACGAAATGCTGCCATAACATTAAACTTTTTATTGATCTCCCGCGGAACTGCGATGAACGCGCCTAGACCACGCACGATTGTCTCTCCAGGTGGTTGATCGTTCTTCGCATAGCGAATGATAAATTCTCGGAACGCTTTTCCAAATTTGCTCACTTCTTGCGGCCAATCCTCGGCTGCCGCTACATTCAAGGTACCCAAGGCTTCGATCAACACTGGTGTCGAAATCGGTCTCGTGACCATAGAGCGCCAGAATCTAATCGACTAGCGAATGAGCTCCTCTTTATGGAAAGCGAGATGTCGCATCATCAGGCCGTTGAAGTTAATTGCAATGCCACTAATACCCATGCCTTTACCAAAGGCGATCATGTCAGGTTGGATCCCACCATCTTCGAAGTATTCGGGTCTCTGATGAACCAGTACCTGTGAAAATTGCAAGGCTCATTGAACTGACAATGAAGCCATTCGACGAGCGCCAAGCATAGCATCATGGCGCGGGTTTCTCTACACGGGTTCGATTAATAGTACCAGGCTGCTCGTCGGGAGTCGCCTCGAAGCTCACATCAAGCCAGGATGGAAGTCAATATGGAAGAGCGATGTCACCTCTTCTGGTCATTTTGCACAGCTTTCGCCGAGGGAGCAGGTGTTCGATCGGCGAAGTAAATAACCGATCAGCCCAGCCAGCCTCCCGCGCTAATGTGTCACTAGTATCTTTGCAATGTGGGCCCAACTAGACGTTCTGTCCACCAATGATTAAGGTTTTTCATGTCGTACGAACCTCAGCTACCGTCGATCCTTCAAGGGGCCTGCATGAGATCTTTTTGTAGCTTTGGAGTAAGAATTGTTATAGGTTACAATACACAGACTGCTCGGTACATACATTTTGTACCTTTACACCCATAGGCTCTAAAATAGTTCAGAAGCTCATAGTGCAGATCCTCCAACTCAAGGGGTCCTTTGGTTATCTTTGAGTCAAAACTGTCATTCATGTCTAACAAATCAGGCACCAACATCGAGGAATCAAAATCATCGCCAACCCCAGCCTCTGTCTGGATTTTCGAACATTTAAACTGTAAACATTGAAAAGAGTCTTAACAGGTCCATTCATTAATGTTTGCCCCGCAATGCTCATTTATGGTCACGTGGTTTATGTTCAACTTTCAGCCGCATAACCTTGGAGGCATAGGGTACCTATCTGATAGGAAGATGAAAGATAGGGTTTTTTGGGAATTTTGACGGGGATCTATCTGGAACATGGCTTTGAATCTATATTGAAATTGGGGTTACGGGGAATTTGAACTTGAAGGTGGAACTTGAAATTGGTGAGGGTCCTACATGTAGTAGTATCCGTGGATGAATTAAGGTGGAACTATATATCAGTGATGCTGCCCAGGTGGTGCATCATTCAAGTTCCTTCAAATGTTGGACTATGTATACTTCAAGTTGTATTTTACTAGTACATGGTCATCCCGAGTAACTAATGAACATGATTGACTAAGGAATTAGACATCGTAAGCTGTCGTGTCTCTATCGCCCGAGAAACATCAAGGCCACACCATATAGTAGCTCCCTGCAGAAGCCCGAGGAGTCCCGCCGATCGGCCAACTTACCGCACCCCGTAGCCGATAAAGTGTAACCTCCCCACGATCCCCACGATGTGAGCAACTTACAAAGTACAATCGGCCCAAAAAACAAAATGGCAATAATAGACGACAAGTCGCAACACTGCATCCCATTCCTTCTGGAGCGTCTCCGCACGCATACGGCCCGGCATAGCGCCCGCGGTAATGCCCCGCCCTTCTTCCTCGGCCTCAATGGCGTGCAAGGAGCCGGCAAAACAGTGCTAGTAAGTGCCTTCTAGACCTCGGCACCAACGGGTCGGCACTCCTGATCCATAACCTACAATAACTAACCAGTTTCTTTCCAATTGCCTAGGTGTCAACACTGCAAGAGACTCTCCGCTCCGAGCCGTATTCGCTATCTGTCGTCACATTGTCGCTCGACGACCTCTACCTTACTCACGCTGATCAGGTAGCGCTAGCCCAAGCACATCCAGATAATCCCCTACTGCAACATCGGGGTCAGCCTTCAACGCATGACTTAGCGCTGGGTGAGAAGGTGTTCGCCTCGCTCGCTGCGGAGAAGCCTACTTCTATTCCACAGTATGACAAGTCTGCATTTTCTGGACAAGGCGATCGTGTTCCAGAGTCACAATGGGAGGTGGTGAATAAAGAAGGGCAAGATCCTGTCAAGATTGTCATCTTTGAAGGATGGTGTGTCGGATTCCGTCCTTGGGATGATGAGACACTACGAGTGAAATGGGAGGCTGCTGTACAACAGAAAGAGGCCGGGAATTATCAAGGTCGGCTAGGTTATGTTAAGCTGGAAGATGTACAAGCCGTCAATGACGCTTTGAAACGATACGACGCCTTGACTGAGTGAGTTTGCAGTCTTTTCCCGTGCGAGCTTCTGGAAGTTGCTAACTTGACTACGCAGTAAATTCGATGCTCTGATCCATATGTAAGAATTCCATGACTGTGTTCATTACACTAATGTCTATAAACATGCTGACCTATATCTTTAGCGACGCTCAGAATTCGCGATTTGTCTATGAATGGAGGCAAGAACAGGAGCGCTCCCTGCGTGCTTCGAAGGGCACTGGCATGACCGAAGAGCAGGTCAATCATTTCGTGGATGGCTGTTAGTATTCATTCAAGCGAATCGTGATTAAAAGCGCGGCCACTGATTGTTATTCTTTAGATTATCCCTCATATGAACTTTTCACGGAGACTCTCCGAGAAGGGGTTTTCAAGCCTGCAGCTCATAACCCATCCACTATAGCACCGTCCGATTGGCAGGATAGACAGCTTCGTCTTGTGGTAGACCGAAACAGAAGAGTTCAGGAAGTAATCAAGATCTGATGATCTTTAGATGTTCTTCTGGCTTGCTAAACCTTGTACATACAATGCCGAACAATTCCAACAAAAGATATAAGGAAAGAGAAGACCACTGAATAGTCTGTATCTGTAAAAGCCGGATTGATATCGATACATCTGTATTGGCGAATGTAAAGAAGATCAATAGAGTGCGACAATGGGTCGCTTCAGAGGCCCTTTCTCTCCGGGTAGCTCGCACGATAGGCCCTGAAAAGTGGAGCACCCGAGAGGGCCTCAAAGAAGATCCATGGAAGCGCTATAACAGCTGTCACTGTCTAAGCTTTGAGGATTAAGGGCAGTAGCTTGGCCGTGCTGTCCATAATCACACGGCTCATAACGATCAGATTGTTGGTCTTGAGTGGTATGTTTCTCAAACTCGGGGTGATGAGCCGTCGAAGTGGAGCTCATCATGGGAGATTAGCTGGGTGTATAAAAATTTGGTGCCAATCGGTTCTGTTCTCATCCACTGTCATCAAGTAGGTTTTGTGGTGACCAGTATTCTCTTTCTGGGCCCTGGGCATCCAGCCAAACAAGACCATCTGCAAGCATATCGTCGATCACGGTTTGCGCCCGTGCCTTTTCCCAGCTAAGGTTAAGTCGTAGCATTGAAACGCTCACGAATCCGAGAACTTGGATAACTTCAAGAACGGTTGCTTGGTCTGTGTTGAGCTCCTTCGGGATGGATCGAATGTATTGTTTTGAGCCGACGTGGACGATAGAAAAACCAGATCCGAGAGGCTCTAAAGACCGAACTGCGCGAAGAATATCATCACTGTGAATTAATCACCTATGTTAGTAAATCATGCCTCTTGAATGAATGGAAATCTGTGGGTGATCCATACGCGGAAACCTCTAGTCCGCCACCGATTGCCTTGCCCTTGCCGACGCGTTTCCGGCACTCCTCTACGCCGATAAGCCCGCCATTCTCACCCCTTGTCTCACGGCATAGTTCTACCACCCGGACTGCCACTCCAAAGTAGAAGTCATTCATATCACCGCCCAATATCTGGGTCCAGAAGCTGCCACCTTCGCCTAGCCCACGGCGGCCATTCTTGCCTTTGATGTTACTCGCAGCCAAAGGGTCAACTCCAATGGTATTGCACATCCGGGCAAATTCTGCTCTGAAGGTTGGATTGGATTTGATCGTGGAGCTGTGCTCTAAAGCAAACGTGTGGAGCAATGACTGGAAGACAGAGAGTTGGGTTTGGAGAGACGCCGTATGAGTAGAACGAAGATTTGCGCCATGAGTTGCGTAGGATTGAGTTGCTTGGTTTCGATTGGCAAAGGCGCCGAGGCCAACACCACGACGTGACATGATCACTGCTCAGAGGATAACAATCTGGTATAGGATCAACTTAGAGGACCAGCAAGTCACCCTTGGGTGTCAAGTGGAGCCCGCGGGGGTGAAGTCAGATGACGATAAGAGAAGCCCTAGTCACGAGCGATAAGGGTAAGCTTTTCCACATATGGAATAGCGTTTCTGTGAATCCCGCCCTACCTATTACGGTTAGTGCCGACCGGCCACCCACACAAGCGAGATCTTCTTTTCTCTTTGAACTTTTCGCTTTGCTTCGAACTTTTCTTCGACAACCCTCGACCAGCCAACTCACCTCGACGGACCTTCGCAATGGCCTCTACCACCACGTATGCATTCCCTTGATTCCCTATCTCACTGAAACAATCCTTGCGATTGTGAGGTTGCAGGTATAGTCGTCCTTCTCGCTGGAGATGTTGCCGGCCGTCGTCGAAATTTGATGATGGTCGCCAAACACCAGCTCGATCCTTCCTCTCCCCTCCGCCGAACAACCTTGAGACGTGCATTCTGCTATTCAATAGGTATATCAACGGGGGGCAACTGGAGTCTTGAGGTCGAAAGCATTTGATTGCCTTCGCTTCCAAAACCATTGTTGAGCAGCTATCGTTTATCCAAAGTGGTTGATATTGTAAAATTTATCTCACAAGGTTCGAAGAGCGTCAACGTATATTTCCTGAACATTTTGTTCGGGGTGTTGTCGGATGAGGGTGAAAATGATTTTCTGGGGTGGCTGGATAGGAAAGAAATTTTCTTCTTCGCGAACGGGTTGCTGGAAGATGCCCCTAGTACCAAAGACCAACCAAGATACCCCATTATCATTTCCCTCACTGACTAAAGACATTTCGTCGAGTTTTATTTATTTGATATTATCAATATCATCTTGCCTTCAGTCGAGAATGTGGCGCTATATGCTACAGTTCTTACACTCGGCGGATTGTTTCATGCATTCATGATCCATTGGGACAGACTATACTCACACCACCGCAGCTCCATCCCCACCAAGGATCAGGTCCTCGTCCCCGAGACCCTCCTCAAGAAGCGCAAGTCCCAGGAGGCTGCCCGCGCTGAGCGTCGCGCCGAGACCGAGCAGAAGAAGAAGGTCAGTGTCCCTTTACCAGATCAAAATCCTCCCACCTCACCTCCCATCCAACTTAATGATGCATAACACCATTTCATGCGACTAGGCCAAAAGGTCGATGCTGTCGTTTGTTAACCATCTTTCGGGTCTGAAACATTGTTGATGCCCTACGTGCTTAACTGTCACCAAACGCATTACTGAATCTTAAACTAACTTGAGATTTATCCAGGCCAACAAGGAGAAGCGTGGCGTCATCTTCAAGCGCGCCGAGTCCTACGTCAAGGAGTACCGTGACGCAGAGCGCGAGAAGATCCGTCTTGCCCGTGCTGCCCGCCAGGAGGGTAACTTCTACGTTGAGGATGAGTCCAAGCTGGTCTTCGTTGTCCGTATCAAGGGGTATGTCAACCACGTTCTAGTAATCATTGTCTGTTCAATGGTGCTAACTCTGTTTCCAGTATCAACAAGATCGCTCCTAAGCCCCGCAAGATCCTCCAGCTGCTGCGTCTTTTGCAGATCAACAGCGGTACCTTCATCAAGTTGAGCAAGGCCACCCAGGAGATGCTGACCATTGTCAACCCCTACATTGCCTACGGTTACCCCAACCTGAAGTCCGTCCGTGAGCTTCTGTACAAGCGCGGTTACGGAAAGGTTGACAAGCAGCGCACTGCCCTGACTGACAACCAGATCATCGAGGAGCACCTCGGCAAGTACGGCATCGTCTGTATGGAGGATCTGATCCACGAGATCTACACTGTTGGCCCCAACTTCAAGCAGGCCAACAACTTCCTGTGGCCCTTCAAGCTGTCCAACCCCAACGGTGGTTTCCGCACCCGCAAGTTCAAGCACTACATCCAGGGTGGTGACACCGGTAACCGTGAGGAGAACATCAATGCTCTCATCCGCCAGATGAACTAGATTGTTTCCATCTGGAAACCGGGCGGTTCAAAATAAAAATTTTCACGACTTTCTTGTCACGGGTTGTTTTGTTAGCAAACAGGCTGTGTTTTATTTGTTCAATTAGCGATACGGTCTGGGATTTCCTAATTAAATGCTTCAGTCAACCCGCAATTGCCTGTTTCATGCCGAGTAAACTTTGTATAACTGTAGCAACACTTGTAATCACATTGTAGCAAGTCAGCCCTATATGGCTCGTGTGTATTGACATATGCTGTGATTCGGAGTCCACATTTAATTGGATATAAGGTAGGGTTTCTAGCTAATGCCGCCGGGTATTTCTTAAATTGAGCTCATTGAAAATTTCTGTTAGACTATGCCTTGTTCATAGCTGGCAAACTGCAAGAGCTTTTTTCAATATGCGGCACACCCAAGGGCCAAAGCGACAAGTCAATAATTCACCTGCTAATCCTTCTTCCACTTTATGTAAAGCTAGATTTTTTCTCTCTCTAGATCGACCATTTCTCTAGTGATGGGGTCTTCAAAAGTGCCAGCTGGTTTAGAACTTGGCCTGTCCAGCGTCATTCTGACCTCAAGGAGATCAGCTGCAAATGGAGGATATTCCTGGGACGCTAGAAAGAATTTGTGATCATGGCTTAGGAGATGCCCTGAGACGGAGGCTTTAGCCAGAATTTGTCGTACTGGATGTCCATGACGCAAGTAGCTTGCAGAGATAATATGTTCATGAACGATCCAATAAGTGTTGGTATCGCGACGAGATGCAGAAATGGTTCCCATTGGATGAGGATTGGCGACAATTATCTCTCTAATATATTCGCCCATTTCGGTTTCAAGTCCAACAATATCGTACTTGTCCGCAAGTCTCACAAGCTCCATCGCGGCCGTAATATGCTCACCGGGGGGTCCTCGATGCTAAATTTGACAACCCGACAGTATAGCCATTGAATAAGTGCTTGAACACTTCGTACCGAGATTACGTATTCCATTTCTTCCAGCCCTGCCATCATCTCATGAAAATCTCTGAATGGACCTTCGAACATTGCTGAAAATACCGGGGAACTCGCACAGAGAAGATCTTTAGAGATTGTAAATTCGTCATTGCTAGGCGTAACTCTGATTTTCACAAGAGGCCCGTGATAGAGAGGAAGACTGCTGAGAGACTCTAGAGTTTAGATTAGCTTTCTTAATGATAGGAACATTCGTTGATTCCTTACTTCGTTGCGAAGTGTTGAGCACTATCTTCAGATGCCTCAGCCATGGTTGAAAAGAGCACAAAACGAGACCTTCTAACTGTGAATGAATGCTGGTAAGTGGATCAAGTTCTGGACGAACAAAGCTTTGAGAGATTACCTGCTCATGTAGAAATAAGGAGGGGTGGTTTTGTGTTAGAGTCTGAGTGGTTTACAATGAATTGTAACAATTATATACTGCATGGCTTATCCTTTCAGAAGAGTTTAGCGTCTCGTCTATTTAAAAGTTATCATTCAAAACCAGAACATGGTCTGAAAACAAGGCTCAATGTATTTGGAATTCTTTGTTTATAATATGAAAGGTGATATTTGGCAGTCACTACTATCCATAAACACAGACAGTGAGTGCATTCCTAATACATGTATCTTACAAGCTAGGCCTACTCAATAAATCAGAGGCACCCAGACTTCTCTAACTGGGTAAATTATGTTGACCGGTTGGCACAATCAGTAGCATAATTGGCTTTAATATGACACCCATCTTCCCTGAGATAGTATGAACCACACATTTTACAGCCGCCAATTTCGCGGATGTTTTCCAGCCGTTCAGTATCTTGCGCCCCGCTGTAGATATGAGATTAGCAAACTAATGGCCTAGGAAGTAAAAGGTCTTTGCATGCCGACTTAAAAACATAAGGAACTCTAAGAAATGGGGTATAACTTACTTAATTCCATATCCAAGGACGTTATTCCGATCCAAGCTGTTGACAGCCTCGTCACACCATTTCAAGAAATTCGGGGTCGTACATAAAGATGAGCTCTTACAATCATGCATATGTGCTCGGATCCGGACTAAAGACTGTAACAAGGGGATTATACCCTTGCGCCTGGATCACGAACTTAGTCGTGTCTGTTGTTGAAGTTCCCAAGGGCAAAGTCCATGTGTAAGCGTCGCCAGTATTACTGAGAGTGATGGTACCGATTGATGACCATGACCAAGGCGGAGACGTGGATCCAGCAGGAACCGTACCAGTGTATTCGTATAGAGTTGTGCCTTCGACCATGTAGTGTGTGCAAACGTAATTGTCACTCACGAAGTTGACAGTCCATCCCGGATTGGTGTCGAAGTCACACCCCACTGTATCCCAGATATAGAGACTGAAGGAATTGTAAGGAATAAGAACGTCAGCCGTGTAAGTTGTTGAGGATGCTCCAGCAGTGGCGTTGAGGTTAGAGATTGCATTGCCATCTGGCAGAGATTTTGTGTTGACAGTGAGTGTGTTGGACGCGGATCCTGTAGTTCCACCTCCTCCCACTGCACGCACGGTGAAGGTATAGCTAGTTCCTGGTTGAAGACCACCAATCGTGATTGAGGTCATAGTACTAGGAATACTGGCAACAACATCACTGCCCGAGTATACATAGTATCCGAGAGCACCAGTGGCTGCGGTCCACGACATCTTTGCAGAGCTATAATCCGATGACGAGACTGATAACCCGGATACCGCTCCTGCACTCGCTCCCGATGCCCAGGCCGAGGCATTAGCATTCAAAAGAGAGCCGCCATCGACTTCACCCAGCATGCTCTGTATGTAAGAATCGACAGGTAGGTTGTCGTATGGATTAGGCAAGACGTCATCCGTAAGTTCAATATACCCAGCCCCGCGCTCGACAGATAGTGCGACGATCTCGTCAATTGCAGACGCTGGAACGTTGTAAATAACATGCCAGAGCTTTCGCGGGTCCGCCGGTGTCCAATCGTTGGCCACGTACGAAGTTGTATATGCCGTGTAGTCCGATTCAAAGGTAAGTAGTGTATCCATGGTATCCTCAAAGCAAGAAGGCATGGGTGATCCTGGGTTCAAAATGGTATACGCGCCGGGATGGGCTCGCTTTGTGTAGTCGTTGATATACTTATATAAGTCGGAATACTGGTTGTTGTCGCCGCATGAAGGCCAGCCTTCGTCAAAAAATATGCCTCCGATGCTGTCACCATAGAGAGTATACCACATATCGATATCTTCCTCAATTTGGGCGGTCCAATCCGCCAAGTCTCCTGAGCCCAGTCTCGTCAAAATCTTTTGGTCGCTCACACCGAGGTATCCGGTACGCACATAGCCAAGGACCGTTTTGCCGGCGCTTGCAGCTCTACTGATAACATCGGCCCAGCTGGCATCGACGGCATAGTCGGGACCGTTCACAACGTTGGCAATTAACAATGGCATCTTGTCAACCGAATACTCAATCAGCCGATCCCAAGCGGCAGCATCTGCAGCTGGATCGATATACGAGGCCACCGCAATCTGCTGCCCATTGCCAGTAGTTGCGACAGGAGCGGCTAGGCATGGGACGGCGAGCAGCCCTGAAAGGTAAATCCTTGGATACTTCATGCTCAGGGTGGTGTTCTGAGGGATAAGAAAAGACGAGAGGGCGAAAAAAAGAAGAGTGTCCAGTGGAGTGAATAAATAGTAAAAACACTCGGCCTAAATAGATCAATCAACCCATCCAGCCGTCACTCGCCTCTGTAGCCGAGAAATGAAGTTCATCCTTCTACTTTGAGATAGTTGGAGAAGCGAGCCCATCCTCTGCCACTTCCACTCAGTATTGCTATACAGATTTAGGGTCTAGAAGCCGCCAAGAGCTGCCAGGAGCTGCCAAGGGTCTTGCTAGGTACTGGTATCTTGACCCGGTGACACGGTGCCAAAATACGCGACTCCGTACCTAGGTGCCTAGTCTCGTGGAATCAGAGATCGATAATAATAATGACTTCCAATGTACACTATAATTGAGACATTTCTTCTTATTAGGACTAGATAATGTAACCTTACATGAAGGTTTTAATAGGTAGATGAAGCAGAATTAAGATCTCATTTTAAAATTAAAATCAGGATGAACTCAAGGTTTCAAGGCTACGGAGTATTCCGTGATCTGTCCGTACGCGATGGGGCACTCAAACTACTAAATCTTTGGGCCGGCCCCATTCCCTAAGAAATCATAGGGGGCCGTCGCTGCCAGTGACCAGAAACTGACACCAAGGAATGTCTAGATGTGGGTTCAATTCCGCGAAGACAGCGCCTGATGGCGAATAGGACCTCCGCGGGTGATTAGAGAGTACCCTGGTTGGTTGTTTTCATTTTTCCTCAAGTAAATTTTACTTTTACACCACAGACTACTAGTAGTTCATATAGCGCTAACTAGAAGCTAGAAGAATTTTCACTGTATACGTAACAGTAGTCATGGGCTTTGGTAGGCTGGGAACAATTCCTTATACCTACGATTGCTGGTATTAGGCACGGGCATATCGCATAAGTCGGAAAATGCAGTATCAACTAACCTTGGAAGACTGTAGATATTGCTCCTAATTTGACGCTGCCCTCGTGGCGCGAGGCTCCAGAACTGCCGTGCAAAACGGCCTTAACCATTAAACGTCCTAGCGTGTAAGATGATGTCTGATCTGACTTTTTCTCTCTTTCTCTTTCTTCTTTTACCACAACATGAGCCTCTCAGTAGACCTCGAGACTCGTGATGGTATTCATCGCTCCTCTCACTTGACTTCGTAGTTTCATTCGAGATTCCGCTAGGCTTGGAACTATATCAGTAAATGAGGAATCGTTTCTTTCCGCCAATTAAGACTTCATGCAAAATGCAGATTTGCGTCGGACCCGGGACGGGTAAGCAAGAGTGGTCCCACCTAACACCCATGTAGGGGCCCTGCATTAGTGGGGCCAGCTACCCATGCCATATGGCAAAGCCGATACACAGCATAAAGCTGGAGGGGGGGGGGGGGGGGGGGGGCATATCGCTTAACATTTGGTCACTCGAAAAGAGTTTTACATCCATCCTAGAACCACGCACATATTAGCTTCCAAGTTGTGACAGAGCTAGATAGGAACTCGAAGGCGTGTCGACAGTCTAGAAACCCCACGCGTATCAGTCATGTTGCTAGAATATGAATTTCCCGATGAAAGCAATGCAATGAATTAAAAAGCTGTGAGCGCAGAAGTATAAGACTTGAGGGCAAATAAAATATACAACATGCCAAGGTGATTGATACCTTGATAATCCAAGAAAGGAAGGAGCGATGGATGGAGAATAACAAAGATAAAGGAAAGAAGGAAGGAGGGAGGGATGGAAGGGAAGAGCGAGGATGATCTATGGAAGCTGCCACCAGCTCAGGCTGTTTGTTGTTCTTCCTTTCTGTTGCTACATACCTGTACGGTGACACGGAGAGCGAGTCGCCCTACCTACCCCATGATGAGGGCACTCACTACCTGCTCATCTAGATCTGCTAGAAGTACACTTTACATCTGTTTAATAAAAGAAATGCTTTCTAACCATTTATATTCATTCATTTTGAGTCATCGAACAGACACGAGGGATTTCCACCGCGTTCGGAAACGGCATGAGAAAAAGCAGAAGAACCATGACAAGGAAAAGGAACAAAAGAGAAAAAGAAAAGAGAAAAATGAAGATGAGAAAGTTGAAAGGCATGCCATTACATCAGATAACCATAATTTAAGCCTTAATCGCACCGCCCAATGCACCACCACCAAACTGTTGACCACCAGGTCTACGGCCCTGGTTTCCACCGGGGAATCGTGCACCACCACGACCCTGGGCACCACCACCGCGACCACGACCACGACCAGGACCCTGCTCACGCTGGAAAGCATTGGCCATACCCTGGGTACGTTGCTCGAGAGTCTTCTCGTTGGATTCGAGGAGACCCATCGACTTGTCGGCGAGGGTGACGATCTGGGACTGGAGACGGGAGAGCTCGACGCCCTTGCGGAAGACGATAACGTCGTTGACCTGGTCGAGGGCAGCGCCGAGTTCTTCGTGAGAGATCATACGGCTGATGATAGCTGTGATCTTCTTGGTGGAGAGCTCGAACATATCGGACAGCGAGGAGATGGCGAGACTGTCGTAGAAGGGGGCGTATGTGAAGAGGTAAGTGCGCAGACCCTCCTCTTGAGTCTGTTGAGAGAGCATCTCCTTGACCTTCTCGGGCTGGGGCATCAGATCCCAGATCTTGATAGAGGCCAGCATCTCGGCGGCCTTCTTCCAGTCGCCGGCGGCGAGGAACTTGGCGGACATGATGACTCCGTCACGGGTGTTCTCGGGGGGACCGGTGAAGACCTGGCGCTCGTTGTAGTCGAGCATGCGGCGGAAAGTCTTGGAGATCATGCGGCGGCGGATCTCGGGGGCGGAAGAGGTCTGGGCCATGAGGGGAACCTCGAGGAACATGCTGGAGGTAAGGTAGATACACTCCAGAAGCTCGAGGTTGATGTGCATATGGAAGGGCAGCTGGCGCTGGCGCTCAAGACGCTCTTGCTCGGGGGTGACGGTTGAGTAGCGCTGGAGGATGATACCCTGGGCGAGCAGCTCCTTTTGACGGCCACTTCCGCAGATCTCACCGAGTGTGTTCTGGGCCTCGTAGATAAGACCGGCGCGGAAAGCGCACAGACCGATCTGAACAAGAGTGCGGTTGAAGAGGATCTGGGTGCTGACGTCGAAGTTGGAGATGTTCTCGGACAGATGTGACATCAGCATCAGGTCGCGAGAGCGGAAGTACTCGTCGTGCAGGGCGAGGAAGTAGATCTGGCACAGCATGGAGCGGGCACGGATGATACCGTCACTGTTCTGGAACAGGTAGCTGCAGAGAGTCTGGAGAAGAACGGAAACGTCACCGGCCTCGGCGCGGGTGGTAACGGCAGAGTCGATGTTCTCGGGAAGGGCCTTCCATGTACCATCCTCGAGAATTGAGACGACCTGGGAGGGCTTGAAGTAGACGTGCTCGAGGCGGCGGATGACCACACGGTTAACAGCGTCTTGTCGGGTCTCGTTCTTCTCACCAGCATTGAGGCTCTCAGCGTAGATCTGGGTGCGTACAAGGTTGTTGTACAATTGCTGCTCATCGCTCAGACGCTCAATGTACTCAGCAGTGTGAGGGTCGATCTGTTGGAGGGAGCGGGTGAGCTCGTCATCCAGACGCTCGATATATGAGACAATGCTGCCGGGAATATAGAAAGTCTCGCCCTCAGCAACCTGGGGCTGCTTGTCATCATCCTCCCACTCATCAGCTCCTTCGCTGATGATGTAGTTGCGGTGCTCCTCCAGAACAGACAGAAGGGTACCGAATTCTTGGTCGGCGCTCTTCCATTGCTCGGCGCTCATATAAGTGGCTGAAGAAGTGGAGGAAAGGTCGAAGCGAGTAGAGATGAGGGTCAAGTAGATACGGATGCGCTGGTAAGGGGTTGTGGCGACCTCAAGAAGCTTCTCCATTGTGCGGATTTGCTCAGTGCGGTCAGTGTTCTTCTTTCCGCGAGACTCAACAATGGAACGCAGGTGCTTGAGAATGCTCTCGGGGGTGTATTGAAGGGTCTTGCCACCACGGCCGACAGTAGCGAATCCATCATCGTCACCGGCGGCAGCAGCAGAGGCGGCCGCGGCGAAGTTCTCGATCTTCTCAACGCGGGTGGGCTTAGGAGCAGGGGCGGCAACGGGAGCCTCCTCCTTGTCGACCATGTAAGCATCCTTGTCGGAACGGTACTTGTCGATCTGAATGGTGTATTCCTTGTTGTTCTTCTTGATACGCTGCTTGATGGCGTTGAATCCCTTCTGGTTGCTAGCGTTCATCTTCTTGTTGGAGGCCTTCTGCTGGGCGGCGGTCTCGGTGATAGAGTCCTCGAGGTCGGCGACGAACTTAATGTAGAGCTTGGGGGTAGGTCCGGACTGGTTGACCTTGAGCATTTGACGGTTCAAGTTATCGAACTCTGCATAAATCACATCTATTAGCATGGTGTTCAATTTTTTTGGACCCCTCGCCCTTTTTTCATCCACCCCGCGGGGATGGGATACAATATCGAAAGCCCAGGCGTATCGAATTTCCCATCCCTTCCCATCCCTTCCCATCACATCGAAAGAGCAGAGTATAGTTCAAACTCACCAGTCGAAATAACAGCCCAGTCGTTGATCTTCTGAGCATTCTCAATCAATCGGATAGTGTTCTCAACACCCTCCAATCGCTTGTCCTTCGCACTCTTAACAGCAGTCACTTTCTCCTCAGCTTCATCCTCTTCACTTTCGGAATCACTCTTCAAGAAATCAAAGGCATCCTCGCCACCGGAGCTAGCCTTGTCATCGTCGGATTCATCGCCGGAGCCAGAGCTGGAGGAGTCGTCGTTAGACTCGGCGTCGCTGTCCTCCTCCCCAGAGCGCTCGTAAACATCCTCCTCCTCGTCCGAGCTGGACTCGCTGTCGCTACCACCGCGGTAGAAGAATCGTGACATCGTTGCGGATTTTAGACGTGGAGAAATCCGGGTGTACACGCAAAAGCAGATCCTTTAAAAGTTGGACGTGATTGTCCGGGAGAGAGCCACACACGAAATTTAAGCGAGGGGTTGACTATACCCGATTAGGACTAGCGTCATCATTTTTATTCTGATATAATCCAGATTGCATTTGCATTTGTAGACGGGGATTACATCTAATAGAATGTTTTATTGGTTTAATTTATTATCAGGATGACGTGTGAGTTAACTAGATCAACTAGTATTTCTTACTATATAGTGCCTGATAAGTCATTGAAACACAGCAATGGTATCCCGCTTGCCAACAAGTTGAATGCAAGTCAACAGCCTCAAGTATTCCCTCCCCATATATGACAAATAAAAGTAAAAACCATTGGACCACAACATGCATGCGCATTATATCCCGGAGTACAGACTTTAGAATAAGAGCAAAGAAAAAATAAGGAAAGGATGGAGAGAACCATCAATAATCCTTAGGTAACCCACACAAGAAAAATATCAATGCCTACTGAGACAACCAAATGTAGAAGAGGGAAAAGGGGGGGGTTTGTGAAGTCGTTCTTTCATACTCCAGGCTATGCCGAAAGAAGAGAAGGAAAATAAAAGCACAAAATAAAAGAACAAAGAGAAAGGGAAATATAACGAGTATGTCGCCAGTTGAACTGAACCGACCCGAGCGATGGCTCCAAATCATTTGAATGGACCAAACAAACTAAGCGAGGCGAATAAAACAAAAAAATAGAAAAGACAAAAAAGACAAGAAGGTGGCGATCTGGTCATGTTCCGAAAAAAAGACAAATACAGAATCAGAATCACAACCACAACCACTGTTTCCGAGTTACTGCTTCGCCTAGTGCGAGTAACTTGGGTTTGACACAAAGCTACGTTCAAAGAAAGGGGGTCAGGCATTGTGTCACTCAACCCCTGAGCTCTATTGGTCGTTTCCAGATCCATACACCAATAGCTCGTGACAAACACGGGCAGTTGGGGGCCACCGACCAATGACTCACGCCAAGAAAGGATAACTGGGAGGTCCGCGAGAGGGCCCGCGAGGAGTAGCATAGGTCGAGGGAGGAATGGTGAGTCAAGCAAAACGAAAATAACAACAGAGGGTCTAAGTTATCCAATTGAGATGATGAGGCATCTTTGGATCGATCCTCCAGCAAGATGCACGCACCAGGCGTGTGAATGCTTGGATGCTTGACTGCAATAGAAAAAGAAAGACAAGTGTACCACATTCCACGACACTGTATAGAGCTATTCGTTTAGAACAAATATATCTCCTTGGTGTCTGGTTAGTCCCTTTAGTGCCACGGGTTTTGTCCCATATAACTTTCACCCAGGGCCCCATCCTCAAGCGTGCGGATAAAATCTCGGTTTCGTTGGGCATTAGCATTTCCGTTGCCGTTGCCACCTGCACGGCTACCGCGGCGTCGCTGGGCGTTGGCATCAACATATCCATCCGGGGGAGGTGGATAGTAAGCAGGGCTAGGTTGTAACCGGATCGGGGCGTTGGGGTCCAGATGGCTTGCAACGCGCTGGATAGTAGGGGGAATACCTCCACCCTGGGGATCCATAGTTGAGGCACGTTGACGGCCTGCCCGTGTTGTAGCTTGAGCATAGAGACTCTGTCCAGAACCATATTGGGGCTGAGGTGGCATTTGTCCAGTAGCAGCCTGGGGTAACATGCCCATTTGATGCCCATAACCAGGAGGTTGTGTGGGATAAGGCGGTGGTGCCGCTGCTGCACCCTGTTGGTACATCCCGTTATACATGGGAGGAGGGGGAGGAGGCTGGGCGTGGGCTGGTGGTGGTGCCTGTTGGTATGGGTTCATTTGCATTGTGTACTGTGTCTGGGCTTGGGCTGCTTGGGCTGCTCTTTGTTTACTGGCGGCTTCAGCTTGCTGTTGCTGTTGAACGCCGGGAGCAACGGTCTTGTTGAGAGACGAATACTTCAAGTTCATCGGGGGCATGAAAGGTCCAGTGAACTTCTGCTGGGTTATAAATGGGTGCAGCTTGGCTTGCTGAGGTGACCACCGCTCAAGGGGGTTGATTGATAACAGGCCGCGGACAAAATCGATGAATGCTACTCGGTTGTTCAATTCTGTCCCGCGATAGTCAGTTTAAAAGGTCCGCACCAAACGAAGAAAAGAATGTGTAGTGTTGAATCTCACCTCGCTCGACCTCGGCTTGCTTCATATTCTTCCTCGGCATAGGGTAGCTTCGAATAATCTCTTCCAATGTCGAAGCCGAGAAATACTTCTTGCTGGGCTGTTCCTTGGTGTTGTGTTCTCGTGAGTACTGTTCCAAACTCTTTAGGCGATACGTCTTTCGGCCAAACTCATCCTGTGTCTTCTCGAAGAACTCGCCAGATTGTTTACCCATCTCCAACATCCATGCTGGAGGCAATCCCATCATCTCCACTATACGGCAAACTTGATTGTATTCAGAAGAGCCGGGGAAAAGCGGCAAACCCAAAAAAAGCTCGACAACAATACATCCAAGGGACCACATATCGATTGCAGATGAGTATCTGAACAAGTCAGTAAAAAGACCAAGAGACGGAGGGTTGCATGGTGCGCGACATACGGTAAGCCGAGTAAAACTTCAGGTGAACGGTAGAATCGGGATTGAATATACGTGTACACTGTTTGACGTTCATCGCATGCGGAGCCAAAATCAATGACTTTGATGATTGGGCTCTCAAGACTATACGGAAGATGGGTGTTAGTGGGAAGGAACATATGTGATATCGGGGCCGCTCGACTGACTTCTTCAGCAAAATGTTTTCGGGTTTCAGATCGCAATGGATTAGATGAGCTTTGTTCAAGAGACTCAGCGCGTTCAGCAATTGCTGCGCGAAGACACGGACGAGAGTTGTGCTCAATCCTCGGAATTGGTTTTGCTTGATGAGTTCATATAAGTTAACGCTGAGTAATTCGAATGCAAGACAAAGATGCTGGCGGTGGATGAAGGTGTCCTTCAAACGAAGGAGATGGTGGTCGTCGTTCTTATCATATTTACTATTCAACTGTAGGAACAGGCAGTCAGTATATGGCTAGTGATGATAGTAATATACCCGTGTTGAGAGATCTTACCAGATCCAAGACAGAAACCTCCATCATACTCTGGTTGAAGTATGCTGTCTTGTTTTTGATGACCTTAACGGCCACGACTTCTTGAGTCTTCAGATTTTGACATTTGACAACTTGACCAAAGGTTCCTTGACCGAGGACGTCAAGGATAAGGTATCGGTTTCTGAGCGAAGCGTTAGATATAGGTTTCGCGGAATGAACACCGAATAACATACTTGTGGCCGGCCTCCTCACTGCCTAGAATATCGTTGACATATAGAATGTAGTCACTGTCCTCGTTATCATATCCGTCGTTCTTCGTGCCCTTACTAGGCTTCGTCAAAACACGTCGCGGGTTTCTGGATGATTCGTAGTTGAAGTTTGGATTGCAAATGCGATACGTCGATGGGAGGTGGCTTGTCAGAGCATGAAGTGGCTATGAAGTTTCTAGGTTAGTAACAGGGTACCCGCGAGATAATGGAAGCCACGAACGCTGATGAAACCGCCCTCTGGGTTCGCACGCCGATACGCCGGTTGAGCATGGACTCGTGGCTGGAGATCTTGCACCGATTTGATCTTCTGGAACTTGGGAACTGGCCCTCGGCCCGGAACCTGAGAAGGAAGAGAACCCGATCGAGGGGATCGAGTCCCGGGAGCGAACGCACTGCCCAAATGAGAGGAAGCGGACGATGGGTAATATGGATCGGGGCTGAGATCGCCGGATTGGAGTGGGGGAAGTCTCGGGGCGCGGTTCGCTGTAGCGCTTAGGTTAGAATGGACGAGCCCAGGGGAATCTGGGGAATTCCGTGAACAATACGAATTTACTCACATGGCGGCGATTGATATCCTTGCGGCGGCGATGAATATTCTCCCGCTCGACCGGGCGACCGTCGCGACTGACTCTGAGCCGAGGGTGAGAAGTAGGAGCCCTGCTTCCCGGGACTGGTAGGGTATGACATCGGCGGCGACAGAACGTTCATAGGTGAGTATCTGCGAGCGGCGGAAGACTCTTCAGCCTGGTTGAGGAATTGAGACGACGCGCGACTGTGATGATTCGGTCTCGATGGGTACTTGGCGCGGTTGTAGGGGTCTGCATCTTCCATGGTGGTGTCGGCATCGGTGACATAATCCCGAGTACGTGGCGTGGCAGTAGGAGACGACGCCATCGATACCGGCTTGGAGTTTGGACCGGTCGAGGGGGCCTTGGAGGTAGTGCCAGGAGTTTGAAATGTCTCATATGTGTATCCGACGGGGGGCTGTGACTGTGGTGGCTGACCGTACTTCGAGCCTAGTTGCTGGGGATGGGCAGCCAATCCGCTATTGAACTGCGCGGGACGACCCATCAGGGGATCCTGATAGGGTTGCCATCCAGGATCCATATTGGAAGTATGAATACCGTTGATGACGGGATTTTTTTCTTGTCGGTGCGGTTTCTATCTTCGAGGATCTGGGGGATGGGAGGAATGCGGAGAGACAGGTGCGATAGAATTGACGCCGTCACCGTTCGTGTACCGTCGTGGCAGCCACACTGCGATCGGAGGTTTGCGTGGGGATGCAGGAGGGAGGAGGATGACAACACACGCGAGAAGCGCGATCGCAGGCAAGGGGAGCAAATTCCCCTGCGGTACAAGCGATTGGGATGAAGTCAAAAGATTTAGAATGAACTGCACCTCATGACTCGAAATTCCAGGAACTCCGGGAGCTGAAAGTTTTGGGTTGAATTTGGAGAGAAGGGGGGGGGGGGGGGCGGATCTGCCACCGACGTAGGGAAACCCAGGGCTCGGGGCGATTGAAAGGGCAGATTGAAGTAGTCAAAAAAAGCAATCCAAAAAGCACAATTCAGGAAGAGAAAAAATATAAAAGGATTAATTAAATGGGGAGACTCGTGAGGGAGACCAGAATCCTCGTATCAAAACTTCCTAGATCATCTCGATTTGAATGTGGAGAGGAGGGGAAATACAAATGTGGGAAGTGGAGGTCATGAGTGTGTCGAACCCTCTCATCTAAGTTTTTGGGTTATGAAGTATTGATAGTACTTCAACCTTGATCATCTGAGTTGACATTTTACCAATCCCAGTTGATTACGATTAACTATACCCTAAACTAACATGGACTTTCAGTTGAGCCTAATCATACTCCAGTTATCTCGACCCTCGCTTTGTTCTTGATCGCACGATTAGCTCGAGGATTGTGGTCTCCTGGGCGACACGTCGCCCAGGATCGTCGCGTCATTGCATACCCAACTGCCAAAGCGTCACGGCCTAACTTCCTAAGAGACACCTCGAAGGCCAAATCCTAGTCTTATTTGTCCTCCCTGGCCATGAAGTTGGATTTGGCATAGATTGCCACCTTGAATATTAATTGTGGCTTTTTTTTCCAACACACAAAATTGAATTGCGAGTTGGGCTGTTCATCGCTTGGCGGATTAACCTGGAGAAGCTGGGATGAATAGTAATTATGATCTTTAGATAGATCATTTTCTGTGTGAAAACTCTGTCAAATACATCAGGATATGAATCCCAGCCCCAATAAATTATACAATAACCAATTCGAGTCCGTAAACCACAACTCGTTTAGACTCGACTTCAAATGTTCTCCATATGGATGACTCCTTGAGCGGTCGGGGTATTTTGCCGGTGTTATCAGATTTAAGTTAAATCCTTCGTCTTTCCGCCTTCGCATCTTGCATTCCAAGGTTCTTCATCTTCAACTTACCGAGGATAGTCTTTGGCATTTGTCACATTTCCTCTTCGCCGTTCTAATTGAATTTATTGGTGTCATAGCTATCAGCCGTGCTTGATCGAATTGGCCGATCGGAGTACTTTTCTCCTTCGAACTGCCCCGCAATCCCGACCAAGCTTGGGTGTATGCACACTCAATACTACATACTCAATTACAACTTTCCAACCTTTTCTATCTATCGAACTTCTATTCTAATCTATTTCATCTATCGAGAATCTGTGAATTTCAAAATGAGTATCCGTAGAACCACAAATGATCATTTCATAATATCCCACAACTCCTACCAACCCGGAAGGCGACGGGTATTTCGATTAACTCTTCGCCACACCTTGATTTAGACAGTACGGAGTAGATTCCATCCCGTCCCGAGTTCTTCTATGGAATATATGACCGATTCCATGGACAATTCCTGCCGAGTGGCCGAGCACAGCTGGCTCAGGAGAACCGCACTCCATTGGCCCATGGAACAATAGCTACGATCAGTGATTCAAATCAAAATACAGTAATGAACATCACACGGCTCATCGGATCATTTGCCCAGAAATCATCGCGTGAATTCCAAGGATGACTGGGAAATTCTGTGGGTCAATCACATCAGAAGAAAAAGGCCAAGGGTTCAGGGGTCTCTGCACTGCGGATGGAACCCATGGTTACGCAGCCTGGGGACCACTTATCATTCATTCATTCTGCTGCTTGGAGGGGGAATACTGCATTGGAAGACTGTACTCCGGATTGTGTATTTGATGTAGCATATGCGAGACGCGCCGCTTGTACTGGATCTTGGATTTAGATTGAGTATTTAAACAAACCAAAACAATTCGACCTTTAATGCTTCTATGACATCGATCTCGGATTCGCGTTTTATTTTCGCTTGGGTAGGGTGATCTACATCCCCCATGCACCGTGACTGGTTCAAGCCCCGAGCTAGTGACTGGGGCAGCAGCTGGGTTCTCCACCCACTGGAGAAAGCTACCCAGTGGATTGAATCAATTCAACACCCTAACTGTGGCACTAGCAAGGCTAGCACAAAAGAATGTGGTTGGATCACCCTAGTCAGTAGCTGCAACTGTGGACCTGCAGGAAGAAAACAAAAGGGCTTCATGTTCAAAGATGTTTAGACGGACGACAAACGCAAAATGGATGCAAATATCAGCTAGTTAGAACATTGTACAGACTCCAAATGACTTCCCCATCGATCGAATGAGAATAATAATGGTGGAAACAGACACATCTCTTTCTATTTTCTGGTAATCCTCCTCTACAATCCAAGGAAACACGATCGTGGATCCTCGCAGGTTCACCCACTTGGTGGCGGGTTTCTCCACACGACTTCCCTTCCCTACCTAACTTCCCAGCTTTCCCAGCTTTCCCCAGCACTTACTAGGCTGGCAGACAATAATAAATACCCCACAGGCCCCCCCATCCAAATCCATTCTCAACTTCTTCTCAAACACATTTTCTTTACAAATACTCCAGTTCTTTCAACTCTCGCTCTGAAATAAAATTAAAGTCTTCTTCATCATACGGCCATAATGCAGTTCCTCGCTACTCTCGCTCTTCTGGCCGCTACTGCCACCGCCGGCCCGGTCACTAAGAACTTCAACCTCCAGACCTCAGGTGCCTCCAACAGCAGCCTGAACAATCTCTACGTGACTACCGAGTCTACTGGCCCTTTGAACAGCTTGGCTGTGTTTACCAGTAATGTTGCTTCGGCCGGTTCCTTCTCTCTCCAGACCAATGGTACTGTGCACTACAAGGCGCAGAATGGCGCACCGTGGTCCATTGCTCTTGTTTCCGAGGATGGTAAGCAAGCTCCCACTAACTTTGGTTTCAAATCAAATCAAATCGACTCGCCATATCAAAAACAAGGACTAATGTTTTTCATTGTTGTTTATAGTTGCCGTGGCTCCTGTCGATGTGAGCGTTGAGCCTTCTACCGGCGGTACGGGTTTCAGCTTTGCCAGCGATGGCAACTTGCAAAGCTCCAACAAGAACTGGGGCGGATGGCTTGGTGAGTAACTTCAACTTTTTCTTCCTTATCTATCTTCTTTTCTGTTCTGTTCTGTTCTTGGACTGACTTATATTCTAGCTTGCAATGACAATGCCCTGTACTATATCAATACCAGCCAAGAGTCTTCTAGCCACCCTGGCTGCGACAAGATTGAGCTCAAGACATCTTCCTAAACCAAAAGCGATCTTTTGGATTTGATTTGATGTGTTATTAATGTTTTTGGATTTGTTATCTTGGTTTTGATGAAGAGGCTCTTTACGACTGTACATTCACTTATGATCCTGGTCAACTATGGATAGACTGGAGTTTAATGATAATATATGAATTTGCTATACTGATTAACCTGGCGCTGGTAGAACGAATATGGTTTAAGTAGATATAGACTTTTATAATGTATTCCTATACTTAGATCTGTCACTAATCAATGCCAAGTTAAACTTTATTGCTCCCCTAGTGCGGGCTGATAATGGTCCGAGCAGATGTAGGTATTCATTAAGCCAGACGCCCCGATATTCTGCGGACGAAACAGAAGTCTTCAAGGAATTGGATATTCGAGATATATATGGGAGTACTACATCAAATATCTTTTAAATAAGCTGGGATCTGTAGTCTACATTTTGAAATCCGAACGTCAAAGTCGTACTGTGTACATTCGTCCCTGGTTACAGGGCTAGTCCAACATTGTATAGATAACTCAGTAACTGGGGCGACCGCGAAAATACTTGTGTATCGTAATAAGAGTATCACTTGCGATTTTCAAGTTTTATGTCCCGTTGAAAATTATGATCTTTTTGACTCTTTTGTTTACTGACAAGGATCCTGCCAAGCCCGACTATGTACGTCTAGACTTGGGGATGAACAGGAGGTAAACAAATGGAATCATGACAAAGTAGAATATGCACACATTATTCTAATATTCAACCAAAATTTGCAGAAAGTAAAATCGACTAGAAGAACATTTTAAGTGAAAATATGGATCTGTCTCTGTTTCTACTGACTTCTTGGAACCGAGCTGTGGGTCCACAGGGTCTACGGGATGAGGAGATCCCCGACAAATTCAACTCGGCTGCAGAGCAACCTCTCCCAGTTGTTAGATCACAATGGGGTAGTCAACTTGGAATCTAAGTGATCTATTTTCTTATAATTTGATATCCTTTTTTCACGAAGGATGGCCTTAGATAGTTCGCCTGACCATAACTTATCCAATTCTTAGTGTGTTAGTTATAAATAGGCCGGATGTCTCACATGCCTTGACAGCCACCAAGGCCAGTTTGGGCTTAGCCCCGCAATACACCTCAAAACACACTTCTTGTCCTCCCTCAGTTTTCGCCTCTCTGTTTCTTTCCAGGTCGCTCGTTTGCATCGTCGTTTTCTGCATTCCTGCTTTAACCGATCAGTCACCTTCGTTAGAATCCCGGACTCCTCAAGGACACCGCGTTGCCCTTATCATCACCCCCCCACAACAATACAACATACCCGCGATCGACAGGATTCAGGATCCACCAGCAGATCGACTTGTCTTTTTTCACTCGCTCTCCACAGTCTTTCTCCTCACTTCTCCCTCCGACCCTACCTAAGTGAACAACTGGGATACCCTAGTCCCTAGCGAATCCAGAAAATAACAGCATCTCCTCGATTTGTCGTGGAGAAGAGTCTTTTCAACCCATCAACAAGGGCTACCTCCAGCCTGTCAGTTGCTGCAAGGGGTGCCGATTCGGCTCTTGTTTCCGATAAGGGGGATCTTCCTTCTCAGTTTTTCCCTGGACTATTTTCTCTCTTTGCTTGGAATCATTCACTCTGAAAGATTGTCAACATGCGGTCTATTCTGAACCTTGTGTGCACTTTTTTGTTGCTGGGCACGATCGCCTCGGCCTGGTCATGGTCCAATCCTGGAGCAGCACTTGGCAATGCCTTGTTGGATAGACGTGATGGTATGTCGATTTGTCCATTGACATATTGAACGACGCTAATCTGATTCTTATTCAAAGACACCTCATCATCCTCTTCCGCATCAACCTCCGAACAAACCACCACCACCTCAGTCGCATCTCAGACGTCCACCGACTCCTCCAGCGATAGCAAAACCTCCAGCAACACGAAAACCGCCAGCGATGAAACAACAACGGGCACCGAAACCGGTACATCCAGCACCACAAAGGGTAAAACAACCACGACGTCGTCGGTCTCGATCAACGCGGCAGATGGAGCAGGTGGTATTTCCATGCTCACCCCAGACTCGACAAGCACAAGCTATTACCAAATTGGACAAAACATTACATTTGTCTGGAACTACACATCCCTCGTCGTGAAACCGACTGCCGTCGACGTCGTTGCATCCTGCAGCTTGAACAGTGAAACATACACCGTTACCAAGAACATGAGTATGGAAGCTACCGGAACCGTCATCTGGGACACAGGCAAATACGAGAGTTCTGCGACCATCCCGCTGCTGACGGCTACCTACACATTGTTCGTATACGACTCGGAGAAGTCTCTCAGTGACACTGCCAGTGCAGGCTATCTCAGCTCGAGCGTTGGATATTCCTTTTCAATGTACTATCCTCACAGCCCTACAGCTCTGCCCAGTAAGTCTTACCCTTCTTTCTTTCCAATCTTCGAGATAAACTCTAACGTATTTATCTAGGCTTCCAATGCGTTACCTGCAACGGCGCTTTATCCGAAATTTCTAAACAAGGTCTGAAATTCGTCTTTGGCATGGCTACGATTACACTCCTATCTTTCACCTGGTTTGCAGGTACCTTCGGCCTCTTTTCTCTCTAATGAAAAGTTGCCTAGCGAGTATGGCATAGCATTCATGTGGATATATTCTTCGATCTCAAGGCGTTCCCATGTTCTTTAAGCGAGATATTATGACTAATAGCAGGAAAATGGCGTTTGTTGATTTACGGACATAGGCTGGATTACTTTTGTTATTCTTTATATTTAGGTTTTTAATGTTGTCCCCTGTGAATTGAAACAGAAACGGAAAATTGGCATGGGATCTATACTTATACCTTTGACATAAATAATTCACCAAAATACTTCGATGTTCTGGTTTCAGGTTGTCTCAGGACCCGATGTGTATGCATGTGTATGCGTTTTGCGTTTTGCGTTTTGCTTTTGATTTATACTAGTAAAAATCTTCAGCTTTATAGCCATCGAAAGTTCTGTAGGTCTGCTACAATACTATTCCCGGGACTGTAGACATCATCTGGATTGATGGAAGAAGTAATTCATCTGTATCAATCATGCTCAGGGCCAACGCCTGGCCATCGGGAATAATACCCTAGCCATTACTGCTGGACTTCGTTTGCACTTCTTTGTTTATATGACAACTCGCAGCATCCCAATCTGCTAGAATCACGGTGAAACAATTCTTTGATAATCTGCAGCCTGCAGGCCAATCCCCATTATGTATGTACCCTATGTGATTAGATAGCTACTGCTCCTTTCAAAGTTGCTGAAGCCACTTTAACAGGAATTTTGAGAATTATGATCGTCGCTGCTGGTTTCCAAGAAGTGCAGATCCAACGCGCACCTTAATGGAGAAACGATACAAATCACCATCTATCTGAAAGAAACTGTAACCCGCATAGAACCGTGTCCTGGCCGTTTAGATAAAAGTCAAGCATGAATCCCGTAGCATCATCAAACAAATGATCCCACCTGGGCACCATGAAAAAAAATCCCGCTAAGCTGAGGAGGAAATAAATCAAGCATAAATATCCCCTGTTTCTCATCTATCAACTCAGTTTCCTTTCCAATCCAACAATGACTATCTCACACTTCTACGACAGCCAAGGTACATTTAATCTATACAACCATGCAAAGAAGAAAGATGAAACCTCATACCCATTCTCAAGGTTCATTCCAACCCCAACCCCAACCCCAACCCCAAGCTCAAGCTCAAGCTCAAGCTCAACCGCAACCGCAACTGCAACCGCAACCGAAAGCACATTCCCATTCCCATTCCCATTCGAAGAAACTGGGCTGGATCTGGCCCAAAGATCCCAGACCCGGGAACCCATCAACCTGGCCCCGCCGGTGGCGATTTTTCGATGTCCTCACGAACAAAGGACCAGACATTTACATCGGCGTCATAGGAGAAAAAAGAGCTCCAAGTTCATGTTCAAGTTCAAGGTCTCCAGCTTCCCGAATCGAACATTCATCCTGGTTTTCATCTCGATCTGTTTACTCTTCATCATCGTTCTATTCCTCAAACTCCCGCTCCTCAGTGCCAGTGTCATCGCCAGTACCTAGAGCTGGATCGATACAGAGAACGAACTGGGACCTATGGGATAGTCCACTTTCGTCTTGCTCTGTGCCTTCTTCTTCTTCTTCTTCTTCTTCTTCTTCTTCTTCTTCTTCTTCTTCTTCTCCTTCTTTTGCGGGGGAGAAGAAAGCGGCAAAGAGACAGGTACAGGTTCCGTGGGCGAAGAGGGGAATTGATGAGCGGTATGATTTTAGACAGCGAAAGTATATTGTTCCGGATTTGGGAACTTGGAGTCGAGTGGAGTATTGTACTTCGGCGGGTAAAGAGGGGTGGGTACGTTTTGGGAGAGGGAGGCGGGGGAAGCATTGTGTGCCTAGGAGGTATTGGGATCAGAATGGGGAGGAGTATCCGGCGAATTATTGGCATGATATTATTTATGGGGAGCATGAAGATGGAGAGGTGGAAGGGCGATAAGGATGAGGATAAAATAGATCATAGAAGGATGATGTGGTGTGATATTTGATTTCATATGGTATGACATTTGAATTGTCATGATTCTGATTTTCAGTGTTCAGTCACATCGTAGCTAGTATATTGCTGGCTTAAGCGCAGGTAGTATGAAGCACGTCGAAGGTGAAGACACGGTCTTTCGATTCGGATTCGGTTGGGGTTTGTGTAGTCTGCAGTTGGCGAACAGTTGGTAGTCGGGCTGCGTTGTTTGTTAGGCGTGTGCATTTTGTACAAGGTGTTTGTTTGATATCTGCGTATGAAGCAATCATATCCTGCAGTGAGAATTAGTCGAGTTCCCACACAATCAGCATAAATTCCCAATGTGGAATATTGAGTATATAGACCTACCAAAAGGAAAGCAAGATCCCACTTCCGCGGTCGCGAATTCAGACAATCTATAACTGCCTCTTCCATCTTCGTCGGGGCCCGACCTGGAGAAACCTTACTCGAAACAAGCCACTGGGATCTAACATCGGACTCCGGGTCCTTGACGCCCTCGACCAGCACGACCAGTCCAGCCTTAGCAAGAGCAATAGCCAAAGATGTCTGGTTCTGGCCGTTAATCACACGAACACCAGGAAGGCCACGTTGAGTAAACTTCTCAATAACGGCAGTCCAGCCGCCTTCCGCTGACAACACTTTCGTTCGCTCAGCGTCTTCTTCTTCTCGTAGTTTCTCGTCTTCTTTCATCTTCTCGGCCTTCGTCAGCTCCTCAAGGAGGGTGCCGTAGTCTCTCTCCCAGATACCTGTTGGCTGGAGAAGCTGGCCGCTTTCATCTTTCAGGCGCGCTTCAGTATGTGCCCAGACTGGCTTTAGATCCGGGCCGCGCCAGAGGGATTGGAACTGCTCGATGCTGGCGAGTCGATCACGCACAGCATGATCAAGCTCATTGCGTAATATTGACGGAGACTCTGCAATTGGATTGTCTGGTGTAGCTTTTTGGGAGCTTGATATTGGAATTAGAGGCTCCAACAGCCCCGCTGGTACAAATTGACGAAGTTCATGAATCTGGTGTTGTTAGCTTGGGTACATTTGCATGTTTCAGAGAATAGGCAATTGGAGGGAGGGGAATGAATGAGACCCTTATGATCAAAGCAACGCAGAAGGAATCAATGCATGTACGCACCTTATTCTCCAGTTCCTGGAGCTTTGCTAGTGATGATACAAGTTGAATCTCGGATTCCCAGTTGACTGGTTTAGTTTCGCTGCTGTCGTTCTGGCCCTTTCCTGGAGGAAGTGGAGCAGGCGCGGTCGACATGGTGCGCGAGAGAGGACTTTCCTCCTAGGCCAACAGGCCGACTAGACGAATATGAGGGTGCCTTATTGGTACTCAGATTGAGTATTTGGTTGAGTTCAAACTTGCAGATCTCTGTGAAAGAGAATTTATAGGTCCAGGTGCTGGTTACTGCTAATACGCCTGGTTAGATGAACGGCGGCAGGCTTTTAGATATCCGAGTGAATAGGTCTGGCTTTGGCTGATCCAATTGAGAAACCGAGATAAAAATATGTTGTTGCCTATATGGAGGTCGTAGATGCCTTGGGTATCTGTCCTTAATGGATTGTTGATGTTATTCCCTTTGATGCCTTTCGTGAATGGGAGAAAGGTGCGGGAGACTAAGCACAGCCATACAAATGTCTAACTATCAGCCTCAGTGGCTGGTGGCTAGGATGTGTATTATGTAAGCAAGATTGTGGCTTCACGGCAATTGCCGAAGTACCGAATTGCCGAACTACTCACTCTCCATTTATTTAAATAATAGTAATATAATGATAATAAATTTTCATAACTGGCCGTTGTTACTTGGCAGGGCCGTAAGGTCTCCCATGTCGTTAAGGAGTTCTTGGGTGAACCACTGGGGGTCACCGGCCGACGGCACATAGTCAAGTCCCATAATCCACTCTTGAAATGGGGCATATGGTTCAACATCTGGAGGTCTCGCTCTATTATGATCATGATTCATCCAATCCAAGCCATCTGTATCGATATCCAAAATCGACGCCAGAGGGGCCAGCAATTCGGCCTCCTGCGCGGAATGAGAAACGCCCATCTCATCAGTTTGGGTGTTACAATTGTCTCCAGACATCATATTGATGGTTCTTTCAGACAATGACTCAAAAATGTCCCTGTAAGACGAAGCCTGGCTCCATCGTTCTGCAATAATAACCAGTAGAGTAGTACAAGCCATACAAGTGTTAACCACCACGCTCTGGGGGATGGATTCACGGAGCCGACGTGAACGCCACAAACAGTAATTGAAAGTTAGTCCAGCGAGGAAAAGAATATGGAGGCTACCCCATGTAAATTGAATGCGACGGCGAGCTTGGTATAAACGGCGATATCGCTGGCAGATATCGCGAGAGGCGTCTGCACAGATTTGGAAAGCCGCATCTATGGATTGTGATTTCTGTGGATCACCTTGTGTCGCCAGAGGGCATGTTATCCGGGGTCGGTATAATAGAAGAATTGAATAGTCATAGGCAATATGGAACCAATTAGGTGAGTCGAATACGGAAAATGGGGACGCGTTGGAGGTATCAAGCTCATCTGGCGCACCTGAGTGCCATTCTTCTAGTTCTTGGCGTAATTGTTCGACCAGGGTGGAATCATGAAAATCATTCTCTACCAAACGGAATACATTCGGGTATAGATTGTCACTGATCTTTGACCAAAGTTGTCGTAGCTTAATAACGTGGATGACCCCGGTCATACTTGTACGAGGCTCCTCGGAAGAGGATCGCGGGGGGCGTAGAAAACCACCGAATGCGATATTCTCATCGTCAATGTCAAAAGGCAACTGTTATCATTCACACAGTCAGTGATTAGCTGGTAATCGGTGAAATGAATAGGGCAAGAGTCCATACCTCGACATCAATGGCATTGTCTGGGATTCCCTTTGGACGTCCCAAAATGAACGATGCTACACAATCCAAATCATACGCCACCCAGAAGCAGCGTTTGGAGATCTCCTTAGTTAAGGAGTCGGCACTGGCCCTGTATTTCTCGGTACTGCGGTGATAACCGAGCTCGACGCAATGTCTGATTGCCATGCCGGAAAGCTTCCTAATTTAGAGCATCAGCCATAATGGACGAATGATTCCGTGAAAACTAAAAAGCACACCAGAGACTAGCCCCATTGTAAGATCTTATTGAATAAACAGCACAACAAAGAAGCGCCTGGATTGACGGAAGCCCATCTAGCTGGAGCAAAGGCTCAATCAGCTGAAGACCCCATGAAAAATACACCTGGTGAGATTAGCAAACATCGACTAAGAAATTTGTCTTGGACTTTAGCTTACTTGGGCCGATTCTGTCTCGGACTGTCCTAAGACCAACGAGCCGATTGCATAAGCCTATGAAAGATTGTATCAGTATATTAATCAATACTTTAAGCAACATGAAGATCGACTCTGACCATGAGGACAAAGAAAAGCGAAGCAGGATCAGCTGTGCTGATATCGCCCAATGCGTTGGCACTCAAGCATTCCTTCTCCATGGATCGAAATGTTGGCCGATGGAGAAAGGGGTATTGAGGATGAATACTTTTGAAGTATGCCTCGGATAACATGGCAGCCTTTGTTGAAGACGGAAGTTCGACAGGAGGAATCGGACTCCATTGTGACCTGTTGTGGTATTCGTTATTGTCCCCGAGCCTGGGTGAGTCATTCCAATCAGATTGCTTGAGAGGCAAGTCGATGCTGGCACTAGCAATTCGGGAGAAGAAGACAGCCGAAGATGGTCCAAAAAATTGCGGCTCACGGCCAGCAGCACTTAGACACAACAGAGCTACTTCATTACTGAGCAGGTCGAGATTAGGAGTGGATTCCACGGCAACTGAGCTTGAGTCGTCGACGGAAGCACCTCTTGGATCATTACTTGGAGAGGTTTGATGATCAAGCGGGGCTTCCTGCTGGTACTTCTGAACTAATCCCTCAAGATGCGCGATTCGAGCCTCCAGACTTTTCACATAGTCCCGCGGCCTGTGCAAACCCGTTGCTGGGTCTTCAACGAGACATTCTTAAGTGCCGTCAGTCAAAATTCTGTCAATACCCAAAAGGAACCATACCTCGATTTGTTCGTGTACACGTTCTACATTTCGGGCTTTTGCCATCGCACTTGAAGTGTTAAGGACTGAAGTCAGACTCAATAGTTTTTCAACTAAGCAGCACCACGTTGAGTCAAAGGGGAACAGGATTACTGACCTTCAATTTGCGCTGCTTGCAGCTTATGCAAGCTAGGAGGGTACGCTCACTTATTCGTTGTCTTTTAGCCGAGCGATCTCCATTTGCTTCCTCATTCATGATGTTTCATATTTTGACAATAGCATGCCTAAGGAATCAGGAGCGGGGAGAGCCTCACGGCAAGTTCTCCTCAATAACGCGTGGAAGGAGGCTTATCTTATCGGGTGTATTTCTCTTATCAGTATGGGGTATTGCCACGGGGCAATCCGGGTATACAGTCAATAACAGTCTAAAAAGGACTCCAAATTATATGCTATACATAGAAATAATTTAAAAAGGTTGCGTGTTATAAGACGGGACTTAATTCAGAGCTGGTATAAAACATCGAAATGCCAAAGAAAGTTATCAATTATTATGGTAAATCCCGAATCAGATCAAATGCACTTAAGCCCAACTGATGCGCGCAATTTTCAATACTCTTGCGTTGAATACCGGCATATAGGGTGTTACTATCTAGAATTTCGCAGCCGAGGGACTTTACGAAGGTTTCCTGGTCGGGGTATGGTTTTTTCTGGCCCATAGCGGAAGACGATGAATTCCCCAAATTAGACTGGAAAATGCCAGCTGCAGAGAATGGAAGAAAGTCTTCATATGTAATTGGCACAGCGCTCACAATTTCAGCGAGCACGAGTTGCTCAAGAAAGTCTCCCCGTTTCTCATCATGCTTCGCTAGGTGTATTGGGAGGAGCTTCCCCGTTGGAGTAAACTCACAAAAGATTAATCCCCGCCGACGTAGCTCATTCCACGTATCCGGGTATTTAATAAACACTTTGGCCACAGTTTCATCCATTTTCTGACCTGTTGTCCAAGCAGTTTCCATCGCTTCATCAAATAGCTCGTCATATAGCTTGCGCCCAGCTGGGGTGAGAGCTGCCCCTCGCTCCTCAATCTCTCCAAACCGAGCTTTGTGATAGCTATCAATGAGCTTTTCGGGGTGATTACTCGAAGATGCAAAGCTAACAGCTTCCTGGAGGGCCAAGAAGCTGGTCTGACGCAAAAGAATAGGACATCCACGTTTCGGAGGACCTTCAATCCTATCTTTTACCTCCATACCATGGGCTTGCATAGCAGCCTGCGCAAGATCGATATTGAGAGTTCGGGGAGTTAAGTGGTTGATATGAGCAGTTTGGAAGCAAACTATATCTGCTAGAATAGGATGCTCTTTCTTCAACGTGTTGTACATATCAAACGTGGCGGCTGCTACAGATTGCCAGCGAAAAGACTCCAGGGCATTATCGACAAATATTTCTGCTTGATCATAGGTGAAGCGACCCTGTTGCGATTCTGCAATGCTCATAATATCAAGCAACACATCACTGAAGATCTTGCGTTGTTGAAGGAGGCTTAGAGCCTGCTCCCGAGCTTCGAGTGATTGCAAAAGCTCAGGTCGTAGAAGTGTTGTAAAGACTCGGAAGGGGTTCTTGGCCAAAGATTCAGCATCTCGTGGTCGAAAACATGTAGCATGCATTGGAAGACCGGCGATAGAGAGATCATAGTAGCCGATAGGGTGCATGCCTAGCAGACCGAAAATACGCCTAACAACTTGTAGCTCATATGGACTGCCGAGGCGGATGGCACCATGGCGTTCCAGGGTAATGCGCTCGACACTATCCTTTGTATTATAGTTCGCAAGAACGGACTGATTAACACCCTGTACAATGGAAACCAAATCTTCGTAAAGTGGAACTTCCGCCTTATACATGTTGGACATGGCAACGGCGAAGCGAGTGCGGAGGATGTCGGCGTCGACATATATGTGCTCGGACAGCCGAGGCTGAGCATGAGCTGCAACTGGAATGTCGAATTCCATGGTGGGAAGATAGATTATAACACAAAGATTGTATTGCTTTGATCAGGACTGATAATATCCAAGATCTACCATGGACCTGGGACTCAAGATAAATGATCCCTTTGAGAACCGTAGTTCCTTAGCCGTCACATGGGGCAGTTCCATTGCTATTCTCTGGTTAATATAGATGGAAATTCCCGATCAGCGCGATCCTTGTGATGGTGATGCTATATCAAAGCGGAAGTAGATATCTCGGGACTTTCCATTGTGGACCCCGGGGGAAGCCGAAGACAGTCTCATCCTACCACTTTCCAGAGAGAGCGCAATCTGAGACCTTCAATATATTTTCCAAAACTGTCGGGAAGTGATTAACCTTCAAAACAATAAGACATATTCAAAAATGAGTCTCACAGCAACCACAGAGCAAACCCCTACGCCCTCGATCAAGTCTGCAGACAATGGGCAAGCGTTGAACATATCTAGCTTCGGAACAGGTGAAGTCAAGCGTCTTCATCATCATATCCCATGGCCAGAGACTCCTTTGAAGACACGACAATGGCAGCTTGAGCAGATGGCGGGAGCCTTCCGCATCTTCGCAAAGCTTGGATTTTCCGATGGAGGTAGCGGTCATATCAGTTTGCGAGGTACGCCCAACTTTGTCTTTTGGTCACTGGAAGCCACGGAGAGAAAATATTAAACTGAATATCCTAACAGACCCTGTTGACCCAAAGAAATTTTGGCTGAATCCATATGGCGTGCATTTTGGCGTGCTCACTGTCTCCGACATGGTCCAGGTTGATGATCAAGGTCGCCGTGTGGGTGGTGCCGACAAGCCCGTTAATGCCGCCGGGTTCATGATCCACAGTGCTATCCATGCAGCGCGACCGGACCTACACGCTGTGTGTCATGCTCATAGTCCCCATGCTCGAGCATGGAGCACCTTTGGATTACCCATCGAGATGCTCAATCAAGACAGCTGCATGTTCTATGATGACTTAGCCGTGTACCCGTCGTTTGGGGGTGTTGTTTTTGCGGCTGAGGAGGGTCGACGTATTGCCTCTGCAATGGGACCAACGAAGAAAAACTTGCTCCTCCAGAATCACGGCTCATTGACCGCTGGTGGCACAATTGCTGAAGCGGCAGCTTTCTTCATTGCTTTGGAACGAGCATGCCAGACTCAACTCCTTGTTGAGGCTTCACTTGTTTCACCGAGACTGAAGAAGACATTTGTTGGTGAAGAAGAAGCCGTGTATACGAAGAAGGGAACTGGAAGTCCGGAAGTAATGTATATGCAGTTTATGCCGGAATATCAGATGGTTCTCAAAGAGTCCAAAGGTGATTTTCTGGAATAAATGAAAATGAAAGTCATTATGCCAGCTTCAAGTTTACCATTCAGATTCGCTTACTCTACAAGTTTGGGATATTATAAAATAGCTTGTAAAAAATGAAACAAATGTGATTCCTTAAGTTCATGCTGAATATTATGGCGTATAGAGCCAGCTTTCAGAGCACTGCCTTTGCCGACTGTTTTATAATCGACTCCTTAGACAAGGCAATATTTCCTAAGGCACGTTCTCCTTGTGAGCCCTCCATTAGATTATTGATTGGCTTCTTATTTTCCAGGGCTCTCCATCCCCAGGCTTGAATAGCCTCACGATCTGTATTGACATTCTCCATAATATCCACCACCCAATTTCCAATATTGGGCAGATACTTGAATGCATGACCACTGCCCCCCGTAGCAACCATCAGACTCTGCTTTCCCGGCACTTGGTCAACCACGAAATGGTTATCGAATGTATCAGTGTACCAGCACATTCGTGTGGTTGAGGTAGGTATATTCTCTTCGCGCAGCTCCGGCAGATACCTGTCCAGAAATGTATGGATAACCTGGTATGCTTCTCGTGGGAAGTCTGTAAGGCGTTCACCAATAGGTTGAGTTCCATCACGCTCTGCAGCCGACCATCGCGTGGCGGGGGTGCTACGCTCTTTTCCATCGCTATGTCGAACGGGGTTGGTGTACTTGGTACCACGATATCCAACTTTGAAGTAGCCGTCCTCATTGCGAGGAAATCCATAAAGGCCCCCTTTCCTTCCAGCACGCATATTAAATGTAAACGTGGGGAACTGCTGTGGTCCTAGGCGATCCCATAGTGGCGAGTTGGTGGGTATTTTCATGAGAATCACACTACCAGCAGTGGCTTCGCAGAGACCGTCCAATTCTGGCAAGAGTACTGGAGTCCAACCACCACAAGCCAGAATGGTCATTGAGGCATGGTGGAACTTTCCATCTCGTGTTTCAATTCCAGTGACCTTATTCCCATCGAAGCGTAAAGATTGCAGACATCCGGCTTGCGATCCGAAGACGAATTTCGCGCCAGCTTCCCGCGCCTTGTGCAATGCGAAGCGACAGGCTTTGTCGGCGATAGCCATTCCTCCTGTTGTGTCTAGCACACCTACTGGCTTCTGTCCGCGACGATTTTGTTGAAATGGGTCCATGTAAGACGATAGCCCTCGGCTTGCGGCAACCTCACAGTGTCGTGGGTCTGTGGTCGCCAGCTGTGTGTCATGATGCCCAGCCTTCTCCATCCCATCGATACAGGCCTGCTCCCATGGGGGTAGCTCTGAGTCCTCGGACATGGAAATATTCCCATTTGCGACGAAAACACGGTCCTTGCGAGTCATCCCAGGGGGAACAGTCTTGCCACTCGCAAGCTCTTCATTCCATTCATGCCAGGCAGCAATTGCCTCAGTTGATAGAGATTGGTACTCAGTTTGGCCTCCATAGGCAGAGCGAATGATTTTGTTGATGTCTGCAGAGGCCGCATCAGCTCCGTGCAGATAAGAGTATTTTGACTCATCGTAAGGCTGTCGGTCAAAAACAGTCACACTGTATCCGCGGCGGGCAAGGTGTAGGGCTGTGCTGAGGCCGAAAATGCCCGCGCCCACCACAATGATCGGATCATTCTTCTCCATGGCTTATTACAATGGAGTGTGGAGGGCTAAGAGCACTCGCATTGTTTTGTACTGCGTCGTCCAACGCTAGTGGTGGAGTGATAGGGAGAACCCGGTGGCGCCTCGGTAGAAGCCGCGCCTAGATTCTCTCCGCACTTTGCTGTGCTCGTGCTCATGCATCCTGAGCTTATCTCTACTTCGGACCGCAGGTAAAAATGCATGGCACTTATCTTTACCTTCTACGGCAAGTTAAAATCCCTTGAATTCGCGTGTTCACAAAGGGTTTCATTATAATCCTCTGAATCACTTGAAATCCTTCCCCTCACCTCGCTACCTCTTTGCTAGGAGTCAATGTAATGGGGTTCAAGAACATTTACTCGGAATCAACAGTCGCCAAATACGTTCGTACCATCCGGGCGACGCCTCGAGAGCTGATTTGCAACTCCCGGCTTCTCCTTTCTGTGGCCCTCTATGCTTGTTCTGGAATTCCCCTGAGTAAGTCGCGCTCTATATGATATTTTTTTCTCCTAGGCTTTCTGACTAGGAGAACAATTAGCTTGGGATCAAGGATCATCGTCGGTCGTGTCAGAATTACCAGGATTTCAGCAGCAGTTCAAAATCAGCTCTGGTACAAATGCAAACGCAATATCACACTTCGTCTCCCTTGTGTACATTGGGTGCGGCGTGGGTGCAGGGCTCTCTTTCTTCGTCAATGACCGTGTTGGTCGACTCTGGTCACTACGCATCTATATGCTCATTTGGATTGCCGGACAGTTGGTAGCCACTTTTGCTCCAAACATTGGCACACTATATGCCGCTCGAATCATCAGTGGGTTGGGAATTGGACCTCTCACCGTAACAGGAACCAATTCTATTGTCGAGATTGCGCCTACCGAGATCCGTGGACTTCTCGCAACATGGTTTAGTGTGGCTATGCTTCTCTCTCTATGGGTCGCGGTGTTTTGCGTCTATGGTGTGTACCAAACTATAGAAGTGAGTCGCCTGCAATATCAGGCTGTCTGGTTCTCGCCCTGTATCTTCATGCTTCTCTGCATCATCGCTAGTTTCTTTCTGTCCGAATCACCCCGCTGGCTATTTCTCGTCAACAGACAGGAAGAGGCTGTCGAAACTCTGGTCCGATTACGTGGACTGCCAATTTCACACCCGCGAGTACAGATAGAGCTTCAGGAGATTGAAGAGAGTATTTCAAAAGAACGAGGCGCGGAGGGCGGTTTGCCTGGAGTACTTGAAATTGCGCGCGAGACCTTTCTCGTCCCAGCAAATTTACGTCGTCTGACGCAAGCACTCATGGCATTTGCCCTTGCTCAACTATCCGGCGCAAATTCAATCAGTTCTTATTTCGTACCCATCCTGGCTCTTGTCGGCGCTAGCGATGATACCGCGCACAGTATCTTTCTAAGTGGAATGTACAGTCTGGCAAAATTTTTCTTCACGCTCATTGCTTCATTTTTCATTATTGATGCTATGGGACGTCGGAAGTCAGCATTCATCGGAATCACAATTCAAGTCATTACTGATCTATACATTGGTATTTTCATCAAGTATCGTCAACAAGGTCCCGTCTCTGCCAGCTCCGCCCAAGGCGCTATCGTCGCCATTTTTTTTCACGGTTTCGGATATGCCATTGGTAAGAGAACCTATGCTGATATAATTCCATTTTCTATCACTTTCTAACTGAAATAAATCTTTAAACAGGTCTGCTGATTCTTCCTTATATCTTCGGCGGCGAGCTATGGCCAAACCGAATTCGATCATTTGGCAGCGCATTTTGTCAAATGTTCCATTGGCTTTTTTTCTACGGCATCAATGCCGGAACTCCCTCATTGCTGGATGACACAAATAACTGGGGCGCTTTCATATTTTTTGCTGCATTCAATTGTATTGCAATTGCTTATGTGTTCTTTATGGTTCCTGAGATTGCTGGCCTGGGCGTTGAAGAGATGGACAGTTTGTTCCGCGGGCCATGGTTCAAGGCCTACAAGCGCACCCGCAGCCCAAATTTATTGGTGGGAGTTGAGACACCTACCGGATCGCTGTAAGTTCCGAATCTCTCTTTTGGGGGTTTTGTGGAATATTGATCTAATATACCGCCCTTCGTCACAGGTCTGCTGAGCGTGTCATAGACCCCAATACTGAAAAGGGCAGCACATTTGTAAAGACAGATGAGAGTCAGGTTTGATACATGTTCCCTTAAAAGCTTGGTAGTATATTTAGCATGCAGATTAAGACATAAGTACCCAATAATCCTTTTAAATTTTTTAAATTTTTTCTTTAATTTCTTCTTCTTCCAAGTCATAGTATAAACTGGATTCAGTATTCATCGAAAAATCTATCCAGCCTTCAACTCAGTATCGCAAAGGTAATCACTGGCATTTGAGATATAAACTTGCTAACCAGAATATTTACTAGTATCTAGCCGAAGTGGATAATTTAAGCTTCATGAAAATTGGGTTTGATGTTTGTGTTCAGAGTATGCTATTCTTAACTTCACTGATAGTAACCGAGTAGCGGTTTTACTAAGCTTGGAAGCAGTACGACATTATGTCCACAGTAATGAAAGGCATACCAGATGATTTCTATTGGAAGTCTAAATTCATTGGAGTCTTCAATAAAACAGATCAAACATCTTACCGAACATTATTGCTTCATAAGTCCCAGGTTTACAGGGCTGTTCGCTTTTCCTGTTTTAAAAAGAGCCTTGACGTTTTCAAAACACTCTTTCTCAGCCTTATGAAAAGCAACATCTGTAAGACCACCTAAATGAGGCTGCACTGTCACATTATTATTTTCCTCCAAGAACCATGGATCAACGTTGGGCTCGTCACATAAGACATCGACTCCAGCACGTGCGACCTTTCCTGATTGTAAGGCCTCCTTCAGTGCCGACTCATTAACTACGGCTCCTCGAGCTGTGTTGACCAGAAAAGCACCGTCCTTCATGACGGCAAACTCGGGTTCGCTAATAAGGTTTGTTGTCTCCGCGTTGAGCGGGCAATTTAGAGAGACAACATCGGAAGTGCCAAGTAGCTCGTGCAATGAGGGGCAATATACCGCGTTGTACAGCTGCTCGATTTCTTCTGGAAGTCGATTGCGGTTATAATAGCGGATCTTCATGTTGAAGGCCAGAGCCTTCTTAGCAAGATACTAGGACAAACCCTTATTAGTTGATTTCCAGGTGACACGAGGGATAACCATGGTTCGGAGCACTTACTTTGCCTATGGAGCCCATGCCAACGATTCCTAATGTCAAATCGGTAGGGTCACGAGTGGGAACCAAATTCTTTCGCCAGTTTCCTGCCTTTGCGCTTCTCTCCGCATTTGAAGCATTCTTGAGAACGGAAAGTATCAAGAACATAGCCATGTCGGCGGTAGCCTCAGCAACTGCATCCACTGAGTTACAAAACACGACACCCTTCTTTGCCATCCAATCAACATCGAATTCGTTATAACCGGCTGAGGCTGATGTGATAATGCGACATCCTGGAATGAGGGCTTTTAAAAGGTCTTCGTCGAAAGGTTCGTAAGGAGGCGTGCCCATGCGGATGATGAAACCGTCAATTGGACCTTTAGCCTTTATCAAGGCAGGGAGCTTTTCCTGGGTCTCAGCTCGGTTTGAGACATCAAGCACCTCGAAGTCAAATTCCTTATTGAACTCATCGAGGTACTCACTACCGATATACCGTGGGGTACCCAGGGAAACGATCCTGGGCTTCTTTTCGACGCGACCAGGTGACATTGTGAATGATCGAATTCTGGATATGGCAGGGAGAGGAGGAAAAGGGAAGTCGGATGTGCGATTCGGTTGATGGCAAAATCTTTAAACTTATTTCACGCGCGTTTAGTGCTCCCTTCACAATTGAGATTCAACACCTCGGGACTTCCCGAGTGTGCACCAGGCTTTAGCACGCCTTCGCAGTATCTCCGCTTCTCTGCCCCACCCACCTCCCCTCACTGAGATCGGTACTTTCCGTAACCGACTGATACCTCTTTCCCCCCGCTAGATAGGGGTTCCTTCGGGTCCTTATCTACGTTGAGGATAGATGATGAAGATGCCATTATCAGTCGGGCCAGCATGGTTAATATCAACTCTTTTTTCCAGCGGGAATCGACCAGATAGTTGATCAATCCCAGGGTCCAGTGTTCACAATATGGCCAATGAAAACGCCCCACCTATGGGCTTTTTGGCTGTCGAGGTTAACATAGCTAGGCCCCCAGGTGATCCATTTAACGAGCGAACTTGGAGCTTCCCCCTTATTCGGGAGACAGTCCCTGGCTCATCTGTGTCTCATATTGTGACTGATAAACAATACGACGATGAATTTATTGAGCGTTTTGTCGCTGCTGGAATCAAACTAGCTAAGCGTGGAGCTGTTGGAATCATTACAAGCTGCGGCTTTCTTGCTATGGCACAAAAAAAGTATTACCCCAATCATTGTGTAGTTGTTTTGCGGCTCAATATGCTTATTTTGATCAGACTTTCTGCCAGGCTGCCCATACCTATAGCCACATCGTCACTTATCCAGATTCCAACACTCCGCGCGATAATTCACCCTGCGCACAAAATCGGACTACTGACATACGATGCTGGCCGCCTGACAGATAGGCACTTGACTGAGCTCGGTATTGATCCGGCTTCAGTGCATATTTTCGGTGCGCCTCCCCGGGGTTATCTAAGAGGGTATGTCTCACGTGGTGAGCCTTATGATTCTCAAAATGTCAAACATGAGCTGGTTATTATGGCCAAAGAATTATTAAATAGCACCCAAGACAAAATCAGAGCTATCGTGCTAGAGTGCACTAATATGGCACCCCACGGTGAAGCAATTCACCATGCGACAGGTTTACCTGTTTATGATGTATATACACTTGGAGAATGGTTTTACTCAGGTCTGAACAGAAGAAATCCACCATACTGGGCTATGCGAAAGCCTAGAGATCAAAAAGTATAGATTAAGGCATATGGATATGTACTATATTCTGAAACTTCTAGCCAAATAGCTTCTATTCAGTTTTTTAGAAGACTGGGCCCTCTTCGATCAGTTGAAACTGTAGAATCAGTTGGGCAGCATTACCCAAACTACTTGAAACCAAGAAGAGACATGCTATTCTTTCAAACATCTTTTGTTTCAAAAGCGTGCAATGAGGAGTAGAGCATGAGTGGAGTCGTCCCATGTTGAATTTTAATATGGACTGGGCATTCTTAGACCTAGATACCATAAGGAAAGTCACTGCATTCTTTCTCTTTGTTATGTCTAAATCGACTCCGCGGAGCATATTCAAAAAGAGGAGAAGTGGCACAGCTATAATCTAGTTATTATCTAATTACAGCAGGTCCTCAGTGTTCTAACTACGGAGAAGGGCCTTGTCCATAATATGTTTGATCAAGGAATTTGGAGCGAATGACAATGTCTCAGTCGATTTATCTTTGTCCAAAGCTCTGCAAATTTAGTATATGAATTTCTTTCTTTTTTCCCTATCTGTATCTCAAGAATGTAATATATATAAGACTCAGTAAACCTTGGAATCGTATTCAACTCAAGCTTCCAATGAACGCAATTAATTCTCTTACACTTATACTCTACCACCCCAAAGTCTATTCGAACTCGCATCTGAAACAATAATCTACACATACAAAAGCATCACTCTATGTCAGAGGGCATAGAACCCCTGAATTATGCCCTATAGCGATTCAATTCCACGAATAAGGAAAAGCCTTCAACGAATAAGCATGGAATACATGTGCCAACGATGCTTTCTCCGCTTAGCGCAAGACCCTAACCACATTTGTTATCGGGAACCAGGATCCAAATGCTGGTACTGCCAATTGATGAGAAAAATATGTATACCAGTGAGTTTCAAACTTTATGTTCTTCCAAGATTTGAAACTGACAAATTATAGATGCCCGATGAGTTTGAAGACGACTCAGAGGAGGCCATAAACGGAAAGATCAGCGAGCTATCACCCAGAGTTCAGGCAATTCGACAGAAAATCATTATGCGTACCCGCAGGATTAACCTTAAGAAGAAAGATCTGAAGGCTATCTCCAATCAAATCAAAAATGAGATTGTCGCCGAGTTTGGGACCGAAGTTGATGCTGCGGAGGAGGAACTAATCATCAGCTGCCTTACTGGATTATCTGAGGCTGCAGAGGCACACATGCAGCAAGGGCTGAAATCTTAATAGCAAGCTGTGACTATGAGCTGGTTCAAACGGGGATTTAATGTTCATTGTTCTTTCGGCGTTGGCGCTTAGAGGTGGATTTGCCTGAATTTGAGGAACTAAAGAGTTCTCTGGTGTGTTGAGTTATACTAAGGAGCGCATTTCCTAGCTGGGACCTTGTCATAGATGGCGTTGCTTATTTACTTGTTTATTGATATTCGGAGAAAAGAATCTTGAGGTTTAATAAATTCTTTCTGGGGGTGCTTGCATCGTTTAGCATTTACTTTAGGAATATTTTATCTCGTGTCACTCATATACTTGCTTTCCAGTGTTTTTTTCCTCCCCCGGAGAATGGTTTTAAATAATTGGGTGCGTGCTGATGATGGAGTATTGTATCTCATCAGTTGAAGTTATTTAATAGATAGAATGCAATTTCAATTTCACAACATGGTTCATAAGATCACCACCGTTCCAGCACCTGAAATCAAAACAACACCTTCCACCTTCACTGAATCGTCACCAGTCACCAAATGCATAATTCACAAAGTAAATAATCTTTGCGTGCCAGTCAAGCATCTTAGAAAAGAGTACATCCTCCTCCTAGTCAGCCGGCCTTTGCAGCCTTAGGCGGGTACTTCTTGCCACCTTTCTCAACCTGAGGAGTGCATGCACACCATTCATCCTCAGGAATAGAGTCCATGACAGATGGAATGTGGGCACCGCAGCCCCACCAGGTGGCCTTGTCTGTGAAATAGTCAGATATCGATATCATAGACTTTTTTGTCAATCTTGAAGCGGCTTTAGCACATACTGCAGGTAGAACACTGAGCCTTCATGCACATCGTGGAAGAGTTTTTCTCGTTACCGAGGTATAGCAGTTGTCGGTAGTTGAAGGTTTGTAAGTGTTATGAACGGTGCAGGGATTGAGTTTTGTTTCAGTAAGTTTGAGATTATATTACGGACAGCCGAGCGGGAAGCGCTTTATATGGCTTTTTTATCGGCGACTCTACGACGGCACTCTTAGTCATGGACACCGATGCCCGTGAAGCCCGAAAGCCCGATCTTGTCGGTGTTCCTTTACTACTGCGGGGAAGTGGACCGAATTGAAATACGACTAAGATGTCTTTTTCTTAGGATATCTTTTGGTGAGAAATGTATTATTCTAACATTGTGTTATTTATCATGAAGGCCGAGGAATCGCAAATTTGTTCAACTGAGCCCACAAAAAGTGGGGCATGACGCGGGGTGAAACCCGAGTTTTGACCTTCCACTTCGCACTACAGCGCAGGGGATCTAATATTGATATTTGACCAATAAGATAAATTTAGAGAACAGGCTGGATTTACCCGCTGAAATCTACCTTGACTCAATATGAGTGTTATTGCTGTTGCTGGAGGCTCAGGAGGCGTTGGCAAGACCGTTGTCGAACGGCTAGTCCAAGAGCCCAAATTCCAAGTCATCGTTTTATCTCGCCAGGTGAGGGATATCTTGATCTAATGTAGAACAACCGCTAACTAAATCAAAAGCCAACAGTGGACAGTTCATTTCCTGGAGTTCAGGTTGTGCAGATCAACTATGATGATGTCTCTTCCATGGCAAACACCCTAGAAAACTACAATATTCATACAATTATTTCTGCCATCGGCCTCCTCTCCGATGAGACGAGTCAATCTCAATTGAATTTGATTGATGCAGCTGAACAATCCCCGGCTACCAAAAGATTTATTCCAAGCGAATATTCGTTCATCCAAACAGCCGAGTGCGTGGAAGCATAAATTCAAGAACTTCACAAACTGGTCACCACTAATCGCTTTTGATGCTATAGTCTTCTTTCTATAGATCCTAGCATCCAGTACTGGCTTGATGCAGCAAACCGCCTGAAAGAAAGTTCACTCAAGTACACCCGAGTCATCCCGGGGTTCTTCATGGACTACTGGGGCATGCCTCATGCTCGAACCAACCTACAGCCATACACCTTCGGAATTAACATCGCCGAACGGGAGGCTGCCATTCCTGGCGACGGCAATGATGTAATTTGTATGACTTATACCTACGACATGGCCGATTATGTTGTCAAGGCGCTTGACCTCAATGATTGGCCTGAATTCAGCGTAGTTGTTGGGGATGAAGTCACTTACAATCAGCTTCTGAAAATGGCCGAAGAGCTCACAGGTAACTAATATCTACAATTTATTGTTATTTACCCGTGAGCAGTCAAACTAAAATTCATTTAACAGGAGCCAAGTTCAACGTGACTTATGATACTGTTGACCAAATCAACGCAGGGGACGTTACCATACCCCCGAGTCCTAGAGGGACAGAGTATTCAGTGGATGAACTCAAGGAAGTCACAGCATTGGTTAGTCGACTTATTGTGAATGGCGTCTTTCAATTCCCGAAGGAAAACAGGCTCGATGCTCAGATCCCGGATGTACAACCCATGAAAATGAGAGAATTCTTAGAGAGACATTGGGGTGGGAAATAAAAAATAAATTCACGATTCAAGACTAATATCGACCTTGTTCACCAAAAGAAATCGCAATTCCTCGCACACAAACAGTTCAAACATCATTGCCACCAATCTGGTTGAAGCTTTAGGTAGCTTATTCACGGAAGTTACCCTGTTAATGAGGCCAACCAATTGGTTCAACACTTGAAACTAGCGGAATTGGCCACTCCAGTGCAGATGTTGCGTCCGGGGATGAGGTTCGAGCACCAAGGGTTGATGTCCGGGTTCCAGCACAGCAACTGGTCCATGGTTAATGCATCTTCGTTCTGGGTGATGATGTCCCAGCAAGTATCCCCTTGTTGCACCTTGTAGAATGAGTTGCCTATATTTGAATTGTGAGCATATGTGTTAAATGTACCGGTAGACTTTTACTTACAGCGAGGCACGTATCTACTAGAGTCTCCGACATCTTCAGGGACGGTGTCACGCTCGACTGAGACTCCAGCAAGATTCTTGTCTACTGCAGCAGACAATGCCAAAGATGCGAGTCCCAATGTCATGACAACAACCTGAGCATATGAACGAACCATGATGCTGGTGGAAGATATTTAAGATCGAAATTCAAGAGAAGCTGAGACTTGGGAAATAATGGAAATCGTTTTTGTAGTTTTGTTCTTCCACTTCCTTCGTGGCTCTTCTTGCTGGTATTTATGCCTTGGGACTTTGTCAGATACTCAAATGCTAGACTTTTGAATTAGACCGAGTCACCAACACATCATCTAATTCAGAGGCAAACTATCCAAACACAACGATATTCTGCTGGTCGCCTTAAGACCACTTTTCATTTCCCTCGAGTCCGGGTTGCAGTTGCTTTGTCGTGCAATCATAAGCCAATCAGCTGGGACGATTCTCCTGCACCGACACAAATGGCGACAGAATAAGAAAAGAACGTCGGCATCACTGGCATTATCTCGGCATGTCGCGCATACAGGAGCCTGATTCTCATCTACACCGCATATGTCTCGGGTAGGTAGAGTCATGCCCCGTTTGTTCCACTGTTACATTGCATCTGAAAACCCTTGGATGGTCTGATCAATAAACTATGGAGGGATACTGCTACCTTTTGCTACCTTTCGCAGGGGAGCCTTGCCACCGATGCATGATGCTGGTAATACCCACGCCTGAATCGAAAAGTGTAGCAGAAGCGAACGGTCATCAAACCTAGTGGGTTGGTCGGCTATCCTGCAGGGGCGATTGTGTAACCCCCGTGGTCTGGGCCACATTTTAATAGAAGACATATCAACTTCGAGGGAAATTAGACTCAATTAGAGCTCGAAGCTAGAACGAGCTCCGATCGGATCAGTGGGCAGAGTAACATTCTTTGTACCATGAGACTTCGACAGAAGGCACCCCGATCTAAAGCGTGTACTACAGTCACCTCGCTACAGACTTTCAAAGTCAAGCTGTCCTCACTGCTCATGTTTCTAATATAATACCTGTTGGGATTCTCAGATTGAAAAGTGATCGTACTGTCTCTCGTCGAAGTTAAACATGTTGAGTTGTCAGCAATTGTAAATACGATGGATCATCTGATTATCGAACCTATACTTTACTACCTTTCTTTTGCCTCTACTAAACTCTACAAGTTATGGAGCCGTAGATAATGGGAATACGAGAAGTCGCGTGGGTTTGTTTCTTCCAAATATTTTACCAAGCTCCATGCAAGGAGCCGGCTGAGCAATTTCTTTTGTTTTATTTCGTAACACAATTCTTTTCTCCCTCTACCCTCCTGTCTCTCAACAACCGGAACATTTATCACTATTATTAGCATGCTAAAGGCTTCAACATTATTTGGATTTCGTTGCGCCTGAAGTCGATTTCTCAAATAAGATTATACTAAATTCGAGTGGCAAATTACAATAGAATATGCTCCTCGCATGGAATAAAGCTTTTTATGATCTCAACCCTCTTGTACTTACTCGTAAATAAATGCGGAGGCAAGTGCGTTAATGCCTGAGGTTGTTCAGACACATACTAGTGTCGAAAAGCAGCCCAAAGACCTAGAAGCTTGCTCACCCCCCAAATATTATCTAGTATTGTTTATTAGTATCATGCTCTTTAAATTTGTAAACAAATTTTATTATCATATTCCCCCTGAAGGATTCCGCGCTTCAGACGATGAGTTCCCGCGCACTCTGACATAACAAAGAAAATAGTGGGGCAGTGGGGACAGAAAGAAGCACCAGCTTATAGTACAGTGCGGCCCCCAAATTGCCCCTCTGAGCCCATTTTAAAGCAATGCATTAAATTTTCCCTCATTAAACAACTGATAACGTTGTGAAATATGTCTTCGCTTCCATCAATTGTACTGGTTCACGGAGCCTGGCATACGCCACCAAATTATCGATCCTATGTGGACGCCCTACAGAAACAAGGGTTTGAAGTACACTGCCCACGGCTTCCAACATGTAGTGGCGTATCGCCACCAACCGCATCTCTCCCCGAAGATATCGCCTACGTGAGAGAAATTATCAAATCGCTCGTCAACAATGGCCAGCGTGTTCTGATGATCTTCCATTCATACGGCGGCGCTGTCGGAGGCAGCGCAGTAGAGGGCCTTTCCATCGCTGAACGGAAGGCTGCCGGGAAACCCGGGGGTGTCATTCACTTGCTCAACCTGTGCGGATACTTGCTGCGCGCTAATACTTCCGTCTTTGACGTTATTCGAGAGGCTGGGTATCAAGATTTAGTGGAAGACTACATGCCCACAGCCCCAGATGGCCTCTGTTCTGTTACAGATCCCGCTACTGGATTTTTCAGTGGGAGAGCGAGCCAGGAAATAGTCGATGAAGCACTCAATGCAGTAGTCAAGTTCCCAATTCAAGCCTTTCATGATGTGGTAACGGGATATGCCTGGAAAACAATCCCTACAACTTATATTCGCACACTGCAAGATGGTGGTGTGCCGACGGTATATCAAGATATCATGTTAGGCAAAGCTCAAGAAGATGGCATTTCTTTGAAGGTCAAAACCTTCGATGCCGATCATAGTCTCTTCATTACTGAGCAGGAGGAAATGGTGAAGGCCGCAGTTGATGCTGCCAATGACGAGAGAAACATTCTGTGAAATAATCAATATACGGTTTATGGCTAGTTCGGGTGCCTTGGTCAATTTTGTAAATTCGAGTGATGAAATATACATTTTTGTACACTAGACTCCAAGAGCCATATGAGGTCATAAGAGCATTGATTGCATGTTTTCATTTTCCTTTTCGGTTCAGCTCCTAAAGAAACTTGAAAGTCCTCAGAAGAGCAATACAACTCGAATCGGGTCCAGAAAATAAAGATTTTTACAGCATTTAGCCAAGCATTCCAATAGCATAGATTCGGCCATGGTAAGTGGAGTAGAAAATGTGCGGCATGACGAATCAAAGCTTGCCCGGTCTCGTAATAAGGCATATCCGAAATATTTCGGACATGCGGTACTTTGTACCTTTGTTTGTAGTCCGAAAATCTTCGGGCGGCAACAATGGCGATCGCCCACCAGAGTTGCATGCACTATAGTAGTAGCGTCATTGTCAAAGATAAATAGATCTGTATGTCCCTAAATATCTAAATCATAATTTTCAACTTATATAATCTGTATACTTTGAGCAGATTTGCAACCTCTCGCTGTCTTTCTACCTTTATAAAATATTGCGCAAGTCTTCATTGCATACTCCGAAAGATACCACCACTATGTCTTCGCCTCAAATTTGGCTCATCACGGGTACCTCTTCAGGCCTTGGAGCTGCTTTCGTTAAAGCAGTCATTGCACGGGGTGGCAAAGTGATTGCGACAGCCCGGAACGTGGACAGCATCCTTCATCTCAAGGCGCTCGGCGCAGAAACTCTGCAGTTGGATGTCAGTTCCTCTCAGGAAGAGCTGAATAAAAAGGCTCAAGAGGCTATCTCCATCCACGGGAAGATCGATGTTCTTGTGAACAACGCTGGTTATGTTCAATTTGGAACGGTCGAGGAAACCACGTAAGCCCGTTAATCCTTGACAAGATTCAATCCAGAGCTAAAAATTGAACTAATTTCTGCAGAATTGAGGAATGGAACCAACAATATCAAACAAATGTCTTTGGGACCCTCAATACCACTCGTGCTTTTCTACCACATCTTCGCCACAACAAGTCAGGGACTATCATTTTTAACGGATCAATGGCCGCTTGGGACGGTGTTCCGACTGCTGGAGCATATTGCTCTTCAAAAGCTGCACTCCATTGTAAGTTGACTCGCCCACTGAACAGACAAATGTGGCTAAACAGATCATGTTAGATGCCGTGGAGTCTCTATCACGAGAAGTAGCCCGATTTGGCATCAAGACCCTTCTTATTGAGCCTGGGACTTTTCGCACGAACTTCTTGAGCGCTCAGAGCCAAAAGCGGGCGGTTCCAAAATACAATGACTATGAGGAAATCAATGTGGCGATTTCTGGCGAATATGACAAACTAGCTGGAAATCAGACCGGGGATCCTCAGAAAGCCGCCGAGCTGGTTGTCGATGTTGTGAAAGGGGAGAATGGGGCTGGCGGAAGGAAATGGCCAAGCTCACTGTTATTGGGATCTGATGCGGTTGATTTGATCCGGAAGAGATGTCAGGAAACTTTACGTGAGCTAGACGAGTGGGAGGTGCTTTCGAGATCAACAGATGTGTAAATTCAAGTTCTTTGGGACAAGTTTGTGACATACAATGTTCTGTCTCTTACTTCCATGTGACCAGGTAGAGTTCTTGTGTCTTCAAGTTGTTGATAGCTAAATTCGGAATCAGTAGGGACGTGCAAGTCTTGCATTCTATATTTGCCTATTTCTGAGAAGTCATTGCACGGAATTCCTGTCCGCTGTTTTCCATACTAGACATTCAATATATAAGACCCTATAAAGCGACGGCCAGTGCCAAATATTTTGAATTTTATGCAACTATGAAGATTCACGTGGATATTGTCACGAATATTTAGTCTGCTTCCATGGTTCAAGTCGCTTTCCGAAATCCCCGGGAAAGCTCTGGCGTTTCTAGAGAGAAGGGTTTCAAATCAACATCATTAATTGGAAAATTTACGGATTTCGAAAATGGCACAAGAGTCAACCCAAGAGACTGGTCAAGATGATCGCTTTCTTAATGAAATTGCTGATCGGTAACTGCCGAAAGTTCCAACCGAAATGGACCCAAAGATGGTTGTGTTGTCTAGTCTTAATCGTGTAAAGAAGAAGCTAAACATCTACAGTCCTGTGCAAGACTATGAATCTGGATGGTCAGCTTTGTGGGATGCAGGAGAAAGCAATATTTGGGATCAAGGGAAAGCGTCTCCGGCCTTAGTTGATCTTGTTGAAGGAGCAGGTGAACTCTTCGACCCATTTACCATACAAGGAACGAAGAAGAATGTTGTAGTTCCGGTAAGATAATATGCATTTTCTATTTCTTGGTCTGTGAAATTTCTTGAGTCATGCGTTTGTTGATACTCAGACGACTATCTAGGGCTGTGGTCGAGGATACGACGTAGTGATGTTAGCGCTTCATGGGTTCAACGCATATGGTCTCGAGATATCAGATACTGCCGTTAAAGAGGCTGAGGCATATGCAGCAACGCAAATGTCTCATTCATCCGCCTATCATTTTGGGAACGAGCAATCGCGGTCTTCTTCGCCGGGTACGGTGACTTTCTTGGAAGGGGATTTCTTTTCCTCCACCTGGGATTTCAAAGGAGAGCCCAATGGAATGAGGAAATTTGATATGGCTTACGATTATACTGTGAGTTACATCTTTCCAAATATCGCCATGGTTATTGTGTAACCTATTTGTTAGTTTCTGTGTGCGATACACCCTCGCCAGCGCAGGGACTGGGCGAAAAGCATGGGTCAGATCATCAAGCCGGGTGGTTTATTGATATGCCTTGAATTTCCGTTGTATAAGGACGCCAAACTTCCGGGACGTCCCTAGGGCCTTAATGGGGTTTATTGGAATCTTTTGGTGGAAGGAAAAGACGGTGGAATCGGAGGGAAGGAGATAGGTGACGACGGCAAGGAAATGAACTCGAATCAACCCGATGACGGTGATTCTCGCAAAATCGGCTACATGAAGCCAACTCGATCCTATGAACAGAGTAGAGGGACAGATATGCTCAGCATGTATATCCGGAAATAATAAAGCTTTCCAATGAAGAATGAGACATGTTCGTTTCAGAGTATCTTACTGATGAAATATTGAAATAGAATAGAGATGCAGTAGGCAGTAGGCAGCATGCGGAACACCAATAATGATCTTGAAAAGCTTCGAAGAACCGTCTAGAGCTGTGGGGCTAATAGAACGTGCCAATTAAAAACAGCGGGGCGAGAAAGCCAATGACGCGGTGGATTTTCCCTTCATTTAACCTGCAGTGCTACGGGGTGCGGATACCTTGACACCTTACAAGTTGTGGGCAGTAACAACCCCCTGTCTCTCACCCAGATCACGTGATGGTCCAAGTAAGCGACACCTCAGCAACGACAACAGCGGACCTCCTGAGGTCACTTCCGCTTCTTTAGATTCCCCATTCTCCCCCTCCTATATCTCTCTCCATCTTCTTTACTTTCCTTCTTCTTGATCTCTTCCTTCTCCATACCCACATTCCCTTTTCTTTCTTATTCCTCATTTTCCTTGGGCGTTCAGCTGGGTGGATCAGGTCGTACTGCGGCCTCAGTAAATATGGCGCTTCCCATCAAGTTCACAGAAGTGGTCAATGTACGCTCATTCCACCCTTTGAGGACACGACTTCACACCCTGGATGATTTTACTGACACTTTTCTTCTGACAGTTGACCAATGTCGGCATTGCGGTACGTTCTCACCTTACATTGCTATCCCCGGACAAGAGCTTCGCCATAAGCTCCCATGACGACACGGATACCCCGGTCGCGCGCAGCGGCCATTTCCGAGTGTCTAGGAATTTGACTGACTTATTTGTTTTCTAGCCGGCATCCATTGGCTTCACTTCATGTGTAAGTTCCTTTCGCACCTCTCAAAACAAACAAACGCTGACCTAGGCATCTCTCACCTCACAGACTCTAGAATCCGATCATTACGTTTGCGTTAGGCAAAAGCTCGACGAAGACGACAAACCTCAAGTCATTATCATCAACTTGAAGAACAACAATGAGGTTATGCGCCGGCCAATCAACGCCGACAGTGCCATCATGCACTGGAACAAGAATATCATCGCTCTTAAGGCCCAAGGCCGCACAATTCAGATTTTCGATCTTGGGGCTAAGTCGAAACTGAAGTCCGCCGTGATGAATGAGGATATCGTTTACTGGAAGTGGTTCAGCGAGACATCTTTGGGTCTGGTTACCGATACATCCGTATACCACTGGGATGTCTATGACGCGACCCAGCAGAACCCCGTGAAAATGTTCGAGCGACTTCCCAACCTATCGGTATGGCAAATTCTCGTCTTCAAGGTATTCGCAAACATGCGCTGATGTTTTTTCTTTTTTAATTAGGGATGCCAAATTATCAACTACCGTGTCAACTCCGAGGAGAAATGGATGGTTGTTGTTGGTATTAGCCAACAACAGGGTCGTGTCGTGGGTTCAATGCAGCTGTACTCGAAGGAACGTGGTATCTCGCAGTTCATTGAAGGTCACGCCGCTGCCTTCGCCTCCATTAACGTTGAGGGGTCCCCATTGCCACATCACCTCTTCTCGTTCGCCGTTAGAACCCCAACTGGCGCAAAGCTGCAGATTGCCGAGATTGACCACCAAGAGCCCAACCCGCGATTCCAGAAGAAGGCTGTGGAGGTTTTCTTCCCCCAAGAAGCTGTCAACGACTTCCCTGTGGCGATGCAGGTTTCTACGAAATACGATATTGTCTACTTGGTTACAAAGTACGGCTTCATCCACCTGTATGATCTGGAGACGGGTACTTGCATCTTCATGAACCGCATTTCAAGTGAAACCATCTTCACCACTGCCCCTGATGATCAGGGTGCTGGTATTGTTGGTGTCAACCGCAAGGGTCAAGTTTTGTCCGTTAGCGTCGACGAGGACACAATCATCAACTACCTGACAGCAAACCCAGCTATGGCTAGTCTTGCCGTCAAGCTTGCTTCGAGAGCTGGTCTCCCCGGAGTCGATCATCTTTTCCAGACACAGTTCGACAACTTCATCTCGCAGGGTGACTATGGCGAGGCTGCTAAGGTTGCTGCCAACTCTCCCCGTGGATTCCTCCGTACCGCTGAAACTATCAACCGTTTCAAGAGCGCTCCCCAGACTGGTCAAATGTCAGTCATTCTTCAGTACTTTGGTATGCTTCTGGACAAGGGTTCCCTGAACCGCTACGAGAGTGTGGAACTTGTTCGACCCGTTTTACAGCAAAACCGCAAGCACTTGCTGGAGAAGTGGATGCGTGAGAACAAGCTGGAAGGCTCGGAGGAGCTCGGAGACATCATTCGCCCATACGATATGTCTCTTGCTTTGAACGTGTATCTCCAGGCCAACATCCCCCACAAGGTTGTTGCTGGATTTGCTGAGACTGGCCAGTTCGAGAAGATTCTTACTTACTCCAAGCAAGCCAATTATCAGCCTGACTACACTCAGCTTCTTCAGCACATTGTGCGGGTCAACCCCGAGAAGGGTGCTGAGTTTGCTAGCCAGCTTGCCAATGAGGAGAGTGGTGCTCTCGTGGACCTTGAACGTGTGGTCGATGTATTCGTTTCCCAGAACATGATTCAGCAAGCCACTTCCTTCCTCCTTGATGCCTTGAAGGACAATAAGCCTGAGCAGGGTCATCTGCAGACTCGTCTCCTTGAGATGAACCTTGTCAATGCCCCTCAAGTTGCGGACGCCATTCTTGGCAATGAGATCTTCACCCACTATGACCGTCCCCGTGTTTCCCAACTTTGCGAGGGCGCTGGTCTGATTCAGCGTGCTCTTGAGAACTCCGACGACCCCTCCGTGATCAAGCGAAACATTGTTCGTACTGACATGCTGAGCCCTGAGTGGCTGATGGAATACTTCGGTCGTCTTTCCGTTGAGCAGACTCTCGACTGCTTGGACACTATGCTGGATGCCAACATTCGCCAGAACTTGCAGGCAGTCGTTCAAATTGCTACCAAGTTCTCCGATCTTCTCGGTGCCAACCGCCTCGTTGATCTTTTCGAGAAGTACCGCACTGCCGAGGGTCTTTATTACTATCTCGGAAGCATTGTCAACCTTAGCGAGGACCCCGAAGTGCACTTCAAGTACATTGAAGCCGCTACCACCATGAACCAGGTCACCGAGGTTGAGCGTATTTGCCGTGAGAGCAACTACTACAACGCCGAAAAGGTGAAGAACTTCCTCAAGGAAGCTCATTTGACCGAGCAACTCCCCCTTATTATCGTCTGTGACCGATTCAACTTCATCCACGACTTGGTTCTGTACCTCTATCAAAATCAACAGTTCAAATCGATCGAGGTTTACGTCCAGCGCGTCAACCCATCCCGCGCGCCCGCCGTCGTCGGTGGTCTCCTTGATGTCGATTGCGATGAGAGCATTATCAAGAACCTCCTCTCTACCGTGGACCCCGCTGCCATCCCTATCGACGAGCTTGTCTCCGAAGTTGAGAGCCGCAACCGTCTCAAGCTGCTCCTGCCCTTCCTTGAAGCTACTCTTGCCGCTGGCAACCAGCAACAGGCAGTTTACAACGCCCTTGCAAAGATCTACATCGATAGCAACAACAACCCCGAGAAGTTCCTCAAGGAGAACGATCTCTACGACACTTTGACTGTCGGAAAGTACTGCGAGAAGCGTGACCCTAACCTTGCATACACTGCGTACCACAAGGGCCAGAACGACCTCGAGTTGATTAGCATCACCAACGAGAACTCCATGTTCCGCGCTCAGGCTCGCTATCTGGTTGAGCGTGCGGATCCCGAGGTTTGGACCTTTGTCCTGAGCGAGAACAACATCCACCGTCGCTCCCTTGTTGACCAGGTTGTTGCAACTGCCGTTCCCGAATCCACTGAGCCTGACAAGGTTTCCGTGGCCGTCAAGTGCTTCCTTGAGGCTGATCTTCCTGGCGAGCTTATTGAGCTTCTTGAGAAGATCATCCTGGAGCCTTCGCCTTTCAGTGACAACTCCAGCTTGCAGAATCTGCTGATGCTGACTGCTGCAAAGGCCGACAAGGGACGCCTGATGGATTACATCCACCAGCTGAACGAGTTCTCTGCCGATGAAATTGCTGAGATGTGTATTAGCGTTGGTCTGTACGAGGAGGCCTTTGAGATCTACAAGAAGGTCAACAACTACCTCGCCGCCGCCAATGTCCTTGTTGAGAACATTGTTAGCATTGATCGTGCCCAGGAGTTCGCCGAGCGTATTGAGCTTCCCGAGGTTTGGAGCAAAGTTGCCAAGGCCCAGCTTGATGGTCTTCGTGTGTCCGACTCAATTGAGTCCTACATCCGCGCGGGTGACCCATCTAACTACAACGAAGTTATTGAGACTGCCACCCACGCTGGCAAGGATGAAGACCTTGTTAAGTTCCTTCGTATGGCCCGCAAGACTCTCCGTGAGCCTGCTATTGACACTAGTCTTGCCTTCTGCTTTGCCCGTCTTGATCAGCTTGCTGAGCTTGAGGACTTCCTTCGCTCCACCAATGTTGCAAATGTCGAAGCATCTGGTGACAAGGCTTATGAGGAGGGATACCACCAGGCTGCCAAGATCTTCTTCACAAACATTTCCAACTGGGCCAAGCTTGCCACTACCCTGGTCCACCTTGAGGAGTACCAGTCTGCCGTTGAGTGCGCTCGTAAGGCTAACAGCGTCAAGGTCTGGAAGCAGGTCAACGAGGCCTGCGTTGACAAGAAGGAATTCCGTCTTGCCCAGATTTGTGGTCTTAACTTGATCGTTCACGCTGAGGAGTTGCAAGCCCTTGTTCGTCAGTACGAGCGCAATGGTTACTTTGATGAGCTCATCTCTGTCCTCGAGGCTGGTCTGGGCTTGGAGCGTGCTCACATGGGCATGTTCACCGAGCTCGGTATCGCTCTGTCTAAGTACCACCCAGACCGTGTTATGGAGCACCTGAAGCTCTTCTGGTCTCGCATCAACATTCCTAAGATGATCCGCGCCTCCGAGGAGGCCAACTTGTGGCCTGAGCTGGTCTTCCTTTACTGCCACTATGATGAGTGGGACAATGCTGCTTTGGCTATGATGGAGCGTGCCGCCGATTCCTGGGAGCACCACTCGTTCAAGGACATTGTGGTCAAGGTCGCCAACCTGGAGATTTACTACCGTGCCCTGAACTTCTACCTGCAGGAGCAACCGCTGCTTCTGACTGACCTGCTCCAAGTCTTGACCCCTCGTATTGACGTCAACCGTGTCGTTCGTATCTTCCAGAGCTCCGATAACATTCCCTTGATCAAGCCCTTCCTCTTGAACGTCCAGGCCCAGAACAAGCGGGCTGTCAACGATGCCATTAATGAGCTTCTGATCGAGGAGGAGGACTACAAGACTCTCCGTGACTCAGTGGATAACAATGATAACTTCGATGCTGTGGATCTTGCTCAACGCCTCGAGAAGCATGACCTCATCTTCTTCCGTCAAATTGCCGCCAACATCTACCGCAACAACAAGCGATGGGAGAAGTCCATTGCCCTGTCAAAGCAGGACAAGCTTTACAAGGATGCTATTGAGACTGCAGCAATCTCAGCCAAGTCCGATGTTGTTGAGGATCTTCTTCGTTACGTAAGCTTAACTCCCATTCCCAACTTTCAATTTCAATTTCATAGCAAACATACTAACACTTTCAATAGTTCGTGGACATTGGCAGCCGTGAGTGCTACGTCGGTATGCTCTATGCTTGTTACGATCTCATTCGCCCCGATGTCATCATGGAGATCTCATGGCGCAAGGGTCTGCACGAATTCACCATGCCCTACATGATCAACTTCCTCTGCGAACAAACCCGCACCATCGATATGCTCAAGAAGGATAATGAGGAGCGCAAGTCCCGAGAGAAAACACAAAGGACTGACGAGGACAACACCCCCATCCTCGGTGGATCTCGATTGATGCTGACTCAGGGCCCTGCCCCGACAGGCAGCCCCATGCCATACGGACAGCAGGCGAACGGTATTACTCCGCAAGCTACCGGCTACCGTGGATTCTAGACCGATGCAATGATTCCCTCGTTTGTTTTTTTGTGTTCTTCCCCTCCCCCATTTATTTTTTTCTCTTATGTGTAACATAAAGCGACGTGATGATTTCTTCGGTGCGAAGCAAAAGACATGAGCCTCGGAGGGAAAAGGTTGACGGGGGAGATGTGCTATAGGAGGTTCTTCATGACGGCCCGTTAATTTGTTTTTTCTTTCTCTTACTATTTTCTCTATCTTTTTTATTATCCACTGTATTTTCATAGGCTTTGCGTTTCTTTCCACGCTTCCTGGTCAAGGTCGTGGTCGACCTTGTTTCAGATAATCGCATTGCGTTGCTTTTTTTTCGAATTTTCCAAGCCAAGACTGTAGAAAGTAGCCCCAGCCGCTTTATTAATTAATCTTCAACATTGAAAATAGACCTATAAACAAACGATAGATCCGTCATCGCATATGCAGCTCCCCGTAAGCACACTGAAGACCAGTAAGTCCCCCACGAGTCCTCTGCAGTGAGACGTAGACCTGTCCAGACCCTAACTTGAACGACGAAATAAATGCCCATATCGACATAATCTTACCTGCATAAATGACCTTATCTTGAAGTCATGAAGAAAAGCAACATTGAAACCCCGCCAAGACGCCAAGACACCGCCCTCAGGGGCCGTAACAATGATCTTCATGATATTCACTAGTGTATCACGCAAGGAGCGCCCAGCCTCCTCCACCTGGGCAGAGTTCGAAGGTAGCATCAAGGGATTGTTTTTTGGAAGCGTGACCTAACTCCGCCACGGGACCCTCGCACTACATACATGCCCAGCATTCAATTTGACTATTTGACTAGTGAGCTGTAGGACGATAACGACAAATATGTAGCTAGTGATTCAGACAAGACCTTGGCAGTAAGCTGAGCTTTACTATGTACTGCCGACATACTACCTCATACTGTACTCCGTACATGTACGTACATGCGAGGTCTGGTTTTAGATTGCGTGTCTTGATCAATTCTTCAGAAGATTTCCAAGACTTTCTAATTTACGTCGGTACGGCCTTCTATCTGCGGGTATTGTGCGTGCTGTAAATCATGATCTACTCTACTAACCGGCCCCACAATTTTTCTTTCACAAAAATAATGAACCCTCGCTTACGAGGGTCCGCCACCCATATGGAACAGATCACCCATATGGAACATTTTTGCTAAATCGTACTACAACTACTATTTACCACACCACCATATAGTTAATTAATTAACTAAAAATAATAAACAAATCAATCAGCCATTTTAATATTAGAATACAAAATCAAGTTAATTTCCCCGGCGTTTTTTGGCTCTTCCATGCTTCCTAATTTCAACCAATATCTTCTTCCACTTCCGCTTCGTCTTTTCTTGATCGGCTTTTTCAGTCAATTTATATTCTTTTAGCTTCATTTCTTTGATCTGGCTTGAATTGATAATACCAGTGATTTGCGTATAACGGCGAGAAGCATCATATCTAGCGTGACGTGCTCCCATAATAGCTTGTGTAGAATCGAATTCCCGTTGCAGTTGGACAGCCAACATTGCCTGAGTCTCAGCACCCTTTACAAGCTTTGCTAGCCCTTCTTTAAAACGTTGAGTAGTAGGATCATATTGATTAATACGATCGCTAATTCTTCGAACTCTCTCAGCGGTTTTTGGGGTGCTAAACTCAGTATTTTGTGAGTTAACTGATGGTGTATCTTCCCGGGATATATTATCATAATATGGATCGTACGAATCCAATTCATCGGTAATAAGCTTAGAATTAATTGGCCAAAGGCCAGTTAATCTAAACCCAAGCTTGATTGTATGTGGCCGGAAGGTTTTGCGTCTGATTTCACTGATTGAATGTAGGAATTCATCCTTTGAAAATTTACGGCATCCAGTCATTGTAGCCGCCTCAACTGCCTCACTATGCCAGTGTTTATATACACTAAACACTCCAACATCGAGAGGTTGTAGTATATGGCTAGTATGTGAGAGTAAGAAGAATAGAATGATATCATTCTTCTCACAAAATTCAACAAATTGACGCGTTAAATGTGATCCAAAACGATCGCATAAAACTAGCCTCTTTTTCCCAATGGTACGAGAAATTGTCCATTTATGAAACAGCTGAATCCATTGATATGCTAATGTATCATTGATATAGCCAGTATCAGTTATAGCAAGATGCTCGTCGTCTTCAATTTTATCAAACCAACGTAGTAATGCTTGTTTAGCGCTTAGAATAATCAGCGGTGGGCATGTAAAGCCATCAGCCGAAACAGCCTCTAAAACAGTGACAGACTCGCGATTGGTAACTGAGCCATTAAATAGCTTCTTTTTTGGATGTCTTGTGATAATAAATTGATCGCGACCGACGCCAATTTGGAAGCCAGTTTCGTCAAAATTGTAGATATCTTGTTGACAGATGCCATATTTAGCCACTATACGTTGATAGTCTTGAAACCATCTCTCTATAACGGATTTATCCAGTGCAGTAGCTCTTTCAACATCAAGAGCTCGCCGACGTCGTATATAGTACTCAGGATACCGTTTAAGAAAACGCTTTAGCCAATGGTCGCCAATTTGTGGGGGATCTGTGGTGGTGTCGGTATGATCTTCTTCCAGAATTGAATCGGCAGCAATAGCAATTTGACGGCGATTTATTGATGCTCCGACCGCATCAAAATAATCAATATATTCACATAAAGCCTTCTCCTGTGCAATACTAAGCTTCCGGCCATTAGGTTGTCGTTGGAAAAGCGATTTTCCACCTTGCCAGCGCCGACGAAGACGGCCTTCAGGAACCGCGAATTCTCGCGCAGTCTTCCTAATATTAGGCTTAGATTGCTCAGAGAGAGACTCTATTGCCAGCTGAATCTGGTTCTCTATATCTTTATTGGTTTTAGGCATTGTTGGTGGTGTGGTAGATGATAATAGTGGTTGTGGTAAGATTTAGAAAAAATGTTCCATATGGGTGATCTGTTCCATATGGGTGGCGGACCCTCGTAAGCGAGGGTTCATTATTTTTGTGAAAGAAAAATTGTGGGGCCGGTTAGTATGAAGTAGGCATATGACTCTACCATTTCAGCTTAATATATTCCAGTATTATGTATACGGACTCTATTTAATCTTTTCCAACTGACAAAAGAAGACGGGATCGGGACATAAACATCGACCGATAATCATCCGATGCCCTCGGGCCGGGTATATGGAAAGAAGGAAAGAAGAGCTCAAAAGATTATCCCGGGGATATTATTTTCCCCGCGGAGAATGTGGAGAGGAATAGATCTGGGTCCAGATCCAGCGAGCGGTTAAAAGAGGTACAGCTTTGTGTTGACGTGATGTGTTATGTATTTTGTTAATATTATTATTACAGCATTATACTATGATATTCTATTTCAGTGAAGTATTTTCTCTCGCGCGAATCGGCAAACGGGTTATTTAGAAAAGCGCTGTTCGTTATAGGCTATGACGTCGACATCTTCTTCGTACTGTACATACTGTACTGTACTGTAGCTGAAGATAATGGTTTGGTGCCTAGTTGATCAGGTTGATGATAAGAGCGGAAAGTGATGTGATTCGTGCATTTATTGCTTGCTTTTGCTTTTGCTTAGGATTCATTCGTGTCTGAAGGGTAGGATGTGCAGCTGCAGGAGGAGATCCTGTCGCATTTTTGGGTTGATGTGGGTGTAAGATCTGCTTCAAACATGTTGAAAGGGATCATTTTATATTGATGGTCTCTTTCTTTTTTATCATTGTACACCAAATATAATTTTATCAGAGGTTTACCCTGCAGAGTAATATATTGAAATAGAATAATAGATTAATATTTAGAGTTACCAGATTCAATTTGTTCACGATACCGGTACTTGGGGGAAAGACGTGGGGCGGAGGGGAGGGCAGTTCTCCGGCAGGGCTGGACAATGGGGGCTTTTACCCCTCCAAGACAGACCAAAGACCACCTAAACCAAAAAAAAAAAAAAAAAAAAAAAGAGGGAGCAGACTGACCTATTCCTGTGTACCTGTCAATTGAATCAGCGGGAGATCACTGCAGCGCCAAGTAATTACCCAGTTCGCATGATCTAACCCGCTTTTCGTGCTAAATATCCTATTTCCTATTATTTCCATATTCCGGCGGCATTTACCACGGAGAGGCGGCAGAGTATCCGCCCATGGTGCGGTGGTCGGAAGAGTACACCGGGGGTGGCCATAGGAGATCCTTTCCTCTAGAGAAAATGGACGCATGACCCAACCCAGAATTTCGGCGGAGTACCCGGTGGCAGGGTAGAAGATGGCGCTGGAGAAGGTAAAATTGTCCTGATCCATGAGTCAAGAGATAGCATAATAGGAATTCCTACATCGGAATGACCTTCCCCGAGGTCAAGAAGTAGATCGGGGGGGGGGGGGGGGATTTTTCCAATTAGAACTTGAATTGGCATGTACCTGTGCACTTCAGTGCAGTTGGCCAATGTCGACAGCGTGATAAATGATCAGCCATGATTGGCCCACTTTATCCCATTCAGCAGCTTGCAGTGGGCAGCTATTGACTAGGTACTGTACGTGTAGTGGGAGGTACAGTATGAAAATGCACATGTCGAGAGTTCTCCGAGTCTCCCCCGGACCCTCTGGTTTCCCGTCGATAACCGTCTGAATGAGGTGCCAATTCTGGACCTTTTTTTTTCTTTACCCACTTTTCCACTTTTCGTTCTTAGGACGGTGGATTGTAGAGAGAGCCCGAGGACCCGAGGTCGTCCTCGTTTTCTCCCCCGTGGGACAGCGAGACATACCTAATCCACCCGATCGACCAGCGTCCATAGTATGATATCATCGGGAGATCTCGTTAGGAGCCCGATTTCGTTAGTAGGCGTAAGCTAGAAACCGGGGAAATTGGACCAATTTCCTTCAATTGGGGGGGGGAGAACCTGGGCAATCTATGTAATAGAGTGGATAGATGAGGGGACATGGGGATCACTGGGGAAAAACATATAAAGGACGGTCGGCGAATGAAGGAAACAAAAAAAACTTGAAAAAGAACTGATTTTACTGTTATTTTATTTTTCAATTCTTGCAGCCAAGCAGCCAAGGACCTATATCTCTCTCCCTTTCCTTAACTCTTGTTAGCTATTGACAATTGTCACTCAATAAACTGCCGGTGTACCGGTGAGACTGTGGCGGTAAGTACCCGTTACCTCATCCTGCGTGTCAGCGTGTTCGCCCCGGAAAGTATTGGTGACAATACGAGATTACGTTGATCGTTGATCGACCAGGCTCTGCTCTGTCTGCTGCCTCTGTCTGCTGCCCCCCTCTTTTTTCATATCTATCCCACCTCAACCCACATTTTATTCTCTTCGTCTTCCACTTTTTCTTCAATCTCATCCTCCTCCTTTTCTACTTCATAAAAAACGAGTCAGTGTTTGTCTGACTCTAACCTTTAGTAACGAGCGATTGCGCTTGTAATCTTGCCGAAACCGGCCTGGGGTTCTATCCGGAGCTTTTGACAGCTTCTATAAACCCGTGAGTCACTTTCCCCCCCTCCTCCGCGCAAAACACCTTCTTAATTTCAATTTCCTTTCTATCCGAATCATTGGGCAATTGAGTTTTCCGGGATTGACTAACTTTTGTATCAACATTCAGTCCCGTTCCTCTATACCCTTATCTCTCTAATTATTTACCCCCCTCCCTTCCTTCCCCACGTCACAATGTCTGCCCCGCAACGCCAACCCGAGAGCGCCATTGACGAGTCTGAGTTCGTGGAGGACCACCACGAACATCACCATGACTCCGTTCACCGTCGTCTGCGGGCGAATTCCACCATTATGCACTTCCAGAAGATCTTAGTAGCCAACCGTGGTGAAATCCCCATTCGTATCTTCCGTACAGCACACGAGTTGTCCCTGCAAACAGTCGCCGTCTTCTCACACGAAGATCGTCTGTCCATGCACCGACAGAAGGCGGATGAGGCCTACATGATCGGACACCGGGGTCAATATACTCCCGTTGGTGCCTATCTCGCTGGTGAGGAGATCATTAAGATTGCAAAGGAGCACGGCGTGCAGCTCATTCACCCCGGTTACGGTTTCCTTTCGGAGAACGCCGTCTTCGCCCGAAAGGTCGAGGAGGCAGGCATTGTCTTCGTAGGCCCGACCGCTGACACCATCGATAAGTTGGGTGACAAGGTTTCCGCTCGTCGATTGGCCATCAAGTGTCAGGTTCCGGTTGTTCCCGGTACCGAGGGTCCCGTCGAGCACTACGACGATGTCAAGTCTTTCACTGATGAATATGGTTTCCCCATCATCATCAAGGCCGCCTTCGGTGGTGGTGGTCGTGGTATGCGTGTTGTTCGCGACCAAGCTTCTCTCCGTGATGCCTTCGAGCGTGCTACTTCCGAGGCCAAGTCTGCCTTCGGCAATGGCACCGTCTTCGTCGAACGCTTCCTCGACAAGCCCAAGCACATTGAAGTCCAACTGCTTGGTGACAACCAGGGTAACGTCGTTCACCTGTTCGAGCGTGACTGCTCCGTTCAGCGTCGTCACCAGAAGGTTGTTGAGATTGCTCCAGCCAAGGACCTGCCTGTCGATGTCCGTGACAGGATTCTGGCAGATGCCGTGAAGCTGGCCAAGTCTGTCAAGTACCGCAACGCTGGTACCGCTGAGTTCCTGGTGGACCAGCAGAACCGCTACTACTTCATTGAGATCAACCCTCGTATTCAGGTCGAGCACACTATCACCGAAGAGATCACTGGTATCGATATCGTCGCTGCCCAGATCCAGATTGCTGCTGGTGCTACTCTCGAGCAGCTGGGTCTTACCCAGGACCGCATCTCTACCCGCGGTTTTGCTATTCAGTGCCGTATCACCACTGAGGACCCCTCCAAGGGCTTCTCCCCCGACACTGGTAAGATTGAAGTCTACCGTTCCGCTGGTGGTAACGGTGTTCGTCTAGATGGTGGTAATGGTTTCGCTGGTGCTATCATCACCCCTCACTACGACTCCATGTTGGTCAAGTGTACTTGCCGTGGTTCGACCTACGAGATCTCCCGCCGCAAGATGCTGCGTGCCCTGGTTGAGTTCCGTATCCGTGGTGTCAAGACCAACATTCCCTTCCTTGCCTCTTTGCTGAGCCACCCTACTTTCATCGATGGTACTTGCTGGACCACTTTCATTGATGACACTCCTGAGCTGTTTGCTCTGGTCGGCTCTCAGAACCGTGCTCAGAAGCTGTTGGCCTACCTGGGTGACGTTGCTGTCAACGGCAGCAGCATCAAGGGCCAGATGGGCGAGCCTAAGCTCAAGACCGACATCATCAAGCCTATCCTCAAGGATGCTTCCGGCAAGCCTCTCGATGTCACCCAGCCCTGCCTCAAGGGTTGGAAGCAGATCCTCGACAGCCAGGGCCCAGATGCCTTCGCTAAGGCCGTCCGTGCCAACAAGGGCTGCTTGCTCATGGACACCACCTGGCGTGATGCCCACCAGTCTCTTCTGGCTACCCGTGTTCGTACCATTGATATGCTGAACATTGCCCATGAGACTAGCCACGCCCTCCAGAACGCCTACTCTCTGGAGTGCTGGGGTGGTGCCACCTTCGATGTCGCCATGCGTTTCCTCTACGAGGACCCCTGGGACCGTCTTCGCAAGCTCCGCAAGGCTGTGCCCAACATCCCCTTCCAGATGCTGCTGCGTGGTGCCAACGGTGTCGCCTACTCCTCCCTTCCCGACAACGCCATCTACCACTTCTGTCTGCAGGCCAAGAAGTACGGTGTTGACATCTTCCGTGTTTTCGATGCCCTTAACGACGTTGACCAGCTCGAGGTTGGTATCAAGGCTGTCCAGCAGGCTGGCGGTGTGGTCGAGGCCACCATTTGCTACAGTGGTGACATGTTGAACCCCAGCAAGAAGTACAACCTGGAGTACTACCTTTCTCTGGTTGACAGAATCGTCAAGCTTGGCACCCACGTTCTGGGTATCAAGGATATGGCTGGTGTCCTGAAGCCCCAGGCTGCCCGTCTCCTGGTTGGTACTATTCGTGAGAAGTACCCCGACCTTCCTATCCACGTTCACACCCACGACTCCGCCGGTACTGGTGTTGCCTCCATGATTGCTTGCGCCCAGGCTGGCGCTGATGCCGTCGATGCCGCCACTGACAGTCTGTCCGGTATGACCTCTCAGCCCAGCATTGGTGCCATCCTGGCTTCCCTCCAGGGAACTGAGAACGACCCCGGTCTGGACCTGGGCCATGTTCGCGCCCTTGACACCTACTGGGCTCAGCTTCGTCTGCTCTACTCTCCCTTCGAGGCTGGTCTCACCGGTCCCGATCCCGAGGTTTACGAGCACGAGATCCCCGGTGGTCAACTCACCAACCTGATCTTCCAGGCCTCCCAACTGGGTCTCGGTCAGCAGTGGGCCCAGACCAAGAAGGCCTACGAGTCTGCTAATCTCCTGCTGGGCGATATTGTCAAGGTCACCCCCACCTCCAAGGTTGTCGGTGACTTGGCCCAGTTCATGGTCTCCAACAAGCTGACCTCCGAGGATGTCATCGACCGTGCCGGCGAGCTTGACTTCCCTGGCTCCGTCCTGGAGTTCCTTGAGGGTCTGATGGGTCAGCCCTTCGGTGGCTTCCCCGAGCCTCTGCGCTCCAAGGCCCTGCGTGACCGCCGCAAGCTCGAGAAGCGTCCCGGTTTGTACCTGGAGCCTCTGGACCTCGTCCAGATCAAGAAGGACATCCGCGAGAAGTGGGGCTCCGCTACCGAGTGCGACGTCGCCTCCTATGCCATGTACCCCAAGGTCTTCGATGACTACCGCAAGTTCGTTTCTAAGTTCGGTGACCTTTCCGTCCTGCCTACTCGCTTCTTCCTGGCTCGTCCCGAGATCGGTGAGGAGTTCCACGTCGAGCTTGAGCAGGGTAAGGTTCTTATTCTGAAGTTGCTGGCTATCGGTCCTCTCTCTGAGCAGACTGGTCAGCGTGAGGTCTTCTACGAAGTCAACGGTGAGGTCCGTCAAGTCAGCGTTGACGACCAGAAGGCTTCCATTGACAACATTGCTCGTCCTAAGGCCGATGCCGCTGACAGCAGCCAAGTCGGTGCTCCCATGAGCGGTGTTGTTGTTGAGATCCGTGTCCACGACGGCCACGAGGTTAAGAAGGGTGACCCCATTGCGGTGCTGAGCGCCATGAAGATGGTACGTATCCACATACATATCTTGATTTTCCCCCTCTCTTCCATAATTCATTCACTAACACTCTCAATAGGAAATGGTTATCTCCGCCCCTCACAGCGGTAAGGTCGAATCTCTCCAAGTCAAGGAGGGCGACTCTGTCGATGGCCAGGATCTTGTTTGCAAGATTGGCAAGGCCTAAATTCTTATGCCAAATTAAAAGCAAAAAGAGTGATTTTGTTTGTGTATAAGAGGTGCATGACTGCAGTGCTCAAAGATGCCATGATAGCTTTTTCTTTCTAGCGTTTCTTCATTGATTTGTTTCCATGTGGGATATTTATTTCCTTTGCGTATAGTAATGGCTTGTTACTTTTCATTTACTTAGTCTATTATTATCCTACAATGACAATGGACATCTTTTCAATTTCAATTTCAATTTCAAATACCTTGCTCCTGTCACTAAACGGCCGAGGATGAAATACCAATATGCAGTATCCATCCTATTGCTCAATTCCAATTTGCCCCCGAGCTTTCCCCGCATCGCTTGTTACGTCAACCTGCAGCCCCGCTGACGGGGCAATCTAGGTGCCCACTTGTACTATTCATTCGAGTTTAACTGGTGGATTCATATTTGCTGATGAAGCTGTGTCCAGCTTACCTGTATATCAATCTAATTGCAAATCAAATCGCGATATGATTGGTTCCACCATCGCAAATCGGGATAGCGCGGCCTATCGAAGTCCGGGGTAAATGACGGTACTGAGAGAAGCTGCAGGCTGATCTTGGTGTCTTTACACAGTATTAGTAGTTACGAGGGCTTTTTCTAAGGTTATTTATCAAGTATCACACGACAGTTCTGGGTAGCATTGGATAATCCTTGTCTGTCTGCATCCTATATAAATCAAATCCACCTCCACCTCCACCCCCTCTTGTCCATTTCAACATACTATTACTACTACCTAGTCAACCACCACAGTATACAAACGGTATGTTTCTTTCTTTTGTCTCCTACATTTAAACCCTACCCCGAATCGGGTCTCGATCTCTAAAATAGATCCATCACACCTCCCTTCTGTACATACAAGCCCCCGGCCCATGGATCCAACCACATTCCAACCATGACGTCTTTGACTCCCCGCCACTATTCCCCATCCCATTCTCCCAAACCATCTCTACTCATAATTATCTTATCGTCATTATACCTTTCTAACATTATTTTTGAGAGTTCTTTAGTCCTCAGCCAAGAGAGAAAGAAAAAAACCGCCCACAACTATCAAAATAACCTATACTATACTATACACTATAGGTGACTTAACCTGAAAATGTCCGACAACGACAACGACAACACTCGCCGCCATTGGCACGGCCTATCTGGCGACCGCCATGAACACCACAACGTCTGGACAAACGGTGGTGCAAAGGGTCCAGCCTCCCGAGCCCCATGGGCTCTCACGCCAGAAATGATGGCCAACTTGAATGCCCGAAAGGTATCTATCTATCTATTTATCTATCTAACCCCTCCTAACATCCATCACATCACATCACATCACATCAATACATGTACTAATTAATTCATCTCATCTCATCCAGGGCTCCGACGCCTCAACCTCCTCAAACACAGCTAATGCCCACATCGCAAACGCAAATCAAGCCGGCTCCCCAACTACACCCACCGTTAACGAGCGTCGACGCTCAAGCGCTTCATCCGGAAACGCGGCGGGATTGTTCTCGAATCTGCACACTCAGAAACGCCAGTCGGATGATGCGAATATGGCTGGGAGACGGGCAAGTTGGAATGAGCAGCAGAGTCCGAGTGGGTTCTTTGGGAAGCTTTGGGATGGGTATACGCGTGGGAAGTAGTAGGTTTCCAGCGGATGGATTGGATTTAATGTATTCTTTCAAGAGCTTGATTTCTGTTTTTCTTCCTTGAGGGATGCAGATTATTTGAAATGAATGATGGGTGTGGAATGGGAATTTGAGGTGTACTATTTGTTCGTTATGCTAGTTAGGTGTTTGATTTATATGCAATGTTTATGTTTTTTTTTTTTTGAATGGTGTCGATCGGTGTGTTCAACTTCTTCTTAGGTATGGATCCATAGGGATATTTTTTAATGTAGCTTTGAGCGGATGAATCGAGGAATTGATATTGAACCTAACTTAGTAAAAAGTTATCAAGGTTGTATATAGTGGTATAGCCTCGACCTACTGTGACCTGCAGATGTACTGAGGCATCGGGATTACACATTCAATCTTGAGATTACTATACTATTGATTAATTTGCTATTTTGTATCGAGTGTACGATGCAATGGGAAAGGTTGGAACTCGTACTAGTATATTTGCAGTGAGAATACTGCCCATTGAAGGATTGTAATTTAGCTGGACATAGATGAAGTATAATGCAAATTGGAACCTTGGGAAGATTGCCATTTATCATATTTTCCAACAGACGCCAAAGAAAATATCACTAAAGCCTTGCCCAAGTGAAAGCTGATAGTCAGCGGGTACTGGACCGTAATAAGCCTTAACTTGCCCTAATTTGAAGGTGCTATGGAAACAAGCCCCTAAAACCCAGTGTTGCACTGGTGCAAAGGCAATTCGCTGTGCAGTTGAATGATACCTGCTTGAAATGGGCAATGCCATGAGCAACAGGTCTTCTGTATGGGCATGTTAATAGTTGATTGTCGATTGTCGTGGGAGTTCTTGGGGTTGATGGGCATGGGCATGGGCAGGGACACGAGATGTCCGCCCGGCGGATGCATTTCAGATAGGAGAATGGGCTACGTGGTAGAGAAAGAATCTCGAATACTATGACTACGCACTACAAGGTCTACTGCTACGCAAGAGAAGAGCGACACCAGGTTGAGACAGTAATGGACAAGAGAGGCCAGGGTAATACCCCTCCACGAAGGAGGAACCCAACTCTTTGACTGGTTATAAACCAAGTCAAGCGAGTATGTCGACACCAGACAAAGTCCAGTGCCAACCAGTCTTTTCAGCAATGGTTATGCGGGAAACAACACCTTTCGTGCAGCCTTCATTGTGAAAAAGAAAAAAGAAATGCGGATGTGCAAATGTAGTGGATTCATGTCTCTAACACGCCTATCCTGGTTGCCGTGTAATAAGATAATAAAAAAAAGGGTTCAGAACACCATATCCGACGCAGAATCAGAGCCCGGCCGGATTGATTCTCGACGGGTCCGTCCTAGGCCGCGTTTTTTGTTTTCGGGCGGAAGAAATTTTTGGCTCCCATCGATGCAATCATAAAACACAAGATTTCATTCACCCTTTATGTCTCCTCATCATTCCATTTGAGGTATTTACCGGATGATACCGTCGAAGCGGTTCTTGAACCACTTCATGGTCTCGGTGGCGTTGATCTTGTGGTTGACACCGATGGAGGACTTGCAGCGGCGACGCTTGGCGACACGCTCACCGGGGCGGGTCCTATTAGAAAAAAATGGTCAGAGATTGTGCTTTCTGTTTTCCCTGTCTCGTGTCTTCCATTGCGATGGTCCTGATTCCAATCCTGGGGTAGAGAAAGCACTCACATGCAGACGTAGAAGTCCATGCCGTAGATACCGATACCAGGGTCGTACTTGATACCCAGATCGATGTGCTCGGAGATACCGAAACCGAAGTTACCGGTCTCGGAGAAGTTGCGCTTGCGGAGCTCGTACTCCTTGACCTTGAGGCCACGCTCGAGAATCTCCTCAGCCTTGGGGCCACGGACGGTGACGTGAACGGAGATCTTCTCGTTACGACGGATACCGAAGGTACGGACGGTGTAACGGGCCTTGGAGTAGACAGGGGTCTGACCAGAAAGCTGCTCCAGAACCTTAGCGGCACGGGTCAGTCTGTCACCAGACTCGCCGACTGAGATGTTCAGCACGAGCTTCTGGATGCGCATCTCGCGCATGGGGTTGGCGCTCTTATCCTTTCCGTCCGACTGCATTTTTGTTAGAATATCTGTTGTGTGATCGTTTGGGGTAGTTGGTTGTGGTGTAGACATACCATGGCGACTGTTATGGCGTGGATATGGTGGTCGACGAGTTGAGTGGAATCTGCAAAGATCACAAAAGCGGTTTGTGTGGGCTCGGTCCATCACGGGAAACGGAAGCGAGCCCTCGAGTCAGGTGACTTAACTCTAAAGAGCAAAATCACATGATCGAAATTTAGGGTCTGCATGTTCGCTGACCTAATCGTTTTCAGAGATCAACTATTCTGCCAAGCGGTGAATGCGTTCCTGGGTGACTAAGCTAATCCTCCAGAAACTGAGTCCAGTGACCTACGCAGTATTCAGAGCTTAAGCTTCACACTGGATCTCGCATCTCGCTCGATCTTAAACTGCCTAGGAGACTGCACTTGCTGTGTCTCTTGCAAACTTTTTTTGGGTCCCTCAAGTCGCATTCGTGCGCGTCTTAGCCAATCATGGCCAACAAGCAGGGCAAGATGGTAGGTTTCTCCCCAGCGCAATCCCAGACTTCATATCTTCAATGGCTGTCGCTAACTCTCTCGTGTCTAGCAAAACCTCGTGAGTCCACCCTTAGAGATACGATTCATCCCAATTGATTACCTCTAACACTTCCCAGATCAACTACCGGATGAGAGTTACCCTTAACGATGGTCGCCAAATGACCGGTCAGATGCTGGCCTTTGATAAGGTATGTCCTTTGGTTTTACAATCAAGGCGTCGCTCACAGAAGCTAATTGGATATTTCTGGTTGTTCTTTAGCACATGAACCTCGTTCTTGCCGACACAGAAGAGTTCCGCCGTATTAAGCGGAAATCAAAGCCCACGGCCGGCTCTACAGCCACCCCGCAGGTCGAAGCGGAGGAGAAGCGAACCCTTGGCTTGACCATCGTCCGTGGTGCTCAGGTTGTCTCTTGCTCCGTCGACGGTCCCCCTCCTGCCGACCCCTCCGCCCGTCTCGGCGCCACTGGTCCCGTTGCTGGTGGTGCTGCTGCGACTCTCGCCGCCGGCCCCGGTGTCAGCAAGCCCGCTGGTCGTGGCCTGCCCGTTGGACTCGGTGGTCCTGTTCCTGGCGTTGGTGGCCCTCCTCCTCCCGCCGGCTTTGGCGGTTTCCCTCCTGGCCCTCCAGGTGGCTTCCCTGGTGCTCCCCCTCCAGGATTTGCCGGTCGTGGTGGACCCCCAGGCGGACCTCGTAAGTTCCCGAAAAGAAACATGCAATGAGACATGGATTTACTAACGCATTTGAATCCTTAGCTGGCTTCGCTCCTCCTCCTGGTTTCGCTCCCCAGGGCGCTCCTCGTGAGTTCTTCTTTGTTTTGTTCCAGATTTTCCTTTGGGTGCATTCAGCTAACCTTTCTATTTTTAGCTGGTGCTTTCCAACCTCCTCCTGGATTCCAGCCTCCTGGACAGGGACGAGGATACCCGCCACCCGGCTTCGGTGGCAGATGATCGGATTGATGTACATTGGATGAAGATTCCCACGCTTCATATCGGCAATCTGCTTTTTGACCTGGAGAGCTTATGGATGGGTTTCAAGTGTAGAAGGAAACGAACCCTTTTTTTTCAGGGAAAGCAGTACGCATACATGGTAGATTAGCCCACAATATATCGGGCCAGGCGTTGCGGCGCATGCGGAATGGTGGTCATGTCAAGGATTGGCAACCCAAAAAGCTGAGAAACCCTTTTAAGATTTGCATTCAGTACCCAATAATGCTAGCTAGCTCCTTTGACCCCTTTATCGCAAAAATGCAATAGTTTTCTGATTTGAGTGATTAAGTCCAACTTGAAATTCGAACATGTCCCGGTTCTATTTAGAGTCGCAACTAAATATAGTAGTACTAATATACTAAGTATTCCATTACATACATATACTATCCCGTTATCTACTATGTAGTAGCTCAGCCTTCCAAGATTTTCGACCTACAAGACTAACCTGATAACTACGCCCCATCTGATGATTCTGGCAGCAATTTGGATATCATTTAAGCCCAAAATTAACAGTAAATATATAGTTAGCGGCAAAATTATACGAACAAATCAAGGATCAGGTAATTGACTCGATGTACTACAAAGATAACCGTTAATTGGTCTACACGTGACTAGCGGCCGACGCCGGTTGAGTCGAGTCAATTCCGCATCCGCAGACACCCCAACCTCAACCTCACCGCGAATTAACCTTCGATTGTCACCAGCATCCGTCACCATGGCCGCTGTTATTAAGGCAATCAACGCGAAGATCCGCTCCAACAAGGTAGCGGACTATGTCTGCTCAACCCGTACGTTCTCAGAATCCAATGCCCGTCCCCGAGTTTCCCGTCGTCCTCCCCGGAGCGAGATCGGCTTTCTTGATATGCAATTGGGAAACCAAACAGCAAGGGGAGAAAGGCAAAATCAATACTTCACAGTTGAACTGTATACCGAAATGCATTTATATTGAAAGATAAACATGGAAACTTGGATTAGCAAGCAACCTATCTGTCGGAGTGATTGCTAATGACGCTTTACGGCAGATTTCTGGGGCCCTGTCTCTAACTTCGGTATTCCCTTCGCTGCTGTGATGGATACTCAGAAGGACGCTGAAATGTATGTTTCCACTCTTTTTTGATATTGTGGTTATCCTGTTTGGAACCTATTCCCGTGCTATACCTGAAGATAAGGCTGTCACTAACACTGTTTTTCTCGTGTAGTATCTCTGGTACTATGACCGGTGCTCTGATCGTCTACGCCGCTACCTTCATGCGCTACTCTCTCGCTATCACGCCTAAGAACTACCTTCTTTTCGCTTGCCACTTGACCAATTTCGGTGCTCAGACTACTCAGGGATACCGCTACCTGCAATACTGGAAGTAAGTTATTCCCAAAGAGATGAGACATGGATGGAACTATGCCTGCATACTTGCATACATATTCCATATCACTATTTTTCTCATGAAGCTGACGGGTTTTGCTATTTAGCTGGGGAGGCCGGGAAGCTCAGCTTGCCGAAAAGGCCAAGCAGGGCAAGGCTGTTGCTGAGGGCTCATCCGCATAAAAAACTCGGGCTGTACTTTATATTCATTTAGTTCGCATGTCTATTGCCTTGGTTCCCTGGTTTGCATCTATTCGCATGTATTTCTCTATTTCCTGTGATTGAATAATCCTACTCTGAAGGGAACAGGACATTCCGGGATTTTAGACAGGAGGAATGATGGGGACCAGAACGAAAGAGACAGGGTGAGGTTCGTTTTTTTTGGCTGGGAAGTATACGAGTCTCTTCAAGGGACTGGTCTACTGGTCTGGTCACTGTACATAGACTATAAAATTGGATCAATTCAATCAGATATGTCGGTATACTACTCTGCCACTGTTTTTGGGAGTATGTATTCTCGTGGAAACATTGTTTAAGCCCTAGAAGACGAAATATATGTACAAACGAGACCATAGGACTCCGAATAAGCCTGACAGAAACCGGCAATTTGTAGAAAAAAGCCAGGCACCAAGACTCGCAGCTGTTCTGCGAATATGCAAGAAAAATTAATGTATGCTATGTCACAATCTAATGTTGAAATAGCCAGACATCTCTCGAGCAACGCCCAACGCCACGGCGAACAATTACTTAGAATCACAGTAGCCTGGGCTTTGGGGAACTTCACCACCAACCCAATTTTGGAGGGTCAGGGCGGTTGTGTAGATGCAGCCAACAACACCAAAGAAAGTGAGAGTGACGTCGGCGATAGCCTGGCGCCGAGAACGGGCACAGGCACGGAGGTGAAGAAGTGGCTATATCGAGATGTCAGATTTCAAATAAATATCATGCGGAGAAAACACGGGGGCAGAAGAACTTACCGGGTAAACGTAGATTAGTGGAACACAAGCGAAACTTCCGACCAGCGAAACAAACTTGTCTAGATTATCGGCTCCAGCCCAAGCCGTGATCGAGCACACAATGACCAAAAAGAAACGGAAGGCGTTCTTCTTCCACTTGATATAAGGGTTGTATTTACCACTGCGAGTGAAGAGTTCGTTCTCCATGATACGGATCGCGGGAAACAGTTGGAGAGGGGTACTCAACATAATAGCGAGCGAGTAAAGCAACTGAACGACGTTGACAAACTTGTCATCCTGAGGCAAGTTGAGGAGAATGACAGTCTTAGTTGCGGATCCGTAGGCTGCATAGCTCAGGGCACCAGCCGAGAGGAAAATCAAGGTAATGACAATCATGACACCAGCCAGCACGCCTGGGAATCGCTGAGGCTGTTTCATGGACTCTTGGATGGGAATGATCAGTCCAATACCCTCGTAAGTGAAGATAGCGGTGCCAATGAACATAGACCAAGTCGCAGGGTTGAACGAGACAACATCTGAGATACCACCGTTACTAATAAGAGTGCTAGCATCATAGTAGTAGATGTATAGAAGACCCAACAAGATAAAGGCATCTGCAATCAATGCGGTAAATCCAAGCTTGCTGATATCGCGAATAAGAGACAAGGGCAGGAAAATGACGAGCTGAAGTAGCACCAAGTACTTGATGTCGATGAAGGACTTGCAGTTGCTCACAGCCTGTACAAAAGCCTGCAAATTCTGTGACACGAAAACGATGTATGCCGACACGAATCCAAGCTGACTGAGCACAATAGACCCAAGGATGATGCGTCTCATGTGTTTTCCATACAACATACCACCGATATCACCAAAAGATCCATTAATCTTCATCCGAGTGTTGACAAGCAGAATAAATGCGTAGTAACTTAGCAGCGAGACTCCAAGAAGCACCATACTACTGAAGAGCAGGCCTCCATTCAAGAAAGCACGAGGCAAGAAAAGAATTCCTGTGCCCACAAATGACTTCAAAAGCAACATGACGGCACCAGTAACAGTGGTAGTACCTGCAGGTCCCCGTTGCTTGTGCTTGCGCTTCTTGCGGCCTGCATTGTCACCCTGAAGCAGAGCTGCATCTTCACCAGATTCTCTGGCTTCATCATTCTCATCCCAAGTATCAGACGAGAAGTACTCGTCTGGACCCAGGACTTCATCATCCTCTTCAAGCTCTTCACCAGCAAAATGACCATAGAGTGTTAGGAACTCCAAAAAGCTGGAAGTAGGAAGTTGGGGCTGGGCTGATGGCGCTCCTGAATTCGATCCATGAACACTTCCGCGGTGTGGGCTACCTGCTGCTCTCCGCAAATAGTCGCGTCGGAACCCTCCTGGAACCAATATGCTATGTATATCCTCGGTTTCTACTGCTGGAGCCGGCCGGCTGACACTGAAGCTCTTGCTGCGTGCGAATCGGTTGTCGGACTCCGCATCTTCTGCCCATCGGTAAACCTCACGTGTCATATCACCGCCTTGCAGTTGTAGACTAGAGAAATGCTCATCACCCAGGCTAGTTCCAAGCTCCGAGCCCGTATCTCGACTTTCAGAATCGTGCTGTGGCAGGACGAGGTGTCTTTTAATGACCTCCGGATCCTCATGTGGCGCAGGAGCGTCACCGCCATTGTAGCTGTTGTTATGATCGAATGACCCATATTGTGGAGTGCCGACCCTGTTTTCGAGCACAGAGGGCACCATCGGCGATCCCGCTACTCGAGAGGGGGTCCCAAACTTTGGGGGCGACCGACCAAGACTTTCTTGCAGTTGAGATGCAATCATAGAGTGACCCGGTCCTGGCAAGGACGAGGGATCATTGACGGATCGGAAATTTTGTTCAGAGGTGAAGTGCGTGGTTGTGTTGGTGGTAATTGGTCGACTGCCGGGGATACCTTGTCGAGACGAGAGCGAGGTTCCTAGAGACGGAGAGGGAACGGGTGATGCCAGACGAGCCATCGAGGCCTGTCGAATGCTTCCATCTGGTGCAGGTGATGTTGAACGAAGTGACGGCGATCGAATCGGCATTGAGCGCGCCGGGGTCAGCGAAGAACTTTCGCCGTTATCCGCCATGTTGTATAGAGTTTATTCCTCCTGATCAGTGTCCGGGGATGACAGGTGTGGGGAGATGGGGCATGAGGAAAATGGGCAAGTTGAAGGATCAAAAGATCAAGTATCAATTATCCCGGAGCCGTGCATTTACCGGAGTCTGTCTTCTTTTTGTTCGGGAGGCCCTGTCTGAAATTTCGTGGCTGGACAAGAGGCAAAGAGGAGAGAGGTCGATCGTCTCCAAGTGCGGGTTGCGGGTGTGGGTTAGCTTTGCACTGTTTGTCCCTTTTCTTCACGTCATCTATTGGACGCGCGGTGACGCAGGTGGTGGACTTGCTTCTTCTATGTGACCAAAAGAACCTCCTTACATTTACTCTCTTGTTCTGTTTTCTGCTGTTTAGATGGTTTGGTTTGTTTGAGGGACGAGGGATATTTTTCGTCCTCATGAGATTCATTCAGTGAGGTTGTACCGTTGCGTTTGACAGCCGCACCCGCACCCGGATAGAGAAATCCATAAATCGGAGATCTCGAAATGTCTCGCCGACGCCCGAATTTCTCGACTCGAACTGCCGAAGAAGATGTCTCTCGATTAGATCCAAACGAACCCGGAGCTTCAGCTGGAGGACAGGCCGGTTTTCTGTCTTTAGCACCAGTCATATCTCCTCGTCAACAGGAGCCAACCCCCGCAACGGCCGAACACGCCCACTGTTCATGGATAACAAATCCTTTTCATATCCTGAGAAGTTGGTGGGCTGATAAAGAAGAAGACAGAGAGAGAGTGGAAACGAGCGGAGCTACTGCAGTATCACATATGCCTCTATCTGCAGGCACTATTCGTGACCTTAGCTCTGATAAGAAGGATAGGATTGGACATCATGGACATCGGCCGCGTGTGGCGGAGGAGTCGAAGAAGCTCGGCACATTCTCTGGTGTATTTGTTCCAACAACTCTGAATGTGCTTAGCATTTTGATGTTCTTGCGGTTTGGATTTATCTTAGGCCAAGCAGGATTGCTGGGGATATTAGGTGAATCAATCCTTTCTTTACCCTTGGGTTTTATGGGCAATTGCTAATCAAGCTAAGTTCTTCTGGCTATCTCATACACTATCAACTTGGTGACTACCATGTCCTTATCTGCCATTGCAACAAATGGTACTGTTCGCGGTGGTGGTGCCTACTACTTGATCTCCCGATCATTAGGTCCTGAATTTGGTGGATCCATCGGCATCGTCTTTTACATGGGACATGTTTTTAACACTGGAATGAATGCAGTCGGATTGATCGACTGTTTTCTGCAAAATTTCGGTTGCATATCTGGCAGCTTAGGGAACTTTCTACAAGAAGGCTTTTGGTGGTCTTATCTATGGGGAACAATCATTTTGGTTCTCTGTACGGCTATCTGTTTGGCTGGCAGTTCCATATTTGCCAGAGCAAGCAATGGACTACTGGTTATTCTTCTTGTGGCCACTTTCAGTATCCCGGTGTCCGCGGTCTTCATGAAACCATTCTACCGAGAGGGCGTTGAGTTTACAGGATTGAGCTTGAAAACACTTGCTGAAAACCTGAAGCCACACCTGACAAAAGGAGCTGCAGGCAGTCAACTGAAAGGGAAGGAAACTTTTCAGGATCTGTTTGGCATATTGTATCCTGCCACAGGTGGTATTTTCGCGTAAGTTTGGATTCGCTATGGATATCATTGCTCGTACCCCGCTAATAATCTACCAGAGGTGCAAGTATGTCGGGCGATTTAAAGAACCCGAGCAAGTCAATCCCCAAAGGAACCCTATCCGGATTGGCTCTTACATTTATTACATACACCTTGGTGATTCTTGCTATGGCGGCATCCATTACCAGGGAATCTTTTTACAACAATGTTAACGTGATTCAGATCGTAAGTCCCCGCATCTCGATTATTTTGCAGCCCGTTGTGTCTAATCTTACATAGGTCAATTTTTCAGATAGCGTGATTCTACTAGGAGAGTTTGCAACCAGTTTCTTCTCCGCATTGATGGGTGTCATCGGATCTGCAAAGCTTCTCCAAGCAATTGCCCGAGATAGCTTGCTACCTGGCCTTGGAATGTTTGCTCAAGGCACAAAGAAAAACGACGAGCCAGTTTATGCCATATTTATGACTTTCATCCTCGCTCAACTCGCAATGTTGTTTGATATCAATCGTATTGCGTCTTTTGTGACCATGATATACTTGATGACTTTTCTGGTCACGAACCTGGCCTGTTTTCTGCTAAAAATAGGATCTGCACCAAATTTTCGACCATCTTTTCATTACTTCAATTGGCAGACGGCCGCTGCGGGTGCGTTGGTTAGTGGTATTAGCATGTACTTTGTCGATGGTCTTTATGCTACCGGCTGTGTTGGCATCTTACTCATGCTATTCCTGTTAATTCATTATACCACGCCGCCTAAGCCCTGGGGAGATGTCAGTCAGAGCCTGATCTACCACCAAGTGCGGAAATATTTGTTGCGTCTGCGCCAGGAGCATGTGAAATTCTGGCGGCCGCAAATTCTTCTGTTTGTGAGCGATCTTGACCGCCAGTACAAAATGGTCTCCTTCTGCAACTCGTTGAAGAAGGGTGCCCTGTTTGTGCTTGGCCATGTTATTGTGACGGATGACTTTTCGCCAGCCGTTTCGGAGGCTCGTCGACAGCAAAGCGCATGGACCAAGTTAGTCGAATATTCCAAGATTAAGGCCTTTGTCAATATTGCCATCTCCCCCGCTGCCGAATGGGGTATGCGGAATATCGTTTTGAATTCAGGACTTGGAGGTATGCGGCCGAATATTGTCGTCATTGATCAATTTCGAGAAGACGAAACATTAGTGGAAACTTTGTCGCAAAGCAGCAACTCTAAATGGAGACGTCGATCTTCTGTCTTTGGCTCACGACATGACACGCCAGATGGAGCCGCTGTCCCGGTCAACCCGATGAGTCTTCAAACTTACGTGACAGTTCTCGAAGACCTTCTATTCAAGCTACGTATCAACGTTGCTGTAGCAAAAGGATTTGAGGATCTCGAGCTGCCCGATCCTCACGGCCGCCACACGAAAAAATACATAGATCTCTGGCCGATTCAAATGTCCGCTGAATTGGGAGCCGATACAGAGAGTAAACAAAATGTGTTGACCACCAATTTCGATACTTACACCCTCATTCTCCAATTGGGCTGTATCCTTAACACTGTCCCTTCATGGAAAAAGACGTACCGGTTACGTGTCGCAGTCTTTGTCGAGTATGAGACGGACGTGGATGATGAGAGAGGACGAGTTGAAGCTCTCCTTGAAAAGCTGCGGATTGAGGCCGAGGTCTCAGTCTTCTGGCTTGCTTGCGGGGACGTGAAATCCTATCGCATTATAGTCAACGGTGATACCTCTGCTGAGGTGGCAGACGCTCAGGATAATGTTAAGTCGGTTCTGGGAGGCGAGGAATGGTGGCAGGGAGTCCTGAAAGCTCGCAATCACTCCCAGAGTTCCCAAGAGACCGATGCAATGAGTGATGACGTGCAACTTAGCAGAGAAGCCACGTGGCCAGGGTCTCCAGGCCAAGATGCCGCAAACAGGCCCTTGCCTCAACGTGTGACTGGCCTTCGAAAGCTGATCCAGTCAAACAGACGCAGGCGATCCGTTTCTAGCTTCAGAGCTATGGGAGGTGTCAATCTGGGCATGCAAACCCATCGCCTTCTAGATGCATTTGTTGACTACGATGGGGATAACTCAAGTAGCGAGAGCAGTGATGATAGCGATCTAGATCCCTACATTAGCGACCCGGAGGTCGATGGCGACGATGAAGAAAACGAACGCCAACCGAGAGATAACGTCAGCGGAGGAAATGGATCTTCTCAGTTGTTTGTTCGGTCTAGGAGTGATGACCATAGCCTTAGTATCAGCCCATCGACCCGACTACCTGAACAATCCTCTCCAGGAGGCCCTGGAGTCGACTCCGCGACACAACAAGTAATCCCCTCAATAGTCACGGAAGACAATGCATCCCCAAAGAGTGGGTCTCCTGTGCGTCCTGTTCGCCCAACTATGAGTCGCTCCGCCTCCAGCAACCGTTTCAGCTCCTCTCCAATCCCAGAAGCCACGGTCAATACTGGAGAAGAAGGGGCCGGGCCGTCAATCATGTTCGCATCCAATGCATCACCGCCCCGATTCTCACAGAAACTTGACTCCATTTACGCCCGCCGCCCATCTGCTATAGCACCTAGTCCCACTAGTGCACAGAGCAGCCAAACAGCGTCTGGATTCCCAGGCCCAGCATCCATTCCGTTGTCTTTCAATGATCTTCCTAGCCGAGCTCAGCACCTCATTCTCAATGAGTTGATGGTTCAGCAGAGCCACGACACAGCCGTCATCTTTACCACGTTGCCCTCGCCGGTAGAGGGTACATCTCTCAGCGAGCAAGATAGTGCTTCGTACGTGAGCGACCTGGAGGTCTTGTGGCAGGGTCTCCCTCCGTGCTTATTGGTTCACAGTAATAGCATGACTGTGACTATGAACCTATAACGAACGAATTAACGATTGCGTATGCATCTTGTTGGACTAGTTACCATGCACATGCATATATGGTGACAGCTGGATGTAAATAGACTTCAGTATTTGGTATTTTTAACACTCTTATTGTTCATATGAGTACGTCATAATGCACATAATTTGAATCTTTCTGAATGCAGAGTCACACAGCTTCAACAGCTACGTGGTGGTCCTCAGGTGACCGGACTTCCCGAAGGTTGTCTCCTGCATCATGCAGTCAGAGCCGCCACCGGGGATCGGCGGGGCCGAGTAGACTAAGGTAAAACTATAAAAATAAAATAAAAATAAAAATTTGCTTTTTGCCTGAGCTTAGCATGAAGGATTATTATACTTTTCAGGTGAAGAAGCAAGAATAGGCGAAGTCATGTCGCTTGGAGATTTTCATAGATGAGTTTGTAATTAAGCGAGTGTCACCTGGCCAGGATGACCCGGACTGTACACGGCCCTGAAGTTACCTTGAGTGCCGCGTTCATGGACTTCAGCTGTGCACTAACATTTGAATGTTCACCAGGTGGAAAAAGGGAAATTAACTTGACAAATGAGAATCAGCCAAGACCAAATCAACCAATCAAATCGCAGTTTTATCAAGAAAAATCCACAGAAAAGTCGGGGTCGATGACCAATCATAAATTGCCCTCGTTTGATTGGCAGCCACGCGTGCACAGGTATACTCCGTAACTTGGAGAACTGAAAATCCCCCGATCGCATCTTGTTCCTTTCTCATTGTTTGTCCAAGTTCAAAGGGAATAATGACCACCATTGATTATTCTTGTTTTTGAACTCCGCCTGCATATTAATACATCCACACGCCTTTCCCTCCTTACTGCCCGACTCACCGGTACTGCGTCTCGTCTCCCTATTCCACTCCCCCCCCTCCCCCTGGATTTTAATATCCGCCATGTCAACAACCAGAATTCCGCAATTGAATGGTAACGTCGGAACCCCAAATACCCAGCGTCGCCCAGTCGCACATTTCCTTCCGGATGAAACACAGAACGGCCATTTATCTCCTCCCATGAACGGTCACAGTCATAGTCACAGCAACGGCAACGGTGTCGAGTCAGACTCGCAAGACTTATCGGACAGCACCTCTTCCACCCGCTCCACCTCAGTAAACGGCACCAGAAGTCGACGACGCCCAGGCATGTCTCGCAAGGCCTCGTCTCCAATGGCGCCTACCTTCATGGTATCGGCGCCAGGAAAAGTCATTGTCTATGGCGAACACGCCGTCGTTCACGGCAAAGCGGCCCTGGCTGCGGCTATTTCTCTTCGATCTTATCTCCTCGTCACCACCCTTTCAAAATCACAACGCACAATTACCCTCAACTTCGGAGACCTGGGTCTAAAGCATACTTGGAATATTGATACACTTCCGTGGGATGTATTCCACCGCTCAGACAAAAAGAAGTTCTACTACAGCCTGGTCACATCTCTCGATGACGAACTCGTTCAAGCACTTGAGCCCCACCTCGAACACGTCTCCGAGGGCATTCCCGAAGAGCAACGCAAACCTCATGTCCGCTCCGCCTCCGCATTCCTCTACCTCTTCCTCTCCCTGGGTTCTCCACAAAGCCCAGGTGCCATCTACACCCTTCGTTCTACAATCCCCACCGGCGCCGGATTAGGCAGCAGTGCCAGTGTATGCGTTTGTTTAAGTTCCGCTCTTCTGCTCCAGATAAGGACTCTCGCCGGTCCTCATCCTGACCAGCCCCCTGATGAAGCTGAGACTCAAATTGAACGTATCAACCGTTGGGCGTTTGTGGGCGAGCTCTGCATTCATGGAAACCCCAGTGGGGTAGACAACACGGTCTCCGCAGGCGGCAAGGCTGTGTTCTTCAAGCGAACCGATTACGAGAAACCACCGACTGTCCTTCCACTTCCAAATTTTCCTGAATTACCGCTTCTTGTCGTCGATACCCAACAAACCCGCTCCACCGCCACTGAAGTAGCGAAGGTGCTTGAGTTGAAAAAGGCACTCCCTGTTGTAACGGAATCTATCTTGGACGCCATTGACAAAATATCATGTTCTGCGCGCGAATTAATCGACTCACCTGACTCTGATAACGAGTCTGCGGAGGCCATGGATCACTTCGGTACTTTGATTCGTCTCAACCACGGCCTGTTGGTCTCATTGGGCGTCTCCCATCCTCGCTTGGAGCGAGTTCGTGAACTTGTTGATTCTGCCAATGTTGGTTGGACCAAGTTGACTGGTGCTGGCGGTGGTGGTTGTACTATGACTCTTCTTCGTCCTGATGCGAACCCCGAGGCTGTTAAGGCATTGAAGGCTCAGCTTGCCGCTGAAGGCTTCAACAAATACGAAACCACACTCGGAGGTGATGGTATCGGTGTCCTCTACCCGGCGGTTCTGCGCAACGGCTCCGACGAGGAGGGCGGCGAAGAAATTGACCAGGAAAAGTTCGAAGAGGCCGAGGGTCACATCGGTATTGAGCAACTCGTGGGAGTGGGATTCCACGAAAAGCGCGAAGGCTGGAAGTTTTGGAAACGAGCTGCTGCTGCTTAATCTGGGACGCGGATTGCCCAGCACTTCTGCCACCATATCACTTCGTTGGCCTTTGGAAATTCTTCCGCACCATTGGCACCGGAGCCTAATGAACCTTTCATCTTCTCAATTTGTTTTCTTTGTTTCATTTCGGGTCTAAGTCCTGTGAGGTTCTTGCATTCCCATTTTCATCCCATTCTCTGAACACACTTTCAACCCATATGCTTTTAACCCCCCATCTGTGATTGGGAAACTGTGTTTGAGCATGTTATCAAACTGCACAAGTACATGTTGTCTTCACCCTTCAAAAAAACCCATGATATTTCTGGGCCTTCTCTTCGTCCTTGTGGTCTATTTTTCTTATCTTGTTCCATTTATTGAACGTCTAGGGTTGAGATACCAGTCTTCGCATGAGCATGTCTATGGCGCAGGTATGTCCACTGGTTAGCTGTGGGCAGCTTGCAATATCCATTAATAATAGTCTATGAAAATATCAGTCTATGATACCGTTTGTACAACTTTCTGTTCCCTTCATGTATTCGTATATTAGATAGAAAAAAGTACTCGAAGGACTCCAACCCCTCCTGTTCAACTGTTACATCTATAGAGTTCCACCTGGGTGGATCCGCTGGACCCGCTGACTCAGATCGTCGCGACGAGCTCTAGTTACAGGCTTGACTCCGAAGCCGAGCTTCCTTACAAATCACGACTCGGACATGGCTTCTCTGGCACGCACAAGCAAGGCAATTATACTCCTTAACCGAACAATTGTATATATAAAACAACTAACGATTCATACAGCGCACCAATATAAGACTTGGCCGACTCAATTCGTCGAGCGTGAGACCTAGCTTGCTCCAGCAGATCAGACTGATAGTCTCCAAGTCTAGCCCATTGCCAGCTCCAAACAAGCCAAGAGCTTTAAAAATTGCGCACAACTTAACTCCGCACGCAAGATTATACACAACACAGCCCAATATCTCCGATACACCTACTAAGCTAAAGGAGACTCTCACCCCTGCTCTCCTCGAAGACGTCCGAAATTTCTGGTTCAGCCACATCAACGATGAAGAATCTTTAATTCTACCCGGTGGAAACGAGATGCAACGTTGGTTCACCCGTGATATAAACTTTGACAAAGCCTGTGTGTAAGTTTCTCCCACGATCGGGCTATGCCGTACTTTCCCATTCATCCCCATATATTCCATTTAATTCCAAACCCTCACCAAGAACCAACTAACAACCCAAATCCAGCACCCAATTCCAACCAGCCCTAGAAGCAATCATCGAAACAGGAGCCACAGCTCCCCAAATCCTATCAGCAGTAAACCCCACCCCCCTAACCTATCTCTCCCTCCTCCTGCTACTAGACCAAGTATCCCGGAACTGCTACCGCGGCGAAGAATCCAAGCTCGTCTTCACGCGCTTCGATCCCTTAGCCTCAGAAATAGCCGTCCAAGCACTTTCTCTCGGTATCCCACTTAGTCCCGAGATACGGTACAAAGTAGCCTACCGATTTTGGTTCCCGTTACCGCTCATGCACTCTGAAGCATTAAGTGTGCATCAGCAAGCTATAAAGGTCCTTGAGGAGAAGGTGCGTGATTTTGAGGCCTTCTTAGATATGGAGAGGGATTCTTTGGGGCAAGATGAGAAGAGATGTTTTGATGTTTTGCGGCCCAAGAAAAATATGGTGAAAGAGGTTTTGGAGCGGAATTTGGATTTTGAGAGGAGGCATCTTGTTATTATTGAGCGGTTTGGGAGGTATCCGCATCGGAATGATGCGTTGGGGAGGGTTTCTACGAAGGAGGAGGTGGAGTATTTGGAGAATGGTGGAGAGACATTTGGGTAGTGGGTTGTATGTATAGATGTGGTGTATATATACTATATACAGGTGTATGTGGATCATGAGAGTGACTTTAGGTATCATATAGATCAAGAATGTAGGTACAAGCTCTCAAGTTATATTTCTTCAAACTATAAGCCATGATGAAATACACGAGCCCTAGAGTACTACAATCTAATATATTAAGAGTGGCTTCGGCGCTACATATTGATCTCTTGCTTGAACAGAACACTGTATTCAATGAAAATAAACTTGACGAAGGCAATAACCCTGGGGAATAACAGACTAGAAGGGACGACCCATCGACTCAACTACCTAAAAAAGACCTGCCACTCTTTCAAACCAATTGGCCCGGTGCACGTCCGATGCCTGTGGATCAGTCTTCTGTTCTCAACTTCGTCCACAATTGCCACTGCCATATCCTTGTTGTGAATTCCTATATCAATTTCTTTTTAGCCAGTCGCAAGAACCAATTGGCGAGAGGATGATGTGGTGAGGCCGACGCGGGTGTCAGGTCTTCCCTCTGGGTTTCCAAGTTTCTATTTTCATTCGGAAGACCAACAAACACTTTTGAATACATGATAGGTGTCCATAATCAATGCCATATAGAAACAGGATGTCTGCCATTTAGAAAAATTTCTTTGTCCCAAAGCTATGGCATTAATACCATGTGTACATCACACAATTGCTTACATCTATACTATTTCAGTGTTGCACCGGCTGAGATAATTATCGTATTTGCTTACTTCTTCCGTAATTACGAACTCAGCCTTCCTGAGGACAGTATAGCACCGAGGGGGCTTGATCGCTTTGCCTTGCAATACGAAATACCTGGGTTGCCTGTGGTGTTCAAACCTCGTCGATGAAACATAGTTTGACCAAGGTGGCCGACATGCCCTTCCTGGCTCCTGGCTTATGTCTCATTGCATTGCTACAGAGCTTTGCTGGACGGTTTTGTGTCTTTGTGGAACGCTCAGGGGAAATAATTACTACAATCGAATCAATTATAGTCAAAGCAACCCGCAACACTGGCAACAAAATCTGCAAATACCAAGATGAATAGATTCAAATACATCCCAATTTTACTTTCTGTTATAAGCTGCATTCTTGAGCACGGACAAATTCGTTATACCATAATATAATTGCCAGTGACCTTGGTCTTCAGTGGACTTCTTCAGGGCCAAATTTAGTGAACCTAGTAAGTTGCGGAGCAGCTCGCGGTCTTCTACTTTGGATCCAGACTGAGGCTCGTGACGAGGTCCACTGCCGAAATTCCAGTGTTCATTCTTCAGGCGACTGTACTCGTACTGGTGGATGATCGGTTGGAATGTGGAGTTTAATTAATCCCCCCTTCCCAATTCCGCAAAGGAGCACGCGACCCCTTTGCAAAAGGAGAGAAAAGGATATGGTATTCGAGAATTCTAATTATAGCATGCTTATTCAAATTATTTTCCTAGTGATACATGCATATATTTGAGTGGCAAGGGGAAAACAACATTTGTACGGAGTAGTGAGAGACGAGATAGATGTGCCAAGCCCATCTAAAGTGCTCGGTAATGATCAACCCCCCTCCAAGCCAGCAACCTGGGAAACTCCTTATTCAAGGGAGTTTGGCCGAGTAGTCTAAGGCGATTCTGTTTTTTTAACCCGAAAACATCTCATCACGTAACCATTTACTAATTAAATTTCTAGCGAAATCAATTCTCTTCGGGGGCGTCATCATCTGACAGCTGTCGATTTTCTTTCCTCTTCTCTCTTTCCACCTCTCTCTTCTTGTTCTCTCGTATTTACTGTTTCTTGGAAGGGACCTACCTCTTTTAACACTTTTAATACCCCGTACAGGGTTACCTGTAGAAAGTGTTTGGCGTTATGAGGAGGCTGGTTTGACTCACTTAGCTAGGATTGTAGACTCGCTTATTTTGCCAAGTCGAACCATAGTTTAGGCTCTATGGAAGCAATTGAATACATGTACTGAAGCAATAAGATACTGAAATCATTTATGTTATTCTTGCCAATTGAAATTTACGTTAAAAGAAAGACGCCTTTCGCACGAACTGCTTTTGATTATATTGAACACAAGGGCTCGCACGGCGACGTTTCTAGCCTTGTTCCCCTACTACTACCTAATTACCTTAATAACCTATCCCCAGTAGTTACCATTGAAAATTCATAGGCCGATTATTATTATATTAAACTTTGGAAGAATCTTTCTATCCCTCTTCTTTCCCCCTCATGCCAAATGGAGTGTGTCAAGTCTGGGTATGGTTGTGCCAGACGGCATTCTCGGAGTGCCTTGCGTCTTGGGAATAATCTTTTCAAACCTCAAGGGGTTTCAAGAACTTTACCTCCGCCTTGAAAGAAAAAGATCTCTACATACTCACTCATTCATCTCAAGTTGCCTAACAAGCCTTGTACCCCACATGCCTGGGGTACATCAAGCGCCCTGTCAATATCCGCTTTCAGTCTACCCTGTCCACCAGGGATATGTCCTTTTCTGTTCGATCCAGCAGACTAAATTCAGACACCATGCCTTGAATTGAATGAGAACTTTGATTATTTTCTCCGGTCCCAAGCAGCCACGGCAGGTATCAACTTGGAATTCATGTTTGGTTAGCTCTACATCCTCACATAGAAGAAACCAAGAGAACGCTTTACCTTCCTCCTTCACTCCCTTGAAATATGTGCGCCATTGAGCTGCCCAGTCTGTCTCGCCATGATCATCTCACGTCAGTTCTCATTTCGACCATTCATACTCGCGCTCCTCATCGTATCCACCTCCTCATCTAAAGCATTGCATCTTTTTCAACATGCCACATCTCTGCCTCAGTCCCGCCTTATCCTTTTCTTTTCAACATTTTTTATCCAAGAGGCATGTTTGTGGACGGTAGCTTGTTCTGCGCTTTACAAGCTCTCTGGTAACAAGTGTCTTTCCATCATAGGAAATGTGGTAACAGGAATAATCTCGTGAGCATTATTCCTAGGATTCAAATGTGCTCAGTTTAGCTGATTTTCCAACTATACAGTGCTTTAACTTTCGTTCTCGCTGCCTCTCAAATCGGATTCTATGTGGTAACAGGTAGCGAAGTTCGCTGGGATGCCGCTACAAGTGTGGGCAATGACCCCGAAGGAAGGAAATTAATGCTCAGTGGATTGAAGTCATTCCTAGCAGCATCTACACTGCTCCTATTTTTATCCTGGCTCTGCACACCAGGTCTATCAGTCATTCTAAACTATTGGCTCTCGGCACTTTTCCCGCTCCGATCGACAGACAAGTCAGACGAGGAAGCGTTGTTGGCAACGACGAAGAGTGCATCTCGTACAAAGGTTATCATTCAATTTTGGACTGTTGGCGCCGTTATAATAACGTCATTTCTATGGCTTGTTAGACCGCATGTTCCATATAGCCATATCTCTGGGGCGATACCATTTACATTCTTCGAAGCATTGTGCCCGAAATCAGCTTCTCTGCAATATGCCAGTGGCTTTGATTTCCCACTACAGATTTTAATTGGGGAAGAGTATTGGGAAGCGCCTCGTGGGTATTTCAAAGGATGGGCTCCTGGCGCGAAGCAGATGAGTCTGGATGAATATGCCAGGCCTGATTGGGCTTCTGGGAATTTGCCAGTAGGTTTTCAGCGATGGAATAAATCGAAAAGCGAGAAGAGACCAAACTACGATACTACTCACATGAGTAAAAATAAAACCTCGAACATTGATTACAGTCCGGTGCATGATCCCCTTCGCATAACTAATCTGGATCAAAATGTGGTGGAACCTCTTGCTCAAGCATTGAAAAATCATGAAATTCCGATCAATCATATTGTTTTCGTTATGATGGAAAGTGCAAGAAAGGACATTTTCCCCTTCAAAGCCGGATCGAGCCTGCATCAGCAAATATTAACCTCCCACGAGTTCGCAGATGTTCAAGCGATCCAAAAGCTGAATAACACATTATCACGCCTGACACCAGTGGCAGAGCAACTGACGGGAGAGCAGAGCGGCTTCAGCCTCAATGGAGATGAAACTCAGGTTGCTTGGAGTGATAGCGCCGAGATTGGAATGGGCGGTATTAATATTCATGGCCTGCTCACAGGTAGTAGCCTTTCGTTCAAGAGCGCGATTATGAACCACTGTGGCACCGGACCCCTACCCGTTGATTTCATGGACGAAGTACACGCGGAGATATACCAGCCCTGTATCATGCAGATACTTGATCTTTTCAATCAGCGCAACGATCCTTTGCGTCAAGGCCAAGCCAAAGAGTCTTCTGGATTTCGGAATCGCAATTGGACATCGATCTTCTTGCAATCTATCACCGGCTTATTTGATGACCAAAATATCTTAAATGAACAAATGGGGTTCCAGAAAGCCCTTTACAAAGAGCAAATTGAAAATATTAGCGCTCCATACTACCACAAAGACATGGAAGAGATCAACTATTTTGGGTATGACTCGTTCTTATGCCCTGGCCGTTGATATACTGACCTGAGATAGTTACGCAGAACGTGAGACATACCCATACCTACGAAAAATTGTGGATGAAACGATCGCAAATGGTCAAAGACTTTTCCTTTCGCACTTCACGAGCACTACACATCATCCCTGGGCCACCCCATCGAAATTCCAGAAGGAGAAATACTTCGCCGATGGCCTGATGGGTAAACACGAAGACATGAATAACTATCTGAACTCGGTTCGTTACGTTGACACATGGCTTGGTGAGATACTTCAAGTTCTCGATGACACGGGTATTTCAAATGAGACCTTGGTTGTGTTGGTAGGCGACCAGTAAGTTACCTTCCAACTGGATTTTATCAATATGAAATACTCACACTAGTGTAGCGGCCAAGCGTTCCACGAAGACAGTCCTATATCCGGAACATACGAGAACGGACACATAAGTAATTTCCGCATCCCACTAGTTTTTCGACACCCACTTCTTCCTCAAATCCAAATCACAGCCAACGCCACGTCAATGTCCGTTGTCCCAACAATTCTCGACTTGTTGGTCCAAACGAAATCCCTCAACGAGGATGACTCAAACACTGCACTAGACTTGATGAACGAGTACGAAGGTCAATCGCTTATTCGACCATACCAGGCTATGCATAATGGTCGCCAAGCGTGGAACTTCGGTATCATTAATGCCGGTGGCACGATGCTTAGTGTCGGATCTGCGGCTGTTCCATACAGACTCATATTGCCTTTGTCCAGCGATTTCGAATATGTGTTCTCAAATTTGGATGCTGATCCCGATGAGAAGAATTCTCTACGTGCTTGGTCTATAGAAGAGTTGAGTCCGCGGATAGAGAAGGAACATGGATACAAAGCTGTACAGTGGGTTGTTGAGGCGGAACAAGTTGGACGGTGGTGGGTAGAGGAGCGCAAAAGATTATGGAACTACCACTAGTAACTAATAGGTACTCGGAACGAGTATCGTAAATAAATTGTACATTAATTGTCTAGTAATAAACAAACAGTCGGATGTGTTACTTCTCCTCACGCAAGGCCTACTACGTACATAGTACAATCGGGTGAACAAGCGCAATTAGCAAAAAAGAAGTATATACGTGAGCTCTTAGAGTCGTGAAAGCCCGTGAGAGTACCGAGAATACGCCCAGGCACCATCCAGTAAGCAGTCATACTTATTGCATGAATTGCACTGTCTTAATATTGTTCTCTTTGTTCAAGCCTCAGGCCACCAATAAGACCGCAGCAAACAGACTCAACGGCCCCACTTGACACCTCAACCTGCCATGAATCGTTGATTGTGATTGACACATAAAAGAAGCCATTGCCTCTGTTAAAGAAAATACCTGTCAGCAGGAACAAAGAGAACAGACCCGATTGCACTTTCTCTGATACCAGGTTGGACTTGCCCAGACCCAGCGCAGCCTGAAGGTCCATCATTTTCATCTCAATCGCCCCGCATCAGATTTGATAGCCAGATTCCCCGCCAAAATGGATGGGAAATACGCCAGTGACCCAGAATGGGCCTCTGTGACTCCAATTCCTCTAGACGATGGCGAAGAGTCCGGAGCCACGCCCCTGGCATACATCGCCTATCCGACTGAGTATCTCGAAGCAACGTCCTACCTGCGGGCCGTCATGGCTGCAAATGAGATGTCGGAGCGGGCATTGAAATTGACGCAGGATGTGATCGCCATGAATCCGGCACACTACACCGTCTGGTAAGAACTCAATCACTACCCGTGCAATTCAGTTTGTATCTACAAATTCCGAAGACGTCCACACTAACATGTCCCAGGATCTACCGTGCCAAGATTCTTTTCGCACTAGAAAAAGACCTCAACGAAGAGGTATCATGGCTGAACCAAGTCGCTCTGAAATATCTGAAAAACTACCAAATCTGGTAAATCTCAATCTGCCCCCATGAAATGTCAAAGCAACAACTAATATCCCCCAGGCACCATCGCCAAGTAATCATGTCTACACGGGCAACATTCCCAACTCTCCCACCAAAAGAACAAGATTTCCTCGTGGACATGTTCGCCCAAGACAGCAAAAACTATCACGTCTGGACATACCGCCACTGGCTAGTCCGACACTTCAAGCTATGGGATCACCCACGCGAAGTCGAAGACATAAACCACCTCTTAAAAGCCGATGTGCGCAACAATTCCGCCTGGAACCATCGGTACATGCTCCGATTTGGTCCCCGAGAAGGTGAACTAGACGCTGGTATGGCCAATGCAGGCGACATGTCGACCACACCCGGCGACAAGGGTGTTCTAGGCGTTGTGGATGAAGATATGGTTGATAGTGAACTTTTGTATGCGCAGGAAGCTATTGTGCGGGCACCGGAGAATAGGAGTCCGTGGTGGTTTGCTCGGGGCGTGTTACGTGCTTCCGGACGGAGATTAGAGGAATGGGAGGAGTTTGCGGGGAAGTTCGTTGTAGGGGATGCGGTTAAGAGTTCGCATGCTGTTGAGTGGTTGGCGGATGTTTATGCCGGAGGGGGTAGAGAGGGGTTGGCTGTTGATATGCTGAATCTGTTGAAGGAGAAGTATGATCCTATTCGAAAGAATTATTGGGATTATCGGATTAAGGCTCTGGGACTGGCTACTGCTTGAGTGGTCTTGTGATTTTTCAAATGTCTTATGTACGCAGGCTTTATTTTAATGAAAATCACTTGACTTGATCCATGTACCCGTAGACGGCCGATGCGAGTATATTGAGAAGACAAAGTAGACGGGACGAAGAAAAGAGTGTATAGCATTTTATCTTTCTTTTTCTATAAGATGCAGGCCTGTATGCAGAAGGAAAACATGAAAATTCGTGACGAGATAAGTGGAAAGACAAGATGAACCAAAGACTATATGAGGTATATAAAGTAGAAAAACCGAAATGAAAAAATATGTAAAGAGAAAAGAGAAAAGAGAAAAGAACCAAGAGGATTTACTCAATCCATATTAAACCCATCCCTCAGCCAAGAGCTTTCGATATTCCTGAGCCATATCAATAGTAACATTACTTCCACCACAAACAATAATGACCACTCTACTTTGAGAGTTGAGATCAGGAATGAGTTGCTTCAACTTAGAGCTAAGTTCAGGAGACTTCGAGGCAACAGCGCCGTTCTCCGTCTCTGGCTCAACATCCGTCTCAACATCTGTTGAGGTGGATCGGTCATCGCCGTAACCCTCATCCCGGGAACCAGTGTCCTCAATAGTCATCTTCCGCTTCTTGGAGCTTTGGCCCCCAGCAACGGCGGGTGCCGATGTAGTAGCAGAAGAAGCGGTGGCGGCATCGCCAATGGCCGCCTCGACACAGACACCGCAGGCAAGTTCCACGAGGAGACGCTCGTCATCCGCAAGACGGAGAACGCCCCGTGCGGCTTCAGCATCTGTGAGCACGGCACTGTGAACTTTGATACCGGGTGGAGGGGCCACCGCATATTGGAAGGTTGTTTCCGAAACACGGATGGCGCCGAGAGAGGTGGCTTGTGATGTGATCTTTGGGAGGGAGACGAGGGATTTCTTGGCGATGGCAGCGGCCAGAGAGTCGGTACCGTCCGTCTCGATGGCTAGGAGGTTGATAGGGCTGGGTTCCTTGGACACTGGGGCGGAGGAGGTAGTGGTTGTTGTAGTAGTATCCAGAGAAGTATCCAGGTAAGCGTGGCCGGTGCTAGAGGGGCCATTATCAATCTGCTTCTTGGAGCGACGCTTCTCAAGACCCATTACAAGGCCGTTAAGAAGACCTCCACCACCAACACTGCAGAGGATTGCATCCAGAGGAAGCGCCCGTCCGCCGTAAAGTTGCTCTTCCTCCGCGTTAGCGGCATGGGGAAGCTGTGTCTCTAACTCGTCCACGATAGTACTGTTTCCCTCCCAAATGGGGGCGTTGTCAAAGGGATGCAAGGCAATCTTGGCCACATCCTCATCATCACCAGAGCTAGTCTTCATGATAACATCTTTCATGTAAGAGCCTGCCTCGAAGAAGGTCTCGCCGTGGCGGATGACGTCCGCAGCCCCGGCAGCTCGTAGTTTCTCCAACATCAAAGGCTTGGTGGAAAGTGGGACCACGACAGTGCAAGGGTATCCAAGAGTACGGGCAGCACAAACAGCTGCTAATCCAGCATTGCCACCGGACGAGGCGTAGAAGTGAATTCGGCGGTTGGCATATTCGGGTTTGCGAAGATGGGACAGAATCTGGTTGCCCATAGCACGGGACTTGAAGGAGCCACTGGGTTGAACATTCTCAAGCTTGAGGAAGATTCTACATCCTGCAGCCCGAGATAGGGCGGCTGATTCAACAAGCGGAGTTTCGATCCATGGGGTTTTGAAGACCGGGGTCTGGTAGTCGGCGGAAGGCATGATACTTCCTGTGTGTTGAAGAGGAATTTGATCAATAACGTTTTTGCCGGAGAGAACAAGAGAGTCCACGAAGGGTCGGGTTCAAAGAGAATCCCAAGATAGGAGAATTCGATGGATATAGATCAAGTATATCAACTCGATGTACGGCTGTCGAAGGAGGATAAAATGTAGAATAGAAGAAGGTATGAGGAAGAATGGTCGATACAAATTAACAAAAATAAACCAAGAGCACGCTCAGCTTTCAATAATAATACAGTAGTATACAGATATTGCAACATGTTTTGATATACATAGAGGAAGCCCTAGCCACTGAGTTTTCCGACGGGAAACGGGCTCCGTTTCCCGTCCCGGCCACCCCGTGGTTGGAGATAGGGTGGGCAATCCACGGTTCTGGCCCATTCTTTCCCGTTGATAACCTTGTGGATATCTCCAATCAGAACTAATGCGACTATGACATACCGCCCAGTACCAGGTTGGAGTCACGCTGGAAAACCTGGCAACTCAGCAGTCACCGTGTGGGGAGACCCAAAAACCTTCTCAATGGAGCTGTCGCACCTGGGCGGAGACGATGCAAATCTTCATACATACGGGTCTTGCCGTGGGACATGATTGGCTTGCAGGGTATTCCTCTTATCAAATCGAAAAGGCTCGAGGCCACGCAAATTCTTAATCCTCTGCAAGTAAAGGGGGGAAAAGATGACCTTTCTTGACACCTTCACCGTAATCTGAATCCGATCCGTAGACAGTGGCCGAGAATGCCCGTTTGGCTGGGTCGGAAGTATCTACACGGAGAAGCTCTAGAAGTTCTTGCGATTTGGCGGGCATAAACGGCTGCAGTAAGATCGCAGATATGCGAAGCGATTCCGCCACGTTAAAAATAACCCACTGGGGGTTGGGGTTTTTCCACGGTTCCGTTGCGTGGAAGTACTTGTTGGTCTAATGGGGCGCAAACACGGTCAACCAGGCGCCCGATGGGGGGAAACTGCGGGGAATCTTGAGGGGTCTATCGTTCATACCTTCTCGATTATGCTCATAATTTCTTGTAGCGCGGCACGGGGGTTCAATCCGGTCATATGCTCGGCAACCTTTAGCGGTGTCGAGACCAGCATTACCTGATGTGCCACGTCCTCCGGGCTTGGTTTCGGAAGCTTATTAGAAGTAGCATCTTGGATATACGAGCGAAGTCTTCCTTTAGCACACCCAATTGTTCGTGATGCTAAGTTTCCAATACCCCCTTGAAGCCATTTCTTATAATCCCTAGTGATGAAAGAGTTGTCGTAGTCGGAGTCATCCCCCAACCCTCCCTGATAGGCTAGGAAGAATCGCATGCCATCAACGCCGAATCTGTCGATGGCGAAAAATGGGTTCACCACATTGCCAGTAGATTTCGACATCTTCTCCCGGTTCATTGTCCAATGTCCGTGCACGAGAACATTCCGGGGCACGGGAAGGTCTAGAGCCATCAGGAAAGCAGGCCAATAGACACAATGAAATCTATCGGGTGATCAGCGGTGAGGTCCGTCATGCGCGCGCCACTGGATTGAACTTACCGGACGATATCCTTGCCAACTACATGGACGTTTGCGGGCCAAATCGACTTGTCGTCTTGCCCGGGTGGGAAAGGATATCCTGCTCTTGTCAGATAGTTGACCAGCGCATCCAACCAGACATAGATAGTTTGAGTGCTGTCGCCGGGAACCGGAATTCCCCAGGTCAACCGTTCGGATGGCCGCGAAATCGACAAGTCTTGCAGTCCAGCTGACACTGATTGAATCACAGCGGTTGAATACTTTGACGGCGTGATGAAGGAGTCAGGTCTCTTGTAAAGTTCAAGCAGACGGTCTTGGAATGCAGATAGACGGAAATGATAGTTGATTTCCGACGACCACTCAACTTCTTTTCCTGTTTCAATTGAGACCTGAACATATGTGAGCCACTGCATGAGAAATAATCCCGGTATTGCTTACCATTCTCTTCCGACCGGTTGCTGGATCCAAGGAATTTTGTACCTGCGTTTGCGGGTAAAACGTCTCGTCACTGACAGAATACCATCCTTCATGTTTTGAAGTATAGATATAGCCTCGGTGCTCAAGCATTTCCTGTGTGTCCCCGTTAGCAACGCAATTAACGTATGAGCGGTTCTACCTACCCAAAAATATTGTACAGCATCGCGGTGCGCCGGATCGGTTGTTCGAATGAAGTGGTCGTTGTCGAGGTTTGCAGCTTTCGCCAAGGCCTATCATATATGAGAAATTAGCGCTTGTTTGGGAAGTGCGGAGGAAATAATATGAACAAATGTATACATACCTCGAAGGTTCGGCAGTTCATATCGCAAAAAGCCTGGGTATCCATACCGGCTTCAAGAGCAGCTTGCTGGATCTAACAACGGGTGTCAACAAAGAATGTTCCTTTGATAATACTGATGTTTCATGTACCTTCATGCCATGCTCGTCGGTTCCGGTCAATAATTGGGCGTCGGTATTTCCAAGAAGGACTTGCCATCGTTTCAAAATATCGGAGATGACCATAGTATAGAGGTGGCCGACATGAGGGGCTATGACAAAAAGCTAGTTAGTTTCGAAACCAGTTCTTGCAAATTTTTAGAAAGACGTACCAGCATTGACGTAAAAAATGGGAGTAGTCACATAGTATGGCTTCTTAAATTCCCCCGAACTCGGAGTTGTCGATGTCGCAAGTCCACGGTAGAAAGCCTTGGGGCTTGCATACCCACAGGCTGTGCAATTCCATGTTCGCCGTGAATTTGAGAAAATGCCGGCCCTTTTAAGGGCATTGAGGGGCGTTCTTGGGGAAATCATCAGGGCCTTGGGGTTGGTCAAAGGAGAGAAGGCGGGCGTCGCATGTTATTCCGCATCATGAATGTCCGCGGAAGTCGGTGGTCCAAGCTCCACCACCCGCCAATTTTCTTTTGATTCTTTCTTGCTATGCGCCACCACTCTTCCATGCTTCATCGCAAATCCAAACTCTGACAAATTTGACTGTTCATTCGTGTCAAATATAAATAAACAATACATTACTGCGCTTCTCGGCCGTTCTATCGATCAGTACCCATTCTTCGAAGACCTCGTTCTTCATCCCACGTCGCAATGGCTCCGTCAAACGATGAGCTGACCAAAGTGTCTACCGATGGTATTCCAGCTCCCCGACCCACTGAAAACGCCTGTGACACTAATCAAGCTCAATATATAGGCGCGTCCGAGCTCGTCCAGACCTTTTATCCCGCCCTCACCTCAAATCGCGAATCCATTGCCTCCTTCTATGCCCCAACTCCTTCCAAGATCCTTTTCAATGGCAACACGGTAGCAGACGGCGCCGCAGTCCAAGACATTTTCGTTAACCAAATGCCTCATGCCCACTACGAAGTTCAATCTTTCGACTGCCAGATTATCAACCAAGGCTATCCGACTATGACTGCTGCGGGCGTCAAGCCCCCCGCCCAGATGACTATTAAAGACATGTCGATTCTCGTTTCTGTGAGCGGCTTTGTGCGATATGGTGAGGGCCGCGATCAGCCGCAGCGCGGCTTCAGCGAAACATTTGTTCTTGTCCCCAACCCTACTCAGTCCAACGACCGGGGCAAGCGCCGACGAGACTGGTTGATCCAGAGTCAAAACTTTCGACTTGTGGTCTGAGTTGTGCTGATAATGGAATGCATAAAAATGGATGGAGATAATACGATACTGAAACGAAATTGGGCAACGGCAACATTGGCTCTATTACGCGATTTACAGACTATACGAAGCTTCACCCTGGACAAAATTCTTTGATTTTGCTGCTTGTTGCATTATTTACAAATTAAGAGAGGTGCGATCTGAAAACAAACAAATTGGAAACAAATGTCGGGAATTTTATCCGAAGAAATTCATGACGATATCACATTCACCACCGGGCGATCATGACTTCGAAGTTGGCGGGTTGGAGCCTCGCTGTATCTGCAAATTAGCTTTGACTCTCTCCAACAGCTCTTCTCGGGTGGCGTTTTCATTTGGCAAAAGGCCCCGCTGCGATATACTTGTCAGTGAGTGTGTCAAATATGAAGGATTTCAGGTATAGCATACAGCGCGCAGCCACCTCCTCATCTCATCAACAGTCCAGTTTTCGGGATCTGTGTCGAGTCAGCATGTATATAGATAATGGAAGACCCTGTTTCTTACTTCCTTTGGGATCAGCCTCTGCAGGGAATACATCTGTTCCCCAGATGGACCAAGCTGCAACGGCCGTCACCATGCCCGCGAAACCTAGATGACAATACAACATGAGCTAGAGTTCGCCACCTTTAATCAGTTATTTTCTGTGTATATACCTAGAAATAAATTCTTCCCGTCTTTCTGTTAGCTGTTTATCCATTTAGTTCCTGCCTGGTTGGAGTACCTTGGAGTTCATAGCCCGATCCAGTGGAGTAGGCATCTTGAATTAGACGATAGTATCACGTTGCTTCGATAAAGAGCACAGTATTTAATGAAGAAAGGAACTAGCAGTGAATACCTGATAATCCAGATATGGCAGATGAAATGAAAGTAAAAGTGATATGTTGTCCAAATGAGTTTGGAGACAGATAGGTCACAGGGAGATGCACCGCCACCTGTACTTAACTTAGCGCCACTCCTCCAGGTTACTGCATATATCTATCCATGGCTTATCACATTTCCTTTCCACTGAATCTGGTAGGCGGTCTGATTCTGCTAAGGTGGCCACCACTCGCGCTTATCATAAAGAGAGCATGTGACTTTGAGGCTGATTATTGTGATGGATTTACAGTGATTTGTGGAGGTTCTGGCAACCAACCACCTGGGCACCTGGTGGTGAAGCAATCAAGATACAAAAAATAATCTCGTAATTATTCTACAACAATTTCTTTCAGAAAAAAATTAAAAAAAATTGAAGTGCAAGCGGCGAGGTTCGAACTCGCGCGGATTTATCCAACAGGAAGCAGTATTATTTACTTAAATCCTGATAATAGGTTAGTATTGCAGACTTGTGTATAGGGAAAAACGGGACGTACTGTCGCCTTAACCACTCGGCCACGCTTGCGAAACACAGAGAGTCTGAATCCCTCCTGGTTTCCAGTACTAATGTATATCACCAGCCTCATCTATGTATTAGATCATCACAACACTCTTGAATGGTCTTATATATTGTTTGGTCATTATCAACCTTGGAAGAAAGTCGATAGAACTAACTCTGTGAATTATAAAAGTTATTGGATAGATTTTACTTTGTAGATACATTGTACTCTTTTCATTCTTCCTAGCCCTGGGATGAAGTAAGAGTCGCCTCATGGCGTAGATGTACCTCTATAAAGTTCAAACATCAAACATCTAACCATGTACACTTAATATAGTTTTGCCAGATGATCCTTTGAGTTGACCCAAGCTTTGACCTAAATTTATTACTGATTTTCGAGGTCTTGTGTAATGATTGTATCGAATACTTAATGAAAGAATAGTACACCTGCATATAGCCCTGGAGGGTAAATACTAGGGCTAAAAATTATACACAGTCAACCTAGTTAGAGATCCGACCCCCTGTAAAGAAACATATTGATACAAGAACTGCAGCATTGAGGGTCTCCGGAGTTTGCAGGGCCTCGGGACGCAGGCCAATCTTAAGAGGCGGTAATGTCATGATCTGTGTTCATGAGGCCCAGAGCTGCACGTCTGCACGTGGTGATGATATTGCTCACCACTTCGCGTAACCCCCTCCCCCTCTCTCTTTCATAATTAAAGCAAAAAATTCAAAGTTGACGGCTCGGTTGTGCAGTAAATACCAACTATAGAAAATTGATAGCAGATACTGTTATTGAGCGTGAAATTAACACTCAGGGCTTCCGCCTGCAATATTGATTATCCTGAGCACCTGCCAAGCTTCAGTAAGTCCACTCGAGCTCAACTCCAATTTAGGCAGGAGCTACGCTCTTCTTCATATAGAATTGGAAGGCAGTTCGAGAGGCACAGATAATCTTCTCATGTTCCTTCACTTTCTTCCTTCACTTTCTTTCCTTTCCATCAACCATCCTGTTCCCCCTACCCATTTTCATTTCCTGTTATTCACTCTCAGAATGTCGGAAGTTGCTTGCATGTATCTCTTTGTTGCCTGGGGTGACCCTCCCAGTGAGTCTCTTCCTCGTGAGGTTGCCTTTTCGCACACCGAAGAGGAGCTTGCTGAGTCCCTGGATTACACAAAACGCAAGTATATAGAGACTTATGGCCCCATCTCGTCCAATCCTCGATCTCTCACTTTTATTCGTGAGTCCTCTTTGCCAATGGATCCGTCTTCTGAGCCAGCACGATGGTTCAAGGAAAATCTGCATGAAGCTCGGCGGGACGGAAGGAATGTGATCGTGGTGATGAATGGATTTGATGGGTTGACCACCAATGAGATTACATTTTATTGTTTGTTTCAGGAGCATGCAGAGCGGATGAGGATCTGTGTGTTTGGCGGCGAGCCACGTTCGTTCTACGAGGTTAATATACGGGGTGTGCTGGATTGTCTCATGGGGAATATTGAGCAGGGCGAGCTCGACAAGTCAACTTCCCTCTTTGTCAGATGGTTCCGTGTTCTCCGTGCGATGGAGCTCAATCAGCTGCCCTGAGTCATCGCCGCAATGCTCCAGTCACGATAAAAATTGTTCTTGATCGTTGACAACTCATGAACATGTTCTCACACCACCGCGGCCAGGAAAGATCAACAAGGCGGATCAGACAATTGAGGGTCAGGGCTTGAATGACTCGCTCATTGTGCACAGGTCGGTTTTGATGTCGCTGGTTTACGGCCACTGCGGAGGAAGATTGCAAAGGCCCCGAGAGCTCCTGTGGCATGAACGAATGTTTTTTTTGTACCGGTGAAAGCCTCTTGTCAGAACTTGAGATATTGTCGCAACATTGCGTCCTTCGGTGCGTCATTATTAAGTAATCTTGAAGGGTATAGAGTACAGGAGATAATGGCTGTGTCATTTGTATGTACACTTCAAGGATGAGTACCTGCTGATAGGATGACGGACGCTGTTGGGGTTGATATTGTGCATGATTCCAACGACAAATTCGTTCATTCGAACTTGAATGCCCAGTCTTGTAGTATATAGTCGGGATATAGCGTGGTCGTGAGACAATTTATGTGAGATCTGTGCACTGAATAAACCAATACTTCCTTCTCTCCAGTACTACTAGCTGATTGTTGATCAATATTTCTAAGATCAATAGGCCACCAGTGCTCTCACTTGACTAGAGAAAATAATAATCAAGAAGATGCCAGAAATAGGTGGAAAAATGTGGGGACGAATGTGTAAAACAACGTGCAAAAAGACGTGTAGAAAGACGTGCAGGAGAGTAGAGAATCACGTACAAAAGGGCGGTTGCAGGTGGATATCTTGGACATAGTATATGCTATATGTTCAGCTTGAATGCTTCAAAGGTTGAGGGGTGAGATCTCTAGTAGTAACTGGGTTGACTGTATATAGTATTTAGCCCTAACAAAGAGGCATGAAGCGGCATGCATGAACCCCGCCTTAAAGCCAACGTCAATCTTGCACCAAACAACCTTGGAAAAGATAAAACAGCTTGCCCATATATCACCAATTTTTTTTCAGTCACCACAATGTCTGTTCATTTCTCTTCAGGTTGACGTATAACATCACTAGAGCAAGATGTATCGTAGAGTATGAGCTCCCCGCACCCTATACTATAGTAGTTGTGGCGGCCCAAGTTGACCTCATCGACCGTGTACTGAAGAGTCTGACCACACCGTCTAAGACTCGCAAGCTATAGATTGCACTCATTGTCGGGCTCACACACGCCAAGTCACCACTGGCATGTATCAACTCATCACATCATTACGCGTGATACAATCGAACAGCGAAAAGCCTCAACCCATAAGCTTCATTTCCTACAGTTCGCCACAAGAGCTTACTCTCTCGCACTCCATTACTCCTCCCAGTGCTCCACTGACTCATTCGGGCTATAAAGGCCTATATTATCTCCCCCCTTTCTTAAAAAATACCATTTTTGCCTTAAGTGACCGTAACTGTACAAATGGTATCTAGCCCTGGAGCCCTGGAGAACTACTTGGAACATACAGCACCGTGGCTTGCGCCTCGCAGAAGAAACTGGTTCACTTTCATCCAACGAGTTTCCGCTGTATGGTTGTTCGTTATAGGGCTCAATGTTTCTGCTGAATGATTGTGCCCACGGCCCGCCCCGTCCCATAGTTGCAGCCCCACGGGGACGCACATCACCAACAGAAAGCCAGCAGCCAAGATAGAGAGAAGCTTAAGAAATGAACGAAATCACCTCCAGCTGCACGGAATATCGTCGGTCCACGGGTACTTACTTGGGGCCATATTAAGGTATCTTTCTTTCATACTCGTCAAACTTTATGTATCAAGGGACGATACTGCGGCCTCGGTATGCCCAAATAGGTACCTACTAGTAGGTATATCCATGAAACGAAACTGACCAATTGACATAAAGGGTCAGGAAATTGGGTTAGGAACAGATCAATCGTCACATGTCCACGGGTGTCAACCTTGAAATGCTGGCGAAGACTTATAAACGGACATCTCCCAGACTTTTTCTTTCTTTCCTGTTCTTCCCAAGTCACTACCATGTCTTCTTCTGACCCTGTCTCTGGGTCTTCATGCCGCGCGGGGCTTTGCTTCAATCTTCAGCAATCCCTCCGGCGTACGAGTTACTCCGATTGCCCAGTGTGCCGATGAAAGCATTTACTAACTTAATAGGGTTCATCTTTCTAGCCCATCACTATCAGCATGGGATCATCCCCCATTGGCGCCTCCGAGCCCTACATTTCCCGCAACGCCGCCCTCTACGGGAGCGGTTTGGGCCTCCAGGTTTCACCCAGCCCCGGGGCCCTCTCCTGAACCAGAGGAGCCCCCCTTTGCCTTTCCATATGTCTTTCCACTTGGTTTTCTATAGATGAATACAAGGCTCCGATGTGTTCATCTTTCCCCTCCTATCCTTCAAATTTCTTGTACCTATTTCTTATCTGATCTGATATTAGGTGTACAGAGCTAATAATGTTTAGCCTGGGCAAAATAACCCGCAAACTGGTGTTTATTTTCTTCTTCCTTGTATATACTGCTCATCGCTGCGTCACTTCCATAAAATTCTCCCTAAAGATTTTACCCAGTTTTACTTAGTCTTCTATTTCATAGTATGCAAATGAAGTCGGTTTAACACTTTATCTATTTGTTATCCTATTCTGTCCCAATTCTCAAGCTGTCTCTCTCACATTTTGGCACCCAGACATCGGTAATGCACAATGAGTGGCGTCCCTCGATTGTTCAACCAGTATGCCTATTTTATGAAGTGATATTTCCCACGAGAAGATGCAACAGGATCTGAAAATCCTTTAGATATTTTGAATGATGTTGAGTCGGAAGAATATCGCAAAAGGGCCCCGTCCGTCGAGCATCTTTTAGTGCCATCGATCGACGTGGAGGGTGCAAACTTCTCCAACCCTTGGCTATCATCTTGCTATTATCGAGCAGGCAAGTTATTTCTGATCTCATCAAAACTCGAAATTAGAACTAAATTATCCAGTCTTAAAATCTTCTACTACCTCGGAGTACAAACTCACAGGGATTGGTGCAAGAATGTCTAAACTTGATAAGCCTTTTCACGCCCCAAAGGATAAACATACCGCAATATTATGCGCTAGAAAAAAGACACCAGAGTTCAATAACGCACAGTTCGCGCATTTCTCTTGGGCAGAAGGGGAGCTACCAGAGCACTGCCAAGGCAAATATACTGGATTAATTTTTCACCCTCACTGTTGGGAGGTCCTTGGTCACCTTCTTGGGAAAGAATGTATTGAGACGATGCTTGGTAAAGTTATTTGAGCAGCGAGGGAATATCTACGCAGCTAAAGGCTAGAGTATAGTATATCATGGACCATTGGCGACGATTCCACCTTTTGGCAGATTAATGATCTCGGGTTGGTCATGCGCACAATGGATCTCTCGTATTATACAGAGATGTGTGATATTTTCCGCAGGCCTTGGGTTGTACCAGAAGTCCAAAGTGCAATCAAACTAGCTCGAGAAGGGAGAGTAAAAGCTAAGATAAACTCCTGTCTCAGCAGACTTCCACTAGAAATTGTTCTTCTAGTCGTTGAGATTCTTTGCCCTTTAGTATACACCCATATTGATATTCAGGATACGCGAAATATGTTATACGTATTGGCATTGGACCTGCCACGGTCTTTTTGGGAACATCGATTACAATCGGACCGTGCGTTACTATTCGAGCTAGATCTGTTAACGTAGACCAAGACCGATTCCAATTCCTTGGACTGGCAAATCTTAGTGCTGAAATTGATGGAGCTTCTTGTGGATAGGGATTGGTTTCTATACAGCGGCTTAAACAGTCGTGTACGATTACTCCGACCACTGGAGGGGATGATAGCGAAGGTTGGTGAGCTTTGAGGTCTTCTCGCTCTGGGGGCGCTCGCACAAAAGCGGCGACAGATCAGACAGGAAAGCCCCACCCGGCGGACAAATCCCTGTGTATAGCTACCATCGCAACATTGGCGTCTTTGTGTACTTTCCCAATTACCAGAAAACATTTTGCTTGAAGGAAAGTTCCACCGTACATATGTAGCAACCGTGTAGCCTCCAAGTAAAGTGGTTCATCATGTAGTTCCTCGCCTCCACGGCTACTTACCACTACTACAGCACCTCCTATCTATATCTCGTCTGGTCAACACCAATTCCAATGTATATTATTCCGTTTCATTGAGCTTCAACATGGAAGCTATTATCTTTTTTACTTCGGTCACATTCATGGTTGCTATTGGAAGCGCAGTCGTGCAAGGGTGAGTGCAAATCTCCCCACTTGACCTCTCTGAACCATATCCTGACGGACGCCAGAGTACTTTTCTGGAAGCGCCATCGAATTCAGCTTCACATCACCAACAAGACGCCTTCAATTAATAGCCGAGATTTAGAAAATCAGGATTCCGGTATACACCACCATCATCTTGTTACCGAACCATCACCCTCGTTACAGATGCGACAGGAGAACAGAGGTGCTCGCCGGTGGCCAGGGGCAGCGTATACCTTTGATCAGACGAATCCTCGTTGGTCGGGAGTAGGCCAATCCATGGGGACTGATCGACGACACATGTCCAATCCTTACATTCCTGGTCCTGTGATGCCCATGCCTATGCCCATCTTGGAGGATATACTCGAGCGGAGCCCGACCCCAGCAACAATCAACCATCTGACACCCGCCGCCAAATCACGTGATGAACAGGGCTACATGGAGCCCAAACCCTAATGCTGATCCACACAACGCCATCTCGACTGTCATTCCTCTCCATTGCAACTCCAATCAGCATCAATCGTCAATATGCCTCGCGAAGTCTCTGATATCAAGCAGTTCATCGAGATCTGCCGCCGGAAGGACGCTTCCTGTACGTTTCGCCTGTTTGGGCTCCGCCGAGGAGGAGAGGAAGCTTGTCAAAAGATGAATTGAAGAAATATCCGAGAACCGAAGACTAACCATGTATATCGAATTTACAGCCGCCCGGATCAAGCGTAACCGCAAGGACCAGCAGACCAAGTTCAAGGTCCGCTGTGAGCGCTTCCTCTACACCCTTGTCCTCAAGGACTCCGACAAGGCCGACAAGCTCAAGCAGAGCCTTCCCCCTGGTGCGTCGAACCCCACAATTACACCCGCCCTTTCTCGCCTACACTCGTTTCGAGATGCAATTGGAATTCCATGTCTCGTTGATGTCGGATGGATTATGGCATACCCTTCATTTCAGGAAACCGACTTGTGAATTCGTACTAACATTTTCTTTCTCGCCACAGCTCTGAAGGTTGTCGACGTCTCCAAGGGTGACAAGAAGAAGTCCCTGTAAATTCAGTGACTATGGAATAAAAGGAGGCTTGGAGTGCGGTGCGATTGGTTGTCGATGCATGCAAGAGCAACTGTTGGAGGGACATACGGCAAAGGCTTGAATCTCTCTGCGGGCCGACACGGGGATGGTAGAAAGGAAAACAAGATGTCATCCTTGCGTCTATAGACTGCTGTGATAATCCACTGGTCAGACGAACTCGCTTTTTCCGGACACTCGAGGAACGCTTTTGTCGGAGCTTCCAGTCGCTACACACCAATGAAAAAAACAGTTGAAATATCCTTACTGGTCTTCTTATACGAATACTGCTGGGGATTACCCCTTGTCCATCGCTATGGCATCGATGCCTATGATTTCTATGACTCGATGCACTCTTTCATTATGGCCCACGCCCCTTAGAACACTTTTGCCGCCAAACCAAGGTTGCACTGTATCTAGGGCTCTACGTAACCAACAAGGCAACCTAGGCTTCATTCAATTCTTTCACCCTATAATGTAGTTATCGTAGCTTCTATTCTAATTGATCTCGACAAAGGCCCTAAAAGGCAGCCAACAATGTAACAATGAAAGCCCGAGACGCTTTCTCGAGTTTCAGCCACATTTCTTTCAAGGCATTGTTTCACGAATAGACTGAGCCGGCTTTTTGTGAGTCGCTTTTATGAGAAGCGCCTGAAAAAGGGATTCATTTGACAAGGCCCTTTGTCGGCTATTTTGCAGGGATCAATGAACCCAATTCATACATAAATAAAGCCTTTCCTCGGTATTTGGGCCACTCATCTTTCCTTACAAAAAAACAAAACAAAATCTGCTACTGTACGACTACTAACTCAAATTTATCATTCAAAAGCAAGCTTCCCGTCTCAATATGGACGGATTTTTCGGGCGTAGATTGAGGTATGACCGGGTTGATCTCAACGCGACCGAGTCTGAGCTATACGACATGAACCTCGTACAAGAACTTATAGTAGATCCAGACGCAGATCCAACTTCAATGCACAAAATTGGCCCCTTTGAAGACTCAGACCTTGAAAACGAAATTGACTCCCCTTTCTCTAGCCAGTCTACATCCTCTGTATTTTCAGACTACGATCTCGGCGACGCACCCATGGATAGCATGTTATCAGCTTGGCTGGATCAAGTCTCTACACAGGCCTGGGTCACACACAACGCACTATGCGATCTACGGGTAACATCGCAAGCAGGCGATGATTTTGGCCAATCTATACAGGCGTACTTTGCTCATAGCGGATACGTTCAGCAGGAACTCAAGCACGCCTTCCTAGGCACTTATCGTGACGCACAGCGCAATGGCCGACAAATTCCTTACGATGGTCATTTCCCTATTTCAGGATGGTGGGATGAAGATCCAGATGTTATCACAGGTGCAGTTATGGATGACTGTCCGGAATGTCTTGATTTAATGTGTCATCTATTTCCAGAGCTGAATTGTTATGGATGTAACATGTATGGGTGGACTTATCTCTCTATCGCTATTGAATGTCGATCAGTGCGTATGCTTGAGTATCTTTTTAGGAAAAACGAGCCTGCGGGGGCAACTACTCTTATGATGTTTCTAGGTGCAAATGCAACACAGATGACTTATCCTGCCACCCCTTGGTCGATTATAGCACGGAAGCAAGATCCCAGATATCTGAAGTATATACTGGATCTGTGGGAGCCTCGTCTTGACTTAAGTATTTTGGACACTCACACTATTGACACGTTTCTCACAGAGACGGAAAAGTTCGATCTTTGCGTATTTGCCACTTACGATCTAGCTGTTCGACTTGCTCGATTTGGGGTTCATCTTAACAACGTGATTATAACGGATATAGATCCTGCTGACCGAAATCACACTTTGGGAGCGACATCATGGCATGCCGGAGGTCTCAATGGATCTGGTTTCCTCAGATACCTGGAGGAGTATTCCAGGCTGTCTAGAATAGCGCCTGATTCTGGAGGCCGAACTCCCCTTGATTGGGCTTACTATATTAACAATGGTGATAGTATAACTTGGTTGGAGAGTCGTGGTGACGTGGCTGAACTTCCACATAATCGCAGGACAACTAGGCCTAGAGCCCCAAGATACATTACACAGCTTTTCCTAGACTTAGATTGGTCCTAGGGGCGCGGTGGTATGGCTGAACTCCCTGCTAATCGGAGAACAGCTACATCTAGAGCCCCAAGAAATATTACAGAGGCTTTCCAAGACTTGAGCTTTTCTTCTGGCAATGAAGATGAAGCGCAAGATGGTTATTTTTTATCATAGTGGGGGGTTTCTTTTTGGCCATCCCGTACGGTTTTCTACTGAGCGACTTTTTTAAAAGCATGGTTCTGGGGTTTCAACACTGAGATTGTTTATAAAAATTTACATAGAGCACATGAATCGATCTGCGCACTCATGATCTATCTATTATTCTTCATTGAAAGTACTAAGCGTATTGAACTAGCCGCTTCGAAAAGTATATCAACTTCTACATTGTTTTAATTCCACGGTTTAATTTAGAATCGCGATGTCTATTCATATCTCATTAGTACAACAATTGTCTAATTTTCAAAATCGACATTTATACTCTAGATACCTTCATACCCAGCCTCTACTCCTTCCGCTCATAAGCTAATTCAACATACCGCTCAACCCCAGCAGCAGCAAGACTATCCGAAACGCCCTGCACGCCCAAATCCGCCCTCCTCAACTCAAATTCTCCAAAGAAATTAGGCTCAACGGATACCTTCACAAAGCCCAAAGACTCAAACAAGGCCAAACTCCTCGAATTATCCTTTCCAATCTTCACACTCAAACAATGGAACTTCAACTCCTGACCCTGTACAAGCTTCTCCTTCTCTCCAGCTTCAAGGCTCCCCACAAACTCATCCAAGATCCTCGCCTCTTGCTCAACAACATACCGCAAAAAGACTAACAAAGAAGCCTTTCCGAAGCCGTGTCCTTGGTTCGCTTTCTCGGCAATCATAAGCTCAATTTCTCCGATCAATTGCGGAGGTGCGTCACCTTCGTCCCCGTCATCCACACGGAGGAAGAGATTAATGTCGCCGACCATATTTTGTGCTGCTTCATCTTCTGGTACGAGGTGGATGTCTGTTGCGTTGATTCTTGATTGTGATACAGGACGGCAGCTGATGAAGGTTAATTTATCTGCGTCTTGGCGCCAGCTGCGTTGCATGGTGTATTCTTCTTCAATGGTTAATGGTTCTGAGGCGGTTGCTTCTTGAATTTCCTAAAACTAGATTGGCCATGTGATTTTTTTGTGTATTTTTTAGGTTGTGTTTATTACCTCGTCCTGCATCCATTCATGATAGCGGGGAACGTGCCATGTTGAGTATGGGACCAGAAGGACCTTAGAGGTCGAGATTGCTAGGTTTCATTTGTAAGTGTTTGGCAATGTGGATGACGGATGGCACATCTTGGTGTATTTATTGTCTTGAAAACGCTTGGGGCATATAGATTGGGATATGGGAGAGAAAGTGCGTACCGGTCTCGGCGTTGAGCAACATTTGCGGAAGTGTATGGGCTGCCTCCTGACTCTTATAAACTTGGTACAGTCTTCTGGGAACAGGCAGCTGAACATACAGATATGTGCTTTGTGGCTGCGATTTATAGAAAGTTGCGAAGTCGAGGTTCCGAACTGAATCTTCCTCCTGGTGTGGGGCAAGTCTGACATTTCGGGTGTCGGCTTCCCGCGTCGGTGCGATATAGATCTATGTGGACTTATAAATTAATTGTTTGACAGCGATTCCGGAGGATCCCATGATGAAACATGTAAAGTCATGTCATTAGCTACTTTGGGGTATGCTATCTATGAAATCATTTTTTCATCCTCGTCTTCCTCCTGGCTCGCGAAAACGCCGAATCGAACCACCTCGACTTCTAGAGTCTCAGAATCAACCAGAATCAACTCCCCGGTTTCTTTGAATCGAGGGATAGCCAAAAGACGTACACGAGGTACAGAAGCCTCGGCAGAATTATCTGGTATCTCGGTGTCGCCTGCATCTAGACGGAGGGGAATATCACCCTCAATGACGGCGGTCTTAAATGAAGGTTGACATCCTGTAAAGAAGAGATGCGGGCTTTGCTCAAAAATGTATGGTTCAATCGTTGTGAATGGATACGACCCTATTGCGTTGTTAGCATATCGGACCAAATAAATAATAGAATGCCGTATCAAGCATACAAATTGTATCTGGGGCAGTGGGAACACCGATCCGCCATCGGAGCATTGCTTCCATTACTTCCATACGAGCCTGTGAGTCTTCTGATTCTTGACTCATGTCTCTATCTTCATCGGAAAAGTCGAGGTAGCGCAGCGCATCCTCGACATTTTGACCACTTGTACCCCATAAACGCCAGCCTTCCACTTCGCCTTGCCACGGATTGGTGACACTGTCAAACCAACCGACTGTGCTCTTGTCAGGGTGATCGGGCCCATGTGGCGGAGGCGGGCAGTATGCTCTTGACTGCGGGAACAATGCACGATGAAGACCCTGCTGAGGAAGCGCGACATTTGCTGGATCTGTCTCACCAGGCATCAGAGTAACAGGGATACTTGGCAAGATCTCCGCAAGGAAATTATCAAGTCGTGTGATCGGTTTCGCATTATAATCAGCGGCAGAGTAGCGGTACGTCCTGGGTTTCTTTGGATCTATCACTTTCTTTGCGATTGAGTCACCCGCTATAATGAGTCTTGAGATCTTTGAAGCGTTCGACGAAGGGCTGTTCTCCTCATTTCCTGAGAATCCCGTGTATCCAAGAAGATAGTCTGTTAGTAGATCCAATGCAAGACCGTCGCTCGCAGCACCCGTCAGACCTAGCCCACTAATAAAGGCAATCTTGCTCGATTCCTTTGCAGCCGGTTCTTTTCCACTCTTTTTTGATTCTTCGCCGGACTTCTCCCATCTCTCGGGTTGGGGAGCCAGGTCTGGGACCTTAATGTCGATGACCTCAAATACACCGTCGGCATTCTCTGTTCCCAACGCCGTCACAGTAATACCAGTTGTGAGATGAACGGTTGAAAGATAATGTCCACCTAAGCGAACGCGACCGGATGCGTCCTCCAACACAGTCTGCGTCAAGCCTGGATTGGCCGGGTCGATGTAGGTAGGGCGGGCAGCGGGTAAAGGATTAAATCTCTAGCACCAGCGTCAGAAATATACAACAATATCAACTTGTCTATCCGAAACACACCTCTGCGGTAAGGTCGACAAGAATGTTTGGCTTCAATGGCATATCCATGTACACCGTACCAGTTACCCAGCACAATTGACCCTGTCGCACGTCGAGTACTCGGTTAACGTGAAATGCACGTTCGCCGGCGATCTAATAATAAACGTCGACTTGTCAGCTTGATCTAGCATTGGGTAACCATAAATTCCAGCAGGCAAGCAAATTTCCGTACAGTGAATCCCTCCCATGCTTCTGAGGCCAGTTTTTCTGTCGCAGGCTTTAACCCTGCAAGTCGCATGTGGTAAATATCGCCATATTGCTGCTTGTACTGCCTTTCCCAGCCAGGTGGGAGATTAAATGTATCGAGGGGCTTGTAGTTCGAGGGGCTGCGAAAGGTCTCTTCACATTTCTCGTCGCTATCCAAACAGAGCACATGCAATGGTCAGCGGACAGCGGAGGCCTGATTGTCAAGAATCAAAGATTCTTCAAGAAGAAAGACATACCTAGGAGGACGGAGAAATCCAAAATCTTCATTAGGCGCCATTTTGCTGGTCGAGATTCTTGATTTCGTTGCGTGGAAGAGTTAAGTGATGCGGAAACACTGACGCGCGAACTCCACGCGACCGCGTCCAATTACATTGCCGCTTTGGGTATCGCTCCTTGCACTGCTAGTGGCAGCGAGTTGGTTATTTCCCTTCAACTGGATAAATTTCACAAAATGCTTTTTGGAGATAGCTTCCACTATAAAATTTCTCATAATTCTCAATTTAGTCCAAGTTGTGATTGCCTAGCTCTGTTAAGCTAAGTTCATCACTCATGTAGCATATCGTTTCACGTTGGAGCAACAGTGTCTCATGTCAACCACCAGAGTCGGCTATATGACATCGGTAAAAACCAAACCTAAACCGCGGCGAGCTTAAGCAACTAAATAAAGCAATTGATTTTTAAACAGATGACCGGCAATCTTGAAAAGTACGAGTTCCCCAGGTGCCAATGTATAAAATCTGCATAAGCTGATCCTGGAGCATATGCCTCGGTCCGGCTACGCACAGCTTCCCCGCATTCAAATGTTCAGCAAAACCAACATCATTACACACTCCACAAGGACCATATATACTTCTCAATACCCAATCTGAAACATATTAACTCAATGAGACTTTGAAAATCTCGAATCACTATTGGGAAATTGAACGAAGTGAAATTACCATATTCCGAAACGAAGAATCCGTCATTACCAACCAAAACCAAATCTCCAACTCCAACTCCGCCACCAGCCACCTACAAAAAATGTCTCTCCAAACTCCGCTATGCTCTCTACTTAAAATCCAGCACCCGGTCCTTCTAGCTGGAATGGCTCGCGCCTCTGGAGCTCCCCTCGCAGCTGCAGTTTCAAACGCAGGGGGTCTCGGCACCGTAGGCGGACTAGGCTACACACCCGACCAACTATCAGAGATGCTAACAGAGCTAAAATCTCTGCTGCGCGATCCTTCACTACCATTTGGTGTGGATCTAGCTCTACCACAAGTAGGCGGAAGCGCACGCGCCACAAATCACGACTACACACACGGCCAACTAGACGAGCTAGTTGAGGTAGCTATCTCTCATGGTGCAAAGCTGTTCGTCTCGGCCGTTGGCGTCCCGCCCGAGAAAACTATTAAACGATTACATGAAGCCGGACTCCTCATTATGAATATGGTTGGAGCTCCTAAGCACGCGGAGAAGGCGTTCCAGCTTGGAGTGGATATTGTTTGTGCGCAGGGAGGCGAGGGTGGTGGACATACGGGAGATATTCCGTTCTCGGTGCTGATTCCTGCTGTTGTGGATGTTGCGCGGAAGTATAAGAGCCCTTTGACAGGGCAGCCGGCGCAGGTTGTCGCGGCGGGAGGTATCAATGATGGACGAAGTCTTGCGGCGTCGTTGATGCTGGGTGCATCTGGTGTGTGGGTTGGGACTCGATTTGTGGCTTCTGAGGAGAGTGGTGCGAGTCGATTACACAAGGAGGCTGTTGTTGGGGCGCAGTATGGGGAGACGAAGCGAACATTGGTTGTTTCGGGGCGGCCGTTGCGCATGTTGCCTAATGATTATGTTAAGGAGTGGGAGAGTCGCCCGGCTGATATTGCTGAATTGACGGGGAAGGGAATTGTACCGATGATGCATGATCTTGAGAATGAGAAGGATATTGATATGCCTTTCTTGATGGGTGATGTTTCAGCAAGTGTCAAGGCGATCAAACCAGCTGGTGTGATTGTGAAGGAGATGGTTGAAGAAGCTGTGGAGGTTTTGAAGACAGGAAATTCGTACATCACTAGTGGGCATGCGAGCAAACTTTAGATCTATATAAGCTTACGGTGATGTGGACATAGTAGCATAATCTTTGATTGTTTAATATGACATGTACTTGTACAGAAACATTTGGATTTCTGAAATCGTGATTGAAACACTGCAAATCACAAAGTTAACCTGAATTTCCTAGAACATCACATCATGAATTAGACATCTACCACGTTATCTCGGTAACAGGTAAACCTCTAGGAGCATCCAGAAATGCTGTTGTCACATTGCAAAATTGAGTCACCATCGAGTCTATTTCGTATCTTAGTGCATCAGAAAAAGGTGGCTGATTAAGGAACACCCTTGAATAGCAATTAAAAGTGCAAAAAAGTGCAATGATGTTCATGCCACAGTACTTCCAAATCAGGAATGACGAGGGACCCTGGTAATATGAACAGCTTGCAACGAAAGAAAAAAAGGGGTTGAAGAAATAGTTGATCAATGACACCCATTCAGTACAGGATTCTTCGAAGCGCGGGCTTCAAGAATACTGGGTGGCGGAGGTGGGCCAAAAACAGGGCGCTCAGAAGGTGCGTTAGCGTGAGGGAGAGTACGATCATGCTCATCAAGCTCCCCTTCCTCGCTGAGATCCTCCTCATCTTCATAGTCGTCGTCGTATTCACTCTCCGTGCCTTCGTCATCGTTTTCTAAGTGGTCATCGCTCTCGGCTAATCCTTCTCCACGGCCTTGAGCCTGCATACGGCGGCATAAAGTCTCAAGATGTTGACACTTTCGTCGCCATCGTTCCAGATCTTCTTGGTTTCGAGTGCGCTCTTCTGCCATTTCCAGGATATTGCGATTCGTCTGTTCGTGCTTTCGGTTGAGAGTGTGGTTTTCCTTCTCCAATCGCTTCGTTTTTTTAGACATCTCTTCCATTTCTTTGCGAAAAGTGAGAAAGAGTTCATTGCTATTGTTCAAAGTATCTTCGACCTATTATATGCGTAAGTCATAGTCTTCCGATAAGTTCAAAAATATGCGGACACTTCCGTACCTGCTTAAACTTCTCGACATAAATGTTGAGCTGGCTGCGCAGTTCCGCTTCCGTGTGAGAGAAAGTAGAGACTTGCGCACTCAAGGCTCGTCCACGGGCAGTCTCATTCTCTGCAGTTCGGCGTTGGTCCTCATACTTGGCGGTCAGACTTTGGATTTCCGCATCCTTGCTACGCATAAGACCCTTGTAGTGCAGCTCGCGCGTATCGAATTGTTCACTGATGGTCTTCAGCTTTACACGAAGCCTAAATGTTGGAGGTAAGTATGGTTTCCGACGATATAAATGTGTGTGTTCGGCGAGGGGCTGGCGTACGCTTCATCGAGATCCACATCCACCTTCTCACTACGAGGGTTCCCCTTTGCAGCCATAACATCCTGGATATCGTAGAGGAGGGAGTCGAGTCGTTCATTTACAATCAGCCGTGCCTTCTTCTCGGTGTCTTCGAGTTTTTTGTTTTCATCCTAACGCCGTTTAGTGACCAAGTCGCAACAATGGCAGTGCCATTTGAGATTCTGTGTCCCCTACCTTCACTTTCTTATTCTCTTTAGTCAACTCTCGGCACAACTTCTCCAGCTTGTCTTTCATAGTCACGGTCTTGTTCAATTCGGATTTTCCCTTCTCTTGATCCTTTTGGAGTTGATCAGAGCGTTTCTTGCTCTTGGAATAGTCCCGGTCTAACTTCTTCATATCGGCCAATAGCTCGGTGTACTTCTTGGAAACAGCCTCGAGGCGGGTCATTGGGGACTCGATCGTATTCAACAGTTGGTTCAGATCACGAGTTGCCTTTTTGACTTCCCGTTCTATAAATCCCCAGTCAGCTTTCTAACTTCAACGGCCAAGTAAAACACGTGTGCAAGTTCTGAGTAAGTGGTATCGATATCTCAAGCGACATAATATATCGCAAGAGGCCGAATCCGGTCATTACCACGCCATCACACGGTGAAGTTTCACGCACCAATCTCCGCTTCCTGTTCCTTCTCGCCTACGGCATCTTGCTCCAACTGTGAGATCTTGGCGGCCAGTAATTTGGATGTCTCGTTGGGATCGGCGACTTTCTTCCCCTTGTTCTTCTTCGCCATGGTGGTTGACGACATTTTGCGCAGGGTATTTGAAGCACTGCGTATTCACTGAGGTCTTGGTCTGGGTTCTTAAGCCTCGCGTGGCTGGTACAGATCGAAAAATTGTGCGGGTTCGGGGTGGGTGTACTCGGAGTGGGAGTTGCGGGTTCAATCGTGGGTGAGGTTGGTGAGAAGTGAGGGGATCCCAGAGGTAATGTCGACTCTGTCAAGAGCAGCACCTCTGGGGTAAGTTGCGAGTAAAGAGCCGTATGTTTCGTTAGGGCGGAGGTCAATGGTTCCTTCTTCGGAAGAGAACTCGACGAGGGGGATTTGCCTTAGTCATCGACCCAGCCGCACGACCAGCCACACGACTCAGCGTTGTTCCTGCACATTTACTATAGTGATCTTTATTGGAGCAAACATTAACATCTGTGCTGAAAGTATTTCGATTCAGTCCACAAGTTCCTCGTTTGCATTATGGAGGGCCCATCTACTCCGGCTGACTTAAGCCCCGATCTGATCCGGTTGTGAGGTCATACTCGAAGGTATCGCACTCTTGTACGAATAGTTAAAACATTTGCTTAATTTGTTTAATTCTAAATTATATTACTTTCAATACATATTCATTCCGTAATTCGTATAATGTTAGTTGAGTTTGTTCGAATTTAGTGTTGTAGGGGACTCTCTGCCCTGAATAAATTATAGATGTAGTAAATAGTAGTCCGGGCGTCCGGGCGTACTGCGACTATAGGAACTGCCACTCAGGCTCTTGTATGGGTGTAGGTTTCACTCGGTTCAAATCACTATTCAAAAACGAGCTCGACAAACCATTAGTAACAAGCCTCTTTCCTCGATATAGCCTTGAAGTTATCACAAAATATACAGCATTCATAATAGCCCTTCTTGGCCTGAGTAAAACAGTCTAACTGCACATGTGGAGACTACCTGAATCCTTGAATACTCATTTTGAGGTAACAAGGGATCTTCCCTGTGTGATTATATTATAGAGGTTAACGAGAGTTATAGCTATATTCATAGATTAAACTTGAGGAGTTGAATCAGGTTGATCTCCATACCAGCACTACACATATAGACTAACACGAAATCACCACTGTCCACGAAAATTTTTACTTGAATATTCGAACCGCCAATATCTATTTCTTGCTTCTTATGAGTCCATACTTTGCCTTTGTACATCATATCTTGGGACGCTAGTCTCACAATATCGATCAACGTTCAAGATCACTATGGAGCCCGATTCATAGTTCATGGTCTCAGATGGTTACTACATACTTCCGTATACTCAGAGCCATGGGTGGGAAACAAGGATCTATGTGATAATTTAAGCACTTGCCATTAGAAGCTTAAAATCACCCCATAAATGATATATAAAAAAAATCCAAAATAGTCTTATTTTTGAGATTCCAGACAGACTGCAGTGGAACCTAACCCCGGATAATAAGCGGGCCCGCTTAGCCCCGGCTCACGTGGCCTCATAGATAAGAGGTGCCATCAGTAGGCACGGACTTTGCTTTCGTTCCCCCCAGATGTGACCATTGCCAAGCAGCATCATGAATAAACAAAGGTCCACGGTATTGGGACCTAAACCGACAAAAGCCTGTGGTAGGTCATAAATTTCTCAAATAACAAAGATAAAAAACACAGAACTGACTATGTAGCCAGTGAATTGTCGGCGACTGAAGGTATACACGATTTATTTCCATACAACAACGAAGAAAACGCATTGAACTTTCCTTCTTAGATGAGATGTGAAGTTTCAGGAAATCCACCCTGTCGTCGATGTCGACATACCCAGACGTCATGCGTGTTTAAGCCTCGGGCCAATGTATGTCCAAGAAATGGCCTGTGTGTGTATTCCACGAAGCTCATACTTACTTTTCTGCAAAGGCATCTGCTATTCATGATCTACTCGACGAGCAGAGAAATGATCAAGAGAATATGCATCCTGTATTGCGGGATCAACAGTCTATATTGGATCGACTAGACCGGATTGAAGCAGCATTGGGAATCGACCAAGACATCCTCGACAGGTCTAGTTCTCAATATTTATCAAGAGAAGAGAGCAACAATTCAGTACCACTACAAGGAGCCTGGGATTCTCTTGCCCATTTAAGATCTATAACACGCCCCGCTCAAGATGAAAGTACATGGTCTCGATCGACTGTCAAATGCCTTTGGACTTCGTGAGTCTGTAGGCTCTCTTGCCTGACGTACTGAACTAAGATCAAACAGATTTCTTAATAATTTACCTCTTCTTCACTTTTTGAAAGATCGCGATGTATTTGACTCACCAACCCCTTTGCTTCTGGCTTCTGTTCTTTATATCTCTGCTCTTCACCACCAATCCTCTGAGATGGGCTCATTGGCGTCGGGTTATTTTTCAGCAACTTGTTGCGCAGTAGCTGAATTAGCATCTCCGTACGCGAGCCCATCTCTCACCATAATTAACGACGGTGTAGCCAACGAGAAACAAGCTATGCCTCAAAATAAAGGGAAAGTGGCATTCCATAATATCCTCGGCTTGATAATGGCAAGTCTAAGCTCTGAGGCCTACGTCGACACTACTGGCTCATGGATTGCAATGGGATACCGACTGTGGCTTGATAATTATTTCCACGAACCCGGCGATTCAACAATAGACTGGCGTGGACTATTTTCTGGCCTTCAGGTAAGCGACGTGCCTGAGAAAACTGTTACAAAATACTAATAACTCTTAAGGTGATAGACATTGAACATGCATCAATACATATGTCCTATCCTCTCATGCCACGGCAACCGCCAACACTTGGCATTCAACGTTTAGACAGCCACCAAGGACATGCCTTTCAAGGACTCGCGGAGATGATGCACCTAGGACTCAGTCACTTTGTTGGTAGAGGACTACCTACAATATGGTGCTCGATAAATGCCGATATCTCCGACGGCATTACATCTGTTCGAAGCTCGTTTACCGAGCAGGACTCCGAGGTAATCAGGCTTTGGGCCAGAAGACTCGATGACTGGCTTGTTCGATATAATGGAGCATCCCGTAAGTCCAAATTTCATGCGAAATAGCCCAATGCGAAGCTTAGCTTATGGTGTTTTCCTTCCAAGAGCCATCTGCATCCGACAGACAAGGTATCTTGATTCTGCTACAGTACCATTTACATAAACTCTACGTGCTTTCAATATATCATCCCGCTCGAGGGTTCGATCTCAGCTCGGCAAATATCACCCCAGTCGAGAGACATGAACTCCTCGTGTCAGCGCGGGCAGTGCTACGATTGCGCCAAGACGATGCCAGCATCTGGTCCAATTGGGACTTAATAGTGAGTATTATTACATCATCTGTTTGAGTAGCTTGCTAATGTGTGAATTTAGATGATTACTTGGGCTGCTATTTTACTTCTCCGTGGCGTAGAAGATGGCATGACACATCAAGATGGTATAGTACCCAAACATCCACTAACTTCCATTCTCCCCAATCTAACAATATACAGATTTACATCTTATTCAAGCCCACCTCCGCAGCCTCAAAAGAAGCTATGAGCCCACAGCGAGTATACATTCTGTATTATCCCAACGTCTTGAATCCAGCATGCAAGCAATGCATACACCACCAGACACAAGCTCTGCATTAGCCTTCCCAGGCCCCAGCGCGGATGATCCATGGACCATCTTCGATCATGACATAATGTCCCTAGCTAATCCTCCCTGGTTATTCGAAGACTCTACCCAGTTTCAACAGACCGATAAGTCCATCCCCGACGGCTCGGTAGGATTACCAGGTGTTCCTTATGACTCCGGTCTGCTTGAAAGTACAGCTCAAAGTTTTGGAACATACATGGAATAGCATTCATTAAGAAAAAGAAAAAGCATATAAAAAACTTAAACAATAAAGCGCAATTAAAGCTCCTTGTGTCCAGATGATCCCTTGAATCAACATCCAACCTTACTGAACTCTCCTAACAATAAACCTCAACTTATACGCCTCCTTCGAATCCTTATCCGGCCTCACCCATTCATCCATCCAAGCCTCAACCTCCCACCCCGTCCCCGTCTCAGCACTAACCCTCTCCCAAAGCCTCTTCCAAGTACTCGGATTATGTCTATAATGAGCAGGCTGATCTTCCCCCTCCGGATCAGGAGGCTCAGTACTTCCAGCCTGCCTCCCCACTAAAAGAGACCCAGGCACAGCACGAAGTAAACCGATAAGCCTCTTCGCAACAAGAACTTGCTGCTCGAATGTAAACAGATGAAAGAACGAGGCAGCATTGATAATATCGACTTTGTCAGAGAGCTCTTTCACAAGATCAGAGTTATCATCGAAGATATCACCGATTATGAACTTTGATTTGAGCGCTGAGTGATCTGCGAAAAGGTCGTAGCCTATTTTGAAGAAGTCATCGTGTAGATCGGAGCCGTAGATGTTTTCTGATGGGACGCCGTCGTAAACCTGGTTAAGTTAGGAAGATAACATGTGTTGATTGTTATTTTTGAGGTGGACTTACGAGGTGTCGTAGTTCTTGGCCGAGGGCACAGCCTACATCGAGGAGCTTTTGGCCTGATTTGAGACGGTCGAGGATCTCGGGGTATGCGGGGGATTGGGGGATGCTCATGTCTAGGAAGCGGAAAGACCCGATGCAGGGGTATGGAAACTAGATGTTATTAGCATAATGATAGTCGAGGTCGTAGTGGTTTCTAGCTTACCACCTCGAAAGCTCGATCCCGCTAATTATTGTATATCATTAGTAGCTGAAAGTTATGTGTGTTTGGGTTCTTTAATCGCGAATTGACTAACCACGTCCTTTACATGTTGTAGAACATTATCAGGCGGGATATTGCTGTAGTTTAGAAGAATTGTCTTTGCTGGCTCGGGGACTTCCTCAAATTCATTCAGATACCACGGTAGTTCTTGCGGGCGCTCGACCTTGGCAAGCCTGGATCGTAAATCAGAGTTGGGCTGAGCCATCGCGGAGACCGATTGACGGTATGCGGGGTTGTATGAAGTAGCAGATAAAGCAGATAGGCAGATAATCCCTTATGTTAAATGGATATTACAAGGCAATTGACCAGGGAAAGTTCTGCTCTTTTAAGTGATGATAATATTTTCCTAGTTGACGGGTTGTCTTCTGCTCGTGGGAGGGCATTGCGGAACCGGCGTTGGATATCAATCGGGGTTGTTGTCGGACCTCCGAACAGCCTCCGCAGTGGGGCTATTGACGACAACAATGGGAAGTCGGGGCATATACTTTTCTTTCAAAGCAAAAATTAATATCAAAATCTAGGGAAATCTGACGCTAGAAGTAGACTTGTGTCTAATTGAAACAGCAAAAAAACGCAGTAGTTCATTAAAACCGAATGGGTATCACTGTAGAGAAGCAAACCATATATCGTACAGGGTATATTCGTAACACATGATGAGATAGAAGCCTCCAAGCCCAAAATTTGAGAGCGGAATTCTAGCATAGAGCAGAGCCACTTCGACGAACTTGATGGGTCATTGAGTCGGCTACCGGGATCATCAGACAGCCGGACTGGAAGATGTATCATGGGATTCCGGTAACGGGAAAGGAGGAAATGGCTCAGTTTTCCGAGTTGATGCATCTCCCAAACTCGACGTACTAGTGGCAGATCTAACAGTTCCAGCCTTTGAAGCCTGATCATCCGATCCCAAACCCGATTCCCGGCGTGCAAAAGCAAAAGCGAATTCATCGTCTAAAGGAACAGCATCTTCCTCTTCTTCATCACTTTGAAATAGATCGCCACGAGGACTCAATAAGCTTGACGCACCACCCAATGACGCCGTCCCACTTCCACCTCCATTCGGATGTGGTTCTTTCCCATTATTATGAAAAGAAACTTGGCCCCCATCCGCAACGGCCCCCATTAGGGGCTCACTCTCACTCTCGCCCTCACCCTCATTCACATCCAGACGATGACTACCCGGATGCTCCTGTAATCCCGCGGCAGACGGATGGTATTTGACACCCTTCGCACCAAATCGCCAAGGAAACCTCTCCAAAAACCCAATCCGCGAAGAACTAGGGATAACAGTCGGATCGCTCGTATGATCTGGAATATATAATCGAGGCATATTTTGTTTTGTATTTCGAGTCCCGTAGCTCATTCTCCGCGGTCGCCGAGGTTGTTCCGTCGCAGTGCGACTTGTTCTATTCCCCGCAAGCAGACGATCCAATTCGCCCGCGTTCCATCCTAATAAGCTATCTTCTTCCTCGGCAGTGTGCCAATCATCGTAGAAGTCGAAGTTTGCTTCTGCCTCTGTGTAGCCTCGTTGGCGTCGGATCTGGCCATCGTGGCTGAGACATGGCGCGGTACATGAGCTAATGCAGCTGCTGAGTGAAGCTAGACAGGGGGAGATGTAATTTGTTGAGAAGGTGTATAGACCTTCTTGGGTTGATTGGTTGGCTGCTTGGATATCGTGGGAAATTTGATTAATCCTCTGACGGATGCGCGGATCACGCGTTCGTATCATCGTCAAAAGCGATCATGGCAGAAGGAAGGGGTGAGTGGAAAGTCCAGACCAACAACGGGTACGGGTACGGGTGCGGGTGCAGATGGTGAGATGCATTGATAGCGGGAAGATTGACCCGGCGCCATCTGGTTAACTTTGTTTGTCAGCAGCAAGCTAACACGTGATTTCTGTCCCGGTCAGAAAAAGATGAAGATGAAGATGAAGATAGGAAGGGGAAAATATCCGACAAGTTAGTCGAAGATGGTCTATTACATTCGTTTCTTAAAGCCTCCGAAATTTCACCAGGAAAAGGAAAAGAAAAACTCCAAGCAATCACGACCTCAACTGAAAAAAACCGTCTTCATCACCGCTCTCATCTGTATCACGACCGATCTAGGCGATGACTTCCTTGCCGAAGACGTGGATTTAGTGGCAACATGGGCACAACGATCATCCCGACAGTCCATGGACCAATGCGCTCTAAAATGGCAAGCAGGATGTCGACAAGTCTCCATCTCCATGGGGCCTTATTCAGTGGATCATGTAGCTCAACATGAAGCGGTATTACAGATTCGAACCCAAGCTATTCCACAGGTTATATTGGGGATAGACAGCACGCCACTCGTAATATCGGGGTGTAGCGCTCACTTCTCATGGCACGCGCAGTCGAAACCTGCAGAAAAATTGGTTAAACGTGAATTGAGAATCACAGATAGCACACCGGCTTTATCTTTGAACATATGGGAGGAGACGGGGAATAGTATTGCTCGACATATTTGGTAAGTTTCATGAATGGAGGGGAAGTTGGTCGTTACTGTCAGTGTGAAATTATAATGGAATTAATGTTTGGTATAAATTGGCACATATAGGGATGCAGCGCTGGCATCAATCATTTTTCTTAATGAGATTGTTGCTGGTACCAGCACTGGGAATATTGGTATTCCCATTCTGAGCCAGCTACTGAATCCACTATCACGCAGCTCACCCTTGCAAGTGGTGGAATTGGGAGCAGGTTGTGGCATTGTCGGCATCGGACTAGCCACAATGCTAGACCGGTGTAAAGTGCTCCTTACAGACCTCCCAGAAGTGGAGGAAATAGTAATGCGCAACCTAGATGAAGCTCATCTGAAGCCTTCCTCGACGGTGGATTACAAAAATTTGGACTGGGATGCACCGCCATCTGATCTATGCAGCCAGCCCATTGATTTAATATTGGTTTCCGACTGTACCTATAACGCAGACAGTCTTCCTAGCTTGGTGTCCGTTTTGGGCCGATTGGTCCGGACATCCCCGGAGGCATTGGTGTTGGTCGCATTGAAGCGACGGCATGAGAGTGAAGGTGTGTTTTTTGATTTGATGCGGAGTGCGGGATTTAAGGCGCAACACACGACCATTGAACTGCCTGAGCAACATGAACAGAGGGATAAGATAGAGTTTTATTGTTATCGTCGTGCTGACGAGAGTGAGTGATGAGTATTATGTATATATAAGGTTGAAATATGAAGTAGATATGCATAAGTACATATACTTCAATGTTGTATGTGCTGTTACGAATGGAATTAAGCTGACAGGTTGATATGGTTAATATGGCCCGTGCATCCACAAGTTCAGTCAAAACCCACAATTAATCTCCAATTTTATCTCCAATTAATCCCACATTGCTCCGTAATAATGGTGCGTCATTCTCCGGTTCTCGCCCTTTAGCGCGGGGCCAGTTCAATTTTCGTCGATCTTGAACTCGGACCTGGCTTGCCAACTTGCCAAGGTTTAATTCTTGGTATTCTAGTTGTTCTGGGTCGGTTTCCTTGACTCATTTTTTGTCGGTCGCATATGAGGAGCGGTGCGTACTTTTTCTTTTTCAGTGCTTGTTACATACTCCTTACACACAATTAAATTCACGGGCAGGGATAATGGCCACACCGCAATTTTTTACTAGCGGAGGTGGGATTACCATACGCAGGCACAGCGTCCTGCAGGTGTCCCGGACAGAGCACATATGAAATGTGTAAAAATAGATAAGAGTAGAAATCGTAGAATTCGCGCATAGTCAATGAGATCCTGGGTGATAATACTCTTCCATTATGAGCTACTTGAGCCGTTTAATGCCCAATTTTATGGTAAAATAGAGGGTATAGCCTGTATCCAGCTGTATCCAGCGCGTACCAGTTCCCACAGTAAAAAGCGGGTGATGGGGACCTGAACCCTTGGTGATCAGTCAGCGGGTTCCATTCAATTTTCTCCTACTGTTGCTACTCTTCTCCCTCTTCTTCTCTCTTTTTGTGATCTACGTGTTTGCATCCCTCCAGGTGAGTACTTGATTTTCTTTATTATTATCTCATTCCCCCCTCAAAGATCTACTAGATTCCTGTTCCTGTTCCTTGGTGTATCACCGTGCGTCTTTTTTAATTACCACCAATGCCCCGTTATGAGCCCTAAACACCCGAAAAAAAAAAACCTTGAGAGTTTAAAACTCTGAACCTCCCCGCGCGCCCTCTTAACCGTCCATTTTTTTCTCTCATATTCAAATCTCTTGCGACTCGTTCATATTCGCTGACCTATGAGAGCGTCACAGGTCGCTTCCAATTTATAGTCAATCCCTGCCTTAGGTGCAATTCCCCTAAGGCAATCCGTCATCACGGCTCCACGAGCCTCTTTGGTGCTTCTTAGCCAAATTGTCTCCACTCGACGTCCCCGCGACACTCTTAATACCATTCCACCTCCTACTGCTAGTTGCTGAGCTCCCGTTCGGTGCGCCTTTTTTCGTCCCATTGACGCCCGCTCAGGTTAATCCCGCATACCTTGAGCTGCCGCATAGGACTACTCTGAGAACTCTTCCTCTTAAGGAGGAAGGGTCTAGGAGGCTTGGTCCAGTCAACTTCGGTTGCGACACTTTTCGTCCTCCCTAACGCCGCAGTCGCGTAAAAACAAACCAATCTCTCTTTTTTGTTTTCTCTATTAAAAATTTCGCCTTTTTTTTTGGAGAATCTATTTACCGTGCTGAGTCGCAGCAACACGGATATGGCACCGACTGCGTGTGCTTCGCCTGCTGAGGTATGCACCTTTAAATCCGACCTTAATGGCCGGGACAATTTTGGTCTGATCAGCACCCATGGGGACGAGTTGTTCCAGTCTCGGTTGGCTGCCAAGGACCTGGTTCTGGATGTTTTGAAGAAGCGCGCCGTTGAGGTCGATGTGGACCATTGTGCGGCGGGGGAGGAGGATGCCTTCTATGTTGCCGACATGGGCGAGGTTTACCGCCAGCATATGCGCTGGAAGATGAACTTGGGCCGTGTCAAGCCTTTCTATGGTAGGTGTCCTGCCTCTGTCTCCTAGCGGGGAGCTTCCCATAATTTGCTATTTGAATCCCGTAAAACTGACCAACCCCCACAGCTGTCAAGTGTAACCCTGATCCTGAGGTTCTCCGCCTCATGACCCAGCTTGGTAATGGTTTCGACTGTGCTTCCAAGTCCGAAATTGATCTGGCTTTGCAAACCGGTATCGACCCGAGCCGAATCATTTACGCCCAGCCCTGCAAGACAAAGTCCTACCTTCGCTACGCTCGGGAGGTTGGAGTTAAGCAGATGACCTTCGACAACGCCGACGAACTATACAAGATCAAAGCCCACTTCCCGGAATCGGAGCTCTATCTCCGCATTTTGACCGACGACTCGACCAGCCTGTGCCGACTGAGCATGAAGTTCGGCGCATCCCTCGATATAGCTTACCAGCTACTCCAGCTAGCCCACCAACTCGAGCTGAAGGTCGTCGGTGTAAGCTTCCATGTCGGTTCCGGCGCCGAGGACCCCCGCGCCTTCCTGAAGGCGGTCCAAGATGCGCGTCTGGTCTTCGACCAAGCAGAAGAGATCGGTCACGAGCTACACACTCTCGACGTAGGCGGTGGTTTCTGTCAGGACACCTTTGAGAAATTCTCCGGAATCCTCAGCGATGCCCTGGACACCTACTTCCCGCCCAATGTACGCATCATCGCCGAGCCAGGCCGCTACTACGTCGCCAATGCCTTCACTCTGGCCGCCAACGTAATTGCTCGTCGCGATACTCCCGACCCGCTGGATCCCTCCCGGGACGCATACATGCTCTACCTGAACGACGGCGTGTACGGCAACTTCTCGAACATCATCTTCGACCACCAGCACCCAACCGCTCAGATTCTGCTATCTGCAGCAAACCCCGAGCAGGGCACTCCGAATTCTGCGACTTCGGACTCAATCTCATACTCCATCTGGGGTCCCACCTGCGACGGCATCGACGTCATCTCCGAGCGGATCGATCTACCTGGCCTCGTCAACACAGGCGACTGGCTCTACTTCGAGGAGATGGGCGCCTACACCAAGTGTAGCGCTACCCGTTTCAACGGGTTCTCCGACAACCATGAGGTCATCTACATCTCAAGCGAGACTGGTGCTTCCGCCCTGCTCAACTACTGATATGTCTTCGTTTAATCCTTTCTTATATTGCATTTCCTTGCCTGCTTCTTCTGGTTCTGTGCTGTGTTCCCTTGGATCCATCGCGCTCTATATATTTCTGATTGAGAATATCCTTGTTTTGAACTTTTGATTTGACTGGTCAGTATACCGTGACGTTGCTTTTGCATTAGTGTCTTTATAGATCTAGTTAGATTTGAGAACTTTTGGCTCTCCTGCTCTGCAACTGGATTGGGCCGATTGGCTACGATGACTTATTGTGAAATCTTCTTTCGCATTTAAACTTCCACCTTTCATCTTTCATTCTTTGTCAACTGGTATTTCCGTGCTAAATCAGATCTTCCAAAATAAACCCAATCTATGCATCAACGATAACGACTTAAACTCCACCAACTTAATTCCCCTAGTCGGCCAAACCGTAGCGAAAGGGTTACTTCAACGAGCATCCGAGGCCCACACCTCGCAACACCATTCCCAATGCTGTGTGCAAGGTGCTGATCCCAGGAAACCATCTCCGCCGAACAACCATACATTAAGGCATTCATACTCTATAAAAGACCCCCATCGCACATAGTACCTTTCAAATCTACTTAAAACCTTGCAAATATTCTGATCATAATCATAATCAACGCTTACCAAAATGTCAAACCCCTTCTTCATCCTAATATCCGGCGCATGGCACACATCAGAAACATTCAAGAAACTACATACGTTACTCAAAAGAAAAAGGGCACGAAAGCGGAGTCATCTCGAAACCATCTGTCGGTGGATCTTCCGAAAAAGGCCTTCACGCCGATATCCAACATACAAAGTCCATTATTGAGAAGCTATTTCTTGCCGGCAAGAAAGTAGTTGCTGTCAACCATTCCTACGCTGGGCTGGTAGATGCCAGCGCAGTCGAGGGACTGGGCTATAAGCAGCGTGCGAGGAGAGGAGAATCAGGCGGCGTGATTATGGTTGTTTGGATGGGATCTTTTGTTACGCCGAAGGGAAAGTCATTGTTTAATTTACTTGGGGGTCGATGGACAGAGCGGATAAAGCCGGTATGTGTTGTGTTACACTAGCAACCTTAATGTTGAAGGTGTTGGTCCATTAATGGGGTATGGGTTTTGTACTAATCCATGTAATGAACAGAACTATGAGACGGGATACTGTCATTCATGTCAGGCAGAGAAGATGTTCTACAATGATTTGTCTATTGAGGAGGCTCAGATGTGGATCTCGAAGCTAGAATCGCAGACTTTGAAGACGTTTTTGGAACCGGCGCTTTATGAGCCGTGGAGGGATGTACCGAGTGTGTATATTTTTTGTGAGCAGGATGGGGCAATAGAGATTGGAACTCAGGAGAAGTATCCGAGGACGTTGGGGGATCCTGTTGCTTATCGGATTGATGCTTCGCATTCTCCGTTTTTGAGTAGACCTGATGAGGTGGTGAACGCACTTGAGATTGCGAGTAGGGAGGGACAGGTGAAGAGTGAGATCACGATGGACTAGCTTGGTTGGAAGCCCTGAGAGATTAGATAGTGTTCTTCATAATTATAAATTCGGATGCAATGAATATAATGCCTTGATTTTTGTAAAAGTACATTTAGTGGATATTTTAAGCTCCAATAGGTGCTAAGCCTAATGGTGCGCCGTAAAACTCTAATAGTTCCTCTTCCTCCTCTTCTATTTCAAGAGGGTTGTTCTCAACTTCCGATTCTACCTCGATCTTGGTAGTGCTACCCCGGGCAGCACGGTTGCGGGAAGCGTTGGCATTTATGGTCGAAGCGGGGGTGCTCTCTGCCTCGAACGCTTCGCGTGCATCTTCAGTTGGAAGACGCAAGGCTGGGAATCCGTCAGGAGCACGTTCAGCTCGATCCATGATTTCATTCATATATTTGCGGACTTCATCTGGCGGCTTGATAACACGTCTTAATGGGTCGAGAACCCGAGCATCAGAGGCGTGTATGCGGAAGGTGACGGGTTGCCAGTATTCCTTTAAATTCGCTTCCTTGGCAGGTGGTTCACTGGGTGTACCAGGTGTACCAGGTGTGCCGGGTTGAGCGGATAGTTTATCGAATTTATCGGAGGGCTCAGTCTTTGGAACTACATCTGTTGATGTAGATGTCTCTGTTTGGCCAGGAGTTGGTGTATCTGGGGCATCTTTTCCTTTGCCCTTCTTGTCGCCTTTCTTAGATTTAGAGGTTCCTTTACCCTTGCCCCGACTGGGGCCCGTTTCCGATGGAATCTCGATGGGAAAGGGGATATTCGGATCCACCTTTCGAACAATAAGGAATGAGGCTAGAAGGGTATTCTCGCTTTGGATCCATTCCAGGATCGAATACTCAGGGAACAAGTAACGATCACCGGAACCGGCATGGCCTGAAGTACTGCTGCCATACGGTGTCAATGGGGAGGTGAATTCAAAAACGACGGATTTGTATGGGAGACGTGTAGGTGCCAGCGTTGTAGGTGCCTGTGGACGAGGGTATGGTGTTGGCGAGCCATATTGTGGAGGGCGTGATTGGAGAGGGGGTTGAGAACCATAGGCTGGTTGTTGATACGGAGGGAAGGGAGGACCTGGTCGGGGAGTAGATTGTTGGACATTATTTGCGGGTGGCGTGGGACGCAACGCAGGGCTCTGCTTTTGCTGCGTGGCTGTGACAGGACCTGGTGTGTTGACAGTGCTTGATAGCACGGCCGGGGTCGAAGTTGCTGGCGCTATGGGTGTGCCTTGGGAACTCACTGGTCCATTGGCACTTGGTTCTTGCTTTACGACTGGGCCAGAGGTCTGAGGGGTACTAGACGACTGGTTTTGCTGAGCTGGTGCTGGTGTTTGTGGTTGATTTTTAGATGGTGATTGTCCATCAGATTGCGGTTTAGCTGGCCCTGTTGGTTGTGCTGACTGGTCCTTGGATGGATTCTCAATTGTGACCGTGGGGTGTGACTTGGAACCTTGCTCTTGTGAGGGTTTAGCTGATGTATCAGCTTTGAGTGGGGTCGCATTTGCCGGGGGAATAGGTCGGTTTTGGGATGCAGGGGTCGCTGGTTGTGGTACAGCCTGAGGCTGCTGAGTAGGTGTTGAAGAAGCCTGTTGACGTTTTTCTTGCTGCTCTCTTGCTTTGATGATCGCATTGAGTTCGTCAATGTGAGCCTGAAAAGCACGCAGTTGCTCTTGGGATGCCTGACTAGATGCGACAACCCTCATCAGCGCCTTGAGTTCAGGATCGGCGGCAGCTCGAGTGGCAAGCATTTGAATAACGGGGTCTGGACTTGGCTTTGCAGGCTGTCCTGGTTGATTTTGTGACTGTGGTCGTTGTCCAGATTGCGGCGTCGCAGGCCCCTGTTGATGTGGACCGCGAGGGGCGGGCGAATAATTTCCCTGATATCCTTGTGGACGGCCTGGGGGAGCCGGAGTATAAGGTGGCCTTCGTTGTTGGTTGGACTGATAAGGCTGGTGTTGTTGAAAGTTATTCCCAGGCCCATAGTGGACCATCCTGGCTTGCGGTTGCGGAGAAGCGTATTGGACTGGTTGCGGGACTGTCGGATCCTTGACGGTATAAATCATTGCATCAAATAGATGAGGACCAACGGTCACATCGCAAAGGCCAACTTTGACCATGGACTCTTTCGGAGGATTCATCTTCTCGATTTGCTCGCGCTTAGTTTTCTTTGGTTTTGTGTAAAATCGGACTAATATACCATCGCTAAGCCATTTTTTCTTCGAACGTTCCAGCGATAAGAGGAGCACCGCGCTATAATACAGGAGCAATCGTCAGTATTTCGCTTTCGGCAACAATTTCGGCAACAAAAATCAAACCTTTCTGCGATAGACTGGTACTCGTTGTCCGACAGGTTAGTTGGCTGTCGCGCACGTCTGATTGGCAACGGTTCGCCTTCGTTAACCTTCGATGGAAGCGGCGGCTCGACAGGCTCCGGGGGTGGAGGAGTTGGTACTCGAGGCGTAGGGGCTTTTGGTGTCGCAGCTTTCTTTTTCGATTGGGGCGTGGTCGCTTCGGACGCACGCTTCTTGTTGGCAGGTTCGCGCCCTGCGCGTGTGGGCTGTTTGCGTTTCTCGGCCATGGCAAATTCAATAAAAGCTCGAAATCGACTAAATTCAGCCAGGCATGATCGTATTCTGGATGATGGTTGACGTAAATGTCGGGGGATGAGCGAGTGTGGAAGGGGGAAAAAGCGTGACGCGCGATAAGTCGCGGCGGAATCCTTGTCGATAAGCCAAATCAGCGCCAGTTATCGCCTCCTCCACATTTTCAGTTCATATCCACATCATGGTCGAGCTGCAGCCCATTTTGAAAAGGGCCTACTGGGCTCTTGCAGCCGGTGGATTGCTTTATGTCCTTTTTATCTGCTCCTTGACTTTTCCAGAAGTCCAGCGCCTGTAAATTTCTATTGGCCATGCTATTTCCCATGAGGTAACTGACATCGATACAGTGCTCTCTATGTCAACAAGTTCAATCCAAGCTACTGGCAAGATATAAATCAGGTTGAACAATTTGGATTTCTCAGTAATGTCTATAAGTCTTCAATATTTATTCATCTATTGACTCATATTACTCAGAGACCCAAGTTCAGCCCTTCAATTTAAAGACACCCGACAATGAGACCCTTTACGGCTGGCATCTGTTGCCTCTGCATCTTGTGCATGAGCACGAGAATGAGTTAATGAAGAATACTCCATCTGGTCCAGCCGAAGACTATACGAAGACTGTCGCTTTTAAGACTTTGGCTAGTAATCCCAACGCCAGAGTTGTCGTGAGTTGTAGGTAGACGAGGTCAATCCCCAATACCAATTACCAACTATTCTAACTTTATGATTCGGCAGTCCACGGAAATGCGGCTCACTTGGGATCTGCCAATAGGCCAAATGGTTACAACACTCTACTGGCATTGTCTACTCCAGAGAACCCCATTCACGTGTTTGCATTGGATTACCGCGGATTCGGTGCTTCAACTGGCAGTCCCAGTGAAGAAGGATTGATCACCGACGGTGTATCTCTGCTCAACTTTCTCACCGCAGGTCCGCTCAATGTCCCCACGTCGAGGATTGCAATTGTAGGACAGAGCCTAGGCACAGCAGTCACGGCAGCGGTTGCCGAGCGATTTGCATTTGGCTCGCCAGATCCGAAAGCGATTCAGCCTGCCATAAAAAATGCCGAGCCATTCGCAGGTGTAATCTTACTTGCCTCCTTCAGCAATATTGTTAATGTTATTGAGTCCTACAGTATCAAGGGATTCACGCCACCCATGCTATCTCCATTGATTGGATACCCACGCTTTAAAAAGTGGGTGTTGAGCCACCTTGTCGACCACTGGGACACTGCTGCGAGGGTTGCTCGTCTGGCTGGTATCAACGCGGCAGACCCCGACATGTCTGGCTTGAAGTTCTCCCAGAAGGACTTGGATCTTACAATCGTGCACTCGATGAACGATGCAGATATTCCCTGGTATGAGGGTCGGCGGGTTTGGCAGGCTGCTACCGGCGAGAACATTGAAGGCGCCCCAGGAGATTTGACCTTCGAGAAGAATGATTCTGGAGGCCCCAATCAAATAAAAGTCTGGGAGCATAGGTTCACAGGCAATGATGGGGCCGAGGTTGTGAAAAGAGTCCGATGGGAGCGTATACAATATGGAGGTACGTGGATTAACAGTGCTTTCTAGCATGAGTTTCTGAATTTTGAATACATACTAACATTGCCACAAAATTAGGTCACAACAAGGTTGCTTCTTCCTCTGTTGCCGGGCTTGCCGTTCTAAGAGCCTTTGAAAACTGAATAGACCCTCACTCAGCGTTGAATGCAGGGCGTTTATTGTTCACCAAAGTCGCATATTAGTTGGGTGGTTTTAGTTTTTGGGTTTTCTGCTATTATAGCCTGCTCCCATGAAATATTCCTATACAAACCTAGAAAGCTGATAGATTCAACTAGGGCTGTTCATTCGCAAGGGCGAATAGTTGTACGGTTCGAGGCAATCGAGTTGCATATTTGGCCCAGACATCTAAATATTTATGTACACGATTTCCTGTTTTTCATTTCTGCTGGCATGTTGCATCGTGTCCCTAAGCCATGACATCAAGCAAGTATCAATGTCTAGATTTGGACCTGTTCTTAGAACCTGTAGTTCCACCTGCAGGTGTATCGCTTGCACGATCCCAAGAGCGATATTCTGACCTCTGACGTCGAGAGTGACGAGCAGGAGCACCCCGACTTGTTACCTGTGAATGGTCATATTCCTCGGTCTCGCCGTTATGGCGAAGGTTGAGGATCGAAGCAAGGTTCTCGGCGGAACGATGGGGGCTAGCGGATCGGGAAGTCATCTTTGTGGGAAAGAGAAGCGATTTTTTTTTTAATTGAATTGAACGGTATGATTATTTGAAGAGGACGTAAGATGTAAGGAAGGAAGAAGTATGCAAAAGGTGGAATTGAAAATACTCAAGTAAGGATCAAGTGGCACTGTTGATGGCAAATATCCTCTTCAGCCACTATGACCACATTTTGATGCAAGTAGACCGATTGTTCAACAACTTTTGGGCTAATATTCCTGAAATAGCTATATTTCCCAGATTCTGAACAATCAATCCATCCCAGAATGAAACGCATACATTTAAATGCTTGTAATACGAAAATCTCGGAGTTAGTTCGGCTGTGCTATTTGCCATACATTCGGGACCTAGATGAGGTTTATCTTACCCAGGTTCAACATTGCTCTCAGGCTATCACCGGGGAAAGTAATTGCAAATATCAAAATGCCTCGTTTCAGAGGATGCCGTACTAGATAACAATAAAATATACTTAAATATACATGAAATAGTACGAATTGCAGGAAGCTATTCCCAACCATCCGGACCTCGGCAACATTTGATCACGCTTACTCATCGAGTCCCTTTGCGGGGATATGAAAGCAAACAGAACTGCAACTTCAATCTAAGCAAAGCTTCCTGCATATCTTGGGTCTGAGAGGACATTTTCATTGTCTATAGGATAAAATAATCATGGCTGTTCCCAAAATTACTCTTTACATCGACATTGTCAGCCCCTTTGCGTATATCGCATTCCATATACTGAGAGTAAGTCCTTGCTGTGACCTAGTATTCGAACCGATTACCGTCTCTAACCGAACTCCAGAACTCGCCTACATTTGCTAATTGCAATGTGAACTATGTCCCTATTTTCCTGGGGGGCTTGATGAATGCGTGTAACAATACACCTCCGATCAATGTCAAGAGTGTGTTTCGTACCACAAAGCCTAGGATAACCCAAGAACAGAAACCATACTAATTCCGACTCAAACAGACAAGGACAAATGGATTGGACAAGAAAGATTGAGATGGGCAAAACAATTCTCTGTTCCAATCGATGAGAAGATGCCCGAAGGTTTCCCCGTGAAAACCCTCGGTGTTCAACGTGCCCTGTGTGCTCTATTGCAGAAAGCACCTGAAAAGCTACCCTTAGTGATGGAGGCGCTGTTCCGATCTATGTGGGTTGACAGAAACTCTCATATTGGAGAACCCGAAGGATTTATTCCGGTCTTTGAGGGAGTCCTTGGAAAGGATGCCACTCAAGAGATCCTACAAGCTGTGAGTTCTTTTTTGTCACCTAGTCATTACAACCGAAAGGCTAATATGTTTTTAAGACCAATCAACCAGATATCAAGGCTCTCTTACTTTCAAACACAGACCACGCATTCAAGATTGGGGCATTTGGTCTCCCATGGTTTGAGTGTACCGATGCAAATGGCAACACAGAAGGATTTTGGGGCGTGGATCACCTAGGACAAGTCGCAAATTTCTTATTACTAGATCGCGGCATGGACACTGGGTTAAAATCTCTTCTTTAGTCCCGAGAAGTTTCCTGGTCAATTGATGTTGGTGGCAGATTCTTTCTAATGGTAAGTTTCGGATCTCTTCTCTATCTTGTACATGCATGATGTGCACTTAGCTGCAGGGCTTATAAATCTGTCTGTTACAATAGCCGTGTTCCTATCTATAGTCAATGAAAATCCTCTCGTTCGCTGTCACTCCAATAATCAAATGAATTATTTAGATTTATCCTCTTTGGCTACGGCGTAGAATATTGTGTATAAATTAGAAAGACGGCGGTTAAGTAGCAATACCCCCTTCGTTGCGTCAGAGGAACAGCAGAAAACTTATATGTCCCATGCTTTTCTCAATTGCCCAAGTACAAGATCCTACCCCATCCTTCGTACAGAAGCAATGGATCTTATATCCGTTCAAAATCACCACGATATCGCTCCCACTTGGTGTTCCACAATGTTGTAACCATCCGCATCAACGACCCACACCCGATGGATCCGGCGACGTCATTTCCAGATACAAACCAGCAACGACAAATGGAATCTTCTTGGCTACGCTCAACACAATGCGCCATGATCTCAGCCCAGATCCTGCCGCCTGGAGAACCAAAGACCAAGATTCTCAATGGGCGATTGCCCTAAATCCCCACACAGGCGTCATACCTCCACGCTAGCGTCGCCCAAGTCCAACTTTTGCGCTTCTTCCCCTCAGCCCTGTGTCAAGCTCAGCCCTACGACCCCTGCCCCGAAGTCGCTTATCAAAACCCTCCTCTCATCTATAATCTTCAACGCCTTGAGATTAAAATCTCACAAATACCACGTTATGGGCTCAAGTGACCCTGCTTTCAACCAGCCGCCCCAACAGAGCGATTCAGATGCTACACTTGTCAATTCGGAGCCTAGCGAAGGCGGGGTTGTTGCGGGTGTAAAGAGCCAGATTAATTCTATGACTGGTGGGAAATCAGTGGCAGAGCTCCAGGACCAAGCAGTGGGTATAGCCAAGGAAAATGCTGTCGCTGTGAAGGAGACTGTCATGGATAGCGCAGTTCCTGCAGCAGGAGAGGCATTACAAAATGTGGGGAACAAGGTCCGCGAGCTGGTGGGCGTTGAATATGAGACTACGAAAGAAACTATAGAAGAAGGTGTGTCTTGCTTCAAGTTGGTTATATTTGGAGAAACCGATTCACTAACTTGAATGCATTTTCAGAGATCGATCAGGCTCCGCATCCTGAACAAATCGATAATATGGATGAAGAGAAGCTTTGCGATTTCCTTCGAGAGAAGCATTCGAGCACTGCCCCTCCGCCGAAAACGAATTGATGGGTCTTTTTAGCGCTGCTGATTCATGTTTATATACTAGAATTTGGTTTTTCGGGCTGGTTCCATTTTGCATTGGCGGGATAAACACACTGCATCTTTATTTTATTTTTCCAAGGTCTATGGATATATTTCTAACTTGTCACAATCTATGTTATTTATTGTTTGTTTGATTTAGTAATGTCAGAATATCAGGATCCTATTCTAAGTTTCAGACAGGAGTCGATCCTTTGGGCCCCGGGGGCCAAAGTGGGCTGAGCACGAGGCTGAAATATTTTTTTTCCCGAGACACAAAATGTTCGGTGAACCTATTCGTGTATTTGATTTCAATATTCCACTCCAAGTCAATCAAGACTTTGTATGAGGTACTTCTTGATCAAATCAGATACTCGCATAATATGAGTGAGACGTCTGAATCTGAGATACCGCTAGACTCAGTCAACCGAGGTGACAGACACGGGAAGGACAAGTCTTCTTCCAACAAATCTGATGCTTCGATCCCAGACGACAATCAAGGCAATAATAGTAGCATTATCCCTACACATCTAGACTCAGCTATTGCGGGAGAGCCACACGCGCTATACCATTTCATTCGCGAACAAGCTCAACTCCCACCACAGATAGGCCTTCATATCAAAGGCTACGGGTTTAAAGAGGGCGGCGAAACAGTGTTGAATTTTTATATCAATTTGACGTATTCGGTAATACGGATTAATCATGAAGACCGCGAATGGAATGAATTGAAAGTTGTTCGCGATGGAGACGGGGTAGGAGCCTATCGCGGCAGTGGATCGCTTACTCTGCAATGGAAACCCGGTCGACGCTTCAGAGTATCTCACAAGAAACAAAATTTGAAGAATGGAGTTGAAGAGTATGAAGGCCAGAGCCTCCTGGGAATCAACGAGGATACCTCGAATGGAGCGGATTTGGCCCTCATGACCTGGTGTGAACGATTCTGTCGCGACCCTGCTGGGATGAAGGAATTCAAATTGCGCCGGTTGCTACAGGGATTCGATTCTTCAACCTTGAGAGCCGAGGTACTTCATTACCTACACTCGATAGTCCGCGGTGACCAGAGTATCAAACGAGTCACTGCCGACTGCCAAATCAGCTCGTCAGTGTTCACGGTCCGTTCACCACACTGGCTTAACGATCTAGAGGACAGCAAGTTGTTCTGTACTTTGATAATCCTGACCCAATTATGGATTCTTTATCTACCTTTCATGCATTTTTTTCAGGGGAACTATGAGGTTGTGAGCTCGTGTTGGAACACATCGAAGGTGATTAGAGATGAAGAAAGACCCTGTGGGTTTAGCAAATTATATGCCCGTGGTCGGGATGAGTCAAAGTTAGTGGCTTTTTGGGCTCCTGCTATTGTGCAAGCAATAAAGGATCGAGAAAACAACGGGAGGACTCTCACATTGGGATACTTGGAAGGCCTCGAGGAGCGCAACCGGGATCGTGCGGCATACGGGGGTCGTCATCAATCATAGCAGAAGCGGAGTATAGCGAGTAGCAGTACAGAGACTGATTTTCTAGTCATACTAGTTGACCAACCAAAAGTCCTCAATTTGCAAGCTGCTTAATGATGAATTTGTATTTCTAGAATGCCCGTATTGTTCCCGTATTGTTACGCTTTTTTTATGCTTAATAGTATACGAATTGAAAGAGAGACCATGAGACGGCTCCACCAACAGCGTGAATCTCTTCACAATTACCAAATACATTTGGATTAATTTCCATAAGTTCACATTTCACAATAAGGAAGCGCCTGCGATACGTCTTATAGCCTGGATATTTTAAACACTTCCACCAGATTGACCGTGGTCGCCAATAAGCCCAGCTGTTTCTAAAAGCCATCTTGCATTCTCCTTCGCAGACTCGCCCGTTCCAGCCTTCAGATTAACGTTCCGTCTCCTTTCTGCCTCTCGCGCCTCAAATTCCCACTTGGCCTTCTGTTGATCGACGGCACTTACATTTGAATTCGAAAGTGAAAGCTCAGGATCAGGAACAATGCCCCAGATCTCGAGACTGTATAGATCCAGAGTTGTCTTACTTGCTTTATCTTGGAGCGATGAGGTGCCAGATGGTAAAAATACACCATCGTGTCCGACAGGGGCGACATGAAGTTCAACAGATTCGAGGTTCACGTCAATCAGGAGACTGCCAGCACCATGTGGCTTTGGATGGGTCTGGTGGCTGCGAGATGGTGGGGGAATTTGGCAGCCAAGAGCAATACCGGAGTGTGAAGAGAACCATGCTGTGGGCAGATTTTTATCCTGTGCGACGGTTGAAGACGTATTTCCTTGGAGGACCAAGTGTGACGGGGATAATTGGAATAGGTAGGGGAGGGGGCTGGATAATTGTTGTGGAGACGAAGTGCTTGTTGATGACGATGATTTCCAGGATTGTGGAATGTATGCACCTATTGTGACCATGTCCCCGGATGATCCTTCTACCGCACCCTGAAGAATCATGAGAGAAGAGCTTTGCCAGGTCAAAACGTGGTGAGAGAACGAGGTGAGTGAAGATCCGTGGGCAGCAGTTGAGAAAACAGGGTGAAGACGTGCACCACTGCGGAATAGACTTAATGATGGCGAAACAGCAGGTAGGAAAAATGAAAGGTGAGAAATCATAGTGGGTGTCAAAATATTCGACTCAAAGGTACCGGAGAGCATAACCGATAGTGGAGGATTCATCTCTTCGGGCTTTTCAGCTGCCTCTTCTTCTGATCCCCTTTGACGCTTCTGGGAGAAATCTAAGTTTTTGCTGAAAAGCAGATGCTCGAACAAGGCTGTTAAAGGATCAAAGAGATAAGGTAATGAGGTCGAAATTGTCCGAGCAAAAGCACGATATGAAATTCCTCCGTCAGTTTCCTCATGTGAGAAAGCAGAAATGATACTATCTGCTTCCTTTTGAATTGCTTCCACTCTCTCAGGCCCGAGATCTGAGGTGTAGATTTTAACAGACTCCAATGGGTTCAAGGGTGCAATAACGAGGAGTAACATCAGTAAACGGCGAAACGTATCAAGAGAGATTCGTGTTTCGTAAACCGTTCGATCCACTCGGTGATCATGCTTAAACACTTCAATGGCATCAAGTGTCTCCAGCGCAGCGAGAGCAAGATCATCATCTTCGTCTTCATCGTAATCATCATTCGCAGGCTCATCGATCGAGAACCCAGGTACATGAGATTGCGCATTAGAGGCGCTAGTTCCCTCTTCCATGGTAGATTCCTCATTATCTTCTTCCGGTTTCTGGGATGCAACTCCAACATCCTTTCTACCAACATCAGCCAGACTCCCAAACAACAATCTCACTCGATCCTTGCGGCCCCGTCGTAGGACTTTGCCATATCTCTCTGTCAGCAGCACGACGACTTTCACCATTGCGTCGAAGGTCAAAACACTTGGTGCCAGGGTATTCTGGAATGGAAAAGCCCCAAGATACGAGACCATACGAAAGAGAACCGGGCCTGCATCAAGAGGGTTCTCGTGAGAAGCAGAGAAACTGCCATCTGGGATGCCTAGGAAATCAGACAATGTCCTTTCATTCCAATACTTCAGCCCGCCTTGTTCGGTAGCTCGAGAAAAGAAGTTGTCCTTGAAGTGCGTGAGCTCTAATGGCGTGAAGCATTTTGTCGCGAAACGTTCCGCGAGAATGTAGCTTAGCTCCTCTATTGATAGTCAGGTATGGGTTGCACAAAACATCATGTGTAGTAAGAAAAGAAATTCTTGCGATGAAAGTCTCGGGAAAGGCACAGTGCAATCTTCCTCCAGTTGAAGGTCACCGAAGCTCATCGAAGTCAATTATACTAACCTTGAGTTGCTCCACTATGTTCAGCGGATTGGCCAGCACCCATTGTTGCGACTAATGCGGGGAGCTTCCCCGCTGTCTCACTTCGTGACGTGGATATGCCGGAGGGGAAACAAAAGAACCAAAATAAAAGGATGTCTTTGGTATTTTAAAGAACGAGAACCTAGTCAAAGGTGACTGATCTAGTGATCCAAGGCAACAAAACAATGTGGAGGTGGAGCAAGAACGCGACGTTTCAGATGACGAAAGTCACATATTGATGCCTCAGGTGTCAGTTTCTAACGGCCATGCAGTAGAAACACGTTGTCGGTTACGAGATTATAAAAATTGGGGCTATAAAAGTAGGAGAGGGCACTTAAAAGTTGTTCAAGTATGTTATTTGACTTTCACTATCTTTTTCATCATAGCAACATAAAGCATCCATTTCTTGGGTATTCGCGATGCATCAAGACGCACCAACCAGCCAAGCATTTCCATCTACAACATAACAATACCAACTCCGCCCATCTTCTTCTCGTCAGGCTGGTTCTTGTCGTTGATACCACCTGGAACCGGGACTGCCCGGTAGTTGAACAGGTAGAAATGCAGCTGGCCATCACCGGCGCCGAATTTCAGCTGTTCCAGGAAGAGAGGGTTATCATGCAAGGTAAGGGCGTTGAAAACATCGAAGTGGGCCTAGAAATTGGTTAGAACAGGGTGAAAATCCAACTAGAGGGAAAGAGTATATCTTACCTTCTTAGCGCAAATCAGAGCGTCATTCATCAACAACAACAATCGTTCCTTGAGAGCTTTGGTGTCATTGGTGAAGGCGGTTTCCGTGGCATAGTAGTACAAGTAGGCAGCGCGAACTTCTTTGTGCTTGGCGTTATTGATGACTGTAGATTCGAGGTTATAGAAAGAGACAAAGTCTGTGATCTTGTGTGTCTGCGGGTCCTCCACAACATACGACCAGACCACCTGCTCTTTGCCCTCAGTCTCTTTGTAAACAAGCCAATGTTCAATCTCTTCGCGATTAAATGCTTGGTTAAGGTCAAAACGAAGCATATAACGCTCCAGAAGATCAAAAACAGCGTCAATATCCTTGGTCTCCATTGGTCGCAGACCGGGGGTCGAAGTCTTTTCAGGAAGGTGGTTCTTGGTAATCTGGCGAGCTTTGGTAGAGCCGTGAGGAAGAGGAGAGAAGCCGACTTCGTACAACTTAAGCCAGTCTAGAGAGCGGTGGTAGTAACGACATGAGCTGACGGGCGTTGGCAGGATGACACCGCCAGTGTAGATAGCCTGGTAGATACCATTGACGTAGCAACGACGAGTAATCTCTTTGATGAGGACCGGGGTCAGGCGCTTGGAGCGCAGCTTTTTGTGAATACAGAGGAAGTTGATCTCTGTCACTTTGATGCGCTCACCGCGGACACGGAGTTCGGTGGGAACACCGCAGATGGAAGCGACCAGTTTGCGCGACTTGGTGGCGCGCACGCCAACGTGCCATTCCTTCTTCCATCCTGGAGACATCAAAGCCCTGCAAATTCAAAAGGACCCGCGGTTAGTCAAACATTTCATTGCCCCCGCAGTGAATCGGAGAATGGGATAAAGCTGACATACCAGTGCAAAAATGACTGAGAGTAAGAGAAACGGAACATGGCATTGTCATCCTCCACGTAGTGATTGTTCAAGAGTTCGTAAAGCTCCTTCAGCTCTTCGGGGTCTGTCAGGTCCAGAGTGCACCATTCAAAGCCCTCGACCAGCGGGCCGGGTGTCTTCGAAACCTCCTCGGGTTTGATGATCTTGATCGGGCCCTGAGTGATAGCCTCCTTGCTCTTCGAGTCATCGAAACGAGGCACAGGCTGCGTTTGCCAGAACTTATACGAGGCCATATCCTTCTGGTTCTTGCCGCCAACAGAGAGTCCAGTCAGCAATTGCGAGATGTCCATGTTAGACAGCATCTCCGCAGCCTTGTCCTGTGGCATGGAGGCGAGCTCGCTCTTCAGTGCCGGGTTCATTTCCATGAGTGATTCAATCATCTTGGGAGGAAGATTCTTTTTATCGGAGGAGGAGCCTGTTTTCGATCGATTCGCATTAGCTGCTGTTCGGTGAGGGGTATCTTAAGATTACCTACCCTTGTTGTTGGAGGCCCCCGAGTCTTCGCCCTGATCGGGGCGCTGAGGCGCTTTGCCCTTATCCGAGGAGCCTGACATAGCCGGTAATTGAGGAAAGTGGTTGGAGGTTGTACCTTGGGGATGAGACAGGGAAGAGGGAGGATTTCGTTTGGGCCCCACGTTTAACCGTCTGTAGCACGCGGATCGGTGGGGAAAGTCGATTTGCGCAACTTTCAAGGTTTTGTGCCGTTTTTACGAAACAAACATAAGCACCTAGGGGAAATTTGGTTCGAATACCAATTATGGTTTTGATCCTTATAATTCTAAAGTTTACAATGATATTTGAAACAGCTATCGACCGGCCTACGTGGCATTACATTGATTTTAAGCCACAAGCTAACATCCGCGGAGCAACGAACCTCGGGAACTTCGCACTAATCCTGTACGTCTATATCGACATCTCCATCTCTTCTGATTGGTGAATGCATTGTATGGGGAATCTCGAGTTGTTGAAATCGACAAAAAAAGGAAAATAGGAAACACCTCTATAAGCCATCATACACAACAATATACCTCAAGTGTTGATACAAGAATCATAGGTAATACGTATCTCCCAGAATCGGAAAGCAATTAAGCACTCTCAGAGTATGGTTTCGTCTCAATCACATCGAGAAATCCGCCGACCAGGTGCAAGCTACCAGTGACAAAGGTCATTACTGGCGTCTCGTCCTTTTGCAGAACCTTACGCTCTTGGGCGGCCACATCTCGTGCAAAGTCCACGGCTTCCTCAATAGTACCAAACACCTGTGTTTGAGCATGAGGGTCAATGGAGTTCCAAACCTCGGCGAGTGACTTTTGCACACGAAGATGGTCAATATCATCTGTGTTGGTGTTCATGCTAACAAGATCAGGCCGGTAACCAGCCTGCTTATAGGTCACGTTAGTACAAAACAGAGCGTGGGTAAAAGGAATTTCAGCCCCGAGAGCCGCAGAAAGGGTTTCATGCAGAGCACGGGTAAGAGCTGTGCTGTCTCGAGTTTGCTGGTTGAAGATCAAGATACGCGTTTTCTTCGTGGCCATGTCGCTTGAGGAAGAGTCTTCTTGGATTCGCCCCGCGAACCACGAACCCGCGAGACGAATACTCTCAAGTGTATGCCCTCCATCGATATACCACGATACATTCTTCTCATACCGGGTCTCGCAGCGACCGCCTAGGCGTGTTTTCTCAAGTCCGACCTTGAACTTCGCTGGGAGCGACTCGGTCATGACATTTTCAGAAATGTCTGCCACGCCGGTCTTCCTCAAATACTCCGCCGCGGCTGCAACTGCAAGAGACGCATTGGTATATTGGAAGTCACCTGCCAGTCCAAGCTTCACTTCCGTGTTGCCAACTTGTAGGTCAGGGTGGGCAGAGATGACATCCAGCTGGGTGTTCTTCTCCGCAGCTCGCTCCTTCAACACCTTCTCCGCAGTTGGAGCTTGGGGTGCGGTAAAACCACGCACCTCCGATTTGATGATACCACCCTTGTGCCATGCGATCTCCTCGATTGTAGTGCCGAGCATCGCGGTATGGTCAATACCAAGACTGGTAATTGCAGTCGCCTTGGGCTTTTTGACCACGTTGGTGCAGTCATACTGCCCACCAATGCCACACTCAATAACTGCTGCGTCGACACCTTCACTGAGGTATGTGTGGAATGCCATCAAGGTCAAGTAGCGAAAGTATTGGGGTTTCGTTCCTGGAGTAGCGGGGTCCTCCCCGGCCAGTTTGGCAGCTTCCTCGAGACGATCCCATACTTCGAAAAAGTACTTGGCGAATTTTTGTTCTGAAAGTGGCGCGTTGTCTATCTGGATACGCTCGCGGGCAAATCGAAGATGCGGGGAAGTGTAGAGTCCAACCTTGTTGATGTGTGGTGTCGACTGGCCGGCCTCGGACTGGGTGTACTGAGAAAGAATATTGGAAATGAAAGCAGACGTAGAGCCCTTTCCTTTGGTTCCAGCGACGTGGATTGCATTCAAGCTGTCGAGGTCGGGGGGCTAGAGAAGTGGGGATACATGTCAGCCCCCGCCTTTCCAATGAGGTGGGAAAGAAGAACACAATTGGGAGTAGAAGATATATGCGAACCTTGTAACCGATACGCCCAAGCCATTCAACTGTCTCCGGGATAGAGCGCTCGTTCATCTCCTTCCTGGAGACAGATTTGCGAAGCTCCTCCACGATCGCATAGTTGGTTTGTAAAGAGTTGAGCGCCGTAATCGCGGCCTAAGCAATTGATATATGATTAGCCTCCGTCCTAAGAGCGTCACATATTGCGAACAAATTATTTCAGTTCAATTCCCCCATTACAGCAGGAAAATCGACAATCGGCGGATATTGGCGGGAGGGCATACCTCGTATGTGCGAGTCATTGCGGGCGAGTGAGTCGAAACTCCCCGCCTAGGAAAGGACGAAGTTAATGCTCTCCAAATTCCTCTCATGGACAAGTGAGACCCGTGCCTGAGAACTTTCAGGGAGCAGGCGGGTGTTAAGAGACAAAAATGACCCGGTAGCTCGAAGATTATCTGGTTCAGCAATGGATCCAAGCTCTCCTCGGGAAAGCATTTAACGTTCGATGATCCGCCATGGGAAATATCACGTGGTCATTCCTATCTTGCAGCTATCTGAACAATCATTGGTCGAGCATTGCAGTTTCTACTACATATACGCTAAGATTGGGAAATTTTTGTTTACTTTAATTCTTGAGCGATTTAAAGAGTATTTTACCTATTTATGTTTAGCCAATAATCTCACACCAGATCTCGTCTACCTCTAAGGGCGCTGAACAGCAAAAAAGACAAAGTGTTATGTCAAGAAAGTAATAAAAGGCAACATCTAGGTCACAATTGGAGCCATGTAGAAGAGAATAAGAATGTATCAAGACAAAGGAAGCAATGGGAGCAGTGAAGGAGTCGGAAAGAAGAAGTAAAGAGAAAAAGCCTTCCAAGGTGGAGAATGTGCCAGCAAATAAAAGAAGAAAAATAATAAAAAAGAAAAGAAGAAACAAAGAAAGGGTTCTTCAACGAGCGATGAAGAAGCAACTGTAGTTAGGACATCGAGCCATAAAGTATACATGTGAAGGCAAAGGAGGTAGGTAGGAAGAGACAGAGAGCTAATGAAGCAATTTGACTGAGAGTTTATTCAATTCTCGTCTTGCCCTCCTCCAGAAAAACGAGACGAGCATTGCTTACTCCACGTTGATGCCGCCTCGAAGGAAGCCATTGGCCAATGATAGGGTCAGTGCGGGCTTTGATTATTGCATCTTGGTAACCCTCGGCCCCGGCAATGGGGGTATTGAGCTTGGGCCAGTTAACGTAAAGCATACCGTGCCCGTGAATGAAGTTCAGGGAGTAGCCACCGATTATGAACCAGAACAGCATGAAGATACGGAGGGGCCAGACAGCAGCGTCAGGCAATTGGCGAGTGAAGGTGGCAACTAAAATCATGAACAAGCTCGCCGCGAACACATAGGGGAGAGCCTGGATCACCAAGGGTCGTCGATCAAAGAAAAGCTGGATATTCACGGCCATTGAGTCTGATGGCAGGTAGGTGCCCAAGAAAACATCGAAGCCATCCTGGCGAGGACCATCGAGGAAGTTGTTGCGAACATATCGAGTGATCGAGTTGTTCAAATCCTGGAGTGCACCAGCCCGTGTACGCTTACCAGTACGAGTGAAGTCGGTTTTCAGGGCTCCTGTTCCCGAGTATGATTTGGAGACAACATCGGCGTTATCTGCCCAGATATTCCGGAACATGTCTTCAAATTCTCGGTCGTCATTGGCTGTTTCTCCGGCGCGAAGGACGCCAGCATCTGTCAATTGTCGAGTTACAGCCCAGCGACCAAGCATACTCTGCACAACGTTGGTTCGGTCAAGGCAATCCATGCAATTAGTACGGACGACACTTGTTTGCGTTGATCGAATATCCAATTGTCCGCCCGGTGCACCTGGGGCTTCTACCCCACGGAAGTATCCACCTTGCGCCAGACCATCTGATAAACGGCCCATCAAGAGCTCAGCACGATGCCATTTGAGGCCTTTAGTCTCGTTATGGAAGTCAAAATAGACGTAGTGCAAACGATCCATCTCCTTCTGCTTCAGACCTGGTTCTAATGAACGAATCTTTTCGGATGTTCTCTCGTCAGATGTGGTACTTTCGTTAGATGATGATATGAGGGTGTGAACCATTTGTTCGTATGCATTCTTGACGCGTTCCTCCCGACCTTTCTGGTTCACAAGATTGACCAGATAGTTCTCTCCATAGAGACGAATTTGTTCTGAGAAATGCTTTTTCGCGGCCTCAACGGCAGTATCTACGCCTCGGACTTGAAGCTTCGGCGTGTATTTTAGGTTGTTGACCTCGGCCCAGAATACAGGAACACTGCCACGGGTCTGCACGAAAGAGTACACCTGAAGGTCCTGCCCTGTCTTCCCATTGGACATGGGTTGCCCGCCAGCAAAACCGGACAATCCACCAGTTACATCATTGAGAACCACGATTTGCTCCGTCTCGTTGTAGTTTGAAACGTGGCCTTCCTCATCAATTCCACGGGAGAAGTAACGTGTTCCCGCCCGGTGTCTGGACCGGCGAGTAATAAGCGCAAATGTGAAAGAAGTGGACTTGACTCGAGCGGGCGTGATACGTAGCATACCAAACATGACAGGAAGGATGTAGGGGTCGGCGCCAGGCTGAGGGCCATACCGAATTCCGCTGGTATCGTTCTCTCCCAGGCTGAAGTCAATTAAATCCGACTGGATGAAGCGGTTCCAGAAGAAACGATCATCGGCGCGCTTCCACATCGGCAAGTCCGCGGCACCTTGTGATTGACGTTGGAAGCTGTTCGTAAGGTCTAAGGAGTAGGAGAAGTACATGGGGCCGGTGCGAATGAGATTCTTGATCAGCGCAAGGTAGGTATCTTCATCGGTATCGTGTAACGGGCGTTCGCGCATGGGTAGAAACTCTGTTGAGGCCACTTTATACACCATATGTCCACGAATTCGACCCATGGGCTGAGCTTTGGTGATGACAATGATGTATTTGTCTATATGCAGTCAGCGACGTCGCCTTGACAAAGAACCCTCGGTCGCAATTTACCTAGCTTCAGCTTGATGATCCCCAGGATTCCAGAAATGCTAGAGATCCGCTTTGCACCCGAGAGAGGGCCATCGTTGAGACGGATATCACCAGTCGGTCGGTCCACAACAAGTGTTGGCGCCTGGGGAGAAGAGGGGGAGGTGAACGCATAGTGAGATGGCGATGCATGAAGGTTGACATCCCTAAAAGGGAGAATTGAAGGGCCCATCGCGAAAGCGCCCTCTTGTAATAATATATTTGATTCGTGGAGTTGGGAGTTTTTATCTCAAAGGGGGAGGGAAGGGAAGTGGGAGTTCGGGGAGTATATGGATCGCAATCCAGGAACACATGATCGACCGCGGCGCAGCACTTCCTAGTGGAGGGTCGGAGCAGATTTCCCCTACCTGCAAGTCCCGCAGTACAAGAGAATTTCAATAATCTTTATACAGTTATTATAAGACTATGTTTAGAATGTCTGAAAATTATCTCCAACTGAAACCTTTATTAACAAAGGAATAATGGGGTTCGGAACTTCTAAGCTTCGTACGAGTATATATGCCAGTTGCCTAACATATACTTCTACATACTGTACACTCGTTGTCCATAGATATAGTATATCAGTGGTATGTACTCGACAACCGGCAATGCATAATGCCGGCAGAATCTACAACAGTGCACTATCAAGGCACTACTAGTATGAAGGTACTATGACCAGGTAGTGAAAGCCTAAGAGCTTGTTTGCAGTGAGACTGGCTCCAGTCATGGTTACAGTACCCGCCACACCGCCCCGCTGCTCATGTGGCTGGACTAACTTCCGTCATCCATTCCAGTCTGCCTTAAACCTTCTAATCTTCTTGATTTCTGTGAGAGCAACCCTACCTGCCATTTGGGACTCCTTGCGCCTTTAAATTTTATCGTGTTTTGACTCCTTCCTATCATCCCGACCCTTCCCTCAAAGCCCCTCCTCCCCTGATTAGTGGCCATGGCCTCCCGACCTCAAGCAGGCGCCCGTCCCGGGGCCAAGTTCGCTCAGTTCAAGCTCGTTTTGCTCGGTATGTCTGAAAATATTTAGATGCGTCTTATATGGAGCTTTTCTAACTATAATTTTGAATCTTACAGGTGAATCCGCCGTGGGAAAGGTTCGACTTCTGTCTAGTGTTGTACGGGATCTCGGGCGCTAACATGATCCTCATCTTCTAGAGTTCTCTAGTATTGAGATTCGTCAAGGTAAATCAAGCAATATGTGTCCCGCCGAGCTACTGGGGACTATGATCGATAGTATCAAAAAGCGAAACAGCTAACAAGGCTATCTAGGACCAATTCGATGATTATCGGGAGTCGACGATCGGTGCTGCCTTCCTGACCCAGACAATCTCCCTCGATGAGAGCACCACAGTCAAGTTCGAAATCTGGGATACTGCCGGCCAGGAGAGATACAAGTCTTTGGCTCCGATGTACTATCGGAACGCCAACTGTGCTGTTGTCGTCTATGATATCACCCAAGCGGTATGCTCGGCCCGCTACGTCTAGTCTTTGATTGCTACCCCGCTAACATTCCACTTCTGTCAACAGTCTTCTCTAGACAAGGCCAAGTCATGGGTCAAGGAACTACAGCGCCAGGCCAATGAGAATATTGTCATCGCTTTGGCGGGCAACAAGCTTGATTTAGTTACCGAGAGCCCCGATAAGCGCGCGATCCCTACCGCCGATGCGGAGGCCTACGCCCGCGAGGCCGGCCTCCTTTTCTTCGAGACATCCGCCAAGACATCGACAAATGTGAAAGAACTGTTCACTGCTATTGCGAAGAAGCTGCCGCTCGACCAAGCTGGTCCTCGGAACTTGCGTGCGGCCCCGCGACCTGGAGTCGACTTGCGACCCGAAGCCCCTGGTACCCAGGGTGCAGGTGCATGCAATTGTTAAATTTATCGGACAATGATACATTCTTTCATTTTTTTTTCACAGCCCCCAAATCTCGATTACCCTCCTCTCGTCGGCGATAATGAACACCCTGCTCTTCGAACATACGATTCTGGTATACCGTTTTTGACTTCGGGGACCCTCGGTAGTGCATGTGGGTATGCCTCATGATCCTCTCGACTGGGACGAAGTATATCTGCCCACTGTACTTCTGGTCATCTCGGTGTTTTATGATTCCTTGGCATTATTCCTCCCCTACTTCTCTCTCACCCTTTTACCCCCTCTATCTTTCGGAAATTCACTGGGTCGAGTGAGTGCTCGACCGGAGACCTCCGAACTTATTCACGGACGCATCTGGAATTTGGCTTTAGACATGTTGTGGCAGGACCCGCCTGCTTTCTCTTTACCCCTTGTACTTCTTGTCCCTTCTTAATCCGGCGTCTGCATCTGCTCTTTACCCTACCCCTAGTTCGTGGTTTTGCTGCCCAGAGCTCTTTTCCTTTTTAGTATGCTATGCCCAGATAATACATTTCTCTTAAATTGTATCTACGTACATAGTCCCGGGTCATTGATATAATTGCTACCATCCTTCTATGCAAATATCGTAGTTTCTGTACATGCATCTAATAATTCACATCCGAATGGATTTGCTTGAAAGCTCTAGTTTAACTTCCTAGTATACGCGCGAGCTCCCACGGCCAACTAGTACGCGGAGAAATATAGATACTAATAGTGGGACACAATTATTTTGCAACATTGAAAGTAATCGCAGTTATGACATACGATAATAAACACTACGAATAATATCATGACCCAGCTAAATTCCTTTTATTTCAACTTGGCCCGTGGGGTTTGTCTTATTATGTAGCACGTATGAACCTCCCAAATCAAGGTGATGGGTGAGGAAACCGGACTGACCGCCTGCAGGATCATCGGGGCGGATCGCGAGCGAACATCGACTTCCCGTTTTCCAATTCATCCACCTTTTGTCCAAATACTCCCCGCTGTTTGGCGATTGTGCGGCTCGTCATGCTGCGCTCCTCATTTGCACCGAGTCGACAGCTTCTGTCGTCTCCTGTCCGCCAACGGGTCCCGTCGCAATGGCTTTCCAAAGCAGGCGCGAGCAGCCGACTCTCGGGTCAGGTATGATAACCAGACATAGCCTGCACTTGCCGGTACCACTATTACCATCGTTGCTAACAATTGACCCTTTCGCAGCGATTCTTTGCCGACTCCAAGCCACCTACATCTAGCCCAACACCTGCTACCCCGTCATCCGAATCCACCATCCCCCACGAGAGCATCCCGAAGCCCTCGGAACAAGGTACCGCCAACCTCTACTTTATCCGCTGTTTGTAGCATGTAGCATGCACTAATTCTACCCTCATTCAGACACGAAGGCTCCCGAGTCTGCGTCAGCGCCTGCTCCTCGCAAGCGTGGTAGCTTCCGTCGATTCCTCCTCTACCTGATCCTGACCTCCGGTTTCGCCTATGGTGGTAGCATCTTTCTCGCCTTGAAGTCTGACAACTTCCACGACTTCTTCACGGAGTACGTTCCGTACGGCGAGGAGTGTGTTCTATACTTCGAGGAACGTGACTTCTACCGCCGCTTCCCCAATGCCTCCAGAAATTCCAACCGTATTGTTGCTGCTCCCCGGGAGGAGGGCAAGCCCGTCACAATCCCCAGCAAGAGCGGTCTGTCATGGAAGGTTACTGGCGAGGAAGAGTCTGGAAGCGATGTCTCTAAGAGTGGACCTCATATGAGTGCCAAGGCTCACGAGGGCAGCACCAAGACCGAGGCGGCTAACCCAGAGCAGCGAACTGCTGCTATTACCAAGGCCAAGGAGCAAAAGGCAGCCAAGGCTGAGGCCAAGTCTGCCCCCAAGGAAGAAAAGAAGGAGGAAAAGCCTGTATCCCTTGATGAGCCTAGAAAACCTGCTGTTACCACAATTAACAACATTGAGTTCCTGAAGAGTCAGGAGGGCGATGAAAGCGTGGTTCAGGAGCTGGTCAAGACTTTCAACGACATTGTCACCGTTATTAGCGCTGATGAGAACGCCGGAAAGTACTCTGCGCCAGTTGCTAAAGCTAAGGAGGAGCTTCAGAAGATTGGCGAGAAGATCTCTGCCATTCGCTCCGAGGCTAGCCAGGCCGCCCAGGACGAGCTCAACAAGGCCCACGCTACTTTTGACGAGTCGGCCAAGGAGCTGGTTCGTCGCTTCGAGGAGGTTCGTTCTTCTGACATCGCTTCGTTCCGTGAGGAATTTGAAAGCGAACGGGAGAAGCTTGCTCTTGCATACCAGGACAAGATCAAGGTCGAGCTTCAGCGTGCTCAGGATCTTGCTGAGCAGCGCCTGAAGAACGAGCTCGTGGAACAGGCCATTGAATTGAACCGTAAATACGTTCACGATGTCAAGGACTTGGTTGAGCGCGAGCGCGAGGGTCGCCTGAGCAAGCTGAACGAACTCACTGCTAACATCACTGAGCTTGAGAAGCTGACTACTGGCTGGAGCAATGTCATTGACACTAACCTGAAGACTCAGCAGCTTCAGGTCGCCGTGGATGCTGTTCGATCTGTCGTCGAGCGAACTGAAACTCCCCGCCCCTTTGTCCGTGAATTGGTTGCCGTCAAGGAGCTGGCTGCTGACGATCCAGTTGTCGATGCTGCCATCGCATCCATCAACCCTACCGCTTACCAGCGTGGTATTCCTTCCACGGCAATGATTGTCGAGCGCTTCCGTCGTGTCGCTAGCGAAGTCCGCAAGGCTAGCTTGCTTCCCGAAGATGCCGGTATTGCTAGCCACGCCGCTAGTATGGTTCTGAGCAAGGTCATGTTCAAGAAGGACGCTCTTGCTGACGGTGACGATGTCGAGAGCATTCTTGTTCGCACCGAAAGCCTACTTGAGGAGGGCCACGTGGATGCCGCGGCCCGTGAAATGAACGGTCTTCAAGGCTGGGCAAAGATTCTGAGCAAGGACTGGCTCGCTGATGTTCGCCGGGTACTTGAGGTTAAGCAAGCTCTCGAGGTAAGTTGCATATCTGGCTTCCACAAACGTTGATTATATCTAACATATTCTCTTTCTAGGTCATCGAGACTGAGGCTCGTCTCCAGTGCTTGCGGGTGGAGTAAACGCATTTCCTGAGCGATGCTGATTTCAATATATCCTGTACATCTTCGTCTTCTCTACAGGAACTGTACCTTTAGTTGTACTTTTGCGTTAGACCCAAATGCTAGAAGCTTTTTGTGCTTTCACCCTATTTGATTATACACAGGCTATGGATTAGGCCTAGGTAGCGTATTTTTAAAACAAAACTGGAATTTTATGTAACAATTACTTGCATGGCAATTTTGAATGAGGTTGGATGTATTTAATAACTAAGTAGTTTCTCCATAGTTAACTTAGTTAGATCACGATGCCGAGCCTCAGGCCTTGAATCATGATCATTTACACCAAACTGAGCGAAGGGCGTTTACAACACTATCATTTTGTTTGGAATCGATTAATAACTGTACTATAACAGCTTGAAACTCCCTATATCAATCCAATTACTCCGAGGGAGCTCTGAAGTTGGTTATAATCAGCTGCAATATGATTAGCTAAGCTGACGCGCAACGCCATGTAGATCATCGGCCGGCATTACGTCCTGCAGACAGACATACCCGTGGACCCTCACATTAGCATTCAAGGTCCTGGCACTTAATCTTGCTTTCAAATATTACCTTGAATACTCACTGCACCCATGATTTTCCGCTGCTGACAAGCCAGGCCCTATTGCCTCCCTGAAGGGCGTGGCAAACTACATATAGCCTCATCTCCTTGGCTCTAATGTCGCAACGAGCCAGCCAACCTCCTGCACGGGAGTCAATGTCCCCGGCAGATGAGCAGCATCATGACACATCTAAAGGCAGACAATCACCATATACAAGATCCGACGGTGGCTCATTTCGGCGCACAGCTATGTCGATGAGCGGTAGTCGAGCAAGCGGGGAACTGGAGGGGAGTACACTGGGGAGCAACTCCCGGGATGGTGATAGAAGAACCCCGAATCAGCGTAGGACGCCAAGCTCAGGTGGGTTCTTGCTGGACTCTCTACCTCGCTCGAATAGTACTAGGATCAGTTCACACCGATCTCGTCCATCTGAACCCTTGCCGGAGCAACACACCACGCCCGAACCTAATATACCGGTACACAAGAAGAGATCCCGACTACCTTGGATTCGACACAAGAACTCTGCCTCCGAGTCAGCTGCGAATAGCCCCGTATCACAACACAATACCACACATGATACCCCAGTATCACCTCCAGACGACCAGCAATCCCGGGCTTCTTCATCAGCTGAGCCACCAGCCCATAATACACAGGAGGCCACGAATGGGCTTGACAGGGATTCTTTACAAATCGTGAGCTTGGCTTTGAATTTGAATGAATCTCGAAGGAGGAATGCTTCTGGATTACCTTTGGGATCTACCGGGCGTAGACCATTGTCTGTTTCCCAACCTGTCTCAGTCCCCGGGGACTTGCATGGCCCAAATTCAAGAGCAAACTATGGATCGCAAGACCAATCATACCGCAACTTTACGCAATTTTCCGAAGATGAACATCGAATGCCACAATCGGGTGGGAAATCACCCGTAGTGGATCTGCTGCCGGCTGCCGTGGTCAATGACCAAAGAGCCTATGAGTTTTCTGATAGGACCCTTGCTCGAGCAGAAAGAGCCCGGAGACATTTCGATCTATTCCATGAGTATTTGAGGCTACTTCCATTCCTACCTCCTCTTCGCAATACTCCAAGTATCAAGGAAGGCGATGCGTCAACGCATCCAGACCATGATTCACCACCCCATCGTCTATATAATCCGCTCCAAATGGTTCGGAACAGACGAATCAGGTATCGAGAGAAAAGCCCCATACACGCAGAGGCCGAAGGCTGGGATGATACAGAGAAAGTCCATGAATGGATAAACAGCATCGAAGCAAACTATCACGACAAGACCTATAACGAAACACAATCTATCAAGCTTCCAATTTTCAAGCAGGGACATCAACAAGCCTCTCAAGGGGATCCTGATGATATCGAAATGTCAGCTGCTTCGCCTCCATCAAGCCTAAGACGCGTGAGCAGAACAAATAGCGTTAAGGCTACTCGATTGCGTCTTGATTGGCAAACATCGCCTGCAGAGCTTATCGCAGACGCTGCATGGGTCGAAGCTGTTTCTAACAAAGTGAAAATCGTTGACAAGGAAGGGAATAAGATATACCCAGAGTCGAATGGCCTTGTACTGGTAGATCCAAATGCCGACCTCGCGGCCATCCAACGAGAACGAGAACGAAGGTCATTCGACGTTCCTCTTTCTGCAGATGATGGCCCCTCTTCTAGGCATACTTCATTATCAAGTTCTCACCCAGCTCGTGCTCATGAGTTCAAGAGCGTGGGTCGGGGCCGCCACAAGCACAAATTCCAAAGTCGGGCTCAAAGATCAAGAAGTCGCAGCATTTCCAGTTCGCGAAAACCGCGACGATGGGATAGGATGAGGATGCGCCCGGGCAGCGCTTCCAGCTCGTCCAGTGACGATGATCGCAGATCTGTGGATCGAAAACATAGGACCCTAGAGCATTCTCGGAGAGACCTAGAAAAAGTTCTTCACAGGAGTCTAGCAGACTCATCCGAATCCCGTATATCTCAAAACAAAGCGCCCGCAAGAGCCTTGAATAAAGAGCGCAATCAACCACCCCTATCCCTAAATACCAAAGGGAACTTTGCGGCAAGGCAAGCTTCGTTTTCGTCGGCTGGAAGCCTTGAGGATCGATTCAACCCGCGTGTCTCCATAGAAGGCATGGACAGTACCGCACCAAATTCTCCTGCTCAAGTTGCGTACTTCCCAAGTATTGCCGTTAACCTGTCACCACCTTCGAGTCGATCTCCGTCACCAGCCAAAAGAAGTCTCCGCCATAAGATTGTTGCGCGCCATGAAAGAAGCAAGAGCAAGCAAGGAGATCGGGAGTTCCGAGATAATGAAGAACCAGGCTCCATTCCGGAAGGAACGACACCAAATATCTTACCACCTCCATTCGAGCAAGCCGAATTTTCCTCCAAACTTGAACCAAGCCCCATTCTAGATGTTGTTTCTCCATCTTATATTGAGAGCCCTGGCGCGAATGAATCTCACAGAGAGGATTCCTTAAGGGGTCGGAAGGGCCAACATATGCCCGAATCGAAACTCCGTGGAATTCTCAAAGGCCCAGGCCGAATAGCAGAGATGGTGGGCAATGAGGTTTCGAAGGTTGGAGACCTTATTTTGAAGAAAGAACTGCCTCCTGATTCTCGCAAATCATCATCCGCAACCACGCTTGCCTCGGATTCAAGCGACTCCGAAGAAGAAGAGAAGAAGTTTGACAAGCGGTCCGGTCCTAAAGGTCTCTTGAGACGTCTACCAACTCGCGCAGATGAACCTGGGCGTCTCATTCGCCGAGATTCGGATAAAGGCACACCCCCAAGAGGCGTCGGTCCGACTTTGCCAACCTTTACATCGCCATTGAGAAAGGATGACAGGAGTGGAGCGATTGAGGCCATGGATCTTGGTAGCCCGGGCGAACGTACAACTCCATCGCGCGGTAGCCCTAAACGAATGGGGTTGTCTCGAAGCAAAACACTTGACTTTGGCCCTCCCTTAAGCTCACATCGTGGACATACAAAACCACATCAGATCAAGGATCCCTCAGTCCCATTCAGTTTGACTCGTCCTCCTGTCACTGGGCTAGCTCAAGCCTCACCTGGGTCTCCGAAAGACAAAAGACCACCTCTTTCCGGTGGCACGCGTGCCTGGAGTATTTCAGATCGCAGTCTGCAAACTTTGAATGATTTCGGTGTTCCTGACAAGGCGGAAGTCGAACGAACTCGAACTCTCCTCCTCTCATCAGGCATAAAGGCACGTGAGATTACGAGAAGGGCTCATACTATTCGTGACCCACCGCCCCAATGGCTTCAAAACTCCGCAGGGTCATCTGCATCTATTCCTCGGGTGACCAGGATCGGCGAATTCGACCTTGCTGCTCAAAATCTCCTCCAAAGATTCGAAGTGACACAATACTCTTTCCAGCAATCAATGCACCACTTTACTACGACGACTTCTTCCCCTCTACGCTCCCAACTAAAAGACCTGGAGACTCTTGTTTACCAAACACTTACACCTCGCGTGCGCGCCACTGCCGATGATGCCGAAGATATGTGCGTGCAGCTCAACTCAACCAGCACGCTCGCTGTGAAATCACTCAGTGACGCCCTTGATCGAGGTATTCGAAAGAGACGTCGCCGACTTCGGTGGGTTCGACGCACTGGGTTCGTCCTACTCGAATGGGCTCTAGTTGCTATGCTGTGGTGGGTCTGGTTGATTGTTATGGCTTTCAAAGTTGTCCGTGGTGTCTTTCGCGGAGCTATTTCCGGTGCTCGATGGATTCTCTGGCTGTAATTTATTTTCCACGAACCGTGATTTATCATTTTTCTTGTACATTTGTGTTATTTTACATTTCCCCTCACTATCATGTGGTTTTCATATTCATTCTTCTGCATAGCGTGTCGATTATACCCCCCCTTTTCAGGCCTGGAGATGTTGGCCCTGCCTTAATTCTTTCTCGGGAAACATTCTACTTTTTTTTTTTTTAATGAGCCCTTCGATGTCACTTTGTTCACACTTCCATCTATTCCTTTTGACTATGGTGTTTCATAAAAATGTTTTAATGTACAAAGAATCCTTTCCTCACGCAATGGGAATTGAAAGAACCGAGAGCGTTTTCATCTTACGATCCATAAAAGAAACAAATATTTCCTCCCCCCCCCCCGTGGGACTGTATAAGTTGACTAATATTGCTCCCCAACTGGCGTTTTACCCCAAATAATCCCCTTACCCTGGTTGGCAACGAGTTTAGCGATTAGGCTCTGTGACAATCTCTCCGCTCGCACCGTCGATATCCAGGCTAACGGATTTATCAGCGTCCCAATCAGACTTGCTACCGACCTGTCGCTTTGCGATGATTGATTCGGATGCATATTCTGCTCTGGCACCATGTATCTCGCAGGAAGCGCAGGAGCGTAAGGTATTGGAACAAATGAAATTGCGACCTTCTACTACGAGGGCTGACAGCTTTCGAAGAGCACGAGCTTCGCTAGAATTATTGGCCCATATCAATGGTTCATATGCTACCCGATCACCAGACGCGCCAATGCGATTCCGCCCTTGAATTCTCAAATTAGGCATATCCCAGAGAGCAACACCGGAAGGTGGTGCAGTACGCGTAAAAGCTGGATCAAAAGCATGCACGTTTCTCAAGCGAAGAGCATCATGATCATCAAAGATGGAGCTGCACTCGTCTGTCCAGCCTAATATCTCAACCTCCGGCAGCTGCTCGGTCGGATCTTCTGTCCTCCCAGGAACGCATTGCATAAGGCTCATGTGATAGATGTTCCTCAGATCCCCACGAGAGGAGTTGAAGTGTCCAATTTAGCCTGCCAGACCAACCATGATCAAGCTCTTTCTTGCTGCGAGCAGGCGCCTGACATTCTGGGTACCGATGTCGCCGAAGCTCATCTTTGTGTCGGACCGAAGAAGGACCGTGATGCCCAAGACACTAATTTTGGGTGTATCATTGGGATTGGGGTAGTATATGATGAACCCACTAATCCAGTCTCCGCTCTGGATCTTCATAGACTCCACCCAATTTCCACCTCGAGTATCATCTACTCCAAAAAGCCTTAACTCCCAACTCTCGTCCGGTTCAATAATAGCACCCATGCCAACAAGATGTTTCTTGGCATCCCAGAAGATCTACAGCGTACATCACAGAGAGTATTATTCCAAGACTTTACCCAGAATGACTTTTCTAAGCAGTGTTCCGGAGGTCGATCACGAACGACCGACATGTGTAGACAAACTGCAGCTCCACGTATCAAAGCCGCTCCGCGGTATCAATCCTCCTTATCTGTGATATCTGCTTGAGCGAGATAAGGGCCCGCGAGCTGTTTGCATACGCGCCAGACTCGTCGGCGATTCGCAATGCTCATGAATGGACCCCGGATGCCCCTTCGAGGTGTTGAAATTTTATTAGCCCATATGAATAAGTCACGTAAAGACTTTTCTTGGGACTCATTGGAGTTAGATTTAACAGCGTTATTGCTGTTGCGAGTTGACAACACAAGGTCCTCTAGAAAGGTTTGCAGCTCAAAGAACCAAGGCATGCCATTTTTCATATGGTGGAACCAGAAAGAATTATCGCTATCTAGGGCACGATAGATATGAGCTGACGCATTTGTGAAGCTCATGAGAGATGGAGTGTCGAGATTGGATACAACTTTCAGCACTAGCTCAAATGGCAGGTTTGTAAAGGGATCAGGGGCTCCTGTTTCCACATAAGCTCTTGGTTGACAATGAAATGGTACATGATCTCTTGCGTGATGCCAGGCATCGGCAATATAGCCTTTTGCAAGCCCATTATCCTGGGTTGGGTTTGATATAAAGAGCTCTTCTCCCGGCCTTGCTTCCCAGAATTGTTCGTTCGGGGGTTCTGGCTCCCCATATTCGACATGGAGCAAACGTGATGCATGTTCCTCAGTATGCGCACCTAGGACGCTGTAAATAATGTCTTTATCGAGATTTCTCGATTGTGGCATCCAGCTCCCACCAATAGATCGAGCGAGCTTCTTGGAGCCAATATCATGAGCCACTGAAAAGTGAAAGATGTCAAAGCATTGTGGATGGAACGGGTAGACAGACGGCAAGTCATCAATTTCCCAGTATGCAGACAGGGCGTTGTCTTGTGGAAAGTTTGGATCGTCTCCATCGGCATCAACACCTCCATAGTCACCGCTACGACCGATATTCGAGATGAATACTTTGTTCAGAGAGGTGGAATCAGGATTTAAGCCCACACACTGCACCTGTTCTACCCACGCAGCCTCTTCCGTCGTGATGATCTCCGGATCATAGGTTCCATCTTCTCCTTCGCTGTCAAAACTGCTTTGGCTACCTGCGTCATCCTCGGGCCTCTCAGGCTCTTCGAGCTCTCGATGTTCTTTTAAGATTGTTTGCAACTCGTCGGGAAGTGGCTCGCCCCTTTTTTGCAATGCTTCGATTTGCTCAGCGGCCGCGGACAAACGCCGTGCTCGAAGAAAGCGAGCTGTGCGAGGTCTTTTGGAGATGTGGTAATTGAAAAACGTCGAACCGCAGAAAGCACAATAATAATCCCAGGACCCCATAGTGATAAACTTGAAAGGGTGTGTTGTTTCTTGGTGTTGTTTCCTGTTGTCAAGCAGGTTAACTGATATTTCGAGAAAAAAAAGCTACGGTGCAGGGTCAGCGGGAGCCTAGTATCAGGCTCCGACATCCTCGCAACCTCGGACATCTGGACCCACTTTCAAATTTGGTATGGTTCAGGGGCCCAAATACTATGTAGCGGCCGCAAAGTGAATAATATTCAGGAAGTTTTAAATTTACAAACGATCCGGTCTGCGGATATTGATAAAGCTGGACTATGTACATAATTATAGCGAAGCAATAACTTTACTTTCTTCATAGAATTCAAATTCTTAGATTTCTGGGTGGGATACCCTGTCGCACGGTCCAGAATTAAGAACAAATCCTTCGGTGATATCATACTTGAAAATCCCGAAATCGCATTGTAAGCATTGATGTACAACAAATTATTCCAAGGCTCACGATATCAGTGGACATTGCTCAGACTCTGCTGATGCGGAATTTCCTGGCTCAACGCTTGCACTGTCGCAGATTTCAGATCGTGAGACTTTGGCAAATTAGTCACTGGATGCAGGTCACCAGGTTGGACATTGGCATCAAAGACCGTTGACTGGGACTGTGTTCCCCAGCCTTCCTCACCATCAGACGCGGTCGAAGCATCCGACACCCGCGACTTGGAAACAATGGTAGGCTTGAGACCAAATTCCATTTTCTCAAATGATTCGCCTTCAAGACGCTCCGTTCGAAATCCAGTCTTCATTTCGTCATCCAGAATATCCACATAAGAATATGCAGGATATCCTGCAACTGCCAATCGCTCGTAGGAGTCCATTCCTCCCAGCTTCCACTCGGTCACAGGCTTCGTTGACTTTCCCATAAGGTACTTATAGACAGTGTTCCCTTGATCGTCCTGCTCTTTCCAGCGCTTGTATTCTCCACTGGGACCAAGGGGCCTGTAAAGCGCATGCTTGCTGTTTGTTTTGTTGAGTTCCTTCATTCTTTCCACTCGGTAGTTCACAACAGGGTGGATAAATTCGAAAGTTTCGCCGGCATATTTGCCATCTTTGGTACCGTATTCTCCTGGAGTACGCCATTTCTTTCCATTGAGCCAATACATTGACGTGAAACTGTTGATCAGGATGCCTTCTCCCCAACCGTACTTCCGAATGCCTCTAAAGGCAGGTCCGTCAGGATCAGCGGGTTTTGGACGATGAACAACAGCTGAAACCGCCGATTTGGCAGTGTTACAAACCCAGTCTTTGAGAGACTCGGCTTTTGCTGTCTTGACGGAAGCCTCCCATTTGGAGTATTCTTCATTGAGCTTGTGAAGACGCTTCTCACGGGCTTTCAGCGATCCGATGATAAATCGCTCGTCGATAGAAAGGTAGCTTTTAATCTGATCCAGCATCCATGAATAGGTAATGTTGGACATCTCCTCCATGTCACCCTCATCCTCCAAGGTCTCGGAATCGCCTCCGCCAATATTGACGTGGTAACCAGGAAACCACACTTGCTTTAGCTCTGAGTGCAGACTCAAGCGGTTTTCGAATTTGATTTTTCGTCGAGTTGCCTTGTTCCAAGCTCTGGCAACCTGGTTGACCTTACGCGCGGCAGCATTGACCTCGGCGTCGGTCGCGTCGCCTCCTGCTTTGAGGTCTTTAGCTTCTTGAAGAACTCTTTCATATTCCTTTGCAGCCTGGCTCTCCTCTTGTTGCCTGGATTCGACTTCTTCGGGCGTGGCGGTCTTGTTTGGCAGATAGTAAACCGATGGCGAAAAGCATTGGCGGTGTTCGTCCAAAGCTAAGGCTTGGAAAGCGTGTCTAATGTCTGCAGAGGAAATACAATCAGATCAGTACCACAGTCTTTGGGGAGAAATTAAAATGGAGATGGGAAAGAAGAAGATTTACTCACTGGGTGATAGTCCAACATTATGCCAGCCATCCTTTCCTGTAGATGGTAACTTGAACCCAAGCACCTCCGGCATACCAATAGAGCCGACGGTGTCAAACACCCCGACAACTTCCACTTCTCGCGATCCTTCCTGTGCCCAGTCGCCTTCAGGGGCATGTGTATAGCGAAAGGTTCGATCATTCTCAGTACCAGAGCCCTGATGTTCATCGGCCTTCCCCCACATCCAGTCAAACCAAAGGTCACTCCGATCGAATCGCTTCCCATGCTTGACTTTCTTATAAACAGCCCAGAGGTCAGGGAACTGGTTGAGATCCCACTTTTGACAGATACCAATATCCGAGATTAAACCAGCAATTGTTCGAGCCGTGTAAGCTCCGCGCGAGAAACCAAAGCACATTATCTTGTCACCAGGACGGTAATTTAGTACGCAGAAGTTATACGCCTCGATAACATTCTGTTCCACGCCCTGACCAAATGCGCCTTCGACCACATCTTCTACTGCGCTTCCATTGGTCCCAACTCCAGAATCGTAGAAGACAATTTGCTGCCACTGTTCACCCTTTTCGTCCGTTCCGATGTGATTCAAGGAGCGACAAAGACGGGTAACGTTAGAAGGTACATTCTTCTTGCCAGAGACCGCGGATTGCCAGGTCCCATCGCAGCAAATGACGATGCGCTTGCGAATCGGGGCACTCAGCGCGTCTTTTCGGTGGCGCAGAACGTAATCTTCGCTGTGGATATCATCCTTGTGGGCGGGATCCATCACGAAGGGGGCAAGAAATCATAAAAAATTCAGAGATATCCGAGAAGCCTCACTTCAGCCTCTATAGAGAGTGGAATAAAGATTTTGAGGCAAGATCCGGGAGGGAGGGGAGGCTCCATAAAACCCGATCTGCAAATTTGCAGCTCGAGCTGAAAGAACACCCACTCGGCATGGGGGGCCTGTTTGTCACACTTCCACGGGGCAACTATTGCTTCAAAATATCCACTTCCAACTCGTCGGCGCGAACTTGTGGAGCTGACACGAACCTAGCTCCGTGCACCAGCCAACCAGGGGTTTGTGATTTGGGGGGGCTCGACGCTAAGACTTTCAGCTACTCCACTTATGGAGGCATCTCTGAGATCCTGCTCGGCTCGCATCGCCTGTGGGTTTGTCTTGAAACCAATGACAGTTCAGGGAATGCGTATTATACGAGCGATAGAGTTCCTCACAGGTGTGCCACCAGGTGCATGTGGATATTCTCCCGTGCCTTACGAGTCCCGACAAATTGATTGTATTCGAAGAAGTGATCCATAGAAAGAGAGACATGATATCTTAATAAAGTCAAGATTTTAATACTGGATCCCTAAAAGCATTGCGTGAAATAATTACTCGAAATGAGTAGAATTCTTTGTTCTTTCCTTCCCCTTGGAACGCAAGGGCCGGGCTTAATGCACGCCCATATACAACCGGCTGCCGGGTTTGTAGGTAGATGTACGGGGTACGAACTCGTTGTTATGTGCTTCCAAGATTGTGAGCCCGTGGGGAATGGTGTACTGTGATTGGACTAGGAGTTTTCAGCCCCTATGAGCACAGATGCCAACAAGAACTATTCTCGAACGACATCTCCAAAAGTCTATATTTGTTCATGTGCGACCGTACACCTTGTGGGCTCTAATATCTTTATTCGATACATGTACTGCGTGTTGACTCTCGTAACTTGGGCGTAGAATCACCAAGGCCTACGCTGCCTAGGAAATGCATTGCACTGAGTGGGTCTTGATTCAGTATATCAACAATTCGTGCTACAACCCTCATTAAGTTTTCAAGTGCTCTCACTTGTAGGATTAATCGTCCTTTACATAAGCTTATGATCATGCACATGTGCACGGCTGAGCATCTGGGCAGTAAGCACGGACGGTGGGGGCTACAACGCTCCAAAATTTCTAGGTGGAACGTGACCTACCTCGACGTTTGGTGTTTATCTACCACCGTGCCGCCACATTAACTACACGATTCTCGGTAAAGCAAAGTTTCATCGAAGATCAGGACAACTTGAGCATATATGATGTCGGAACAAAAGGACCTCGACCAACATGCGGATGTGGTAGACTCCGAATCAGCCCAAGGCCATGAAGACGCCGAGACTCCTCACGAATCGGACGACGAGCCCATGGTCTATGAAACTCCGAAAGACTACGCTATCTTCGCACGCCGGGAGCGTGAACGCCGCATTGCTGAGGGCGCTGACCCTAATTCCGTCATCTTTCAAAGCGAAATACGTAATCATGTCCCACGGCAAGAGGGAGAGCCGCCTGCCGAGTTTGTAAAACGTTATTCCCAGACCATGAACAGCATGATTCAGCGTGGAGTTGTTATTTTGAATGATCAATGTACTGCCGATGTAGTCGCATCTGGATTCGATACTGCAGACGGAAGATATTTTGATCTAGGCCCAGGGTCGGGCGCCACGAAGGGGGATTTTCGAAAGTTCAGCGAGTGGTTTGACGAATCGGAAGGAGGAGAACTGAATGAGGTGCCGGAGAGGTGGTTGAAGTTTGAAAAACCAGCTCAAGGATAGTAGTCTCTGGGGACTGTATAAATCGGCGACAAATGATAGGGCTTATTGGGGAAACACTATGTAGATTTACCTAAATAGTATGTTTCCACTACAAATCTAATACATACACTGAAGTAGTAATCACCCTGAGTCTCATCTAAAGTCGAGACTGTTTAAAAATAACACTTAAGACTATGCCTATCTATAGCATACTATGTATGTATATGATCGACTTCAAGGTTACGTATACATTCACATGTACTATGGCTGTCGATTGGGTGCATATCTGCAGAACGCCACACCCCGCGAAGTCAATCATTTCTTTGTGGTCTTGGTGGAGTTTCATTTCTTTGTTAGAATAATTATATCCCCTTTGTTCATATACAGAGTGGAGACGTTTGAAGATATAAAATGAAACTTCATGCCTTTGTCACTTGCACAATACGATCTTTGTTTAGCCGGATACAATTCGAAAGACCCATACATAGACGCGCACATGACTATCTATATAAACTCCCATCTTCCCAAAATTTCCAATCAAAATTACCTATATAATATTCAGAAGCAACCAAAAAGACAAAGAATAAAATTATACAAATATGGGCCTGACAATCAGACTATCCGCATACCTAAACATCACCCTGACTGCCAATACATGCCGTGTATGTAATTCTCAACAACTCCACGATGATACTTGAATCTAAAACTATAACTGAACCATGCGCATGGTCTTTGAAAAGAGCTGGTGCCATACGCAGACAAACTAATCTTCTTTCCAGACCCAAAGAAATCAACATGGTCATGTCAACAGCCCAACTTGGCCGAGTTCAAACTAGTATGGAAGACAGAATCGCCCACAAAACTGACTGGGTAAACGACCCCAATCAACAGAAAAAGAAAAAAAATTACCCAGAGTATAAGATGCCACACAGTCTTCTTAAGGGTCAGGGTGGGGTCATCTCTGACTCAAGTCCCGTCAGTGCCAGAAAGAAACCGCCCCTGCCTCGACACATCACCAAAATTGACCAGGAAACAAAAAAGGAAACAGATAAATGGAAAGATGAGCTGATATGGGACTTAAATGGCGTCCCTTCTCTTCGTGGAATCCTCAAGCAATGGGTCCAACTCGGCGTCACAATAAGCAACATAGGGCAGTTTTTAGAAAGCGTGCTCTACAAACGGGATGACCACCTAGACGGCCGCCTTACACAAATGGTCGACACCCACCGAACATACACTTGTATTGCACTAGATATTCTTAAACACTATCAGATCCGTGACGATTATGGCAAGCCACTCTGGAAATACACCACCATACAGCTAGGCGATAGATACGCCAGAGCCAAACAACCCCAAGATAGTATACTTCCTGCCAGTGTATTTCGAGATACCTCCTTGCAAAGTTCACGTCATCTCACTTCTACCTCTACTCAAAGAAGATCAAACGACAAGGCCGATAAGGCCGACAATTCCTGGTACCAAATTCCCCCTCCAAAAATCCTTTGTCCCTTTCAAAAACCTTCCTTCCTGTGTGATCCTGAGATATGTTGTCCAGACCTTTCACGTAAGCCGTGCCATGAAGGCATATCTGTTAGTGAGCCGCCTACATATCCTTTTGATATAAGTGAAGCACGTCCTAGAAGGAGCATTGCGGAGAGAAGAGCTTCAATGAGAGATATAGGAGCTCATCTACCGCGTGCTATCTCTGCGGAGATAATCGAACCTTGTGCATGTGTTGGATCGACTTTGAGGGATAGAGCTAACAATTACCTACAGAAGCAGGAAGAGAAGCGGAAAGCGAAACAGAAACGTTATGGCGTTGTTGAATGTTGTGATTTAGAGTTTTAATCGTCCATATTGTTGCGGAGATTATTAGCTGCTATATAGGATTAAATTTAGTTTCACATTGAAAAGGCGAAGAAGCGAAGCCCGCGACTACTAATAGTAAACCTCCGGTGCAATCATATCATGTATGTAGTCTTGGAGGGAATATAGTATATACGTCCCCGCTTGTTTTTTGAATGCGCAATGGCGCGTTGACATTATTCTTGAGGATCTGCATACCGAGAAACATAGGCCACTCAATCAACAGAGATATGTTGATATTACGGCCAAATAGCTGTGTAGAGTACTCGAGGAAATCAGTAGTGAACCTCAATTATCAAGTAGCCATGTAAAAGCCTGTAAGAAGCACGTCGATGGGGTATTTCGGAATTTTTCCGGGGACCAAAGCAGCCTAAAATCACATCTGTCCCAGGTACCATTTACCACGTCTGAAATCCCGGGGAAGTTCCGCCACCCCCGCATCTAGCCTCTTAAAGCCGTGGAGTAATTAGTAAGGTACCTGGGAATTAATTCGTGCGATGTACAAGTGACAATAAACTTCAATTGACACTTGATTCAATTCCTAAGTATTGTTTTACTTGATTCAATTCCTAAGCATTGATTTACTTGCTTCATACATAGCATTGTATCTGTTTAAATTGTGGAAATCGGTCGACTTTCATCTCAATCTTGAAAACTCGAGCAATACCCCGCCATGAAATTTCCACAGCCAACGTACACCGAGACTCAGCTCGAGACATATCTGCAGCATATCAGATACCCCATCACAAACACAGAGACAACCTTGTTGGAAAGCGTGCATCAAAAAGTTCGATCAGATGCGCTTGAAACATTGACTGAGCTGCAGAGACTGCATCTCTGTAGAATTGCGTGGGGCAATTCCGGCCTTCATTACTCCCATCACCATACCATCTCTTTGGATCCCGACGTACTATTCGAGAAGATGGTCGAGCGAGGATTGGATGGGTATTGCATGGAAAATTCGGGTCTTTTCTTCATTGTCTTGCGGTCTTTGGGTTTCCACGTTTATGCCACTGGTGGAAGAGTGAGTCGCTCTGTCGGAACAGGCGTAGATGACGGACGTTATATGCCATTGTATGAGCCCTTCGCTTGAATTGAGATGGCCGTTGCGAGCCCTAATAATTTACCGGCTTCTACAGAGGACATATGATATTGATCGTGATCATCAATGGCTCGAAATATATGGTGAGTCGCTGATACAACCGGGGGTCTTGCATCCTGTTAATCCATTCTCTATAGATCGATGTTGGTTTTGGAAATGGCTGCGCGACAGCACCTCTTCCTCTCCAGGAAGGGGCGATTGCTACGAATATAGCGCCCTCAGAGATGCGCCTCATCAGAGATAGCCTGAATGAATGTATCAATCAGGATCAGAAAGTCTGGATCTACCAGACAAGGCACAACCCTGACAGCAATTGGATGCCAAATATCTGTTTTTCGGACGTGGAATTCCTGCCGCAGGATTTTGGCGTTATGAACTTCGCCGTGAGCCAGAAACGCACCAGCTGGTTCACTCAAACCTTCGTTTGCACGCGGATGATTCTCGACCCATCCGGGCAAGAGATCATCGGGCAACATGTCATTTCTGGCAGAGAAGTGAAGCGACGGATCCACGGGCAATCGGAAGTATTGAAAACTCTTAATAGCGAAAAGGAACGTGTTGAGGCACTAGCAGAACACTTTGATGTGCATCTTCACCCGTCTGAGGTTCGAGGTATCCTGGGCTTGAGTTCAGAGCTCAAATAAGCAAGACCCTACCGGATCGACATAGAAGAAAAATATAACTGGCATTGTATGGTACAGCGGCGTTTTCTAGAAAGATTGGGGTGGATATGTATGGTGATCAAGAACAGAAAAGCGCAATAGGCATGATAACAAGGGAAAAAAGGTTGCAATTTTGGTGAATCTAGTAAATACGCTTCTCAAGCTGTTAAGAAAGAGTTAGTGTTCCGCGTTCCTTTCCAGTTACTAGAAACGAGTATCCATACCTTCCATGGGCTGCTAACTTCGAATCCCTTCGGCGCCACGGGATTACTGGATTGTCCTCTCCATGTGCCAGTAATGCGGAGATCCCGCTCCATCACTGTACGAAGAAAATTAGTTTCAACCAATTCCTTCATCCGGGTGTTTTCATGTCGCTTCGATCGAATTCAAACTTACTTTGCTGCGAAAGAGTTAGCAAATGTTATCGAACGGCTCCGACCGAAGCCGACGCGGAAATACAGGGCTAGACTTACTCGGTCCCAGATATCATTGTTCCAACGGTTCTTCTTGCCTTCATTCAAAAAGCGCTTTGAGGCATACAGGCCGACACCGGTTACGCCGAACATCTGTGGTGGTGGTCAGCTTGAGCTTCGGGAAAGGACTGACGAATGATACGCACGCCAACGATAATCCCGTATGGGAGCAAGGCCTCGAAGGGGACACCCATGATTGCGCCGGTGGAGGTAGCAGATGATTGATCGGTAAAAGCGTGGAAGGTATGCAATGGGCTGTCCGAAGACCAATGAAGAATAAATGCAGCGTGTGAAGAGGGGAATGCGGAGGGTGCAAGAGGATCGATTAGAGGGAGGAGGTCTGCACATCCTAATTGGGCTTAGCGCTAACCTGACTCAGCCGGCCTGCGACGACCACTCCAAAGGGTCAAGGGGGCAGCGCATCGCAATCGATTGTTAGGGAGATCGTCTCTCAGTCCTTGAATAGCTTATCGGCGCGTCTTAGACCTGTCTACTTGAAGACATTAACTAGGTTCTTCCCTGGTGTGAGCCGCCTCCTCCGCCCGACACGTGTTTGGAAGCAACCACTTATCTAACACCCATTACCACCTCCAGCTAGGCTACAACTTCGACAAAGCAAACTCGACAAGAAAAAGCAGAAGCTGTGTCGAACTAATCGCACCAATCCACCCCCTCGATCTCTTACCGGTCTTGTTTTGGGTTCCAGATGCACCTCCGATTCGCCACCGACGTGAGCGGGGTGGCTCTGTAGCTTAAACCGGCTGGACTTTGAACAAAGGCATTCGAGACAACTCGGCGCGCATCGCCTAGAGCTACATTGCTATCGACCTGGCAACTGTGGTCACACTTACCATGGCGGCGACGGTGCCGCCCGCGAACGAGGATCCCGGTCAACTCGACCCACCACCTGCTGACCAGGCTGACAGCGACCTGGACGCGGAAGGGGAAGAGGAGACGGACCTGTATCAGATGGATCAACAACTTCAAAATGCTGTACACCGAGCGTATTCAAGCGACGACGGGGAAGAAAATAACGAAAGCGAGGCGGATGAGGCTAAGTCTCTGAGCGCAAGGCGCGCACAAAACAGTGGCGATAATGATGAAACGGAACCTGTGGGCGCAGTGAAACTTCCCGACGACGACTCATCCTCTGTTGATGAGGATGCGGAGTCAGCGACAGCAGGGACGGCTGACGGGGATGGCGATCCCGCTTTCGAGGAGGAAAATGAACGAGATGTTTCGGAATCAAGCGAATCAGAATCAGAGGCTGAAGAATGGGAGGCTGAGAGTAACGGCCATGAGGATGGGGATGCGGAAATCCGCAGCCGTACAAACTGCATGTAAGTGACGCAATTCTTGAACCTTTTAAAAAGCCCCCAAGGAAGCAAGTGAAAGAAAGGATCAAATTGTGCTTATACTAAAGGAATTTTTTCTCTCAGATTTTGTAACCAAGATGAAGAGCATGACCCTGGTGAGGATTTTGAAGAATGGCTCACATGCGCTGTTTGTGGTGATCATTGTAAGTTCAGATACCTTGGCGGGACTCAGTTTGAGCCCAACCAATATTCTGGGTTATTGTTGACTCAAGCTGACTTGGAATTTCAGCTCATCGGCAATGTGCTAGAGAACAAGAGGCACATGAAGAAACCGAAGGTGAGCTAACACTGAACCATTGAAAGTTGTGGGGGAGGGTCCACTAACGTTTCCTCAAATATGCAGATCGCTGGAAATGCCCCGTCTGTGTCCAAAACAAACTTGAACCTGATCCCGCGGAAAGTCCAACATCGATTCAGCAGAAATCCGGTGGAGCGCACCTGCCTAAAGAGCTTTTACCGGCTCATGTTGGCAAGCAAGGCTCTGACTTTCATTCCATCTTCAACACAGACATCAATGACGAAGTCTTGAATAGCTCACGTTCACTAAGAAAACGAAGAGCTTCAGAGGTGGAAGAGCATACCCCTGCTCTTCGAAAACGACGACGCCAAACGGATCACTCAGATTCAAATGACCCTCCTATGCATACTGACACGCTCGGCGACGAATCAGCCCAATCCCGGCCTCTGCGCGCAAGAAGGACCCGTGGAGTTGACCGCGATCATGCACGCATAGTAAACAAACAATTCGGGAAACTCGTCATGGGTTTCCGTCTCGATGAAGGACGCGTGGGCCGCATATTAAACAGTCAAAGCCGACCGCAGCGAAAGAAGAAGAAGGCACTCAAACCCCAGCCGGCGCATCAAGAACCTCAAGCACACTTTGCTCCTATTCCACCCGCTCCTTACAACCACTTCACTCCATTTCATGATCGCGAAGGTGATGACCCCAAAGCCAAGCCGTATGGCGGCATACTTTCCGAAGGAGAGCAAGATACCTCCAAGACACTCCCGACACAAGGCGATCGTGATAAATTTGAGTTCGCTCGCCAAAAAGCTGAAGATGAATGGCAACGAAGGGTCCGAGAGGCAGAACTCAACGGGGAGGTAACAATAACAGCGTCTCAGAAAGTTTCGGGTCCACCTTCAAAGATCAAGTATATTAACTTTGGAGGTTACGAGATTGAGACCTGGTATGCTGCTCCTTATCCGGAGGAGTACAGCCGAAATCGTGTGCTCTACATTTGCGAGTTCTGTTTGAAGTACATGAACTCAGACTACGTCGCTTGGCGACACAAACTCAAATGCCCCGCAAAACATCCCCCTGGCGATGAAATCTATCGCGATGGCTCCATCTCAATCTTTGAAGTGGATGGCCGCAAGAACCCTGTCTACTGCCAGAACTTGTGTCTTCTTGCCAAGCTTTTTCTTGGATCCAAAACCCTCTATTACGATGTCGAACCTTTCTTATTTTATGTCATGAGCGAGTACGATGATCTGGGATGTCATTTTGTGGGCTATTTCAGCAAGGAAAAGAGGCCGAGCTCGGCAAACAACGTTTCGTGTATTCTTACGCTCCCTATTCATCAACGGAAAGGCTACGGCAATCTCCTTATCGACTTCTCGTACCTTCTAACACGCATCGAGGGCAAAAATGGCTCACCAGAGAAACCCTTATCTGATATGGGACTGGTGTCATATCGCAATTACTGGCGCCTGATCTTATCTTATCAACTTCGTGATCTAAAGACACCCTTGAGCATCGCCGACCTCTCCGACCGAACAGGAATGACTGCAGATGATATCGTGTCCGCGTTGGAGGGTCTTCGTGCTTTGGTACGGGATCCCATCACAAAAATTTACGCCTTTCGTCTCGATACCAAATACTTTGAAGAAGTGATTCAAAACTGGGAGAAGAAGGGCTATGTTACACTCAACCCCGATGCTCTACTCTGGACCCCATACATTATGGGACGTAATAACCAATCACATTTCGATCGAGCACCACTACATGCCGTGGCGCCTCGAGACGATCCCAATGAAGATGATGAAGATGTGGACATGAAGGAGGTCGACGATGACATCGAGGTTCCCTCTATGAATGATCATGCTGATGGTCTAGGCGAACCCGCTGGGCCACCATCGACCCATGCTCTTCTTCAGCCCAATGGGGTTCACTCACCAGATACTTCGGCCACCCCAGTTTCTAATCCTGCAGCTGGGATCCCACCTTCTCGATTTGAGCTTTGGCCTCCAGTTCGTGTTCCAGTGAGCCATAAAAAGAAGCTTGGTCGCCCCATGACCAAGTCTCGAGCATCAATGACGCCAAACACTATCAGAACTAGCGGACGCAATACTCCACGCAGAGGGTCTGGTCTTCCAACCGTTACTCCTTCTGCTAGCACGCGTCGTGGACGAAGCGCAAAGCTAAATGGGTCACCAGCTGCAGAGGAAAGTACACCTCTACCAAATGGCATTGAAGCTGATGACGAAGCGGTGGCTGAAGAGGAGGATGAGGAGGAGGGGGAAGAGGAAGAAGTACTGATTGATGAAGAAACAATGGTTGAAGAAAAATCGGTTATTGTCGAAAAAGAGGTCGATGAAAGTCAGGCGTTCTCTGGTGCTGATGCCGAAACAGACGCTGGCCTTGCTGATACCACACCAGACGAGGATGATGGGGTCTCCAAAGAAGTCAATGGCGAGGAAACTGTTGAAGAGGTCATCCAAACGAATGGTGTTGGCCATGATGAATCCCCTGCCGCTGAAGCCGAGCCTAGTGCCGAAAGTGAAGCCCCGAAGACACCCCAGTCAAAATCCAAGTCCAGATACAAATCCAAGTCCAAGTCTAAATCACGATCACCGGGAACAGCAAACTCCCACCGGTCGACAAGGAGACAATCTGACAATGCTCCTAAAACCCCGACCCCAGTCAGTCGCAAAGCCTTGGTCGAAAAAGTCCAGGTTGTCATTCCTGCGGAGCCTAACTCGGCACGGAGTCGCACCAAGAAGGAGACACCCGTCATGAATGGTCTCAGCGATGCTGATGCTGATGGCGAAGACGACCCTGACGCCGATGGAGAGTACGAGGTAGATGGAGACGTCGTGATGGAGACATGAAGAATGCAGTGTTTCGAAAACCGTTAGGTCACATGTAAGAGGCTTGCTTTCTCTTACCTGAGCATTCAATACCGCATATGGGATTTAGGCGTTCATTTCTTTTCTCTACCTTTCGATTCAGTTTTTCTCTCCCTTTTTCTTTTATGACCAATTCTTAATGGTACGCACCCTGTCTCCTCTGGATGGATTTTTTTTCGTTGCCTCGCCAGATCCTACATTCCATGTTCAGGCCAAAATCTCTAACAGCAGGAGGGCTTTGATCGCTTTGTATTTTTCTTTTTTTTTTTTCCTCTATTTTCTTCTCTTCTCTTTCCTCTAGCAAGGAGCGTGGGCTACGGTGTCAGGAGTTGATCTTGGTTTTCATTTTGCTTTTCTTCAATTTCCCCCTTTCTTCTCTCTTTCTGGTTCATTTATGGATACTCTTCCGATTGTATCGAGAACATGTAGTGTAGTCTATAATCCCAATCAATGTTATGATTGGTCGATCATCTGGCATAATCCATTATCACTCTCTGGTAGACTCTAGTTTCCAACTACATAAGCACATATTATCATCCCTTGATCATTATGGCGTTTTTATAAAAGTAAACTAGTACACAGACCTCGTAGGGGCTGTCTATGTAGTCTTAGCCCTATTCAAACAGTTACTTAAATCCTATACACTTTTTATCTGGTACGTACCAGTAACCTTAAAATGCATAAGATAACCTGAAGTACTCCATAGGCAGCACCTGAGTTGAGCCTGGGCCTCCGGGCGTCGTACCTTGCTGCAAAGTATAGATTTTGAGTTTAGGAGAAGGTTTCCCCGTCCCCTCATAGAACAATTCGTATGTCAAAGCTCAGTTTCTGTACGCACGAACCCTTAAATCTTGGAACCCAATTCAATTGAGTGCTTGGTATTAGGCAACAATGCGGGGCAAATGATCTATGGGAGATATATCAGATTGTATACCTGTCCGTGCACATGCTAGGTAGTAATCCGAGTTGCCAGCTGGGCTCGTGTGTACATTTGATAGAACAGGTCATATGGTCCTCAAGGAAGTGTAATTTTTTAGATACACAAGCATTTAGTAAGAACATATAGAGTACTGATGTACTAGTACTAAGCGTATCAATTTACATAGTAGGTGCTGGTGCTTTGTTAGCAAGTTGAAGTGAACATTCCATGCTACACGGACAAAAAGTATCCCTTCCGACTTCTACCAATATGCTTAAGAATTGTGGCTACTCTACATCTATTCTATTTCCAGTGCCTTCGAGGGTTTTTTTTGTTCATATAAATTGTCCAATACAGTGACCAGCCATATTCAAACGGCATCTTCCCATGGCAGCCAAATAGCAGCAAACCCCGCATAGTTGTAGTCCAAGGGTGTCTCGCCCGATAAATCTACAACATTCACACTGGCGCCATCATAATAATATTTCAAGCGATCCATATTACTGTTCTTTGCTGCATGAAACTTGAACGATGGAGAGTATTATTGTCCTTCCTCGGAGCATATTCATGTTCCTATTCCGATTGAGATGTCCTCGGCACGAGAACAATGGCATTATGCAATCTCACATCTTCAATCCTCAACTCGAATACAGTACCATTTTGGTGCACACGCAGATCCTTGCACATATACATACAGATCCGATCTGACGTGCGAGTCATAGTAGCACTGGCTTTGAGGGTGCATAGTTCCAGATTGTCGGGAATGGATGCATTCGAAGTAGGATTAAGATCCGAGCGACCGAGCATTATTGGCCGAGACACCAGGAAAGTGGTATATATGGAGACTATTATTTCAAATTGATACTGATCCTGCGACTTAAGATTTGAGATTTGAGATCTGATATCTGATTCTAACGCTTCCATTGTAACTCGGTGCCTCCTCGGTACTATGTAGAGTCCAAGATCGGCACGATCGGCGGTCAGAGCGCACAGGGCCAAGTCACACTAGCGGGTAGGCGGTGGCTCAACCCATGGAACAGCAGTTGACCACCACGGAACTGGTAATTTAAGCATAAAGTCGTAGCGTTATAGGTGTGCCGTGGTTCTTGGTTGGGGCTGCCGCTGTCATTAGTCGATCAGGACCCTGACAGATACTCTATACGTATAAAGTATACAAATATCCTGGTTGATGAAATTAATATTCGACTTATAGATCCTAACAGTAAATAATAATAAAGCTCTGATCCTGGTTAATACTGCTGTCCCCTGGTAATAACAGCCTGTGCGATGCCCCGCACCATTTAAATTTCCGGGCCACTTCATCGTGCAGGGTTGAGTTGTTCATTCCCCCCACGTAGTCTGAGTTTTTTGGGCCAATTCAATCTCCCTATTTTTTTTTTTTTGGTTTTGGGGCTTGAATCTTTTTCTGTATCTGTGCTGTTTTCTTTCTCATTCTCTCCTTACTGATCTTTATACGACCATCAAGAGGTGCTTACTTACCTGGTTCTTTTGGTCGTTTGTTTTGTGTATTTTTCTGACCACAGCGTTCACGCCTGGCTGCATCCAAGATCCAGTCTCCAACTCCCACATATCATCCGAGACCGGGAATCGGAATACGGATGGCCGCACAGTCTCTATGTCTATCCGTAAATCCCTTTATCCTGCTTCATCTCCTGCATTGTATCCTCTGCTCGCGTTGTTTTTTTTTCTTGCTTGCTTTTCCTCCAATTTCCCCCCTCCCCCTTTTCTCAGCCCTGGAAGTGTCTCTGTGTCCTTTTCTTCCTCCTGGATTCACAGTCTCCACTGCTGTCAACCCGTGGACCTCAAGCCCCGCTTTAAGCAGGCTTAGCTGACCATGCGAAAATGATGCAACTTTTTTCTTTTTTCTCTTCTTTTTCTTCCCTTTTTCCTTATCTTTTCTCTCTTTTCTTTTTCTTTTTTATAAATCCAATTGATCATCTCCAAGTTTGATATTCTCCTTGCATGATCGCCGCTGCACTGTCGGTATTTCTGCCAAAATAGATGCATCCTGATCTGAAAGGCGAGTGGCCCGCTTGTCATATCCTGTCTGCATTGCAGTCTATGCCCTGTGCGTGCGCCATGCGAGACCCCCTCAAACCCCTCAACCACATCCCCAACAGCCACAACTGGTGCTCGAGCCGAGGAGCAAAAACCAGAAAAGAGAAAAAAAAAAGTAAACAAGCACACACTGACCCTGATGATGCTGCTACTTACCCCCTCACACTCCCCTACCCCTCGCGATCAGATCAAATTGATCGAATGAAGCATGTGGGAGAGAGAAGAGACCGAAAGACAAACTGCAGGATTCTTTAGCAGCGCACGCACCCCAATGCGTCAATAATGCAGGCTAAGATCATTGGGAAGGTGATGGACTTCCCAAAGCCGCGAAGTTTTCTGATTTCTTTTCTCGCCCTACTAATCCTATCTCCCCGCAGCCTGAGCTCAGCCGCAGCAGGTTCGAAAAGAAAAAAAAATAAGAGGGCTGGTGTGGCGCAAAGACCGTAGTCCGAGAAAAGCCGGGTGAAGAATCCAGCGATCTGCAAACACCACCGGGCTCCACCGGTGTGTGATACAATGATTCGTCTCTAGACGTATGCATGATGCCCGATCGCGCAAGTCCCCGGACCATACATTGTCCTTTCTCAAGATTTGTCGAGGGCCCGAGGGTTCTTAGCTTATCTAGGGATCTCCGACTTCCCGCCCAACATCACTAGGTCCCCACATCACAGCTGGGAGAAGTCCCCATAGAGTAGAGTGCAGGTCGCGAATCCTGCATGTCGAGGTAATGTGACGCATCGACTTTCCCAACTACTCCAATTGTGCTGGGGTTCGTATCCTCTTTCTTTCTTTCTTCTTTCTTTCCCCCAATCCCCTTTAACTTGGACTTATTTTCCTTCCCCTTCGTTCTTCTGTTTGGGCCTTTTTTTTTGGTTTGTTCTGATTTATCAATTTGCGACGTGGTGGTTTTTGATTTTTCGAGTTCAATCAGTTCGATATTTGCTCTGCTTCTTGCTTACCTTGCCATTATCACCATGACCGGGTATGCCTCGTGGGAGCGTATTGTGTTGGCATAACGTCTTTGGTTTATCAGGGCTCTTGCACTTAATTGCAATTGTACTTGATTCGCGCATGCTTGACGAGTGTGTATGATATAAGTGTGCTCTCAGGCGCCTTGAATTTGTATGGTTCCTTGGGAAGACGTGCAGGTGTATACAACGACGTTGAAGCGCGACTTTATTTTCGAACGGAGCGGCCTAAAAGCGGGAGCTGTGTTACCCTGCAACAATCTGAACAACGAACAGAAGGAACCGACCAGCGACATATTGAGAGCATCAGTGTGATAAGATATTAGCAGGAGAGATCATTCGCAGGTAAGATTTGGATTGTTTTCTATATTTTGAAGGGACGTTGGAAAGAGTGGAACCCCCCTTGCAATGATATGGAACTACGATGAACAAAGGAAATCGGGATGACATAAGGCAAGCAGCGCCTCAATCTGCCCAGGTGATCCCTGATCTCGTGGGGGGAGGGGGGGAATGAGGGGTTCTTACTTTGGCTTTTACTTCATGCTTTTATTTCATTTGTTACGTTCTTCTTTTGTCTTTTATCTCTTTTTGTTTTTGTTTCTAAGACAAAGTTCCTCCCCCAAAGCTAATTGTTGATCATAGGACCCCGGGGATACGTCCACTACGTGTTGGGGGCGGTGGAGTCACCAGCAGAGTGCACTAGAGGCACTAAAGAGCATCGGATCGTGCACGGTCGTGACAATTGTGCCATTTTTTCCCATTTTCTCCCCCGGAGATCAACGATCCTGTTTTCGACCAGCCCAGGGCCATGCGGGCTTGGATCTTGCATATCCGGGAACCCACCGTGACTGGAATGCTTAGACGCCGGACCAGGCACCGAGTCCACTTCCGCGTTTACTAACCGAATTCCTGCCAACCCCCGTTTGATCACCTGCATAGCCGGCGCCATCCAGCCGTTTACGTTTACGTTTTGAACCACAAGTGGGTTTTTTCGGGAGAGCCACCCATCCATTCCACCAAAGAAACCCGAAATCCAAATCCCATCGGAGCCGAAAAGAGATAGAAGAGAGGGGAAACAAGAAAGAAGAGATCACGAGATCACGCCACTGTCGACTTTATCTTCTATCTTTACTATTCCTTCCTATTCCCTACTCGACTTGATTTTCGATTTTTTATCATATATATATTTTTTCTATTCGGTCAACGGATATCATCATTGATTTCCGCATTGTCAAGTCATCCAGTCATCCATCCGTGGTTGCCGAATCCCAGCTGAACCCCGAATTCGCCTTCGCCCACTTTTTCCGCAGCTCTTAACCTTGTCGGGTTACCTTGATTTACGGGTTAACGGCTAAGAGTCCAAGGCGCAGAGCAGAAAAAAGACAAAAAAGAAACCAAAAATCCCTGAGGCTCCACTTTTCAGCTACAATCTGGTGTCCTGGACTTCTACATAAAGAGGGCAAAGAAGAAAAAAAAAGACCAAAAAGACCAAAAAGACCAAAAGTAAAAAAAACTCCAATTTCTCTTGAATCTGATTGGATCCCACTTCTCTGAATTTTTTTTCTTTCTTTCTTGTCTGTGCGGACTGAGAAGGCACCTCTGGCCTCTGATTTGCTGTTGGGGCTCATTTCAATACCCAATTGAAATTGGCGTCTTGATCCGGTCGGAGAGAGAGAAATCAAGAGAGAGAGAGAGAGACTCGACTGTGAAGTTGTAAAGAGCCACTGCAACTGTACATCTTTAAATCTCCACTACGATTATATTTTTTCTTTTTTTTCCTTCTTCACACTTCGATCCAGATCCGGTCCCAAAACGTCACCACAACCGTTTTCGTCCCCGGCCACACTGAAGTTGAAGCTACTAAATTCGATCCATGGGAGAATCGTCGCTCTTACCGTGAATCCCGCACCGTTCTAGTCCACCAACTCTTCTCTTTCCCCCCCCCCCACTACAGCTCGGCCTCTCTCTGTGTCTGGCTTCTCTCTTCTTTCTTCCCCTCCAAATATTAACGACATCGTGACTCGTTCTACTGGTCGTCCAACTTTAGAAGAGCAAAAGAGACCCATTCTTTTTTTTCCCTTCTTCCCTCCTCCTTCTCTCCCCCCCTCCCTGCTCTGTCTTTACTGTTCGATTCTGTTCCCCGGAAATCAGCCTGCCAAACCACTCCAAATCCCGTGGTTCTTGACGTCTACCCGATTTTAATTACCTGAACCCTCTTGTGTGCTTGTTCACCAATTATCGGGTCCTGGTTCCACCCGTCGTCTTGATGAGTGCATCGACGTTCTCCGACGCCTCTTTTTCGCGCGAAGCCCAGAGGTTCGTAGACCTTTAAACTCCGCAGTTTTTACAGCTTCCTTTTTCCCTATCATCATTTGTTTCTATTATTTGCACTGCACTTGTTCTGCTGGTGCTCGTGCTCGTGCTAGTACTGGTGATCTATCACTATACCCCATCAATTCCTTGTACTGCGTCATCGTGCTATCCAATCTTTCAAAAAAAAAATTTCCTCATCCTTCTTTGTACCTCCTTCTTTGTCACTGTACTCGAAAACTAGGACCGTTTTCCAACTGACAATGTTAACCAACGCCAGTTCTGACTTTGACCTGACCATTCGCCAGCAGCCCGACCGGGCGCGCGTGGCTGGGGGCAAAGAGAAAGAGCGCAAGCCGATCGATCCGCCCCCGATTGTTCAGCTTCGTGTGCGAGAGGAGGGCTCTTACCTGGCGCAGTAAGTCATTGTCTCGTTTCTCCTCATTCTTGTGGAACCTTCTGGGTCTCCAGGGCTCTGTCCTCCACTTTGTGCCGGTGCGTGGGTGTGGCTTTAGCTTCGATTGCGGGGAAGGAAACCCGAAGGAAAGAAAGAGCCCATCAAAGCCGGAGTGAAGGGAGCGAGGGAGCCTGAAAGAGAATGAGACATGGAACCTCATGTGCTAACCCCACCCGCAACTAGACATTACCTGCAAAGTCCCTACTATTTTATGTGTTGCAGTCTGTACGATGCGTCAGAAGATCGTCCGGTGCCGGTTGCTCCGTCGACAGCACTAGCAGGTACTTTGGTTTCGTCTCTCCACAGGTTGAAAGACGTTGACAATAGTGGTAAGCCATTCGCAACTACTGGCGTGAAGACTAGGAAGCAAACGAGAGAACACAGAGGCTAATTGAGAACCGTGTGCAGATGGCGGGTTCTTTGTCTTTGGTGACTTGTCTGTAAAGATCGAGGGCGAGTACCGATTGAAATTCACATTGTTCGAGATGCGAAGGTGAGTTGCATGACATCGTGGGATTGACTCGAGTGAACTTTTAGTGAGAGACTGACTGGGAATCTACAGAGAGCAAGTCACCTACCTGAAGACCATAATTTCAGAGCGTTTCACAGGTGAGTAACCGCTACTGTCCTCGTGACTCTGCTTGTTACGTTTCTACAGTCTGGAGCCTGGGCGTTTGGTTAACGCAGTGTCTGCAGTGTCACCCCCCAAGAGTTTCCCTGGCATGATGGAGTCCACCTTTCTTTCTCGGTCCTTTGCAGATCAGGGAGTTAAGTTGCGCATTCGCAAGGAGCCTAGAACAATGATGTAAGTGAAAGATCTCTTTCTGCTCACTCAAGAGCTTGAATCGAGTGTCGTTACTGACGGGCTTACCCCCGAAAGGAAACGTCCTCGACCGGACGAATTTCCTCAATCGCTACCTCCGCGGTCTCCAGAGCGTCAGTCAGTGCAAATTCCTCCTGCGACAGCGTATAGAGGCTATCCAGCAACAAGTCAAGACTATGCGTACTACGGGGCGCCGGTTAAGCGCCAACGCGCCTCTATTGACTACGGTCGTCAACCAAGTTTATACCCGGACACAGATGCTCGCATGGCTCGTCCAATGGACACGTACGGCCAACCGACAGCTATGTACGGACAGCCTAGTGCATACCAAACACCAACAATGCCGTACTCGACAGGTCAGGTGGTGCCGGATTATGGGGTGCGTTCTACTCCCGAGGCAAAATGGTCTGGTGGCTGGCAGCAACAGAACCTCTTTTTCAACTAACGTATGCTTGTCTTTTTCTTTTTCTTCTATCAGATGTCCTACGGTCTCCCACCTACAAATCCTATGTCTCAGATGCCCGATCCATCAGCTCAAGCTCGATCAAGTCAGCAAGCTGCAGTGGGACAGCTCATGGCGATGAATCAACCTGGCACACCTGTACGACACCCCTCTTCAAATCAGTGAAATTTGGGATTTTACGAGGACCCTGCTAAAGATTTTCCTATCTTTTCTTTTCGCGCGCGAAATAGACTCCGGATTCAACTGGTGCAGCAGCTATAATGGCTCAAGGATACCATCGGCCCGGATACTCGACCGGTTCTCCTGCGACTACTCTTCCTCCGTTACAGCGTACTCGCGATTATACCCATGGTCCCAACGGGACTGGAAGCTCGAGGGGATACTTCGACCCGCCATCTCCATCGGCCACCCCGATTCTGCCTTCCCAAATGGTGCCTGACGGTGATCGATATGGCTCCATGACTGGCCCGGTGGCCTTTGACCCTTCCGGGTCAAGTAATGGAACTCCGCGATGATGCTTATTATAAAAGATCGGATATTCTCGACCTCCGACTTTCTAGGTGCCGGATGACTTCCTGCTCTTCGTTTTATGACCAAAAAAACACCCCTTTAACCTATCTTCCTTTTTGTTGGCCTGGTTGTTTGACCTCGATGGTCCTCTTGGTTGACTGTATTTTGTCTCCATTACCTTTTTTTCCTGTCTGTCTGGATAGACCGGGGTGTTAGATATCACGTTTATGGTTATGTCTCTTTGGGTGGCTTTGGGGGCTTGTTCTCTGCTTTTTTTTTCAATGTTTTTTCTGTGCGTCATGCTTTAATTTTACAGGCGTACTGGGTGGGTAGAAAATGGGGGAGGTATACTTTGTTTTTGTTCTCTTGTTTACACTTGGTCGCTCCCTCTGCGTTTTTCATCTTTCGACTTTTTTTTCGTCTCGAAAAGGGAGAAAAGCAAGAGACCGGAGTTTCCATTCTTATTCCTTCATGTACATAAATTCTCTTTTCTTAGCAGTCCAAACTGTTCGTTTTAATCAATGGCTTATGCAACTAGCACTCGTACCTTCCTGGTTTGGCATTCACTTCCAGGTGTTGTTGGACTTCTTCCTTCTCCTCCCTCTTTTCCTTTCTTACAACTCCCCACCCCACATCCGCCATGGAGTCATCGGACAGTCCTTTCAGCGATCTGGACGTGTACGCGGACTGGTCTGGCGACCCCTCAGATCCAGTCGAAGTCAAAATCGAAGTGGAGGTATCCAACCCTAAGTTGCGGATGATTTCCAAATGACAATAACAAGGGAACGATGTAAGCTAACCGTGAAAATCAAAACATCATAGATCCACTGTGTCCCCTACCTCGACAAAGCAATACTGAACGCTCGTATTCCTAAAAATGCAGTTTTGAGTTCCTCGCTCCAGCTCGCCCAACCACGCAAAGCTCTCGCCCAGCCCCAAGATGCCATCGACAGCGACGAGACTCTCGTAACACCCACAAACACTGCATCCACGCGCTCAACCCAGGCCTGGAGCAGCAGCTCAGTCAAGCATCGTCCTTCATTTCATCCCGACTCATTCACCGAGATCTCTGATCAAGACAGCATCATTGTCCCCGACAGTCCGACGGATGATTTCCATGGCGCAACTATTGTTCCCGGTTCCTTTGGGCCTATGAGAACGCCTATTAAAACCAGAAAGAGGACTTTAAATGTCAAAAAGCAGACACGGCCTCTGGACTCTGAAGAGAAATCCCCTCTCGCCGATATATGTCATTCAAGGAAGAGAAGTGCGAAGACGGCATCTTTGCCAGACTCTGTTACCGACTCTGATAGACCTTATGGTGGATACAAGCATAAGGTTGGAGTGAGTGCATCTGTGCTGGAGTCTGGGGCATCGTCAAGTGGTTCTGGGTCGACGAAGTCGAATCGACCGAGTCTAATCCCGAGACCTGTCAATATTGCCCACGCCCAGAGTCATTCGCTTCAAACTGTAACTCCAATTTCGCCGATATCCCCGATGAAGATACCCGTGGTGAAGAGCACATTGAAAGCTAGCGAGGATGGTGCTGATGATGAGCTTAAGTTTGGGCCTTTGTTGAAGATGGAGGATACAGTGCTATGGAGCCCTACACCCAATGGCGTTATCACGGATACCGATGCGAAAGACCAGCCCAAGACAAGTGAGCAAAAGCCGGGGCAGGCTGTGTTATCTAGGCCGATACTTCCTGTGACACCCACGAAGAACAACCGAGCATTGGCTGGAAGTGCCGATACAAGCGATGATGTTAGCTCGGAGGCTTCGACTGGGCATCTTTCCACCGTCGTATCATGCGGGACTCCGTGCGACATCCATCGTATTTTGGATTCATACAGCGCAAGCGATGACTATTGGTCTGCTATCACTGATGATGTGCATCCTCAGGGCATACGGTCAGGTCATTTGCACAAAAATATCGCCTTGCAGTCAACCTTGCCCCAGCTCGTCTACGAGAATGAGACTTTCGGCATTTTCTGTCCCGCAAATGTTCAACCCGCGACATACAAAGCATCCATTACTTTTATAATTCCAATGGAGAAGGGAACACTAAGGGGTTGGCTGAACTTTGTTATCCCGGGATTGCCCCGACTACGAAACAATGACACAGGCTATCTGTATTTCTGGACCCCTCCAGGACAGGGGATCGAGGTTCGCACTACCCATTTCAAACGGCACACCATAATCGAGAGCTGTATGATGGGTCAATTTCCGATATTCGAAAAAGTGGTTATTCCGGTGCGGCCATGTGACGGTCGATTCTACGGTTTTCTTAAGGATTTCAAAGTCACGCAGAGTATTCGAAGCGACATTCTTGTGAAGAAGTGCCAACAGAATTTCTTCATGAGGTATCATGCAGTGTGCTCCATTGATCTGATTCAGCGTGTTTTTTGGGCCGAGAAATGTGGCCTGACCATTTATGTATATGGTGGGCCTGATGGAGAATTCTCGTGTCACCTCCCTGATCCCCGAGACCGAGACCGATTCTACGCCATCCATTTGGATACTGCGACTGATAGCCGAGTTGGTATCTCGGAGATCCAAATTATCTGCTCCCCTTCCAACTTGAGCATGTTCGCGGTGACCTGGGATGTTCCGGCGCCTCGTGAAAATGATTCCATCTGGATTCCTCGTATTCGAAGTGCTGTGGACACCGATGGCATCATTGAAGATCTCCAATCTCGTTATTTCCAGGCTGAGGAGGGACGAAGCTATGAGGTTACCAATGTCTCACCTACTCCTAATGTCGAAATTTTGGTACGTCCCAAATCTCGACCTGATGCAAAGGCAAAAGGATGGACTTGGAAAATAATCGGAGTGAATTGCTTGAGGCTTTTCGTTGTAATTACGCTTGGCCGCTTGGTTCATCGGCTCTACCTGGAATATTATCCAGACATCGTGCCCGTTGTAACCACCGCAGAGTCTGTCGCGGCCCTTTCTGTTGTGAGTGAGATCATCGAGTTGATTGACTTTATTGAGATAATCCCTGATGAGCTTGATACTATTGATGTGACTTTGCTTGCTGCTGATACGGGTCCTGTTCCTGCTATTCCCGCTACTCATACCCCTACTTCTATCCCCATCCGCGATCGAGTTGATTACTTCCTGGGTTGGAGAGGCCCTCTCGCTGGACTTTGAACGCTATTACCCCAGTAATAACTGTACAATAGTTTTACCAGTCCTACATAGACTGAATCGAGTTTACCTTATGATATTACTGGTGGCTGTTCTCTATTCTATTGAATTAATAATATTTCCATGACTTGATCTATTTCAAAAGAAAAAGGGAAAAATAGAACTAAACATAATCGCCTAAGTACCCTTACCCTTCAGGTTCTTCCTTCAAGCATCTCAGCCATCACATCTTATTCAAATCCACAATTAGCCACACGTTACATCTGAGGCAGGTCCTAGAACATACCTTCAATGAACCTTCTCTCTTTCCAGCCAGAGACGTTAGGTTTAGTGATTTTTCTGGATCGCCGCTGACAGCTTTGATGACAGTGGCTCGTATCTTGACAAATATTAACCCGGAATATCGAGTGGGTTAGATATATCAAATGTATTCAAAATGAAGTCGGTTGACTTATCTGAGACTCGGATGATGGAGAGAGGGAGATGCTGGGCAGTGGATGGGGAGAGAGAGAGAGAGAGAGAAAGAACTTACACAGGCTATGTGGATATGGTGAGTCGTGCATCACATAAAGATACCACTCTATCATGATCTCTACATAAGCAACAATAAAATATAAAACGGATGAAAAATCCCATCCATTCCTAAATTAACCTACACTAAAAAGAATCATAAAAATTCAAAATCTCCGCAACAGCCCACCTCAAAATAACACCCATCCCCACATCTCCCTTCCCCCGGTGCAACAACAACACCCGCATCCTCTCGAACATCGACTCCCTCTCCAACCCTCGTGACCAAGTCCTCCTCGCCCTCCTCTGCAACAAGCAACCAAGCATGATCCTCTACATACCTCGGCCAAACAATATCATCCACGTAGCCAGGTGGATCAACCCAGAAATTCTGTGGAGGTTGATCATTTTCTGCTTCAAGATCTATAGGAGCTTTATGTTCGTGTGTTTGTTCAGACCCGGTACTCGATTGAGTCTGAGCTTGAATATCTTCCTGTGTTGGCTGTGGTCCAATGGTTACGTATCCAGTTCTTGCTTCGCGGCGAGTTTTCACATTGGTATATGTTGCTGGTAAGAAGAGGGGGAGATGAATTGCGTCTTGGACGGGTTTTAGGGGCGAGGGCGAATCTTCATTTTGATCTGGGCCTGTGTATAGAAGGAATCCTTCCATGAAGGCTATTGTTTTTGCTTTATGGTTTCGCTCTTCGGTAATAGCGCCAGCATTGTCACTTCTCAGTCTCTTCTGGACGAGATTTCTCATCTCGGCAACGAGGTTTTCTTCAACACCGGAATGGGAGCTCTCATTTTGATCCTCTTTGCTTTGGAGCCTTGGTGGAAGTCGACCATTTTCACGGACGTAGAGGAGTGCTTGGGCTAAAAATGAAGTGTCTATAGCACCGATTGTGTCCCAGTCTTGTATTTTGCCGGATTTGGTGGTTGTGTATGGGATTCTGGGATTGTTAGTTTGTTTCCGAGCTATGGATTAGGGTTGATATTGGCTTTGGGACTATGAGGCTGATATACTGACTGATCATCTGGGTAGTAGAAATCATCCTCGTGGATGATAAAGGTGTTTAATTTTTCATTTTCATTTTGAGATTCGTGAGATGTTGATTCGGGTTTTAATTGTAGGTCCACTCTGCAGAAGACTTTTTGTAGGAGGCGTGCTAGGGTGGTTTTACCACTGGATGAGGGGCCGGATATGCCGACTATGATAGTAGACTGTTTTTGGGGTGGTGATGTCATCTTTGTCTCCTTGTATAAAGTGATTTAGGAGGAATCGAGGCTGATGTTGTTGAGTTGAGGTCGTGGTTATGGAGGGGTTGAGGGGCTTATCGATAGCTTATCATGCTTATCATGCTTATCGGGTGTGGGGGGTTAAGCTTCAGTATATTAATCGATCGAAGCCGAGATCTATGTGACGCTTGGGTCACTTGGAGGAATTTCAAATAAAACTGGATTAATGGAGTTAATATTTTGAACTAAGCGCCTTGAAGCAAGTCAAGCCCATATGGTCTCCCATAGCAACATCATTCAGTAGTACTCGGTGCAGGTCCAACACATTCTCAACCCGCATGAACGCACACGACCCACTCTCCAGGTGTGAGAATAGACCAGACAGCGTGGGAAAACGTCTCCCGCATAGAGTATTGGGGCAGTGATAATACTCACGCCGATGAGCCGGGGAATCCAGATGCTCCTCGAGAGATTGGACTGTCTCGAAATCGCCGTGGCAGATATGGCATTTCCAATTATGATTGATTCGGGCATTATTAGCTCCATCCAGTTGCGCATTTTGACATTCGATCTTGATCGGGACATTGATAACCCAGCCTCGTGAATCAGAAGCCCTGATGGCCTGGAAAAGCGTCTCTTGATTCATATGTGGTGCCTTGAGACAAAAACCACTCGCAATATGGTAGGTTGTGCTGCTAGCTGTGGCGAATTTAGCGTTGCAAATTGGGTAAAGGACGTTCTTTCCGCGGTGCTTCTTTGAGTGTAGGTGCTAGAAACAGATAAAGAATCCAACAACTTGACCTGCATGAAATAGAGCTTCGATAGACACATACCGTACGTAGTCCGGTAGGATTCACGAAAAATCGGTCACACGGTACACAATAACGCTCGTAGTGGTTCTCATCGGTCATATGTCTATGTAGAGATGCCTCATCATAGAAAAGAAGATTGCATGTTTCGCACGGGGTAAAATGTCTCCAATATCCATGAGAAGGAAGACATGTGTTGGCGGGCAGCGCCTTGGGCTCGAAACTGCCTGTAGCAGATTTCACATTGATAGGCTGAAGCCCAGTGAGCCAGGGCATCCATATGTTGACCGCAAGCTCGTTTTGTTTGAAAGGTTCGATCGCATGTCTCGCACTGGTGTTTTTCAAGCCAGCGGCTTTGCTCTCGCATGTGCTCGGTGCATGCACTTAGAGTCGAGGATTTGAGCTCGCAGGTTTCACATTTTATCCAGTGGTTGTAGTAGTATAAATGAATGACAAATTCAGTCCATTTGTGGCAATAGTAGTCGCAAGATGGACAACCGTACATCCTGGTAGCTGTTTATGAATTTTGAAATGACGGTAGGGAAATTGAAGAAAAGGTCGGAAGCTTGACTGGAGTATCATGTAGGATAGAGAAGACAGTCATTGGAAGAGAAAAGCAGATTACGAAAAATCCTTTGTTTCAAATTTATGGTTTGTGACGAGGCCTTGAAGATATGGACTTGATGTAAGAACGTCTGACTTGGTTTCATTCAATTAGGAGCATTTTATCGATTTGTATATTGAACAATGGTTCATTAGTACAATTTGCCAGGTTTAGCATAGCATATGAATTTTAATGAGGTAATTTGCAGTTAGTAAATTAAAAATATGATATATCCCTGAAGATCTACTGCCTTGAGTTGAGATCTCTTTGACTAAACACCTTTGTTCGATATTTCCTTTCCGAGCTTTAGATCTAAATTTTCCAAGCTAGTTCAATGAATTGATGGAAGCCCGACGCTTATCCAAGGAGATTGAAATTTCAACGATTTCCTTATTAAAAATCTGATAAGATATGAAGTCCAAACTACTAGTGTGAGCTAAAGTGATTGTTGATCACTATTGAGTTTTTCCTTTCTAATTTCTTCCTTTATACGATCATCGAAGATTCACAATGGGGCTGTGTGGGGCCCACAGTTAATCACTCATCTTAAGGTTGGCTATCTGGTCAATTCTAGGCTTTGTTGCCGATATATTTCATAAAGCACTGAAAGGAAATTCTCCCCATGAGGCATTTATATGTTCCGGGTGGGTAACTTGGGCAAGAGTCCCCGGTTTCACACCAAGAAGATATAAAACGTCTTCATATACCCGTAATCCATGGCAATGCGTAAGACGAACTCTATCTAGTGTTGGCAGACTGTTTGAGGAAATGGGGAAATATACCCCGTAAGGTATCCGTGCTCTAACTTGGCACCCGTAACCACCATCCAATCATTCGCCAGGATTATGCGGCCATTTTACCTGTTTCCGAAAAGACTACTCTTTCCCCGAACTGATCGTCCACTTCCCCAGTCTACCCCAGGTTGCCCCGTGGGGAAATACAGGGAAGGCAATTAGTATCCCTCAATTATTTGGCATAAATAGCCCTAGGAAACCCACTAGATCAAGTGGATTCCGAAATAGCCACTATTCCCACCTTTACCATTGGACCCGTCTTTTTATTTATTTTCCAACAAACTGCAGGTTCAGTTGAATATCTTTGAATGATGGATCTTGACAAGAAACCAAGTCATGATGATGATCCAATCAAGCATGGCCTTGAAGAGATCGAGAACATCAAGTCCCTTGACCAGGGGAATATACAGACAGAACTGAGTGGCATCGAGTCAACTGCTGCTTCGAAGGCAGCATGGCTTATATCCATAGTTGTCTCCATTGGTGGATTTCTCTTTGGTATTTACACTCCTGTCCGAGAAAAATTTTGAAGCGTATTCATATTCTAACCTTTCTTCTCTGCTAGGATATGATACTGGTTACATTTCCTCTGTCTTGGTTACGATCGACAAATCTCTCGGTCATATCCTGAGCTCGAACGAACAAGAAATGGTGACATCGTTGACCAGCGGAGGTGCACTAGTTGGAGCTATCGGAGCTGGGCTCACCGCTGATCGCTTTGGTCGTCGCTGGCCTATATGGGGCGCATGTCTATTATTCGTGATTGGATCGGTGATTCAAACATGTGCATATTCTGTCGCTCAGTTCGCTGCTGGGAGATTTGTTGTGGGTCTAGGAGTAGGAGGTGCAGCGATGATCGTTCCTCTCTACAGTAAGTATTGTCGTTCAACTCTCTCAGCCTCTCAATGTATCAATTTTAGCATTGACTAATCTTTTCCTGTATGCTAAAGTCGGTGAGTTGGCTCCTGCAAAATACCGTGGTCGCATGGTTGCCTTTAACAATATGAGCGTCACCTTTGGCCAGTTAGTTGCTAGTTCTATTGGTGCCGGATTCGCTCAAGTTAAAGGTGAAGGATGGCGTGCCACGGTGGGCATTGGAACTGCCCCAGCTATGCTACTGGCGGGTCTCCTATTTTTATGTCCAGAGTCTCCTCGGCAGCTAGTCTCGCATGGGAAGGTTGAAGCTGCCGATGCAGTTCTCTTGCGCATTTACCCGACTTCCACCGACGAGCAACGGCAAGCTAAGATCACATCTATTGAACTCTCTTTACAAGATAGTGCAACGATGGCAGAGGAGTCTATCTGGTCAACTCTCAAGAAAGTCTTTACTACACCCTCGACTGGTCGCGCGGTGCTTACTGCATGCGTGGTCATGGCGATCAGCCAACTTAGTGGATTCAATACTCTGATGTACTACGCTTCAACGTTGTTTTCTATCGTTGGATTTGCAAACTCTACAGCCGTGGGTATCACCGTATCAGGAACAAACTTCGTCTTCTCGATCGTCAACCTGGTCCTTGTCGACAAATTCGGTCGGAGGAAGATTCTCATGGTCACCATTCTTGGGATGTCATGCTGCATGATTGTCACCCTCGTGGCTTTCCTACATATCCCCATCAATCTCGAGACATTAGAGGTCGAATCTTCTACAGTTGGCTGGCCTGCGGCCCTAGTACTAGTCGTAAGTACCTCCGATAATCATCGTACTCCCTCATACCCTTTCTCACATATCATCGCAGTCTATTATCCTCTACGTCGCCTTTTATTCGTCCGGCGTTGCCACAATTTCATGGATTGGCACTGAACTTATCCCATTAGAGGTTCGAGCTGTGGGAACTATGTTGGTTAGTGTACTCCCACTCACCTTGTCAATTGCATTTGCTTTTGATACTTACTATCTGGTTCCTCAGAACACTGTTACCTGCTGGGGTTGCAACATCATCATTTCCTCTACGTATCTCTCTATGATGAAGGGCTTGACACCAAGTGGGACTTTCGGCTTCTATGGCGCAATCTGCTTCCTCGGATGGTTGTTTGTTGCGTTTTTCTTCCCTGAATGTAAGGGTATGCCTTTGGAAGCTATTCGGGACGTGTTTGCAAAAGGATTTGGAGTTGGGTATTCGAAGAAATGGCAGAAGGAACACAAAGATCATAAGGTGGAGACTACTATCGTCATTGGACATTGAGCGAGGGCAGACGATGAGGGCACCGGAATGTGTGAAGGCGCCTCTGGCTGGAACGTGTATACGCAGAGCGTCGTATAGTTTCGTCTAAGATTATATACGAATACTTATCATTTCACAACAGAATTCTGCTTTTCAAGTATTAAATCATTGAGTGGCTTCACTAGTAAAGCTTAGTAGCGGGTAAAGATGGATGGATGCCTTAATGTGGGCCCATGAAGGAATTACACTTGGCTCTGCACTCCCACTAACCTCCATTGCTCCAAGCACCAACTCACTATGAACTATAAACCTCAATCTCAATCTCAAACTTGAACAAACAAACATTTGAATCCAACCTCACCCCGCATCATGTCACAGTGACATTGTACCGTTGTTCTTCTCGCGCCCGCGTGCGGGGTTGAGATACAGATTAATCAGGGACGAATTCATCCGAGCCAACCACAACACAGAACTATACAAGATTAAGTTAGTCATAAAGAAGATCTACACAAGGCGTCGCAATTGAGTATTAGCGAGGGGCCCAAGCTCTCCCCCAATTATCCGATGAAGACCATATAACGAAGAGAATAATTCCGACCAGAAACTTCCTAATTCCAACGCAAGTCCACGGTTCGAAACCATGTTACTGAAATTATTGCTTTTAGCCCTGAGCGCTGCTACAGCCCGGGCAATCGAACCCTTCACATGGAACAACGACACTTTCCTTCTCCATGGAAAACCATACCAGATAATCGGTGGCCAAATGGATCCACAGCGTATACCCCACGAACTATGGGGTGATCGACTCGCTAAGGCTCGAAGCATGGGACTCAACACTATTTTCTCTTATGTATATTGGGATCAACTTGTTCCGAAACAAGGTGAATGGGACACAAGTGGTAACAATGATATCGCGCGATACTTCAAGACAGCACAAGAAGTAGGACTAAACATTGTTCTGCGCTCTGGACCATATATCTGCGGCGAGCATGAATGGGGTGGATTCCCAGCCTGGCTTAGCGAGGTTCCTGATATGGAAGTTCGAACAAACAACAAGGCCTATCTTTCCGCGGCAAAGTCCTATATTGATAATCTTGGCAAGGAGCTGAAGGATCTGATGGTTACAAACGGGGGACCTATTTTGATGTCTCAAGTTGAGAATGAATATGGTTCTTATGGTGCTAATCATGAGTATATTGCTTCTTTGCGGGACATGATGCGGGAAGCTTATGGTGTTCCTCTCTATACCAATGATGGAGGGGAGCAGTCTATGCTTGAGGGTGGTCAGATTGCTGGGGCACTCGCTGAAACGGACGGGAGTCCGCAGACTGGCTTTGCAGCGCGAAACAAGTACGTTACAGATGCTAGTAGCTTGGGACCACAGCTTGATGGCGAGTACTACATTACGTGGTTGGATCAGTGGGCGAGTAACAATACGTACCAGACTGATGTGGGTAATGCGGCGGCGATTAAGACAGCTACTTCTGATTTGGGATGGATATTGAAACAGAATGCCTCATTCAGTATCTATATGTTTCATGGGGGAACTAATTGGGGATTTCAGAATGGAGCTGATTGGGGAAATGCCCTGGAACCCATCACGACGAGCTATGACTATGGTGCACCGCTTGATGAAAGCGGGCGAACGAATGAGATCTATCATGCTATTCGCCAGACTATCAGTTCTCATGTTGGGAAGAAGAATGTTCCTGATCTTGTGTCTGAAGAGCCATTGATTGAAATCCCAGCTATCACGCTGAAGCCGTCTGTTAGTCTGTTTGATGCACTCCCAGAACCAATTCAGAAGACAGCACCCGTCAATATGGAGGCCGTGGGACAGTCGTACGGATTCATTCTTTACAGGCATGTTACCACTGCTTCTATGAATGGAACTTTGAAAACTGGAGATGCGCCACGCGACCGGGTTCTTGTCTACGTTAACGGAGAACGAGTTGGCGTTATTGATAACACCTACGAAGTCCCTAATGCTGTGCAGCTATCGCTGAAGAAGCACGATGTGGTCGACCTCTTGATCGAGAACATGGGGCGTGTGAATTATGGATCTCAAATTGTGGATCAACGAAAGGGAATAGTAGGCAACGTTACTATTTCTGGTACCGTCGTCTCAAATTGGGAAGTCTATCCTCTTCCATTGGTCTCCCCTCCCAGTGCTAGCGAGAACGCACCAAACCCATCGGCAAACTCGAGCCCAATATTCTACAGTGGATCTTTCGATGTTAAGGAAGTGGGTGATACTTATCTTGAACTATCGGGGTGGACTAAGGGTGTTGTTTGGGTGAATGGTGTGAATTTGGGTCGATACTGGACTGTCGGTCCACAGCAAAGCTTATACCTTCCTGGTGTGTATCTGCGTGAGAGTGGTAACAACATCACTGTTTTAGCACTCGAGCCTACTGGAAATGAGGGATCTGTTCAAGGTGTCACAACGCGTAAATGGGGCAACAACCCTGATCCTGATCTGAAGTCTTGAAGATCCATCCTTCATAGAAGCTCCTTGCCGCTAGACAATTTGCAGACAATGGACATGTTCTAGTTTCATTATATGGGCCATCTTATGCCCCCTCTATAACCATTTTATCGAATACAAGCCATTGGAACATAACAGAAATGTCAGGGAAAACCACCTCTCAAGATGATGGTAATATGAGTAGTGGTAATCTTTCAATCCAACTGTACGTATCTAAGCCTCCAGGGCCGCGTATTGTTCCTAAGGTGAAAACAACCAAGGCATGTTGAAATCAAGTAAGAAAATAAAGAGTTGAGAAAGGAATATGATATTAAAGTTTAGATCAAGGCCCAAAAATCGACACCTTACGATTTTGATCATGATTCTCATCTGCTGCAACAAGCGGTAGTAATCCAGATAGCACAGTGGCCGAAAATAAGCCTGTAGGCTCTGGGCCAGAGCTTCTAGTGGTGTCACCCTCATCATCATCCAAAAGCTGCACGCGGGACGCAAAGCCGACACGAGATTTCTTTACAGGAGGCGACTCAAAACCTTCTCCAAAGGCAGCGCCAATCTCGCTTCTATCGTCTGCATCCGACTCAACAACCGGTAAATGGAATGGACGATCATTTCCCCCAGTGTTATTACTATCGACCTCTTCATCATCGGGAATTGGCAAGCTATGGCGATCAAAAAATCCAGTCTGATTCCGCAAGAATGCCGCTCCAGTCTCAGCTTCATCGAACATTTCTAGAAAATCTTCACTTTGGATGATATCACTCATTACGGCATCATCCAGCAAACTTTTCTCGGCATGTTGTATCTCTGCTTCTGACATCTCTTTTCGTCGACTCAACATGCGATCTTCGAGTGTATCTTTTAAAACAAGTGTTTCAACATAAACAGGTCTCGTTTGACCAATTCTGTGGGCACGTTTTATGGCTTGACTTTCAACATTAGGTTGCCAAATTGGGTTGACGATGAAAACACGTGAAGCCTGAGCGAGATGTAGGCCGTGTGATGCCTGTCGGAGATCCATGAGAAGAACACGAACATGGCTCTCCTCGCGGAATAAATTAAGATATTTTGTTCGAAGTTCGGGACTCAGAGTACTGGCGTAGATGCGAAATTCTACACCGAGAAGCTCGAGGCCTTCGGCAATCCAGTAGGCCGAATTGTTGTTATCGTAGAAAATAATTATCTTTTCTGTTTTGTAAAACTCAAGAACTCGGTCCAGGAGATAAGTCAATTTAGCGGATGTTGTAGCAATCAATTTGGTGTTTTTGAGATCGGAATCTTCGGGAAGCGAACGTAGAAGATGCCGGGAGAAAGTCTTCTTGTGTAACTTCCTTTTTAATGGTTTGGAAGTGTGACTCAGTTGACTCGGGCTCGTAGGAATTTTTATTGACTCCGGGGCACCCTTGGCTGGCTTTTTATTGCTTTGTCTCAGCTCAGAGCGTACTTTGATGCCATGTCCAGAAAGGCCTTGGGTAGGATCAGGAAGACGCAAATTCTCCGTCACGAGATGTTGTGCACGCCGAGCCTGCGTAATACCGGTAAGAAGTGGATTGTTTTTTGTACTTCCAGGGTTGAGTGCCCAATGGTCTCGATTGTCCTCGGGGAAATTCAGAACAAGGACACCAAGTTCATGTAATTCCTTAAATTCGTGCCAGGAGCTTGATCCCAGGGCTCGGCTAGCAATCTCAAACCCCCGGTTCAACTTCTTAATATCAGCGCTGGTCATTTTCTCGGAGTTCTTCTCAACGTATTCCTGTGCATGCTTAACCGTATCTTGCAAGTTGATATCAGAGCCAGCCCACCAGAATCCAGCCTGCCGCAAATTATTAATAACCTGGTTAAGATGTTTGCGATTGCTAGGGTCAAACATGTAATCCGAGCCCTGACGTTCGGAAGTAATGGAATTGACAGCAAGACCGAAAAGAAACAGATTTATAGATAGCCGATCATAGAATGTAGGACCAAGATGGACTATCTTGTTGTAGAGCTTTGGAAGCGTAATCTCGTTGCTTATCACATCCAATTGATGCCGTACAACCAGCCCTTGAAGCAAAGCGCGAACTGCTGGTGTTTTGCGTCGCTTGCCGTTATCCCCGTAAGGCTTAATGTACTTTGTCCAATCCGCTGGATCATCCGATTTGGGATTAGACCATGGCTTAAGATCAAGAAAGTTAATGACAATGTACTTCATTCTGTCGAGGTCTTTCAGTTCATTTTCGACCGCATTCCCAGTCTTCTTTCGGCCTTTCAGTATCGCCGAAGTTGTATTTTGTGACGACTCCGTATCACTTGTTAAAGCCTCTTGTGAAGCCAGACTAACTTCAACTCCATAGAGTCCAGTAGATGGAGTACCAGAGATGACCCAGCGACGCTCAAAATGAAGTTCTTTGAAAAAATGGCTCATCCTCGTTCCTTGACTGCCTGCGTTCTCACCTTCATCAACAATTACCCGTAGCCAGTGCAGTTGTAAAAGCGATGACTCGGTATAAGAAAATGAACTGTTCTGGCGGTTATTCACGGGTTCCCCAGATTCTTTCTCGAATCGAGTTTTGGAGAATACGATAATGTCATAATCCAGAAGATCATCCGCCGACGGGGTCTTATCAGCTCCTTGCCTTATAATCAAAGTCTTGAGGCCTTCAGTGTGATTTGAAATCTCATGCTTCCAGTGATCAACCAAGTTGTTTGGAACAATAACAAGTGTCCCCGAGCAAAGCCGGATATGTTTATCTGGGGGCCTTGGGTAGGACATGTTTTGGCGGCCTTGATATCTCGTCGACTGTGAAGGGATTGTATAAGATCCGCAATGAGCTTGGCATGCTTCAATACACCTCTCGTGGTAGCTGCCTTCTTCCTGTTGCTTCTTCAGGAAAAATGCCTTCCAAGGCTTACAGTGGCGACCTGCGGCAGCAGCCGCCATCTCCATGAGCGATCCAACCTTGTCTCTAACACGCCGAAAATCTTCTGGTCCATCATGGGACAAATATTGAATTGGAATATTTGGAACGTGACCTCGTGTAGCCCAGATGACAGCAAGGCATATGAGCGTTTTGCCACAGCCCATGGTTTCAGCAAGAATACCTAATCAAAATTAGCATCTTCGTTCGATAACTTTATCCAATATAACTGATACGAACCTCCACATGCTTCTGAATACATCTGTTTCTCGCGAATAATGCATACATCTTCTTTATCGTAATAATATTCAATGCCGGTGGGAGTCTGACCAGTCTGAAAACGAGGATCAAGCATCGGGGCTGGCTGTACTTCACGCTGAATCATCATTGCAGCAGATCGGCGCTGATATGGATACAGTGTAGCTTTAAGCCCAAATTCCGAGAGATCGTCTCCAAAAAGCAAATCTTGCATCGCTCGTCGAGAATAAATATCCTTCATAGAGTCACAGTCTGGATTTGGGTTGTCCAATGTATTAAAGATGTACCATAGTGATTCAGTATCTGAGCCATCTGAAGTTTGCGTCGACTCAAGATTAGCCCTGCGAAAGTTTGTCCACGCATGAGCCGTGCGATCGATCTTAGACATGATGATTCTCAAGCAACCCCGCAACTTTGTAATGCCACGTTTGGTATTGCGTGGGTCAGTGGCTAATGTATTAACATATACCCGGATATTTTCATCGAGGTTGCATGTATCACCACTGGTCTGGGTGCGGATCCAATCATTTTCTGATAATATCGAGATCTCCAGCTCCAGCAAATTATCCCGGGTAATGGAGACTTTGTTAAAAGTACCCACGGGAAGCCAGACATTCGAATCTTTAATTTCGAATTTCAAAGGACCCATATTTTTACTATTTTCTAGAAGTTTCGTATTCTGAGATGTTGGCAAAGACTGGTTCCAAGTAGGCTGAGGGAAAGGAACATCATCTGATAGTTGAACCGCTGCAGATTCATCTTGCAGACTGTCTCTGATGAGAAAGCCTTCTTTTCCCGGATACCTTGAGCCATCGAAGGTCCCGATCACCGGCCACCCGGGCATGATGTTGAAAGGGAGGTGGTGGAGGCAAAAGCAGCACTTGAGATGAAGGCAGCGATCGGGATTGATAGATTGGGCGCCTCACCGCCCAAGATTCCAGCCATGCGGGGTCAAATCGACACTTCTAGCCAATCAGGGCTGCACTTACCAAGGAGGCCCGCATTCATACTCCATGTCCTGCAGTCTCCTTTACATTTCTAGACCCTAGACGCTTACAAAATACTACAAAACAGTGCCATTATTAGATCAATTGTCATTACTGCCTACTTTATCTAAACTTATAGGGTCCTCGAAACGTACATTATTGTTCACTGTGTCAAAAAATCCTCAATCTCAAATCCAACTCGCTTCAGTGACTTCTGATCCAATTCTCGAGGTGTACCCACAACCTTCCGTAACACGATTGTCCTAGCATCATGCAATCTGACTTCCACGGGATTTCCCCCCGCACGATCTAGTTCCTCCCGGGTACATTCTCGAATATAAACAGTAATATCAGGACCGACGCAAGCACGCCAAAGAGACGCCATCCACTGCCAATGATCAAGTGGGGCGTACGAGTCGTTAATAGGAACGGAACATGCAAATGCATCAGCGGTTGTAAGTTGGTACCGCGGGACCAAGGCAAGAGGAATCTGGAAGTGGCTTCCAATAGTAGTGGGAGAGACGGCACTATGATCGGAGCCATTCTCGCTTGATTGGGGAGGTGAGTGAATGTGCAGATTAGCAGTCTTTGGAACCAAGGACTTAGGTGATAAGTTCAGTTTTTGTTCTTCCTCTGGACTGGACCTTGAGCCAATAGAAACGGCTGTTGAGATTGACTTGACGAATGTGATCACTTCATCGGAGATACGGTGCCACGCTGAGATTGTATCGAGGTAGTCAACTGTGGCATCGCCCATTTGGCCTCCATCTGAGGCTGTGTCGCGTTGAGCTCTGATTTCCGGCCCATCAAAGACGCGGACCATGTATTTTGATTCTTTTTGAAGAAGACGGTCTAAGTATTCAACTGCTGTTCGGACCAATTCGGGATCATGACCATCAACGGCAATGACGGGGCCTCTGAGTTGAGGGTTTGATTCCCGAAATGAAGGGAGCAGTGGGGGAGATATTTTGGCGAGGACTTTGATTTTGTTAAGGAATGGAATTGTCATCACTGTCGCTTCAACGCTGGGATCTGTTGAGAAGTGCGGTGTGACGGGCGTCATTACTGGTGTTCCAGTTTGAAGAGGTGCAAGCTTCAAGTTCGGGTCTGGATATCCTTGGCCCTGTGCGGTATCGTATGGTCGTTGGGGTTGAAGCATCGGGGGCACATGGCGTTTACCTTGCATGTCAGGACGAGCGCTGTACGGTGGTGCTTGATATAATGAATCTGGGCTTCTATCTCGACTCCCAGGTAGACCTGCATGAATGTTTGCTTGGGAGACACGACGGCGTTTAATTTCGGGTGAACCCATTCCATCGGCGAGACGAGATCGTGGCCGTGAGTCTAATGAGTCCAGTCTGCACTTAGGCTCTGATTCTTGCTCCCGAACCTGCGAGCTTCTGGCCGCCATGAAGGATTTTGCTGTTGGTGTTGAGAGCCCGGAAGGCCGGTAGTCTGACATTCCAGTTGGGGTGAAAGGGGTCATTGGAGATGGCGGGTGCATGAATCGTCCACCACAGCGATTGCAATGAGTTCCGCCAGAGGGGTTATTGCTGATTCCCACTCCAGTGCCACGAGAGCTGCCATCTCGACCACTTCTGCGGGGCTGATAGCGATACCCCGGATATTGTTGATTATGCCGGATTTTCTCCTCCTAATTCCTGGTCAGCTCTGTTTTGCCAATCGTGTTTAGAAAGTTTCGTTATTAATTCATACCTCTGCTAAAGCTTTCCATTTTGATTTCTCATCCTCTGAGAGATTTCTCCATTGCTCTCCAATGATTTTGGAAATATCGGGATTGGCCATTCCCGGATTGTGGGCTACCACAGCTGCTTGATAATGTTGTCGATACAGGATAAAAGCTGGGAAGCATGAATTAGCCAATCTATTTCGATATTTTGATGCCTTCTATTGCAGAAAAACAAATAGGAATAGGAATAAGAGCCAAAGAAAAAGAAACCATGTCAAGAGGCAAAGAGAAAGCACTTGCCATGCTCATTCAGCGGCTCATATGATATCGACTCACCATTGCGAGGTCGGGGTACTTTTGGATCCGGCTGACAGAGACAGAAAGAATCTCTTTCCTTGACTGATCGAACGGGACTAGCGCTACCAGAAGAAGAGGAAGAGCGCGAGACATCCTTGGTAGAAACCAGGCAATTTGACTGCCGTGCCAGAACATTGGCATTTTGATTACCATGACCAGCTGGCACCATTGAAGCCATTGGTCCTATTGACCCCGTTGATTCATACTGTTCAATCCTCGGTGCTGCATTCCCTTGGTTGAATGCCATCATATGTTGGTGAGCTTGGGGCATACCATTAGGTCGGATGTCGGCATACTTGAGTGGTTCCGGGCGGTACGGTAATGAACCGTGAGACTTGGGAGAATCACTCATGATCTTGTGGTCGAGTAAGTCACTAGATCTGACTTGGGTAGAATCATAGTGCAGACCAGGCGGGGCGGGAAGCACTCGATCCCAAGACATTTATCTATGTATTGTCCAGAGGAGGGGGCCGAGACCGCCACCACCACAACGCACGAGAACAAGGAAGGAGTCGAAAAGTGAAATGACAACTCAAAGAAAAAGTTAATCTTTGAGCTTTATGTCGTTTGAACAACCGACGAAGAAAGAAAGAAAAGTCAAAAAGAGAAAGGGAGATTGGTAGAAGGGCTCGAATCGAACAAGAGTAAGGATAAGCACCGAGAAGAAAGGAAACCAACCCGTGGAGAGAGATTGGTTGGAGAGCAAAAGATGGTCTTTATGAAAGACACAGAGCGATAGATGGAAATAAAGAAAAGAGAAAAGAGAAAAAAAACACACGAGGCTTTCAAAGGGAATAAAAAAGCCCCCGGCAGCTCCAGCTTCTTCCCAATAATGGCGCCGGGGGAAGAGAGAAGAACCAACAGTAGGGACTAGATCCTGTCACCCCCGGTCACTTCAATCACCTCAATCTCTTAAGAGAAAGGTTCAAAGGTTCTATAGCAAGTAAATGGCCCAGACAGGAAACGGCTCAAGACAAAGGCGGCTTATTTTTGTGATTTCTTTGTGCTGGAGGGGAAAATCGGGACCTAATCCCTGTTCCAGTGACTTGTTCTTTGACAATAGATCCCAATCGGTGCGATATAGTTGGTATCTGGGCCACGCCAACCGAGCAAGGGGAATGAATTTAGGGGCAAAAATAATAAAATAATAATGGGTAGGCAGAAGATAAGTGTGTGTGTCGTTAAGAGAGACTAGACACTGAAAACTGGAGAAGGGGAAAATGGAGAGAGAGAAAAGTACGAACCAGGATCATAATCTTCCATAAATGACATTTTCATAATCTTCTTTCTCCTTGTTCGTTTTCTTCCAGGGTTTTTGTTCCCCTGATAATCACATCTATGGAACCAAGGTAATAACTTTAAAATCTACAATACTATACCATACTAGAGTGTCAGGCACGAAATCCACAAATACAGTTTCCATGGTTTGTGAGAATCCCTAACAAAAATTCGAAATTTCAAATAATGCAAAAATCAAAGAGAACGTAACGCCGAAGCCCACTCGTTCGAGCAAACGAGATCATTGTTTTCTTTGTTTCCCGGATGCGGCGAGTCGCAGCGGGCCCAGCGCTAACGATGCAAGTGATTGGGGTGATTGGCCGCGGCTCCAGGCCTCGCTTTCCCCGAACAAAGAAACATCAAATCGCAAACATTGACATGTAATCTCCTGAGGCAAACAAATTGAATTCTTCTTCCATTATTCAATATCCCTCGTGTCTGTAGATCCTCATGATTATTCTAAAGATTGACACATCATCATGCCTTTTTTTCCCTTTCCAGCTTGTCCCCGATCATCCATGTCACTCATGTCACCGCAGCTCCACTCCAAAGCGCGGAGATGATCTCATCCCCGCCGATCGCTCTCCACTGCGCTTGTAACTCTCGAGTTGGAACAATACTACCTGGTTACTTCGAGGCTTTTTTTTTCTTTTGTTGGATTTTTTATTTTTAATTTTTAAACTTCCTTGGGTCTTAGTGCGGCCCCATGCCAAATCGTGTCAAATCATGTGTCTACTACATACATAATACTACTAGTTTCCCGTCCTGCGGGTTTGACCTGTCGGTTACTACCACCGTGCCTCCCCTACCCGATCAACTGGAACCTATCCATTGACCCTGGATCTTGTTTACCGCATCAGGCATAGTACTTGACTTGGTTGACTTCGGGTACCGACTGTCGTTATTGGGAGAGATCGACGAAGTTACTGCTGTCTTTTCAATGTCTCGGGTAAAATGATGATAATAATGATTCATGCCCGTCGTAACCTATATGCTTGTCTCTCGTTTTTTTTCCTCCAAGGGTTCACTCTTTTTTTCGATTTCCCTCGGAAAGATGTCCAAAACAATGGAAACATAACATGGGGGATATATACAAAATATGTAATTTACAAGAGACATTGTCTATGCTGCGAACCTCCGTCGTTTGTGGTGTGTGGGTGGATCAGGTCTGACCTTGGTCTCCGGAGCCGTTGATCCTGGTTCCGTTGATTTCTCCTCTTCCTCTGGCTGTTGCAGTTGCGCTCCCTCTGTGGAGTTCAACAAGACTCCATTGATTCCGTCATACACCTCTGATGCCATCAGGCGGTGGGCAGAGGGGCCCATAGTCATTTCATTCCTGTAAAAGACATGGTTAGTCGAGTTCGAAAGATAACAAAAGAAAATGAAAGCAAAAAGTATCCAAATTGTCGATCTTCAAATCCCCAAGAACAAGACAAAAAAGAGTGTGCCAAATCAAAAATCAAAAATCAAATCCAGAAGCGACTTACCAAAACAGGTACTTCTCCGGGTTTTCGCACGGCGCCTTGTTCTTCTTGCTTGAAACCATGGCCGTGATTCCCCCTTCTGATTCAACACAGCCATTTGCAACATTCTCCCAACCAGGATCTTCGTTCGATCCCAAGCCGTCTTGAGCCGTAATCCCTGCTGCAAAATACTGCCAATCGCGAATGCGATCCAACAGAAATGCATTCGTATCAAATAGATAGACAGTTCCCTTCTCCCAAGGTTTAGCAGCCTCCTTCAACCTCGCATTCCAATACGCTAGAATCTTAACCGCAGTCTTATACTCTTCTCCCTGCGAAGGGTAGGCAGCCAGAAAAGCAGGCAGAAACGTCACATCAACAGACTGCGTAAGGATCACCTTGAGGTTATCAGAACCCCATGTCTCGGCAAGGATGTTCAGTTGATTCATGATCGTCTTGATACGGCGGTCAACGGATTCACAGGCGGATCCGTACTCCTTCGAGACAAGACTCCAGATGTCCCAGACTCCGTACGAGACAACGAATATCGTTCTGTCTTGTCGAGACTTAAGGTCCTCATCCGACATTCCCTTAACCGTTTTCATCTCCGCAGCCAACCAGTGCTGGAGCTGCGTCTTCATGTCTTTCAGTTTTGTCTGAGACACACGGTCTAGTACATCCAACTCCGTGTTGTCGACGACCGAGCCGGTGTACTTACCCCTGAAACTAGACTTAGCGGTCTCGGCGAGATTCTCCTGGTGACATGAGAACTAGCGTAAGACATTGGTTAGTGATACAGATTCAAAACCGCAGCAAGTATAGATGCAATTCAAGTTCAAGTTAACGGGTACAAGCTTCCCCGAGGAAATGGGAATGAGACAATCCCAGGCCCAGATCCAGACAGTCCCCAGAATAAACCGGGCATCGTTCTCGTTGAGTAAAATCAAGAGAAAAGAGAAAAGAGAAAAGAGAAAAGAGAAAAGAGAAAAAAAGACTTGCTCACCTTTTCGCAAAGCCAATCAGTCCACACCTTCCCTTGCAAGTCCTCCGTCTCATTATCACTCCACGAATCTCCAAAGACAACCAATCGTTCCCCAAACTCCGGCGCCGTATGATACTCTTCACTGGCAAGCGGTACAATATCCCCGAAATTGCGTGACGTCAAAAACCACGCCGAGTAAAGCATCGTACAAGCGGCAAGACCGCATAGCACATAGAACCGATTGAAGAGGCGCATCATCTTGACGGTAGGTAAATCAAAACCCATGCAGCAAACGGTGATTCGAACAAGAGTTTCAAATAGGGAAGAACCCTAGCGAAAGGATTCAGATTAATGCAAGTATGGAACAAGGTTTCAATTTCTCCAAATGACTCGTGCAGGTTGCGGCTAAACCATCCAGATCCGCACCGGTGCGATCGGAACGGCTATCGAGTGCAACTCCCTATTCCAGGCCAACTGCTAAAATCGGAGCTACCCGACCGAGCTAAGCAAGGGAGATGATTTACTGGCGGAGTCGAGAGGTGTTCGTCGCTCTTTGCGGGGCGAGGAAAAAGAAAAGGGGGACAGATAAGAATATCGATAATCGTAGATGAAATGACTTTTTTTTTTTTTCTCCCGCCGGGGGAACCGAAAAGGCTTAGTAGAGGTCACGAAGGTGGCGAGTTGGATAATGGATAAGCTGGGGTGTTATGAAAATGCAAAAGTCAATTCTACGTAGTGAAGAACGGTTGAATACGCAGAGATGTTTTACAAGGAGAAGAGAGAGCTTTTGGTTGTGAACACATTGAAGACTTTCAACTTGGGGCCACGCGGCCTGGGGGGAAAGAATGAACGTGGAAACGAATCGCGTGCGTCGATAAGACGGCAACGAAGCTTGTTTCGGCATTGGGTCGCCTCATCTCCGCTGTGTACGAGGCCCACGCGGTGGAGTCCAGTACATAGCAGTTCAAGTATGACAATATACGAAGTATTCAAAATTATTTGGAAAATATCTTCCAGAGTCCTCAGAGTCAGAATTAACTCCGCCTCGATTCAAATGTGACATTAATACGGTTGGTTATATTAAAAACGTCTGAACACCACATCGCCAAATTAACGGGATCGTGCAGATTAATTATAGCGGACATTTCAGTCCTGAAGCCCTTAGACGACTGGATCTATCACTCACTTTTTGGAGCGGGAGACTGCATTGTCTCAGGGGTTTCGGGCGGCCTTTAAACCTTTACAGTAACTTGTACGAGCCGAGGAAGATCAAGGAGATCAAGGTACGAAACGAAAATGCCAAGTCTTCGGTCGCACCGGATCTGCAGCATATCAGATCCTCTTAAGGTTCAAGTTTGAGTGTGTAGGACGTTATTGACATTTGAAAGTAAATCTGCCAAGATCTAGTATACCAATGGGCAGGTACGAAGGAGGCAAAATTGATGAGTTGATCGAAAATCGATCCTGGTTCCAAGTTCGAGTTGTTGGCAACAAATTCAATATTGTAATAGTATGTGGAGATTTAAACTCCATCTTGCATAACTATACACAGCTGGACAAATATATGTGTACACTTGGGGTTTCCCTGGCTTCTAAATTGGCCTGCTTTTAGCCCTATGTTAGGGTGACTATGCCACTATCTCAAGGCCCAAAGTCCTGGAATTTATAACGTGTCACATCATATATCGACACTCAAATAAATGCCAACCTCGTGGGGCTATTATCTAGGTATGCTACAGCAATAGATTTGTGAAGAACGGACATAAGTATGACGGCAGAGGGAAGAAGAGCTTCATAATGAAGACTCTATGCATATAAAGATTAACCTCGTGAGAACTAAACGCGGCAATGTAACAGAGTCTTCTCTGCTCGTCATCGTGAAAGCTCAAGGTGAAAGGAAAGAGATCAATGACGCTATGGAGACTTGAAGCATTTTTCAGTAACTAACTTAGTTAACAGTTAAAATCTTCTGCCAGATTCCTTAGGTGTCACATCCCACCAGTCCTTTCTGCCTGAGGCCACAAAAACTAGATGCTGATGTGTCGCCTCACGTGACACCCTTAGCGACGCTGGCTCCTTTCCTACCTGATCAGGCTAGCGCCAGATGAGTCAGCCACACACACACTCGCTACACCAAACCTTTGGAACTCGAAAAATCCACACGACCGAACCCTTCAACATCACCGTCGACAACTCCGCGCTACCGTCTTGACCGCGCAACCCCCGTCAAGATGAAGCTCAACATTTCCTACCCGGCCAATGGGTCGCAGAAGATCGTCGAGGTCGAAGATGAGCGCAAGCTCCGTCCCTTCATGGAGAAGCGCATGGGCACCGAAGTCAGCAATCCCCGATCCTTTAATTCACACATACACATCCACACACAATTCGACGAACTCCCCACACAACGAAAAAAAATAATCTTTTGATAATGAACACAAATACGATTGATAAGAACGAATGGGCTGATGGGTATCTTTATTTGAATTAGGTCGTTGGTGACTCCCTTGGTGATGAGTTCAAGGGCTACCTCTTCAAGATCACCGGTGGTAACGACAAGCAAGGTACGACAACTCGCATCCGATCCTGCATATTGGAAGAATATCAGAAATGAATATTCAAGGGAACATGATCGCTAACTGAATTTTTTTTAGGTTTCCCCATGAAGCAGGGTGGTACGTTTTGAATACCGATCTCTTCCTGACCCCGACTCAGGAAAACCACACAACAAAAATATTTCACAGCATACTCATCGATTCTTCTACAGTTCTCCTCCCCACCCGTACCCGTCTCCTCCTCGCCGAGGGCCACAGCTGCTACCGCCCCCGCCGTACCGGTGAGCGCAAGCGCAAGTCCGTCCGTGGTGGTACGTGAACTCTCCCATTTCCCCTCTCGACAAATGGGAATCCCAAGTGTCAAAAACTTGAACAACCCAAAATTGACCCATTCATTCTACAGCCATCACCGGTCTGGACCTCTCCGTCCTTGCTCTGAGCATCCTCAAGCAGGGTGAGCAGGAGCTCCCCGGTCTCACCGACACCGTCGTCCCCAAGCGCCTGGGTCCCAAGCGTGCCACCAAGATCCGCAGCTTCTTCGGTCTTGACAAGAAGGACGATGTCCGCCAGTTCGTCATCCGCCGTACCGTTACCAAGGAGGGCAAGAAGGACTACACCAAGGCCCCCAAGATCCAGCGTCTGGTCACTCCCCAGCGTCTCCAGCGCAAGCGTCACGCCATTGCCATCAAGCGCCGCCGCGCTGAGGCTTCCCGTGAGGCTGCGTAAGTTTTCCCCCTTATGAAAAACCAAAATCAAATAAAACAAAACACAACTAACATTTACACAGCAACGACTACGCCAAGCTCCTCGCCAACCGTGTCCACGAGGTTAAGGCTAAGCGTGACGAGCTCCGCAAGCGACGAGCTTCGTCTATGCACAAATAGATCTTCACCGCGGTATTATGATTTATTTCTGCGGGAAGGTTTAATCGGGGGAGGCTCACGTTGCTGGGATGATTGAGGGATTAAAAAAAGAAGATCACTCCCAGAGGCGCGGATATGTCTGATAAAAAAAGGGCTTATGAAAAAGTATGGGGGATCAGGTTTTAGCGTATAGGCGAATGGTTTGATCACCCTCCCCGGGATGCTACGTTGATTTCGAGCCTCGGGGCGATGCATCTGTGCTGAACCTATCTTTTGACAACCCTTTTTTGAATGGAGTGCATGCAAATTTCATTGTTTTTTCGTTTCATTATCTTTGATAGTGTACGGATTGGCTCGTAGAAACTAACTAAATTTCTTGAAAGGGGCTACCTAAAGTGATTATGGCTGGATTATCTCATGATCACTATAAGGCCCAGGCTACGTATTCGGCTCAACTTAAAAGTCTGGGGGTAAAAGTACTAGTTATGGACTGAGTGGATATCGCTGTGGCATGATGGTCAAGACTTAACATTTAAGCCACTAATTGCGCATGGCTTACTATGCATAACCTTAGTGTCATCTAGTCAGCCTTATCTGTTAACCTCCTTCAGGCCCAGGCCTTTTTCTGCCTTTTTCTATATGTATTACCCAATCAATGTCAAATGAAATTCCTAGTTCTTGAAAGCTCCGCTCTTGTTTTGGTATTCTAAATTGTCAATTCTCTTTTAACAAAACCACCTTAGACTCTTAAAACTTGGTCTGAGAGTTCCGCGGACCTAGCATGGCCGTATTACGCGGCTAGCCAACCTCTGGGGCTCCAAGTATTTCAAGATTACTAGTAATGACCACCCCACCAGCATCAATATTCAATTGAGCTAGTATATACCCTAGGTCATACTTTGTGTTTATCCATAGGTAAATACGTACAATTTGAATATGTACCTATTTAATCAATCCCGATGCCAAAGTTGAAACTGATATATATCGGGGTCTGTCACCCTAAGCTAACTTCGGACGACTCTCGCTTCAAGGTTCAAACCTTGGTGTAACTTGAACTTGAAGTTGGACTCGAAATGTTTATACGGCCAATGCTACATCAGACATAGGGAGGTATATAATTCAAAGGTGATCGGGCTTTTACACGTTCAACAGTGGCAACTATCCAACATTTCAACACCGGAAAAAACATTTCGGGACTCGGACTGTTCACCAACTTGAACCGAGTATCAATTCAAGTCTCCTAACCACCACTTGAAGTCACCAGCATAAGTATAATAGTGAAGAAATTTGAGATGGCTAGTATGAAGTCCTAGCATAATAAAACAAAAAGATCCAAGAGAAATGGACGTCAAGGCATCTAATCATATTCTAAAATAACCCCTGGAGAACTTCCGATAAATGCACGATGCAACTGGCGCGAAATATACACCCGATTCTAACCCTGAAAAATAGCAAGGAACCAACAGAGCCAGCAAGTGCGAATCGTTCTTTCCCAACAAATAATAATCAAATCACCGCCACAAGGGTAAAGTCAAAAAAAAAGAGAGATATCAAATTTAAAGCATGTCAACAGCTCGGCCTCATCAATCAGGGGGAAAAGTATCAAATAGAGGTCATAAAAATCGTATTTTTGTTTCTCCGGCACACCCTTAACATCATACCGTATAGAAATTTGTCAACATACATGTGAAAGGGGCCCCCGGTAGATAGTCAGTTTGAAATGGGGTATTGAATTTGATTTTCAAAGAGAAAAAGGAAAAGAGACAAAATGTTACAGTAGCCTCGCAATTAAGCAACAGCGTGCGAGAAGAGGAAGCTCACGGACTCTCCGTTGTGGGTACGACGACAAGCCTCGGCCAGCGTAGGGCTGACATCGATAGTCTCGATACGATCGCAAGCCTCCTTTTTCTCAGCGTGGGGAACGGTGTTGGTAACAACCAGGCGTTTCAAGCAGCTACCGTTCAGGTTCTCAATAGCCTTTCCGGAGAGGATACCGTGAACAACAATGGCGTTGACCTCCTTAGCTCCGTGCTGCATGACAGTGTCGGCAGCCTTAACGAGTGTTCCGCAGGTATCCGCCATGTCATCGACAATAATAGCAACCTTGTCCTTGACGTTTCCAACAAGAACCATGCGGGAGACTTCGTTGGGGCGAGCACGTTCTTTGTGAATAAGAGCGAATTGCAAGTCGAGGCGATCGGCAATACCGGTAGCACTATGTGGAGAAATATCATATTAGGCTTTTGGCATCCTACGGAAAAAGATGAATGCCCCGCATCGGGGAGTTGATAACTTACCGTTTGGCACCACCAGCATCGGGACTGACAATGACACAGTTGCTCACATCCAAGTTTTCCCGGATCCACTTGAGCATACTGGGCTCAGCATACAGGTTGTCAACGGGGACATTGAAGAAGCCCTGGATCTGACTAGCATGAAGATCCATAGTAATGACATGGTTGCAGCCAGCGGTCTGGAGCATGTTGGCCATAAGCTTGGCGGTGATAGGAGCGCGGCTCTTATCCTTTTTATCTTGGCGAGCATAAGGGAAGTTGGGAATGACAGCTGTAATGCGACGGGCAGAGGCAGTCTTGCAGGCGTTTACCATTATGAGCAATTCCATCAGCCCGTCATTAATTTCCCCCGGAGAGGTACTTTGGATAATGAAGACTGCACAACAACAAAACGAAGATCAGCAACAAGGTTTCTCCATAGCACCTCAGTGGGGGCAGCGTACCATCTTCGTCTCGGACACTTTCACCGATTGTGACGCTGGTCTCCTGGTTGGAGTATTGCAGAACCATAATCTTGGTTAACTCGATGCCGAGGCTGCAGATATTATCGAGTTAGTATCGAATTAGTCTTTGCCGCTAAAGCTTTCTTTTCTTTTTTGAGCCGAAGCCGATCGGGCAGAACGCAAGGATCAACCACATACCGATCCGCCACGAGTTGAGCAAGCTCTGGGTGGCTGTTGCCAGTCAGCAACTTGATGGAGTTGGTCGCCATTGTGATGTGCAACGGAAGTACAAGGGAGCCGGGTATCGGGATATCCCAGGGAAAAGCAAAGACAAAGGAACAGAAGTGAAGCTGAAGCTGATAAAAAAATTGAATCCCGCACCTGTCCATTTGGGCCCCGCATTTTTTTCGTAACCCGTGACTCCTCACCGCCTTGTCTTACATCATCCGATTTCGGAAGATTCCGTAGTCTAAATTTACCCGTGGACAACTACATAATGTAGTTTGTATGGTAGAAGCTAGGAGTAACAATTGTGAAAAAGACAATGAATATGAATATGCCCTTTAAGCACGCGGCAATCTAAGTACAATGTAAAATGGGTAGCCAATTTTCTCAAGTTGACCTGCACATCAACAAGAAATAATAGGGCTCCCTGGAATTTTCTTTTCCCTCACTTTCCCCACGATCATTGATTTCCCGGAGAAAACAAAAGAGAAACGCCATTGAATGCTTAGGCCTCAAAAGAAAAACAAACAAAATCAATAACAGAAAAAGAGAAGAAAACGACGGAAATATGCCAAATCATGTAGAAGAAGAGAAGCCCTGTCTATGCGAATCCGAAGTATTCGCTACCCGCTGTCACTGCGGTATACAGGCGATAACGAAGATCTTCATAGCTTTCATATTCAGGAAGATCAAGCTCTATAGACATTGTTAGTAACAGTCCACTAGGTGATTTTTTTTCTTTTTGGAAAAAGAAAAAGGGAGGGGTTGGGAAAACGTACGGTTGAAACATGTATGCGAACTGGGCAAACGATCCTTGTTGCCATAGTCACGGTGAATGTTGAACTTGCTCACGCCGTTCATACCCTCCAGTTCCTTGAAACCATTGAGAGGCACCTTGGAAGTACCGGTGACGAACTGTAGTAGCTTGGCACGCTCTTCCTTATCGAACGAGCGGACAGCACGCCAGAACCACTGAATCTGTGGCGACGAGGCAGAGTAGTTGTGATACTCAGTGTGATTTTTCCACTCATCGGGATCAATTTCAGGCAAACCAGAAATGAGAAGTTCCAATTCCTGTTCGTTGAAAATAGAAATCAGATCTGGAGGAATGATCTCATGGAAACCTATAAAAATGTTAATTTTAGCTTCATGGTAAAAAGGGAACACGACCCAGACATACCTTTCAGGAAGTTATCAAGCTGCTCACGAACAGACTCGACCAGGCGATATTCAACAACCCGTTGGATGTATTCCTCCTTGTTGTCCTGAGTGACGGGAATGTTGCGACCGTCGGGAATCAAGTCGATCACCTCTTTCTCACCAAATGCATCGGTTTCAATGGCGAAGTTTTCGGTAATAATGTCTGTAATGTCATTCTCCAACATCCATATAAGAGACTTGTAGTAGTCAAGGTCAAGCGTCTCCATATCTTTGATCGATACAGATCGCCCAAGAATGCTCTTGTAAACAGCACGAGAGAAGTGGCAGTCCAGAACACGGCCTTCGTATAGAGCCTTACCGATAATCCGGCCGATGAATTTGAAGAACATCAAATGCTCAGAGTTGACACCGCTGAGACGGTTAGGGTGGAAGGTAGTCCGATCAGCGGCGACAGGAATGAAGAGGGCGTAGTTAGGGTTGAACATTCCACGGGCAAGAACTTGGAACCATTCTCGAGTGACTCCACCGGCATCAACACCTTCTTCACCGTGGAAGCGAACGTTCAATTTACCATATTTGAGCTCATCGGCGTTCTTGAAATATAGCGATTTGAAGGAGTCCAGGAAAACTTGGTCTCGGCGTACAGAGAGTTGAAGAGGTGGATGAGGGTGACGAGGCTCAGCACCACGAGAGTGCACTCGGCGAGTGAAGTAGTTGCGCTTGTTGTCAAACTCTAGAACCTTAGGATTCTTCACCAACAAAGAAAATGTACCGCTCATCAGACGCGGGTTCTGACGAACAAGCTCATTGAGGATTTTGCGGTGCTCTTCAGTGAACTTGAAGAATAGGTTCTCCATGGTGAGACCAGCGTCGGCGGAAGCGCTATGGACAGACAGCTCGCGAGTACCGCGGGATGTTGACTGATCTTTGAGGGTGGTATTCTTGCAAACGACCATTAATGCCTCGATCAACGGCAGAAGGATGGTAGCCACGTTAAGCATGTTCTCCTTTTGGCGAATCAAAGTTAGGCATTCGCTCAACTTGGTCCACAGAGGGCCGAAAGTAGCACTCTCATATAAATTCTTGAGAACATCCTCCTTGGGGGCGGACTCAGGTTCAGTTCCCTTAGACTTGTCAACTCGAGTAGGATCGAAGAGATAGTCCAGAGCTGTGAGTATACGAAGCAACTTCGCCTGGTCAGAGCTGGCTGGGGAGAATTTGGCCAAAGCCAAGCCTTGCATGTCTGTACCTGTCTTGGAATGGTGGATATGAGGAAGAAGTTCTTCCAAGTCTCCAAGAATCGTGTCGCTCAGAGTCTGCGCCTGACCAACGAGTTCGTTGCCAATAACATCCCGCGCACCGGGGATGGCGGAAAGATTGTTAATGGTGGAAAGAGTGTCACGGAAAGTTTTTCCATTGCACTCGCGAGCTGCAAGAATATGAACGACCAGGCGGAAGTTATGATCAGGAACAACTGGAGGCTCAATGGATTTACGCTTGCGCTTCTCTTCAGACTTGCCAGTCTTGCCAGTCTTTTTGGAAGTACCGTCACCTTCGGTAGTGCCCTCTGTACCTTGATCTTCGGCTGACTCAACAGTTGGCAATGGCGCATCTGTCATAGTGGTGTCCGCGCCAGAGTCAGCAACCTGGGTAGACTCTTCCACAGGCTGCTCCGTAGGCTGTTCAGCGGTGGTCTCTTCCGGTTTCTTGGCCTTATCCTTGTTCTTGCCTTCTTCGTCCTGTTTCTCCTTCTCGCGACGTAGGAGAACAGTGAGAGGCTGAGTGATGCTGCTCAAGAGACTGGATAATTGCTCCATGCAGTTGGGGCTGTCCATAATCAACTTTCTATCCAGCAGGGAAAGAAGGGAATTCAGAGCAAACTTGTTGACTCGGTTTTCTTTGCCTTTACCCTTGCGGAACGCCTTTAGCTTAAGCGTAGAAGCCGAGTCATGCTCAGTCAAGAAGAACCAAGCAATGTGGGGGTTGAACTGCGAAAGGAAAGACAATGTGCCCAAACATTGTTGAACGACCATGATCGGAGTTACATCATTGCTGATGCTAGATGATGGCTGGAGAGAAATGTTCCGTTTGATAGCCTGGGGTGTCTTCTGCGAGCCGGGAGCCTTTGCGCGGAGTGACAAATGGGAAAAGCTGCGCTCAATTGCAGAGGAGTCGACGCTGCCATCTTGCAGAACAGAAAGAAGGAGACTGATGACTTCGCCGCGGTTCTGGCGGTTCTCGCAAACGTTGTGGAGGATATCATTGAGCTGGTGACGGGCATTACCCTGAAGGGGCATGAACATCAATCGTAGAAGAGTGGCGACGCCAGCCTTGTCAAGCATTTGGACGATTTGGCGCCGTTGAGCTTTCTTCGGCTCTTCTTGATCTTCAGCTGGCTCATGTCTGGGACGGCGCTGGTCCACTCCTGCAGGGGCAATATCACCAAATTGGGCGATTCGGCGATGACCAAGGGCTCGTGCCTCAGTCAGGTATTCGGGACCCAGAGTGGCCAGGACCTCCTCTGGTTGATCGGCGAGGACAGCTTGACGCAGATGGGGATCGAGTGTGGCAAGGAAGCTTGCCGCATCCATATCCTCAGCATGGCCCGGAACAGCACTCACAGGAGCTTGGCGACGAGCAGTCTCACGTTCTCGTCGACGTCGATCGGCGGCTTCCTGCTGTAATAATTCGTCCCGGATTTCAGCAGGCAAAGCCTCCAGAAACTCTTGCTCGATCTCGGTTGGCTCTTCGCCTGCGGCAGCGGCTTGAGATCTTTGCTCGGCATACTGCTGCATAATAACTTCTTCGCGAAGCTCCTCTGGCAATGCCTCCAAGTATTCGGGATCAATCGACAAGTCGGTGATATCAAGCTGGCGGCCCCGAATATTTGTGTAAATTCGTTCAGCGGGCTCTGGCTCAGGCTGAGCGGAAGATGCAGCTGTCCCTTCAGAAGGTGCATCAGTCTGCTGAATATCCTCCATAGGCTCAGAGATTCCGGCTGCCCGTCGCTCAGCTTCTTGCTGTTCTCTTTCAGCCTCTATCCTGGCATTCTCCTCGTCTTCTTTGCGCTTGCGTTCGCGCTCTTCTTCTTCTTGAGCGATACGCGCCTGGCGTTCCTTCTCTGCTTGTTCTTCGCGGAAGCGCTTTTGATCCTCCTCCGCCTGCTTCTGGCGTTGTTTGGCTTCTTCCATGGCAGGAGGAACCAGAACCTTAAGCAAGGAGTTGATGATACGGGTTGTCTTCTCCACATATGTGCTGCTGAACATAATGCGTGCCTCTTCTTGCCAACGGCTACGAGTTGTAGACAGAGAAAACTTAACGGCATTGTGAGGATCATCACGGCTTCGAGCCGACGGCTGGTGGGAGCGAGCAAGAGAGCCAAACATGTCTTGAATCCGGTTTGGCAGCATCGCCCGACGGTCAACGTGAACATGGATACCATCAGGGCGGGTGACGACGCCGAACCCTGGTGTAGCTTGACCACCGATAGCCTGCATGATGGCATTCATGAAGCTAACAGGGCTATCCATCGGAAGTAGCCGGCCACCACCTTCAACTTGACCCCATTCACCAGTGAATGGATCATTGGCGCCTGATCCAAGACGTTGAGCAGAAGCATCACCTGCACCATCATTACGCATCAGAAGAGGATTAGTTCCGTCGTCATTCCCACGGCTCGGCATCTGGGTGCGGTGTACACGAGGGTAAGGTTGGACGGGCATGAGACCACCGTGGCGACCAGGCATGATTTCAGTGACAGTGGCCCAGGCCGGTGGCGCTCCACCACGAAAGCGATGGTGGTGATGGGGTCGGGGTAGTGGAGCATCGTCGCCTTCCCAGCCCCAAGGCTCGAGGAGATCGTCATCTTGAAGGTGCATCGTAAGTAAATCTTCTACCAGCTGGGAGAGGGAGGGATTCCAATTACCATCCATTTCTCCGTCAGAGCCGTGTTCCATGTCATAGTCATCGTAGTCATCCATTTCATCGTCTATCTCGTCCATTTCTTCGTCTTCTTCTGGGTGTGAAGTCAGCAAGCTGCGAAGAAGAGAGCGAACGCGCGTCAATAAGTGAAACGCACCTCCTTCATCATTCAATTCATCTAGAATCTCATCATGAATGTCTCCTCCAAGACCATCTCCATGCATATCGTCGACACCACCTGCAGTGGCATCATTGAGAACACGGAAGAGATCGTCCATACGGTGACCAGAGTTTTGATGGTTGGACTGACGAATATCGGCCATTTCTTCTTCGAATTGGTTCATCATTTCGGCTTCTTCTTCATCCTCGGTCATTTCTTCACTCTCCCATTCGCCTTCATCTCCTTCACCGAGACTCTCGTTATCATGATCTCCAGTGATTTCGTCAGCATACATATCATCATCCTCCATATCAGAATGATCATCTTCTTCATCCTCATCATCCTCGTCAGCTTCGTCATCGATGATAACTTCGACAGCATCACCGGAAAGTCCTTCGATAGGACCCATGCCTCCGGCATCCTCATCTTCATCGCTGACAACTTCACCGTCATCCTCCACAACTTCTTCATCATAGTCCATCTCATCATCATACTCATCCTCGTACATCTCGTCGTCCTCACCCTCCGATTCCTCGGTGCTAGACTCCTCTTCATCGTGACGAGGCTCAAGCATGCCCAAGGTAGAGTGTCGGAAAAGATCTGGTGTTTCCTCACGTTCATCCTCCATGTCTGAAACCGAGGTAGCGGACGAGATTTCGTCATCATCGCCTTCGCCCAGATTTGTGATATCGGAGTTCTCGCTCAGAATCACGGCAGTTTGAGTTAGCTTGTTCAGAGGACGCAAGATATACTTGATGACACGCTTTGAAGATGGGAAGTTGAGATCGATATCCGCAACAGAAGCCGTGAGGGCCGGTATAAAGTGTTTTTCGAACATGGTCCTGGCAAGCTGTCTAGTCGAAGATGGGAACCCTGCATCTTGAGAGTAGGAGTAACCGCTGAGCATCTTGTCGAAAAGGTCAGCGAGGCACATAAGTTTAGAATATTTAGCATCCAGGGGCTCAGTGGAAGCCATGGCATCCTTGTAAGATCGCAGCGCATGCTCTAATACAAATCTTCTAACAAACGCAAGATCTGGCTCGTCCTCTTCGGGGACCTTCATATCCGCACGCCGTCTATGAGTACCGCCATGCTCGCCAGTCTTCGTGCACAGGGCAACAAGAACCTGCATGGTCCATGTTGAGGTGATACTGCGCTTCTTGAAAACCAGAGTATCGTCATGGTCCATAGTTCCAAGGGGAACGAGAACATTCAGTAGGTAGTTGAGAATTCCAGAGCGAGGCTTCGAAGGGGTTGTGGCAAGAGGGTCAGCTTTCCTTGAGAAGTTGATGAATTCGACTTTGGTGCGGTTGTAGGAGGACAGAAGTTCAGTAAGGCACTGAAGCAAAAAGCACCGGTAGATATAGATTGGATGCTCTTCAGCATTGAAGGGTGGCTTCTCACCCTTCTTGACAGACGTGGGGGTAGAGTTGGATGGTGGCTGAGTATCGGCACTGCTTGACACTGAAGGAGTGGGCTCGTCGGTAGACATTTCAACGTCAGGCTGTGCTTGACCTTCAGGCTGATCAGTAGATGACTGATCAGAGGTTTCAGGCGCAGCCTCTTTATCATCAACATCCTTATATGACAGCAATTCCGAGAGAAGGTAGTGGATAACGCCATCTGGATTTTCGACAATTGGTGCTTTGTGCTCAGCGCTCTTGCTCTTGTCTTTCTCCTTGTCATCGGAAGCGGATGCTTCGCCTGTGACAGAGTCATTTTTGCTGGTACTCTCGCCATTGCCCGAATCCTGTGCTTGCCGAGCACTGAGTCGTGGATCGACCTTCAGCGCTAGGGCTTGTGGGCGCTGATGAGTTTCATATCTTGATAGTTTGAGCTTTTCATTTGTCACCTCAACAAAGATATCAGGCGCACGCAGAACAAGATGATACATTTGGCGCACATAACCGGTTGTATCAATTTGACGAGATGTTTTGTTCGCAAAGTTGGACACGATCTCGCTGCGCATGATCTGTCGTACAGTAGCTTCGTCTTCGACAATATGACGGAGGATCAACATAAATGCACTTTGAAGCTTGTCGTTTGTCGCGCTAGCCAGTTGTTTGACCATGACAAAGAGGCGCTGCAGGTTACGTTTCTCCCCAAAACGAGCAGCAATGCTACGTTCACGCGTGACAATGACGAGAATGCGACAGACGGAAAGTGCCAGTGTTTCATCTTTACCTACACGAGGCAGAATCTCGACCAAGGCCTCAAAGAGATGAGTCTTTTCCTCCAAAGAGACAAGGGGGTCTTCAAGTCGCGCAGGTTGCTCATCATTCGTATCAGTTGGGTTATCGGGATTTGGTGCATTCCAAGAAATTAGAGGAGGCTGACAATCATCAGATAAGAGCTTTTCTATTATGAGAAGCACTTGGCCGATCCAAGGGAAAGATTCATTAGACGGCTGTTCTGCAGGAGGGAGTTTGATGAAACCTAGGAAGGTTGAAAAGCAATCCTTGAGTTCCTCCAGGGTTGCCTTGTACATTTCTTGGTCTTGAAGAACCAGGGCAAGGATATGAGCGTAGGCAGCAACCTTCTTGCCAGCGGTTTGGAAATTCTCCATCTGCAGGGAAACAAGAGACTGGACAAGAGTCTCCCCAATTTCTCGGCGAAAGCTTTCCGGCTCTGTATGCTTCTTGATAGAAGAGGAAATAAGATCGGCGAGCTCGAAGGATACATCATGATGAACATTGAGGACATCCAAACAGCGTTCAATCAGGTTAGATCGAACCTTCTCTCGTTCAGCATCAAGGTCCTCCACCGTAACCAGGTTACGGAGGCGAACGGGTTCTTGTGTTTGATTGCTGGACTCTGGGACGCCTTGGGTAGAGGGACGGCGTTCGGGATGCGACGATTCGCCACGTTCATCGGCGTTTACATCTTCACCATCTTGGGGAACCGTACCAAGTGCTCTAGCCAAACCATCGCGCATGAAAGAATCTACATCCCCTCCATCATCCGGGCTGGGGTTCGTAGGGTCATCAACTGGACGCCCAGTCGCCTGAGCAAGAAGCATAGCGAGAGCAGAACGCTCAAGATAACCGCTATTGAAAGGCGTAGAATCACCACCAACTGCATCCTCGGGGGCTTCTCCGCCAGACGCGTTCTCTGGGCTTCCAGTTTGAATGTCAGTAGGGCGAGGTGGAAGCCGTGGTGGTGCTCGAAGCCATCTTTGAGCCTTGCAGTACTCCTCGGCGGCATTCAAGATGTTATTGCAGCGGTAAAGGGCCTCCTTGTTCAAGTCAGCATCCTCAAAGCACTTTTCTCTTAGAGCCGCTTCGCGATCCTTGTTGACAACGAATGGCTTCCGTGGTACCTCTGCCACAGCGGGAGGGATGTCGGATCTAACAGCGGCACCAGTCTCATATTCTCCGTCCATGGAAGAGCGAAGAATATCAACCAAGAACTTGACAATAAGGCTTTGAGACTGAGTTGCGAAGTCTGAGTTCCACATCTCCTGGGCCATGGGCAAAATTTCCATACGGAGATCGACTTGGAACTGACCAGGCTGGAAGTAATCGGGGCGTCCGCGATCACGGTCGTGGTTGCTGGTCAACGCTTGCGTCTGGCTTGACTCCACAACGCTTTTTCCTGCAGCAAGTTCGGTGAAAATAGCGAGAATAATTTTGATTCCACCATAGGCAGCAGTGATTTGTTCGGCAACTTCTTTCTCGGTCTCGGCACCTTGATCTAACGGTTTGAGAGCTTGGACTTCCTGCATGAAAATCTCGCACATGTCCTTCAGCACCTTTAGACCGTTGTTGCGCTTGAACGCAACAAGTACAAGGGTTAGGTAGTTTGGTTGTGGGCGATCACCGCCAGCTTCGTAGAGAAGGTGTGAAAATTGAGAGAGGATGACGATGAGATATGGGAAACGGTATTTCGAGCTAGCACCTGAGTTGGGAGCACTGAGCTGAAGACCGCATAGAACTGACTCAGCAATGGCTTCAGCCACCATATTGGCATTTTGCTTGCCCTTCTGATAGGGGTCCCCACGTCGCTTGCCAATCAGACCAAGGCCCAGGTTATGCATGAAGCCTGTGATCGTGAGTGGGAGTGCACCCAGAAGGTACCGAAGGATTTGCACATTCTTGAAAGCGGAGCTGTCCTCGTCAACCTTTTTGGCACCACCCTCGGGCTCTTGAGCAGTTGAGGCGTTCGAAGCCTCAGGGGCGCCGGAATTTTCTTGCTGTTGTCCGGGAGTTGAACCCTCCAAGAGACCCTGGGAAGCTCCAGCCCCAGGAACTGTAGGTTTGTCAGATCCAGGCTTGGTGACGGGCTGCTTCCCTTGTGTCCAGAGATCTGGATTGTTCTTTTCATTCACGATTGCCTCCCATACACATGCCGCCTGAAGGCTACCGAGCGACGAGATCAGTGTACAATAAAGATCAGCAAGGTTGACCTGACCGAATGGAGAGGCCTGCTGAGCGGAACGATTTTGGTAGAGGGGCATGGCGTAAATTTCACGAAGCATATCTGTGAGAACGAGAACGGCATTCAGGTTCTTTACAAAGAATGTTCCATGGGCCAAAGCCTCTGTTGGCTCTGGGGCCGGCGATTTAGAGTCAGTTGGTCTAGTGAAAGATGTAAAAAACCCGGACTCCTTTGGCGTGGCCCAGAAGGCGGAGAGTCTGTCAACAGCTGACTGTGCTCGCTGAATTATAGATGGGATAATGACGTGCGGCTTGGTCTCTGCGAGCATGTGCACGAGTACTGTGAGCTCTTGGTTAGGGTCAGTGCCGTGGAAGCCATAGGGCAGACTCTGAAGAGTTGCGTAATCCAATACAAATTCAGCACCGCCGGCCTGGATGAAGGATGTGCAGTTGGGCTGGTTCTCAAAGAAGGCGCCGAGGAATCGAATGGCCGGGAAGAGATAATCAGCCACTGTAAGACCATGCTCATCTTGATCTTTCGGCTCGAAGTCGCTTTCTGGCGAAGGAAGAAGCTGGCTCACATCGCCTACGAGAAGTTTACAACCATTGGGAAGATCATGAGCATTGAGCTGAGGGACACCGATTGTCAGTGGATCTTCCATCGAAGCATTGACATCAACACCGATATCGCGGAATAGATCAGCAACGGGTCCTGAGAGAATGGCCTTGTTTTCAGAGCTATCTGTCCACAATTTGGATCCAAGTCCTGAGTGCCATGCCTTGGTTTTCGCAAGCAGGCTCACACGAGCAGCCATGACAATTACAGCAGACATGATGACCGTCTTTAGCTTTGGGTGGTGCCGCACTAGTTCATCAAATGCCGTTCCCAGCGAACGAACGAGATTGGGGTCATCCTTGAGACATTTAACGTGTTCTGGATGTTCAAAGATCTCGAAAAAGCTCTCAAGGGCGTCTGAGGACTCGAAAAGGTCTAGACCAGAGGCATTCAAGCAAATGGCACCGAAAGCGGAGGGAATACAGGCAAGGGCATCGGCAGCAGGAATAATTCCGGGGGCAAGACTTGTCCCAGGCTGACGAGCCATGAAGTATTCACGAGTTTCTTTCTTGTCTTCGCTAGGTGAAGCCGGTGCAGCAGAAGGCGCTTCAGCCGAGGACTCACCCTCATCAGCATCCTCTGGCTCCACAGCAGGTGGCTTTTCTTGGACTTGAAGCTCGCGGCCCATCACGGCAGCAAGGAGACTTCGGCTAAGACCTGCTTCGGCAATAACCGCATAACTTGTAGGCTCATTGTGAATGAAGCTACTTAAAATGTTCACAGCATTACTCCAAACGTGCGAACCGAAGATCCGGGAATTTTCAAAGACTAGCCGCAAGGAAGTTAGGAGCTGAGGTGAATCTATCAGATTTCGCAAAACACGATCGAAGCCTCCGCCATTGTGTTGCATGATATGATTCACAAATCGAAACATCCACCGCAAAGTTTGCTGCTGGAAATAGGGTATTTGATAATCGATGGACGGATTCTTGTATTGAGAAGGGAAGCCAGCTCCACGAGAGACATGCTCGAAGGCGGTTTTAGTCTCATGATCGATCAAATCAGAGATGGCATCAAAGCCCTTAGCAGCAGTCAATGTACCCAGTGCGTCCCGAACCGCGTGAACGAAGGTATCAAGGAACTCCATTACTCTAGAATAGACGCGGCGAGATTTCTCAGTGCGGAGTTTAAGAATATCAACGAACATAGGGATGAGACCAGCAGCAACTAGTGTCTCCGGAGTCCGTGAGCTCGAACTGGGAAGTGTGCGCAGAAGTGCAAGTAGCGCATCCCGCCACTCATCATGATAAGAATTATCAGTAGCATCATCTTCAGCGGCCAGCTCATTGACGACCTTGCGAGTTAAGAACATCAAAACACCATGATTAACATTGACGCTCAACGCTGCACAGACATCAACAGCGCGAGATTTATATTTGGCTAGCGCATCCAACGTATGAATTGCCAGCGTCTGAAGATTCCGCGAGACAGAAAGATCACCACTGGCACCTAGATGCACAAGCTCGGCCAGCTGAAAAGTTAATTGAAGGCGTTTCGACTGTTCCAAGTCATACTGAAGAACCTTCTGCTGGAATGCTGACTCGGGATGCACGTATGCCAGGTTGGTCACAGCGAGAATGCGGATTGCAAGAATCTGCTCACGGGTCTCAGGCGATCCGGACAGTGCTTGCGCGACACGAACTTTGTGAAGCAGCTCGTATTTCGACTCAAGAGGTAGGTTAGGTAGATTAGTCGCAAGGATATCTTCGGGCTTGGCGGACAAAATCTTTGCATGTGGTAGATCTAGAATTTTGCCTCCGCGAGATGCTTCTTCACCCTTGCCGCTTGTATTTTGGTTGCCGACTGGCGAGTCTTCTCCGCTTTGGCCTTGGCTGAAACGTGGAGCGGGATGGGTTGCGCTACGACGAAGTGGTGTGGGTGTGGATGGAGCATGAGATCCCTGTTCGCCCTGACCCAACTCCGAGGTCGTTCTGGGTTGCTCCGAGGAGCCAGAGGGGTAGTAAAGAACGCGAACATGGCCCCATTCTTCCCAGCCATCATTATCACGCACGAGGGAAACTAGTTCATTGGCATTGAGCTTAGTCTGCACCGCTTTCTCTTTGCCCTTTGTTTGAACAGCCGGGGAGACAGCGAATGGGGCTTTGCTGGCGATGAACGGACGAGGAAAGGGTGAAGCGATTTTTTGGAGTTTTTCCAAGTCAAGGCTATAATGGGTAGCCAGCATGCTTTGCTGGTGAGAGCCCCGCTGACGTGAGTGGTACCGTTGAGCAAGGCAAAGCGCCAACCGTAAGGAAGACTGGAGGAGAGACAAAGAGGTAGTGTTCAAGAGATCTCCTAAACGCTCACTACTGCTATAGAGACTGCGATTTCCACATTTCTCAAGCAATAGTCGCGAAAAGTTCAAGATCGCCTCCACCAGCTCACGGTCACCCTCGGGCCCATATCCCAGGGCATCCAGCTTGGCACCAGTACCCTCCGCTGGCGATTTGCTCGGATCAGCCGCATATGATTCTTCCAAAACGCTCCGTTTGAAAGATTGTGTTTGGGGGCCGGTATTGAGGAAGTATTTCTCAATGACGGAAGCCAGGACTTCATCGAATCGATCTAAGACATTGATCCAATGATAAAGATCGCCTCGAGGAAACGGCCATAATTTCGGGAATGTGTTCAGAAGAGTAGGGAGCTCGGGTACGGGAAGGCTTGTGGCTTGACCTATGAATTCCGCAAGAAATGGTGACTATAATGAGAAAGAGAAGAAAATTTTTTAGCCCAAGAATCATCAACGAGGTATAACGGATAGAGCCGAGACTTACAATTGTAGCCTCATGTTTTTGGCTAGCCACCTTCTTAATTCTCCCCATGTTGACAGTAAAGTAAGCAGCCAACCATGAGGGAGTTGACAAAATCCAGGAGTGAGTCTCCTAGAGGGTAGTGTGGTGGGCGCGGTGTGGGGTGGGTGGTTGAGAGACCAGGTCGCGGAGCAAGCGCGAGGATGCCTTATGACGTTTTTGGTCCTCTTCTTCCTGCCTCGCCTAATTTGAGTCACTTCACGCCGGAAGAATGGCACTAAATAGAATCGCCGTGATACTTTCAAACTTAGCGATTACTGTCAAGTCAAACCCTTTGTGAAAGCGAAGCTTATTTTGTTGAAATAGCTTCGTAGAAAAAAGATGGTGAGATACGGGTTCGGTGAAAGAAGTCAAAACCAACGAGGGAAACGGTGCAGGACGCTTAACCCAAGGAAGTATTGACGAAGGTAGCGGAAAATTTAGAGAAAATAAACTGAAGATTAAGAAGGATGGGGTGTGTGTTGGGGAGGAGGGGGTGGGAAGAGAAAGAGAAAGAGAAGGGGAGAGAAGAATCGATGCAGGTGGTGAGCTGTGGTCTGTCTACCGGCAGATTAGAGCTGTGTAATTCCATGGCGGTTCCCCGCTGGAGGCGGTCAGGCTACAAGGCATCACTCATTTTCATAATCAACAGAGTCATCTTGTTCTATCTATGTCTTCAACTTTTTTAAATGTCCGTACCTCTTTAGGCTCTTCTGGCCTTCCGCTATTATCAGTAGTCGCTTATGAAAGCACGGCATACAAAACTGGCTATCCAATTCATTCATAACACAGCCAAGCAAGACTTGAATGCGATGCTACCTAATGACATGATCCGTTTGAACTCAAGGTTCTCAAGGAACGAAAGGAAGTAAGAAACAAAGAATGTCCATGACGATAAAATACAACCATATCTTTACAGCAAAAAGCGGCCCAATTTCTCCTTCATGCACACCCTAAACTCTCGGCAACTCCCCATCCCATTGAATCTTCATCGTGGATGGGTACGGTGAGTAGGCGCTAAGATCCGCATCCATGTACATCGTGATTCCTCCTAGGCCAGGGATCTTCTTCAGCTGTCCTTGAGGGCCCGGGGCACGTCGAAGATTCTCCAATTGACCAACTACCCGGAGCATTGTGGGGAGGGCAATTTGACACACTCCAAGCCCCAGGCATTGATGAGGCCCGAATCCAAAGTGGATATACTGGCTCAGGTCGCGGTCCAAGCGGACCGTCTCGGGCTCAGGGAATGCGTTTGCATCATGGCTGGCAGCAACCTATTACAAAGTAATATGTTAACAAAGGATTATTGATTCGTTGGATATCCACGTCTACTTACCAGGTTGCAGAATAGTTGCTGCCCGGTCTTCAATGTCACATTTTCCCCATTATCCTCAAGGACCACGGGCTTGGCAACTTCGCGCGGCAAAGCGACAGAAGATCGAATTCGTGCACCTTCCATGAAGCTACAGATTGTTAGTATAATACCCCTGCAACACACTGCTTTTCAGAAGTTACGAGGGATCACTCACTATCGCAAAAGAAGCTCATTCGCTTCCGGGGTACGCTCCTTTGACAAGCGTTGGATTTCTGCAAGATGAACTGCATTTTCCTTCTCGAGGTAAAAGTCCAAGCATTGAGTGAAAAGTTGAGCTTGGTTCGCAACCATTGAAGCAGCCGACGGCATGATATGAGTCCATACGATCTCATTCGCAGGCAGACCACTATCCAACAGACGCTGAATCATATGGACACCATAGGCACTGAGAACATCGTGACGATGAATGCGACTAACGATACTAGCAATGAATCCAGACTTATCAATCACCTCGACATTGGCCATGACCAACTCTCCGAGTTGCTGAGAGACCGCACGGGAGGCCTGTGCGAGCTGGAACGCCTTGCCAACATCCACATCATAGAAGATATAAGTAAAGATCAAAGTCATAATCTGGTAAAGCTCGACTTCAGTGAACACGCCCTGAGGATTAGCCTCCGTCTTCAGTGGCAACGAAAATATATTTGCACAGAAATGAACCTGTGCAAGGTTGGCCACATCACGACAGATATCCACTTGGTTGATACCGGCCACCTTATATGAGCTTCGCTCCAGAAGCTGAAGCGTCAATTCTTCGTAGAATTTTTGCACCTCAGACTCCCATTGGTTCCGGTATAAGGCAGCACCAACCATTTTGCGACTTGCCGCGTTCGGTGGGTTATCGCCCGACAACATGAAATCGCGACCATATGGATGTCCATCACGTTGCAAAAGAAACTCTAATTTCGGGCCCCATGTCACTTTGAATGCGTCCTGATCAGCGAGGATGGTCTTGCAGGCAGCGTGGGAATTGATTAGCACAGGTATCGGGGTGTAGCTTGGCGCGGCAAAACTATATAACTTGTCCTTTCCAAGGCTGTTCAAGATCTTTTGATTCTCACTCGGGATGACCATTGGGAAATGTGCGTAGACCGAATCTCCATGGAAATGATTTGGGAACGCTCGGAAAACCAGCTTGTAGAAGACCTGGCCAGCGTCCACGGATGTGTCAAATTGGACTTCATTATATCCCCAATTGGTCAAATGCTTCGGGGTATAGTCAACGGTGTAGAAGCGATCGCCTCTAACAAGGGAAACAGCGTCCGAGAGAATTGCTCTAGAGGTAGTGAAGTTGGGGCACAAGCCACTGCCTGGGGCCATACTCTTCTTTGCATCCTCCACAATGAGACCAGGGTAGATCTCTACTAAGTCGGGATGGTCATAGAAATGTCGGAGCTGATCAGCGATATAAGGGTCCGGGTTGATCTCCTCAAAAGTTTTGTAAGGCGTCAAGTTGAAAAATTCGCGGAACTCATTCAAAGTCGCTAAATTCCAAGAACGAGCCTGCTGAATACCGAGGACTTCAACAGCTCGGAAAACAGGTGGCACATTCGACGCTCCAAAAGCACCGGCAACATCCTCGACGCTGGTCTTAAAAATCTTCACAAGGTCGTCATCAGGGTAAGACCCATCCGCTTGGCGATGTAAGTTGGCAAAGGGACGATCCTCTGGCTTCTCGGGTAGCATTGCCTCCCATCGGTGAAGGCCTTGGACAAACTGCGGGAGAATTAGTGCCTGTGGATCTTGACCCTGGAACAGATCCTTGTATAGATCTTCGGACCATTTCTCATCCCGAGCAGAGATACAGGAATGCCATCGGTAGATCAAATTGAACTCTGCAGAGACCTGGTTTCCAGTAGCTTGAGCCGGGGCATCACCAAACAACCCATTCTTAATTTCTTCCCTGGGATCCAAGCTCCAGAGACTATCTGTCCGATTGAGATCCAGAATGGTTCGGAGATAATCCTTAAGGATGATGTTGATATAGAGACCGCAGGTAATCAAACGGCCGGTTTGAAAGAGATCGTTGTCCCATGTTGCATACGCCTTTTCGTTAGACTCAGCTGGCTTGGTGAAACGGCGACCCTCATTTATTTGGGCCAAGTTCTCAACAACGTAGTTATGGAAGCGGTTGAACATTATAAGCAAGACACCAACGCCAGGGGGGAACCCGAGAACTCGTTTCGCAGAGAACACATCCGGCTTCAGCTTTCCATCCTTGAAGGTTCTCACTTCGTTCTGTTCATTTTGATTGTTTCCGTAAAGAGGGCCCAAGTCAAGATATGATGATGTTTGAGAGATACTGCTGTCCTTTGGATCTGTTAAGAAGAGGTCTGTTACGTTTTTGTTAGTTGGTTTGCCTTTATAGCTTTGTGATGGAACGTGATCCTACCATGAATTATGATGGATGCAAGATAAAATAAAACACTCGAAATCTTGTTCGGATGTTCCTTGAACTCCTTTCGTGTGAGCAAGCTATCGAACAGTGTCCCCGGGTCTGGCCGAGAAAGAGGCTGCATAATAGCAGGCCGAACAGACCGCGCGTATGGACTGCCAGCAACACCAATGTTTGGAAAGAATGGGTTCTTTAATCCCTGTTAATATTTTTTCTCGTCATAGGAGCTGAAGAGGGTACATACATTTCCAGATCCATCTGCTGTGCGATAGCATGCATTCCGACCCAGATAACTACATTTTTTGTAAGCGTGCTTTCTGCGAAAAGAAGCAGGTCGTATAAGAATGCATTGAGCATATGACTTACGATGTTGGTGGGTGCTGCAGATCTTTCCACAACGTACCCAAAAAGCTATTGGTTAAGGTCTGACCAGCTTGCGATGTTGAAGGTAAACTGGCGGTAGTCTGTGATGTCTTTAGTCCCTTGAAGTGCCAGTGGAAGTTTAAGCTTTCAACTTGGTGCATATACAAACCTGAATCAATCGTTCCATAATATATTCGCGATCGTTCCAGGGGGTGCCAGTTGCCGCATCTTTGGCTATCTCAACAACTGTCTTGACATCTTTCAAATTTAAGTGTTCCAAATCCTTTACAACGCCAGTTTTGGCATTACTCTTGATGTAGGTGCCGTCGCCGGCCTCAGTTGGCAAAGGTCTCAAAGTAGATGCCACAACTTGCTCAATTTGCGAGAGCTTATTTTTGATACCATTGATCTGCTCGGCCATGGTGGGATGGGATATGGGTCAACAAGGAGAAAAAGGCTTAGAGATGGATCAACAACGAATATTCTGAGAATGATATGAGAAGGATCAGGTATCAAGGTATGGGGGCTTTGACGCGATCTTGCTATTTAGTTTCTCAAGATATTGTTAGTATTTTTAGCAAACAAATCTAGAGTTCAATTAACATGTATAAGGAAGGAGGGTAGGGGCCCTTGCGGTTCATTCAGCAAGAACCTCCATTGGCATATTATCAAAATGTCACCTGAATGGATCCAAAAAAAAAATATGAGAGCGAGAGCATACCAATTTTGCGACAGATTACTTCAGGAAGTATTTAGAATTTTCGAGGGGCAATCGGTGGGTTCGGTGTTTTAGAGACGTTTGAGAGCGGCAACCCATAAGCTTGTGAAGGTCTGCTATAACGAGCACCGGCAATAAAGCTCAAGCATGGAATAGGTAAAAAATCAAAATACGTATCATGAGATTGGATCGGAGGGTAATGGAAAGATTATAACCATTTCTGACTGCGGAGGGCCCCGCTAGTCTGCTTAACGGGCAGAGTACATGTACAGCTGAGCAGCTGAATAGCCTCCAGCCCGCGCCGGGTCCATTATCCACTGTCCACTATCCATTATCCACCCGAGCCTAGCACCCACGTTGACCTTTCAGCTTTAGCGCCACATTATAAGACGTTAGTGGCCGGTACGAGGGCAATGACAGCCGAATGACGCCCCCACAGTGCTGGGCAGCAATGGAATGTTTTTCATTCGTGCGTCAAATCCCATGTGAAGAGTGAGTTATCTTTGTTGGCTTCCACGATCCCACGAATTTTATTTAATTCAATTTGACTTTTCTGGCAATTTCAAATGTTGTTGACAAAGACGATCATTTGTACAGGCAAATCAGGAATGGGAGACCATGAACTCACGCCCCTCCGGTTGCTTGTCCGTCCAGGTGGTCCGGCCTCATTCGCCGCTCGGGTGTGGGTTGGTTATTCTGCTCGGGTGTAATTGGTGCATAAGCTCCATGTTCAGCTTTCAGTAAGCAACCAGTAGGATTCTGCAGTAAGTGGGGCTTACGAGTATGCAATCTTTTTTCAGTGGGTGAGCATAATAATCCTGGGGGTTACGCTCTTTGTGTGAGCCTCATGACTCGGTTAGTTCATAGCATGGCGTGCATTAAGACGGACGAACTGGGGGGAGCCTGGCGAATTGGTTCGTCATGATTGGTGAGTAGGTTCGGCCGGGCTAACCATGCCAGCGTTGTGTTCCCGTCTGAGACATGGAGCGCCTAGAATAACTCGGCTGGAGCATCCATACATATATGCACGGGGCGATATTGGAATGAAATTTGGGATCCGCGTAAGGAGATAAGAGGGATATGGAAAGTACTCAATTTTCGGCAATTTTCGTGACTGTTGTTATTGGCGCTTACTGCGACAGGGAATCCGGCCGGAGACGGCCAATAACTGTCATAGGAAGTTTAATACATTTTTTATTGCTGAAAGCAGGCCACTGGCCCATACTAAGTGCCTACATGTATTAGTATAGTACTTGGCTTAGACACTATCTACAATACACATTTGCCTACGAGTCTCTTTATCTGGATTTAAAGTTTTAAGTTGATGGATAACACTACTGCTTATCTTTTGAACGCCGTTCCAAATATTTTTCATCTTCTAATAGCTTGTATGTAAAGCAATTTCATTTACTAGTAAAAGAGTTAGACATTAAGCTATATCGACTTTCGATAGACAAAGTATAAGTCTCTCAAACGAATTTACTGTCTGGCCGGATGAACCTGCTATACCTACTTGACTTATTTCTAGGTACACCTCCGACTGCGAAATTCTAGGAATGCTAAATTTGACCTTTATTTGAGGGTTCTATGTTTCGAGGAAATGAGGTTTATTCTGGTTCATTCTGATTAGTAAATATCATACCTATTTTCAGCGCATGTGTAAATCCGTGTTCGCATGTATCAGGGTCGGCATCCACTTCAAGTTACAAAAATATTCCAGAAGACAAAAGACAAAGGCAGGTGTACCATTCCAAGTCTTTTTGTTTGGTTGACTTCCAGTGCATCTATTTCTTTGTGTATCATCTAGATAAAATAAGAGCATTGTTCACACGCCAAAGAATTGGAGAGTATGCAACAATGAACAATTTGTACAATAAAGCACTATAATTTATTTATACTCGATTAAATGAACAATGGCTCTATTTCATTCATAGTTTGCTTTTGTTTCTTTGAATCATTCTTCAATAAATGACCTTGAGCTGTTACTAGTATAAAAGAGATCGACCCTCCGATTGAAACGAGTTTATCATCACAATATCTATTCCAACTTCCACTATCTTCAGCTGAGCACCATCCACTCCGAGTAAAACACCCTTTACGAGTAACTAACTAATTACAGGGGCATTTCCAACATATACTACTCAACATGCCTGTCAGTGACATCGATTATACGTGTTACAACCTCTACGTAGCTATCTTTCAACAGAAATCTGACTCACCTGTCCACTGGGCGCTACTGATGGCCCACCCAGGCGCAACTAGATGCACGTGGTTTCACACTGTTGGTTCCCCTGGCTATTATGATCGTGCTGTTGAACCTGCTAAGCACTTTGATAGCTGGAGTATTGAAGAAAAGCACTTACTTGCCCAGATCCCAGCATCCGAGGAACAGACAGTTTTCGAACAGGCCGCGGCCATTCCAGCCCAAAGCTGTCAATGCTATATATCGTACCTGATTTTCAGACTTGAGCAGCGGGAATTGATCGAAGCTGAAACCTACGAGTATTGGCGTGATACCTATGTCGAATCTCGCCGCGAAGATAGAGGACCTGGTTTCTTGGATGAATGCTAAATAGAAGGCATGGTTGTTTACTCACTTGGTTCCAGTGTTTTTGCTAGCTCTTTAGACTATGCTCGTCCATCACGTTGATTTTCTTTATATCTTTGATTGAAATGTAAGTATCATTCACTACTTAATTGGGGAGCTCAATTTGTTTATTAATTTGCGTTTCGTTGTAATATTCCAAGGTTGTAGATTGGTCAATATCTAGTAACTAGAGGCTTGGCTTTCAGATTTTTAATAATAGTAGACCCCAAAGATGTTAGTTTTGAGTGGAATTTTTGCTTCCAGGCTTAGAAGCCCACAGCCGTCATTGAAATTCTGAAGTGAGTTACTTTACTGAGAAAGGCGGTTGGCTTCAAGTTTGTCTCGATGATATCCAAAGTTAAGCCTTCCGTGGAACCCGTCGTACTTTTGTCATCTACTAGGTGGTGAGTTACCACTACGGAATACCTCAAGTGCTATATTGTAAAGCTTCGCACTTTTTGACTAAATTCCGATCCTATTGGCTACTTCGTATACCTTAGATTACCAAAGGATTCAACAATCGGCCCGAGAATATTTCCGACTTGAATATCGTAAAATCTACTCCATACTACCTAAGTAGGGGTCATAATTGTTTTCACCTCTCCTCATATAGTACTCCGTGCTGACCACTGACTTGCTGATCAATTATCGACTTCATCTACTGATTGTAAATATACTATGTGTCTGTAACATTTCCAGGGCTGTTACACTTGGTCCGTCGAGCTGAAACCCTACCTGTTTCTCAAAATGGGGTTGTGAAGAACGTTATCTACGATTCTCGTGGTTCTAGCCTCCGTTTGGTGAGCAATTTCAGAAAAAGGATATCTTACATTGGTAGACAGTGCGACATTTCTGGTCGTCATCGATCCTAAATTCACAGCGAGCCTCGAAGACCTTGAGAAGGCAGTTTACTGCGAATTATACTTGCGGAAACAGATGTCACCCCTTAGGGGCAGCTAGGCACCTCGGTCATACTGAGGTGGCGGAGGCTTTGCTCGACTGTGAGTCTGCGACCGGCTTGATGTAGACTCACTGAAGCGAGTGAAGAAAGGTTGGCAGGACTATCGCTACCACTCATTCGGCCCCGCAAGAAGATGCCACCCATCGTATTGCAGGGGCCCGGGGTATTCCATGATATATGTACAGATAAGCTGCCAAAATAAACGAAAAATGAGACCAGTGGTCTCAACTTTGACTCTTGATGCAGATGGTTTATTGAGCCAATAGTACAGTACGCATATTTCCACTGTTCCACATGAATATACCTCGGTCTTGCCTAAGGTGTCTACATCACGTGTGGTGTTATATTGATCAACATGAACTCAACAATTTCCATTACAACTTCCAAGCTTATCTACTTGCCTCAACTTGAAGCTTGCTTTTAATCGCAATGGCGTCCAAAATTGCGCTCACAGTTGAGCCCCGTGGTATGTTATTTAACACGCATGAATCAACAAAGCGTCATTTCTTTAAAAGTCGACTCCAAACTAAAAATACTCAGGTAAACCTATCCGCGGGCTCCCCAAGGAAATTATGATTGACCTTGATAATTCTGGCGAGGAGCTACACAGCATCGTTGCTAAGAGCTCCGGCTGCTCCGTGCACCGCCTTCGTATCACCAAGGGCAGTGACCGTAGTGCTGTCCCCAATTCCAAGGACATCACCATTGATGAGACTGGTCTGCGTAACTCGAGTGTGATCCACGTTAAAGACCTGGGTACGTACAAGATCTCGCCCATGCGAAAAATAAAACCGATCAATGCTAAAGATTTATACTTCAAGGTCCCCAAATCGCATGGCGTACCGTTTTCATCATCGAATACCTGGGTCCTCTCCTGATCCCCGCGCTCTTCCTCTTCCCCCTCCGACCATTCCTCTACTTCAACTATGACAAGCCCCTCCCGGACCCATCGGATACTCAACTGCTCGTCTGTGCCCTTCTCACTCTCCACTTCCTCAAGCGCGAGTATGAGACTATCTTTGTGCACCGTTTCAGCAACGCCACCATGCCTGCCCGCAACATTTTCAAGAACAGCGCCCACTACTGGGCTCTCGCTGGCTTCAACATCGCATACTGGGTCTTCCGCCCCAATGCAGGCGCCGCATCCGCAACTCCCAATACCGCACTCGTGTACGGAGGTGTTGCACTGTTCGTGTTCAGTCAGCTTGCTAACCTGAACGCTCACTTTATCCTCCGTGACCTCCGTCGTCCTGGTACCACCGAGCGTGGCATCCCCTCCGGCTTCGGCTTCAACATTGTTACCTGCCCAAACTACATGTTCGAGATCCTCGCGTGGCTAGGTGTTTTCCTGGTCAGTCAGTTGAACCTGAGTGTGCTGTTGTTCGCTCTTGTTGGTGGTGTGCAGATGTGGAGCTGGGCGTGGAAGAAGGAGAAGCGTTACCGAAAGGATTTCGGCGAAAAGTACAAGAAGAAGAAGACTGTGCTTCTGGCTTACATCTGCTAAGCTACACGCTTTATGATCGACTCTTCGTTCCAATTCGTTCCAGTCAATTCAGTACTCCATAGTCAGGAAATTGTAATATTTCCACGAAGCGAGTGACCTTGGCCTCCAGGGCCGTAGCCGCCGCTGCCTGGGTGCTAGAGTGCTCACCAATAATAGCTGCTCAGTTAGGGGCTTCTTTGATTCCGGGTTATACTTACATTTTATCTCTTGGGATATAACTTACGACGCATGTATTCTATGAGTGGACATAAAAAAAATTAATATCGTGTTTTCCTTTATGACATTAGACACACTAGACTCAAACGTTTTCACTATATACTAGTATATCTCTAGGGACCCCTGCTAGTGGAGCCTACCGAGGTCTTCTGTTATAAAATTTAGACAACGCACAGGATAAATGTTCTCAAATCACATCAGTGGCTGTTTGATTAGATTTGCTCAAGATTGAATGCAGGCATAGGAAGAAAGGACAACTCATGAGACATCGGACTTGACCTCTGGGAGGAACATTAAAAGACTAGAACAATGAGAGATTGTATGATATTGGAGTATAAATACACAGAAAGTACAATATGCACGCCCAGTAGATCAACCGATGCGAAAGAATCCCAGAAATTTCGAGGGAATATTGAAGACACATGAGACTGTCAAACAGAAAAAGAAAGAGAAGCACAGTGGTACTCAGTAGCATCCACTTCGTCGCGATAGTGGTACAATAGAAGAAGCGCCAGTCCCCAACGCAGGACATCAATTCAAAAGTGAAAGTCACCAGTTAACAAGCATGATACCCGTGCAAATTAAGTCTGGACTTCGGCTTGAGATTTCTCAGCGAGCTGTTGGAGTCTCTGAGGGTCGGCCATACCCTTCTTGCGGGGTTTCGTAATTTGATCAATGTTAAGTCGCTCAGCGATTTTAGCATTGATTTCCTCCTCCTTGTCCTTTGCCCATTCTTCAAAAGACTTAGGCTCCTTGAGACCGAACTTGAGGCGCTCTGTCCGGAATCGTTCCTGGATCACGGATGTCTGCATGACCTTCCATCGCAGTTCCCATCCGAACATGCCGAGCTCCCTGATGCGGGATACGCGATCGCTAAGGAGGTAGTTGTCGAGGCCGCCCTCCTTCTGAATTGTACGCAAAGCCTTGCGTGTGACTTTGATAAAGAGTTCCTCGTCCAGAGCGTCGCTGCGGATCTTTTTGCGGCGAACATTGGGCTTCCAGCTTCGTCGTGTTTTGCCTTCATTGCGACCCTTGGAGATCTTGTTACCGAAGCGAATCATGACACCGCCATAAAGACCTGTGTCGGCTTGCTTGTACCATTGTCGAGGACCGAAGGGGTACGGTGGGATATGCTCCGGAAGTTGTGCGGTAGTCTGTTGTGCCAATGTGGTGGAGAAAGAACGCTTCGGGATAGATAGGGAGAGGTTGCGAAAGGCCGAGGCCAGAGAGAAGTGGCCGGCCATGGCGGCTCTCGGCTGGAAACCTGCCATTGAGGAGACGTGGGCGAGTTCCGGGGAGTGAGAGTCTGTTCAATACGGATTGGAATTCATGCGTTGAGAGAAAGCTGGAGTGGGAAGAATTTGGGGGCGCTGACCGCCTTCCGTCGCGGCTCCGTGACTGGCGCAGATCCCTTGTTCACGAATTTCGGGAAGAGCATGTAGCTGGAAAGACGGACCATCGCAGCAATACCTAGCTACTCTTTGTTGGATTTTAATTTTGTTCATCGCTTCTTATTTCTTAATCTTTTTGGTCCTCCGATTACTTTGTTCCAGGCTCAACGAAGCCTCATCATTTCACCATGGTCCAGATCAGTGAAGTCAAGGGCAACTCGCGCGAGAACAGGACCGCGGCGCACACCCACATCAAGGGTCTAGGCCTGCGCGCTGATGGTTCCTCAGAAACAGCAGGCGATGGATTCGTGGGACAGGCATCTGCTCGTGAGGTGAGTGCGACATCTATTGAGTTCAAAAGTGACGGAGATTTCTTGGGTAGTTCATTGGCTGACGGTCTCTCGCCCTTCAACAGGCATGCGGTGTTGTAGTCGACCTCATCAAAGCTAGGAAGATGGCTGGACGAGCTGTGTTGCTTGCTGGTGGACCAGGTACAGGAAAGACAGCGCTTGCTCTTGCTGTATCACAGGAGCTGGGAACCAAAGTACCATTCTGCCCCATCGTTGGCAGCGAAATCTACTCTGCGGAGGTCAAGAAGACAGAAGCCTTGATGGAGAACTTCCGACGAGCAATCGGTACGCTATTATTATATACTCAGGATTTCGAATTCGAAACTAACAACAACAGGTCTGCGAGTTCGCGAAACCAAGGAGGTGTACGAGGGTGAAGTAACCGAGTTGACACCGGAGGAGACCGAGAATCCATTGGGCGGATACGGACGTACCATCAGCCATCTGATCATTGGACTCAAGTCTGCCAAGGGCAGCAAGAAGCTTCGCCTAGACCCCAGCATTTACGAAGCCATTCAGAAGGAGAGAGTCACTGTTGGAGATGTCATCTACATTGAAGCCAACACCGGTGCTTGCAAGCGTGTTGGTCGGTCGGACGCTTATGCGACTGAGTTCGATCTCGAGGCGGAAGAGTACGTGCCCGTTCCTAAGGGCGAGGTTCACAAGAAGAAGGAGATTGTACAGGATGTGACCCTTCATGACTTGGACATGGCCAATGCCCGGCCACAAGGTGGACAGGATGTGATGAGCATGATGGGCCAGCTGATGAAGCCCAAGAAGACTGAGATTACAGACAAGCTGCGACAAGAGATTAACAAGGTTGTCAACCGCTACATTGACCAGGGCGTGGCCGAGCTTGTTCCTGGTGTCTTGTTCATCGACGAGGTTCACATGCTTGACATTGAGTGTTTCACATATCTCAACCGTGCCCTTGAATCTACCATCTCTCCGATCGTCATCCTGGCTTCTAACCGTGGAAACACTGTCATTCGGGGTACCGACGACATCACCGCCTCCCACGGCATCCCACCCGATCTGCTCGCTCGCCTCCTCATCATCCCCACTACCCCTTACAGCCCAGAGGAGATCAAAACCATTATCCGACTGCGTGTTAAGACTGAAGGCCTGAACATCAATGAGCCTGCTCTGGACAAGGTTGCTGAGCACGGCAGCAAAGTCAGTTTGCGATATGCCTTGCAATTGCTCACACCGGCAAGTATCCTGGCTCGAGTCAATGGCCGCCCTAATGGAATCGAGGCAGTGGATGTTGCGGAGTGCGAGGATCTTTTTCTGGATGCCAAGCGCAGTGCGCAGATTGTTAACCAGGACATTACCAAGTTCCTGGCTTAAGGGGGAAGAGAGGGGAAACTTCTACGACTGTACACCATGGGGGTATCATCATTTTTCCATCATTTCTGTTTCTAATTCCAAAAGGCGAAATCTACTCTTAAGGCTTGATCTTTTTTTCATGCTAATGCTATCTTATGTTACTACGTTTAAAGGAGAGATATACATGTGTAATAACTCAGAAGGGAGTATATCACGGTCAAATGCAAGGAACAGGCTTCGGCGGGTAGTCACTAGGAACATGCAGGACGCCAAACGTTGTCATTTGAGGGACTAATGGGGAGCACTTGACAACTCTCCCAGACTTTAGTGTAAAGCGGTATTGAAATGGAATCATGGCGAGGCCAATAATATCCATATATCCGAAACCTAGACAGCCTGTTCATGGCTATGACTACTCCGTAGAAACTACACCCTATCCGGCTAACGGCAATCACGTGCGAGACTTATCATCCCCCAGCCTCCACCTCCTCAATTGTTCCTCTAGCCAATATCTCACGACAAGCTGTTCAGTATATTGAATCAACTTAATACTCATTTCAGTCACGATCACGTTGAGGCTTAGCGCATTTTTTCGGACAAGACATTCGCCCCGAGCGACTATCGGCCTGCCTAACGTCACTTAATCCTCCTTTAGATAAAGGTGGAGCCTGTGGTCCGATCACTACTACGAAACGACCACTTCGACATACATCGCAACAAACATTTTCTTCACCCATCTTGCCCCCGTGGTTCCATATAATACTTGCCTTTCTAGCCAATATGTCGAATCCCCTCGATACGGACGCCGGATCCGAGATGTTCGCCAGCTACGAAAACGAGCTTCAACTCGTTCAAGCGGACTTGAACCAAAAGCTCGATGAAATCACGGAACTGAGCGGCGAACAACGGAAATCTGCTATCAGCTCAGCGGATATGGTCCTCGATGAAGCAACAGAACTGGTAAGTCAAGTCGGGCCCACCCCCAGACCCCAGAAAATAAAATCCACCCCCCGTTCCTACACCTTTCTCCAATCGCATAGATCTGCACACTCTTGACTATTTCCCACACAAGTTGATCTCGGATAAAATAACTAACCTGAATTTGTAGCTGGACCGTATGCGCATGGAAAAACAAAACATCCCCTCCGAAGCCCGCTCTAAAGTCAATATTCGCTTCCGCAACTATTCAACTGATATCGACGATGTGAAACGAAAGCTCAAATCCCTCTCAGATGATCGCAGAGCCCTTTTCGGCGATCGATACACCGATGAGCCACAAGATGAGCATCTGGAGCAACGTCAACAACTTCTGTCTGGCACAGAGCGCTTAGAGCGTAGCTCTGCTCGTCTACAGCAAAGCCAACGGACGGCACTGGAGACTGAGGATGTCGGGCGCAACGTGCTGACAAACCTGTATGAGCAGCGTCAAACGATACAGCATACCCGGGATAATCTGCATGAAAGTGAAGGATATGTGGATACTAGCATTAAGACTTTGAGGGGTATGGCTCGTAGGTAATGTCCCCCCGATATCTTCGCTCCTACTTTCTAGTGAGATGTCCAATACTAACTGGCTTATAGGATGGCTACGAATCGGATGATCACCATTGGTATCATCACAGTCCTTGTTCTTTTGATCATTGCCGTTATTTACAGCAAGTTCCATTAGCGTTCCGACGAACCTAGGCGTTTATTTTGGAGGGATGTCTTCTCTTGTACCTTTTTCTTTCGCTATGTATGAAGTTAGCATCACCGAGCTTGACCAGTACTAGACAGAGTTCTGGAATAGAAGCTATCGGTTGTAATCAAGCACTACTTTCATGAAGACCATAAATGCCGGTAACCTAAGACTATTGTTTACAAGCGCCCAGATGTTGAGCTATTTTGAACCTCGATGTAGAACAAGTGTTGCCCAATACTGGGACCAACCCATAAACTATGTCTACATCTCCAGTCCAACTGGCAATGCAACCAAACAAAAATGCGCCACTTAGGCAGGGTATCTCGTTAAACGCCTAGAAAATAAGAATAAAACAGGACCTACGCCGTGTTCATAATCCTCATAGCCCCAAAAGCCACATTAACAAGCACTCCCACAAAGACAGCAACTCCCTTCCTCCAAGACCATACACCCTCCTCCCTCCTCAACCACATGCCACACCCAATAGGCCAAAAGAACCCCATAACAGCTCCCCAAAGCATATCATCCATCGCGCTCCTCGATCCAGACCCCAGACCCCCTTCATCCTCTCCAGTTCCCGTTCCATCTCCTGTCCCCGCTATCCCGGCCCCAGTCGACCCCTCATCCATCCACCTATCCTCGAGATCGCGCAGTTCCTCACCAGAAGGCATAGTGTCAGGCGTTCTGGAAACAGACTGCACGGCCAGAAACTGAGACCGGAGAGCCGTAACTTCCGCCGCTGTGAATCCCGCACTAAGGAGCCGATCGAAGCCACGAGGCGCAGGCGTTGTAGTTGTAGACGCAGTCGTAGCCTGGGAGGTTTGTCCTGCATTATTGAGAGAGGAAATAGAAGAAAGCTTCTCCTCGGGTTGAGTAAGAGTCGAGGCGAGGCGTGCTTCTGTTGCTAGATCTGTTTCTGAGAGAGCTATGTCGCCGATAGAGCAGTGGATATATAATCTGGGTCTTGTATCGCGGACAGGTTTCTTGCCCTTATCATGACGTTGAGCATCATTTGAGTCTCGCTCATCTTGGCTTTTGTCTTCCTTTTCTGGTAAAGGCCTGGGACTTCGTGATGGGGATGGCGGAAGCTTGAGTGAGGTAGTTAAGGCGGTTGTGTCTTCTAGACCACGGCCCGAGTAAATCAAGCGGAGTCGATGAGATGATAGTGAGGGGGGAAGTTTGGCCCGGATTAATTGTTTGAGGCCTGCGCCGGTTGTGGTTCCTGGTGTTAAGATATCGAGGGGAAGATCGGGTATTGATGCGGAGAAGCGGACGATGATGAGGAGAGCGTTGGCAAATGGATCGCTGGAGTTACTGTAGGAGGAAAGAAAGGCGGGTGACGCCATTTTATTTTGATTTGGATCAGTGATTCCGGGTATCGATTTCGAGGGTTTAGGAACGATGTATATCTATCCTCGAATTAAAGAAGGCTATTCTAAGAGGGTGGTCTGGCCCATCGCCCCATGTCCGCGGTCCCGTTCTGGCATCATGTGACACAATCATCGGCGATAACTAGTATATATCTATATTTTGAATTGAAATGGAAATCTAGACGAGATTTAATGTTATATTCATGAAGATGATGCATTGAATAGTATCCTGGGACGGAATCGGGGAGGTGGCCAATGTGGTTGGTGCTACAACGTGATTGCACTATATTATATATCATGTATCATGTCCACTTGACTAGTCTATGTTTAATGTCACATTGGGAATTATGATTCCCCACGCAGATGTAGCGATAAGAAAGCGAAGCTATCGTAGCTTCGATGAAATGATGGGTTGTATCACATCCCACCCGTTCCCTTGTTGACCGGGCGAGTGAAGTGTAATACCAGCAAGAGATGATGGCAAATGAAAGGTTGTCAGGAGGATATCAAGCGTATGTAACAAGCCGAGCAAAGCGGCAAAAGTGCCGAAAGTTCATTATACAAAAAGAGAACGCCGTCCGATGCACCGAGGAAGACGCCGAGGAAACCGAATAACGTAGAAAAACATCGAAAGCCGCTTAGACCATGAAGGACTCGCCGCAGCCGCATTCCTCCTCTGTTGAAATGTTAACAGATGCTTCTTGCATATTTTGGAAGACAAGGGTTAAAAAAGGTGCTTTTCCCCCCTGTCTTGCAATTTTTATTCTCTTCAGGGGACCACTCACTGATATTCGGGTTGCGGAAAACAAAGCGCCTACTCAGCTTATCTTCATGCCAGTCCATCTCACTGCCAATAATACTGAATAGCGCCTTGCTGTCGATCAAAACCTTCACGCCGTCTTGCTCCACCACCTCGTCAAACTTGGCCGGCTTGTCCACGTATTCGAGGTGGTAAGCGAGGCCGGAGCAGCCCCGGTTCTTAACACCAACTCGGATGTATTTTGGTTCAGGCTGATCCATAAGCTTGCGCAGCTGCTCAGTGGCCAATGAAGAAAGCTTCATTGCTGCTTTTCTTGCCCGCAATGGCCGACGAGGTTTTCCGGTCTTGCTGGTGGTAGATGAGGCGGCTGTGGATTTTTGAGTCTCGTTGCTCTTGGTGTTTGATTTTGAGGATTCCGCTTGCGATGGAGCATTCTGGATGTTCTCTGTTGAGAGGGGGAAGTCGGCCGAGATGGAGGCGTCTGAAGCACCAAGGCCAGGGTTGCGAGGAGGCGGGAAGGAAGATGGCAGGGTATGTGGGCGATAGGCTGTTGCTGTTTGCATGTCACGCTTAGAGGATTGATGGGCATTTCCGTACGATGAAAAGCATCGTATGGCGGGGGACGAGCGTAGTGTAGCAGCGGGCTGCACACATCGGAGCAGTGTGGCGGATGATGTCACTGGACGATGCATGATGCCGAAACTCATGGTCGAGGGTAGATGAAAGGTCGGATTTAAGAGCCTCAATGGTGGGTATTATGAGAACATAAGAAAATCGGTGATCCTGGCTGTGGTGCAGTGTGTTTTAAGAGTGAAGGGAATATGAGAAGACTTGTTTGTTCGAGTTCCCCGGTGACTCTCGGGGGATTAAGTAAGACTGGTTGCATGATGTGTCTGTAGCCAATCAGCATCCAGGTGTTTCTACACAGAGTGGCGCCATTCTCATGTCCCTGCATTCAAGCATGAACTGCTTCGTAATCAACAGAACAATAGAAGAATGGCACCTTGGAGGGGACCCGGGAGGCTCATCTATGTCACCTTTTATTGATCACTAGTAGGGCTGGTTTGCTCTTGTTCTTCCTCTTGATTACTGCCTTCTCTACAGCCGCATCCGCACTAGGTTACGTCATCATCTGGCGCTTATCGGCAGCTGAGTCATTCTCTATTCCGCGGTAAAGGGTACTTGCCTCCGATTGTCGGAACATCGTCCCTGGCAGCCTTAAATAGTTGGCACATCAAGCCATGGAGGGGACAATACTAAAAACAACAGGTTTGATAAACTTGTATAGTCAATGTCCTCGGATCTGTACATATGATTTTTTATCAATATTTTTCTCTAATATAGGAAACTGTTCTTACAAAGAAACAATCCACATATCGTATATCTGTAACAGACCCAAAACAATCCCAGCACTTAAGCTTGAAAGGACATGTGGCTGGATCCGCTGACAAAGTGGCTAGTGCCTCGGCCGCTTGAGATGAACACTCCAAAGAACTCTCCTTCCATGCAATGCTTTGGTGATCAGGCTGTAGATCATCTGAGAAAATATGGAGGCATCGCCCCTCACCCAGCAGATTAGACCCGAAACCTTCCAGCCCAAGATTGTGCAGCTCTACGAGGCGCTTTTCAAAGTGTGTTCTCCCCACATCCAAATTCTGGTTCCTTCCCAAATTGATAGAGCCATTACTGATCAACTATATTCAGTCACCTGAAGATGCAGAACCTTCAGAAGGTTTTTGGAGAGAATTTTTCTTGTTACCACCAGATGGAAACCAACTGCATGATTTGCTAGACAAGTTGAGCCCCGACGAGACTTTAAGCTTACAGGTTAGCTCTAGTACCTCTTCAGCAACACTCTATATGATCAACCCCACTGATCCCAACTAGTCTCAAACACAACGTTTATTTGCAAGAGCTATTCGTGAAGCTGCCTCTGGAGTCGCACCAACAGATTCCTATGCTTTAGATGTGGGTGCCCCGCAATGTCCATTAGAGCGCACCTTAACTAATAGAACTCTAGACTTTGACAATATTTTTGACCAGCATTCTGGGCAAAAAGTATACAAACCCTAGCTCAGATGTGATCACCGCCCTTGCAGGGCTTGATGAGGTTGACCATGTCATCTCAGAGTTTGTTTCTATGCTCGATGGGATCATTCGCAATGGCGATAATTGTGAGTAGTCCTAACAGCTCTACATGATCATGTATGTACCAAAAACATTAATACCAATAAGCAGTGAAAACACGACGGAAGGCAATCCGAGTAGCCATTGCGATGACAAGCGGGGCCTACAAAACCAGTCTTGTCTCTTATTTTACCCACCGGGATCTCTTCCCATCTTTGATGAAGGTATGGACATCTGACTCTTGAACTAGCTATTCGATACTGATATCTGACAATCAGTATGTTCATGACTCTGATACCCCAATGCAAGTATTTGATCCATTCCTTTTGCTGGGGCTCTTGGCAAACTACAACAAATTTGAATTTCAAAACCCCTATCAGCTCCGACTTGATGACTTTGTCAACGAGTCAAGTATCCAACGCATCGTCAAAGGTGTTGGCCTCGCCTGTGGTGGTTTGCGCAACGGCTATATTGCTGTGCAAGATGACATTCCCGAAGGCTGGTCCTTTACAAACACCTTGATCTTCTTCGGACTTAGGGCCCTCGCGCCTGGCGCGCGAGATAAAGCCAACCCGCCCACCGCGGAAGAGGCAAAGGCCATGTTTGCTTCCTTGTAACTCCATCAAATACCCACTTGACATTGAACAATTTGCTGATTTAGTAATAGGCCTGCACAAGAGTCCGCGATTCTGCTTGCCACTTATGACTTCGCAAATTCAAACAAACTCTTCGGATATCACATGGTCCACATGCCTGGTGAAAAGAACGAAGAGTCACCGCTCTCGAATTTCCTTTCTTTGACATCATATCTCCTACAACATGCTTACCGCTCCGTGCGAGTGGTACATTACGCGGAGCTAAGCCTATTCACACTACGCATTCTCGTCGAGGACCCAACTCTCTGCAAGCACATCTGCAGTGAAGACGGAAAACGCAAAGTCCGAATCTGCCGCCAAAGGCAGCCATATCTCCCGGTTGTCGGGGGAGATCGCGTAGTAGCCACAGTCATCTTTGATGTGATGATTGACACTATCACGCACAATCTCCGACGTCGGCTGGACGTGAACATATACAGGTATGTGCAAATCTACGGACAAGAAAATCCATAAAGAGAAGGATGGAAATGCCGAAACTAACACTATGCCTAGCCACACAATTGCCATCACTCTCCGACTTCTCACGTATTTATCAATGAACAAAATCCGACTAAACTACCACTGGTCCGAGCTCTGGCGCACCCTTCTCTCCCTAATGCGCTTCCTAACCACATATGCAACCGATCTCAATACAAACCCCCAAATCCATACCCTCACCACCTCTCTCGCAGATCTTCTCGCCTTTTGCGTCTCAGGCGGCGATACATTCCTCCCAGATCCATCCTCCTACGATGATCTGTTCTACAAGCTCGTTGAAATCGGGCCTGTTCTCACAAAATTCAGAGATGTCTATTCCCTCAAATCCACCCAAACTGCAAGCACCTCGACACCTTCAACCCCAGCCCCAACTACAGGAACTGCCCACGCGGCAGCAATCGATACTCTCCTCAGCGTATCAACCCACTTCTATACGCTGCTTTTCCATTCCGATAGCTCGGATTCTACAGCTGCGGCTGCTGTCGTTGCTAGTCCCAAGGCTGACGAGGAGCCCACACCTGTCGCATTGCCTTCTATCAAAAAGAGGAACCTTAGCCCTCGAGAGGTGCATAGGATTATCAAGCAAGGGTACGAGACGTTGAGTATTCAGCCACCAGAGGGGCTGAGTACATGGTCGCGATGGAGGGAGACGGAGTGGAAGACTGAGCTGAAGAAGGCGGCTAGAGTGGCTGTTGATGATGCGAGGCAATTGGTTGCTTAGGGCTCTGGTTTAAGTTGTTAATGCTTTACTCATATTATGTATGCCTTTGAGTCTAACGTCTAGATATGGGAGCCTGTGTCGGAACATGGCGCTTTTTTTTAGTTCTCATTGCTTTCCGAGATTTTCTATTTCTGTGGGGGTACGAAGATACCTGTCCGGTTCTTTGGATGAAAGCTACATCATATGCTCAATCATGATGTTGATATGTATGCGTTGAAATCACTCAGTTGTATACCGAATCCATCCGCTCCAATAGCAGGATTGTCGCCTGAAGCAATGAAGTAGTATGTGTTTACAGTGGTAGCAAGATGATATTGGAATGTTGAACGAAATCTCAAATTTGGTCCTCAGGTCTCCTCTTATGGGGGCTCAAGAAACCAGAAGAGAAGTCCCCTCAACAAGCAAGTGCAAGAGGAGAAAAAGAAAAGTACAAACAAGGGCAAAATCAGATACCCAAAGAAAACCACCTAACTCCATCGCACCTATTCTTTCAAGTAAAGCAATTAGGGTGGACTAGGAGAGGCCATTGACATATGACGCCATTCCATCGAACAAAGACTGCACAGTAGCAGAAGCCAACTCACATATCAATCCTCCAAGTCCCAGGCCACAAGCCCCCTTTGCATCCCACGACCCATTAAAAGAATGCAATGTAAAGTGAAATGAGACAGAGAAAGAAAGAAGCAAAGGCCTCTAAGCATTTTCTTCGGCGACCTCGTTGGCATGCACGTATTCAGTGCGGAAGTACTTTTCTGAGTTGCGACTGAGCCAGATAGAGAGTTTGGAAAGCTCCTCGTGCGAGCGCCCAGTACTTTTGTACTCCATATTTGTTTGAGCCAAGAGCTCAGGCAGAAGACCTTGGCAGAGTTAGAGAGGAAGTGGATCAACACGAATTGGTATAATGAACTCACTGAAAAGACGAATTAAGTGCTCAGCGCCGTAGATAAAGATGGGGCTCTTCTCATTTGCACCCTGGTATTTCTTCTTCAAAACCCGATATTGGTGGCGTTCGTAGCGGTAGAGGAGAAGTTTGTCGAGAACGACCTCGAAGTACTCGGACAGACCAGCAATAACTTCGTCCATAACAGTGACATCGAAGCGGTGGCGCTTGGGAAGTTCTTCGGCGCGCCAGTCTTGCAAAATGTCATGGACAGGCTTGGGGGCGGGCAGTTTGACGACACTGCCGTTTTTGGTGACGCGTTCCCAGTCGTCGACGATCAGGGACTTGATGTTGTCAGGCATCACAATGCGAATAGAAGGTCGGGCGTGAAATTGCTCTTCCTGTTCTGAAGTGTTAGACTCGGACTGCTCATCGGTGGTCTCTTCCCATGTCTCATCGGTTTCATCATAGAGATCAGTGCTGGGGCTTTCCTCTCGGTCCGTGCCCAGTTCAATATGTCCATCAAAGACAGGGAACGGGTAATACGGTTCACGGCAGCACGGGCAATCCTCGGTAGGGTCAAATCTCAAAAAGAATCTGTTTGGCATGGTGGCAGGTATGCAGCAGGATTTGCTGGGGGGGGGGGGTGGGGTAGTGAACATAGGATTGGAAGAAAGGTGGAGGCGCGGAGCATGAAGTGAGATGAAGATAGAGGGCTTCAAGGCAGATGAGAAAACAAAAGACTAACACAATTGGCAAACTGGCAGAATGACACACAACTTACCCTCTCGATATCATTTTCTCGGACTCGCTTGTTGCCTCGACCAGAAACTGAATTTCCACGCTCTTCGCTATCACGGACAGAGCTATGCTCTGATATTGCCCGTTTCTTCGAAGTAGGGGTCTTCACATTTTTCCCTCTAAGCGATGCTTCAGCTTCTTTCCGTATGTTGGTGGCGAGTTCACGGTTCTCATCAGTCCACTTGCGTAGACGGTCTTCAAGGACCCAGTCATCCCATCTAGAAATAGTCGTCAATAAATATGTTCCCAATTGGATGTTGTCAGGTATTAACCTCCTTTGCATTGTTTAGTATCAGATCCCCAAGCAGTTATTGCAATGTAGGTTAAGGGACACGACCAACACATGACAGGGCAACATGGACACAACGAAAGCAAAAGTAAAAAGATACTTACGTATTCTTCCATCCTTTGTAGTGGACACGGTACTCAAAGGGGCTCTTCTTGTCAGAGCTATCCTTGTGTCGCAGTTCGAGGATCTTGGCCTCATAGAGTATTTCGTGGTGAAAGCATAAGACTTTCTCGTCTGTGCTGTAGTTGTTGGGTGCCATTTTTATAAAGACGAGCAATGAAATTACAAAAAATCCGTGCGAAGAGATGTAAGGCACAGAGGAGCCCTGAATGTGGTGGTAAACAGGACAGGAAGCAACACAACACAATTAGTTGTTCAGGGAAGATTGAAGGCAAAGCAGCCTTTTTGAGATTCCCAGCCGAAAATTGTCGTTAATAACCTCAGTCGCCCAAAATTGAATTCAGATATCGATAATAAGTGGTTGCCGGAGTGAAGAAAGCTCCAGGTTTTGCTGTTTTGTATTGCAGCGTGAGTGTACCCAATTTGACCTGTTCCTCGGGGTAGGGTAGTCGCTTGATATAATAGGCGACGATAACCTCTTGACAGGAGATACTGCCTCCAAATGATTGATATGAAGGTAATGATCCAGTCTCTCCCGATGCAAATGCCGAGATGTCCGGTTTAAACACTGGAAATCCTGATCTTACTGGCGGGTTGTATGTTGCGGGTGGGAATGGGAGAGATGTGAAAAGGCGGAACTGGCCCCTTGAGAAAGATCACAACCAAGAACGGGATCCACGCGGCAAATTTACTTCAACAACCATCACCACTGCAGTAATTATCGTGAACCTTGCAAGAAGATACCGAGAAATTCTATTTGGAAAAACCTCTTCTCTCTACTACGCCTCATTCGTGTTCTTGCCTCTGGTTGTTACTTTCCCCAGACACCCTCGCCACCAGAACACGCGATCTCTACGCGACTTTTGGTGACCCCCGAAGCTTTTCACTGCAATAAGACGAAATCCACGTGTTTCATTACTATATTAAGGAATTGAAACGCGTTGGGAATATTTTCCTCACTCAATCTATGCGATGGCACCTACAGAAGAGTCGGTTCTAAGCAATTTCCTGCTTACCCCAGCCCCACTGCCAACGATATTATCTCTACAAAAATTCACAGACATGTTTCCTAAGCGTCTGCGGAATCATCCACATATTCGAACCTTGTATCGGGAACTTCAGCAGGCCCGTGAGCAGGACCTTGATCAAGTAAATGAAAACATCGACAGAGAGATCCAGCAGGGTGAGCGCCAAAAAGCAGAACTCCGAAAAGCCAGCATGGCAGCAGGAGTCGAAGCAACCAATGATGATGAGCAGCGGGAGATAGATATGGATCTCCATCTGTTTGGACAGAACACCACTGACCCTGAAGATTATCATTCCGTGGATAGTCTCTTGGCGGAGATGGAGGTTGCATGTGCACACATTGAACGAGAAATCTCCAGTGTGGACGAAGAAGCCAATGGTCTTATGACGGAGCTGTATTCTACAGTTGGAGATCTCAGTGACCTTCGCTATGGCAAATTCCAAGGCCCAAGCTCGGCTAGCGATGTTGCCAGAGAAGCTATCAAGGGTCTGCAGCATTTGGAAGATTCGTGTTATCAGAAGGCTATGCCAGGTGCATCTTGATTATGCCCTTAATGGTGTATTGTGCTCAAAATATTCTTTCAAAAATTCACCACTGAAGGTAAACCGCCCTGTTTCAGAGTTGAGGTATTCAAGCTAACTAGAATGATATCTAGACCCCCGTGCCAAGATTTCAAGACTATTCAATAGTCCCATGCATACCCAAACTGATTCTTTCTTAGAGTCCTTATTATCTATGGACTGGTCTGTAACGAAACACGGCCCTTACATGCCCGATAAGCCAGGTAGCCTATGGAATACGTGGCCGACCCAGCATTCTCCGCTGATGAAGCTGGTCAAGGTACATTTCCTTCGTGCCTATGACAGTGATAAAGTCGCCAGTGAGCCTACTTATTCTACATCAGGGCGATTCGACATATCATTTAGGGCATACAAAACAGCTCAACCAAATCCATGGCTACCTAAAGTACTGAATGGAAACAATCGGGGAGCATCAATGTCATATTGTACCAGAACATAGGGATGTCATTTACACTGAACTCTTGCTTTTATACTAAAGTCCAGTATCCTTAAATTATAAAAATGAATGAATGTTGTCTTGAAATCATCCCAAGTCTGCATTTTGATAAAAATTTCCACTCAAATCCATATGGGGAGAAAAACCCTTACATCCCCAGTTTACCATAAGTAAAACCTAAATGTGGGGTCAACGCGTCCCGCGCCTTCGCGTCAACCTCACCTTCCGAACCTACCTCCAGCTGAACGCCAAAAGCGCGAGCATTCAACCAAGATCCTCCTACCCTAAAAATGCCTTCAATTCGCATAAATCCACAGGCATCACCCGCTGCCATAAACCCAGCAGCATCACTATCGCCCAACCTCTCCCACCCACTTACCAACCCTCTCCCGCGACTCCTCCAAACACCATCCGGACTAGCCTTCCTCGAACTCCAAGGGACTATCAACCTCCCCTCGAACCATTCGAATGATGGTTCATATAACGAAGAGTCACATTCACCAAAGGGGAACACCTTTGAAACCCCGGTCGGGAAACTCATGTTCCCGGATTACTCAGCTCTGAATCCCGACGACACGAAATGGATGAAGCGCGCATATTTGTATGTTGGTCGATACCAACGCATGACGGGAGAAGTGAAGAAATTGCCTCGGCCAATTGCTGTGCTACAAAGGCAAGAGTCTTCAGATGCGCCTCCTAACGCGGAGGTGGAGGAGCTGGAAGTTCTTGAGATTGTGCGGTATAAGATCTTGTTTAAGAATCGGCCAGAGCCTGTCAATGATGTCTGATCGAATACTTCGGACTCTTGGATACTGGAAATATTGCCTGCGGGAAAATAAGGGCGGCACTCAGTCTGCTCCGGGCTTTGCTGTGCTCGGTTGACCATTTCGGAATATTTGGTTGAGCTGAATCAGCTGGGCCTACCTATCGTCTACGTCGACCTCGTGAAACACTCGAGATTTATTATGCTATGGCCTACGACCCTAGGCTAATTAGTCATGGTCTGATCATACTCTAGCTCTCTGGTGGGCAGCAATGATTAAGATCGCCACGTTGGTCTTCTTTAGACTATAACGATTTTGCGGTCCTGGGGATATTTTAACACCTAGTTCGCAATAACGCCATCGGAAGTTCACTTAAACGATAATACGTCTCATAGAGATACCGCAATGTCATTGAATGTGCATTTGTTGTATGTATTTCGCAAATACAGAGATGCAAGAGTTGCGCAGGGATAAGTCTCATAAGCATGTGTTGATCTATACAAAACCTGTTGAGTCTACCAAATAGGATAGGATTTAATGAACACTAATGCCTATCGAGCACTTTGGTCATATTTTTTTCTGCTTTCTAACCTCCCATCGTGTCCTGTTAAAGATACACCACAGTCTTAGCCTGCAATAACCGAGCGGAATTGTCCCACGGATTCCAAAGGAAATGTTCCGCACTTGACATTCAATGAATCGGCATTATCATCCAGAGTACAAGGCCAAGACTAAATAAATGAATAGAACATAAGATGCGAAGAGATATGAACTTGCAAAAAAAAGTATATAGTACAAAATCAGACTCAATCATATAGTTCAAGTGTATAACCTGTGGTCCAACCGGTCCACGCCAATCGGAACGATGTCATCCAATTGAAACCCCGCAGCCTCAACATCCGCATGGCCATATCATAGCGAATATAAAAGCCCGCAATGCCCCGCCTATTATCCTTACCTCTTCGCACACGACTCTCAGTTCACAAGCCAATAGTCCGGTCTTCACTTTTCACCCCAAAATCCTTCAAATCAACAATCACAAAAATGGCCCCCATTGAACGAATTACCCTCTTCAAGATCCCCAACGACGCCGACGCAAACCGCGTCTTGGAGCAATACAAGATTCTCGCAAAGACAGCAACAAAGGTACATTCTATCACCTAACTCTACTCAATTACCTATCTCTGCTATCTTCTTTGGACATCGTACACGTCATCGTGTCACTGATCTTTCATATCGTGGCAATCACGTCGGTTGAGTTCATTGCCGGATCGTCCCCTATCCCACCTTACACAGAGATACTTTCCCCGCCTGTCCTGATGAACTTTTTCAACGTGGCTTGATTTGGATTCAACCAGCTTGAGTCTTATCTTGTGGTAGCACGGCTGACTCGAATCAAATATAGGACGGAAAGCCTTACATTGTTTCTGCTGCTGTCGGAAAGTCTATCCCTGATCCACGTAACAAGGGCTTCAATATTTCTGTTAAGACGACATTTGCTTCGTTGGAGGATATGAAGTATTATGATGAGCAGTGTGAGGCTCATAAGGCGCTGAAGGCTGTTGCCGGGCCAGTGAAGGAGGATATTATGATGACATACTACGAAAGTGTCCTTTAGATCTATTCACGTCCTTTTGTGATGCTTTACTAGTCACCCTGATAAATAATCCTTCCCCTTGCTAGAAGTGGTGGGCTTTGAATACACGTTCAACATCATATTACACTACGCGTCTTTCCAACAGTTTTTCCAAACATGGGTCTAATCGTCTCTTGTAATACCTTTACTGAGATAATTATAGAGGCTTAGACGATATTATATCTAAGCTCTAAGGGGTATACCTAATATTACCACATATCATGATGCTTCAATCAAAGCTAATATAGGCGTGATTCTATAGGAAGATGATAAAGAGTATAAGGTTAAATATGGCAGTGTTGAAATGATATAATATGACTTTTTTGTATTTCACACGAGCAATACAATTCTTTTTACAAGGAGTGGGATTATTTATCGGGGTGACTGTAGTATGAAGATGTTATGAGGACGGTATTGAAATTCGGGTTAGTATATGCTCTATCTATGTTTCCAAGTGACTAGTCGAATAAAAGGTCTAGGAATTCAAAAACAAAAAGAAACATCATTCATTCAAGATGTACATTGCATGCATCTAGTATGCAATACCGAGTCAAAAGATGCAGTCCAGGGAGCCGGCGGGATAAAAAGAGGAAAGAGGCACAGACAGCTATAGTCAGACAAAAACCAACAAAGGGCAAAACAGACAAGTGATACAGTTGAAACACCAATGCTGGTTGTAATAGCATGGGGGTTGGGAACAACAGGGCTAAAAACACCACACAGAGTCGTTAATGGGATAGAGTGAATCACGGCTAGCTCCGCCCTGGACAGCAAGACAGGGGAGAAAAACACAGTACAAAAACCCGGCCCATAGGCGTGGTTTGGCGTGATGCTAGTAATCGCAGATTAACTGTTGATCAACGCTTATGAAATATACAGGGTATGACAGGAATGAGATGAAAGCGTATAGGAAACAAATCAGTCGAGGGCGCGGCGGAGGTCATTCCACTTTTGTTTGAGTGTCTCGTGGTTCTCGGACATCTAGAGGTAAATGTTAGTTTCTGGGTGATAATTTGGATAGGGGTGGAGATGTGCTTAGCATACCTCTGCCCACTTCATCTTCGTTGCAACCAGCTCCTTCTCCATTTCAGCCATGGATTCCTCCATTGCCCGGTTCTCGTTCTGAACCTCGATGTTCCGTTTCATGATACGTTCCATCTCCATGCGCAGCTTCTCCTCTACCTCGGCGGGCTGCTTGTCGACCACATTTTTCAATTCACCAACCTGAAGCTTAAGTGCATCGTTCAGGTCACGCAGCTCCTCATTTTCCACCTTGACATGAACCAGTTCCGACGCGAGCTGTACATGTTCTGTATCAGAGGCCTCGGCACGCTCCTCGAGAAGGCGTATCCGGGAAGCCTGTAGAGTCCCCGTATGGCGCAGGTTCTCTAACTCGATCTCACGCTCCGTCTCTGTTCGAGTCTTTTCTTCCCACTCGGCAGTATAAGACTTGATCATATCTTGGCTGAGAGGAATATCACAAGCATCCTGAACCAAGATATCAGCGCGATAAATCTCTTTATCAGCCGCTCCAGAACTTCCAAAGAAACCTGACTCCAAAATCGATGTCGCTGAAGGCTGTTTGTCGATGTATACGTCGAACACACGCTCCTTCAAGAATGTAGTGAGGGAGCTCATATCTTTCATACTCATCAAGGCCTCGGAATTGCGCCTCATAATCGCGACGGCGAACTTCAATATGGTGCTTTCAAGACCTTCTTCAAAAATCAAGTCGTAAATACGAAGGACCAATTGCAGGGGAAATCGATAGGCGAACAACGTCAAGAACCATTGGGTGGCATATAGTTGCGGGGGAACGCCGCGGCGTCGAAGGTGACAGTAGACGGCCGGCTCTAGATCTTCTAACAACCGCTCAAACTGGAACAGACTGCGATGAAGACCAGGCATATCATGAATGAACATCTCTCGAAGACCATATTTATTCATAAGCTTGACAAGAAGCTCGAACGCCTCCACTTCATCCATATTGAATAGTAAAGGCATAATTATGAAGTTCATGCCCTGCGCATAGCCCACAGCCTCATCGTATAAAGCATAAGCTTTGCACAATCCAAAAAGACCTTCTTGGCTGCCCTGTGAAACGAAGTATTTGGAATAGCTGGTACGGGAGCCCAGATCTCGACGAATGACTTTCTCTAGTTTCTGCAGAGCATTTGTCTCAAGATTGGCCTTCTTAACACGAGCACTTTCACTCGCGGCCTGTTCCTTCGCCAGTTTCTCGGGGTCGGTCTCTTGCGAAGGGCTGTGCGCCACGCTAGCAGATTGTGTGCCAGAGCCAGAGTTATCGGACCGAATTGACGAGCGCGAGGATGAAGTGGATTCTTCGATTATTCCATTGATCTGGCCATGGGAAGGCCGGCGTTCTTTGTCCGTTCCACGCGCAACCAGATCTCGATAAACATATTCCAACTCTCCCACATGGCAATCTGCCAGAATCTGCCAGATCACACCCCGAATGGTCTGGGGAATACCCCGTTTGATAGCTGCATTCAGTTCCTCCGAGCTCGCCAATGCCCGAGGCCCATCATTTACAAGTTGCTGCCACATTTCCCAGTCCACTGGTGTCGACGCATCGGATGGTGATCTGGCGAATCCAGATACAGTTCCTGGCGCGAGGTTCGGATTGATCATCGATGAAGGTGCGGCTCCGGGCGACGTCGCTGCTGGAGAAGCCGGGGTTGGTGGCGCCAGGATTGGCGCCTCGCTTTCCTCGGGGATTATGGGAGGGCTGGCTCCGGAGTGAGTAATGCTAGGTGGCCCCGATGTTACAGCCTCCTCATGCTCAGCCCATGAGACATCTTCACGCATGCGAAGCAACTTGAACTGATCTTTCAGGCTATTGCGTCTTGGCTTCTTCGAATTCACACTGGAGGCATCTCCATCTGCGACCAGGTCCAGAGCGCTGGCGATAGTCGATACTGAGGTTGAGGTGTTTCGTCTGGCTCCAGTCTGGGATGGCGATTTGGCCTCTTTTACCCCAGTCGAGCTCCGAGAGAACCAAGCAAATGGACCACTGGTCTTCCGAGATAGGGGAGGAGGAGCGGGTGGAGGAGGGTTTTTGTTGACTGGGGGAGCACCCCATGGTAAGGATGGAAGGGCGCCGGACAGACCCATCAGGCCAGAGCCAGTGCTAGGCGGCGAGGCCACCTCGTCTTTAGGGGGTACAGGAGGCGATTCCGGCTTGATTGCCGCGTCTGTTATATTGATTGGTTCATCGTCTTTGCTGTTGGTGAGAACAACTTCATCCAGGGATGAGGCAGACGACAAGCGGTGGGACGTCAGTAAGGGGGACTTCTGTGAGGTAGTCTGAACTGGTGTTTCATCACCGACCCCATCCAAGTCGACATGCTCGGTAAAATCGAACTTCTGCTCAGCATTACTGCTCTGCACATCCACAGTGTCCAGCTTCAGCCCATTTCCGGGGTCTTGTTGTTCATACTGCTCCTCCGCATCCTTTTCCTCCACGGGAACGCTTTCCTCATCTGGCTGGTTGCCTTTGCCTTTCTTGTTTTTCTTATTTTTCTTTTTCTTGGGCGTTGTTTGCTCACTCCCCTCGTTCTCACTTTCTTTCTGTTCGGCCAGCGATTCAGAAGGGAAAGATGGTTTCTCTGAGACGTCTGGAGACGCCCCCACGCCGACGGGTGGGCTATCAGTCAATGACCGTGTAGACGAGGATTGAGGGACAGTTATATGAAGGTTTTCGAGGGATTCGGGGGCATCGTCAAATGACTCCTATACAAAATCAGCATTGACAACATAACATAGAATCTGAAACGAGGGGAACACCACACGACTTACCCCTTCGTAGTCACGACTGTTCCGGGGGGACGACATCTCGCAGGTTTCACGAGATCATACAACTGCAAGACAGAATCATAGGACCTAGGAAGCAGGAAGCCTCAAAGGTCATTAGAAAAGGGGAGGAAGGAGAATGAGCCAGCGTGGAAGGAATTCGGGGATGTCATTTCAGTGACGGTAAATCGAGGCCCCCAGGCACGGGTTATGATTGGCTAGCGGCAACGACGCAGATTACAGTATGGACCTGTCGATCGGGAAGTTGGAATGGGACGAGTCCACTGCTTTGGTGCAGGCCGATCGGTAGAATGTAGGATTCTTGGTCTCGCTAATTAGGTTTTTAGACATAGTTGACTTAATCTAATTTTTCATTTTCTCCCTCGTCCATTCGCGTAATTCTCAACATCTACTAGTATAAAACGGTATAGCATACGTAAGTAATCGCTCGGGGTTATAGTTAGTTACTGTCGCACAGCTGCAACAACTAATCACACCTGCCAAAACATGACCTATACTATTTACACATGTAGGTGGTAGTAAATATATATCAAGAATAGAATTGTATATTATTTCTTATCTACAAGGTCCGTTCAAAATCCACCCATCGTTGCTGGCGTAAAGGATCCAATTGTTTCAGTTCTGAGAGCCAGCTCAGAATTTGGTCACGATCCTCTGGCAACAAGCTACCAGTGACTTTTGACACTAAGACAGTAGTCTCAATCAGGGCTTGGTAGATGTACTTGCAGTCTTCAGCCCCGTCCAGTATCTCTTGAATGTTTTCAATCTCTTGACGGAGATATTGAAGTCGTTCTGACGTGGTTAGGTTCGGAGCCATTGTCCGGTCCGCAGTATCCGGGTCAAAAACGCACAGCAGGTTTTGGTGATAAAACCATACCGATTGATCATAAGGATCAATCAAAGCTTGGTGGATGAGAGATAGTTCTGTAAATAATCAGATAAAGTTCAAGGCCGACAAATTGGAACGGTGACACTGACCGTCATCTAACATCGCCTGTCGCTCGTTATCACTAGCAGCTTGCTCGTCCAGTAGTCGTTGGATGAGCTTGGTGCGGTAATGCCATGCAGAAAAATTGGAGAGGTTAGCACCAATCATCTTCTTTGCATACTCGAATTCTTTTTTAGTCATTCCCATGGCGTCGTCGGCGCTTTGAAGCTGCTTCAGGGTTTCCACGATTAGGCCGCGATATCCCCATCCATGAAAATTGCGACCGTCCAATGTCAACATCTTGCCGACTAAAGCAAATTCTTCCTGCCAGAGTTGAAGGGCTTCGGTCAATGGAAGCAGCCGTCGAGCCTCATCCAATAGCCACAGCCGATAGTTCCAAATCCAGTAACATTTGGGAAAGCTCCGCAAAAGTGGGATAAGAAATATCAAGTCATTCTTGATGAGGTCGAGGATCGGTTGGGTCGTAGCCTTTTCAGCATCATCTTTAATCTCTGAGAACTGGTGTCTCATAGCCTGCCGACGGCAGTTCCAGATTGTATAGTATTCTGGATTTCGGTTTAGCAGGTCGGAGATCTTCTTCAATGTGTCGGTCGCATAATCATGGTTGGCCACCTGAGTTCAAAATTAGACCACTAGTTCATACCATTTGAAATGAATGATAACCATCATCATTGGAGTGCGGAAGCCGACCTTCTCTGACACTTGCCGTTCTAAGGATCTATAGTCTTCTATCTTCTGCAGCTCCTGCTGTCGTTCTTCGGGTGTCTTCTCCACTGGTTTGAATCGCCGAACGCCATGCTGTCCGATCGGTCAGACACCGTCAATGAAGAATTTGCGAACACGCAACTTACACTCGCCATAGTGATGAAATGTTACTTCTAGAATGTCGAGGGAAGAAATGGGGAAGCGCGAAGGAGTGCCACCGCCAGCCGATATCTGCGGGGATCACGTGGAGCCCGCCTGCCTCGAAACAAGTTGAACAACTTCAGTCTTTCAACTTTCTTCGTAACTAGACAACTTCGACAATATGGTGGCCTAGGATATGGCCTTCGCTACGCATTCTTTTGCATGGTGACTCACTTGCTACATCGACCCCAAACAATGATAGATTCACAATGTCACTCCTTCGAGGATGCCTCTTCTGAGGCCAATTACACTATGTCAATCAGATCTCGGTCTCACTCTGACTCCTTCAGTGAAAGTGGCTCAGTCAGACGAGTTCAGCTTCACCCTATCAATAAACCACTTCCTTCATCGGCCAATAGCTCTCACAAATTACAGTCCCTTCCAAAAACAAAGTCTCATGATGACATTCCGTCTTTGCAAGAAAATCGATCAGCATTTACGACATATCCCGAGCGAGGCCGTAGTAGATCCAGAAAACCATTAACCAGGGATCCGGTACGCAATAATTATCACAGCCCGATCTTTCCCGATCGTTTCATTCCCAAGCGTGATTTCGGCGATTCTCCATCCACGCCATATCGAGTCAACAAACACCCGCTTGAACTATCACCCCGAGAGCGTTTTTTGCGACGGCGGTTACCAGCAGATGATCCGTTTTTACCAACACCTCCTCGCACTCCAGCTTTCCCGGGTCAAAATGCCAAACCAACCCGGCTTCGACAAAGGCCACTCCAACGGCCTCGACTCGTCACCGACTTGGCGGTCATGGGAAGTAACCGTCCCAATGACTTTTTGCGGCAAGTGAGTTCTGGTACTGTGTGGGGTGTTGGTGGAGCATCGACCATGTTTGGGCAATCTTCAGCTGCCACTATAACCGGTGGCCAGAATCTCAGCGAAAGAAACAATACCGCTCCAACCTTTGTGGCTAAGTTTCTTCCTAAAAATACCAAGGCTGGTCAACAAAGCAAACACGAATCCAGAATTGCTCTTGCCTTAGATATTGACCCTGCCACCAGGCTTCTTGACACCTGCCGGAGTTATACTGAAACAAGTCCTCGCCCCTCGCTAATTGACCACGAGCGCTTTGAACCATTTGTTTGGAAGGACAATGCGTGGAAAAAAGGTGAAAGGGAGCATTGTAAGTGCTATTATGCTCACAATCGGCTTTTAGGACTCCGTTATTCTTTTTCATGTTGTTTTATCATGTTTTGTGGTGGGGTCGTTGGATAACGAGGTCGAACAGAACCCAATCTATATACTATCTAAAGACTGACATTTAGGTTGAGTTAGTGTTTGCTGTGAGCCTTCTCGGCGTCTACTAACTCAATCTTGCTAGGGCCAACTGTGACTACTCGGCGAGAGATTGTCCCTCCCAAGCCTTTCCGGATATTGGATGCTCCGTATATGCGAGACGACTTCTACTGTTCCACTCTGGCTTATTCTTTTACCTCCGGTGTGTTAGCCGTCGGTTTGGCACAGTCTGTTTATCTCTGGTCGGAAGGTTACATTGTGGACCGACCACCGTTTGGTGATGTTCATCCGTCAAATTATGTGACCTCTCTTTCTTTTTCTTCAGAGAATGGTGGGCGAAGTATACTTGCTGTGGGGCGTCAGTCTGGACAATTGTCCCTTTGGAGCGTACATGAGAGCAAGGTACGCTTTGAAATTAGTCACCCAAACAGTATATCGTGTGTCTCCTTCAAGCCGAAAACATCACGAAGGCCATCGGAGGGATTTGCAAATACAGACACGGATGTGGAAGAGCTTGTCGCTGGTGATGAAATGGGGAATATTTGGTACTACTCAGTTGAATGGCCAGAGATTCACAATGACTGGAGTTGGACAGGTTCCATGACACTACTTGCCAAAATATCCGCTCACACCCAGCAGGTCTGTGGTTTGGCTTGGTCTCCCGACGACCATTTTCTTGCTTCTGGTGGAAACGACAACGTGTGTATGCTTTTTGAACTGCACGATATATTACCCTCACAACGACTAGAACACGCATCCATGTCCAGTACCTCCTCAAGTACGCCCTTGATCCCAAATGTTCGCGCTTTGCCAACTCCCACATCGAGCACCAGTTCAAGGCGCACGATAAATAGACGACAAATTGTCGGTCATTTACTACCGTCCTGGGTTCATTCTTCTCCATTGGAAGCGTCTTCTGTGGCTCCACTCCTAAGTCGGACGGGGTGCCTCATCTCAGGCACTGAAAAAACAATTTTTGTCCCATCCACCCGTCGAAAACACCGCCTTGCGCATGCAGCAGCAGTCAAGGCGATTGCATTTGCCCCTTGGCAACCATCACTACTCGCAACTGGCGGAGGTTCAAATGATAGAGCTATCCACTTCTTCCACACTCGGACTGGTGTATGTCTAGCAACTATAAATGTTTTCGCCCAGGTAACCAGTTTGATCTGGAGCCAAACCAGACGCGAAATCGCCGCAACGTTCGGGTATGCTCAGCCAGAGCACCCATTCCGGATTGCGATTTTTGCCTGGCCCAGCTGTGCACAAATTGCCGTCATTCCCTGGGGTCCTCAAGGGGCCAGTTGGGATGGCCAAGATCAAGACATCAATTATGATTGTGGACGAGCATTGTGGGCTGTTAGCTACCCAGGAAGACCGCCTTGCCCTCTTAACATCAGTCTGGACGATCCCGATATTCCAAGCGAAAGGGAATCATCATTCCCTCCGCCTAGCAGTCCCGGAGCTACTGAACGGGGAAACGATTCTGGTGGACGTAGGCAGGGCCCACGCGCCATCCGTCCCAAAGAGAAAGAAGGCGGCATGTGGTGTACACGAACAATGGATGAAGGATGCATTATTGTGGCGTCCAGTGACCAAACCGTCAAATTCCATGAAGTATGGACTGGTCGACGCAAAAGCACTGGCTCGGCCTGTGGACTATTGGGATGGAGCGATATCCTGGAGGGTATGGAAGGCATCGAGAAATCCGGCAGTGAAGTCATTCGCTAAGACACGCTTTGGTTATTTTTATCCGTCGGTCGTATTCTTAACGTCGGACTGAGAACTGTCGCAGCAAATCATTTTATTATTTCTCCTCGTCTGCTTCTTGTTATTTCTATGATTGCGCCACAGTCCAATTTGTGGGTTTCTGTGCATCCGATTCATTGCTTAGCGTCAATAGAATGTCGATCGCTCCCCACACCTCTTCAGCTCCCTAGGCATTGTGTAGTAGAGATCGTCAACAAAATCGGGTATTCATCGCTTATTTATCTTATTCTCCCCAACAAGTTCTGTTTTACAACGTGAATCTCTTCCATATACCAATTTCCACTTGAATTCCAATTCAAATTCTCCAACATGCACCTCAAAAACTTAGCCCTTCTCTCTTTCCTCTCTACACTTGCAGCTGCAAGTACTCTGAACGTCACAGTCCTCGGCGCAGAAAACAACGTATCGACCCTCGAATGCTGGGCTTTGAAGCCCGGCTTCGATACCTCAACCGAATCTGGCACAGCAGGCTCCAAGTCGCTCAATCTTGGACCCCTTGATGGAAAGAATGCAGGCAACTCTACCTATTCAATAATCCCCGGTCACTTTGATGGTGGAAGACATAATGCGCCAGCAAATCAGTATGTGTATCCTCTATTTATTTTTATAGCTTCTCTGTTTCAACATACATATTCTTGCGCATTTACGTCCATGGGTGGTTTTGGGAGCTGTGTTGGCATCCATATACTGCATAAGGATGCTACATATTATCTAGTACTTACCCAACCACCCCACTCACAATTGCAAATGCAATCTCATGACAGTGAATCCAGTTCGGCAATTTGTGATTCCAGAAGACAACTAACGAGTCATTTGAAATAGATGGGTGGTTTTCCTCTCGGGATTAGCCCACATTACTCTTCCTAACTCCACAGCCGAAGCCTGGGTTACCGGCGGCAAGCATGGGGCCATTCTGGCTTTGGATACGGTTGATGTGAGTGGATGGGGGCATATAACTCGGTACCCCTCAAACGAGACGACTGTTGTGTTTGAGATTCCATTGGGCGAGGAAGGTGTTCCTGGTCATAAGGTTTTGTACCAAGGAGCTTGCCAGGGAGCTGAATTGTCTGATTAAATGCCATGTGCAATGTTATACTTTCTGAATAGATGTCTCGGTTTCTCTTCGTATGTTTACGAGATTAACCTGGCTGAGAGAACTTGAAAAGAAGTACCTAGTGCATTGGCAAGAGGATCTAATGGTGTGACAAGGGAGCCAAGATTGGAGCTAGTACGCTTAGTTATAAGATAAAAAGGTTGAAAGTTCAACAGTATACGATAATAAATTGCAATGCAGACATCGATGCATCTGATATAAAGTTCTTTTATGGCCCATAAACAAAATAACACAAAAGAAAAGAAAAGAAAAGAAAAGACAAGAGAAGAGAAACAAGAAAGCGATCTTATCTTTTCACGCACAGATTCATACAAGACACATCAAAATCCATGGTCTATCAACAGTAAAAACTTTAGATTCATTTCTTTCCACCCTTCCCCTTCTTGCCAGCCGTCTTGCTCTTTTTAGGAGGGGGAGCTTGCGCCATAGCATCATCCGACTCTTCATCTTCGGTATCGGCAACGAAATCTGCCAGCGAGCCCTGGCTCACATCATCTGAGTCAATCTCTACGTCCTCCTCCTCGGATTCCTCTGCATCAGAAGACCCAGCAGACTCCTCGGCCTCGATGTCCAGAATGCCTTCGTCATCGTCTTCCTCGTCATCGCCCTCGCTGTCATCCTCGTCATCCTCTGACTCGCCTCCAACACCATTCATCATTGACTCATCTTCATCAAATGCCTGTTCACGAATGGACTTGCGGGGCTTAGTCTCGGCTTCAGCTTCGCTGTCGGAATCTTCCTGACCCTCAACATAGATGACGTTCTCCTCATCTTCACTGTCCATGCCATCGCCGCCACCATGGATGTCTCGGCGCAGACCAAGTTGAGCCTCAAGCATATCAAGCTTACCCTTCAGCAAAAGGAGGGATGAAAGGCTGGAGGACCGTTGGTCCATGACCTTATAAAGAGTAGACATGCGCTTCAGTAACTCAGGGTGTCCGGCAAGGGCACCACCGTGGGCAACACAGACCCATTGCACCCAGGCGAGAAGGTGGCCATAGCGACCGGGGCGAGAAGACAGGCGCTCAGCAAGCTTCTGGAGTAAGGTAGCAGCAAGAGAGGACTCAAGACGTTGGATGGTAGTACGGATGATAGAGATATCGGTAGTGTGGAAACAAGACTCGAGCATGCCGTTGTCATTTGTCTTGAGGGATTGAGTGAGGACAGTAGATAACGAGACGCCGGTAGGAATCTGTTGGACAGCGGCGGTAGGCTTGCCGGGGACAAGGGTGCCAAGGTTAAGGTCATCATCCAACTCGGCCTCAACATCAACTTCGCCGCCAGCTTTAGCGCGCAGAAGCTCGCCGAAGGAAGGCTCCACGCCGTCGTCTTCTTCTTCTTCCTCCTCCTCGTCATCTGATTCTGCGCTCTGCATCTCAACGTCTTCATCAGCTGGGGTAGTCGCTTTCTTGGAGGACTTGGCCTTCTTTTCGGTCACTGTTGGCTTAACGGTATCTTCGACGTCGGAGTCCTCATCGCCAGACACAGAAACAGCATCCTGGGTATCGTTCATCTCGACATCGTCATCGACAATGTTGCCGGACTCCACAACAGCGTGGGACTCGTCAACCCGGCTTTCATCAGCCTTCTTGGCACCATTTGATGACGCAGATGCGATTGCTGAGCTGGATTTGGTTTTTGTGACTGCCTTGGTTCCAGCAAATGCAAGCTCCTCGGTATCCTCGTTGAAGCACTTGACCCGCTCAAAAACGGGGATAACACCACCCTCAGCGTAAGCGACCACAATATCCTGGCCTTGGAAGGAAGTGGATACAACAGGAACACATGCGCTTGAAGACTCGCCGCGGAGAACCTTGAGGGAAGCATTAGCTTTCTGCGTCATCTGCTTGCGATTGGCCTTGGCGCTGCCAGACTGCGCACTTTGTGGTTGGGCAAAAGGCTTTGTGAAAAATTCAACTGTGCCATCCTCCGTGACTGCGGCGAGGACCTGCTTCTCCGGTGTTGCGGAGTTCAAGGAAACCGAGGAAACATCCTGCTCCGCCACAAGGTTTCGCACCAACTTTTGGCTTGATGCATCGAAAACATTAATGAATCGCTCTCCATCGCATGCGAGAAATGAGCTTGTGCCAGCAGGCTCGGTGGAAGATGTGACGACACTGTAGATCTGGTTACGCATAGCTGGGAAGTTGACAGGCTCGTCCTCGGAGTTCTCTACATTTATTAAGACAGGGGTCTGTGAGGCGCAAATAACAGATTGGTCGGAGGCGACAGGGCGGGATAGAGCTGAAAAGATAGAGGACGAAGGGAGGTGAATTGTCCTAAGAGAAAGGGAAACCGTCTGGTTAGCATTTCCATGACCCATATCATGTGTTGAGCAATTTTTTGACATACTTTAAGCTCTTTCCAGTGCGCAAATCCCACTGCACGAGCTTGTTATCACCACCAATACTCCAGGCCTCTTGGCCAGGCTGCCCAGCGGTAAACTTGAAGTCCTTGATACCCTTCTCATGCACGCCAGACAAAGTACCAATGATCTTGTCCTCCGATGGAGAGTACATCCGGATATCCGAAGTGCTGGTGCCGAATGCAACAACAAGCTCTCCCTCGAGTCCATCAACGCTGCCATTTACATCGGACCCACGCTTGCGCTTCTTCTTCGACAGGTCGCGGTTCTTTCCTTGGCCATTATAGTATCCCCAGTCCAATGAAGTGACGATCTCCTTCGGTCCCAGGGCGTGCTCGCACTGCAGTCGGCCGGTATTCGTATCGTGAATGCGGAGATGCTGCGCATCAAGGCCCTGGATGACCGAGGCGAAGAGGGCCAATTGGTACTCAGACGGGGAAAACGCAGCTCGAAGAATCGACGATTTACTGCCAGATTGTGAGAGGCCTGCGGCTGGTGATGCGGCCGAGCCGACCTTAGTGGTCGAACGAGATGTCTTCTTTCCCATTTTTTCGAGGTTTTTTTTTCGTCTTTCTTGTGTCGGTTTTTCGATGCCCGTTTGTGCTGGATTTTGAAATGCTGAATAAATATAATGATCTTATAGCGCCCTCAACAACGAGATGCCCGATAAAATACTTGTCATAAACCCTAGGGAGCGAGGATTGGGGGCTCTGGGGCTCTGGTAGTCTCGTAGTCGATGCGGAAAGGAAAAAAATGTTCTGTAGACTCCCGGACCAGGCGCTAAGCCTGATAGGGATTAGTGTGAACAAGGTCGTTATCTAATCGGCGCGGGAGCTGGGCGGTGAGCTGTGGAATAGCCTCATTTACATAGATCAGCCTCGCATCTTTGCCTAGTTTATGAGGATAGAGGAACCTTGAAACGGATCTGGAGATTCACCAGATATATATGTAGTATTGAGTACATATTGGTTTTAACTACACTCAGAGCACTTACCGTGAACATCTAACCGGAAAGCATGTAAATGAAACCATTTGGAAGTCTGGTGTTCTCTTTTTATTTTTTATTTTTTATTTTGAACAAGACTCGTCAGTATCGTGATCATGCGGGTCTATATTTCAAAGCAGTCGTAAAAATTTCTTTTTCCAGGAATATCGTGGGCAATCTGTTTCATGAAGATACGGGGAGATCAGGCATCACAACCTGGTATGTAATGTGAGTCATGGATCTACCAGGCTGGATCTTGGCATTCCAGGAGCCTGGTGGTTTTTAAGTAGAGATGTAATGCAATGTCCCTAGGATAACACGTATCTGCGGATGAATATATACTAACTATAGGGAGAATACGGAGAATACCTCCATGTTGAATCAAAGAATTATATAGTTCGGAATGGGTCCAATATGGCATAACTAGCCACATGTGACAGAACATCTGCCTAATCGGTAAGGGCCCAGCTGTAGGCTCGTCGATTGGCTGTGTAGCCAATCACAAGCCACCTGGGCACTTTTCGCGACCTTCCCCCTTTCTTTATTGGACAAAGGGGGACCATGACAGCGAGGGGGTTTCATGCACAAGAAGAGCTAATGTAAGTAAAACATTCAGGCGGGAATCTATCAATGAAATCATTCCAAGACCGACCAGCATCATTAGCAGAAACAAAAACACACACACACGCGACAATCTGGACACGACCCGCTCCGCTGTATACATCTCTCCGTACGGAGTACAGCATGTCCATATCCGCTCTGCCAAGTATGGATCACGTGCATGACGTCTGGATTGGACTCGTCACCGCACTAGACTGCTTTCAGTCATAACCCTAGGGTTCGCAACACAAGGCATGGATCAATCCCTCTCTGGTATGAACAGGACTATCCCTCGCAGATATGTGATCATGATGAAATGAAAGTGAGACGAATGAATAACTGTTAGTCTGACCCTATCTAGGGTTTTCTTTATACTTTCCCTTTTTCCTTCATAAAGGTATCTTTATTCTTATCTTCCATGTTACGGATTTGACGGAGTCAATGATGAAATGAAAATTTTTCAGTAACCATACAGACGCGTAGCCAATCACAAAGACCCATTCAGGGGCCGCATCGGGCCAGGGCCAATGAAAAGGGGGCAGGCCAAGTCGAATTCGGCCTAGCGTGGCTGGTGGAACTCCCAGGAGAGGAGAGCAAGGCGGCCGTCTGTACTTAAGGATTCTGGCATCCCCTCCGCTCGATTTTCTGCTTCCGTCCTGGACTAACTCTGCTACTGACCGCCCTGTATCCTTGGTCACCTGTCCTCTCTTGCCTCCCTTTTCTGCCACCCATATAAACACTAAACCAACGCGTCAACGCGTGACCTGCTCCTTTTGGGAATTTCCCTTCTTTTTTTATTTTCTCTTTTTATCTAGCTTTCTGCCCATTTCTGCCCATTTGAATTTCCCCATAATTTTTCTTTTCCTTTCTTTCTTTCTCTTTTTCCCCTTTTGAATTTATTGTCTTGCCTTCTGGCCCTTTGACCCACTCTTTCCCCGAAGGTCTTACACCTCAGGCATCAGCTGATATTCCACCGCATTTCGATACCTTTCTCTCACCTTTCTTACTTCTACCGCCCACGTGATCGATACACCGCTTTCTTGGCGCTATAAATTTCTCATCTCCGATCGCATTCTCCACTTCTCTTATCCCCCGGTATCTCTCCTTATCACCTTGCGCTTTTTCGTCGCGTGTCTCTATTCCCCAATCTCCGCGCCCATCTCTCACCTCGTCGCGGTGTGATTGCGCGCGGAAGTGTACACAGTCCTCTACTTCTGAGAAATCCGTGCGCACGGAGCTCTACCAATCAATCTACCGTCCGTGACATCACCATAAGAGTCTTGCACCCCAACTCACTTGCAAAGCAATCCTCATGGCGACCCCGCCCCCCGAGGCTACTCCTGTGCTGAAGGAGGAGAAGCCCCAGCTTCCTCCATCTCCCACTGGAGCTTCCGCCCCCGACGTGCCCACCAGGTAAGAGCCTTCTGTGCAATTCCCCGTCGATGTATGCATCCGGCATTGAGCGCTGACTTGATCGCGTCACCTCCAGTGCCACCTCAGATATCAAAATGGAAGGCACAGATACTCCTATCGACAAGAGCCTACCCGCGGTAAATGGCAATGGCCATAATCCTGACGCGCCTGCCACCAACGGTACCAGCAACACCGCATCACCTCCAAAGTCACCCGTGACTGCAGCCATTACGGAAACCGCACCTGCGCCAGCTCAAGAGACTACTCCGACCGCAATCGCTGTGGCTGACCAGAAACCTTCCGACCAAGCCACGCTGGCCTCAACAGCAGCCCCAGCTTCGGAAACACCCACTGTACACACGACTACAGAGGAGAAAGCTCCTGCTCCCACTGAACCATCCCCCGTTCCCGCATCTGATCCTCCTGTTGGATCTGCTAGAAGCCCGGACGAAGATATGATGCAGCTCGATGGCCCGAGCGACGCGGCCCCGGCCGCGCCTTTGAAAACCGAACTTCCTCACCATCCCAATACTGAGTCGGCTACACCATCTCTCCCACCTCTTCAAACTGATCATGAAATGAAAGATGCCCCGCAGGTTGCGCCACCCTCGCCCTCCAAGCTCTCTCGTGAGCGTGAACCAGATTATGCAGAGGAGCCTGCTGCAAAACGCACCAAGGTGGGCGGTGAGAATGGTGCACCAGTTGAACTCAAGCACAAAGGATTGCCTACTCCCACCATTGACACTTCGAGTCCGAACACTGCATCTCGACAGTCAGCTGTCACTAAGATACAGCACAAGTTCCTCACTAAGTGTATAGCCTCCTTAAAGCGCATGCATGATTCACGCTTCTACCGTGAGCCCGTGGATCCTATCAAACTGAACATTCCAAACTACCTTCAGGTCATTACCCGACCTATGGATCTAGGTACAATCGAGAGAAGACTGAAGGCCAACGAATACTCATCAGCACAGGAATTGAGTGATGACTTTGCCCTGATGGTTCAAAATTCTTTGACTTTCAATGGCCCTGATCACCTAGTTGCCCAAGAAGGTCAAAAACTTAAGGCCACCTTTAATAAACAGATGATCAACCTCCCGAAACCCGAAGAGGTTGAAGAAAAGAAGCCGAAGAAGTTGACGGAGAAAACCTCCGCTGCTCGCCGAGAGCCTCGCACCTCGTTGCCTAGTCAACCTGTGAAAGCAGCGTCTCCCAAGAGCGCCAGCGCTAGCACTACGTTCGCACTGGGCCCTGAGGGCTTGCCCACTATTCGCCGGGATTCGTTCAACCCTGACGGACGCCCCAAACGGTCTATTCACCCTCCTAAACGCGATTTGCCTTATTCCACCAAACCTAAAAAGAAGAAATACATGTGGCAACTGCGATTCTGTCAGGAGGTCCTTGACGAAATGCACAAGGCCAAGCATGCCCTTATCGCTACCGCCTTTTACTACCCAGTGGATCCTGTCGCGCTTAATATCCCCACCTATCACAACGTCATCAAAAAGCCAATGGACCTGTCAACCGCGCAGGGCAAGCTCAAAACAGGCCAGTACGAGAACGCAGAGGAGTTCGCGGGCGATATCCGTCTCATGCTCAAAAACTGCTTCAAATTTAATCTCCCAGGCGACCCAACTTATGCGGCTGGTCAAGCACTTCAGGATCTTTTCGAAAGCAAATGGAAAGAGCTGGATTCATATGTGAATAAGCATGAGCCACACCAGGAACATCACACCGAATCCTCGGAAGACGATAGCGAGGAGGATGCGGAAGAAAGCGATGGGGAGGATAATGAGAAACTCTCGCTACTTCAAAAACAGATTGCAGAGATGTCCCGCCAGGTTGAAATGATTCAGAAGAAGAAGAAGACCCCACCCGCCACGAAGAAGTCTGCCAAGGCGAAGCCGGGCAAAAAGGATAAGAAGAGTAGCAGTGGCAGTAAGAAAGACAAGAAGAGCGGCGGTAGCAGCAGCAAGTCCTCCAAGAAGCAGAACCGCTTCGTGACCTATCACGAAAAACAGATAATATCCAACGGGATCAGTAGTCTTCCTGACAAGAAGATGCATGAGGCCCTTGGAATTATTCAAAGCAACGTTCCTTCTCTAAAGGTATGTTCTGACATGTCATTCTTGCTTCTATCCTCTTTGGACAACGTATGGACAACTTACTAATCATTATTCACTATCGCAGGGCACTCAAGAAGCTGAAATCGAACTCGACATCGATGAGCTCCCCGATAACGTTTTGTTGATGCTGCTTGAATTTGTCAAGAAGAACGTACCACACGTCATGGATGATGAGGAAACTTCTCCCGCCCCTAACTATGCTGCTCCAAAGCCGAAAAAGAACAAGCCTATGAGCAGTGCTGAGCAAGAGGCTCAAATCAATACACTCCAGAGCAACCTCTCCCGCTTTGAGAGTGGAGGTGCGCCCATGCCATCAGTTGAGCACAATGAGTCCAGTGAGGAGGAGTCGGATGACGACTCGGAGGAAAGTGAGGAGGAGTAGATGCTTTGTGAATCCACTGTTGCTGTCTCTTGAATACAAGAGATGGCTTGCTTTGAATTGCGTTCCTAGCGTCGATTTATTTCTCTTTGCTTTCGCCTGCTGATCGTTTGCCGACTGCAGTTATCTCCTCTTCTCATCCCATCCAAGCATCCCATCCAAGCATCCCATTCTTGGAGTTTCTGCAGTTATTTCCACGCAACCTTCTTCCTCTTACTTAATTGCAACGAGGCTCTGGATATTGTACATATTTTACTCTTTATCTTTCATCTCTCCACTTTCGAGTGCCCTCGGATTCAGCACCCCGCAGTCCTGGCAATACAGGATTTTAATCGTGAAATTTTTCTCTCTTCTTTTTTTTTCTCCTTTTTTTCCGCTCTCGCCTTGGGGTCGGAATTTGCTTGAGGTTTTCCCTGCTCCCACTTTTTTTTTTACACACTGAGCGTCTTTTTTATGATTTCCTCCATCCACTCGGGAGGATTTATGCTTCTCGACTGAGATGAGATGAGGAAGAATGGTGGATGGAGCTGAAGCGAGCAGCTTCGCCTGTACGATAACGAAAGAAATGCGGAAATGCCAAAACCTTAATCAAACGTTCTTTTCCTCTCTTCTCGAGCCTCATGTAAATGTTGGGGCTGTATTAAACTATAGTTTCAATAAAGGGTTGATGTAAGACATGCAAGACGTATATGAACACTGCCTGTAGAGCTGCTAACTAGCTTTTTTTGTAATATATGGTTGGCCTAAATAGCAACTATCCTTTGGCGGTGAACCTCTCTTCCTCCCACTCCACCATGATCCCTCCCTGCGACCCCTCCATTCTTGAACATAACCCCCAATTTAAACGCCTTTATGAAAATCTCACGGCCAATCTCCTCAATCCCGATGGCTCAGCCCGTACCAATCCCGACTCCGCCTACGAGGCCGTTGTGGAGGTTCGTTGCGACGCGCCTGATAGCTGAATCTGGAATGCCAATTATCTAACTATTACCAGGATCTGAAACAATGCCAAATAAAAGGCTCCAGAAAGAGAATCATAAGTCAGACTCTTAGACAGCTAGCATTCGCTGGGGACACCGAACTCCGCGATGATGTACGTATCACCTTTCTCGTATCTGCAATTCAGTCAGGGGATCCTCTAGCTAATATCAAAACTAATACCGTTACTACAGTACCACGACAACCTTGCCATAATATCTATTTATCTTGACACTCCCTGCGCGGCGATTGATTCGGATACTCCTACCTCTGACAACCCCGATACTAGACAGGGAAATGGGCTGGGACAAGGGCCCAAACAGAGCGACGCTCTCGCGCTCCTCTCCCAGGAATTCGAAAGCTTCTATTCACACATACCGACATTTATTCTCCAATTCTCCAATATACTCTCCACAGCGATTCGGGACCTGCGCAATATAGCAACAATACCCACCGATCCAACGACCGCATCCGCAGAACCGGAATCAACAACATCACGAACGAGATCCGGTCCTGTCCGCTCCACTTCAGACCACTATTCCCGAGCTAAAGCGAGAGACCGTCGTGTCAGGACCTCGATGGCACCCGCTCCCCTTCTATCATCACAACTTCGGGGCCGTGTGCACGCTCTGCGTCGTGCCCAGATATCTGATTTGCCTTCCGCGCGACGCCAGATGGCCGTGACCGCAGCGGAGGTCCTAGCTATACGATCGCAAGTTCTGGAGAGAACAGTTCTCATCCTAGAGCGGGTGAAACACGGGGCGTTAGCAAGGGCAACTAAGGCGAAAGCGGAACATTTAGCGGTTGTTGCCCAGGGCGTGGAGGGGAATCTGGAGTAAGTACCGATTCCCACTATAGATACATACATATTATAGCCACTTTATCGTCCATTTCCACTTCTTTCCTCTCTGGAACTGTGACATTTGGGGCTTGGCTTCCCCGGGAAATACAATTGCTAATGTGTCGATAGAGTGACGAAGCTGGAAATCGCTGCTACTTTATACACACCTGAGACCTTGTCTGCACTTACGCGGTACACCCAGCATCTCCATGAGGTGCGAGGTCGACTTGATGAGCGACGTGAAATTGCCATTGAAGAGTTGAAAAGATATGGTGATGTTGAAGGCGTGGAGTCGAAGTCTGGAGGTGTAGATCAGAGTACTGGTTTTGGGGGTGGTACTTTGGCAGAGATCGCACGGAGATATGGCGTTCTGGCAAAGGAAATCGAAGATGTAAAGATAGAGATTGCCAGATTGGGAGAGTAGATGATGGGTACGATACTGTATTCGATTCTCTATGCGTGGTCAGTCCCGCTCTGGATCGTCTTCTGTCGGTAACATGGAGATGCTCTTCCAACTCCGTATACTCCATTTCTGTCCCTGTATTTCCAAGATTTCAACCTCGCGAGAGCTTCGATTCCAAGCTACATTCCAAGATTATACAATCATTCCAAGCAGGTCAAAGGTATAATTTCTTGGAATTGCTTTAGCTAGTGGGAGTGGACATTAATTAATGCATGGGTGCAAGGACGAGACGACGTTTCTGTGAGTTGGCTCTGGAAGTATTTGTCGAAAATAACTCAATATTTGAACGTGCTTTCACGGCTTCTTATAACCGATTTACCTGCCCTGTCACTCATCTCGCCTTCGTACTCCTTCAACACATCCTTCCAGTCCTGTTCGGCTCTACTTTGCGCAAGCGTCTCAGCAAGAACAATAGCATCCTTTATGGCCATATTCCCACCTTCGCCGCGGACTACTAATATTCAGCATTTCTCATCTCAGACGGACAGAAGCGTACAGGTTTATACTTACATGGTACCATCGGGTGGATTGCATCTCCTAGCAATGTAATCTGTCCTCTAGGAAGAGTAGGAGGCACCATATCGCGCATCTGCAAAGGAGGAAGCAGTATTCCTTCAACAGTCGTTGCACGAAATGGCTCTATGTATTCCTCATCGAGTCCATGGAGGTTATCCATCACAAACTTATGCAGTTCGCTCTGGGAGGCAATATCGGTCCAGTACGGGGTATTTTTGGCATTCTCATCGGACCTATGCAGTTTTGGGTCAGTCATTTTTGTTCCAATCCTCAACCCGACTCTCTGAATAAAGTGTATTGCCCACCATCCAAACATCCAATAGAAATTTGCGGTCTTTAAATCAGCAGACACGCTTTTCAGGCCGATAAATAGCCTTCGTGTATCTGTGAAGCCAACGGAAAAGCTTGTAGCAAACTTGAGCCATCGTTGATATTGCTCAGGCGTGGCCTCGACCTGTCCTACAACGATACCAATTGGAAGACGCTCTGGCTCATTATCGTTTTCCAGCAACTGACGCCTGACTATATCACTCTTGTTAGCCCATTCTCAAAGGCGGGAATGCATAACAAAGAACCAAGTATATAATTGTTGGATACGTACCACGACTAGAAATTCCATCTGCGCCAACTAAAAGGCTTCCCCGAGCCTCAGTACCATCTTCAAACTGTACAGTCACACCATCTGAAAGTTCTTCGTATCCCGTGAACCTTTTCCCCCATTCGACAGGTACGTCTTGCAGAAGCCAGTCGCGAAGCTTTGCCCTCTCAACTCGCGCAAAGGGTTGATCAGTGCCTTCTCCAAATCGAAATAATTTTTTGCGTGCGCCATTTTCAAAGGAGTAAATTACGCCTTCAGAACGCAAGCCGAGGGGTGCTTCTGGAGTCATGGCGCGAAGCCCAGCCTCGTCGTCACGCAGAGATGAGCAGATATCAGCCATTAGCCATGGGTGTAGAGAGATTGCCCAGCCTTGCTCACGTACACCATGCTGAATTTCACGCTCAAAAATGCGGAATGGAATTCGCTTTTTATGCAGAGCTTGTGCGAGTGCAAGGCCACCGAGCCCTGCACCGACGATCAGGATTGGTTCTGAAGGCATGAGAAGGCAGGGGATACAGCTTGTTTCACAAATTTTGGCGCGACGATAAACTTCTTTCTTTTCTTTATTTGGAAGATGCCGGTATTTAGGTAAAAGAGCAGATTAAGATGCCCTTTGTGAATTATGGCAGAAGCCAACATTTATAGTTCGGGTGAATATGTCGGCAGCAAAAAGTATACGAATGGCCGAGGCCGAGAAGCCGAGCGAAACTAAAACAACACCTAAAATATTCATGTAACGCCCCCTTGGTCGGGACCTTGAGAGACGATTGCCCGAAGCTAAGGGATCCTTGACGACAAGTCCAATGGAGTATCGATTATCGGCAAGTTGAACATAGAGACCGAGAATTTTGCTGCTCGTTGCGCATTTCACATGAGACTACGGTGTCTGGGCCTTGGAGTGGGGTTGATATCAAAATATCGCAAGCCTATCTGACTATTTTTCAGATAGGAAAGATAGTAGCTCTCTCTAGGCTACTCTTTTCCAGGTCTCAGTTAAAAGTTGGGAAGCCTACGTGTTGCCATTCCTTCCGCTCCTTCTGCTCCTTCTGCCCCAAAGACTCGGCCTTTCGGTATTTCGGCCTTGTAAAGTTGCGATTGATCAAGCTTGATCCAAGCTTGATCCTAGCTGAGCCCCCAGGAAGCATCAGGTGCCAAAATAGATCATTGCGAGATACGAGAAAAGGATGCTCGCTTTTCCAGATTGAACACTGTTTCTTTACGCTGTTCGTTGCATGGATCATTTTGCAGTTGCAACGCTGAATCTTCAGAACTACGATGGAAGAGCCACGAATTCTTGTGAGACTACATACGGGGTGGGACATTCACTTGTACCGATCGTTTATCTTTGAGAGTATCTTCGAGTCGTATAGGAGACGATGATGTCGAGCGCTACTTGCTACTACACAAAAAACAACTGGGCCATGTATCTCCAGATGTCTATAACTATACATATGGACAGTATGCATTAGGTAAGGTAGATCGTCGCTCTTATAGTTAGGGCCAGGCTGGGTTCATGGTTTCCACGGTTAAGCTAGTGCAAAAACCTACGGATACAAGATAAAAAGACAAAAAAGAAATGCGCCGGGCGTGAATCGAACACGCGACCTATCGCTTGAGGATGAAGATATCTAGATCTTCAGGCGAGTATCATCCCACTAGACCACCAGCGCTGGTGACATATTAGACCATGCGAGCGTTACACTATGAATCCACCAATAAGTGTTTCTGCCCAGTTTGATCTCGTATCTACCGCTTCTTTAAGCCTCTCGTCATTTTTATTTTGGCTCCTGAAATCTAAGGATATAATTCGGAAGCTCAAGTAGCTATAGAAATACGTTTTCTGGCCTTCGAAGGCTTATAACCCTGGAACCTTGAAAAGTTTGGAAATCATGCACTTCAAATTGTTTCCAAGGTTGCGTATGCAGCTGCTGCGTACTATATTTGATAGTTGAGACATATATGTCCGCCATAAATTATTATGATTTAGTACAACTAGAACATTACTTCCTAGTAGATGCATTAGCCCTACCTACTTGTAGATTACCATGTTCTCAGTGTATTTATTTCAATGCTAATTAGCCCCTGAAAGCTCATGTACCACCCACTCTCCAAACAGCCCGAGGCTCTTTCCTGGAATCCCCAATACCTTGAAAGTTTGAGTCTAATTGGCCTCGGCTTGCGGGCAACAACCGAACTAAACCCAAATAGGCACTCCTAGTTGATAAGAGTCACCTGACTATCCCCGCCAAAAATTTATCCGCCACACCAGAATACAATATTTTTGTTCCAGATTTGTCTCCGGTACTGTTAGGTCTTCAAGTTTCACACTGCACAGGTCACCTTCCGTAACGAAAAAGAATATTTCTCATTAAACATGGCAGACGACTCGCTATCTATCTACGATGAGATCGAAATCGAGGATATGACCTTCGACCCCGCCATGCAGATATACCACTTTCCTTGCCCATGTGGCGACCGCTTCGAAATCGCCATCGATGATCTTCGCGATGGAGAGGATATTGGTGTCTGTCCGAGCTGTAGTCTGATGATTCGAGTTATTTTTGATCAGGTGCGTATGGCACGGTGGAAGCTCAATCTGCGATTTCCTTGCGCATTCCCGCCTTGATTTCCAAGTATGCCCTTGGTCTTATTTTTTTGACATGCTAACGGCTATGCTATTTAGGCTGATCTACCAAAGGCCGAAGACCCATCCGCCAGCGCAGTCGCGGTGCAGGCGTAAGGAATGATTACCTGCTTAAGGGAAACGGACACGGACCCTTGATTTACTGTCCTCCACATCTACAAAACCAAGCGCAACGAGAGTTGAACACTTGGCCCCTTCATATTCGATATCATTCAAGTCTATGGAAAGGATATCCTATCCCAAGGACACCGACCGGGCCTTCGCCTTGAAGAATGACACGCTGGGTTTGAAAGAGAGCTGTGATGGACTACTTTTCATACCAGCTGGGCCTTCGGCCCTGAAGTCAAAGAGCGGGTAATTTGCTTCACCGGCACTCTGGATACAGATCAGGTTTTCGAGCGCTCTTTTTCATTGCGGAAAGCACCGTGTACTTCCTCCACAACCAGTGCACAACCAGTGGTTCACCAAGTGCATACATCGACCAGAAATTCCGACCATATTGAGAGAATATGCTGGCTACATGATTCCTAGCAGGGAGATTTCGCTCGAAACACCCAGCGGAGGGAATCAAGTGCTAGATTGAAAGAGCAATCCAGCGACAATCGACACCTTCAACCATGAACCTATCGGGAATTCAAAGAAAGATCTTACTCAATTCAATTCAATTCAATTCACGCCCATAACATATCCAGAGCCTGCAATGTTCGTATCGCAAGTAAAATATACTCGAACAATCATTCCATACCGATCCATATACGTAGTAAAACAAAGCCACAGAACCTTCTAATTCCCTAGACAAAGAAGTCATCTACTGATCAAGCAGAACCCCGTAGATATCTCTCGGCAGCTTCACGCTCAACTCCGAATTCAACAGCTCCGTCAAATTACTTCCATCACGCAGGTAGACCCACTGGCCGTGTGCAAACTCGCGAGTGTCTTGCTTCTCATCCATGCGGTCGCCCTCCAAGATCCAGTCATATCGCTTTGGTCCAGAGATAGGTGAGCTGAGCCATATTTGTTTGTTGGGAGGTTGCTTGTTGAGGACAAAGGTTCCTAGTGCTGGGACGGTAATATTGAGCACACCAGCCTGCATTAAATTGGAGTTAGTATGTAATACCATGGTTATGCGGAGCCCGTAGCTGGAAACGAAGCTTCGGAATAAAAAATAAAAGAGAATATTTATTCCAGGGAAGAGAGTTTGAATAGAGCATAAACTTACGCTGTACTCGGCCTCGATATCTGAGCCCTCTTCTTGCGTCTTCTCCAGCTCTTGGATCAACACATTGAAGTAATGCTCAGAGTAATCATAGTACTCCTCCGGTGTCAGATCGGATGGCTCAGTAACGTGTGCAGCTCCACCAGCATGGGGCTGAGTCTTTGGTGGGTTTGGGTCTTCCGAGTCAGGCTGTAGGCCCTTAGCTCTGGCCGCGGAAGCGTGAAGGGACCGGCGTGGAACCGGGGAGCTTTGGTGGACTGCAGCTCCCGCTACTCGGAATTGGGGAGATGTGACAGTAGTGAACCGGGGAGTGGACCGTGAAGAAAGACGGAGCAGACGGGGCGCACTCCGGGAAAGCATTTTGGAATTGTTTAGAGATCGAAAGCTGAAGATTTTGTGAGGCTTGCAACCGGAAAAGTGAGGAGACAGAACTGCGGAGATAATACATCATCGGCTTTTGCCCAAAGGTGACCGCCTTCCTATTAAAGACAAATGATATATAGTTACAACATAGCAGTGATGAGTAATTGTTTATTCTTGATCTACAATTTGAGGATTAAGCCTGGAAGGAAGCTTTCAAGATAGCATTTAGATGCTAGAAATTTAATACATATGATGGACTTTTGTAGAACTGGATCGCACAAAAAAGTCAAACTCGCATACAAATCACGCCGAAGCCTTTCTTACAATAGGGCTTAAGACTGTCCATTTTGGGGGGAGAAGAGGCGAACAATCAACAGTCATGAATTATTTTGAAGTAACTAGAGCGACAGTGGAAATTAGTGTATGCCTAGAGTATGTACAGTATGTGATGTTTGTGTCGATCTTCTAAGTTACATTACGTAGTGAGATTGACCAATTTGGTACAGAACCCGAGCCCCCACCAAAGCTACTCGATGCCAAGCTCCATGTCGCGATTTAAGGATGGCTTAATTCGATGATTTATAATAATTTTATATGGTTAGAAAAAGCCACAAAATATGAATGAGAGGTAAATCCGGTACCTTGATAGAGAGCCTGATAGATTGGGCGGAAATCCTTTGAAGTGGCTGAATTATTTCACGGGCATACGAGGTATTCCGGATGAGGCGTCGCTCCCGTAGAATCCGTAGCGACCGTTAACTCCGGACAGAGCCCTAAGGATGTGTACACATATATTTGTATGGATTTGTATATACAGATAAATAATTATATATAGACTGGGCAGTTACTTATTATAATTTAAATCATAGCCTCAATCAACATAAATATCTTAAAGAACACGTGATTCGGACAATTCCATACTTACCTACCACGATCAAAATGGTCAAAACGCTTCCTTTCGGTACTATCGAGGTCCCATCGCCAGGATTCGGCGCAATGGGCTTGAACTTCGGTTTTGGCAACGACTTGACTCTTGAGCAAGCCGAGCCAGTATTGCTGAAAGCGATCGAGCTCGGATGCACGTTCTGGGATACCGCAGTGAGTCAAGATGTACCTCTATCTATGTATATCTGATAGTCTAACAGGACACCACAGGTGGCCTACAAAGCTGGTCTGAACGAAAAACTCCTGGGAGACTTCATCAGAAAGCACAATGTGCGCGATAAGGTCTTCGGTATGTGTCAATCTCGCAAACTTGTACAAAATATCCATTCTCCAAACTAACTACTCATAGTCGCCTCGAAGTGCGGCTTCGATGCCTTTGGTAATTGGGCTCTCACCAATTCAGCTTCGCATATCAAGGAGTATATTGAGGGTACCATCGAGAGACTGGGGTTTGCTCCTGATCTATACTATCTTCATCGAATTGATCCTAGTATGTTTAAGGTTATGAAGATAGGGCTATAAAAACCCCATAGACTGACCTTGATACTAGACACACCCCTCGAGGAATCGATTCCCGCTTTGGATGAAATTCGCAAGGCAGGAAAGACTAAATATATTGGTCTTTCAGAGTGCTCTGCCGCGACACTTCGCAAGGCCAATTCTAGTAAGTCTCCTACATACACCCACCCACGTACTGGCTTAGATGATGGCTAACAGTCCATAGTTGCCAAGGTCGATGCAATCCAGGCAGAATATTCTGCATTTGAGACCATGCACGAACGAAACGGGCTGATAGAAACAGCCAAAGATCTGGGAGTGGCATTCGTCGCTTATGGTCCTCTTGGCCATGGCTGGCTTGTTGATGATTTCAACTATAATTCGCCTGATGACTTTGCGCCCGATGATGCTCGCCGAAAATGTTAGTAGCGCGTCCCCTTAAAATGATAGTAACTCCAACTGACATATGATTTTATCAAAGCTCCTAAATTCCAAGGAGAAAACTTCTACAAGAATAAGTTGATCGTCGAGGAGATTAAGAAGCTTGCTTCACGCAAGGGATGTACTACCAGCCAGATCGCACTCGCCTGGGTCGCTGCCCAGGGAATGATTGCTATTCCAGGAACCACTAAGCCGACACGCCTCGAGTCGAACTGGGATTCGCGTAACATTGATCTTACGGAGGACGAGAAGTTGGAGATGCGCAGTATCATTGATTCTATTAAGCCTCATGGTGACCGATATGTCCCTGCCCAAGAGGCTATGGCGGGACGGTAATTGTGTCAATTACTATCCTTTCAGTCCAAACCTTTATGGTGACAAACAAAGCTTTGAGTGAGAAGTGATATGTGATAGAAATATCTAGCTAGTGCGTTTTGAATCGAAGTTAACATTATGTCTGTATGACGAAAATTTGGGGCAGGTATCTCGAGACCTACAGTCCATACATAGGGTGTCTCCAAGCTTCAAAAAATTACCTCCTGCATAGTGACGCATCTATACATATGGCAGAAATGTTTTTCAGGGAAATTTTCGTCATTCTTCAGATCAAGTGGCGAGTTCGGTTGAATCTATCCCCACCATGACGCTTCCGCTTGCAGATCTATTCATCCCCGCATTAATAGACTAGGCGAGCTCCTCGGCTTTCCTGGAAAGTAACAAAGTCTAGACCGAAATTAACTCGCCGTGTAGGCTCAATATGTTTGCTTGATCAGTACGGTACATGTTCGTGTGACAATATTTCATGTGGGGACGGGTTGCGATCTACTACCACATAGTACAAATTAGATGCAAGGCTTAATTCACTACCATTATTGTAAGTACTAACGTTGAAAAAAAGGGTCGTCATAAGTTCCACTTATTCACTTCGACAATTTCATTAATTATAAAATGGCTCGGGAGTAAAATCTCCTATATCTGGTCTAAAAATCTTTCGCGTCACATATCAGTTTCCGATTTTCAATATGCTGGTCATCATCGATTCATGCTGTGACCAGACTCGCGAAACGCGCATAATCTTAACAGAACTTACTAACGATAATGTTTCTGCGAGTGGTAATGTGAGTTGTTTAACAGAGTTAATAATTGAATTTGGATAGGGTCTAACGTGATTTAGACAATTGTTGAAAATCTAAGTGCGTTGAATTCCCTAATCAACACAAAATACGAGAGTCAATCGTATACCGAGTTAGAGCAAATCAACCTTGTCGTGAGCTTCGAGACAGTTAGTCATACACCCACGGCTATAATTATTGCGTCGCCATATACTGATGTACCATCTAATAAACTGTAGTTCGCAGATCTATTTACTGGTCTACTTTCCACCGCCGAGAGCAAAGATGACATTCTTGTTTCAGAAGGGCTGAAGGACCCTATCTGCTCGGGGTTCCAGGGTCTAGGAACATCAATCCAGGGCTTTTCCACAAACCTGGAAAACGATATTACTATATATCCCAAGGAAATAAGGAGGATAAATGCGCACGCTGCTGGTTTGCTAGAGGAGCATCTGAAAGTCCACGGTAACTTGGGGGAGGCCATGGTGGCAAAAATCGACGAGTGATTAGTATGCGTACTTTAGACGGGTATAAACTATTGCTTGCCCTCTCAAGATTTGTTTTGTATGATACATCTATCTTGCTACATTTTGCTTTGTCCCCTCCCTCCCTATTATATTAGTATTAAAATACGCATTAATCATGATTGTCATTTCGATTATAAAATACCATGTGACAAATGTCATCTTATAACTTTGGAAACAAAGCCTCTGGATTTTCCCTTTTGGGTCTTAGTTAGTGTGCCCGTTCACTTATGAAATCAAGCCGTATCTAACGTGAACCACGGTCGGGCGAGCGGCCCCATCAAAATTCAAAAAACCATCAATTTTCAATAAATATTAAAACAACAAAAACAATAAAGTATTGACTATTTAACACGTGTAGGGCATTTAATATAAGTATGGCCTTTAATTCCACATCCAGAACATGTTATCTGCCGACGTATTGTAGGCATAGAAGGTAAAGCTGGCTCAGCTTCTGTTTCTGTAGGCATCTCTGGCAAAGATATATCTTTGCATTTAGTCTTATCTATAACCACAATATCATCTTTCACCACCTTCTAAACCTCCAAATAAGCCTTTTTTACCAATAAATTGATGTTTAATAACCTTCTTTTTTAGTTGTTTTTTGTTGGTAGCTTCCAATTGGCTACAACGATCTTGGAGAAAAAGATGGTGATGGACGATTTTAATAGTCATATCATATGTCTTCTCAATCTTTCGTTTAACCGGTGAAGATATAATTGAAGATGATGATTCTAGACCTTTTTTGATCGAATATTGCGATTTGGTGAATTTTGACAGAGTCCAAAGAGTATTGGGGTCGCCGTCGCTGCCGGACGATACTGGTCGTTGATCAAAGACCTCAAAAGCAAGAAGACTATCCAGCTCCACATTTAGCTTTCCTAAGACCTTATTAGGGTCAAATGGGACTAAACCAGTAGCTAAGAAGCTATTTTGAATATTGGAAGTCTCAAAAGCGTCATTTCTTGCATGTGCAATCAATTGAAGGATGTCTTCTTTTTCAATACCAACTCCTATCGCAAATCCAGACTTATCAAAGTTAAAAATATCATCAGAAACGATACCCCATTTTGCATTAGTATTTTCAACCAAATTAAAGCACGGTTTAATAACTTTAGGGTCCTCTGATAGAGCCCTTTGATAGTTGTATTTACGTGAGAATTAAGTTAAGAGATTTGGACGTCATTTGATAAATTGGGAAGGCCAATTAATCCCAACCTGAGAAGGTATATTTTTCCGCGCTTAAAGCAAAATATTGGCTATATCTCGCAACATAGATAAATTGAGAGCTGCACCTCTTATATCTATATCCAATAGCCATTTTCCAATAGACTCTTCTTCTGATTGAGTAAATATATACCCATTTAGCCGTTTTTCTGTCGTAGATTCACGCCTATTAAGCCGGGCCTTCAAAGTTGAGACCGGTAGTTGAAAAGACCGCGCAGCGGCCGCAGCAGAGGGATATTTACCATCTTTTATAGCTTGTATAGCTAATAAAAGACAACCCTCCTGTTCGATTAGCTTTTTTTTTTCGATCAGAGCGTTGGGGTGGCATATTTGTTGTGGTTAAAAAAGAAGTGCTGTTTTGAAAGTGGATTTTTGATGAGGCCGCTCGGGCGACCGTGGTTCACGTTATAACGACCCATCATCGAGCCTCAATATGTATGTCTCACTGTTTCCACCAATATACTTCATATTCGCTTTCACCCCTACTACACGATACTTTCGCCATTGGTCCGGACGACCACGTTCCGGATTGTTCTCCTCTGCCACGTCAGCTTGACCCCTGCTGGTTGAATTCCATACACGAAGGATATACGACAAATGACTAACCGTCCTTCATACGGTACAGAGCGCTCCAAGATACTGCTGTACTTTTTGCAAGCTGAAGCCATCAACTTCGCATGGAAAACCTGCTGTCACAATTACCAAAAGTTCTGATGCATCCGAAGGACTTAATTTCTCCTATCAAGCAACTGGCTATAGATTAGCATAGGCTCCATAACAAGCTGAACGCCGAGCTTTTTTTTTTTACCAATATTTGTTGTTCCAAATCGACACTATCGTTAATCGGCTTGGGTAGATAGACAACACTCGCTGGATTTATTCTTTGATACTCAAATTGCTAATTTTAGTGATAAATATAGGAGATGAAAGGAAGTGCCAGTGTGATTTTGTTAGTTCTGAAAGATATAAACAAAGAAAGGCAAAGGACCCAGGGGTCTAGGGTTGGGGAACAAAGGAATACAAAGAAGCAGAATCAACAAAAAAAAGAGTCATGATATAGACGGGGTCGTAGTACTAGTGGGGGCTACTAAGGCGAATTATGGTTTCAACCATGAAATACTATGTGACAAATATCATTTTAGAAACAAAGCCTCTCGGCAGGTAATTGTATATCCAAACTCAATTGAAGTCATGTACAACAAGTATGATAAAAAACTGAAGATAAAGAAAATAAGAAAATAAGCTAGGCATTGGATGCGCAGGAGAAAGGCTTATGTGCAGTTTGCGCATTGATACGAATACTTGTCCCCGTAGCCCAAAGACCCATTCCGCACTGTGATTCGTCAGTATTTAAATCCTGCCAAGCAAAATGAAACAGAAAACTTACAATTAGACAACAAAGAGCGACAAGAAAGACATTAAGTACCGTTAAAGCGATCTTGCGCTTGCTAGAAAAGTACTGTCCTCGGTTCATATGCAGCCAGAAGAGGCCCTCTAAGCCGAACGAGAACCAACTACAGAACGCCGCCGCAATCATGTTGAGCAAGTCGTTGAACACGGGGATCGCGTTTGCAATCAACCATGCAATGGCCCACATCAGGAAAGTAATGAGCACCCAAGTACCGTATGAACGGAAAGATTTTTCGTTCATTTTGTGGGTCCCACGGAAGAGTCGCACGTAAATGCACTTTGCACCGACGTGGCAAATGACCACACCAGCAATGACAATTGTGCCAATAGAGATGCCAAAGGCTACCTTTGAGACAACTTCGCTCGCACTCAGAAGGGCAGGGCTAAGGACACCCGGCCCAGCATATCGGTAAATCACAAGGGCAGTAATAATGTAGAGAGTTGTGTCTGTTGCTTGGAAGGCTATTAGCGCCTTGGGGTAGTCAGTTGGATCAATCAGCTCAGATTGGAAACTGAAGAATGACATATGGCCGGAATAGGCAAGGACAATGTTCAGAGTAGCCGAGAAGCCATTGATAAGAGTTGGGTGAGTTGTAGCGTATGCTACAGGATTAGGTCTTTCAATACCAATGGCGATCATAGTGATCATCACAGCGGTGAAAACCGATAGAGAAGCTGGAAGATGTTAGCTCTGTTTCAATAGAAAGGAGGAAATATTTCATACAGATGATGCCCAGATATGAAACTTCCTCTAAGCGCCTTGACAAGGTGAGCATGAAGCAGAGAATGGCTCCAACCAAGCAAAAAATGATAGTGCAGGCACCGTGGTTCGTAAGATCATTCATCATAATAGAGAAAGTCAAGATATGAGCGCCCATAAGAAAGATGAAACAAAGGATCTGGGCAACACCGAAGATCTCACGACCCCAAGCGCCAAATAAAATCTCCGAAGCGTCCGACATGTTGTGGACCTGGGGGTATCGCAACTTAAATTGGCCGACGACATATCCAGTATAGGTCGTCAAAGCTCCAATTCCAATGATAATAATACAGCCACTGCCTGGGTCAGTACAATTTCAAGTGCCACATTGGGAAGATCTCATCAGACGTACGGGACCAAGCCCAAGGTTGCCATGGACGATGGGAGCGAGAGAACTCCCAATGAGACGGACTGAGCAATCATCACTAATGGCTTGTTAGCTATAATGATTCAAAATGAATCCAAATGCAACACAGGACGTATTTACAAACTGCACAGTTCCTGTACGCAGGTTTATTAGCTTTGTGCCTTATATGCAGACTCGGTCAATATAAACTTACCACCATTTCATAGTCCTGTAGCGCACCCCACCGACTTCTTCCCCAGCACCGAAAGGGTCTTGCGACTTTTCAGGATCCATGACTTTCTCCATATCTTTCTCCATGTTGGCGGTATTGTCGAGTCTCAATTGAATGTTGTATTTTGACGTTGACTCATTTGACGGCCAGCTTCGAGAAAATCTCTGTTCTCCATCGCCCCACTATCTTTTCTGGGCATGACACCGACGGGAAAGGCCGCGCCAAGCAACATCTGCAGAGATTTTCATAGTGTTAATTTGAGCAGAACGTCTAAATTGTTTGAAATGAAACGATGTTGTTATTTCTTAGCTTCGGCTAAAGGATTCTTCATGCAGATCATCCGTGCGTGTTAAGGGAGGCCATGCAGCCCTGTGGCATTGTGGGGCATTCTTTGCTGTGTGCCCGGATAATGGCTTGTTCTACCACCCCCGAAGCGCGAGATAAGATTTTGGGTGCTGATTTCCCCGCATCGTGTGGAGTGCAAATCGGACCTTAATATTGTTAGAGCGGTTATGTTGGCTCCAGAGAAGTCAGCATTAGGATCTGCTGTAGCGGCAAAGCGCTTTCCCGAAACACGTACATGGATGTAGGTACTGTTGGAGGATACGAGCTCAGGTAAAGAGCAGCATTTCATAAGCAGGTCCCAAGGCTCTGACATATAGTTTGAAGATTGACTACTGCTAAAACAAATGACCTTCAATGATTATCAGACCCCGAAACCTAGGTTGAGTGCGCTTCGCGTGACTAGCAGGGATTTGGGTTTTTGTAGAATAAGCGATTTTAAATCTCTAAAAGAAATAATCTCAGTAGCGTGTGACCAGGACGACTCGGATACGACAAAATGTAAGTTGAAAGACACCATTGCACGCCATATGTAAGTACACTCTGCCAGACCTAAGAATACATGACCCATCGACCAGTGACATATACTACCTAGTAGACCATGGATCAATCTTTCAGTGTGTGTTATGAAGCCACCTTGGTGGAATAAGGTCTTTGAACATCAATCAGAGACTCCACAACCTTTCCTTTCCAGCATATCTGTTGTCCAGCTCATTCTTGATGTCCATCGCAGCCGCCAAACTCACGCATATCACGCCGGTGACAGCAAGAACATTCACTCGTACAATGAGAGAAAAGATATACCGTCGGTCGCTCTCTCTGGATGTCAGTGTAAGCTCTGATCTTTCCACAACATCCACACCCATAGGCGCAACATCCCTGCCGAGCTACACATGCCAATTTTCCATCACGTTGGGAGTAACTCGATTCCTTTCTCTCATCTTCACGAATCCAAGGCCCACCCGGGCAGTCATGGGATAAGGTTTTTAGTCTTTGCCAGTTATCGAGAAACTTCTGCGACATGTGCTTTGATTCTCGCAGGTTTCTATCGAGATGGTTGTGCTCTGCAGGTGTCGCTTTTCTGTGGGTGTTTCTCTGGAACGCAATATGCTCTGCCAAGTATATGTCTCGCTGTGCAAAACCATTGCCCTCAAGTAGTAACTTCTTCTTCATCTTCAGGAGTTTGATTTGAGCGTCTGCATGGGGTCCCGAACACAATGATTTTGCAATCGAGTTCATGAAAACGACAAGCCAGTCTTGATTCATTTCGTGATAAAAGTTCTCCAAATAATGCCACAGATCGATACCGAAGAAAGAGAAAGCCTTTGTCATGGTGAACACCAGAAGATACAGCATGCTGAAGAGTACAAAACTCGTGACAATAGCGGCGGAAGAAACAAAGATATAAAATTAGAGATTCGCGGAGAAACTCCGATGTCGCATTGTCCATCGTGATATTCATTGCAGCCACCACTGAGTAATTCAGGAGTGTTGAAGACGGCGAATTCAAAGAAGAAGAATTGATGAAAGAATAATGAGGCTATGTTAACGAGTTCAATGTTGGGATACAAACTTAACATGGGAAGGTGCGGCTCTGTCTAGAGATCAATCTCAGTGCGCACTTGCATGTCTAGGCAAAACTAATGAAGAATAACATTTTTGCAAGAGAATATTCAACTTCTAAAATTGTCAATATGAAATTTCCCATCCTAAACCATTAGTGTTCATATCCCTCGTACTCACAGATTCTTCAAAACAATTTGAATATGGAATTGACAATCTCGAACTACTAATCAATCACCAACCATGAATCAAAAATCACTTACAAACTCCCAACTGTCAAGTGTATGCCCGCTTTGGTAATCGGAGACCACCCAGTCGCCTGAGACAATTCCACCACGTAATGCGCTTGTATGGGATCCAGATTGCGACTCCGTTGCTCCATCGGAATTAATCGACGAAATCAAATCTCTCCCACTAGAAGGATGGTTATTCCCCGTAGGTTCTGCGCCCTCGATGGTCACGGAAGAGCCTTTATGCCCCAAGGGAAATTTCGCCAAGAACATGGACTATGATGCACCATTATGTTAGCCCTAGATGCGAAAAAAACGGTCATAGAGAATTCAAGCTTTAAGGAAAACGAAGTTTACTTACACAAGCAGCCTGTGTCCCAGTATTAGTTAGCCCTGTCGGCTGAAATTTCCTGTGCGAAATGGATCAGCCACAATGCGCCCACATCAAAAGCTGACGACAGCACGAGACGCAAAACCATTCGTCCGACCTCGCTATTGGGTGAAAAACAAACGAGTGGACGGAGGTAAAATACGACAGTTATAATGAGCTGACGATACGACGGGAAGGGGTCAATCCACTCACATCAGACCATCGCGCATATCGCCACGATAACCCATCGTCAGAAACGGGGGGTTTTCTGTTCTCGTCGAGCGCCCGATCCAATAGTCTACCAGAGCCCAACACTCCAGCTCACTGTTAACCTTCATATTTGATGCTCGAATGCAGCGATAAAAATTTATCTTGTGATACTGATCCCGCATCATGAGTTGAAGGAAGCTTCTCGAGGCGATCGTAGACTGTTTGCGAATGCTGCTCGGGTTGCCATCAATTTTAACTTGCAACAGGACACGAACGGGTCGATCTCGAAGGCGAATAGTGAGTTCAAAGAGTGAAAGGTGGTCTGATAATTGGGTAGGAGATGCCGCAGTACTAGACTGAGCTTCTGTTTCGATGTCTAGCATCTCACCCTCAATATTCTGACGGATTTTGGCTTCAACATCTGCCGCAAGGCTAACTTGTCTCTTGCCCCACATTTGGCGCCTCGTGTCTTGTTCCAGCTGTGTCCGTTTATGCAGTTCATTTTCCTTGCGCGTTCTAATGTCCAGGCGTACTTTCGTAACTGTGGCATCAATGAAAAAGTTAGTGTTCGTGGATTCAAAAAGGGTCAATGACCAAGAATCATACACTCTGTCGATTTCCATGGAAGTAAGACTGTGTCAGAGTGTATATTCTCCTCCATTAACGGACTTGTTCGCGCTTCTTCGAACACCCTGTCGAGCGGTTAATGAAACATGAAAAAAAAGGTTGGATTCAGTAAGAGAATCCACATACAGTTCATCATCTCTCTGGGACACGATATAAACAACCAGTGGGACCTTGTTGACAAAACTGCCTTCTGGAATATCCCCAGTACAATAGTCGATGATCACCTGGCTTTTCCAGTCACTCCCTAAGGAGGGAAAGTGGACATAGGTATTCTCGCGATGAACATTCCGAGCGGCTTTATCGTCAAAGAAATTATTGACAATATTCAGACACGTCTCTTTCAGCTTGTTTTCCGATTGCCTACGGATATTGGGTCGACTGTGTAGGATAATGCGGAGCGGAGATGCAACCATGAGTTGTGCAACGGTCGGCGTGGAAGGGGATACATCATCCAGCGCCATGGCCTATGAATCAGAGGAAAAGAAAAAGAGTGAGATTCGACGGATGGTCAATTTATGTGGCTAGCCACAGTGGCTTTGAGGGGTATTTGTTGTGAATGCACGGTGTGACGGTGGCTTAGAAAGATAGCCAGCTGAGCCGATCCTTCATGCATATACAAAGCTTAACACTCACTTTATAGGTAACAACTAATCAGCCCACTACTTTGGGCTGCCTGGTCAAAAATTCTTTTGTTTTTTGCCGGTTTTGAAAATGCATAAATTGTACTATCACGCCACTCGCCAGAGTACATACCTTTCGTGGGCGGCATTGAGCTTCTTTCTAGTAGTCATTGTTACGAATGGGTTTGAAGTCTTTTTGAACGGCCATTGGTCAACCGAGATATTTATAAGTTCTTATTTTGGCATTGCATTCATTGTTGCTCTTTACTTTGGGTATAAGGTTATCAAGAGATCCAAAATTGTCTCATTGCAAGATATACCTATTCGTGAGTTCATTGAAATTGCCAACGCCAACCCTGAAGAACTACCAAAGCCAAAGAAAGATTGGCGTTCTGAGAACTTTGTGTGAATAGACGTGACATTCTCACCTCGCAAGAAATATGAACATGTACTTCAAATTAAATGAAAAAGGCTCAACCGCTCATTTCCCCAAACATGAATTATTCCTCTGGGGAGATTTCATGTGTAGTTGAATACCGGAACTTGAATGCTTCAAAGCTTGCCATTCAACCCCCCATTCTCCTAAGCGCGACATGAAATTGTATGATAAACATTAAATTTATTATTAATTAAAATTAATCTATTCGTCCAAGACAGGACTCAGGTGCATCATTCCAACGTAATATATTCCGGAGGCGACAACGAAATATCTTCATATCTTGGCGGGTTACTAAAAGCAACAGCCTCAAAGTCGCACTTTACGCCATTCTCGATCAAGAGAGGAAAAATGGCGGATAAAGTAGAGCGATGTGGTTTCCGGTCCACCAAATTATTGGAGCGAGTATCAAATGTATCTTCACCCGTGATGAAGTCAAGTTTAAGTCGATGCTCCACGATAATCACATTGCTTTCATCCATTGGGGAATCTTCACCCGAAAGTCCCAGCACCCTCGATGGGGTAGAAGTATAGAAAGTTTCATCAACTCTGGAGCTCAGGTGTGCGGTCTTAGGAATGGAAATTTCAAGCGGGATATCGAGAGTCGAATCTTGTTCTTCTGATTTTTGATGCCGTTGTTTCACCAACGGATTGTGGTGTGATGACCAGTAGCCTTTATGTTTTCCACTGCATATCTCCCGAACTGACTCTTCTTTGAGAAAATCGGCGTTATCGGTATATTGGAGGTTGTTTTCATCTTGGGTGACCAGTCTGGTAACCTCTTCCACACGCCAATGGATCGTGCGAATCGTAGCGCACTTGAATTCAGAATCGCGTTGTGTCATAGTCATTGCTTGCCGGAGAGAGATATTTGCACAGGCTGATAACCAAGAATTTGAGTCGACTGGGATGTCTTGAGAAAGAGTAATTTGATTGATGACAGGTGACTTGGAATATGATCGGATATGCTGAATGGAGTGCCGATCTGGGATGAGCTTCCGTGCAAGATGGATTGGCTGAGCAGTATTGAATGAGTCCCGCCCTGGCGTGAGCATGGTGGCAATTATAGAGTATGTGATTTTTCCAAGCGAGGTAGTCGTTGTTCCAGGTGTATTCACTGGGACAGCAATGGAAAATGGAATATTGATGGAGTTGGTGCATCCAGAGGTCCTCGTCTGATCAAACAGGGAAATATGACGCGTTGTTTCATTGATTATTGCGCATGATTCAATCTTGTAAGATTCTTCTTGCTTTGTAGTATTCAAGAATGGGCGTTTGATCTTTCTTAGAAATTGGCTTTCGCGAGCCGAGATAGCTGTTTGCTTATTCTCCGACGCCACGGTTCGTATGAGACGTAGTTGTAACTGGGGAGCAGTACCGACAAGAGCTTCATTATAATGAAGCTTCACCGAGCCATTGATAGGCTCCGCATAACCATCTCCATCGAGATTGAAGTATATGTCATGTTCAGAGGGACAGACCAGCTGTAGCTTTGACGACATGGCATCGGTTGTATTGTTCTGAGAGTGAACAGCGCTTGAATGAACTGTAGAGCAGGGAGATCATAAATTTATTGTGTCTTCCGAGCACACAATTCTTTGTGGACAATTCGTCAAGAAAAATTTGTATATCATGGGGTTGTATGTAGTCCACATGGAGCCCACCATTAAGCCTAATTAGGAAGCCAAGGCGTGCGAATTGACTTTATTGTGGAGCCGCACACACAAGCTTGACAGCAATGAGCCGATCATGTGAGCGGTGCAGAGCACTCTAGAACGATCGTGGCGGCTCTCTTATGCTTAATTTAGACTTGAGGACGGGAAAGTCTGTCTGTTCTATGCGTTGTTCAGCTTGTGGCGGTCCTAGTAGCTTTAGCTCCAATGTGGCAACAGTGCGTTCGTATGCAAAACTGCCGAGTTCGCTGAGCAGTACAGAACACGTGCAGACACCCCGCCTCTAGAGCTCGGCTTGACTAATTGAATCATGCAGCAATTTGATAATATGCTATTTTTAGTAGTTTGATTAGTAGTATAGAGTAGCCCAGTGCCTAGCTACCTGCCCCTTAGGTATGTAGATTGCGTAAAATTTTCCGTTATAGGTACTGTTGTAGATAGATATCGTCACTTTTGACTTGAAATTGAAGACTATGCAATGCCATGACTATCGTCAACTCCAAACACCGGGTATTTTCCGATTCACAAAAACAAAAAGTTGACCCGCCGGTGCGAGAACCAGAATGCAAGATAAAAATTAGGGGAAAGAAGCTTTTTGGATCATGTCATCATCACATCTTCCGCGGGGGTGCTCGTGGCGGAGGGATCAGGGGGCGCATCAGTCATCATGTTGTCGCCATCTGCATCGCCGCTAGGACCATCTGCATCGCCGCTAGGAGTGACTCCATTTGGCAGACTGCCATCACCAGAAGTATTATCCGGAATATCTCTTAGGGCTTCTTCGTTTTCTGGCAACTCTTCCCAAACACGGATTGTCTTGTCCAAGCCGGAGCTAACAAGAAGTCGCTTGCCATTGATGACCCCAGAGTGAACGCAGAGAACGACGTCGGTGTGGCCCTCGATACGTTGAAGGATATTTTTGCTGACAACATCCCAACACAAAATGGCACCGTCTTCACTGCCACTTACAGCGAAGCACAATGGTGGGGAATACCGGACATCCGGCGCACCATACATGCCAAAGCACCCGGATATACTGTATTTCTTATTGACATGCCCCTGGAACGTCTTGACCACACGACTCTCAACGTAGTTCCACATGCGAATGCAACCATCCAGAGTCCACGCCAGAATATATTTGCCATTTGGCGAAAACTTGACACACGTCGCCGGCGGGTTATCCTCGTACACAAGAGTTCGGAGACATTGGCCACTGTGTGTATCCCATACCCGCACCAAGCCATCCAACGCACACGAAACGATGAGTGTACCGTCGTGTACAACGTCAATACCAGCGACAGGGTCAGAGTGGGCGGGGAGAGATTTCATGACGCGAGCGCGACGCACATCCCATAAGAAAACAGCTTCATCGTAAGAGCCACTGACGAGAATGTTTCCCTTTGGCGCAAATGCGATTTGATAGACGTAGTTGTGGTGGCCGACGAAAGGTTTGGTGTGCGCTCTGCCCTGTAGCAAGCAAGTTAGTTTTATTTATTTCTTGGTAGAGGGTTGGTGCCTCATACGGTATTCACGTTCCAAAATCGGATAGTTTTGTCATCAGACCCTGATGCAATCCACTGTCCATCAGGACTCCAGGCAAGTGTGGAGATACCCGCCAAATGTCCCTCAAATGTGTAAATCAGTCTTCCAGTCAAAGTGTCCCAGACCTTAATCGCTGCATCGGCACCTAAAATGGAGAGTTCGGGTAAGTAACACGTTTGCAATAATATATCAGAATTCGTCTTACCACCACTAGCGATCATTGAGCAGTCGGGGGAAAATTGTACAGCAGACACGCCTCGCAAGTGACCCTGGAGAACGAACTTCTCATGATAATTCAAACGCTCGGGTTTTGGGGGTGGTGCTGCATCAGAGGGTATGGGGGTAGAAGAGCGACCTGGCATATCGTCACGAATTGGCGTGTCGTTATCGTCGTCACCGGTACTCAATCGATCTTCCGAGAGACTGTCAAGGCTAGCTTGACCTGCAGGGCGATCAATTGGCGAGGGGCTGCGAGAGTTTCGAGAGGAACGCCAGTATTCATCCGCGTCCCCAGCCAATTCATCAGGACTATCTGAGTCGCTCAAATGACGGTCCTCGCGGCTTTTTCGTCGCGGGGTGATATTTTTAGACGCACCCCAGCTTGTTCGTCGTCGCTCACGTTCTTCATGGTCTGAAGGGGCAGCCAGCTCATCTGTAGAGGAACCAACGGGAGACTCACGGGTCTCCCGTCGACGTGGTGGAGAATGCGCATGGTCCATACGGAATTGAAGCCCAATCCAGGACACTGGCAAACGCGATTTAAAGATGCGATTACCCGTGAAAATGACAGGGCGCGTTTCGAAGGCGGTGAGACCAAATTTACATCACTGATCGACACTCCGCTTTGCTATTTCCTGCAATCGGTAGTCGGGGAGCTTCCCTTTTGTTCAACAATCAACAATCAACGCCCAGAACCACCAACCATGGGCTCTTCAATCATACCCGCGGAGCCTCCAACACACATCCGAATCTTGACTTTCAATTGCTGGGGTCTGAAATATATTGCAACGTACCGTCATGAGCGTCTATCCGAGATCGGACGACAACTGGCTTTGGCCAGCCCTCCACCAGAAATAGTCGGCTTACAGGAATGCTGGACACAAAAAGACTACGAGAGCATCCGAGACCAAACGAGACACATTCTACCATACGGAAAATTTTACTTTGGAGGCATATTTGGTGCGGGTTTGGCAATTTTATCGAAATGGCCGATCGAGGAGAGCAGCATGTACTGCTACCCGCTCAATGGACGGCCAACAGCTTTCTTCCGAGGCGACTGGTTCGTAGGAAAGGGCGTCGCATGTGCCCGAGTCCGCTTCGGACCTGGTACAGCCGACGTCGCCGAAGTATTCTGTACTCACCTGCATGCCCCTTATGAGCGTGAACCCAACGACTCCTACCTATGTCACCGAACCGCGCAGGCGTGGGAAATATCCAAGCTCATGCGCGGTGCTGCGGAGCGGGGGCACCTAGTGATTGGTCTAGGCGACTTCAATATGCTTCCCTCGTCTTTTGCACATCGATTGATCAGCGCCCGAAGTCCTGTTCGTGATGTTTGGCGCGAGCTGCACCCCAATTCTTCTCTCGCTGCCGCAATAAACCCCATTGAGAAAGCTAGAAACCTACCCATTCCTTCTGCGGAGTTTAACTTGCTAGAGAATGGCGCCACTTGTGATGGGTCTTTCAATACCTGGCGTTGGTCAAAAGCTTTACAGAAGCGCCTCGATAAAGGCGAAGAAATTACGATTAACAAAGACGACCCGGACCCTCGCGCGAAGCGTCTGGATTATATATTCGTTGGTGATGGTGGATATGCGCCCGAGTTTCCAGAGCCACGCTGGTCTGTCGAGTCGGCTCAAGTCAGTATGACCCAGCGTCATCCGACCCTTCGCTGCTCTTTGAGCGACCATTTCGCCGTTGAGGCAGTCATCACTCGCTTCCCTATCGGAGATTCCGTTAAATCAGAAACGAGATCTCAGTCTCTTCATAGTACAGAATCTAAACACGCCTCTCCCTACAGTGGCCTTACCGCAGAAACATACGACGAAATCTTCGGTATGATTGATGCCTACGTATTTCGAGAACGGTCGCAACGCCGCTGGCGCCTTGCGCATTTCTTGTTGTCTGTGGTAGTCTCTATCGGATGCTTCGTCGGTGTTTGGTGGGTGGGCAGTCGTACCTACATCGGCTTCATCCTTATCTTGCTTAGTACTCTGAACTTTGGAGCTGGAATTCTGGATGGTCTCATTGGGGGCTTGTTCGTATCAAGTGAGCTTCGTGCACTTAAGGAATTCGAATGGGAGGTGCGCAACGCGAAGGATTTACTTCTTGCTTCTGACAAACGGGGGCAGGACAAGGAGGACTAACGAACTATGATTGAGCGGAGGCCCAGATACGTTATACCGAAACTTTAGAAGACTATTCCATGTAATATAACTAGCAGCTACACATCATTTAATACTACTGCAGTACATAATACCGAGTTACTTAATAATACGCGAGTGGATATATGGTTGGAATCACAATTATAATTTCAAGTCGTCGCACATAACGAGTGTGGAGTACATTATCAAAAGCAAAACTAGCAATAAGCCATCGGGCAGTGAGTGTGAAGCTCCACCTGGAACAAATATTTCGGTGTCCTGGTTTACTCAGCGCACTCGCGCTTACGCTCATCAAAGACGCGAAGCGCCTCCTCAGCAGCCTTGACACCAGACATGGCCATGGCACCGAAAGTAGGGCCCATGCGGTTGAAGCCATCAATCTCAGACAGCTCCATACCACCGATGATAAGACCCTTGTTAACCTCACGGGTGTTCTTGACGATAGCATCCTCAGCCAAGTTCATGTCAAGACCACGCATGCCACCGAGCTTCTCAATGGTGTTCATGGAGACAAGACGCTTAGCACAGAAGGCACCGAAAGGACCGTCATGGCCAGTGGTACTGATGATGATGGGAGCGTTGATAGTGTTGGGGTCCATGCAGGAGTGGTCATCGTGGTGCAGAGTGACCAGGGTCCAGTTTACGACGACACCAGCCAGGCGAACCTTGCCAGGACCATCAGGACGGGTGATCAAGTCCTCGACGCAAGTGGCGTTGAAAAGCTTCACGTTGGGGAAGGAAAGCACCTTAGACAGCAAAGTCGAGGTGAAGAGAGCGGCGTGCTTAACAACCACGAAGTTGGGGTTATTAGGCTCCTCCTCGAAAGGAACGCCGAGCTCAGTCAGGAAAGCATCGGCGGGGCGACGGAGAACCATGGCGGAGAAGAGCTGACCACCGAGCCAAGCACCGCCACCTGTTTAAATTGTTAATGCATTTTCTATGAGCCTTCTCATGACTGTCAAAGCTCACCAGGAGACACGGAAGCCTCAATAATGGCAATCTTCAGGTCTGGACGGGCCTTGGCCAGCACATAAGCAGAGCTCAGACCACAGGAACCAGCACCGACGATGACAACATCACTCTCAGCGTAGTTGTCCAGATCCTGGAAGTAACGACGAGTCATGGCACGAGAGACCTGGCTTTCGCGGATAGGGGCGAACTTGAACGCATCCCACTTGCCGCCGAACTGTTCAAGAAGCTGACTCTGTCCCTGACCAGTCAGGGTGGTAGTAGCCGTCTCTGGGACGATAACCTTGCCCTTAATACCGGTAGGGGCAGTGACAGGCTCAAAGATAGCAGCGGGTGGAGACATTGTGGGTTAGGGATCAAGTCAAATTGACTTGGGTCTTTGTTAGTTTTCCAGACAACCAAGAGGGGAAAGGGAGGGAAGCATGATCCTTTCGCTGGTATTATCCAGATCAAGTTTTGGCCGTATAATCTCAGGACGAACCCACATCGCTAATATCCTCTGTAGTTGTAACCCTCGAGACGAATCATCTTGGGATAAACCAGCAGAAAAAACCAATGACATGAGAACGAACACCGGCACACGCACAGACGTTACCTGTAATACCTTGATCCCTAAGGGATAATAAATCCAGCCAAAGCATGTCCATGACTTCCCACAAGGGAGTGGGTGGTATGTACTTGGCTTTCAAAACCTAGGCAAGGGTTAGCACAGGACAGATTGAGCCTGAAGGTCTCATAGTTACTGAGTTATTTGGCTTCGATAGACTAAAATTTTTGTAGTTGAGAGTGGATGGTGTCAGAAAAGAAAGATTGTTGGGGCGAGGGGCAGCGCAACCTTTTATGCAAGTGTACCCCACCATCCCACACATCGTGTTGTAATCGCCCCGAGTCTATCCGTTCACCGGATACTCTGAGTAGCCGGTGAACAGCGATTTCGGGCGGGGACTTGTTGATCCTGATCGCATAATGACGTTTCCTGATTTGGGGGCTTCGAAGGCGGTGCTTACTGTGGACTTTTGCTCCTAACTATTTAAATAGCATTCTCAATACTTGAACTTATAAGTTTGAAACTGCAAAATAAACTATACCAGAATAATTAGATCTAGCGAATCAATCTAGCAACTCCTCGAAAGATCCTACGCTCAATAATCTTTCCATTTCAAAGTTTATAATGGCGGAAAGACGTGGATGATGCATCGGGCGACTCTATTCCGGGTGCTTCTCGGCCCAGATGCAGCTCTCCGATTCTTTCCCCGCCAGCGGAGCTTTAATTTTGGAGTCGTTGCGAATCTTTGAGTTTTCATTGCAAATGTTTCACATTATTTAGGCTGCATTTACGATGTATGACCAATTTAAATGACCAAAGTCTTTTTGTTGTGGAATGGTACACTGCACCTTGGCAGGATTGCCGGGGTCCGATCTTAAGACGAAGAGTACAATGGTGGATCAATTTGACCTTTGGGAAGCACTCAAGCCGTTAATTGTATTCGAAGACTTTCGTTGTTACTGAACCCTTTTTCAAAGTTAATTCCCTCAATTTGCGCCAAAACCACCCGTGGACTGTAATTACGCAGCAATGGGACCGAATACTTTATGCGGAAGGTGGGCGAGACTAGTCACCCTCAGGATTCAATTCTTATTTGTTCATAAAGATAAATTCCGACTGGGTAACAGCTGTGAACCTATTACAGATGGTGAGACACCATGCTGCCAGCATATCACCTCTGGGCTTTTTCGTGTCTTCTCACGCTTCTTCAAATAATCCATTTCCGCTGCAAGGACGCCCATTTCTATCTAACACGTCATCATGTTGCATAAAATGTCATAAACAATTATATTTATCAAGGAAAAAGGCAGAAAGTCTTACTAGACAAATTAATATTGATGTAATTCAGTCGCGAATCACGGAAAGGTAAAGATTATATCCAAGCTTTTTCATTTCGGTTTCATAGGTTCTATTCCATATTTACATTGGAGAAAGCTGCTTTTCTATTGCTGTCATCTCATAAATAGGCTTTCGTACATTATCAGGAAACTCCATGTAAGTTGCGTTCTTGAATGGTCTGCGGCCGTAGCCAGCTCCAATGCCAAAATGATGGCACATAGCCGACTTAACACCAACAGCTCCAATGCTCATGAGCTTTTCATCCGCGTGACTGAGTTTTGCCTGAATTTGGCGAGCCTCGTCTAGTTGACCAGTCTTGTAGTATGTACTAAGCCTCGAGTGCACCCTAGGCCATAAATTTGCAGATCCGACAATCGCCCCATGCGCACCAACAACCAGAGCCGGGAGTAGAAAGTCTGACTTGCCGGCAAATCCAGCGAACTCCCCTGGTCCAAAAGAAGACTGGATACGGGCTAGCTTACCAACATCTCCACAAGTGAGTTTAGCACCGACAATGTTCTTGTGTTTTCGCCCAAGTTCGATAATAGTATCTGAGGAGATGTTGATGCCGCCGGTGACATCAGGGTAGTTGTATATCACGATGGGTAAGGGCGAATCATCTGCTACCTTTTGATGAGATTTGAATTAGCTACATGCCGTCAATTAATATTCAAACTTAACGTACCTGGCCAAAGAAGTCCTTTACACCGGCCGGTGTCATCAATGGCACCCAGTAAGCGGGTGCGAGTACAAGTGCATAATCCGCACCGGCTTTCTTGGCCTCCTCGATGTGCAGTAGGGTCTCATAAACACTGAAAGCCCCGCACCCAACAATCAAAGGTAGATCTGGATAGTCAATTTTGATCAAATGCTGACGAACGCGCGAAACGATCTCTTGGCGTTCCTCGTGAAGAAGATGAACGGCTTCACCGTTACTCCCTTGTAGCACAAGCCCACTTACTCCGCCCTGGGTCATTAAGTCAATATGCCCCAACAGACTATCATAATCGACCGACTCGTCTTGGTTGAAATAGGTCACAAGGGGTGGGTAGATACCAGGTGGAGGTACGTGAGGAGCCATCATGGAGTGTCAAAGTTGATACGGCTGAAATTGAGTATGAGCTGGGTTAGTTGATGATAAAGAAGTATTTGTATAGATAGCTTCTGTGCCCCCCATCTCTTCCTCAAGAATTTTCAATGGAGCTCCATCGACTTCCAACGTTGACTGGACGCGAAGCTTATGATCTCATGGCTCCGCTTCCGTCCACACCCGTGTGGACAGTGAATGTCGGCATCTAATAAGGCTGACCGTATCAATATCGCCATGTATGAATTCAAGGGCCACTATCAATCATGAAAATTCTAAGAGCATTTCATAGTGCGTCTAGCCACCGAGAGGTAGAGGTGTAATTAGATTCTCAGTCAACTCTACTTGATATTAAGAAAATCACACGATCAACATGTTGTCACTTCTCCGACGCCTTTCACTTACAAGGGATCCATAGCGGGGGAAGGCGGGGCATGAATCCACAAACTCACGGATAATTAGACGTTCAAGCGGCTTTTGCGCTTACGTGCCTTCTATCTATTCGCCATAGGCAAATTTATTTATTATTTCGTGAATTGTTATTGAACATCTGAAGGCTGACACGATGAACTGAGGGTTCGACTCTACGACACCGCGCTTTAACCCGCAAGGGATTCCAGACGCACTAACCGACCCTCTGTATAGCCTGGTAAGCGCATATGAGGCAGATACATCGCCACAGAAGATTGATCTCGGTGTTGGAGCTTATCGAGACGAGAATGCAAAGCCATGGATTCTTCCTGTTGTGCGGAAGGTAAAATTTGAGGGCCCAGCCAGTGTTATTTGTGAGTTTCTGCTAACAGGTATATCCTAGGCAGTAAAATCTACAATAGCGACCCCAGCCAAGATCATGAGTATCTTCCCATCGCTGGTATTCCAGCATTCAACAATGCAGCTCAGGGTTTAATTCTTGGACAAGACTCTGTCGCGATTACAGAGAACAGAGTATGTGACTATTTCCTCGCTTGAAAACCTCATCTAACACTACCTTGAAGGTCTGTACATTTCAAACTATTTCGGGAACTGGAGCTGTACATACCGGGGCTTTTCTAATCTTCAAATTCACGGAAAGGCTAATTCCTGCTGTTTACATCTCTTCTCCATCGTGGCCAATCCACGATCAAGTATTCGACACTGTCAACTTGCCTGTGAAACACTAGCCTTATTTCCGCCAGAACACCAAGGATTTTGATCTCAAAGGCATGACGGAAACTCTCAAGTCCGCTCCAAAGGGAAGCATTGTGGTTTTACATAACTGTGCCCATAAACCAACTGGAGTGAACCCCACAGAAGATGATTGAAAAGAAATTGCTAAGATAATGCAAGTCAACGAGCTTTTCCCCTTCTTCGACTGTGCCTACCGGGGCTTCGCGATAGGCTATCTTTCAAAAGATAACTTTGCTATTCGGCATTTTGTCGATCAAGGATTCCAGCTCGTCATCGCTCAATCATTCGCCAAGAACCTCGGTCTCTATGGCCAGCGTGTTGGCGCCTTCAACTTTATAGCTGCGCCTGGTGCAGATGCACCCTCTACAATAGCCAACGTTACATCTCAACTCTCCAAGTTGCAGCTCTCAGAGATATACAGTCCACCTATCTTTGGCGCTCAAATTCCAGCTATTGTATTGAATGACCAGCAGTTGTTTAAGGAATGGGAAGCAGACTTATTGACCATGTCTGGCCGCATCAAGAAAATGAGAAGTTCTCTGAAGAAGGAGTTAGATCAGATGAAGACACTTGGCACATGGAATCATATTGTGGATCAAATTGGGATGTTCAGTTTCACGGGATTGACACCTGCGCAAGTCTTGCAACTGCGCAACAAGTGGCACATTTATATGGCTGAAACTGGTCGAATAAGCGCTGCTGGATTGGATGATCACAATGTCGCGTACTTTGCGGGGGCTATTGATGATGTTGTTAGCACCGTTCAGTAAGCACGACCAGAGTTAGTAAAATACATGATTTTATATCAATTGAAACTTGTCACTATCACTTTAATATGATAAATGGCGGTGTCTCAACAACGGAAAACCCTCAGAATGCCGCACACGTGAGCGGGCATCACGGCGCCTACTAGTTGCAGGGGCCCCCAGCGGCAATGCGGGGGCAGAGTATAAAGACCTCCAGTGTGCTCAATGAGAATTTTGATTTTTATCTTTCTTGGTTTCCATTGTGGATTTATTTTCAGACTCATATATCACAGAAACAAACACCAATATGGACAAGCAAAATAAAATCGTCATTATAGGCGCTGGTATTTTTGGCCTCTCGACAGCCTACCAGCTTGCATCTGAGGGATACAAAAATGTGGTGGTGCTCGATCGCCACATGGCGCCGGTAAAGAATTCCACGTGCAGGCTCAATGAAATAAGAATAACACTTTCAGGTACCGGACGGATCTAGCTCTGACATTTCCCGTGTAATTCGGTTCGACTATGGGGATGACGACTACGTAGAGCTTGCGTACGATGCATATCTCAAATGGCGCGATAACCCCAAATACAAGGGCATTTTCTACCCTGCTGATTACATACTTGTCGGTAAAACCAGCCCGTATGGAAAAGACTGGATCCAAAAGACAACCACCGCCCTGAACAAGAAGAAGCTTCCTTGGAACACGCTTGATAGTGTAGCTGACGCTAAGAGAAAGTTCCCTGTATTGAGCGGAGAGCTCGCAAACCCTGGGTTCTTTGGGTACAACAATCATCAGGCTGGATGGGCAGATGCCGCAAAGGCTGTTGCACAGCTCCGAGATGATTGCTTTGAGCTCGGAATTTCATTTATTTGCGGTCGTGCTGGAACAGTAACTGGATTTGTCACCGACTCGTCCCGGGCTATCAAGGGTGTTCGTACTCTTGCTGGCACCAGATTTGATGGCGATCACTTTATTTTAGCCGCTGGTGCCTGGTCATCGGGCCTGGTCTCCACGTACAACTCGACTTTGTCAACAGCACATATACTGGGATATGTCAAACTTACGGAGGAAGAAATGGAGAAGTACAAGGATCTTCCCATATACACAAACTTCTCCACTGGATGGTTCAACTTCCCTCCACATAACGACACGAAGACATTGAAGATGGCTATCCACGGATGGGGATATACCCGTACACCGACCTCGGAGGACCTGAATGCTAATACGTCAAACGTCTCAGCGCCTCCTTTGATTCCTCCCCGCGAGCGTATCAACTTCATCCCTGAAGATGGTGAAACTCGTCTCAGAGATGGTCTCAAAGAAATTTTACCTGAGCTTGGAGATCGACCGTTCGAAAAGGTAGCTTTGTGCTGGTATACCGATACACCCAGCGGGAATTTTATCATGGACTGGCACCCAGACCACCCCAATCTTTTTATTGGAGGAGCTGGTAGTGGACAGTAAGTCCCTTTTTATATGACATTTTGGTATCAGCTATTAACCGATTATGTCTAGTGCGTTCAAGTTCCTACCGATTCTGGGCCATTATATGTCATTGGCTCTGAAGGGCCGCCTACCAGACAAGTTAGCCCAGAAATGGCGGTTCCGGAAAGACTATGAAAATGAAGGCGACACCTTCAAGGGAGATGGTAGCCGTGGTGGCCCTCCCAGGCGTGAATTGGAATCTCAGGAGAAGGCAAAGTTGTGAAAATCTGCAATTACAATGACAATGTGCACCCTGGTCCTTAATGATAGGTATTTTGAAACTTGAGATAAAACAACTACTACTAGTATGTATGCCAGGTGGAGGTTCGATCTTCTTTGAGGTATATATTTGAAAAGCTGTCTCATGTCGAATATATCGTTATATTGAGATGGAGGAAACTTGCCCTCTAGAATTGCTACATAAGGGCAAGAACTCTGCCTTTCAAAACTAGACATGTCTCGGTACTCAAGTCCATTCAAATATGTACTATACCCTTATGTATTTCGATAAACTAGAGTCCTGGGTAGTCTGGATGTTGCTATTGAGGCCGTTATCTATTGGAATAACCTTGGAAAGCATGAGTTTGGCCGATCAATTGAGGTGTAATTTCTGAAATTTTGCCATTCAGTAGGACCTTAGCCTTGGTCAAGCCCTGTCTCAGACTATGATAAGCGTCACGGGTACGTTTCGACCACGATCTGATATGGATAATGCAAAGCAAGTATCTTCTGTCATGTGTGCCTCCTCCCGGCCACCACATGAGTTTTCTGAGAAAGGCAAGGCCACGTTCAAATGATATCCTGCCCAGGGATTTGCTCGACTTTCAGAGGATCCCGCCCACGCCGCGCGAATTTCGTCTTCCTTGACGCCGCGCCAGGAATACTTAGCGTGCTTCTTTGTACAGCCCATGCAGGCGGTAAGGTTCTTCAGACCGTCCATGTGTAGCAGGGAAAAAATCATCCAAATCCTCTGAGCGTAACTTTTGCAGTATACAAGTAGCGAAAATCAAAGAACAACCGCTCAGGATCTTGATACCTTCATAAAAAATCGAATTTCTGGCCAACGTAGAGATAAAATATCACTTCATCTTCGAGACATCTTCACTGGTTGGAAATACATATCATGTCAGCAAAAACAAACGGACAAAAAGGATCATTAAGCTTCACTTACTCCACAACTGTGACTGATAGCTTTTTTGAGGATAGAGAGGAGAAGAGAAAATTGAAGGGGGAGAAGAAGCTCATGTTTATATATATATGTATAAGTCAGGATCACATGGCTTATCAAAAATACTTATATAAAAGTTCACTTCAAAATCAACCATTCCCTGATAATTTCATCCAGTGACAGTAGTAGAAGGCCCTGAAAGGAAGGAAGAAGGTGCGGCGCTTGGGGTGTTGCCAGGTGTATCATGAGACAAAAAAATTAGGTGTCGGTCTTGGGCTTCGCGAAGCAGTGAACGTCCATTTAATACATTATATTTGGAGGGTACCAAAGATGTTTTGAGCATTTTAAAAAAAAAAAAAAAAACAAGTAATTAGCATTCGATATCATGGCCTTCCTCCAAATCACAGCATATATCGGAAACTAGCACCATAATTGTCCTCTGCAACAGGCACTTCTCCCTTGGACTCGTCAACTTCAATTCTTGGCCCATATTTCTTGTCCAATTGCTTATTTTCCCAAACCAACAAGGTCCGCAAGACTAAAGCAAGGAAAGTAGTGAAGACCATAAATGCAGCACATATGGACATTCCCTTGATGTATCGTGGTGCTTGACTATCGGGGAAAACATTGGTGCCCAAAAAGGGACCGCATTGACCAATAACATTGAGCAGAATGATACCACCTCCGCGACGTGTATCGGAGCCCTGATTGTCTATTGACGAAAAGAAAGGAGCAAATTAGCCAATTTTTCTGATTGAACATGATGCAATTATCTGAATTTTTTCGATATTCAGGTACTTTTGTTTGAACTTACTAAGAACCCACGGCAGGATATTTGCGATCGCCGGGAAGACTCCACAGGCAGCCAGAAACACGCCGAAATAGCGCACGCCCACTGTTGTGCAAGTGGCGCATAAGATGTACCCCACACCGCCGATCAGCGAGAGCGCCGCGATCATTAGCCCGCGCTGCTGGATCCGGTCCGCCACCCACGGTGTGATGATCGTCACGATGAATGAGGCAAAGAAAGGAGGTGCGGTGAGGCCCTGCGCGTTAATTTTGGAGTAGCCCATTTCCTCCAAGATAGTGGGGAGGAATACGGGCAGCGACGAAAAGCTGACGTTGCAGCTGAAGTACATGAACTGATTCAAAAAATTAGTCCTGTATGACTGAATGTCAAGACGAAAAAATGGCATGATCACATACAGCAGTTAACCAGGCTTTCGCGTCCAATAATGTCATAGCCAGCTCTTTCCATTGGACTTTGCTTTCGCGATCTGCATCGCCAGCCTGCTGTAAGCCCCGGGCACGTGCAACTTCTTTTTCCTCTTCGGTGAGGAATCTCGCAGAAGATGGGGAATCCGGAACAAAGAACCACGCCAGAATTGCTGAAAAGCAGACAGGCAGACCCTCGACTAAGAACAAAACACGCCAATTGGCTAGCTTTGCATGCCCGGATGTAATACCATACGCTAGTGCGCCGGCGAATGTGTTGGCTAGGGGAGCTGCTGACAAGAATAGACCACACCGTAGACCAAGTTCATGGCGACGATAGAAGAATGATAGTAAGTAGGGAACACCGGGTCCAAAACCGGCTTCAAAAGCGCCCATCAAGAATCGAAGTGCCATCATTCCCTGCCAATTTTTCGTTGCTGCTTGACATGTCGCGACCAGACCCCTGTCATTTGCATACAGCATGAGTACATATTTCTTTCAAGTTTGGGAGAGATCATCTCCATATGGGCGCATACCAAGAAAATACCACAAAGGTTGCCCATTGGTGTGGCTTGACGAGCTTCCACATCAAAGCCTGAAATTCGAAAACGGTATAAGATATATAAAAAATTGTCAAGAGCCACGCATATTTGCCGCTCGTGAGGCCGAGGTCCTCTGTCATGCCGGCGATTTTGGCATTACTGCTCTGGTTAGATTTAAATCGTGATTCGGGGGACGAGCAACGAACCCAATGTTACTTCGATCGAGAAAAGCGAGCAGATCTAAAAATAAAAAAAATCTCAGTTAGTGAAATTCAGGCTGGTGAAATTCTGGAGTGGATGACGATTCATACAAAAAAAACCCATCAGGGTGGGAACTCGTAGATCCAACTTCCTCAACACCCGGCGTTCCAGCTCTGGGTCAATAGCAGTCGGAATGACTTTAGCCGGTGGGTAGACTGGCGCACTCTCCAATTGTGCCGGGACTGTTTTTTCGACATCTTCATCGGGGGGAGCTCGCTGAATCTCATCCCCAGAGGGTTCACCTTTTCCCAGGAACCCCATCGCAGCGAAATTGGAGGGGTGAAAATTTCAAGAGAGGAGCAGCAAGACCTTAACCAGAATCCGGGGGCGTCCCCATATTTTGTAATATTTTATAACGCGGGGGTCAGGGCGACAAGAAAAATTGATCGACAACCAGGTCGTAATCTGGTAAAGCCACCGGCCGTCTGCTCGGCTGACCTCGTGTGTATTACATGGTTTGATTGGAGCTACCGAGTTGGAGAAGGTTCCCACACAAAGCCTCAGCCGTGCAGAAGCACCAGAAAATCCAAGCCCCGGGGCCTGAGAAACCAATGGAATCGGTTCATGCGGGGGAAGCATGGACACTGAAAAGTGGAGCCCGCAAGCTTGTAAAGTTCTGCTTCGGCTCTTCTGCGTTACAATGCTACATTCAAATGTTACGGATCACATACAAAACTCAGTTGATAAAAACTTGAAGACAGAATCAATTAACAGCGCTGACTACGATGATGTGACCTCCAATTCCGCCAGTAGTCCTGGAATCTCATCCTCCCTGAGACTAGTCCAGACATCCTTTTCCGTGGCCTCCCAACCCAGAGCTCTTAGCCTTTCCGCACGACTCCTGGAATTGCAACCAAGTCCTCTTTTGGTGAAGGGGCCGAAGACATCAACACATTCAGACTCGGTAAAGGACCTCACGGCAGAGCTTTGGATTTTACCAGCGTCAAATAAGGCCTCGCCAATATGCTTCGCACACTCAATCATGGCCACCTCAGATCCGTTCTCAGCAAAGAACCAAAGGTTCTCCAAAAGTACCGCAGGTGAGACAGTCTCGACGTATTTCAAAACCGTCAAAAAGGCACGCGCTAAATCTTTGACGTGGACCACACTCCAGATATTCCGGCCCTCGCCCACATGTCCAGAAAAGCCATGTTTCAATGCGAATCGCGTAAAGGCAGGGTTTGCCATTGAATGTCGCTTGTGAGCGGAGTTGTATCCATATACAAATGGTGGAATAATCACAGCGATTTTCGCTCGATCTCCAAATTCTTGTGCGGCCTCATTGATAGGGATATCGACATGACGATGCATTGATGAAGCGGGAATAGAATCGATGTCCTCTCGAGTGGCATCGCCATATATCCTGTCGCCTTTGTACATCCCACCTGCACCATCCTCGAGTATCCCTGTTCCGCTAGTGTGAAGATAGGTAGCCGGAAGATTTTCAGAAACTCGTTGCCTCACTCCAGCTAATATCGCCAGCACGCTGGGCAAATCCTCGCAAGATGCCGTGTTGATGATGATTGGATGCTTTGCAGCTTGGGTTGTGAGCAGATCCAAGTCACTCAACGAACCAATAATTGGGTTGACACCACGTTTCTCCAGCTCCGAGGCTTGCTCGGTGCGTCGAGTCAGGACCGTTACTCGGTACTTCGCATCAAGAAGTTGATCAAGAACATTGAGGCCTATATACCCAGCCCCAACGAAAAATACAGATGGATTTGATGCCATTATACTAATCAATTGAATGAGTACCTATATTCTGCCGAGTCTGCGATTGATGACTTAAAAGAATGGAGGAAAAGAAGAGAACGAAGGGAGATAAAGCTATTATTGACCTCTTAAGGCAACTACGTGATTGCCAAGGTATGCTTAGCTCCCAAGACGCTTTGTAAACATTATTAATCTTCCATGGACATATATGGATAGAATTGCGTGTTAGCTATACCGTCGGACACTAATTCGGCAACCCCGAAATAATGTCTGACGGCACGGAGACTTTGATAAGCGGGGGAGATGGCACCTGGGCTATCGGGGACTACCTGATAGGCTAATGATCATGCCCATGACTCGTACATAGTTATGGCGATGGTGTTAATAATTATTCAGCCATTACCAATGCATTTTGTAGCCCCCAATTATATACACTTTTTGTCAAATTTGTAAACTTTTGATATGTAGATAATAGTAAGGATCCTTGATAAAGAAGGAACAGTTATGCGGTTAGTATTGACTTCAAATGCTAATGATGCCACTGGGCAGTAGTTACCTATGGATGGGTGTACACTAAATACTATGACTCCTCAAAACCACCATTAAACTCACCAATAAGTCAGTAATACTATTATTATCTCTCTTTCACGCCAATTAGAAGTCAATTATGCGTTTAGAGTCACCATGTGGGTTATATGGCTTAAGTAGGCTACATTCATGCGAGGTAACTATTAACTAAGTTAACTAGTTAACTTAAATAGCGTAGATGCCTTAATTTCATCCTTTGATGCCTTACAGTTTGGATGCATCTTTGGTCGTTGTGCGGCACCGGACCGCATTCAAAAATCTCCCGCGTCGCGTTACCAGGAGCTCCAACCGCTCTCTGACCAAGTCCCGCCGCCCTACTCCCTCATCGCATACGTATCCATTGGCCACCCACAGAGCCCTGGAGAATCTTGTGCAATTATTTTTTCTTTTGAATTGGTTTTCTAAGAGTGGGTATGGCCAAGATGGACGACCCGGCAAATCGCATGCCTGGGCAGCTGGTAGGACCTCCCTCCCGAACTTCCATCCGATACGCCTATATTTCTCGAAAATGATATTGACAATGATTACGAATAGCTGCCTCATATGCATCTGGTATCGCATCAACGGTACCCGAACATTCATATGATGCCATCGGAGACGGCAGTCGAATACTTGATAAGCGCACCCCGGGTCTGCCAGTCGAAGCCCGTGCATTGGACTTTTCTGGATGGCCCACCGGATGGCACCGTGATGTTGACATGGCAGCCTTTGGGGCATCTTGGAACAAACTTCGCTAGCGACGGTTATGTTTGGGCTGACCCCGAACAGGCCTTCAGCTTTGAATCACGAGGTTATGTACGTGATGCCTTTTTCCATACATGAAACCCGCGGCGTTGATAATGATGAGAACTAACATGTTGCGCAGACTGTTGAAATGCATGTCCACCGAAGTGGCTTCCACCCTCCAAACGAGAACGTGGCTACCCACTCCCGCAAACGTTACCGCATTATTTCCTCCAAAACCAACGGCCCTCAACCTGACCCGGCATTGTGGATCGTGCATTATTCCCGAGCACCTACTAATGATCACGTTCCTGTTCCGCGAATCCAGATAACACCCCAAGTACAGAGCATGCTGGGCAACCGTCGCTTCTTACAAAGCCAGGGTCAACTGAGCCGCAAGGAATTTATGCTTCACGACCGAAATAGCTGGCCGACCGTGCCCTTCCCCCCACAAATGAACCCACAAGCGTATGGAAATGCTGGCGCTCCTCAAGCCAGACCTGGATTCTATCCTCCTCAAGGACCCGCGGGCACGACTCCAGTCAAACCCCCGCGCGCACATCGCCCTCCTTCCAACTCAATAACTGCCGCCACTGCTGATTTCGCGATGGAGGATGAGGACATGTCGACTGGTGATATGATGGATAGCTTGAACCCAAGAGAAGTGAGCAAGATGCGCTACGTGCAGAACCACGAGTGGATGGAAGAGATATTTGCTTCTCCATTTGCTATTTCTCAGATCACACCTGTTTCACTTGGCTTGGGCCGAAAAGGAGAGCTGGAGTCATTGACTACCGGTGTTTTTGATGCGCCCACTGGTGAAGGACAGGATGATGAGGAGGCACCAGAGGCCACCAAGTTGGAACCGGCCAAGGCAGAGGAGTTCGCGGCTCGGGTTAACAAAAAGGTAGCCGATACGACCGCTGAGATTGAGAATCTTAAGAAGCAGCACGCACTTCGGATGGAACAATTCAACCGAAGCAGTTCACTTTTCAGGGACTCTGAATTGCGATTGAGGGAAGCTGCTGCCAACCCCACAGATACAGGTGCCGAAGTTTGGAGGTTGGAAGGCCGTATCATTATTCCCTCGGAAGATGAGGAGGGTCCACAGGCGGATTATCTAGAAGACAAGGCCAAGTACAAGGTTGACGATGTCGTTCGCGAAGTCGAATCAGCTTGGAAGAGACAAATAATGCCAGAACCCAAGGTATCATGCGTCGAAAAGGGTGGTCTTCTGGAAAAGATTGAGCCAGAGCAAAAGGAAGAGCCAGTATCTTTTGCCAATGATATGATTTTAGATCAGGCAGCCGATGAGCTTCTGAACCAGTTTGGCAGCCCAGCTACTGCAGGCAATGGAGCTGCGGTACATCCCATTCCTGGTGCTGATATTCCGGGTGATGTGGACATGGACCTCGGTGATCAGCTTGGTGGTGGAGCCAACGGTGAAAATGGGGACTGGGTGATGGTGAATAATGAGGCTAAGGGTACCGTGCCCGGACCCGTAGAAACCAGCTTGGAGGGTGCTGGTTTTGACTTCACCAATATTGACAGTGCGGGTGATGCGTTGGCAGCTTACTCTGAACAAAATGATGGGCTTGATCTTCCCGATCTCGAGAACTCCGCGTTTGGTGACGCCTTCCATGCCTCGGATAATGAGCACTCACACCACCCGGATGTCGATGACATGTCCTAGTTTAGTTCTTTAATTATGTTTCTACTTTCTTTTCTGGCTTGTTGGAAGGCGCTTTTTCTTCGGTCGGGTTAACTATGCGTTCTTAGCACACTGCAGACTCCGCGGTCTGCTTCTGGTGTTTGTTGGTTGTGGTTACGGAGATTTGGGTCTGATGTACGGTTTCCTTATGTTTTCTTCTGTGGTGTATAATAAAACAAACAGAATTCATCTTTGGCAACTTCCCCGCCGACGACACTACACTACTGATCATGACTTTGATATCATTGACTTTTTTGGCTGACCCATATAATTCGAGCCTTGTATATTCAACGGAACTTCAAGCATAAAGAGTTACAAATCGAAAGGAAACCATAAGTGTATTGAGCGTAAGCCATAAAGAGGATTATCTACTGTCGAACTTCTATAAAAAAAAGTAAAATGCGTAAAAGTAGCCCGTGTAGAGTAGACTTTGCTGGAGGTGTAGATCTCCACAGACATCCGCACGGTGGGGAACTGACGATCATCTCGATCTAATAGAACCAGGGTCCGGATCTTTAGACTTGTCACGACACCTCCAGTTCGTCAATTGTCCGCTCAAACCAGACTCTGGCTCAAACACCTGGCATATTGTAGGTCATGCACTCGACTGCAATCGGAATGGTGCATGAGCTCACCATCCGCCCCTCCCGTCATGACGTCAGCCACCGGGACTGCATTTCCTAGTGCACTACGACACGAACATTAGGGTTGGGCACATCGTCATCTATGGGAAGGCGCTGCCTTGAGCTTTATAACTTGCACTGGTAATCTCTTTCTTGCAAGTCTTCGGAGATCTTGATTTAACCTTACCACTATACACCCTTCTATCCGCAAAATCATTACTTCTTTACTTCTAATCGAAATCAAATCCCAACGGTCAAGATGCATGTATTTCTTAAATTCCCTTTCTTCTTTCCCCTCATATCCACTAATATTCTCTAAAGGAACCGTAACATGTCTATTCGCTCCCGTCGCGACCGCGAATCGGCCGGCAGTAGACACAAGTTCAGCATCGCTACCTTCCGCGGCTTGCAACAACCCGAACTAAGCAAGCGCCTCTCCCGCCTCATAAAGTCGGAGAACAACGCCATCGGTGCCCATGAGACAGCAGGTCGCGAGCGTAGCTCCATTGCTGCCCAGCTCTCGGAGTGGGGCGAGTCAACTGAAGATGATGCCATTTCTGACATCTCCGACAAGCTCGGCGTGATGCTAGCTGAGATCGGCGAGCAGGAAGATGCCTTCGCGCAAAACTTGGAAGATTACCGTGGTGTGCTGAAACATATCCGTAATATGGAAGCTTCGGTGCAGCCGAGTCGAGACCAGAGGCAGAAGGTCACGGATGATATTTCAAAGCTCAAGTACAAGGAGCCCAATAGTACACGAATCACGACGCTGGAGCATGAGCTCGTCAGAGCCGAAGCGCAGAATCTAGTTGCTGAAGCGCAGCTGTCGAACACGGTATGTATATATCCCCTCTGGTTAAAGGACACTGATCATTATTGAAACTTTGGTTCATTCGCTCATACTTCACTGCAGACCCGTACAAAGCTCAAGGAGGCCTTTGATATCCATACCGCGGCTGTTATCGAGCGTGCTGAGAAGCAGATTATCCTGGCTCGCCATGCCCGCCGTCTTCTTAACTACATTGATGATGAGCCTGTCGTTCCCGGCGATTCGCGTCATGCTTACGATCACGAGCTTGAGGCGCGCCAGGTCCTTGAGGATGCGGAGACTGACCTCCGTGCGTGGCGACCCAGCGTTCAGCCCATTGCATCTGTCGAATCCCATGGGAATGGCCATGGTGTGAGCAACGTACACGCTGATACTGATTCCGTCTTGACTAACGGTGCCAATGGAGTTGACACCACCGGACCTCCGGAGGATGCCACCTCTGAGATGGAGCGGGAGCAGCCTGCTGCTCTGGCCTCGTAAGAAGCGAATGATGATACCTGGATTCGGTCTCTTTCGGTGGAGAGAATTAGTATATTGGAGCTATGTTCATGTGTACACTTTATCGTTTGGGTTGGATCAAATTGGTTTCCCATGGGATACACTGCTGTGCCCAGGTGTAATTAAGGCGTTGGATATTCCAGGGTCGTGTTAGGTTGCGAATATAAGTATTTGAAATTAATGTATTTATACAATACTCATGAGAATATTAGCTTCTTGTTTTGAAGTTGATCTTGCTGACCAGGGAAGTTACGTGCAGCTTTTGCCGACATGCGTATGTAGCACGCGGCTTGTCCCGTTATCTGTCAATCTAACTGGTGCATAATTCGAGGTTTTGTGCACCAGTGTATGCGAGATAAGATGTACGAAATCTGGGTACGCAAGGCTCCGCATGTTCACGAGTCACGGCAGACATATAGTATATGTACTATATCCATTTTATACTCCATAAAAGAAGCTCCATTACGTTGAAACCCCAGCCTTGGCTAGGTGCTGTTTGAGACGCGAGTGCAAGATGCTAGTCATTCGGGGGTGCCCTAAGCCAAGTCTGGCGCGGTATTCGTCTTGGCTCCCCACTCCGCCCCACCACAGCCCGCGCGTAAAGATACAGTGAAATATTACATCTCTGATCTGGGAGGTTCAAGAGCCATGACTGGTCAACACTACCATGTACTCGGCATCTACAGACTAGTAACAATGCTACTAACGTACCATTCGGCAGTTATTGAAAGCCCCAGGAAGTATAAACCGCCACCTACCCACGACACTGCCGAGATGGATGATACAGTCCACGGTATAAACAATGTAAAGGATTTTTAAAGTAGAGCCTCATTTTTCACGGTTTCAGCTCCCCTCGAGACAAGCAAGACGGCAAGACAGGCCCCATACCCCTGGCTGACCCCGTATTTACCTCTCAGCTCTCCCACACAAACTTTGGAAATACAGCGTCGTCATGACGGTTCTGGCACATCGAAATAAAATAAAATAAAAGCTCCAATTTCCCGCTAATTTCCGATGCGTACGCAAGCGAATACGTCCGCTCTCGAAAGGACTTTTAGCAAGCACCCACCCATTGGTCTAAAAGCCACGCTAGACACCATAAGAAAAAGAGGTTATGATCATCCCCCCTTCGCCAGACAAGCCCTATAATGGGCTCCAAATCGCGTGCTTTCTGCTTCTTTCAATGTCATCTTTCGATATCCACTGAGCTACACTATTCAAGCCGCCTGTCACATCTGTGTCGCGGCGGATGATTCCGTCCCTGCCAAGCATTATACGATATCGTCGCGTTTAGACACTGGCACGATCCTTATCTGCAGCCTGAGCTTAAAAAGTACGCCCCCGTGCAGCGGGTAGCACACCCATCAATACCATGGTCCATTCCAACTGGACTTGGTGCACCACCACACTTGCGTTGTCACTTTCCCTCGCACGGACAGTATACTCCGATTTCGTATCTACAGATTACGACGGCTATAATGATGGGGATTTGGGGCATAGGCCACATTTAGAGTTCCAGTCCAGCAGCGAATTTGCACCTATCCTGCAAGCGAATACATGGAATTTCGACGCTATATCCTCAGCAGGCTCGCATATTTTTATTAAACATGACGGTAATGACTCGATCCCCCTTTCGTCGCCGCTTATACTCGATGCGAAGGATCTCTCTGCTGTTTATATGAACCGTTCGTTCGAGAATGTCTTTGGAAACCGTGTCCAAGAGAACCTGGGGAAAAAGTACCTTACATTCTGGGAGGGACAGAAGGGAGATGGTATTGGTGATGGGTATGGTCTTGCATTTGATGAGACGTATCAACTTGTGTATAAGGTTTGGGCACAAAATCTACGGGTCCATAGTGACTTACATGAGTTTGCATTCACTGGAAATGGCACTGCGTTGGTAACAGGCGTTGATAGACGTCTGATATCGGGTAAAGACTATGACAGTTCATGGGGAATTCCCGATGGGCTTGATATTCTTGATGCTGCATTTCAAGAGATCAAACTCGATACGAACGAGGTTTTGTTTGATTGGCGCGCATTGGACCATATCAATCCTATGGAATCATTTGAACCACATGGACCTGGCTGGGATGCGTATCATCTTAACAGCATTGAGAAGGTAAGAGATCTGGAACCTTTACAAGACAGGAACAAGACCTTCGAGTCGAAGTTTTGCCATCCATGCTTTGACTTTCAACTATGGACTGCAATAATAACGTAAATATCCGTTGCTCTTTAGACCAAAGCAGGAAACTATCTCATCTCAATCCGCCACACACATTCTATTTTACTCATCGACGGCCAAACTGGCGATATCATATGGACCCTTGGGGGACCGCACAACAATTTTACCGAACTGACAGCTGCCAATGGATCGGAGTATGCAGAACCAATTCTCACAATGGCCTGGCAACATCATCCGCGCTTTGTACCTGGAACCGACGAGACTCAAATGACTCTATTCGACAATCATGTCAAAGAAACCAGTCATGGTGAATGTGGCGACGATTGCTCCCGCGGTCTGCACATCGCTATCAATGAGACAGCTTCCCCACCCACAGTCCAGCTACTGCATGAATTTCAGCATCCGATTCGACTTCAATCCCAGAGCCAAGGAAGTGTTCAACCGCTTGGAGGAGCTACCGAGAAAAGTCTCGGGAATGTATTCATTGGATGGGGTCGGTGCCCTTCATTTACAGAACATACTCCAGATGGAGAAACTGTCATAGATGTGCAGTTCTCGCCATGGCATAGTCGGGATATTCCTGACGCGCTGGATAATTACCGCGCTTATAAGATGGATTGGGTTGGAATTCCCTGGTGGGATCCCGCAATTGCACCGAAGAGGAGCTCTGACGGGAAATTACTCGCCTATGTCAGTTGGAATGGAGCAACGGAGGTGTCAGAATGGGTTGTGCGTGGATTTCCAGAGGGAACAGTATTGAATAATAAAATGAAAGGTGATGTGGTGGGAAGGTCACGACGGACAGGATTCGAAACCAAGCTGGTGATCGAAGAAAAAAAAGGAGAGAAGGAAGTCAAATGGGGATATTTATGGGCTGAAGCCTTGGATATGAAGGGAAGGGTTCTTCGATCCAGTGAACTCGTGGATCTGAGTACAATGGAATTGGATGTCGCCGTTGATGTCTACGATGAGTCCAACTCGACGTTTTCTGGCATCCTTGCTGCAGAAAGATTGGTAGCTCAGGAAAGAAAAAAGAAAGAGGCAGCCAGATTGTCGAAGACAAGAGTTGCCCTATTAGCAACTGGGCTCAGTATTTCTTTCGCGGTGGGCTTAGCTGCCGGCATCTTTTGGTGGTATCGTAGCAAGGACTACAACCGGTTGGACGCAGAAGATTTTGCGCTGGAAGCTGAAGGGTTTGCCCTTGGCTCAGATGATGAGTATAGCGATCATGATGAGGCCAGGCATTCTTTTGCTGATCACCACCGATCATCAAGAGAGGAAGAAATTCAGCGCCTTGTTTCTCAAGGCCGTTGAGATTTGCATAAAAGCGTCTCGACGGCACATAAATTTGTATATATGCATGCTATCTTAGTAATAGATACCCCACAGATATGATCATGTTATCCATATTTCTCAATCTTTCTCTAGTTCTTAGTATGTTTGGGATCTCTTACCATAAGTGTGAAGACTCCTTCGCTCTTCACCCACACTCTCCTATACAATCCCAAATCAAGCTTTACATCGACACTTCTGGAATCTCTACATAGGGCAAAGACCAAACGAGCTACACATATCATTTCAAGTGGCATATAGATAAGAAATCATGTTGATCCTAGTGTCAGATTAATACATTCATGCACCATCGCGTGAAACCCAATTACAGCTCCGATGTAACATTTGAGAATTCGCCATGATCCAGCTTAGTCTTCCAGAAAATGGGGTTCATATCATCGAAGCCGTGGTGAACCCATCCTTCCTCCTTAACGTGGTAGCAGTTGATGAAACCACCAGAGTAGGCATCACGGTGCATAGCAGCCAAGATAGCACGACGGCCAAGAGCCAGGGCTTCCTCCTCGCTCAAATCGTAGCGGTAGTTTGAGTCCAGCACACCATAGGCGAATGTCTGACCGGATCCAACACAGAACAGGTTACCGGGCAAGCGGGTGCCGTCGGAATCGATGTAGTATAAAGCCGGTCCTTCTTGGGGAGTCACCTGTCAAGTAGATATGTTAGTTTCGAAGTTAAATACTTCAACTAATCCAGGCATGGTGATCACGTACACCACACAGCATAGTTCCCATACTGAGGCCGTAGCCCTTGTAAGCATAAGTCAAGTTGGCGAGGATCTTGGATGCTGCAGCAACGGTGATACGGCGCTTGTGTCGGATTTCTATTTCTGTTAGTTACTTGGCCGAGCTTTTTTCTCTGTTAAAATCTCCCAGTGTAGCAAACATACCATGCAGAGTGCACTGCTGACTCAAATAACGCAACCAATATTGACAATCCTATTCAATTCATCAGTATTCATGCTAATTATTCAGCATTGAATTCTCTGATCACTTACCGCCGCACCACCAGCCATGGTTCCCAAGAGACCCGGGGTAGGATCATTAGAGGGCTTGTCTTCGCCACGGCTTAATCGTGACACAGGAATAACCTTCTTTACTGTCTGACTGGCGATCCAGTTTCCGGCCGTTGCTCGAGAGTCGGTGCACACAATCTGAAAGTCATCCGACGTCAGCATACTTTGAGTTCACATTATGAACTTGGTTCGGAGTATATCGCTTTGGATGAAACGTACGATGCCGCCCTGGAATCGGAAAGCCAGAGTTGTTGTTCCATGAGCGAGCTTGATAGGACAGCTGGGGTTGGAGTGGTCATCGGTCATAGCACGGAGGAAGGATGCGCGCTAAATAAATGAAGTCGGCATGGCGTTAGCTGCGATTCTTGTATTCATGAAAGGACAGTCCTCTGATGGAAGGTCGGTTGCTTCGCGGTTGCTGATGATCCATAGAAGGGGGAAGATGAACCCCAAAGGGGATGGTTCCACAATTCCCAAGGAAGCAAATTTCCTGATTTCTTCTGCCAGCACTTACGTTGTCGACAGGAGGGAGGCTGAACTTGAGGGAGAGCGGAGGGAGGCTCTGTGTGAGGTCCTGTTGCTCTTGCTCCGAGTAGAGCTCGTTCTGGTGCTGTGGGCGCGAATACTGAGCAACGAGCTTGTCCATGATGTTCTAATATTGAGAGGACTTGAAGGTAAATGGAGGTGGAGGTGTGGATGGAATAGCAAGCTGAAGTGATGATGATGAGGCAGCTCCGGGCTAGAGCTTGGATTCCGCGTCACTCGGGCGCCTGTGGTCACGTGCATCTGTAGGTACAGAATGGGCCAGCAGATATAATTTCACATTAATTGCTTGAAAGAAATGGGGAAGGAAATTTTTAAAAAGCTATTTTCAAATTTAAATAGGTTTTACTTCCAAGTATTGGCAGTTCAATGAATTTTAACATATATATTTGTGATAGCCCTCGAGATCCAATACTCTTATCCATAACGCACATACTACTCTTCCGAAGCGGGATAACATGATATTCATGCAAGTTTCTCAAAGCCATCAGGCAAGGCCTTGCTCTCAATCCAAGCAACTGCGGCATCAGCAAAAAGACGCGGATCCTGTCGATTCCAAGGATGTCTCATCTTCGGATGAACATAAGCAACCGTCTCTGAATTTCTTCTCCGCCCAGTCTCCACCAGCCTCAGCGCAACCTTCGGATTATCAGCACTAGGAATCAATCCACCCTTCCCAGCAACAACTATCAAAGTCCTAGCAGGCCATGGCTCCGGCCATCCAGCCCTTGGCGCCATAACCCGCCGACAAAGATCTAGAGAACTCGGACTTGTGGCAGGCAAATCTGTCCCATCCATCGCCCACCGAATCGCAGGTTTTGGGATAAGGTTCTCAATACGTTGCATCGTCCATACTGCGTATGGAACGACGGAAGTTAATGATCCCTGGGGTATTGATCCAAAGCCTGAGACAAAGATTGAGTTGATTAGGTCTGGATAAGCGTTGGCAAAGTGGATGGCAACGTCTGCACCTAGGCTGTGTCCTATTATGTGTGCTTTAGAGTTGATTGCCTTATCGGTGATTAATTGAGCGACTGAGTCTGCGGCTGACTGGACTGAGTACTCTTCTTGAGATGCTTCGCCGTGACCCGGTAGATCGGGGGCTAGGATATGATAGCTTGGTGGGAGGTGGGGAATTGTGATGTCCCACCAGACTCTAGATGTGCATGCCCCGTGAATAAGGACGATGGTGGAAGACCCCTCGTTATTCCAGCTTGAGTGAGGGACTGGATAATCTGGCTCCATCTTGTATGAAATGTTCAGGTGATGTCATTCAGATGGTTTGTTAAGGAGGGAGAGTTGTTGACAGGGTAGACTCCAAAGTTATTTTAAGCTAGCTATATAGAGCTAGTACCGAGATTGTAGACTAGCCAGAGTATCCCCACTGCCTCTGTAGATACCCAGGTGTTCCAATAGTTGTCTAGAAGGGTATGTATGGAGTATTGTGTTGTTGTTTGAGTAATTCTCAGGCGAAGAAGGCATAGAGGGAAATACGAAGAGAAAAAGCGTCGATGACTCCGGCTCCTTATAGTGGGGGCGATAAGCTCTACTAGTAGCATTGAAATCGATCTTCTCCCCAATACCAAACGGGCTCAAGGTTTCAACTGAAATCTCAAGAAAGCTACGCAAATAAACTCATATGTGGAATGCAATCAATCTTTCGAATTCATTCAGTGTATATAGATCGTTCCACTCCATACTCATTGCCTACTATCAGCCTTGCCCTAACAGGGAGGCGTAGTGAACGAAACAAACGCCAACAAAATGATCATGATCTCAATTAATGACGACAAATTATATCCAGATTCTTGTCTGTTTCTTTTCCTTCTCGTTTGCCAAAAATCTATCGGCCATTGCGACCTCGACGCATGTTTTCTTTGCATTCGTTGCAATACCATTTGACTATACGAAATATTAGCAAAATAAAATCCAACTTAACAGTTAAAAAAAAAGAAGCAAAAGCAAAAGCACAAGGTGAAAGAGCGAAGGACGGCATGTGAGACTCACCATTCTTTCCTGGGGGTTTCGTCAATCCCACACAAGACAGATGGAACCACTCGCGCGGGCAAGCATCATTATCGCAAGCAACCATCTCTCCGAAACTAATCTCGTTACAATAACAGTATCGAGGCTCGCCCTCTTCGTCCTCGTCGTCGCCTTCGTGGATGGATTCATCGTCGGACGGAATGACAGGAAGCGCAACAGCAGTTTTCTTCGCATTGCGCTTATTCGGCGCAGGGTCCGTACTCCGCGTTGGTCGGGAACGAGACTGCACAGGTTCGGCGAGCGGGGGTAGAAGAGGAGTTGAAGTTTTGGATGATCGTCCTTTGGCTGGTTCCGCTTCATGGATATCGGCAGGTCGAGCATCCGGTTCGTCGCGTTTAGCTCCTGTTGTTGTAGATGCACGCGCGACATCGCCTTCGTAGTCGCGGGTTGTTTCGGCGTTGTTGGCTTCTGTTTTGAGGGGCCCGTCGCGGGGTGTTGATCTGGGGTCGGCAGCTTTGGCTAGAACAAGAATAAAATATTAGAGAAATGCAACGCAGTCTTAAAGAAAACGAGAAACGTACCAGGCGCCTGGCCAATTCTATTAGAAGCAGACGACGAAGGTCTTTGTCGAGAATTATTCGCTTGTCCAACAGCCTGTTGAGTTCGAGAAGATTGAGGTCGCGCTGCACTAGGCCCGGGACTTGCAGCTCCACGTGGGGCATTGAAGGTTCCGATAAGAGGGGATGGAGCCATGACAGGCGATCCGGCATTGGACGCAACGTTGTTAGTTCTGTGAAGTAGTTAGCAAAAGATGCAGGGACAGAATATACAAGGAGGGAAGCATACTTTTTCCGAGCTGCAGTGGTAGCAGCATTTGGAGCTCTGCGCTTCTTCTCTGTACCATCTTTATTGGTTCTCTGGCTAATAGCACCACTAGCAGAGCGCTCCATTGGTGTCGCCATATCCGCAGCAGGCGGCCGTTCCACCTTGCGGCGCTTAGCAGTTGTGCCCTGTTCAGTCCCCGCATTATCTCCACGAGACTTGGCAGTAGTTGTCTTCCGAGCTCCGCGGGAATCCTCATAGTCCGCATCCGCATTTGCGCCACGACGCTGTTTACGGTTTTCTTTGACAGCTTCGCGCCGTACATCACTGCGGCTCGCAGCTTCAGTCTCGTGAAGAGCGTGTGCAAGGTCCTGCCTATGCGACACAGCTTCCCGGCGTGGGCGTTCATTAGCCGTCGTCTTGACAGCGTTTTTGTTGGAGTAGTACGCCCAGTGCGTGTCACTACCAAGACGTGCCTCTTCGCTGATTTCACCCGCGATAAACGGGAAAACATTGTCCAGGCGCACGACCTGGCGGTCCAATTCCTCGTTTGCGTTCGATATTACATGGTTTTTCTCGTCGGCAGTCATCATAAGATCGGAAAGGCTCTGGCGAACACGCTGGAAAAGAAGACGCCGGTTTTGACTTTCGGATGATTCGGGTGTCTGGGAGAGGTCCTGGAGAGAGCAAGAAAAATGCAAATCAGTTACAAATTCTTTGGCCCGAGATTATCATTAAGTGATGAAGACTGATAAGTTATGCGTACCTGTGGGAAGACATCATCTCGTATCACCCCACCGACTATTGGCGCCGGGTGCGTAGGATGGGGAACAGGTTGTGAGGTAGATGAGAGTTCAAGTAGTTGGAGCAGATTTTCTTCCAATGCCCACGCTTTAGCGTCTACCTCTTTCAGCAAAGAATTGTGTCGACGGAACTCTCGAGGAAGAGCAGTTATCGCGTCGGTAAAATGTGTGAGAGCAGGGTAGAAGCCATGAGGAACAGGGGGAGTAGAGGGGGTCTCGACGGTTGAGCCGCGGCCATAGCCAAAGGAAGATCGACCAGCAGTTTTGGATGTTCGGGATGGGTTGGTACGGGTTTGGCGAGCTGATTGACGGGTTCCCTGGATTTGGGGATTTACCGTTGACGATGTGACGGCAGACATGGTGGTAAATGTTGTAGTTAGTCTGGAGATACTGACAGGTTGGAGCAGCTTTCCTTTTGGTGCTTTTAGTCTTGTGCAATGAAATCAAAGACGTGGCTAAAGGATACCAATGACCAAGAAAGAAAGACTTTCACCATTTATATCCTGCTGCACCTCATGTATCACGATATGAGACGAGTAGGAGGGTCAGAGCTTGGGAAGTTTCCGTGCGGAGAAGAGCGCATCGGATCAGGTGAGTTTGTTGCCAGCGGTATCGGGCATCAACTATGATTAGTCATTATCAATTTTCCGGTGTTTATTGACGTCATTTTTAGGACTTGATATGTTTCTAGAATGAAAGTTACAGGTATAAATGGGTAATTAAGCTGGACATTGTTACACATAGAGACCAACGGATTAAGAAGATATTTTTAAAAGAGAAACACCATTGTCAAATGCCACAACCAAATGAAATTTGTATTTTACAAAGACATGATTCTAGGTATAAACGAGCCTAAATCTCTAGCAATAGTAAAGACAGGTCGTATACACCGAAGTCGCAAACAGAGACAACTCATGCAAAATAAGGGTGTTACAAAGGAAATTAGACGCTAGCTCCCAAAGGGGCCAATTAACATAGGAAACACAAACCACGTAACTTTCTCCGCTATGCCTGGCGCAAACCAGAATCATTGAGACGAAAGAAATGCATTTACTCGCCCTTGAGGCGCTCCTGGTGAATGGAGAAAGCATCCTCCAGGAACTCCTGCTCCTCCTTCAAGTGGACGGCCTTAAGACCAGTGGCCACGGAGGCGGAGGGTGCGCGACCAGCGTACAGGACGTGGCGGCGGTTGTGATGCTCGGTGGAGTTCAGCATGGTCTCAAGACGGGGCTGGGCGTAAGACCAGGGGCCGGCGTTCAAAGGTTCCTCCTGGCACCAAACGATGTCCTTGGCGTTGGGGTAGCTGTCAAGGTTCTCCTTCAATTGGGCCCAAGGGAAGGGGTGCAGCTGCTCAACACGAGTGATGGCAGTGTTGCGAAGGCCGTTGGCCTCACGGTGCTTGATCAGGGCGGCGTAGACCTGGCCAGAGCACATAATGACACGCTCGATCTTCTCGGGCTCGTCAATAGCCTTACCGTGCTCGGGGTCACGGATGATCCACTGGAAGTGGGATTCACCGGTGAAGGACTCGAGATCAGAGCGAGCAATGGGGTGACGCAGCAGAGACTTAGAGAAGAAGATGACCAGAGGCTTGCGGAACTGGCGGTGAATCTGGCGACGGAGAATGTGGAACAAGTTAGAGGGCTCGGTCATGTATGCGATCTGCATGTTGCAGTCCTGGTGCTGACGGTCCAGCTTGTCGGCCGAGGGGAAGACACGAGGCTCCTCGTTGCAAAGCTGCAACCAACGCTCCATACGACCAGAAGAGTGCTCAGGACCCTGTCCATCGTAACCGTGGGGCAATGAGACAACCAGACCGGAGCGCTGGAGCCACTTGGATTCACCGGCAGCGATGAACTGATCAATGATACATTGAGCATTGTTGGCGAAGTCACCGAACTGGGCCTCCCACATAACCAAAGCCTCGGGTGAGGTCAGAGAGTAACCGTACTCGAAACCGAGACTAAAGAAGACAGAGTTAGTGTCAAGAATTCGAAGAAAAGTATAAGAGTATTTAGTGATAACTTACCAGCCAAACTCACTGAGGGAGGAGTTGGAGATAACGAAGCTGCCCTGCTTGGAGCTAATGTCCTGCAGGGGAGTGTAGACAGTCTCGTTCTCCTGGTCGTGAAGGACAGCGTGACGCTGAGAGAAGGTACCACGCTCAACATCCTGTCCGGAGACACGGACGTGGTAGCCCTCGTCAACAAGGGTACCGAAAGCAAGAGCCTCAGCAGTAGCCCAGTCAATACCCTTGCCCTCCTCAACGGCCTTCTTACGGTTGGCCAAAATACGCTTGAGGTTCTTGTGCAGAGTGAAGCCATCGGGGGCGCCGCTACCGCTGATCTTGTCGGCAACGGCCTTCAGGGAGTTGGCACCGACGGCAGTCTCAAGATGAGGCAGGACCTCAGTGGCGAGCTCCTTGGGGGACTTGAAGTTGTTCCAGGCGGAGGTCAGCCACTCCTTGCCGGTAGGCTGGTAGTCCTTGCTGCGGTCGAAGCTGTCGTTCAGCATGCCCCAAACCCACTTCTTGTGCTCGTCAATGTCCTCCTTGGTGAAGGAACCCTCGGCAATGAGCTTCTCCTCGTACTTGTCAAGCTGGGCCTTCTGCTCAGCAATGCGCTTGTACATACGGGGCTGGGTGAACGAGGGCTGATCAGTCTCGTTGTGACCCTGCTTACGGTAGCAAACGAGGTCAATTACGACGTCACGCTTGAACTCGGCACGCCAGTCAGCGGCGGCCTGGCAAACGTAGTTGACAGCCTCGACATCATCAGCGTTCACGTGGAACACGGGAGCGTCGATAGACTTAGCAATGTCCGAACAGTAAGGGGTGGAACGGGCAAAACGGGGGTCAGTAGTGAAACCAATCTGGTTGTTCACGACGATGTGGATGGTACCACCGGTGGAGTAGGCGGGGAGAGACTGGAATCCCATGGTCTCGTAGACGACACCCTGGGCGGCGAAAGCAGCATCACCGTGGAGCAGAACACCCATAGCAGTGTTGAACTCAGTCTCATCATTGTTGTAGTGCTGGATGGCACGAGCCTTGCCCAGGACAACGGGGTCCTCAGCCTCCAAGTGAGAGGGATTGGCAACCAGAGAAAGCTGCACGCGCTTGCCAGAGGGAGTAGGACGCTCGAAGTTCATGCCCAAGTGGTACTTGACATCACCGGAGCCCTCATCGGAAGGCTCGGTGGAACCAGCAAACTCACTGAAGATGGACTCATTGGGCTTGCGAACGACGTTGGACAGAACGTTCAGACGACCACGGTGAGGCATACCAATGACAATATCCTTGATACCGTAGTCAACACTACGATCAATGAGAGCCTTCATACCAGGCACAAGGGTCTCACAACCCTCTAGACCGAAACGCTTGTCGTTAGGGAACTTGGTAGCCAGGAAGGACTCGAAGCTGGAACTCCAGATCAAACGGTCGAGAATGCGACGCTTGTCATCAACAGAGTACTGGAAGGGCTGGGGGATCTCGAAGCGGTCACGAATCCACTCGCAAGGCTTGCGGTCAGGAATGTGGATATACTCGACACCGTAGGAGCCACAGTAGATCTTCTCGCAGGCGTCAATAATCTCGCGCAGAGTCATCTTCTTGCGCTCCGCAGTGACGAAGCGAGGCAGAATACCGGGTCCAAGGGCGAACTCCTGATCCAAGTCACGCTCAGTGAAACCATAGTGCTCCAGCTCCAGCTCCTTGGGCTTGTCGTAGCCGAAAGCCTCAGCCTCTCCGCGGATGCCGAGGGGATCGATCTTGGCCTTGTGGTGACCACGGGCTTGGTAGGCACGGCACAGAAGCTGAACCTTCAAGTGGTTGGTAACATCGGCGCCACCGGCAAGACCGGCACCGGGCATATCCTGTGGAACACCGCCGGTAGGGGTAGGGACGAGGGTAGGGGGAGGAGTGAAGGCTTGAGACATGGGCATAGTGCCCTCCTCCATGTTCTTGAAGTATGTCTGCCATGAGATGTGGACGCTGGAGGGATCCTGCTTCCATGCCATGTACATCTCATCGATGTAGTTGGCAGTGTTGCCGGAGAGGAAAGAATCGCTGGGGTCCTATTCAAGGGGGAAACGAAAGCGCCATCGCGTTAGTTAAGTGATCGTATTTGCGCGTCCAAGGCGCATGGTTTTTTATTCAGATCGCAAGCGATTGATTTTTTTTCTACTCATTTTTCTCTTCTTCTCTTCTTGTTTTTCCTCAGGTTTCAAGATGGGATGTAGCTTACCACACCAGGTTTTGTCGCCTCCGAAGCATATTGCCGGGAGTTCACGACAGCAAGAGGGCGACGAGCAGCAAGGCTGAAGCCAGGGTTCTTCGAGGCAAAACGAGCGCTTGATCCGAGGTGGAAGGACCTCCGAGAGGCCTTCAAGGCGGTATTCCTGAACATTGCGGGATTTTTTCCGTCGATTCAGACGACGAGACCGAAACAGTTCAAAGAAAGGGAAATAAGTGGGATAAAATAGGCAGCTAAAGTCACAGACTTAACCAGCTGAAAACAAGACAGTCTAAACAAAAATTAGCCAGGTCATGCGGAGGTCAGCCCCAAGTTGCCAGGCTGTTGTTTCTCTGCCGAGCGTACCGACGGGGCAAAGGAAGGGAACTGGGGAAGAAGCTCCAACACGTACGGGTAATGATTAAATCGCGCGAAGTCAGGTGTCGACTAGTGTTGCCGTAGCACCTGTATAAAAACGGAACTCATCAGAAAGCAGAAAATCTGCTGGAATGAAAACTGGGGTAAAAAGGTTTAGATCGGAAGGAGATTGTCAACTTGGGAGGAACCTGCACAACTTGGAATGAGGCTGGTGCGCTGAGTCAGCCCGAGACATTGCCGATTTTACGTTACGTCGACGCGCAGTTGCCGGATTGCGGCCCAGAAACTAGCCACACCGGGTCACTGCCGGCTAAGCATTTCGGTGCTTCTCGGGTGATGTCGGCCCAATTAGAGGCTGCGAGTTGACAATGACATAGCACTTGAGCACTTGAGCACTTGAAATTGTATCTATTCTTAGAGGCATCTAGCATTTTATGGATATCTACAATGGGAGGTATAGAAGTGCATTCGCTTCTCAATTGCGTGTACATTGATATGAGTCAGTGTATAGAGCATGTCAAGAGGGAAGCGAGAAAATAAGTTGGTATAAACCGGGCAGCTAGGATTGTTAAATTTAGTTGTTAAGTTGAATATGTTATTAAGAGACGAAGGGGTCACTTCTTAACAGGACAATGTCAAAATTCTTTCCCCAACCCAGTCACATCGGTGTAATTTTCAACCCCCAACTTTGGTGCAGCCACTCATAAGGCTCCATATACGCCAGGGTCGGTTAGGTACCTACCAATTGGCGATCCTACCCTGGAGGGGGAGGGAGCGTGCAGGAATATAGACAGTGTGTTTTAGGAGCCATCATAACGAACAAATATGGGGGCCGTTTACCTCCTCTTCTCTCCAGTGAAGACTTCAAAGTTGGCCAAAGTTGGTTCAAGTTGACCCTTCTTCTAATTTTTCAAAAATGCAGGGAGCAATCTACCTCGTCGTTTTCTGCCTGCTGGTAGGCATCTATCTTATCAATAAAGGGCGCAGGTCAGTTTCGTCTTTAACTCTACCACCTGGTCCCAAGCCCCTTCCCATCATTGGTAATGTTCACCAAGCTCCCAGTGGCCGGGGCTGGCTCACGTACCGTGAATGGAGTAAAGAATATGGCCCGATTATCTATCTCAATATGCTCGGTCAGCCCGTTATTCTTTTGTCAACGTCCGAAGTAGCACATGATCTTCTATCAAAGCGTGGAGCTATCATGTCGGATCGGCCTCATTTATTCGTAAGTCTTCATACTTTTGACACCCGGTTTATAATGGTGGCTCATCATGTTTATAGTTAGCAACCGAGCTAGCTTTGAAGGGGTTTAATCTCCTGATGATGAACTATACGGACCAATTCAAACAGCATCAGAGGTTGCAGGTCTCGGTGATGAATGCGACGCCAGCAGCCGCATATCGACATTTTCAAGCTCTGGAATCACAACAATTACTCCTCGATCTCTTGAATTCTACAGAAGGCAACGGCACTACGCAGGACGATAACATTCCTTTTCAAGAGAACATTCGACGAACAACCTCCAGCATCATCCATACATTACTCTATGGCTTCCGAATCAAAGACATTAACGACCCTATTCTCCGCACCGTCCTTAAACTCAACGAGGAATTCTCCGAATTTATCAAGCCGGGGGCGAATATTGTAGACAAATTTCCGGTCCTCAATAATCTACCCAGCTTCTTGGCTCCATGGCAAGCAAAAGCCGAGAATCATTACACGACCAAATATAACCTGCGTATCCAGAACTTCCAGCGAGGTATGGATTCGAAGTCTTGGAATTTCTCAAAGCACCTGAGAGCAATTGTCGAGAAGGATAAGCTCGACATGCCAACAGATGAACTAGCATTTGAAATTGGCACTATCATCGATGCAGCGCTAGATGGCCTTACAGACTCTCTGATCTGGTTCGTGGTGGCTTGTATCACACAAGATGAGACAAGCGGCTTTATAGCCAAGGCACGACAAGAGCTAGATATTCATGTAGGGCGTGATCGACTTCCAAATCTAGAAGATAAGTCAAACCTACCATATATTACCGCCATTATTGAAGAGATTCCCCGTTGGCGTCCTGCTGCGCCCGAAGGTGTCCCTCATGTGAACAGAGACGAGGTTACCTATAACGGATATATCATCCCCAAGGGATCATACCTATTACCTATTATTTGGACAATTGGTCGGGAGGAGGCCGTGTTCGGTGCCAAGCCCGATGAATTTATTCCAGAACGCTGGCTCAACGAGGATGGCAAGACATTTCGGGCCATTCCCACTGCTACATTTGGCTATGGAAGGCGAACATGTCCTGGTCGACACATTGCTCGGAATGTTCTCTGGATTGTTGTTGCCCAGCTTATATGGTCATTTGACATCAAGGCTGGCGTATCTGAAACAGGGGAGCCCGCCGTGGTTGATCCCCTCGCCAGCAACGATGGACCAATTATGCGGGCTCTGCCTTTTAAGGCTTCCTTCAACCCTCGTGGTCCTTGGGTGCGTGAAGTTCTCACCAAGGAGGGTGACACATACAGCAAGGATCACGAGGCCATGTTGGACCAGATTGGTGCAGAGCTCGCGAAGCTATAGCAAAATGGCTCTCAGCTCATGGCATACTTTTACAAAAATATACAAAAATCCACAAAAATACATTTCACTAGTAATGAAATCAAAGTGTGTGTATTTAGCAAATCCAAAATTTGGCAGTATCGTATGTGAGCCCGGGCGCTTTGATTTGCCCATGTATTATATAAATGGATGGACCATCTAATACAAAAAGAGATCCTCAAGTAGTCATTAAATCGTAATAAAATAAGCCCAAAATAGAAATCTCCATATGCAACAAAAGCCAAACCAAATTGGTCATTATATCCAAGAGTAAACCAGTATAGGACGAATGCAGTGGAAATGAGAAATGAAGGGATATTGAAGAGAAGAAGAGAAGAAGAGAAGACAAGAGAACAGAAAAAGAGAAGGCTGTTTACAAGACATTGAGGACTTGGTTACTGCCGATATTCGGCAACTCTTCCTCGCCATCTGCGCGAATCGGGCCGTCGATTCCGAGATGCGGGAGATCGGCAGGTTGCCCCAGACCACGACCACTATCTCGAAGCGGTGGGGCTGTATGGGAGCGGTCGTCGGGGTGATAGCTCAGACTAGCTAGACCTTCATCTGCAGATGACCTAGCATCCGATGGGCTGGCAGCTTCGGAGGGACCAGTAAAGCTACCGCGATGGGAGGATGTAAGGGTATGAGGTGGTGGGCTTCCTGCGCTGCTGCGTAGACTGCCATTGCTACCACCCCATGCACCGCGTCGTAGCTTCATGAGTGCACTCAGTGTCATCTCATCGTCTAAGCTGCCCATATCGACTAGCTGGGCCAAACCAGGGCTAGCAAGCGATGCATTGGATAGGGAGGCACCGTGTGCCTTGACTGAGATCATCGAGTTGCGGGTACTCCATTCACTTCGCTCGGTGATTGGAGTCAAGCTAGGCTCCTGGAACTTCCCACGGCTGCTAAAGCTGCGGGTAATACCCTCAACGCCTCGCGGGCCAAAGTAGCCGCCATTGGTCATTTCGGTACTGTTGCTGCTTCCATGAGCCTGGGCGTAGAAGCCGAACTCTTGGCCGTAAAAGCCCTCGTCGTCATTTTCCAGAGCTTCCGCATTGGCAGCCGCGACAATAGGATCATCGTAATATGGATCATCATCGTATATATGGTCGTCAAAAACATCATCAAAGCCAATCATTTCTGCTCCTTGACTGACGCGGCTGTCGTCGGACACTAGGCCTGGCTGGGAATCGCCAGTGTGCGATGTCTGCGAAATACTTTCTTGCGCCAGGGATCGTTCGCTTGTGCTAAATGTACGCCCAAATGGACCTTGACCCACTGATTCGCTCGCCGCAAATGCAAGGGCGTTGTGTAGGATATCGAGATTTTGCTCCGTAAGAACACCACCATGAGCCCGCGCAGGTCCCAAATTAGGTATTGGTTCACCAAGAGGGCCGCGCTTGAAAGGGGCATACTCACTTGCCACACTGGGCATATGCTTAAGGCCTTGACTAGCATCCTCTTCGAGCGATATTTCCTTGTCTAATCGCTCATTATCGCTGAGGTCTTCTTTCTGGGAAGATGCTTGCTCGGGCTCTTTTTTGACTGGCTTTCGTTCATAGAGATGACTTGTCACGTCATCAAATATAGACTCATCAAAACCTTGGCCCTGGGAATCGACGCTTTGTGCGGCGAGTGCGAGTTCTTCTGCGAATTCATCACCGAATTGACCATCATCGAAGTATAAATCATCCTCGTCATCGCCACCTATTGGCATATTCGGCTGATCATTCTGCGGTACCTGGGCGGTATTCTCTGAGATAGCTTGCACCCCTACCGATGGTTCCTTGTCAAGGGGTGAGACAACAGGATTTTCTTCAGGTTTATTCATTTCCTCAGAGTTGAAATATGGATTAGAATCCACCGATTCGGGTTCATCGGCACTCAGGGCGCTCATAGGGATCTCATGCGGCGGTGCAGGAGTGATCGGGCTAGCAACTACAGGGGAAAGACCCGGCGCAGCCCATGATTTAAGATCACCATTGACATTGCGCAAAGGAGCAGGCGCAATATCTTCATACTCATCATAATCAGCGTTGAGTTCTGGAATTGTTTCTTCGAGATCATCCATATCATCGAGCATATCGTTATCGAAATCATCATCGAAGTCATCAAAATATCCATCTTCCAGTTTTCGCGCAGCTTCTTTCGCCTTGTGCTTCTCTTCAAGAAGTTTCTCCTGCACTGAAGATTCAACACCGCCCATATCAAAGCTAAATCTTGAAGAAGCATTGCTCTTAAGGTGCTTTGGTAAGCCTGCAGGGTACACTTTAGGAATGACATCTTGATCCCTTTGACTAGCAGGCGGACTCTCTTTCGGTGGACTTGTTGAATACTCAGACGGTACTTCAGCAGGAAGCTCCACGGGAACGTCTGCAGGAAGTTCAGCGGGTAAGTTCCCGTATTCATCACCAGCCTCCGGGCTATGCTCTGGTGCCGTCGAAGGAAACTTTCGCGCAAAAACGGGTATTGACTTTTCATAGCCACTCTGGGTTGGGTTCGTGAGTAATGATGAGTGGAGGTAACCCTTGTTCTCGACTTGTAAAACCTTTTCATCGTCCTCGAAATGTTCTTTAAATGCAGGTGAATGATCGCTGTTTCTTTTTGAATTATCGCTCCATCGATTGGCTGGATGCTGCAGAGATGAATCTTGCGCGTTTGAAGTAGACCCATCGCCCGACAAATTCCCTGACAGATTTCGTCGAGGTCGAGGAGCAGAGAAATCATGTACAATGTTACCGCGGATTCTCGGGTCGTAGTCATCCGGTATAGCGGGGATCAAATTGGGTGCATTGATCTTAACATCTTCAACGCGGGAGCTAGACATCTGAGAAGACCGCCGGCGAGCAAGAAGTGACATGGGGTTCAAGAGATGAAGCATGGCCTTCCCCGACTTATGGTGTACATTCTCCGCTGAGACCTCACGCTCGACAATTCGCCTCGGCATAGTCCCATCTGGCTTAGTTTCCCTTTGTGATATGACCGGCTTTTCATTCGACCCATCTTCGGGCGGGGGTTTGAGCCTAACATGACTCGCTCCAGGACCCGCAGTAGGCGATCGTTTCGCATTTTCAAAGCTTGATGTCTGAAACCCACGTACACCTTTGCCAATGGAAAGCCGAAATGGGGAAGTAGGCTTAGATTGCGAGTCTCCATCGCCTTGATCGAGCCGCGACCCGTTCACCGAGAGTTGTGAATTGTTCGCTTGCGCTGTGAAGTGTGGTTCGGGAGAAATCTCCTCGGGGCTCGAGTGAGGACGGTTCGCCTTCTCAACAGCAGGCGAAGGAACAGCAAGGCTAACGGAGGAAGACAATGGCGCGGCAGAGGAGGTAAAGTTCAATTTTGAATTATCGCTCTCTAGCGGCGAATCGAACCACGGCAGGGCATCATATGAGGCGGTGCTGTCAAGCGCGCTTGAAAGGGCCAGGGTATCTGGGATTTCAGGAAGCTGTGGAGGGCTGAGGGGGCTGTCATCTGTACTTGGAAGGCGTGGTAAAGGTGCTGATAAGGAAGCCGGTGGAGCGGTAGAGCGGCGATGATCGCGACGCCAATATGAGAAGACGGTGGAAGGAGGCATTCTGGAAGCTGAGCCAGAGCCGAAATCGAAGTGACGTCTATGAAAGACGGGAGGATGTATGATTAAGGGACATGGGTCTCCATCGCGGTCAAAATTGACTGTGGAGGGCTGGTGTTAGAGGTGGTCAAGGAAAGGAGGGCTGGACTTTTAGTCTCACATACCGCGCGCTAGTGGGGCTCTCAGGCGGCCACTGGGCGTTGATCCTCCCCCCAAAAGGTATCCCCGCGTGGAGTCTGGAGTGATGAATAACCTTTCAAGTCAGACACATGAATAAACGGGACGAGGTGTGTTATAAATTGATGATCAGGTAAATTTGAATATGAGTAAAAGCGGCATCAAAAAGAAAGACGTAAGCAACAACTGCCGCGACCTTGGAAGTAAAGTTGCATCCAATCAGCGTACATAAGCTCGTGTCTCGGGTGCACATGTGCAGGTGGCCTAGCTCATATCTATATTCATAGGCGATGGAAAAGGAGGTGACTGTATAATGTTCAACATATTGTGCGGAGTTGAGTTTTGAAAATCGTTGCATTCCCACCGAGATATTTTTTAACTGAAATTCGGGAAACGCGTGTCCCAGTGCCAACGCTATACCTAACTGGAGTTGACAAACAAGCATAGCTGCATGGACCGACACCTTGGGCACTGTTTATGTGAGAGAAGAAAAAGCAATATACTCTGAATTATCATACTAGTTTGAATGAGGTTATTTGAAAGACAAAGATATTAAATCAAGTGATTTCATTCAAACATGCCCTCAGATAGGCTATGGATGAAACCCGGATCGCCTATATAGATCATACATACAAGCTACTCTACATGGATATCCCTCAACGGCAAGAGAAAAAACGTACAAAGTAAAGGGAGAGAGAGAGAAAGAACAATAAACAAAGGCCATACTCCCAGAACGACAGCGCTATGATGATGAATGCAATCAAAAATAAAGGTAAAAAGAAACAAAGAATTAATCCTAGCGAATGCTCTCTCTCCACCGGTCAATCACATCCCGTTGACCGGGTTCAACGGGTTGTCGAGTCATGGTTGGGCCACATGCATTAGGCATGGGATACCCCATATTATGCATTGTCATCATTGTATTATTATATGCATAGGGAGGTGGTTGGTTCTGACCATAGGTGTAGGGAGGTGGTGGCTGGGATAGATTTGCTGGGTATCCCATGTGTGTTGGATATTTCATGGGTGCTGGGAATTGTTGCATAGACATGCGGTTTCCATGATGCTGCATCTGCATGCCGGGGTGTTGGTTTTGAGGGAGACCGTAGGATGACTTGCTACGAGATGCAAGATTGGGTCGAACCTGTGGGAGGGCGGCCATGCTTTGGCGTGTCCGTGGTAGTTTTGGGACACCATTCGGAATGCCCTTCTCCTTCTGTAGACGAGCTCTCCGTTGTGCGAGTGTCTCCTCTTGAGCGGGGGGCCGAGAAGATTGAGAAGGCTGGGGAGCCGGGTTGTTCTCTTTAGGGGTAATCCCAAGGCGGTTATCGAATTCGGCCATAAGATCGTGAGAGAAGGCAGTATCTGATGGGTTTTGGCCCTTAAGTCGTCTCGAACGCTCGGCCAAGGTCTCAATCTCCTCTACAGTGTCTTCTTCGGCCGACGGCTGTTCTTTAGGTGCTGGTGGTTCGGTGACATATACAGTCACGGGCCGCTTTTCCGGTATTGGTTCACCGCGGAGCCGAGCGCGACGGCTACTCAAAGGTTCATTCTCCTCTGTTTGGTGCCTCTCCATTAAACCTTGTGGGCGACCGTCCTCGCCCTTATTCTGGTCAGGATATAGCATTGCGAGAGGAACATCGTCGTCGTCAGCAGCATGTCGATTATCCCAGGCCAAAGTCACTGGCCTGCGTCGTCTCTTATCACTTTGTTCCTGGGCCATTGCATCGAGCTCTAAGAGTGTGGCCTGCATGCCTTCAGTAGCCTTTGGAAGTGCAGTACGTCGACGCTGCTGAAGCTCTTGCTTTCGCAGCTCCAGTTCGGCGAGTAGAGTATTGGGCGGGCCTACATAGTTGGCTGCTTCATCCTCTTCCTCTTCCTCTGAAGATTGGCCTTCACTTTCAGTTTCAGATCCTTCAGAGTCTCCATGTCCATGTTGATTACGATAAAATCTTTCGGATTCCTCTTCATGAGCACCATGACCAGAATATTCTGAGTCCCCCGACGCACTCTCTCTATCGCTATGGGTGCTTTTGTACTGGTCCATCTGAGAGTGGGAGTCCCGTTCAGGCTTTTGTCTCGGGATATTCTTGCGTTTGTTCCCATAGACATATGATCCAACGTGCCCCGCGTAGGGATGATCTGTAAAGGCAGAGACAGGCGCATGCGCCGAGGCATCGAGGACACTATCGAGCGTCGCAACGGCGGAATCTTGCTTTACTTCGAGCTCGAGCGTGGTACTTGGTGGGTCAAAGAAGACGCTTGCACGAAGCTGCGGCGGTAGCGCAGATTGACGTTTATCTTTGCGACTGCTACCCGGTTCCTGCTCTCCAAATTCTGCCTTCCTATTCTCGGCCTCGATAGAAGTCAAAATCTGGGTGCGACGCTTTTCACGTTCCGCAATTGGTGCTCTGCGGGACAGTTTGGGAGGGAGGTTAAGCATGCGGGGAACCGGGGCGGGATAGTAAACCATGTGTTCGGTAGGCTGGGGTGTCTTGTAGACGTCGGCATTCCTTGCAAGGGGGGGTTGAGTTAGAGATAGTTTGCGTGAGGAATCTGCCCGTTCCAAGGGCGCGAAATGAACGCCATCGAAATCAGTGAATAGCGTCCTTGCTTGTTGGAAAGTATCCCCCGACGCAGCGGTGTCAGGTCGCTCAATGTCCTCCCCAGGGCCGACGGTGGCAGAAGCACTTGGGTGATCATCGTGAGAAATGTAGAAACGACCGGAGCTAGGTGTGAAGATAGGGAGTTGTGGGGCTGGAGCGATGGGGAGTGTAGCGGGGGCTCGGTCTAGGTAATGGTCGTTGTCATGTTCAGGCTCCGCAACTTGAGCCAGACATGATCCACTGGATACGGAGCGTTGACGGGTAGATCTAGTTGATCCATGGGGAGATCTGGCCAGGCTGTTACCTGGAGAGAATGCACCATTCCGCATGATGATAGAATTAGACGCGGAGCTGCAAGATTGTCGTTTTTGTTGCTGATCCATTTTCCGGATTTCACTGCCAATATCTTGTGTACTTGAGCTCAGTCGCTCTGCACTTTGTTCCAGACGCTCTACATTTCCTGTGTAAGCACCTTGAAACGATTGTAGATCTGGCGTTGGGTGGCTGAGAGGAATAGGGGCATCGCTGCATGCACTTCGCAAGGGGGACTCGGAGGAGGAATGTCGCGCGACCGCAGTATTCAGCGGAGGCATGCGGCGGGGATCGTCGGAAGGATCGGCGTGGTAATCATCGGCCTCCACCACTTCGTACTTTGAGGAAGTCATGGAGCGGTAAATCGCACCGAGCTGAGTCCCGGGGGAATCGCTGGTTTTCGCCAACTTTAGATGAGATGATCCGAGGTTGTCGGCATCCCCCAGCGGTTGAAAGGCAGGAGGTGAGGGACTGGAGAGGTCAGATCCGGAGTCAGATGCGACCTCGTCGGTCTGAACAGCATTATAGGCCATGTTCACGGAACACGCCCAGGTCCAGTCCAGTTCAAAAGAGTCGTCGAAATACCCATATGAGGGGAAAGAATCACGATGCGTTGAACGGCTTCAGCAAGACATGAGGGAACTTGAAGTCTGAAATCTGGGCAGGGACTGATGGATGTTTCATCTGTGTTACCTCTCTCTGCCTTGCTCTGTCTCTCTTTTTCTTTTTCTCCCCCAGATACTGAATCACAATACCATTTCCCAGATTATTGAGCGACAGTTTGTTTGATGTATTTTTCCCCTTTGATTTTTTAGCCTCTTGAGGCTTGGACCAGAACCAAATTAGGAACTGGGTGTACAACTGGGCATAGTATGTAGTATAGTGAAATTCCGTGATTTTTTTTTCACGTTTTAAAGTTTCATATGGAATGTAATTCTTATTTAAGACCAAATCATTCTACCAAAAAAAATCAAGGTAAAAATAAAACGGCAAAAACAAGGCAAATGTCCAGCCAAGATTCAACACGATGGGCCAATGTCTCGGACCCTCTAATGTTGTTCCAGACACATCTGCACGCCAAAGTGGGGTGTTAGGGGCAATCCAGTGCACGGCCTGGCCCGATTGCCCACTTTTCTGGCTGTTTCTCTTTCTCTCTTTTGCCAGAAGGGTGTGAAGGGGTTCGAGAGAGTTTCTGGACCGATAGGGCACATCTGGGGAACGCCAAACACCCGTTAATTATATTGCTTGACAAAACAATACTAGTGGAGCCATGCCCACGAGACTGCCTACCATATAAGGGCTGCATCCAAGGCCGTGCCCACTGGTATTTCCCTCGAATATTATAACCAAAATTAAATATCTGAGACAATCCTATCAATATATGAATATTTATAGATTCATGGCCCCTCTATTGTCCAATTTGAAAGTTTACTTCTTAAATTTTAATGCGGAGAAGTTGTCTACATATCTTCCACTGAGCAACATAGGTAGTCGAAATACAATGGTATCTTATTCGTAGCGCCCAGTAAAACGGTGCATTAATATCCAGTTCATAACGGAAAAGTTCAATCTATCGTCCCTCCGCAAGTTCAACCAACCGATCTTCCAACAGCATAGGCTCCCAAAGCTCCTTAGCCTTTTTATTTTGCACCCGTAACACATCCCCTTGCAAGTAAGCCACCACTCCGCCCTTCCCAGTCGCGCTGGCAGTAATCCGAAACAATGGCAGACCATTCTGCGGATTGGCTTCGCGAAGTGGTAGAATAATAAGGCCTTGTTCCATACACCAGTTTTCGACAATCTCCTTGAAAGAAGGCTCCTCCATATGATGATGTTTGGGTTTAAGTGGAGGCACAGAAGCTGCTGCCGCTGCTTTGGCTTTCGACTTGGCTTCTTCCTGGAGAAGTTTCGGTTGGTCGCCTGTTGTTGGGCGGGGGAGTTCGGTAGCGGCGCGGTCACCAAGCTCCAGAGCCAGGTGCATGGTTTGTAATCCTTTGTTCCACTGTTCTTCTACAATGGCAAGCTCGTTGACCTCTGATGGGATTTGTTCGCGCCACCAGGAGAACCAGGTGCCAACTTCTTCGTAGTTCGGGTCGTTGGTGAGCCAGATATAGAGGATATCGTGCCACTTGGGGAAGAAGTCGGAGATCAATAGGAGGCCCATAACGTTCGGTTGGAAGAATTCCTTCCAGCGGAGGACATCTTCGAGGGGTGTCATGTCTTGGTCTTGTGGGTTGACAACGAAATGTTCACGTAGGTGTCGGGCAAGACGAGGTAATAGGTGATTGCGCAGACAGACGTCAAATTCGGAGCCCAGCGCATCGCGCCAAAGGTCCAGTCCGTTGATAAGGCCGCGACGTAAACTCCATGAATCCAAAACCACACGGAATTTTCTTTTCGTATCTGACATGAGACCGGTGGGTTGCTTTGGATTGGTATGTCGTTCGTCCAAATATTGTAGCCATTGGAAAAGCCACCATGGGAAGCGACCATCTTGTTGGCTTGATGGATGTCGGCGGCTGCTGCGTGGCTTCCATTCTTTCAAAGCGCCGCTGAGCTTTGGAACGACTTGTTGGTCGAGAAGATTGGCGAGTACAAATGGGGGGACTATCGGTTTCCAAGCAGTGACTAAGGTCGTCGCAGCTGTTGGGTCGTAAACATCCCAATCGTTCAAAAGAGCAGAGCGCACTCGTGGGAGCCAAAGAGTGTATATCATGGTTTCGTAAGGTGATGTCGACGAGCGCTGGCGAATTTGCTCATTCTCGTTCCGGCGAGAAAGAATAGGTTGAAGACGAGTGAGATTGGATACAAGAAATGTAGGATTTTGAAGCGGTTCCCATTCTTCCATCGCTTGTTTGAATAATGGATGCATAGCGGCAATGGCGGTCTCGGCGACCTTGTATTCATCCGCAATATCCTGATACTTCGATTCCATGGATTCAAGTTTCTCAGTCATCTCATCAAACTTGGACGTGGTAGTTTCGTCGTGCTCGAAGATATCCAGCTCTTCGATGGCGGCGATTAATCCAGTTAAATGATTGACTCGGCCTTGATACGCATCAAGCTCATCCACAACCTGAACTTCCTCAACTTCGATAAACTTTTTCCGTTCAGTCAAACCCTTCCACTCGTCCGCAAAAGCTTCCAAGTCATTCCGGGCTCGTCGGGCGATTTTCAAAGCTTCACCCTCTTCCTGAGTAACAAATTGTTGCGAAGACATCAATCCAGCCGTCGAGGTCAATACTCGTTGTTCCTTGCCAGTAGCATCCACCAACGACTTAAGAACATTCGGTACTTGTAACCCCTCCATATCAACCTCGATCTCTCGCGCAGTCCGGAACTTAGGCTTAGGGCGCGAGACTGGCGTGCCTGTTCCACTGCGACTATCGCGACCACCCTTCCGAGCCTCCTTCTTCTTCCGTCGCCGTTGTGCCTCTTCATCAGAGCTATCCTCGATAGATTCTCCACGTTGCGCCGCTGCTCGTTTCTCTTCTTCGCGTGTCTGTTTCGTCTTCTCTCGGACTGTGCCCAAACCCGCGCCTTGAGGTCGAGCTTGCGCTTCAATCGGAGTCACAATACCCTGACCTGTAGATCCAAGACCTTGTCCTTCCTTGTAACCCATTTTTGCCATCATGCGCGCCGCGAAAGAATTGCCTGCGCCGCCTTTCCCACCACCTCCTCCTCCCCTCGCGGCAGCTCCGCCTCCACCTCCCCCAGCCATATTATTCCACGGTTTGCGAGATGCGCTGCCTAGTCCGCCCATTCGGGGGGGCGATTCAGAGCGAGATGCAGCTCGTTTGAACCCTCGAAAGCCCATGGTCGGGCGCTCATCTTCGTCGGAGCTCATATCGTTGACTTTGCGCTTCTGACCAGCATGGGATGAGGAGGGGGACTCCATTTCCCCATATGCTGTAAGAAGTTCGAAGCAAAGCCCTTCTAACGGATGAGAATGGAGAAAAAAAGGAAACCGCTAAAAATTGTCGCTGAGTCGTCTTTCAAGCTTGATCTTTAAATTCACCTAAATTCACGTGGAGATTAGTCGGGACGGAAGAACCCCACTCCGACCGGACGAAAACAAGATGACGTTAAGCTCGGTTACTTCATAGCTCTAAGGTGTGCTCGCTCATCCTTTTTTTCCCATTTCTTTCTCCAACATAGTGCCTGTCTACCTACCTTCCTCATAATCCCAACGTTCACTTCACATTTCCTCCCTACAAAAACAAACCAACACAATGGTCGCTCTCCTCGCCAATTCTGCTCGCGTTGCCCTTCGCTCGGGAGCTTCGGCTTCCAAGGCCGGTGCTGCGGGCTTGACTTTTGCCCGCGGCAAGGCTACTCTCCCTGATCTGAGCTGTAAGTCGAACATAACCATTTAACGTATATGAATATCCATATCCATGATAGATGGATCGAATTAATTAAAACTTCAAAAATAAGAGAGAAAACTCCCAAGCTAACTAAACCATCTAGACGACTATGGCGCCCTTGAGCCATCTATCAACGGCAAGATCATGGAGCTCCACCACAAGAACCACCACAACACCTACGTCAACAGCTACAACACAGCCATTGAGCAGCTCCAGGAAGCCCAACACAAGGGCGACATCGCCGCCCAGATCTCCCTGAAGCCCGCTATCAACTTCCACGGCGGCGGTCACCTGAACCACACCCTTTTCTGGGAGAACTTGGCTCCCAAGAGCGCCGGTGGTGGTGAGGCTCCCTCTGGTGCCCTTGCTAAGGCTATTGACAGCACCTACGGTAGCCTGGGCGAGTTCCAGAGCAAGATGAACACTGCTCTGGCTGGTATTCAGGGTAGTGGTTGGGCTTGGCTTGTTAAGGACAAGCAGACTGGTCAGATTGGTATCCGTACCTATGCTGTAAGTACATGAAAGAAATCTCGTTAGGTATGAGATGTTGGTGCTAACTTTTTTCTCTCTCTTATAGAACCAGGACCCTGTTGTTGGTCAGTTCGAGCCTCTACTTGGTATTGATGCTTGGGAGCATGCTTACTAGTAAGTTTATTGTCATCTAGGTACTTGTGTGGTGAAGATGTTAACTTTTTTGTTCTAGCTTGCAATACCAGAACCGTAAGGCTGAGTACTTCTCTGCCATCTGGGATGTGATTAACTGGAAGACTGTTGAGAAGCGTTTCTCTTAAGTTATGTCTAGTGGTGTAGCGAGGAGGTAAATCCCTTGTGTGTATTGTAACATGTGTGCCAGTTTAATACCATCTATCCAATATTGATCTGTTCCTTTGAAAGAACCAAACGCAGTCGTTTGAATAGGTGATATAGATAGACTACTTTCTATACGTCGAATCCAAGTTAAACCAAATTGAAAATCCTCATGCATTTCTCGTCTAGATAAGAAAATTTTCCCTGAACCAGCAGGTTTCGCTCAAGATTCAAAAGCCAGATCAGACCAAAAACGCTTTTAGCATAAGGCATAAAGGTATCCAATCGTCGAAGCATTCACTGTGTGATAGAAGGTTCTCGTGCACGAAAGAAAGAAAAGAAAAGAAAAAAGATAAAACGAAAATTAGCCACGTCAATACTTGCCCTGTCAGCGGTATACAGGAGGGGTTGGGTATCATATAAGTACAAAAGTAAGGGCAAGGCCAACGTGGTAGATAGATATGGTGCCGGATTTAATTCACGCGGCGAGCTCTTCTCCCCACATACCGCGGCCGACGAGAAGTATCATCAGAACGCATCGTCATTTCAGAACGAGGTCGTCCAACAGGCGCATCCATTGAATCCGGTGTTTCAGAGCGCTCATAAACAAAGCCATTATCCTGACCAAGACGCGATGATGCGCGGTTCTCTTTCGATTCAGCCTCTGAGACTGAGAACCTATCCGTGACGACGGGAGTAGCTGGTTCAGACCGCTTACCACCAACACCTTTCATCCAGCCGAAGATACCAAGAGAACTGCGACGCTTATGTTCTACGCTGTGAGAAGTGGTGGGGCGAGCGGATAGAGTAGCCGAGTCCCTGTGGGAAGGTTCTCTTGCCTCCATGAACGATTGGTGAAGGGCTCTAGGCCCGCCGTAGCTACCGCCTAGGCCTTCGTTGAGCGGAAGACTGGACGAATAGATGTCGTTTGAGTTGGCGATAATCTGAGACACGGGACGTCGATTTACGCCGACCGCGTTCCTTGTTTTGGGAATGATGGGTGAGGGCGCACCGTCTTCTTCGTCGTCTTCGAAATCGGGCGCGATTGGTGATGATTGGAGACGGCGAGAGGCGGCGTTGTGAGACCGGCTGAAGAAGGGGGGTCGGAAGCTTAGTCGGCGTTTTTGTTCTGGCTCGGGGGAAGCTTGGACTTGTGATGTGGGCTCTTCGGCGATGGGCTGTTCTAGGATATCTAGAGTTTCCAGGTCAAGGGTTGGGACGTCTGCAACTTCTGGTTCGAAGGCGAAGGAGTCGACGCTTTCATCATCGTGGAAAGCAGCTTGGCTGATTACCAGGTGGTGAGGTTCTGTGGGTCTAGGCTCAATGCGTAAACCACGCTCTCTCTCCTTTCGGGATCGGGGACCTTGCTTTGCAGCAGCGATCCAATCCTGGGGTGTGAGCGGGGGAGAATCACTGAGTGATGCAACGGTCTGACAATCCGATATGACGGTCTTCGCAGGGCTCTGAGCAGGCGTGGAGAAATATGGAGGTGCGTCTTCATTGCTGTTCTGGCGGAAAGGGTCATTTAAAGTATCCAGAACTGGATTGTTAGGGCTTCCTGGACCAAGTAGCTCGTTCGCTTTCGACGCAACGGTGTTGAACGGGAAGAATGTAGGCGATTCGACGTTTGACGTAGAAACGCGAGGCGTGTCACTGCAGTTTGTCTGCATACTGTCCGTAATGTCACTTCCAGTGAAGCTAGGTCGGCCGGTGACTTCGTCGGCAGAGCGACGGCGTTCGAGTGGCCGGCCAGCAAACCATGTATCACCTTCTTGCTTTGGACTTTTTCGAGCTGCAATGCTCCCATTTGAGCCGTTGTTAGCGGTGACATAGGCCGTACTCATAGTGTCAGGAGTTGGAGGGAGTCGGGCGCCTCCAAATAGCGACGCATCTAGACGTCCACGCCCGCGCGGCTTGTTCGAATACAAGTCGGCTGTGAACATCGGCACACTAACTTTGGATGCATCGGAAGAAGCCCGATTCTGGCGCCTCCTGATGATAGTCTGGGTATTCTCCTCTCGGTCCTGGATCCAGCGATCGATATGATCATCTTTGCTTTCTTCACGCTCTGTCGGACTAGCGTAGCTGTTCATACTTTCGCTGATGGTAGATGAAGCCTTTCGAATAGGAATATCCAATCTATCAGCCTCATTCCATTTTGTCGGAGTATCGAAGGGGTGTAGCTCGCTGCACTCGCTGAGAACGCTAAGACGTGGGGAACCAGGTTCTAAAGTTTCAGCCATGGTGTGAAAGCTTTCTGACTTGGTGAGTTGACTCAGTGCCGAGTAGGACTTATTCTTCTCGGGTGCGTAGAGACTGCGCAAAGTAGCAGTACTCTCGTTATCATCGCGAAGGAATGAGGGAGCTTTGCTCAACTGCCGTAGCTCGGGGGACATGAAAGACGCTCGCTTGGACGAGGTTCTTTCCGGGATGTCAATTGTGATTTGGGCTTTGGGGGTTGCAGCGCTGGGACCGTCAAGAACCAGTCTGTTCGACAACGAGGATGTTCGTCCATTTGTCTTTAGTTGATCATTTTCTGCCTCAAGCTTGCATATCCATTGCACAGCTTCCTCAACGGCTTTGTCCTTTGTTTCAAGCTCTTGTCGAAGTTGACTATTGATATCTCGTAAGCCTTGGCTTTGTTTGTTGATGGCCCGTAGCTCCACCACTTCCTCCTCCAATCCATGTAGGCGATTCAGCTCTTCTTCCATCTCTACCATCCGCTCTAATTTCTTCTCCAGAGTCCCCATCTGTTGTGTTCGATGAAATATTTCCAACTTCAGGTCGAAGTTCAGCTTTGTCATTTTGGAGACGTACTGATGATGTCAGCTTTTGAATAATGGATGTCGACAATCTAGTAAAGATGCATGCATACCTGATCCATTTCCCGCACTCCCATCTCCTTCAACTGAGATTGTGCAGCCGCAGCAGCCTGGCTGACTTTGCGCGCCTTTTCTGATGCGGTATCCTCCTGTAAACGATTTCGGTCTGGTGTTCGCGGACTTTCAGCTCCATCTTCTGAAATGCTGCCTCGTGAGCCACGGTTGGCTCGTTCTTCCTTAAGGAGTCCTTGTAATAAGGTCGACGTTGGATTTATTAATGTGGGAGTGCCGCTTTCTGGCGTTTCTGTTGCATCGCAGGGTCAGCTCTTGTTCTTGTCTTCTTGACCTCTCATGTCTTCCAATCCCAGTGAAGTGAACATACTATATCGTTGTGGAGGTGTCCTGACACCACCTCGTACTGGCGACTGATCATTGAGCCAGGATCTCTCAGCGTTATTGCGAGGAGGAGTATACATATTGCTTCGACCCTTCACGCGAGAAAGCGATGGATGCTGAGGACGATCGGAGGAGTGACCTGAAGAAGTGGCGATGTCAGTCCCGATTTGGGAGGAGAATTTCAAATAGGACTGCGCGCGTGGACCTATCAGGGCGAGTGGGGCAATGATGATTGAACGTACTGCTCGAGCGAGATTTTGAGGAGACACGACTACTGCCAGCAGCTGGAGCAGTCTCTGTATGTGTATGATATACGGGGGCAGGTTTCGAGTGCGAAGGGGGCTTCTGTACGGAAACCCTCCGTTTTTGAGTTCGGTTTTCTTTTTCCATAGCTGGATCCATCATGTTTTAATTTTAATTATAACAGATTTACTTTTCATGCGCATCGCATCCTTGACGCAATGCGGATCTGTCGTTTTTGGAGGAACGCCTGCGTCTCCAGCAATCAGTGGGCGGGATCTATGCTAGGTGCAGATAGATGCGCCGGTGGGTATAATGATCCATGTAATGAAGGGATTTAATTGGGTGACAATTCAGACAATGAATTGGATGATCGAAAATAGAGGTGGGATAGATGTGGGAAAATGGACTGCAGGAAGCGAGGGGGGAGAATAGGGAAGCAAATGGCGCGAGATCTTGGTTGAACTGGTGGAGACGGAACCAGGAACCCACTGGGTTCCGGCGATTAAAGGCGATTGGGATTGATCGAATCAGGGCCGAGTCCACTATAGCCCTGGATAGGAAAATTGGTAAAGCGAGGGGATCAATAGGAGGGGGGAGGTGAGATTGTGATGAGTCGCGCCTCGCATATGAGAGACTGTTTAAGGATCGACGAGGGAGAAAAGAGAAAAAAGAAAAAAGAAAGAAAAAGAAAAAGAAAAAGAAAAAAAACAATAGAACCAAAGCTGAATAGAACTTGTCTCCGCTGTTTATTGTGGACAACGATGCCAGGAATGAAGGGCCAAAAAGCAAAAAAAAGAATGGAAGAATGGAAGAAAGTCAAGACGAAAATTCCATCGAAAATGAAAATGAACATCACTAACATCATCGAGCCCAGCCTCTTCTCTCTCGTCGATCTCTCGCTGTTCCTGACATCAATTGGGCCCAATCGGATGGAGCCCGTGGGGTCTCAGCTGCCCTTGCACCCGTAGCGTCGGGATTTAAGGGGGCAAACAAGCAAACCAGACAAAGAAATCCCCAAATCACATCCAAATCACATCCACTTTCAAGCAGCGTCTGTTAATATTTCCAAGATTCTTCGTATACAGATTAAATTCTACAGTATATATGGACTCAGTTATTCCCACATACTCGGCATTTTCTACTCTATACATGCTTTCCGATCCTTCATACCGGATCATCCCATAGTCTGAAACCTAAATCCAATAAGATTTGCCCCGTCCATCACTGTGCTTTGGTTCCCGCTTGAGAGGCAGATACGAGAGATTCATTTCTATGTACTGAATATCTACCTCTACATTTGGTTCTCCACATTATATACGAGTATTGCACAATTGATGAAAAATTACTCTGAAATCTGGACTTCGTATATTCCCGACGCGCCTCCTCTTCTCCGGTGGATACATCGCATTTACTGCCCCAGACCTATCCAGTCGCCCCCGCCCTCCACGTCACAAGTTATCACATTTCTGAAACGCGCATACAGTACCCTATAAACTCTGTATCTAATTGATTAGCTTCACTAGACCAGGCTAGCATGATACATACTTGTATCAATTAATTCTCCTATCCATTGCACCCTTTGATATTAAGTACCATATAAGTACCTACCTCTATACCCTCCATAAATCCACCAATAGGTGCACTACATACTAGAACAATTACCCACCATGATCCCTGTGGACTGTAATCTTGTAAATCAGAAACGTAACCTTCCAAGGTGAATAACAATTAAACTCCAAATTAAATGATAGATCTCATAACAAGCAGCAACATCTCCAAGACGAGCACAGCTCAGCCCAAATCATTTTCATCGCCGCCACTGCACCGACACTAAATAGTCCGGTCTCACTTCCTCTTTGCTTCTCCAGCCCAGATCCGCATCTCCTTCGCTCGGTCATGAGCTGCCCGGAACACTATGACGTGTCAGCCACCACTTCATAGGTCTTATCAATGCGGTCATCAACACGGAAACTTACATTGTCGCTCTGCTTCGTCCAATCCCCGAAGAAATTCAACACCACCTCCAACTGCACCACGCGGGTTATGAGCGTGGTCCGCTATCTCAGCCGCTCGTCGTTTGAATGTCTGTATTACTATAATGAGTACCCAGCCTAGATCCCGACATAGATAGGATAACCGTGGTAGTGGAAGTGGCAGTGGAAGAACATACATTAGTTAACACGTCAACCATCTCTTCCTCTTCGAATAATTCCAGAATCCGCTCGCTGAGGTGGTAGAAATGCGGTGCCAATGCGCGCAGATCTACAGTCCGGGGATCAGCTTTCAGCGCATTCATTACTCGTTCTGAGAGTGCATCGGGCATATCAAGCGTCACAAGACGAGAAGTCCCTATGCGAGCCCTGTTAATTCCCAAGTTAGATTAAAACGGATTCGGTATCTCAAAGTATCCTTGAGGATATTGGAGTCTGTCTCACGCGATAGAAAGCATTTCACCCAGCCATAGTGGGAGATCGATACGTGTCCCGGCTTTGATCTGGAATTGTAGTGTTAGTTTCTAGACCCAATGCAACATTACGTTACATTAAAATGTACATCTTCACCCGCATTGCCTTCGAGAACACCCAGTCCGGGGACTTCTAGCTCGAATGTGCACGGTAATTTCTGGATCGAGGCGTTAGTCCACGGTGCGGGGCTTGAGTTGGGTCTTCGATTTTCCTGCTCGAGGGCCTTCACTCACCTGCGCATCTGTCAGGATGGAATCAATGTCATAGTAGGACATCGTGATTTCCGATTCAATCGTTCCCCTCGTCGGGCCGATCTGGTGTCTTGCTGGTCGAATACTGTTAATTCAGTCGCGTCCCGTCGTCAATGGCGCGCGTAGTCACGTGCTCTTAATTAATGCCTCCAGGTGTTTAAGTGGTTCCACATTGGGGTAATTGGCATGATATTTTTTAGGCGTAATCTTCGACAGTCGCGAATAAAAGTTGCTCGGTCCATTCAACTGATTTCAAATTCTAATGGGTATTCAAATCATCTGATATGCTTGTAATTTGGTATGGGATCAAAGAGATCATTCTGGCTGATGCTCTTTTTGGAGTATTTTTGACTTTGACATAGGCCTACAAATCGGAAAATTGATTATCAAATCCGGTCTTGGTGTAGTTGGTTATCGCATCTGACTGTAATTGTTTATATGTCATCAGAAAGTCCGCGGTTCGATTCCGCGAGACCGGATAATTTTTTTGGTTTTTGTTGCATCGAACATTTGAATGAAAAAAAGGCTAGTCCTTCCACAAGGCATGTCATTCTATTCCCTGGGCAGAATACCTGTAGCAGAGCCTCCATTTTCCTTTCTTATTTCAAGTTCAGCCTCCACTCCCTTGCTTTTTGTGTGGATTGAGGTACGAAATAGCCCTATACTGACTATTGGAGATGCAATCGCTTCGTTTTTACGATACCCAGATCCGCATTCTCAGGGTAGCTGTCTAATTAGCAAGGAGGTGGTGAAATTAAGATCCCAGCATATGTAATCAACTATTAATTCCGAATTAATCGCCAACCGATCGGCCTTCGATCCTTCACGGAAGCGATGGAAGATGGCCGCCTCTTCTTGCCGTTGGGTTTTTGGCATTTTATTCGGGGGCCTCGCAGTAGTGGTCTGCATCGTGCTCTTGGTTGTTGGGATGAGGAACCAGTCTGAATCAGATCCCTGGGGACAAGATTTCGGATCTGTTGAACCAAGAGCCCTGATATGGGGTGGAGGCTGGCCAAGCTCGTTGATCGGGAACGTACTAATCGCCAACTCGCCTCAAATCGTTTCTTTTATTCATATAATTCGCCTTTAATAGCCTCCTTACCTCCATGGCTCTCGCTGCTGAATGGAGTAGCTACGCCAACGAGCGAAAGGGCCTCCGCGTCTCAAGCAATCCGCAGAATGCTCGGAAGTCCAACTATTCTCTCTCTATACCATATTGCTACGGAATTCCACTGATGAGCTTCTCTACCCTACTTCACTGGCTTTCACTGGCTTATCTCACAGAGTATCTTCCTAGTTGGCGTCGAAACATGGGATTCTGATGGCAAACGCGACAAAGGAAACGACATTATAACTTGTGGCTGGTCTTCCGTCGGCATATTGAGTACTATCATAGTGGGAACTGTTTTTCTATTGGGAATTTCAGGGCTCAGTGTCCGACGATTTAAGTCCGGGATGCCAGTCGCAGGAAGCTGTAGTCTTGCGATTGCAGCAGCATGCCATCCAAGCTTTAATCCTAATCTTCAACGTGGAAACGGGACTAGAGAGGGCAATGCAGATATGGAGTCGGAGGATGAAGATGAGGAAATGGCACTCCTGCCTGTCCAATGGGGGGCCGTCAATGTAAACGGATCCTTGGGTCATTGTAGCTTCACGAGTCGTCATGTTGATACGCCTCGGACAAAGGGAATACAGTACCAGTGAAAGCAGAACATTTGTTCTGAGGGCTGCTTCCGAATGAGAGAAAAGAATTTTGAACAAGCCCAACCAACACTGCTACTGCTTCTTCCAACCTTCCCATCGTTCAAAATCTCCCGTGTCCAAATCAAATAAATCCAACATTCGCCCTACACTGTGGTCCACCAAGTCATCCACAGAAGAAGGTTTAACATAAAACGCTGGAACGGGAGGAAATATGATTCCTCCAGCCTGTGTCACAGAAAGCATATTCTGCAGGTGAATAGAGCTTAAAGGCGTCTCCCGCACAGCCAGGACCAACCTGCGCCGCTCCTTTAAAACAACGTCCGCGGCACGACAAATCAAATCGTCGCAAATTCCCGAGTTGATAGCCGCTAGTGTCTTTACACTGCATGGCACAACAAGCATTCCATCCACACGGAATGATCCGCTTGCTATGGGCGCAGACATGTCGTTGATATTATAGACGTGATCTGCGAGCGCTCGGATATTGGGAATCGTATAATCTGTTTCGTATTTTATCGTCGCTTCAGCCCATTTGCTAATAACAAGATGAGTCTCGATATTTAGCTGGCGGAGAGCGATCAATGTTTTGATTCCGAGGATAGATCCCGTTGCGCCGGTTAGAGCGACGATGATTCTGCGTCGTGGTGGAGAAAGTTGCGCATGGCTTATCTGAGAGGGCTCGGATTGATCTGAGCGAGTCTTGAATATGTCCATGATGGTTGATTTTATAAAATGATTTTCGTGGAATGGGCTCAGAGAAACCATCTGGGCAAGTCTCAATTCGATCGTTATGCATGATTTAGATCCCCCTCGTTTCGGCTCCAACTTGGAGAAAGTCGGACAAGGAATCCGATTAAGATCTGCACAGGGAGATCTCTGAGAGGTTACCTAACGCGATGGGACCGGTTGGACCTACCATTTGCATCAGGCTACGTTCCATGATGCTGTTCAACAATGACAGCAAGAAGAGGGGAAGCGGGGCATCTCCAACTTGGAGAAACTATACGTAATATATCACTCAAGTTTACTTATTTGAGTTGAAAAGAATGAAAAGTCGAAGGCCTTGTAACTTCAACTTCAGCTTCAAAAGTTCATCTCATTAAGAGATCATTCATTTGCGCACTCAGACAGCTTCAATGGCATACAAAGGGGATACAACCGCGTCCGAGAACTTTCGACAGTTCATCAAAGAGCTACAAGACGAAAATGACCTCATTTCAATAACCGAAGAAGTCGATCCTCACTTGGAGCTTGCAGCAGTGGCCCGTAAAGTGTACGAGACAGAGGAAAAAGCACCTCTCTTCGAAAATATCAAAGGCCGCATTGATAATGGCCTTTGTCGTGTTCTCGGGGCGCCGGTAGGCTTGAGCCGTATACCCGGGCAAAGATTTGGACGTATTGCCAAATCGTTCGGTTTGCCATCCAAGTCTACAGGTCAAGAAATCATTCAACACCTCAATAAAGCGAAGGCATATCAGCCGATTCCGCCTAAAGAAGTTTCCACTGGGCCAGTAAAAGAGCATAAGCTATTTGGAGACGACATCGATCTAACTTCGCTGCCAATACCACTTCTTCACCAGGATGATGGTGGCAAGTACATGCAAACTTTTGGCATGTTTATCGTTCAAAGTCCTGATGGACGCTGGATCAACTGGTCTATCACTCGAGGAATGATCAACGATAAACAATCTCTAGTCTGTCCCATCATTCCAAAGCAAGACATCGGAGTTATTTTTCAGATGTGGAAAGACAAAAATGAAGATATGCCCTTTGCACTATGCTTCGGCGTTCCGCCTGCGGCGATTATGGTGGGTGGAATGCCGATACCAAAGGGGACGAACGAAAGTGGATTCGTCGGTGCCTTGATAGGGAAACAAGTCGAAGTGGTTAAGTGCGAAACGAACGGTTTTCATGTTCCTGCCCATGCAGAGTTCATACTGGAGGGGAGGGCTTCTATCTCCAAATCAGCTACCGAAGGACCAATGGCCGAATACCATGGAATGGTTTATCCAGGGCAGTCTAAGCAATGGCCCGTTTTTCAAATAGATGCCATTACCTACAGAGATAACCCAATTCTACCAATTTGTGTGGCAGGCCGCGCAGCAGAGGAGAATCATACAGTATGGTCACTTATGCAAGCAGCAGAGGTTCTGAACATTTGTCAGAATGCTGGACTTCCCATTCAAATGGCATGGTGTCCGTTCGAATCGCATTGTCTCTGGTTTGCGCTACAAGTGGACCGACAAAAGTTGATAGCGCTGAACACCAACATGGCCGAGTTTAGTAATAAACTTGGACATGTGGTATTCGGATCTAAGCCTGGATGGTACATTCCGAAGATCTTTTTGGTTGGAGATGATATCGATCCGACTAATCTTCGAGATGTTATATGGGCAGAGGCTACGCGTTGCCAGCCTGGAAAAAACGAATTTCTCTTCCAAGAGTATGGGAACCTTCCTTTAATTCCGTATGTCAGCCATGGAATCAAGCCCGAGGGGTATCATGCGAAGGTAGTTCGATGCTGTATGTTTCCATGTGAATTCACAGATAAGAATGTCTTCTGGAGAGAAGGTTCTTTCCGTGGCTCATACCCTGTTGAAATTCAACAAAAGGTAGAACGGCGGTGGGAAGAATATGGGTTTCTGCGATAAAGTAGTTGTTATTTGATTTGTGGCCCCCAATATTCAATTCTGAATTCACTCGATATTGAAACAATTTGAATATTTGTTTTACGGAAATGATCCACGTTTCTCGCTCTGTTTCCCGAATTATGCAGTGCGGGTTGACCATAATTGTAACGCAGCCGCTCCTACAATGACTATAATGCTATGCAAAAGCTTGCGCAGTATATTACCACTAGGCCGTGATCGGCTCCTATGGACTAGATTTTGATTATGATCTACTTTGGATAATCGTTATTTAACTGAAATTTCCACAATTCGCAGTCATATGGTTATTAGCGCAATCTTGATTATCCCGCATCATGACTCACAGGAAGCTAAATTGATGTTAGCGTTAATTTCATTTTTATCCTACTTAATTTACAATATCCCCTCCATTGAAATTCAATTTCTTTCTAAGACCCAATTCAGTGTCGAATCAAATCCCAGAATTTCCCATCTATTCAATATGGAGCATTTTCACCACCTCGCCTCTATCGGAACGCATTCTTTGAGCTATGCGCTACGTGGAATAACAAGAAAACCAGGTTCCCCACTCATAATAGTCATGACCGGGGTGACAAGCAGTGCATTAGAATGGAGTGCAGTCTGCCGCAATCTTGAGTCAGAGGCTTCAATTCTTCTCTATGAGCGCTCCGGATACGGTCGTAGTGAAGAATCCCCACATGAGCCCGACTCACTCACAATAGTCGATGAGCTCTCCAGACTATTGAAGTCGGCTGCGCTGGAGCCGCCGTACTTAGTTGTCGGTCATTCATGGGGTGGGATCCTGGCCCGAGAATTCATCGCATCCAGACAGATCAAGGATATCTATGGGCTAATCCTTGTGGATGCAGTCCAAGAACACATGCTTTTCAAATCTTTCCCTGATCCTAGCGTTTCAGCTGTTACTGAGGGACTAGACTACTACGAGGTAACTGGTATCACAAAAAGTCATCAGTTGACAGAGTCGGAATGGGGTGACTTCGTTGCTGAGGAGGATAGCGATAAGCATGCTCGACAGGCGGAATTGGAGTTGCCTTTCCTTCAAATTAGTCGACCTGTCATTTCTCAAAAGCAACAATTGATACCTCACAAGAACATGCTCCAAGGACGACCTCTTGCCGTACTAAAGGGAAACTGCGCGCGCGACCACAAGTTGATGTACGAGGCTGGCGAGGCGAAGGGACTGGGAAGCGTGGCTCAAAAAGCCATATATCGCGATTATGTGTCAAAATTTGACAATGCCGAAGATGAACATCAACGCGAATTCCTTCACCTGTCAAATTTGAACCGCTATACTGTGACAACAAAGAGCGGTCATAACATTCAACTTACGGAACCCGAATTGGTTGCAAATGAGATCCGATGGGCAGTTAAAAATGGCATCGACATTATTTCTTGAACTCCAAGTGACAGCAGATTATATGAATTACCGTCACCTCCCACCTACGTATGTGCTAAAAGGGATAAAGCAAAGTCTAAGCGCCTCCATAGTCCCCAAATAAACATTCAAACCATAGTTCAACAGTCTTCAAGCAGAGAACAACTAAATCATCACTCAAACCAATAGAACAATTTGATCTCTAACGAGATTCCTTAGGCAGGCGCAATCCAAGATGCGGCAAGTACTTGCCAGGGTGCCAGTAGACAAATAATGCGACACAAGGATAGATGACAAGCGCATCAAAAACATACATCGGCCATTCATGCTTATTGGTGTACCCACCGGAGCCCTCAGAGAATTCCACAAGACGATAGATAGAACGAGCCTGGGAGGAAGGTAGTTAGTATGTCCAGATCCTGATAATGCATTAAAGAAATTCACTGACTAAAATTAGCAGAGTGGTCAAATTTACAACTCGCAACAGAGCAGGCCAGTGTCTGTTCCTGACCCTTCCATCAATGATGTATTCTTTCTCCCCTACTTGTTCATATCGCTGCTCAAGTTCCTTGGAGAATCTCTTCGAAGTGAAGTTGAATCGCACGGCTGCAACTGAGAATAGTCCAAAGGCTATAAGTTGAATAATGACACCAGCCATGGCAATTCCTTTCCCCTTGTCGACCTTATCAGCACTATCCGAATCGCCAGGGCTGGCGGAAGATATCATGATGGCTCCACTGAGTTGGAGAAGAAGGGCCACAATGTCAAAGCCAACGAAAATGGGAGTGATAAAACGTGGAGGAACCCAGCACAGGCGCAATGTGCGGGATTCCCGAGGCACGACCAGGAAAAGAATGCGACTGAATAAGATGTAACAACAGGCGGCCATCAGGACCGGTGACAGAATAATGAGCGAAAATTGAAGCACATAGATAGGCTTTTCAGTCACATTTTGTGTGGAGATGCAGCGCCCGATATAGCCGACAGCCTCCACTAGTGGACACGTTAGAATTCCAGTTTTGAGTTATTAGGTCTTGAACTTACTCGCTGCTGCCAAAACCATGACTGCCCAAATCCATGACTTGTATCGAATCCATTGGACAAAGGTGAGAATAAATGCAATACCGTATAGATCAGCGGTAACAATTGCAACGGCCAACGATGGGTCGTATTGGTAAAACGAAGTACCAGTTTCGTGAGAACGAGGTCCTAGAGCCATATCGAGATAGTTGTCACTTTGTGTATATATTTGATGTTTAAGCAGACATCATCTTGGAATGCTTCAATCACGGGGGACTTGTCCAAGTTTAAGTATCTAGATCGGCCCTTGTGGCTTTTAGATTACGAGTCCGAGTCCACGGAACAATTTTGGTGGAAGCCTGCTAGTACCACTTGATTCCATTTTCTGGGCAGCCTCAGAACCCCCCACAAACGGCAAGAGATTCGTTGTATTGAGATGGACTACTAAGCGGATCTTACAGAAAAGCCAACTTCTTGTTTATCAGGATATTCAACATAGCCTCAATCTTATCTCCGATGGATTTTTGATGCAGTAACAACATTGGCCCTTCAGCTATCCATCTCAGCCACCTCCCTAAACGCTAGAATTTGAGAACTTCTTTGAAGTTTTTTTCAGGTCTTTCTTGGGGCCCTCCCTACCTAGTATAATCACCGTCGATCTATGATCCACAGTACGGCGAAATGCCCCCTCCATTAGGAATAGCGTCGTTGAGCCCCAGTGTGGATACGTTTCCACCAATCGACGTCTCGAAACCCCACTGGTTAACATGGCTGCTTATCCAGCTGAACCTTGCACGGTGGCTGCGCAGCTTGATTATTCCCGGCGTTGAAGGCTGTCCACGATTCTTTTTGTCCTAAAATGAAAGAAATTCGAGGAAGTTGGGTCAAACTTGACCCATACCCAAATCACAAACATGCCGTTCTATGGTCGCCCTAGTAAAAGTTGTGGGAGTTGTCGCGAGAGGCGCATTAAGGTAAGTGCTAGCCGATGGATACCGCACGCGACCTAAATCAGCTAACAGTGACCATATGGGGTAGTGTGATCGTATACACCCGGTCTGTTCGCAGTGTATTAGGGCGGATAAACCATGTGGTGGCTACCGTGATGTCCCTGCACTTCTGTTCCGTGACGAAACAGACAAAGCGGCCTGGAGGTCTGCAACAGCGAAGTCTAGAGCAGGGGAGGGTCGCAGGACTTTAAACAAGTCTAAGACGCATTCGGATTCTTCTTCAATGAACTCTGAGGAACATCTGTCGAAAGTTGCAATGCAGAATTGGCAGACTGATCTGGCAGCATTGACTTCTACGATTCCTGCTTCGCCTTCCATTAACATGGAGGAGCAGGGATTAAACTTCTTTGTGACTCAATTCATGACAACCGTCTCAGGAGTAGATGAAGGATCTTTTATTTTGTCATCATCTCCACTATTGAAAACGCTAGCTGTGGAGCTTCCGCTTCGAGAGGCCGTCATTTCGGTTGGATTAGCCGCATTGTCGAACGTCACTCAAGATCGTAGCCTGCTCCGATTGGCAAGGCAGAAGTACGTGGTATCTATAAATGCCGTTCGTCAAGCTGTGGAGCATCCAGAGAAAGCCAATCCGGATCGAACACTGAAGCTAATTCTGATGTTAAGTTTGTACGAGGTATGCGCTTCGCCCCCTCCTCTCTGGTCTATAGTCTCCCTTGGAATTTGCCCGACTAATCCCCCCACCCTCTCTAGATGGTCTGCTGTACATCCACTAGTATTGACATGTGGCTGGTGCACTTGAATGGAGCAGCAGCTTTGCTCCGACAAGGATCCTTCGAGCGGGTGATGGAATCCGAAGACTCCCGGCCACGCATGCAATTTTATTACATTTCCATGGTCAAGTATTTCCTTTGTCACGCTAAAATACCACCCGAGCTGCTGGACTTTGATGTCGAATCAATTAAAACCTCCAACGACAATGATCTCCCTGCTGTTAGCTTGATTGAGATCCTTGTGCGGTGCATGATACTGCATTCTAAACGCCATGATATGGACCCCGAACTCTGTTTACAAGTAGCAATAGGCTTGGAAGCAGAGCTTTTTGAATGGGAACACTCTCTACCAGAGAGGTGGCAGTTTCATATGGAATATTCCAATGACATTCAAAATACTTTCCATGGGCAGTATGTGGTATACCAAGACATATGGGCGTCAAGGGATATTAATCATTATTTTTGGGGACGGCTGCTCATCACCGAGCTCATTGTGATGAGTATCTCAAAAATAGCGTCTCTGGGACTTTTAGCTCCAAGCCATCTCGAACTACGCCAGCAAGCTATGAATACATCTTCGCTCATGGCTGAGTATGTTTGTGCTGGTGCTGCATCCCAGCTCGGCTTTTACGGGAAGGGAGTTCCATTCCGAAAACTATCATGCTTGCCACCATTGAATGGCGTCTTTATGCTGCTGTTTCCGATGTCAATTGCTGGCAGTTCACCTGCCGCGCGTGATGAGGTTAGTGAGTGGGTGATTCAAAAGTTTGAGTTCATTAGTGCTAGTATGGGGATTCAACGGGCTCGGGAACTGATTCCAAGGATAAAGCTGGTTCGTGCTTGGAAAGCAGAGTGTATCAGTATTCCTTTTTGATAAAGGATTCGTGTGCGATATAGGACTGCGAAGAAGTGGGACCGGGTCAAATGTGAATGATTTAATAATGCAACCGTATACGACATAGATACCTCATTGTGGATTCTTTTGTTTTATGATCAAGAGAAGTCACAAATGAATATAAAATATTTTTTTCTAAAGCGAAAGCCTGTGGCTCGATATGTAGTTTGACTTCTTTCAACGAAGACTAATTTGATTTTTTTTAGCTTGGCGCCGTGGGAAAGGCTTGGTCAGCTTGCTTAACGTATTGACAGCAATTAAGTATAATAATTGTTTTATATCCTTGATTCTTCTTTTTTTAAATACAATTCTACCAGTTCCAATACACAGCACGCGCAACACTGAAGTCAACCCGATTTCATAGATCAGCCAACTTGGCGCTAGTCCTGATTAGGTGATACTGGTTCAGCTCCTTGACGCGGTCAGACGCGACTTCATTTATCCGTCGCATTGCCCTTGAACTTGTCGTTCATCTCCGCAAATTTCCAACCATACAACCAATTCGATATGGTTGACGAGGACTGTAAGTTCCCGTGTATCTTTTTGATCCCTAACATATCTAATTGATTTTTCAGGGTCGTGCGACGCGAATGATGCGGTTCACATCACCGTTGTCCAGCCCGGAGAAACAAAGCCCAAGACGCTCTCTACCTTCCACCCTCAATTCACCTATCCCATCTTCGGCGATGAAGAGCAAATATTTGGCTATAAAGGATTGATTATTCGTTTACGATTCGCGGCCCATGACCTTCGGCCCCATGTCCATATTTCCTACGATGAGCGATTCAAGCCGGTTGGTGACACCACTGCGCTTGATCTTCTTGGTACCCTGAAGCCATTCATTCCACAAGGTATGCTCTGATACTCCACCTACTGAGTATTGAAGGATGCGATTTGACCGCAAGATTGATAACAGAGGCCCTCATAAATTTACCCGAGTACGAGAAAGCCGTCCAAGAGGATCCTTCGGCGAAAGATTTTAAACCGCCCGGCAAACAGGTCCTCAGTTATGAGGTTAACGGTAGACAATATGAAATTTGGGCCGGCTCATTGGCGGATCCAGAGATTAAGCGCCTGCTTGATCGAGTACAGGTTCTCGTCTCCTTGTTCATCGAGGCCGGCACGCCTCTCGAGACGGACGACCCTGAATGGACTCTGGAGCGCTGGACAGTGTTCTTCATGTACGTTTTCTTGTTCCCTTTGCGCTTGCCAATCATGATTCTGACCATTACAGTTATGAGAAGGTGACACCGCCAACGCCAACCGCTTCGTCCTATTCCATTGTAGGCTACGCGACCACTTATCGATACTGGCTTTACCAGCGAGACCGATCTGAAAACCCTACTGTGAAGAACGATGATTTCCCTCAGGCGGAGATCAAGATTTCTGAACTCCCCGGTCGCCTGCGCATTGCACAATTCCTTGTCCTTCCTTCACATCACCGCTCAGGTCATGGAACCCACCTATACACCACAATTCATGCATTCTGCATCGCCGACCCTACAATCGTGGAGTTGACAGTCGAAGATCCCAACGAACAATTTGATGCGCTTCGAGACTCGGCCGACTTCTGTCTTCTACAGCCCGAGTTCATCAAGCACAATGTCAACCTTAATCCTGATCCAAATGGAGCATATTCTAAAAAGCAACGACAACGCTTGGTTCCTACCGCTGCTTTGATTCCCAGCGCAACTTTGGTTGAGATTCGCAAATCTTTCAAAATCGAGTCCACTCAGTTTGCACACATCCTGGAGATGTTCCTGCTAAGTCGAATTCCCAAGAGTCACCGCCTGGCCGGAGGAACAAACCTAGCTCGTCTACTGATCAAAAAGCACAAGGCCGACAATGAAAATGATCGGCGGTATTACTGGTGGCGTATGCTCACTAAGCAGCGCCTGTATAAGAAGCATAAGGAGTTGCTGGACGAGCTAGAGCTCCTTGACCGGGTAGAGAAGCTGGATGATACTGTTCGAAACGTGGAGGAGGGTTATGAAATGACGTTAGAGGCTTTTGAGGAACGACCTTCTGAATCAGATGAGGAAGAAGAACAGCCTGCGGAGCCCAGTGGCAGTGTCCGCCGCAAGAAGCGCAAGTTAGCTGTCATTGAGGACGATGACGACGATGAATGGGAAGACATTGAAGACAAAAAATTGTTGACCAAGCGCCCAAAGGTTTAATATTTTGAAAACGTTGGAATATCAAAATGCGCTCTCTTGCTACTAGTTAGTATGTAACCTATTGCAGTATTCTCAGTTCGATTCAATGCTAGCAAATTTATACCATCAGTAATCAAATTAAAAAAGAAGAAGTTCACGTGTCTCAAATCAGTTTCAATAAAAGTCACGTATTTAAGTTGTATTTGAGATCTGTTTCCTTGAACAGTTGATAATCCACCATTAAGGCTTGACCAATCTCGGCACATCATTTTTTCCGGAAATCGAGCTGATGCGGAGCTCGGTTGCGCCCAGTTGCTCTCTCCAACCCCTCCAAAGAACCGCAACGGCCAATCCACCGGCCATACCATTTCATTACTCCTACTCAACTTTCCTGCAAGCGAAGGGATAATTGTCACGCATCTTCAACCCGAGTTTACACTTCTACAAGACTCACAAACCCGTCGCATAGCGATCCCAATCCGCAATGGTAATCCCTCCGCAATCCAACAACTACAACCAGATACTGACGTCTTATCTCCCAGCTTCCTCTCGGTCTTCTCACGGCCGCTCAAGGCCACCCGATGCTGGTGGAGCTGAAGAATGGCGAAACCCTCAACGGCCACCTCGTGACGTGCGACAACTGGATGAACCTGATCCTCCGCGAAGTCGTGCAAACCAGTCCTGAAGGCGATAAGTTCTTCAAATTGCCCGAAGTTTACATCCGAGGAAACAATGTACGTCTAAAATATGAGTTCCGAAGACCTCGATATCTGCTACTCAATCATATTCCCATATCAAATATCCATATGTTCGCAGACTAACCCACCTCTACAGATCAAGTACCTCCGAGTCCCAGATGAAATCGTCGATATCGTTAGGGAACAACAGCAGAACCAACCACAAAACCGACGGGGCGGACATGGTCGAGACGGTGGGCGTGATCGCGGCCGTGGTGGTGGTCGTGGAGGCCGGGGTCGTGGTCGTGGCCGTGGCGGACCCGTTGGTGTATAAGGGATGGTTGTTTTGAACAGAGATTAACACACAAATCCTTTGCATTCATTGAGATGAGTTTTAAAAAGACGAGATGATACCCTGCAGAAATGGTGGGTGGTAAGATGAGGTCGCTCGCGTGAGCTGGTTGGAGCAGGTTTGGTCGAGCATGGCCGTGGCGTATCTGGCTCTCTATTTTTTTTTTTCAGTGGGAACTGAGGTTACTATCGATTGGCGATTTACAAATACTACATATTACATCCCCGACATTGATCTTCTTGGTAGCAGAGGATATGGATTACCTCTCCTTCTAGCTTACTCAACTCTCTCTTGTACACCCGCAAACCATTACAACCGGTACTACAGTGTACATAATTAGCCTGGTCTAAATTTCGGGGCTTGTAACAAGCAAAAATTTATCTCTTGGAGCCATATGCTTCATCTTAGATATCTACGCATATAATTTTGTCGATGCAGGTCACGTGGTGATATCGCGCATGGAAGGTATCTCGATTTCCAGCAAGCGGATAAACTTGCGGAGGTGAGCAGCTCGACATGACACGACCGACACTTGTGCTTGACGGGTTATGGCTCTCATTATGCCCGTCATTCAATCAACTAGCACTTGGCAGCGGTGCGCGACTGGCACGACGACATCAACATATTCCAGAACAATGTCTGTTACGGCTAAATCGATCTACCCCGGTAGACTCGCGGCGATACTACCGCAGTCGACCCAAAGAGACACCCGATAACGACTCTCCCTCTGAATCCCCTCGCTCCGAATTTGTATCATTAAACTCCTCTCCTTCAAATCCCACCTCCCCTCCTAAATCCAACGATGACTCCATACCGAAATCTACCTACGGTCCATATTTTGTTTCAGCGGAAGACGGGGGCGACCCGAAGCGCATGGTTCGCGTAAGACAATACCCAAGAGTACCGGAGAGTTATGATCAGAAATCTACGACTAGCCTTGAGAATATGCTGCGGTATATAACGGCTAAAGACCCCCATGTTAAGAGTACGATGCAAGTACTGCGGGCTTTGATTCGGGATCGCAAGGTGGAACCGCATGCTCGGCACTATCGAGCTTTGATTCTTGCTAATTGCGATTGCAAGTTTGGGTCGCCAGAGGCTGTGCGTGGTCTTCTGCAGGAGATGGAGGAGAACAATATCACAGCGGATTCGGGGACGCTCCATGCTGCTTTGAAGGTAAGGAATACAATGTGCATTTTTAGTGGATGGTCAGGAGCTAATATATATACGCCTCTAGGCTCTTGCTGTACATCCGGATTATATACTGCGTCAGGAAATCCTCCGCAAACTTCGAGACCGTTGGCTTACTATCAGTCCTGACGGGTGGCATTTCATGGTTGCGGGTTATCTGCGAGAACATCAGTTCGAGCTGGCATTGGACCAGATCTCACTGATGGAGCGGAAGGGAATTCATATCGAAAATTGGCTACACAGTATGGCTATATATCAGCTTTGTGAATTTGACGAGTTCGATGAGGTGTACCGCCTAATGCAAGCTCGGGTAGAGCAAGGGCATGACATGACGCCTGAGCTTTGGGGACATGTTTTGGCCGGGGCAAGTCAGCATTCCCATTATGATTTAACTCGGTTTATTTGGCGTCGAATGGTGGATCTTGAGTATCTACATCCGGGTCCTGATGTTTCTCGCGAAGCTTTAGCCGTTGCATCATACGCTGGTGACATCTCTCTTGCCCTTGCTATACTTCGCTTCTGTGAGGCTAGTGACTATGCCTTTGGAGCCAGTGAGTACGAAAATGTCTTGAAGATCTATCTCCAAACTGGTGATCTCTATGCGGCATTCAGCGTCCTCTGCACAGTGGGTAAAGCGGGACTCGAAGTTGACGAGGAATGGATCCAGGCAATAGTTTCGTATATGATCGAGCACAATACGAGTCACTGGGATGCATGGTCACTTCTCAAACGATTGAAGAAAGATAACCCGGAAGTATCTATTGACTGCGTGCGGGTTGTTGCTGAGCTCTGTGAGCATTTGGCCCAAGAAGAGCCTTCAGTTGTCAAAGACGCAATTGGCTTCTACAAAGAGCTCTATACTTTGCGCCCGCAGGGCGCGGATGTGCATGTCTACAACTCATTGGTTCGGATGTGTCGTCATGGCAAGGACAGCCAGTCCGGTCTCTTCCTAGTGAAAGAGATGGCTTCGTTAGGCATCCCTCCAGATCCCGACACTTTTGAGGCTCTCGTTCTACTCTGCCTCGACGCTGGAAATTACGAATCCGCCTACAAGTATCTTGAAGACCTCCTCCGTCTAGAGGATGGAATCGTCAGCGAAGAGACCCGACTTGAGATACGCAGTATGTGCTCTGACTCGGTCAATGAGTTTGCTGTACGATTACAGTCGCATCCTCTAATTCAAGAACCCAGCCCGCAAGCCACATCTCAAATCCTAAAGCGGAAAAGTCGTCGACGCTGGGGTCGAACCTGGTATCGACCTGCATATTATCGCCAGATGCTTTCGCACGAGGACCGGATCGCATGGAATAAGAAACGGCGACAAAATAAACGGCGGAACGAGGCCATTGCTCGCCACAGGGAAAAGACGGATCTCGAGGGAAAAGGCTTTGCCTTACCAGAGTTCTAAGTTTTCTAAGCTTACAGGGAATATGCGTTCGGGAGCCCGTCTCTTTATCGGCATGTTTCAGGCCCATGCAGTGTCGGAGGGGCGGAGCTGCAAGATCATGGCTGCATTGGGTATCATTCCTTTGTTCCGATCCGACGATACGGGCAAAATCCGTGGAAAATTGCATGGAGGCGTCAGCTGTGCAACCATGGACGTTGCGGGTGCGGTGTGCCTCTCGGCTACATTGAACGGATACCGGATCCCTGTGTTCCATAGAGATTACAGTAGATAAGAAAGAAAAAATAATCAATCCTGTACAGTACCAAGTACCAAACAAAATCATGATCCGGAATAAAGAAAAATCAAAACCAACCACCACCAGGCGCCAGGGCTTTTTGCCGAGGTGGAGATCGAGTAATGGCAAGAACCTTGGGAACTATGGCCGTTTCATCGTGAACCGCCTTAACCCACCCAAACCACCCAAATCACCCCAAAAAATCCAAGATCTTCCCTTTTCTCCTTTTTACCCAAAGTCCCTTGAACTCCACTCTCTAACCGCCCATTATTGGTCTCCACCACTATAAAAAGTGGGCAAACTTGCGTGAGACATGCATCTAAGGCTGGACCCCGGCGCGATCAGACAATGAGACCTCGTTAGCACTCTCTGACGCCAGCGCCTCCCAGCGCCTCCCGTTCAGCCACCTAGTGGTTGGGAATAAATGATTCGAGGGGCAGGATTGAGTTGGCACATCCCCTGAAGGCGAAGGGATCGACGGGGAAGTGGGTCATTGCGTGAGAATCAAAGAAGTGGAGAGTGGAGAAGGGGGAAAAAGTGATTCCGCTCATTGCATGCTGGTTTGTTAGTTTTGTTGTCACTGCCAAGGGTTTCGTCAGCTACACCCATGGTTTGTCCTGTTCCTGGTTCTGGTTCTTAAAGAACATTCTCCCCCAACCCCCGAAAGAAAGTTGTATATAACCAGCTACTCTCTTCCGTCATCTCTATCACCCCAACTCTTACTATTATATCTTCTTCCTTAAATTGTACATTTGTTCTCCACGCCGTGTTGATACAATCGTTCATCATCCCTCACTATGCAATTCACTACCCTTCTACCCGTCTTCCTGTCCACTCTGGGCTTAGCCAATGCTGCTGCTCTCGCTCAGCCTCCACCATGGCAAGTCTCTGACTGGAGCATCGTCAGTTCTCCAGGTGGTACAGTCTACCGATTCGATATCCAAGCCAGTGCATCTGCAAACTCTCCTGGCTTCAAGACCCACTGCGACGGCATTGTTCCCAACGCTACAGCCTGCGACAACAAGAACGTTACTGCCACAGTTTCCCAAGACGGTCACCCGCTGTGGAATGTGGAGGTTAGCCATGTCTGGTACCTGTTTCCCAAGAATGAGGCCGAGCAAACCTACTGGGCTACCGGCGAGAAGAATGTGACTCGTCTCCAATCGAATTTCACCATCACCCCGGATCACTTCTACGGCGTGGCATAAGAAACACAAACGAACACTTATGTCCTTTTCTTTTCATATCTTTCTTTTCCCCTCTTTGGTTTCCTGGGAAACATTTACAGATAGGACTACCAACTATCTAGTCTTGTAATGGGCGTTATTGGGGGTTTATCTATACTGTTTCCTTCATGACGGCGTTACTAGTGTTCTCCTTACGACTCGACTTTTCTTGTGGCTCTAAATATCATGCACATAGGAATAGGTAGATTGATGTACAATATGGAAATAAACTCAAGATCTCACATACCAATTGTTGTCTATTATACATAGTTGAAAGGTCTAAACGCCAAAATCTTTCCCGCTGTCAAAGCCGTGACATCATCGGCTGCGCCTCAACCCAATAAAAACCTACAATTACAGGATAATTCTCAGTAGTGAGAGATACAAAGCTCAAATTCACACTACTTTCAGTTCTAACCCATTCCTATGTTATAATATCTCTCATATATACGCGAGTTATTCCTTGACTCGCGAGAATGGTAAGCGTGCCCAACGCGCTTAGCTTAATCTCTTCAAACCCAGACCCAGACCCAACTAACCTCTGCAGGCCTCGATTCTCCGCCAAATCGTCGCCGGTCCCAGATTACAGCACCCAGAATCGAATCTCGATCTATGCTATGTGACAGATAAAAGTATGTATTCGCTCATGGAATGGTTACGAAATAATCAAACCCCCCAAAAACACTAAACTAATCCCCCTCAGTCATCGCCACGTCAGGACCCTCAGGAACCTACCCCCAACGCGCATATCGCAACCCCCTCGACGCCCTAGTCAACTTCCTCGATCTCAAACATGGCTCAAACTGGTGTATCTGGGAATTCCGCGCCGAAGGAACAGGTTATCCGGACTCAGAAGTCTACGGCCGAATCCACCATTTCCCATGGCCGGATCACCATCCCCCGCCCTTCGCCCTACTCCCAAATATAATGGGTAGTATGCGAAACTGGATACACAAAACAGATGACATTACAGTGACCAATAACGATAAGGATCAAGATGGCTCGAGCTCGAACGAGAGGGTCATCGTCGTACACTGCAAAGCTGGCAAAGGACGCAGCGGAACTATCGCAACAGGATACCTGATCAGCCAGGAGGGGTGGAAGAAGGAAGATGCTCTTCAGCGATTCACGGAACGACGCATGCGCGTTGGGTTCGGTGCTGGAGTTAGTATTCCCAGTCAACTGCGATATGTTGGGTATATTGATCGGTGGACGAATGAGTTACATAAGGAATATGTGGAACGGCCTGTTGAGATTCTGGAAGTTCATATCTGGGGACTGAGAGATGGAGTTAAAGTTGCCATTGAAGGATTCGAGGATGAGGGCAAGAAAATCAAACCAATTCATATGTTTCATCGACGAGAGCGAACGGTCATCGACTCGGGAAATACCACTCCGAAAGAAAAAGAAGAGTCGCAGTCCAAGACAGACTCCTCTACTCCAGCTCCATCGGGAAATGCAACTCCTCTAGACTCACAAACCGATATCTCGACCCCATCTACTTCCCGCCGAACAACAGGATTGCAACAGACGTTGTCGGCTGTCATATTCCGGCCTGAGAACCCCGTTATCGTGCCTGGGTCAGATGTGAATATTGATTTCGAGAGAAGGAGCAAAGCCTCGTATACAGGATTTGCAATGGTTACATCCGTCGCGCATGTATGGTTTAATGCCTTCTTTGAAGGTGGACATGAGAATGAGTCTGGTGTTTTTGAAACGGAGTGGGCTGCCATGGATGGAATCAAGGGGAGTGCGAGGAAAGGTATTCGTGCTCTAGAGAGATTGAAGGTTGTATGGCGGTATCCTGTGACGGAGGATGTGGCGACTGCTGCTACTACTACGACTGGGCGACCGATTAGTGAGCCGAAGCCGGGAGAACCTATTTGTGAAAGTCATCCTGCGGATTGGAGGGGTTCGTTGGAGCAGCCTCGTCATGATGAGAGTTCAAAGGATAAGAAGGAGAATAAGTCTTTACGGGAACGGGGTGCTGAGGGGCATGACTTTGCTGGTGCCCCTACCCCCGTGAAGGATGGTGATGGTGATGCCAATGGTGGGATGTCGGCACAGGAGTTGGAGAGACAGTTTGGATTGCGGGCGCAGACGGATGCTAGTAAGGATGTAAGTCTTGCTGGGACTGATGATGAGGGGCGCTCGGCCACGGATGATGAAGGACGAGTGGTGAAGGCTAAGGAGAATGGGAATGGGGACATGGAGGGAGTGAAGTCTTATTTTGAGAAGAATGGGGAGAATAGGTGAAGTCCGAGTCTGGGTCTGGATACCTAATGTCTTATATGAGTATTTATAATTTGCAGTTTTAAATATGTATCATAGACACATGAGTACTGGAGTATAGAAACACATATCATGAATCGATTTGTATATGAATGACATGTGGGAAATTTATTGATGTAGATCTATAGAGACATTATGAGACTTGATTTAAGGTTGAAGTAATACAAAATATGGACACAAAGAACAGAAAACAGACAATGTATACCGATTCCAAAGCATGTCTATAAAGGTACAAATCCTTCCATGCGTTTGCGAGACTCTTCCTCTTCTCGGCGTAACCGATCGGCCTTTCGGCGTTCATAAACTGCACGAACAACGCGGCGCACCTGATCGTTGCCCTCGGAGAAATTCGCCTTGGCCAATCCAACGACAGAGTCGATTTGCTCGGGGGTATAAACGAAGTTCCAGGTAGATAGGAAATCGTCCACGTCCGGATCAATCGTATTAGGTTGAGGGGTAGAGCCTTGATCTTCCCCTTCCTTTGATTCATTCTGCATGGACTGAGCAGCTGCTAGTGGGCGTGTCTTAGGAGTAGGAGGAAGCTCAGGAGCAGAAGGATTAGGAAGAAGAGGGAAGTAAACAACAGCGACACCGGCATCTGGTCGCATTAGATGAAATTCTGAGTCGGAGTGATCGGTTGTACTTTCGGCATGGAAAAGACGCTTAGATGGAGGGGGTTCCTTTTTCGAAGTTCGTTCCTCAGTCGTACCAACCCAGACATTGCAGTAGCCAAGTTCAGATTCTGAGATGGCAGAGCCAGTCTTCTTTGAAGGGTCGAGTTGGTTTTCGGGATGACTTTGAGCGTCTGCGAGTTTCTGGTTTGCCTTTTCGTCTGAGATGTTCTGGGATTCACTTAGTGCCTTTTCTGTTTCCTTGAGACTATCACTTTCTTTGGGCCATCCGGCGCCAATGGGCCAGCTTTTAATTCCTCGTTGCTTGGCATAACCGTCTACAACGGAGAGCCAGTTCTCACGTTTGATATCGGCGGAAGCATCAAACGCAACAAGAATGTCAACGTCTCGTCCTGGGCGGAGGAGAGGGTAAATCGGAAGATTGTTGCTCATTCCAGCGTCCATGAGACGTAGATGACTGCTTTGGAATATGGACTCTGGGCAGGATTCGGGGAGTTGGTCCCTCATACCCATCACATAGTTGGGGATGGTGGCTGGGTCAATAGGGTGAACTCGAATCAGGTCTTTGTTTTTGCCCTGTATGAGAGAGTCGATTCCACCAAATCCAGCAAGACCTTGTACCAAGGGGCGAACCTCTTTATAGTAATGAGATAGGGTTGCACAAAAAGCGCTTCCCCAGATTCCCATTAAGCCTGGGACTCGCAGTTCCGGGATAGTGAAGTTTTCAGGAGATGATTGACTGTGGCCGGATTCAAAGTGTCTTCCTAAAGCCCATGTTGGGATACCAGCATTGAGTTCTTCACAAAAGAATTCATATGGCGTAAATTCAAACCACTGGAACCAAGCCTCGCGGTTTGCTTGTGCAATAACTTCCTCGGCCATTACATGCCCCTTGCCCTCATCTTGTTGATTTATAGGGATCTCATGTCGAACAGCGGTGTAGATTGGTAGAGGGTGCTCTCCATTGAGGATATTTTCTTGTTGGCTCGATAGTTTGAGGTCCGAGTCAACGACACCCAGTTCTCCGCGGGGAACCATAAGTCGTGCTGCAAGCAAGAGCCCATAAATATCAACGAGTCCAAAGTCGGCACCGGGATCTCCCTTGAGCTTCTCGACAAATCCGTTCAAGAGATACTTGTTGGTTGGAGCGGTAGTGAGCAGGTCTAGCGCTTTAGGTGGGAAGGCAATATGTACACTCAGGCGGCTCTTCAGATGATCAACCAGCTTGGGAAAGCTTCTATCCGAAATAGAAGAGTGATACAATGTTTGCAACCAGCAGCTGCCGCTTACCCCTGCAGTGTAGGTGACACAGTCCCACAAGCCCGCTTCTTGTGCAGCTAGGTATGACCCCGTTCCTGCAACAAGGGCGCGTAGTCCACCACCAGACCCGCACATAGCAATGATGGGGACATCTTCAGGATGAATATCCTCCACTGGGATATTCAGATAAGATGCCAGTGCTTTCACAGCATGTTGTTGACGTTTCCCCCGGAAAGCCTTCTCCTCTTCGCAGAGTTCTCCGCTCACTCGCACCTTTGCATTTTTCAAAATTTCGGGATTGAGATCAGCGTCATGCGCCTCCTTCCAGATGTCGTCAGCCAATGATCCAGGTGCCATAGAAAGCTCCCGCTGGAGCTTTTGGGCCGTTGCTGGCAACAATCGCGCCCAGTCAGGAACAATAAAGTTGGTAATTCCTTCTCCTAGCTCACCCCACTCCGGGACCCCGACAGTATGTTTCACCTCATCAAGCTTTTGAACGATATTGAACCACACTGAATTTTGGTCCTCGGTGGTTTTTGAGTCCGTCTCTTGGGATGAGGAGCTTTGCGATCTCGAATTGGAGTCGTACTGAGCAGAAGTTGTGGAGAAGTGGGACTTTCGGAGAGGCCTGTTAGGCTGCGTCCATTGCCCCGCTGTATATGCCGCAATGGCAGCGGGAGGAACGGACCAGCGTAGCCGCGACATCCTCGCAGCTCCTATTGTAGCCAGGAAGAGGGGAGATGAAGTTGCGCCTTGCATACACCAAAAGTCAATCTAGTCAGCAGCTTCGGCGTATCTTGTTCGACCGCGGGGAATGACCTCATATCATGTGATACGGAACGGTAGACGGGCCGATTATCCCGATACGGATTAGTGTGTTTATTCCCAGGGTGTTGGAGCCGGAGCTTATCTGAGGCAACGAACATCATTCCCTCGTGGACCCCACACCACGGGAGAGAACATGACAGCTCCTGGTGATACCGCTTCCACTGTTTAGTATCCTCAAGCTATCGCCATGGTGGCTCCGAGGAATACCGCTTATGCGGAGGAGAGCGCAGAGGTCGAAGTGCTCTACGCGAACCTCGAGAAGCTCAACCGCTTGACCAAGAAGATCCAGGGATCCATGGTCCGTCTTGAGACCAGCGGCAAGGTTGTGAAAGAAGCAATTGGCCCTATCTATAGTAATACACAATCTCTTCAAATCACCAACACCAATATCGATAAAGTCAACGATGCCATCGACCGTCTTCGTCAGCCTCTTGACGCGAAGAGCCGAGAGGAGGACATAATTCGCGCGGGGTACGTCAATGTTTTTTTATCAGCAAATTCTTCGAAAGTGATTCCCATGTAATATGCTAATATTACCTATATTATAGTCCGCAAAACTCTGGTGGTCTTTCACAGTACCTATCGGCGATGAAACGTGTTGAAAAAGCGCTGGTCGACCTCAACACAACGAACCTTCGATCGAACCAGAAAGCGATCGCAGAATTCAACTCACTTCTCAACAATGGTAGTAGCCAACTACAGGATATGCTGAGGTCGGAGTTGAAGCAACATATCACTCCGATTGAGCCATTGCACTATCTTACCAAAGGTATGACCTCCTATTGAGTACATTGTATCACGGCCTCGAGTTAATACTAATCGCTGTCATTCTCTTCTTAGAACTACCTTTCCCATCCATTCCGGAAGAAACAATTTCCCAGTTAGGCCCAATATGCTCGGCAATTAGTTCGTCATTTGCCTTGGGACCGCAGCGCGGCAAAGGCGAATCCCCCGCAATGAAAATCTATGCCGAGGTGCGCGGCCCATATATCACCGCGAGCTTGCAAAACTTAGCCATCGCATCCCTCAATACAGTCAAGCGGAGAGCCAATGATGGGCCATACAAACAAGGTACCAACGGAATTGGTATCTACTCTAATGCCTTGGAAGCATTCGTCAATACTGAACACGAGATGATCTCCCAGATATTTCCCGTGGATCAGCAAGGTCTTACTTTACAAGCTACTTTCCTGTCGGCAATGGCAGAGTACTCCAAAACTTTGCGAGAACTGAACCAATATATACGTCAAAATCTCATGACAGATTGCTTCCTTGCATTTGAAATCATCGAAATTGTGACAGCGATGTCTTACCGAATCGATTCCAAAGCCGCAGAATTAAAGAGTCTACTGATCGAGGCATTACGGCCTGTGCGTGAGACTGCCAAATCTTCTCTATCGGAGCTACTAGAAGAAACAAAACGCAAGGCCGCCAACGTCCCATTGCCTCCAGACGGAGGAGCTGTTTCGTTGGTGGAAGAAGTCATGAACTCCCTTGCTACACTAACTGGATACTCGGGTCCTTTGGCATCTATTTTGACTTCTCTTGGCGATGGAAATTGGCGTTCCAAATCAAACACCTCTGGCACAGCACCCTTGGATGTCGGTCCTGACAGTGGAACGCTCTTCTCTCACTTTATTTTGGACATGATAGAAGCGCTGATGACTGCAATGGAGACTCGTGGTCGGGCCTTCCACCGCTCGAAGGCTGCACAGGGCGTCTTCTTGTCGAATGTATTCTGCATTGTTGACCGATCAATTCGACAAAGCCCAGAACTGGCACGCTACTTGGGTGCGCCTGATAGTATCGCTCGAATCGATACTTTCCGCAAGCGCGCGACATCAACATACCTTGATGCATGGAAGGAGACCTCACAGTTCCTGCTGGATGTCCAATATACATCTCGATCCGGGGCACGTCCCAATTCCTCGGGTGCCGTGGATTCCAGCGCCATCGTGAAGAGTTTATCATCGAAAGATAAAGATGCCATCAAGGATAAATTCAAGTCCTTTAATGCTCACTTTGATGACATGCTTTCCCGGCACAAGTCCCTTCATATGGAACGGGAAGTGCGTTCGGTCTTAGGACGTGAGCTGCAGGCTGTGCTTGAGCCACTATATGCGCGTTTCTACGACAGATATGTGGAAATTGACAAGGGACGTGGCAAGTACATTAAGTACGACAAGTCCAACTTATCTGTGCAATTGGCACAGCTTTTTTCATAGGTACCCCGCCAATGATTAGGTATAGCCTTTTTACCAGTACTTCTGGCCTATAATGACATAACTATTGCATACTTTTTCCCACGTTCCTCAAATTCAATCCAGTTTCCCTCTCAAGAAAAGCAAAATGACAAAATGACAGAATGACAATTTTCCGGGCTCAAATCCGGGAAATCCCTAGCGATCTACAGCTGGGCAAAAATATAGATCCACACGTGATGGCCGAACCCCACCGCCATCCAAACCTTTCACGATAACGTGATAAGCCCCGCCAACGCAGATAAAATATTTCCGACATCGCACATTGTGCTATTCTTCCTCTATTGTTGATTCTCAATTCTTTATTAAGGTTAATCCTTTGCAACGCGTCGACATCATGTCTGCCAGCAACGATGTTTACCAGACTCCCCTCAACTCGCGTTATGCGAGTAAGTACCCTTCCTTTTTTGCTTCGTCATGCCACTTTCCCCAGTCCCCGGCCAATGGGCGGGAACTGAAATCAATCATTGATGCAAAATGATATTGACCGATCTCAATTGAATAGGCACTGAGATGAAGTATCTCTTTTCTCCTCGCATGCGATTCTCCACATGGCGCAAGCTGTGGATTTGGCTGGCCGAATCCCAACAAGGTACGAGATCGGACGGATGGATCAATGGATCATAAAACATTTTGTGGGGAAGCAAAACATTCAATTGACTGGGTCTTGCTGATAGAGCTTGGACTTCCTATCACCAACGAGGGTCTGGAGCAGATGAAGGCTCACGCCACCATTCAAGATGACGAGTTCGCCGTTGCCGCCGAGGAGGAGAAGCGCCGCCGTCACGATGTCATGGCTCACGTTCACGCTTTCGGTCTCGTTGCCCCTGCCGCTGCTGGCATCATCCACTGGGGTGCTACTTCATGCTACTGCACTGATAACGCTGATCTGATCCTCCTCCGTGATGGTCTTGATATCCTGATCCCCAAGCTGGCTGTTGTCGTTGACAAGATGTCCCAGTTTGCTCAGCAGTACAAGGATCTGCCCACCCTTGGTTTCACTCACGGTCAGCCCGCTCAACTGGTCACCGTTGGCAAGCGTGCTTGTCTCTGGATTCAGGATCTGCTGATGGATCTGCGTAACCTCGAGCGTGCCCGTGATGACCTGCGTTTCCGTGGTGTCAAGGGTACTACCGGTACTCAGGCCTCTTTCCTCCAGATCTTCGATGGCGACCACGACAAGGTCGAGAAGCTCGATGAGCTCGTCACTGAGAAGGCTGGCTTCAGCTCTGCTTTCATCATCTCCAGTCAGACCTACTCCCGCAAGATCGATGTTGATGTTGGCAACGCTCTTGGCTCATTCGGTGCTACCTGTGAGCGTATCGGCATTGACATCCGCCACCTTGCTATGCTCAAGGAGGTTGAGGAGCCTTTCGAGAAGGACCAAATTGGCAGCAGTGCCATGGTGAGTGTATTGAGCTTCTTGGATAGAGGCATTGGGGTCAGAGGCTAATATTTGACATTGGCAGGCTTACAAGCGTAACCCCATGCGTTCCGAGCGATTGTGCTCTCTTGGACGTCACCTCCAGAACCTGCCCAAGGACGCCTTGGACACTTACTCCGCTCAGTGGTTCGAGCGCTCCCTCGATGACAGTGCCATTCGCCGTATTAGCATTCCCGAGCTCTACCTGTCTGCCGATGCTTGTCTCATCCTGCTGAGTATGTCTCATATATATTATGCTATAAGGGTTCCAAGATCTAACATATTACCTAGACAACGTCAGCTCCGGCTTCGTCGTCTACCCCGAGGTCATCAAGCGTCGCGTCAACGACGAGCTTCCTTTCATGGCCACGTTAGTTACAATTCTTTCTTAATTAGAAATAGTCGGAACTAACACTTTTCCAGTGAGAACGTCATCATGGCCTGTGTCAAGAAGGGTCTCTCCCGCCAGGACGCCCACGAGGAGATCCGTATGTTTACTCTGGTTCCCATTTTCCTTTGACTCCTCTAACCTTTTACCCTGCAGGTGTCCTTTCCCACCAAGCCTCCGACAACGTCAAGAAGCACGGCAAGGACAACGACCTCCTCGAGCGTATCCGCCGTACCCCCTTCTTCGGCCCCATCCTGCCCGAGCTCGACAGCCTCCTCGACCCCACCACCTTCGTCGGCCGTGCCCCCCAGCAAGTCGAGAAGTTCACCACCACCGAGGTTGCCGCTGCCCTCAAGCCTTACGCCGCTGAGATCGCCAAGAACGAGACCTCTGCTCTCCATGTTTAAACCGCACTGCAAAGATGTATATGGAATAGGAATGAGTGACATGTGAGATATATTCAAAACGAAAACGAAAAACACGGGAAGCGAGCCTTCCACAAAAAGGATGTTGGCGTCCTACCTAGTATAGAGGATAGGAGTTGTGTGCATAATTGGCCAGTTCTACGAGCTATGAAAATGAGATTGATACATACCTTTATTCCATATTTTCTTTAATACTGGCTTCAGCTCCAGCACAAATTGCATTCAAGTGATCCACGATCATACCCACTTGTATGGACCCAGTGCCCCCTCCCCGAGATCTCAGAAGTGTGTAGTATAGATCATCCAAAGACACACTAGTAAAGAGAGAAAGAAATTTATTTTTGACGCTCTAATATATATGCAAGGAAAAAAGCGAAGCTATGCAAAAAGCCAAACCAACTCACATCAAACTCTGACTGGGACAGGAATTTGAGAAACATTTGAAACGCTATATGCAATCGAACGCTATGGCATGCAAGACAATCTGAAGATAGAAAATCAGCCCGACAAAGGAAAATAACAAAATTCACAGAAAAAAAGCTCCTAGTCTAGATTGACCAGCGTCATTTTTGACCGTTTCTGACAGAGAAATGAAGATGCGGTCTGGCATAGATGACCGGAATTGAAATCTCGACGTGGCAACTTGCATTCACCGGACAAGACCCGGTTGGTTGGTGAAGGGTGTACAACAGATAAAGTACCCACTTGCCACCTGCAAGCTGGAGAAGGATCTTGCTTTTGCTTTTGCTTTTGCTTGCTGACAACTTGAAGGCGGGAGATGATGTGCATGCTCTGGCGAGAATTTGGTGGCTGGCACGAGTGCTGCCAGTGGGCAGAGAGAGTTTCGTTTAAATTGTCGACAAGTTGAAGTTGAAGTTGAAGTTGAAGTTGAAGGTATTAAGTGTGAAAATGAAACTGGGTATTCATCAAGGCTTTGAATAGTCGAAGTGTGTCTGTAAATGCGCAGCAACGAGGTGTTTATTTATTTTATTTTTCGATCGTTGGGATCGATGGATGGAGTATGTAGTAGCCCAATGGGGCTCTTTTTTGCCCCTCTTCTCTTCTCTTATCATCTTGTCCCAGCTCTATCTACCCCGTGCGAGTAGGTAGGTAGTGGTCCTATGTATGGCGTAAGGATAGGGAAGAAGATGCCCCTCATTCTTGGACTTGAACAGCGGGGCTAGAGCTGGATTCCGATGGAGTAAATGGGAGATAGAAGAGGTCCCGGATCAGCCAGAGAATGTACAGAACACCGAGAACCCATAACGAAGCCATGAGCTTGTAGGTTGAAGAGCGCCAGGTGACGCGGCGGATCAAACGACGACCATTTGGGCCTTCGATGGGTCCGCGCCGAGGCCCCGGAGCTCCTGGTGGTGGGGGTTGGCTAGGGGTGAAAGGGTAAGCCAGAGCCTCGTTCATGGGCTCACTGTATGAAGTGCGGCGGCGAGACATTGATCTTTGGTGTGATGGTCACTGGCAAGATTGGAAGATCCAATACAAGACAAGATAGTAACTTTGGAAACTCAAGTTCTTGGAAGGATATCGATATCCGGCTCGGGTTATTGCAGGTGAGATAGTAGATGGCCCTCGGGAGACATATAAAGTATGTGCAGATGAACGTAAAGGTGAATGATATATAGGAAGAAAGAGAAAGGGAGTATAACAATAACACCGTTTTAATTATAGATATATAGGACGGGGTCCAGATAGAAATTTTGACTATCAAGTTTTCCAAGTGTTTTTTTTTTTTTTTTTGGTTTTTGGTTTTTTCAAGGTTTCGATTAGGGTCCAGGTCCAGGTGGGAATGAGGGGCCACGGCTTTGTTCCGAGTCGTTCGCGCTTAGGCAGAACAATGCAGGTTTTGGCTTCAGATTGGGACTGAAGAACAGAATAGGAAATGGAAAACGTGGGGAGGGGGTTTGCTGGGGGTTCCAGAGGCGATGGATTTGGATATTTGGATCTGGTCTGGTTTGGTCTGTACCGAACGAGAGAGGAAAAGAAAGAGAGAAGGTAGGATCGAAAGTTCGAGAGAAAGAAAATTGCGCACACAAAACGACGAGAAGCGAGGCCCAAGGTTCCACCAGCAGTTTTGACAACAAGCAAGAGCTCGAAAAGGGAATCTTGAGTCTCCAGCGGGATCCGCTGAATGGGCTGTCGAGGGGCCACGATCGGCGAATGAGCTCGGTCCCGGGAGAATATGGCGAAAGAGGATAGACGACGACAAATCAATAATAATACAGGTAAATAAAATTCAAACTTGATAGAGATGATAAATTATAAAATTAACAATTTTTAAAATACAAAATAAATCAATCAATCTTCCTCCCCCAGCAGCAAGGGGAAGAGAAATGCCCAACGGCGGGGCATTGAGCATTGATCCACCGTCAGTCAATCTGGCGTTTTCCAGCAGGTAATACTAGGTAATACTAAGGCAATCAGGAATGGGTCACAATCATGATCATAATCCTCACACTTTTCTTGCATGAAGATCTGCTCCATTCTAGAGTCTCAAAGCCGACTAGTTAGAAAGCTTCTGGATTGTATGGTCTCATCCAGGTCTGGTGTCGCCCCTGCCACGGGAAAAGGAAAACAGATTTAACCCGTTTTTGCCTGTGGCATGCACGATGAACGCACGATGGGGGCGGGGAGACAATGACGAAAGTACGAAAGGTTAATCTACGAGAGCTAGGAGAGCTAGTGACTAGTATTAGCCGAGACATCATTTAGTAGGGACTATGTAGTAGTATCTAGGAGGTATTATCTAGGAGGTAGAGTATAGAATTGATGACTTGAAGATACATGTCTTGAACTATAGAAATTAATATTTTATTTTATTGGTTTATTTTATTACCTATAAGCTAATCGAACTAGAATCACTACATCATCTCTAGCTTAAGTTAAATTGATTCTTAGCTAAGCAGGTCCCACGGACAAAAGGGGAATCCGGGGGAAACCGGTCGAGGATCTGACGCTGGAGGGGGAAAGTTGCGTCAATGGGGAGGTGGAGGAGAGTGGAAGAGGTGGAAGAGAGTGGGCGAGTCGATTCCTATCTACTCCGAGGACTATTCTAGTGAGAAGACTATAGGCTGGAATTGTGTATAGGGAAACTATGGTCAATTCCCCCGGCAAACTAGAACTGCCCAAAGAGACCTGGATAGTATCATACTTACCTTCAGGGCGATATACTAGGTACCTACTATAGTAGGCACCTCTATAGCCTATAGTATAGAGTGCATATACTCCGTGAATGATTCCCGAGGTCCTCCTTCTAATCATTCTTCCGGTTTATGGCACTTCTCCATAATAACTTACTCCGATTCCTGGCAATTGAACTGATTCTCTCTCTTTTCTTTTCTTTTTCCCTTTTGAATCCCTTTTCAATGATCTCCTACTATTAAAACCCACAATTTCGAACTATTTCGAACTATTTTCATATGTATATCTATTAACCTTCCCTCTATCATATGAGCATCGGCCCTCTCAGATTCCTCCGGCGTCGGAGCGGAGTCAACCTCGGCAGTCCAATTCATCCCGACCTCATTACTCATTCACCTCCCAGCACGCGACTTTCTTCCATTCCTCCACACTTCCCCGGATTCTGGAGAGAACGCCTACAGTCCCTTATTCCCACTGCTTTCTCGGCCTTCTGGCCTCAAGACACTATGTGGAAGCCGTCGGAGCGTCTGATGGACACCATCAGGCACTATGCCAGCTTCCCCGCAACCGGAGTTTCTCTGAGGCAGATGGTGCAGTTTGGCGACCGTCCCTCGACCGGTATGCATCTTGCCATAAATTCTGGGCCTCTATTGGCTTAGAAGATAATAGATAGCATGCATAATTCTATGTATACAAGGCTAATCTCCCTCCAGGAACTCTCTTTCGCGCCTCCCAATTCCTCTCCGAAGAGCTTCCCATCCGTCTGGCGCACCGTGTCCAAGATCTTGGCGAATTGCCGGATGGACTGAGTGAAATGCCCTCGATCAAAAAGGTGCAGGACTGGTATGCGCAATCATTCGAGGTATGAATCTACAAATTATTTCTCTCTCTCGCTGTTCTGCTCTCCCCTCGAAATCTCTGTGAAATCATATGACTCACCTCGCACCAGGAAATCATCACCCTCTCCCGACCCTCTTTAAGCCAAGAAGTCAAAACTCGCCTCTTGCGACCGGGCCGTTTAAACGGCAGCTCATCTAAAATCCTCGCCGAAGCAACCTGGAACCCTAGTGTGAAGGAAGGTCAATACCGATCATCCCCAATAAACGTTCTTCCCAACAGTAATGGAAAAGCCGCCGCGGCTGCCGGTCGCCGATACTTCGTCCCCGCAGACGACCATGCAGAGTGGCCACCCGAGCTAAACGACTACAACCAACGATTTGCCAAATGCCTACAACAAATTAAACGCCGCCACGATGGTGTAGTTACCACCGTGGCACAAGGTATCCTAGAATGGAAGCGCGTGCGACAACGCATGCAAATCGACTCGACAATTCAATCCTTCCTAGATCGCTTCTACATGTCTCGAATTGGTATACGAATGTTAATCGGTCAACACATTGCGCTCACGGAACAAACGCACGTTAAACATCCGCACTATGTGGGAATCATCTGCACAAAGACAAATGTAAAAGACATTGCGCTTGAAGCAATTGATAATGCCCGTTTCGTCTGTGAGGATTACTATGGTCTTTTTGAAGCTCCTAAGGTACAGCTGGTCTGCCGGGATGACCTCAACTTCATGTACGTCCCCGGACACTTGTCACACATGCTTTTTGAAACATTGAAGAACTCCCTTCGTGCCGTTGTAGAACGACATGGTGCCGACCGAGACTCTTTCCCTGTTACAAAGGTCATTGTTGCCGAGGGCAAGGAGGATATCACGATCAAGATCTCCGATGAAGGTGGTGGTATTCCACGATCCTCGATCCCTCTTGTATGGACCTATATGTACACGACTGTTGAGCAAACCCCCAATTTGGATCCGGACTTCGACAAGAACGACTTCAAGGCTCCAATGGCTGGTTTCGGCTACGGTCTACCAATCAGTCGACTGTACGCTCGTTACTTCGGTGGTGATTTGAAGCTAATCAGCATGGAAGGGTAAGCTATCTTTTCTTCTCGTGATCTTTCTCGCATGGATATCCCTAACTCTTTCTAGCTACGGAACCGATGTCTACCTCCATTTGAACCGTCTTTCATCAAGCTCGGAGCCCCTGCAATGACAATTACCCGTCATGAGAGATGGCCGGGTCCGGCCCACCACATCGCATCGCCTCCACCCCTTCTTCTACGGTGAACCGGAACCCAAGCCCGCGCCACCTCGAGGATTGACGCCCATGAATGTCCAGGCTCTTCGCTCTCGTGTACACAGCCGAGAAATCTCGGAGCGTAAACAGGTCGGAGACGCAGAGAGTTTGTTCCAGACAAAAAAGCGACGAGAGGAAAAAGAGATGTAGATATTCTTATCTTATCGAAACTTCTCAGCTTCGGATGGATATTCTCTCCGATGTCATCGACTTCTTCTTGGAATTCTGTCTTATAGCAGGATCTGAAAGGGTCACCTCGAAATCATCGGTTTGGCCTGATACCCATGGAAAGAAACCAGCAGCGGCGCTATTAATGAAGAAAAGAAACAAAAAATCAACAAAAAAAATTGAAACAAAAAGAAATTCAGATACGGAGACTATCTATCTGTTCTGGCTTCATCTGTTCGAGATACCCATCACCTCATCTACCTTCTTCTACCAACGTCTATTACCTCTACCTTTATTCTATCATTTTGGTCTTCTTTCCATCGGATACAGGGCAAATTCGAAATGTTGTACTGTGTACTTTTACTCTTATTATTATTTAGCGAAAACAAATCAAAGACATCCAAAAAAATCGACCACTGAATTTAAAAAGAATCACAGTAATACCCATTCTTATCCCATTAACACTACAAATACCAATAACCCAGACTGCCACATTAACCTCATCAGACCTGCACCCCCGCAAACTGACTTTAACTAATCAAATCCCCAAACTGAACCCCAACCTCATACCCCCTCCTAGCACTCTTCCTCCTCCCATTCCCAGAACCAGACTCAGACCCCGACCTCGATCCCGATCCACCATGCTTGTATCCCCTCGGATCCCTTGACTTAGGATGCCCAGGATGCCACCACCCACTCATATCATGATCGACTTTCATCTTCCACTCGCCCGGAACAAGATATGCAGGGTTCCCGTTCCATCCCACCGCTTGCTGGATGTATCCTGAGCGAATGTTTTCTTCGGTGATATCGGGTACTAGATGTGCTTTGTCGAGGGGGATGGTGAAGGAAGAACTTATTAGGTCTTTTTCTAGGGAGCGGTCGCCTTTTGAGATCCATTTTGCTGTGAAGCGGCGGCGGGTTTGGGGGATGGACTTTTGGTTTTTAGTATTTAGTTTCTGAAGTTGGGGAGTTTGAACATGATTCTCTTTTGTAAAAGGGAAGAAAGAACTCGTGTAACTTACCAGATTAGACTTGCAAGCGTACATTGTAAGTAGCTCTGGATCATTAAGAACGGTTAAAGCAGCGTGTTCTTCCTCTGTTTCGACGTAGGAACGATAGGTCGTGTCTGACACTATATCTTTCTCAATGTGTCCTTGGGGAATAGCCTGGCTAATCTGATTCTGTTGCTGAGAATAACTGCTTGGCTGGGGTGCTCGAGCCGAGAACCGATTTTCTATTTATCGTTAGCTTGACTTGAATCTAAAGATAGAGATACGGAAAGCGAATAACTGGCAAGATAATGATAAAATGTTCTATGAATTCTGCTTACCATCGCGGTCATCACGAATTATTTGCTGTGGACCGAACTCGGGATCATCTTCTGTTCGGTAGTAGATTGCTGCTTCTGGATCGGCCAAATCAAGGTACATGCCGCCGTCTTCTGAGTCGGTGGAAAGATCTTCTGCGAGCATTTCGAGATTGATTTCGTCTTGAGTTATTAGGGGTCTTTGATTTGGTGTCTGTTCTGACATGATGAATTTTTGAGTGGATGTGAGTGTGATAGAGAGATGTGATGGTTGACAACTAAAAGGATGGTGATTAAGTGTCCAGCAGCCGGGCCAACAAGAGGACTATCGGAACCGGTCAAGTTGTATCTTCTTTTCTTGTATGAAGACCGAAGATAAGGATCACATAAAGCTAGGCTTTAACACTGAGATGGGTGATATTGTGGAATGGTTGACGAGTTGTTCAGAAAGAGAGCAAACCCCACATCTCTATACGTAATGGTTAGAACAAGGTACCGCTGTGACCTTGTTGATCAACTTACATGATATTGTCTGTTTCTAATCATTTGATGTCCTTCTTTCTTACAAGAACATCAGTATCGAGTTTAAGTGGTTGATGAACTAGATTGATTCTCATAACCATCAAGTGGCTGATGGTGAGAGGTGGACGAGGCCGCTGACTCAGCCATTCCCCACATGCACTTGAGCTAGATACAATGACAACATGGATGGATGCATACGAAGTACAGAAGAAATGCTCGAAATTTTTTGAAATGAATGATAGAATAATATAGGAGATGGAGGTAATGTGTCCAGACACCCGAATATAAATAGGTAATAGGTAGAAAAATAAGATGCCCAAACCCCCAAACGCCAAAACACAATGCCCGCTAAAAACGACGCAGGATACAATGTCAACAGTGGCCACCCTCAGCATGTATTCATATAGCTGTTCTTAGGCCATTCATACCCAGTATCCGCCCTGAAGATAAAGTTAGTAAGAAAGCTCATTAAATATATATATATAAGGGAAATTTTCAAAAAAAGAAAAACTTACCAATTAGTCAAGTTGTGGTTCATGTACGCCTTTTTGTGATCCTCAATGTACTGGGTCGTTTCATATCCTGGTGGATCACAGGTAATGCTTTCATCGTCTGGGTCCTGGTAGATGCGTACATAGTCCACGCGAAGGTAGGCAGGCATGTATTGGCTAATGCTGTGATTCTGAGGCGCGAAGTTATCCGCCATGCCCAGGTTGAGGACTATAGACATAGGCTCGAGAGGGACCATGCGCTGGCCGATGTTACCGTTTGGTCCGATGGAGCGAGCGTCCATGGTCCAGGTTTTGTCCGCGCCAACGAACCAGGTCACATTTCCTTTGTCGCCGGGGTGGTATTCGAAGGCAAAGGATTGGTACTCTGTGCCGTTATACCAGCGGGAGTTTAGGTTGGTTAATCCTGACATTGCTTGTTGGTAGGGTCCTCCGCGGTAAGCGTTGATTTCTGTAACGCGGGAGTCGTAGACAGCGGTGAAGTCTGTTGGAATGGTAAGTTTATTGTGATTAAGTTGAGTATGAGGAGTGAGATGATTTACCGTAGTCTGGCATGTACCAGAGGTCAAAGGGGGCAGTTTGTAAACTTTGCGAGGCACTTCCGACAAAAGGGCTTCCTTCATCTCCGTTCAGAGGTGCGGTGCTACCTTCAATCACATCTATCTCAGGAGCACTGCGAGCGTGGCCGGGAGATGGATGATCTGAGTTGGGGCAGGTGCATCCTGGCAGACGCATGCCAGGCAAAAAGTTTATTCCATCTAGAGAACTCTGGTTTGGTGTGATACCGGCATCACAGCCATCGTGGTAGCTGTAAGGCCAAAGACCGTCTGTCGTGGCTGCATGGCCGGGGCGGGCGAGGTTGCCCATTGCCCAGAAACCGGGCCAGAAACCCTGGATGTGTCCATCACCTGGGAGGGATAGACTGGCTTCTAGCCGGCCTCCCTTGAAGCACAGCTTGTTCCAGCTTTGGATCATACCAGATCTGTATGAAAGATCGTGATTTTTGAAATTGTCGAATCGCAGTTCCAAGACTCCTTCGTTCGTGGTCACTGCATCTGGGTCGTACCACTGCGGCCGGTTAGTATCGTCGATTTCCATTAATGCATCTTCAACTCAACACTAACCTCTTTATCCATGGTAACACCGTACCATAAATCCATCGCTTGGAAAAATGGATCGTCTTCGTCGTAGAATGTTCGCCCAGGCATATTGAACTCATCCGAGAACTATTATAACATTAGTTCGGGGTCAACGTTACAGACACCAACATGATAAACATACCACCAGCTTCAATTCTTTCCCCTCCACGCTTTTCTTCTTATAAGCATCCTTTGGTGTATCCGGATCAATCAAGCCATGTCGAATGTTGTTCAGAAGTGGCCTGTCGCCAACTTCGAGACAAAGGGTGTCGCCAGGTCGACAAACACTTTGATTTTTAAGTGCACCTTCCAACCATGTACTAAGAGATTTATTGAGTCAGCCGTGAGATCATATATCAGCAACTCAGGTACCACACTTACATCACTGGGTATCCAATAAACAGAACTAAAATTCCCACAGTCAACAAAGCCAATCCACCCATGTTCAAAATACCACGGCGATTGCACATGTCGCAGTCGCGATCCTTGTCCATGGGATCGGGATTATGCATATAGTCATCTTTCTCGACATCTTCGGGAAAAAGTAACAACCCATCAGAAGGCGTGATGTTGAACTTCTCCGAAACAGTCTGCGTATTGACATCATATTCATCACTTCCAGAACGCGTAGAAGGTGCCCTCGAGTCCTCAAACGGATCCATATGAAACCGGCTCTCATGACTGATTGAACTAATACTCGATCTAGCCGCTGACCATCGATCAGGCGAGCCAGATCTTTCGTTCTCATCCCGTGCGCTAGGTCTTAACCGTGGAGGGAGGAGAAACTCCGACGACTCAGGAGCAACAATCCCATAGGGTGAGATACCTTGTACACCGACGGGTGCTGGGAGCTCAGCCACAGCCGGTGTCAAGGGTCGCGGGATTGTTCGGCCTGTAAGCGGTGCATAGCCTTCGTTTGACTCGACGAAAGGGTCTTGTCGGCCTGAGTTGAGTCGAATGTGTGGAGCCGTTTCAGGTCTCAGTGATGAGTCTGAGTCCCGGTCTGACATCGTGTGTTCGTTGTTAACACTCCGTAGTATGGTTGTTTCTTTTTCTCTAACCTAAATTGTCACGACCAGTCTCGTCGAGATATATTTTCCTTCTTTCAATCGACCGATTCACAATGTACGTGTCTCTTGCATCAAGCTTTTTGTCGTGTCGTCGGGTAAATAGCTCAGGTTAGAATCGATGATCACCGCGAAGTTCACTTGAATCCTAGCAACAGAATCTGATCTATTATCCCGTATACCGAGTGATCCAGCGAAACAGTCTTCGAGCGCACTAGAGGCGAAAGAGTGGACAGGACCACTTGGATTCTATCCAATGTCCCAAACGCAAGTCGAGCCGGTTGTCAAAGCGTGAGTACTGTTTGAACAGAAGAGAAAAGAACACCGAGAGTACCAGAAGAAAAGAAGAGCCTAGATTGCGCCTTGAGATTGTTGTTTGGGTGCATGGGGGGACAGGAATGATAGACCTCTCAAGGGGCAACCCGTGGTATGCGTCGGTGGCCGTATAGTATGAGTTCACGGCTTCATATGAGAAGAGCATCATTAATTAGACGAGCTTTTTTAGATTACGATTCATCACACTATACTCTTTACTATTCTCAAAGCCATTATTGTCAGGTTCTTGGGACAAAGGATGCTGTTGTTGGCGCCATCATCCGCGCGAGGCTTTTGGCGGGTAAAGGGCCATTGTAGGGTGGAGGCACATTCCCAGGGGCCTCTCGGGGCAGCGAGGAATGAAGAGTTATGAATGCCGTTCGTCTGGAATCTTAGGTTGTCGGTATCCTCAGTGCTCATCTGAGCACCTGGGCATGAATTTAGCCAATAGCCATGTTTACCTTGGGAGTGCGGGCGAGGGTAGAATTGTTGAATAGTCAGATCTCGGTTCTAACCCTTACTGTACAACAACGGACGGAGTACAGTCAGTATGTTTGCTCCATCACATCCCATTTCTTTAATTCTCGCTCCTCGATTGATCACAATATTATACTCAAGCTGATGAAAGAATCATGCACTTCACAATTCACCATCCCGGTTTTCAAGATGCTGCCATTCCCGAACACGCGTCCCTTTAACATGGGCCTCCCTTACCAGAATGTCATGATATTCAAGAGTGACAAATGCACTCACCAAATGTATTTTAGGCTCTTAGCTATACAATACTCTCAGCAGTAGAATCAATATACCGAAATAAAGAGAAAAATGATACCAGTTCAAACCAATACAATTACAATTAAACTTCACCTATCTCATCAAACCCAACATAGCTATAAAATGATAACCGAAGATAATATTTCAACCTCGTCCATCAGCACCGAGTATATATGACACCTCAGCAAAGATATTTATAATATCGCGGGCCTTCTCTGCCAGCAACTTGAAAATTTGCACAACTAAGACTCAACAGCCTTAGCCTTCAACCCAATAACCCGTCCCCCTTCACTCTCATCCAGCGCAACTAAAAAGTACTCCAGCTTCGTACTCGTAATCTCAACCCGGTAAACCTTAATATCACTATTCGAGGCAGCAGCACGCACCGCCTCCACCGCCTCGCTATACTGATTCTTAGGATCGAAGGAAGAATGAGAGAGCGTAGAAATCCCCTGCGAAATATCTTTATTGGGCGAAATCAAGGAGGAAAAGGCGTCTGGAGCAAGAAAAGAAGAAAAAACGCGTTAGCAGATCCATTTCTGAGCCGCATAGGTAGGTATTAAGGGTAATAGTTAAAGTCAATGATATGTAAAGGGAGTTATTTGTTAGGAGGTATCCCCGCTCCCTTGGGCCTGGCAGCCCCGTACATGTAGGAGACCAGGACAGGACAGGACAGGATAGGAATGGGATCGGAAGGGAAAGAGAGAGAAAATACATACCAGCACTAGGCCATTCACCCTTTGCAGCACCCTCCCAGCGTAGGAGAACAGGTTCAAATGGCTCATCTGCATCGGAGACGTAGTAGATATCAACGTCCTTCAGGGAAGCCGGAAGCTTGAACGAGGTGTCGACTGTTTTTGTTTGGGTCCCTTGCGCCGGGGCTTGGCCTGCACCTGCATCTTTATCGGCGTTTGCTTTGTTCAGAAAATCCATGTAGGCGTCGTCGGAGGCCATGGTGGTGGATGTTGAGAAGGGTAAGTGTCGTGGGATTGTGTGCGATCGTGGGGTGAGGCGAGGGTGCGGTGTCGTGGGTTGGGTTCGTGGGCGTGGGCGTGGGCGTGTAATGTAGAAGGCGAGATTGTGGAGGATACGATAGTTGTAAGTGGGGGTGTTCAGGTTTTTGAGGAGAGCTCGAGGTCGGGAGACGTAGGTGGCTGGTGAAGAACGAGCGAGCATCTGGTTCAAGTTTTGGTGAATTGGTGCAGTTGGAAAAGTGGGATGACGCAATGGATTTGTGGTGCCCGCATGGATGTTGTATGGAGTTAAAGCTGGCTGGGGAGATTGTGGTAGAAGGTGGAGAATACTATGTATGGATAGAATTTTAATTCAATATTTTATCAAGCCATTGGAATTTGAAGATGTCTAATTGGGTTTAGTCGCAAAATATATTCGAATTGATTCTTGGTGATGCTGGAAGCCCTGGGGTTCCCTGGGCACTGTATATTCTTGTCCGGGTGAGTTTGTCCAAAATATACGTCTACATTGTTGATTGAATTTATGTAACGCTCCAGGGCTGACTTCGGGAGTTCTAAATAAATAAACCTTGGAACTTTAGTCTTCATGCCTAGAAAGACGCGAAACTATATTTTTTAAATCAATGATATGAACGTTAGGGTAAAACATGTTGTTCAAGGTAGCCCTGGAGGTATATGTAGACATCTGGAAGTCCCGAGGTCTGCGTCTACAAGCCCACCTGTACATACTTGCACGGCCAAAGACAATGAACTGTTCAGGTTCAGTGCTAGTACTACCAACTAAGAGCCGGGCAAAATGGGCTAGACTTTATGTCTAATACATAGTAATAACATAATTTTGGATCATCTCGGCATTCTTAATCAAGCAAGATACGTGTACTCCAGTACACCAGACGCCTAGCAAATACAAAAAACACTACATGCCATCCATTACAAGAAAGTCAAACTACCGTTCGTAAAAGTATTGTTCGCTTTTTTTGATTGAACTTGAAAATACGTTGCACTACCACCAACCAAACATAGAAACATCTTAGACCTCGGTAACGAGATCCTTCTTGAGGGTACCGATGAACTGCTTCTTCTCCTCGAAGGTCTGGAAAGCACCGTGACCGAACTTGGAGGAGGTATCGATCCACTTGAGGTCGACCTTCTCGGTGGCCCTGCGGTTGGTCTGGGGGTACAGAGTCTTACGCAGAGTCATGACACGCTTCTTAACACCGGGAACGGAGCCCTTAAGCAGAACCCAGTCGTTCTTGACCTCACCGTAGTGAACGAAACCACCCATGCTAAAGGGAAAATGTTAGTTTGAGTTTAGAAAACGTGGTAAAGGAGAAGGAGAGTAAAACATACGGGGTGATCTGCTTCTTGGAGATGTCGAACTCGGTGGAGGCGGAGCCCTCATCGCTGGCCTTACCGATACGGAAGACCTTGTGGTTGCAGGAGGTACGGTGGTGGTATCCGTCCTGACCGGCACGGGCAACAGTCCACTGGACGTGGTTAGGGTGCCAAGCACCAATACAGGCGACCTTACGCAGACCCTTGTGGGTCTTACGGGGAAGCTTGGTGGTACCCCAACGGCTGGTGACACCGGAGAAACCGTGACCCTTGGTAACGGCGATGACATCAATCATCTCGTCCTTCTCGAAGATGCTGTCGATGTCGATGGTCTTCTCGAAGAGGTTGCGGGAGAAGTCAACCTTGTCGGCAACGGAGCCACCGTTGACCTGGATCTCCATAAGGTGGGCCTTCTTCTGCTTGATGGGGGTCTTGCGGATCTGAGTGTGGGCAAGGACACGGACGACAGTGCAGTACTTCTTGATGCGCTCAAGCTCACGGGTGACGGAGGCACCAGAGGACTCGGCGTGGCCCTTGGCGTACTTGGTGAAGGCCTTCTTCTTGGACTTGTACCAGTTCTTGTAGAAGCGACGCTTGACCTCGTCGCTCAGGTGCTCAGCCCAGACGGTGGTGAGAGAGCGGAGACCACGGGGAGTCTCGATGTAACCGACAACACCAACGGCAACGAGCTAGAAAAAAAGTATGTTAGAATAGAGGTTGGAAGAATTTTTTTTTCTGCTGTCGTTTGGGCGTATTGGGAAACCTACAGGAGGGGTCTCGATGACGGTAGCGGCCTCAACGATCTCCTTCTTGTGCATCTTGGCACCGGGACGGTCAAGGTCACGGACGATGGTGGTCATACCGGCCTTGTAGCCCATGGAGGCAGTCAGGTGGACGGGCTTCTTGGCGTCATCCTTAGGGAAGCTGTCGCACAAACGTTATATCAGTATAACATGTTCTCCGCAAGAAGAAAAAAATCTTCAATTTCTTTCGCTGCGTATTGCGAAAAGAACATATCACTCACCTCTTGACCTTTCCGCGGTGGCGGGCAGCGCGCTTGCGCGGGAGGTAGGCGAGAGAGCCTGTAATTGTGAGTTAGTAAAAACCGCACACTGAGATGTCGAATTTTTCGTCGGAGATGGAGGTTGATCACGAACCGTGGCGAGGAGCTTCGTACTTCCGGTGACTCCTGTTGAGGTAAAAGAAATTAGCAATTGGATTCGATGGTATCTTGCGTCGATTGTATGGTGTGGGCGACTCACATCTTGACCCTGTGTTGTCGTTAGTCGTCGTGGTGGTAGAGTGACGATCTAAAAGTGTTGGAAGGTGTATTTTGCACGCTAGACGAGTGTGGGCTGACCTAAGCGAGGCGGGTTCCAATTTGGGATAAGCGACCAATTTTTGCGAATCGTGGTATCATCACGTGGAGTCACGTGGATGTCCTGTCTCACGGGAAAAGTGTCCACACTCAGCTGCCGGGCCGTATTACGTAATAATTTTCAAGTGCACACGTGATATACCCGCTGTTTAAGCCTTTTAACAGGTGCCGCTGAGGGTCTACATACTGTTAGTTATAGAGTTTGTATCTAACTACGAGTTTTATTAACTTCTGTACAGTTGATTCTTTTGTGGATAGAGTTCATTTAAATATGGTTAAATCGACTGTCAAAAAGATGCTTTTAGCATCGTAGATAGAACATTCACAAGGAAAAGGAAACTGGGAAATTCATCAAGCAGTAAGAGAACGAATACAGGCACATGGCCACACTCTCCAGTCCAGTACCCTCTGGCTGATGAGAGTAGGCCAAAACACAGGAGACAAATTCATACCATACATCACGCAATTGCAAGATAGAAAATAGAAAAGGAGATAAGAGGGGTAAAAAGGACATAGAGGGGAAAGAGAAAATAGCCAAGAAAGCGCCAAGAAAACAGAAAAGGTTATCACAGAACTAACAGAAAGTCTTCATCTTTTTTAATTGAGTTTAAGAAGACTCCTGCTTGGAAGGGGTACCCGGGCGACCGTTGCCAGCAACGCCAGCTCCATTGGCGGCGCCAGCGGCACTACCATTCGGGCTATCCTTGGCCGCGGCACTGACCTTCTTCTCCTCTTCCACTTCGTCATCGTAGTCCTCGTCAACATCCATCTTACGAGCTGGAGGCTCGTGGGAGGAAGGTGGCTCAGGACGAGGTGCTTCCTCCTTGACCGGGGTATTGGCCGATGGAGGAGCTGATGGGGGTCCGTTAGAGGGAGGGACAGAGCTTTCAGCCATTGGAGGGAGGCTGGGGCCACCGGGGGCGTGGGGTGGCATGCTCTGAATGGAAGGCAGAGTAGGAGGGTGGTGTGCAGCTTCAGAGGGGTGATAGTTCTCGTTAGCTCGGCGAGCATCCTCACGACGAGCTTCAGAGGAGCTACGACGCTGCATCTCACCAGGAGATGGCATGTGGGCTGGAGGGCTTGCACGGCGGCTATTCTGATCATCTAGACGAGCGCGGTTTTCATCACTTGCCAGCTTCTTCACTGGACCAGACTCTTCCCACTCACGGCCACGCTTCATGGCAGAGGTGGGACGATCTTCACCGCGCTCACGGGCAGCAGCCTCAGCGGCGGCGGCAGCGGCAGCAGGTGCAGGAGCACCCGAGGCAATGCCGGTTGAGTTAACGCCAGGGCCAGGAGGGGGGTTAGGGCCAGGGCCACCAGCAGTAGGACCGGGGTGGTAGTTCTGGTGGGGGTATCCAGCGCTAGGGGAAGGAGGACGCTCATCGCGGATAGGACGGATCTCAGTCGGGGGACTGAAGGGGCGGTGGTATGGGGGAGGGGCTCCACCAACAGGAGGAGCTCCAGTGTTAGGTCCAGGTGGGGGAGGAGCAGCGCCAGGTGCTGGAGGAAGAGGGCCACGAGCAGGAGCATTGAATCCGGGACCGCTACTAGGGGCACGTTCATGTCCGGGGGCTGGTCCATTTCCCAACTGAGGGAGAGTATGTGGGGGAGGGTAACCAGCGGGACCACCCATCTTTGGGGAACGAGGCGGCCCACGAGCAGGGTCAGGGAATACGCGACCAGGCTCCTGGCGAGGACTGGCCTGTGGAGCCACACCGGGGATGCGAGGCATGTCGCGGGCCTCAATGCCGGGAGGAGGACCACTGGGAGGAGGCGCAGATGTAAGATCGTTGATACCTCGGTTCCAATCAGCGACATGGCGGGGAGGTGCAGGTGCCTGAGGTGGTGGGCCAACAGGTGCTGGAGCACCCCACTGAGGAGCTGGGGGTTGACCGACACCGTTTTGATATGCCTGTGGGTGGACATCTTGCGGCTGGGGCGCGGGCGCGGAACCTTGTTGGGGAGCGGAGCCAGACATTTGACTCTGGAGAAGCTGTAGACGAGCTTTAATGTGAACATTGCTGGGATCGAGGTCCGCAGCACGGCCATATGCGTCAAGGGCGTCGGCAATCTGGTTGTTGCAGGACTCGTACAGAGTACCCAGATCATACCAGACTTCCGAAATGTAAGGGTTCAAGCGAATAGCGCGAGAGTAGGCGTCAAGCGCATCGCGGTACTGATTGATCTGGTAATACAGTACACCGATCGAGCACCAGAAGGTTGGGTTGCGACCGTCGCGGTAGACAGCTTGCTGGTAGGCTTCGTAGGCTTTGGGGTATTTGGCCTGCGACATGTAGCAACGACCCAGAAGGTACCAACTTTGAGCATCGGTGTTATCTGCGCTGACAGACTTCTCCAAGAACTCAATGGCCTTGTCCTGGCTCGAGTAGCTAGTGCTCTGCTGGTGGTAGAGCCATCCGAGCTGCTGGAGAACCTTGGCGTGGTTAGGATCGCGATCGAGGACGCGACGGTAGGCAGCTTGTGCGGAATCGAACTAAAGATAACAATGCCGTCGTTAGAATTTGTTTTCCAAAGGCGTTTGGCAAACCTGGGAACGTTCAAAACTTACATCCTTTTGTTGTTCGTGAACATGGCCAATTTGGAACCAGATATCCTCCTCAGTCAAAGGGCGAGGCGGGTCGTTGACAATGTATTTGAAGCACTTGTCGCGTGTTAGTAACTTGAATCCTAGTGTTTTGTAAGGATTTTTTTTGGTAGCCTACCTCCAAACTTTGGCTGAACTTTTGCTGCTGCTTGTATATGATACCGAGACGGAAGTAAATCTCATTGGCCTTCTCGAAATCCGGAGCCATGCGCATAACCTGGGAGAAAGCTTCCTCGGCATGATCCAGGGATCCGTAGCGATCATAGAGTATTCCGATTCCGTACCAAAGTTTAGGCTCCTGAGAAAAATAATGAGCTGTGTTCAATGCCGCAAGTAAAGTGAAAGAGAGTGAATTTACCTTAGGATCACGAAGGTGATATAAAGCCTGTTGATACGAGGTGTATGCTTCCTGCAAGTTGTCCATCATCAAATGACAGTGTCCCAAGCTCCCCCAGGTCTCACCGCTAGCTGGATCCAGCTTCAGAATGTTCTGGAGGTATTCGATCGCCTTGGGGAATTGTTCCTTGGTTCTGAGGATGCATGAGATGGCATTCATAGCTGGCACAGACCATTGGTTATGGCGCAGAGCCTGCTCGTAAGCGTTCATTGAGCCATCCAGATCCCCCATCAATTCAGTCATGCTTCCTGTAGACGAGAAAATAAAAGATTAGCTTCCGTGATCATAGTGTCGCGTGAGGGTAGTGAGGAACAATGCGTACCAATTTGAAGCCAGACTGACTCATTGAGGGCTGTAATCTTCTGGGCAGTGGTGAGAGGCACAGCTTTCTGTCCTTGTGCGGGCATCGGCTGCATATGACCATTGACCTGCGGATGCGCCGCCATGTGCGCATGGTGCTGAGCGACGCTCGCAGTCGGAGAAGGTTGAGTATGAGACATGGCTCACAATGGGTGGGATGTAGTTGCAATACTATATCCAGATGTGTTGCGACCAAGTGTCAGAGAGTGTTGCGACACAATGATGCAATCCACCAGGGCGACGATAGAAAAGATACCGGGGAACGAGCCGGCAAGTGGACTGAAGGGGAAAGAAAAGATAGCTGCTTCTAATTTCGCGTCAAATATCGCAAATTCATGCAATTAAAAAAATCGTCTGCGACACCAGGTCGCAACGGATCCGAAGGATGAGCACCCGCAATTTGGTTCGTGCGCCTACTCCTAGGAATGGATGGGGAAAAGACGGAGAGGTTGTAATGGGGGAAAGTTTGTGGGGAGGGGAAAGATCCCACACGGAGAACAAATGGGGGGAGAAGGAAAGACAAAGCAAGAGATAATATAAAGGGGGGAAGGGAAGAGTGGATGAAGTGAAGAAGACGTGTATAGGGTTAAACGAGGTGTTAGAGAAGAATCGGGGGAAGGGGAAAAGAGTCGAGGGGCTGGCAGGAAAGGTGTGAAATTTGCCAAGCGGCGCTAGTGGTTGTGTAGCTGTCCGCCGTCACCACAGACACCAGCAACAAGCAAGCAACCCACACGAACAGAAAAAAGAAAAAAGGAAAAATTAAAAAATCAAAAAATCAACCCAAAAATTCCACAGAGAGGAGCTGACGGCTCAGAACAGACTAGTGGAGTGGGGCTGATCTGGAGGCGGTTATGATGCCGTGGATTGGGCTTTCATCAAACGGTGTGGGGGCGTGGTACTTTGTGCTATCTATTCCGATCTATATAGGTCATTTTTGGGGTATTATTATACTTTGTTACGTGGTTTGATTTCCTTGTGAGACTATCGGGCATATCCTTCTTCACCCAGATTAGGTACCATCCATTACTTTGAAGAAGGTATATATATTTTGGGGGGCAAGGGAAGAGGGCAATTAAGAATTATTAAGTATTTCCCGAATAATAGAATTATTTATGATTTACGAACCCCCGGTTAGGACAAGTGGCGCCCCAGTGGGTCCTTCCCCCCCCTCGGGGTGGGCACCCCCGTGGTCGTGCTAAAGAGCGCTAGTGTGACTGTTCTCCGTGCCACTCCGACTTTAGCCTAACGCGGCCAAGGGCCTAAGCTAAGACCCGGTATGTTGGACCGTGCGGCCATGGGCTAGCTACCCAGATCCCTGCCCCCTGTGTCGCTACTGGCCCAAGTCAAACAAGGGGGGGAAAGCAAGTCCACCTCCGCTATTTTCTTCCGGCTGCACGGCCAACTCAGCCCAAACCCGGCATCGTGCAGCATGCAGCTGTCGAGTGACCCTGCCAACCTTGCGATCTGTGACCTGAATGATGATGATACGGGGGTTTATAATAATTTAAATAATTATCCTTGAACCCTCTGGAATTAATTGAGAAACTATTTCTATTATTATTTGCTTTTTTCTCCCTTTGCTGTGATTTTTATTTTATGTTTTCTCCGACAGCTGCAGGGTTGACTTGCATACCACGGGAGTCTCCTCCACTAGCGCATTTCGCCCCTTCCGTCATGATGATTCTGAAGGGGACTTTTTCTTTTGATTATTTTATTTTACTTTACATTACATTATTATGTATGTATATTCTTAATTATAATTATAATTTTATTCTCTTCGATTGATCCATTTCCCTTATATATTGCTTGATCTTCCTCCCCTCCACAACCCGGAATATATGCATCATTTTCTGTTCTTAATTAAACTCACGCCCAACTCCACTCCAGCTACTGGACTAACTAATGATTACTGTACTAGTAACTTGAATTCTTCCGTGTCTTTTCTGTCTTTTCCGGGATCAATTCCCTTAACCCGTTACTCATCTCAAAGCCCTGACCATCCCTCAGCCACAAAGCCACAGCTCTCCCGCCGCATACCAATCGATGTCTGACGATGATCTTGATACACATTGGCCCCAATAGTGGAGATGTGACAATGCACCTCACACCCCCTTTCAAGTTCCTGGCGGATTCGGTAGTTCTCTCTCGCAGCATAATCCAATCATCCTGCCCCCAACATAAACGCCCGATTCCTGAATTTCTTTCTGTTTCTGCCTCTGCTGCTGCTTCTGCTTCCCCTGCCGCATCCAGCAGAACCTTCGATCGGCACGACCATGTCGTCAGCCTGGAACTCGGTGGATGTGGATCCACTGCCCCGTGGATACGCAACACGCTCTTTTTTTTCTATTCTTTTTTTCCATTTGACTTTTTTTTCCTCCCCTTCAATTTTTGATTTTCCTTTTTTTGCCCCCAAATAAATTATTCCCCTAATTTTCTAAGGGTTTGCCTAGCCGAGCCGCCGGCCGTTACGTCGTAGTCCACTTGGGCTTAGATTTTGTGAAACACACTTAATACTAGTAGCAGCAGAAGAAGTTCCTTAAATAGTTCATATTCACAGTTCATTATTGAAATAAAATATTTTGATTTTACAGTACATGCACTCCAAGCATTGATCTATTGACCCATTGATCCCGACCACTGACGCTCCATACCTAAATTCCCCGTTCGAAGTACCCAACACGAGAACACGGAATACCAAAACCCATAATTCCACATACTCAGAACAACGAACATACCCAAAAAATCAAAACCCACTGTAAGAATAAATGAGCGTAGATCCCTCCGCGTGGGTTACACAGTCGTTGGAAATTTTCAGCGTGCACAATATCCATCACCGCTACTACCATCAACCTCCACCCAGCTAACTTCCTTCCCTATGACACAATCTCCGTCTGTGTCGGATCCGGTGTCCCCAATCCCAATCCTAATCCCTGCAGTACCCAGCAACCTATCTATCTATCTATTCACCCACCACAGCAGCAACAGCCTCTAACACAGCAGCGCGCGCGAACTCTCAAACACAATCAGGGGGCACCGGGGCACTCGGTCAGCGTGTTCCGGGCATTTTGGGCCTGGTCTCCACTTTGTGCGAACAGATATCAGCCGCGCGCATAGCTTGCTTCCTGTGAGTCCACTGTGGAGACTTCTCGGAGCCGGGAGCAGAAGGATTACTTAAGGAGCTATCGCCGTATAGTTTTAGTGCTTGGGTAGTTTGCCTAGTCTAGCCTGTTGTTGCTTAGCGTTAGGCTTTTGCCTTCTGGGGCTGGAATGGCGGGAATGACTTTACCTAGCCTGACCATCAGTCTTGTTGGGCTGTCGTGGTTCAAGTTGTGGTCGCTGGGGTTCCTGGAATTTGGGACTTGTGTACAGTCCAGTAAGCGGATGATGAGTTCTTTGTACTCCAGCATTCCGTCTGGATACATATGTTAAGTAGGTTATGCTGTCTCTCTTTCTTCTCCACTCCACCCCTCTCTTGCTAGGGGAAATCCTAGATTTTGGAGGCTTTTGTCTTGCATGACACGGTTGGTGGGACGGTGCAACGCGCTACCTAGATCGCGGTAGGGCATATAGACCTCGAGAGCCTTAGGCCTGCTTACTTGGCTGTTCATGAGCTTCCGAGGTCATAGCGAATCTATCCGATTGCTAGTCACTTCAGAGTTATAAGGTCGTGGCTGATTTATTGTGATCGGACCCACGACCCGATAAATCTTATTACTCTTTATATTCAATATAATTCATCTATCACGTATAAAGTATTGTTCGTTGCTTAGAAGTAGTTGGAGCGAAAGCCGATTCCAGATCAGCCCAGTCCTACAGCTAAATGTACAACCATCAGGGCTTAATGAGGAACCAAGCAAAGACATATCTCTAAAAAGATGCCTCCTTACTACCTCGAGATGCAAAATTATGAGGATGATTACAATTCAAATTTAAGTCGGTAGAGATATTGATCCCAGGACAAGGTACTTAAGCAGCAATTGGAAATCCTTATTGCGACCGGCACAGGTACCGACCGCCATTAAACATGAACTTGACTCGATTCGACTCGAAAATGCCACCCAAACAAGCATAGTGCATTAGCACGCTTATTCAAATTAAAATTAGCAAAAGGAAAAGGAAGAGAGTGAAGGGGGAAAAAAAAAAAAAAAAAAAAAAAAGCAAAATAAAATGAATCTAAGCCTTGCGCGCTATCGAACGCTAAGACAATTAGGCTGTGATGGCTCTCCCAGTGCCGGGGTACTTGTACTTGTGTTCATTACGAAGCATTTCTTGGCGCGTGTCTGGTTTTGATAAATACATGATGTGTGTTGCTATCTGCAGCAGAAGTGATGCATAAAGAAGAGGAAGAAAGCGGGCTAGCTGGATTGTCAATCGATCTGGTCGTATCTTGATTCCTGGTGGCTGCAGTATTTTCTGCAGCCACAAACGAGGGGTCTGTCCGCTTACTGGGGTCGGCTGAGTAGTAGTGAGTGCCAGTGAGTGACCGATCTTAGTTAGGCTCAGAGTGTTCAGGCTCGTTTTGACACCCGAGCGCGAGAGATACATATTCAATTAGGTAGAGCTGATATAAGGGTGATCTAGTACAGAAGTACGGAATCAGTCTGAGATTGATCATTACATGTGCATATGCATATGCATACGTAGTTGGAACTAAGAAATGGATGCTGAGGTAAAGGTATTTATTTGCAAGTTAACTTTGGGGAATCTATGCGAAGAGTCAAAGAAATAAAAGTCTACAGTACATGGTCGTGGTCGTAGTCCACGGGTAGATCTGAGGCTCCAAGGTGTCAATACAAAAGAGATCGCTGCGGCCCCTCCCTTCACCGTGAAGATAAAAAGGGATCGAAAAAGAGCGATTGAGCAGAATATCCTGCACAAGAAGGCTAGTTACAGTAAACGTACTATATATAGCATCTAGGGGCCATAGAGATAAGATGTGCGTCGCTTTGATGGGCCCTTGGAGGCAACAGCGTAAAATGGGGCCATGAGATGGAAGGATGAGCAATCTATTTAGTATTTACTTTGCTCGGCCAGTGACATGAAATCCATACCCCCGGGGCCGTTTTCAAGCTTCTGTTTCCCCACTTCTAGCCGACAATCTATTTTGTGTTCTTATGAATGCACTAGAAGCGTCATTGCCCAGTTGGCTTAGCTTGGATGCGTGCGCTTAATTTACGCAGGCGCTGGGCGCCTTTGAGTTCACTAGAAAATGGGGAATTATTAGAACTAAAACTAATGGACTGCCAGAAATGTTGACGTATCTCTTTTAAGAGGGTGGCTGCGAAGGTTAATTCTGTATACGTACATACATGTGTCCCTGTTCTGAGCGGCTGAGATCAGTCGGCTACTACTAGTAACAAATCTTACCATGTCATTGACTGACAGGTCTTGATACCCCGGTGAAGTGTTGTATAAAATCTACGTAGATAATCTCGATAAGCTCTGATTACTATAGAGTAAAGCTCTTTGTAGCCTTTGGATGATTCCAAGTTTTGAAGTCTAGTACAGAGAATCTACTTTTTTATCTCCAGTAGGCCTCTGCAGGTACATAGCAATGTATACATATCTCGTCATCCGAGTCTCATACTTGGGGCACGAACCTTGAACATTGAAATACAATGAATTCCGAGTCAGACATTCAGTCTCCAAGGCAAGTGACAACAGCCCCGACTCTTCATAGCTCATTAATCGAACACATGTTTATCATATCCCCCCAAACAAAACCCCAATATCATAATTTAGCCCCCAAATCCCCCCCTGCAACTTCCCGAGACTTAAAGCATAAGTTATTTGCTTTTTTGGCCAACTAGGATCCAACAGTTAGCCTGGAAGCCTGCATCCCTTAATTCACCCGGACCCCGATATCCGGGCCCAGGGCTTCGCCCCAATTATCTATTGGGACCGTTCTTACTCCGTACTCCGTACTACACGGCTCTGCCTGTCTGACAGTAAGCAGGGGGCCATGATCTCGGTACTGTAGTGCATGCTTCGGAGCCCTACAGAAGATCCCTTGCTGCATGCAGCGTGATGGGCTTGATTTCTCCAGATCATATTTTGAATGAATACATTTGAACTTTGTTTTGATCCACTGATTTTCATTTTGTATGTAATGTGTAGGTATACAATGTACGGAGTACATATGGATACTTGGTGCGGCATACGCTGATCTTATCTTATGTAGACGGGGTCCACTGCAGATGTATGGTAGATAGAGTAATTCATATGCAAGGTTAGCTTGTCTATGGGGATATGATCGCTTTCAAGGCTTGCGCATGGATATACCCTGGAACTAAATGTAAACACTTATCACTCAGGGGCGTTGTTGCTGAGTACTTCTATATGGTGATGCACTTCGTATCATAATCCACTCATATCTAAGAATTCGTAGATGGCGGAGGAAGGTGTAGCTGAAAACCAGCCTCTCATTTAGGGATGTATCATAGTACATACTGATCTAATCAATACGATCCCCAATCTTGGAATGTAATCATCTTATTGGTCTCCGTGTTCCGCGTTGCTGCCGACACTCACAACCAAGATGGCGGTCGGGATTCCCACGAGGGGATATATGCCTCCACCAGGGCAACAAACTTTGAAAGTTCTCCAAGTGATCTGCAACATAGGCGGGGGAAATGCAAGATAAATGTGACCGATCCACACTTCTAGGGTTACCACCCTCTTCTTGTTGTGTGCTTACTGCAATGGATCGACAGCGGACAACCAGTTGCAATCCCGTCCGACGTCCACCACATGATAAACCCGCACAAAAGCGCCGAAAGGGATACCAAGCCCGAATACACGCAATCACTGCCGTCTTAGCCGAGAAAATTGGCTTGGTTGCGGGGTTGATCATCTTATTCCCGAGGTGTCAGAGCTAAGTTGCACTATGAAAGTACTCAGGCTGTACGGAGTACAAACACATCCTACGAGTCAATGGCGTTTGATAAAAAAGCAAAGCAAGACGCCTATTCATTCCCCATCCCTTGAAAGCCCGGTAATTTTTCTTTCTTAGCCTCCATTCTTTTAGCTTTTTCTTTTCTTGTGTACGGATGCCGAGAATTTCCAAGATCAATACCAAGGTCTTGGACGATGATGCGACCGAGGAAAGAGATTTGAGGGGCTTGGATTGTCGGGTTGGCGGTGACAGGCAGACGAGACAACGAAGTAGCCAAGACAAGATTGTGACCCTGATCAACTCGGGAATCCACAGGATTTGAAATGCATAATGGTTACATTGTCTGAGCGGGCAATACGTTCTGCCATCTTTTACTACGTATGGGTGTTGGTTGGGGTTGTTTACCTCATATATGTGCTCCATATGTATGGAGATCGGGGTCCGGAGCAACTAACCTTAGAGGGAATCCTTTGTCAGTGCATACATAGTACAGTTCCTGTCTGCGGCAGTCTAGTCTCTGCAGCCCTGTCTGATTATTGTAAGGGAAGGAGGAGCGATGTATGCTGCAGGGCTAGGAAGGATCTCCCCGCAGGTTACTGCTATGGGGTCCATTTACCTAATGGATATTGAGAACTTGAAAGTGAATATTTGCGCCGCAGAAAAATTCCAATACGCCCAGAAAATGAGGATTAGATTTGCTTGACAATCAGGGCTTTGCCAATTTCTCGGCGTCTGGGCATGCTGGGCATGGGTCCGAGGTGGTTTCGGTGTGGAAAGGGGGCAACCGCCGAGGAGGATTTGAATCTAGAGATACGGGGAAGTTCATGTAGATGAAGTGATTGGCATGGGTAGGAGATTCCTAAAAAGGAGTATTCAGATCGATTCCCAAGCTCCGCTTCCTATGTGGTGGGTAGTGTGCATCGTCATGGAACTGAGGTGTTTATGCTTATGGCCCTTGTAAAGAGCGTTTCAGCATATAGACCGGCTTTGGGGGATTGTTGGTAATATTGGTAATATTGGTAATATTGGTAATACCAGTAATACTATCAGCCGCCAAGACGCCGTAGCTGCGGACCACAATGGACTCTAAGCCAATCAAAGGCTGACATATGAGCTGGTCATCCGAAGTCTGTCTTGGCATCTTGGCAACTTGGTAAAATTACATGATCGCGGTATCGGTGCACAGAAGTCTGGCCACATGTGCAACCTTCCTAGGATGGGTGACTGTGATAGAAGCAAGATCATTACGAGATGAGAAAGGTGGTTTAATGTAGGTTAGCTAAGCTAATGAGCTAATGGTAATAAAAAAGAGGGGGCGAGAATATGAAGAACAAGAATGGCGAAACACACAGGCGCTCAAATGATGATGCAGCGCCAGCCCTTTTTTCTCAAATGCCAAGGGCTCGGCATCTGGGCACCTTGGCGAAGCGCGCCTGCAAACAGCAGAGTTTCCGCTGCCATGGCTCTCCCTGGTCTCTCCGCTGTTCCTCTACCCTATAAGTCTCTCTTTCCGCCCTTGCCCTTCCTCCTGATGGGATACTGGTCGCCTGCTCGCATGTATGAGTGGTTATGATGCCCTTGGGGAGACCATGCCGTGAGCCTTATACATCTTAGCTGTGCGCCTGTACGACTTTCGGCCTGCTCGTCTTGCTCCTCAGACTCTCAATCATGCCGTCGTCAGAGATGTCATATAGTCCTGCCTACTACCAAACAAAGGACCTTGCCGGCACAGCTCCCTCCGTGCTCCCTCATGCCTCCCGTCCACCTATCGCACGCCCCGAACCTTCACATTCCAGCCCGCTACGAGCCTCCGAAGGAACAACTCACGACGTGAGTCCCCGCACCTCCGGCCCTCGGGGACCACACGCATATTCTCCAGAAGCATCTCGGCGTGCCTCCCGTGTGGGAGACGATGGTGCTCCGCCTGTTCTAGTAACCAACAGCCTGGCACACAAGGAAGAGCGCTCCCGAGGAAGCTGGGCAGATCAACCATCATTGATGTCGGGCGAGCACTCTCGCACCAACAAGCGAGCCAGCTCTGATGTCCCAACTAGCGATGGAGGCCAAGATGCACTCTTAATGCTCGTATGTTAGCCCCCAATGCAACAAGTTTGCATAGACAACCTGCTAACCAGTATATCTATTATAGTTCCGCCTTTCTGTCCCTGTCCCTTTCTTCTCTTTCGCCGCTTGTGTATACACCTTCTGTGCAATCATATTTGCCATTCTGATCTCTCCTCTCCGCCTCTGTTCGATATCTCCATACCTCCGCAAAACATCCTTCCGAACACAGCTTTGCGATCTCCTCTCGCCAGCTCTCCACATTCACGAACGGCTCGTTTGCATGCTCCCACCTGCAGCTACCCGCTCCTCATCTACACAATGGATCCATGCCGATCCGTATTCAGAAGAACCAACAGCAATCGTTGATTCTAGCATCTTATACTCCGTCGGCATGTCAATACTCGTCTTAGTCATCGCCCCTTTCTTGAGCATTGCCATCGTCCTCTTTGCATGGACAGCAGCCGCATTCTGGGTCTTCGCTATGGTCATGGGTAATCCAGATGGCACGGAAAGGAACGATGATGGTCGTGCCGCTGTCCTGGGCGTATGTAGATGGTGGCGTACATGGTTGGCCAAATCATGGCATTCGTCATAACCCAAACCCCACCCTGAACCCCACAAGGAACAGATCAACAATGAAGTTGATGACTGGTTCAATCAGCCATCAAATCAATTATAACAAAAAATCACCTTGTTCGACGTGGTTTTCAAAGAAGCAAAAATTCACGACTCGTCAAGAGTCATACGCGAAACGACCCTTACTGAACCAAATTTTCTCTTTTGCCCATACTTGCTTTCTCCCCAGGAGATTCCTTATATTCATCCATACACCTTTTTCAACTTCTATATTCTTTCTGCACGGAGTTTGGAGAGAGATTATGGATTCGATCTGATCCGATCCGATCTTAATCGACTCATGGCGTTGGCAGCAGGGCATTTGGCCCAATTTCTTCTATTTAATTACCTCAATATCCTTTCCAAGGAGGATGTAGTGCAAAGTTACCCTTTGCACTAGTTGCCTTGGTGTACTTGTATGGTTTGGAGTGGAGTTCTATTATCCTGGCACTTACTTTACTATCATAACTGCAAGATCTGGAGATGTGTGTAGTATGCGTTGATGAGCGCGAATTTGATACCCAGTTGATTTTCTTTTCAATAAACTTCGCTTGTTCCATCTCTTTCGCCGAATAAAATAAAGTTCAAATTCCTAGCCTATGTTTGTCAATGGTATCCCGGAATGATTGATATGCTGTCCATAAATTGATGTGCACATGTGAAGGCGATCCACCTCAGGGATACCTGAGATTTAGCCTCGTTGATGGGATAAGCATAATTTCGAAGATGATAAGTCCTTTTCCATACGACTTCAGGGCTGTAACTAATTTATTTTATACATAATATCTTCCTTACACATAGGAAAGACTCGTCTAGATTCTCAACAGATGATCAGTAGTTCACAAAGGTGAAACATCGGCTGAACTACTGAGTAGACCCTGATTAAATCAAAACCTTAATGTGAGCAATGATCCTTTCGAGACCACCCTTCAATTATTCAGAGCTCTCCTTAGAAACTCCGGAATTCGGTATCAGAGCCATCCGAGAACACCTAGTAAGTGAAACCTCCGAGTTTTGTGGTGCATTTCGGCAACCCAGTCGCTCTTGTCATACCCATTTCTTGCCCATTTCCGAGCAGATGTGACTCTGCTTACCATATTAGCTCCGTATTTGCCTAGCAATGGATTCACCGTGGACCAAGAGAAAGCGCTTGCTGCCTTTCATTTCAATTGCTCTATTGGCTCTTCTGCTTCAGTTTTCTATTCACAACGTTTGATCAGTACTATCTTTGCCTAAGAATCCAAAGAGGGCCATCATGTCATCAAAGATAGGCCCTAGCCCAGATGACCACCTCGATGAGATGAACCCTACCCCGGAACCAGAAGATGTCATATATTTATCGAAAGGATTTGAACCATCTACCCTCACAGAGAATGACCTCACGCAGGACCTTAGAGAAATTAAGTTCTTAGCGAGAACATTGAGTCAAGAATCCCCTCAGTCAGAAGATTCCTCAAATCCCTTCAAATCCGAAAACCCAGAATTGGATCCTGCTTCTGATTTGTTTCGACCCGAGAAATGGGTAAAGGCTTTTCTAGGATTGACGCAGAATAACAAAATCCATATGCGTCGGAAAGCCGGAGTGGCGCTGAAAAACGTGAATGTGTCTGGTTCAGCTACTGTGTTGAACTCCCAGAGCACTGTGGGTGACCTTGTTTTTGGATTATTTGATCTTGCGGCGAATCTCATTGGCAATCGGCGCCAACGCGTTCAAATTCTGCACAACATCGATGCTTTGGTTCATCCCGGGGAGTTGCTAGTAGCTCTCGGCCCACCCGGCTCTGGCTGTAGCACTTTACTCAAAACAATTGCCGGCGAGACCCATGGTATCATAATTGATGGTGGCTCTGAGTTTAACTACGAGGGAATAAGTTTTCGCGATATGCATTCTCGATTCAGGGGGGAGTCGATCTACACCGCTGAACAAGATGTCCACCTTCCCATGTTGACGGTTGGACAGACACTGGAATTTGTAGCGTTGGCAAGGGCACCAAGAGCTATACCGGGAAATATACCCCGCGATGCCTATGCAAAGAGCCTTCGGAACGTGATCATGGCTGTCTTTGGTATCCGACACACAAGAGACAGTAGAGTCGGGAATGAATTCGTTCGAGGGATCAGCGGTGGAGAAAGAAAGCGCGTGAGCATTGCTGAAGCTGCTCTAAGTGGCTCGCCCCTTCAGTGCTGGGACAATAGTACTCGCGGGTTGGACAGTGCCAATGCAATTGAGTTCTGTAAGACCTTACGGCTGGGCGCGGACCTCTTACAGACTGCAGCAGCAGTAGCTATTTACCAAGCACCCCAAGCTGCATATGATCTCTTCGACAAGGTTCTCATTTTGTATCATGGCCGACAAATTTTCTTTGGTCCTTCGGAAGAAGCTAAAAGCTACTTTGAAGGTATGGGATTTGAATGCCCAGAGAGACAGACAACACCCGATTTCTTGGCATCTATGACCAGTCCTACTCAGCGCCGTGTGCGCTCTGGCTTCGAAAACAAAGTCCCAAGAACCCCGGAAGATTTTGCAAAGATCTGGTTGGAAAGCCCCATGCGGCAAAAGCTTCTAGAGGATATCAAGAAATACAATCATAATCACCCAATCGGAGGTCCCGATTTTGATGCCTTTCAAGAATCCCGAACACTTCAGCAAGCTAAACACCAACGAGCAAAGTCTCCATACACACTCTCCTACTGGCAACAGATTGAAATATGTTTCCGACGAGGCTACATTTGTGTGATCTCTGATCCAACTTTGTTAATAGCCTCAGTGCTCAGCAACATTGCTATTGTGACGATCGTTAGCAGCATATTTTTCAAGATGCCCATGACTACATCTACATTTTACTCTCGCGGCGCTCTATTATTTTTCGCTATCCTTATCAATGCTTTTAGCAGTCAATTGGAAATTTTGACAGTGTATGCACAGCGCCCAGTTGTGGAAAAGCACGCTCGCTATGCTCTCTATCATCCTTCTGCGGAGGCACTTGCTTCAATGTTGACAGATCTTCCCATCAAGGTCGTGAATCTTATCTGTTTCAATATTGTGATCTATTGGATGACTGGCCTAAAGAAAGATGCCGGGGCATTTTTCTTCTTCCTACTCACCTTTTTTATGATGGTTATGGTCATGTCAAGTTTGTTTCGTACAATTGCATCCGTATCCCAGACTCTCACCCAGGCGCTTGCACCGTTTACCATATTTATCCTTGCTTTGGTTATCTACTCAGGATTTGTCATTCCTATAGACTACATGCATGGTTGGGCACGTTGGATCAACTATCTCGACCCCATTTCTTATGGACTTGAGGCATTGATGATCAATGAGTTTCATGACCGTGAGTATGTATGCTCCAATTTTGTTCCTCGGGGCCCTGGATACGATGATAACCCCGCGACACCAGTTTGTTCTTCGGTAGGATCCATTGCTGGCCAAATGTGGGTAAGGGGCGATGCCTACATTGAAGGTTCATTTAGCTTCCATCACTCGCACAAGTGGCGGAATATTGGTATAATGTTTGGCTTCTGTGCATTTTTTACTTTGACATATGTGGCTGCAACGGATCTTATTTCTGAAAAGAAATCCAGAGGAGAAGTTGCCATTTTCCCTCGAGGAAAAGCGCCGAGGCGTGGCCAGATTGTTGCAAATGACCTCGAAAATGGCAATGAGAAGGTTTCGCTTGGTCAATATAGGAATTCGTATAAGAGAGAGGTTCCATCACGCATCGCAAGGCAGTCGGCAATAATTCAATGGCAAGATGTTTGCTATGATCTCAAGATCAAAAATGAGAATACACGTATCTTGGACCATGTTGAGGGATGGGTGGAGCCAGGTACTTTGACTGGTAAGTATCACATATTAATTATGATTTATTCTGGCATCGAAGACACACTGACTTGAATTTCAGCTCTCATGGGGGTATCTGGCGCCGGAAAGACTACACTCCTTGATGTGCTGGCTAGCCGAAGAACAATCGGCGTCATCAGTGGAAAAATCCTGATCAACGGTCGGCAAATAGATAGTTCTTTCCAGCGAAAAACTGGATATGCGCAGCAACTAGATCTTCACCTTGAGACATCTACCGTCCGGGAAGCCTTGAATTTCAGCGCAAGTCTTCGTCAGCCGCGGTCCGTTCCTCGCCCAGAGAAGTTGAGATACGTTGAAGAAGTCATTCATCTCTTGGAGATGGAAGAGTACGCAGACGCCGTGGTCGGAGTTCCCGGTGAAGGTATGTTAAACAGCGACAATGAAATACCGGAAAAAAGGCTTACTGGAATGTTATCGCTAGGATTAAATGTTGAGCAAAGAAAAAGGCTTACAATCGGAGTTGAGCTTGCTGCTAAGCCTGAATTGCTCTTGTTCTTAGATGAGCCCACATCGGGTCTTGACTCTCAGACCTCATGGTCAATCTTGATGCTACTACAAAAACTCAAGAACAATGGGCAAGCAATTCTTTGTACTATTCATCAAACTTCTGCTATATTACTTCAACAGTTTGATAGACTACTGCTTCTCGATAACGGTGGAAAAACAGTATATTTTGGTCCATTGGGCCCCTCCGCATCGACTCTTCTCAATTATTTCGGGAAGAATGGGGGATACAGGTGCTCGGAAAATGCAAACCCTGCAGAATATATGCTGGAGGTTATTGGTGCGGCCCCAGGTTGTCGTACTGAGATTGACTGGCCTGCTATTTGGAAACAGTCCCCAGACCTAACGGCCGTGCGAGCCCAACTTGAGGAATGGGAGAAAATCCTACCTCATCGATCTAGCTTACCATTAGCTGAAGATCATCACTCTTTTGCTGAATTTGCAGCCTCTTTTCCATTACAACTTTCCGAGACCTTATTTCGGATGTTCCAGCAGTATTGGCGAACTCCAAGCTACATTTATTCTAAGATCGGGCTTATTGTGGCGACGGTATGTGAATTCTTATTTTGGCATTTTTTGATATATATATTTATTCAAAGTTTTTGGTCTTTTTTATTCGACTTAGCAGGTCATAGTTAAGGCTGACCTTTGCTCAAAATAGGGTCTCTTCATTGGATTATCCTTTTTCAATGCACCGAACACGCAACAGGGACTTCAGAACCAGATGTTTGGTCTTTTTATACTGATTACAACTTTTAATCTTCTTGTTCAACAGATTATGCCATTGTTTGTGACGCAAAGAGCACTTTATGAAGCCCGCGAGAGACCGGCAAAGACTTATTCATGGGCAGCTTTTATGTTAACCAATATCATCGTAGAGATTCCTTGGTCATCATTGTGCTCTGTTATGCTATACATAACCTGGTATTACCCCATTCGTCTCTACAGAAATGCAGAGCTTACAGACTCGGTGCATGAAAAAGGAACTATCGTATGGTTGTTCATTCTCACATTTTTGTTGTTCTCAAGCACTTTCTCTCATCTTGCTATTTCAGCTATCGAGACAGAACAGACAGCCGGAAATGTTGCAAATCTTTGCTTCTCGTTATCGATATCATTTTGCGGTGTATTAGCTGGTCCAAAAGCTTTCCCACATTTTTGGATCTTCATGTATCGCATTTCTCCCTTCCATTATTTGATCTCAGGACTTCTTTCAGCATCTGTTGGAGGCGGCCAGGTTGTGTGCTCGAAGCAAGAGTTTCTGCATTTTGATCCTCCAGAGAATCAAACATGTGGCGGTTATCTTTCTAAATACATCCAAATGACTGGGGGATATGTTGAAACTCCGTCTGCTACGGCTAAATGTTCCTTTTGCTCGACCTCTGAGACAAATAAATTTCTTGAAGGACTGTCAACAAGCCCAGATGACGAATGGAAGAATTTTGGGCTCATGTGGACTTACATTGTCTTTAATATCTTCGGTGCACTATTTCTTTACTGGACGTTCCGGGTCCCGAAGAAGATCAAGGTGCATGAGACGGCCACGAATTCTGCGTGATGAATCATGGGGAGGTGGAAGGGTTAGTCTAAGCCAGGGAGTGTCTACAGGTACTCATTTTTGTACATTTATATGAGATTGGTGTCTATTTTATTGGGAATAAACATATCGAGCCAAGAAAGCTGTCTCAAGAAGATGAAATGCTCTGAAAGTTAACGGGCCTCCACGCTACCCTGACACGGCTGCCTAGCAGTATAATCGAGGTATGTGCATCCTGAAGCCACGTCGGAAGTTATCGAAGTTCCGAAATAGAAATCAGGCAACGGGTGCATAAACGCTTTCTTTCAACATTACGCCAAAGGCAGTCATTGGTCACTCATCTGGTGAACTTGCTGCCGCATACTGTATGGGAGGTCTTTCATTACGGTCGGCTTGTATAGTTGCCTTTTTGCGAGACAGACTTGCTGCCCAGCTAGCGGAAACATCCACAAAGAAATGTTCTATGATGGCAGTGGGTCTTTCTGAAACTCAGGCTATTGCATATATTGAGCGGCTGGGTATCGGTTTTGATAGTCTAGGTATTGTGGTCGCTTGCATTAATAGTCCCACTAGTGTCACTATTTCAGGCAATGAAATGCATATCAACTCTCTTGAACAACTCCTTGTGAAAGATTCTATCTTTGCTCGCAAGTTGAAGGTCAACCAACGTTGGGTATCACTCGCGGAAGCCGATTTCTACCAAGATCTAGCCCCTTTCCTATACGCTAACATCGTGAGAACATTGGCATCACTCGATCCCGGCAGGATAGATCCTAGCAGAACAAATTACATCGAATTGATGAAACTGCAGGTCCACCGATTCAATAGCGACAATTAGCCCACGCAGAAGCAGACTGGATCGACAAGATAGTCGACAAGGAATATCTTCAGAGACTTTCAAATCGTTTTGAGCAGTTCAGCAGTGAAGTTCGCTTTTATGTCGAGGTAGCTCGCTATCTTCTTCCAATTTACGTGGAGAGTTGAATCCCTTGCAAGTATTGTTTTCCGGGGATTTGGTCAAACAATACTACCTTGAGATCAACGATCGACTCTTGGGTGTATTTGCAAACTTCTTGAAATTATGGCTCATAAGAATTCATCTCTCAAAATCCTTGAGATTGGTGCTGGAACAGGTGGTACCACCACTCACGTCATGAGACCACTACTTTCTTCGTCCGATACGAATGAAACGCAAAGCATGGTAAGTACACGATGCTCGCGATATGATTTTACAGACATCTCGCCTTCATTCTTTAAAAAGGCACGAGAGGATTTTCAATCATATTCTTCGCGCATGCAATATCTGGTGCTTGACGTTGAGCAAAATCCCACAGAGCAAGGATTTGAGCTTGGTAGCTACGATATTGTGCTTGCTGCAAATGTATTTCATGCCACTAAAAACCTTGATGTCGCGTTGAAGGACGTACATACGCTACTTAAGCCGGGTGGAAAGCTTATTATGCTGGAACAGACGGGAGACTTTGTTCGCGGTGGTTTCGCCTTCGGACTTTTGCCGGGTTGGTGGTTGAGTGAGGACAACTACCGGTCCTGGGGACCTACAATGACACCCGAAAAATGGGTTAATGTCTTGAAAGGTAATGGTTTCAGTGGGACAGACTTCATCCTGAATGATTATGACGATGAAAAAAAACCAAGAGCTCAGCATTATCGTATCTACAGCGCAGCAGCTGGACAGAAAGCCTGCGGCTTTGCCTGATATTTCTCTTATAGTGAGGCGAGGCTCCCTTATCCAGGAAAGTGTGGCCAGGTATCTCCAGAGTGGTGTTTCTGCTGAGTATGGAGTGTCTTGCAAATCAACGTATCTGGAAGATGACGAAAGTCCCATAGGCAGTGTCTACATTTTCCTTGTCGAGCTGGACTCTCCACTTCTGTGTGCAATAGATGAAGAGACATTTGAAAGCTCAAGACAAGGTTGCTTTCGGTCCAAACGCTAATGTGGGTGACTGGATGAGGAGGTCATAGCTGGGAAAATCCTGAGTAACAGGTTGCCGATGGTCTCTTGCGTGGGCTCTGAACGGAAAAATGCGATGCTTCAAGCAGTCACTTTGGCTCTTGATTGCCAAAGAGCAGGCTATCACACGGCGGAAATAATCCAACGGGTACTGCACACTGTTCTACATGCCGAGGGAAATGATATGGAGTTGGAACATCGGGAGCCGGACGGGATTATTCTCGTTAACCGTGTCATTGAATGTGACCACATGAATGAACACATTCACACTAGCGTTCAGCCATTTGGTGCAGCAAACCCGCCTCCATTCCCTCTGCAATTCAAAGCTCCTGGCATACTCGACTCTCTTCGATTTGTCGAGGTGGATGTAGCAAGCCAGCCTTTGCAGCCCCATCAGGTTGAGATTGAGATGAAAGCAGTTGGCGTGAATTTCATGGGCCTGTTGACAGCACTTGAAGAATAAATCAAGCTGAGATTGGAGGTGAATGTGCTGGCATCATATCCCGTATCGGAAGTGTTGATCAGACAGACCTTCGATCGGGTGATCGTGTTTGCGCAGTAGCGTTTGATTGCTTTAAGACATTTGGCCAAGCGGATGCCCGAACAGTCGTCAAGATCCCAGGCGATATGTCCTTCACGGAAGCTGCCGCGCTACCAGTCGCTTATACGACTGCACACTATGCCTTGATGATGGCTGGCCACCTGCAAAGGGGCGACAAAGTATTGATTCACGCTGCAGCTGGCTGAACGGGTCAATCAGCTGTTCAACTTGCTCAGCTTGCTGGGGCAGAGGTCTTTGCAACAGTCGGTTCAATAGACAAGAAGCAACTCCTAACCGACCGATACGGTATCGAAGAAGATCATATCTTCTATAATCGAGACACATCATTTGCCCAAGGAGTTATGCGAATGACAAGCAATCTTGGCGTTGATCTCGTTTTGAACTCGCTGGCAGGAGATTGTCTGACAGCCACTTGGGAATGTATGGCTAGCTTTGGCCGCTTTGTGGGAATTGGCAAGCGAGACATTCATGCTCATTCACGATTAAATATGTTCTATTTTGCCAAGAATGTGTCTTTCACTGCTGTCGATGTATTCGGAATGACCAAGGTGAGACTGGCTCTGGTCTGGGAATCTCTGATGGCGACTTTGGACCTAGTCGCCGCGGGTCACGCACAAGCATCGTATACCGTTCAGAAATCCCCTGTCTCTGAGATCGAAGGGGCACTAAGATTGATGCAAAGCGGTAAAAGCGTAGGAAAACTGGTCATTGAGATGGAGAAGGAGGCGAATGTCCTTGTAAGTATTTCAATTACACAATTCTCAAAATCCGCCCCGTGGAAAGATTGCACAGCTAATAACTGCAAACAGACTGTCTTTAACAGCGTACCCAGCTATACCTTAAATCCCAAAGCCACGTATGTCATTGCCGGTGGATTCGGTGGGATAGCACGGCGCACCGCACGTTGGATGGTAGAGAGAGGAGCTCGACACCTTCTCCTATTCAGCCGATCCGGTCCCAAGTGAGAACCAGCACATGAACTCATTGAAGAGCTTCGCGGACTCGGTGTGCAGCTATTCGTACCACCATGCGATGTGGCCTCCATGGATTTGCTCGCCGCTGTCCTTGCAGAATGTACCGCAACAATGCCCCCTATCAAAGGCTGCATCCAAGGCGTAATGGTTCTCCGGGATGCAATGTTCGACAAAATGACCCACAAAGAGTGGATGGGAGCCCTCCTGCCCAAGGTGGATGGCATCCGACGGAATTATTGCTGAGAGTGAGGTTCTCACAGAGTCATTTGCGACTGCCGGGCTGATGTTGCCCATCAATTCAGTCGAGTATCTGGCATTGCTGGACTACTATTGTAACCCAGGCATCAAAGAAAGTAGGGACCCTCGCACGTGCCGGATTATGGTTGGCCTTGAAACTCCCGCCGGTTTAGTTGCTAAGGGTGCTGATGTGTCTGCTTTACTTGAACGGTCAATCTTCCGATACATGCACGCGATGGGAAATGATGAGGGTACCACGGCTGAAGATGGGGCTAATAATGCTGTTGTCAAGAATTGGGTAGTGGCATTCAAAATTGCACGATCCTTTGCTGGGGCGTCAGACCTTGTGGTAGAAGGATTGACTCATAAGTTGTCGCGGGCTTTATCCATTCAGCCCGATGATATTGACGTGGCGCGGCCACTGCATTCGTATGGAGTAGACTCGCTTTTGGCGATGGAACTTCGAAGTTGGTTTGCGAAGGAATTCAAGTCTGATGTTGTAGTCTTTGAAATCATGAACGCAGGTAACTTCGCAGCTGTTGCGACTGCGGCGATCTTCAAGAGTAAGAATCACCAGACAGAGTGGGAGGAAATTTGATAGAGCTAGACTGTTAGATCATTCGTTGCTCGTACATGTATATTTAAGTAAAGAATGCTTTCAACGGACGGGGATTTCTGGATAAAACATCAAGGATATTGAATATTTAGTTTCTATGTGCAATGCCCTAACTTTTTGTTCGTAACAGAATCATGACAGAACAACGCAACCTTGGATAAAAAGAAAACAAAACAAAACAAAAACGAGTCCAGCAAACCATGACAAAGTAGAAAACCCCTTCCATGAACCGACTTAGAATCGCCAATTGAAGGGTATTATGAGGAAATGTCTTCGTAACAATATTGAGAATATCAAAACTTCAACCTTGAGCAGAATTCCTTGGTAAAGGGACTCCCTTTAGCGTCTGTCACCACGGCCACCTCCGCCACCACGTCCACCAAATCCACGACCACCACCTCCGCGGTCACCTCCTCCACGGCCGCCAAATCCGCGACCACCACCACCGCGGCCGCCAAAGCCACGATCACCTCCACCGCGACCACCAAAGCCGCGGCCACCTCCACGATCACCTCCACCACGACCACCAAAGCCGCGGCCACCTCCTCCACGATCACCTCCGCCACGACCACCAAAGCCGCGGCCACCTCCTCCACGATCACCTCCGCCACGACCACCAAAGCCGCGGCCACCTCCTCCACGATCACCTCCGCCACGACCACCAAAGCCGCGGCCACCTCCTCCACGATCACCTCCACGGCCACCAAAGCCACGGCCACCGCCCCGACCAGGGGATCGGCTCTTCTCAATACGTCCCCCGCCAGGTGCACCGTGGGTCTTAGGTGCTCCAAGACCACGACGGCCGGTGTTGGGGCCCTTATTGCGCATCTCTTCGTTCAAAGCGGACTCTTCCTCATCGTCAAGGTCCATGGCATCACCGCCCCTCTTTGCCTGTCCAAACTTTACCTTGCCCTTTTGTCCGCGGCGGACGGCATCTGGTCCACTCACAGCAGCAAGGTAGGCGTTGACACCACCAGCACCATTGTCAGCACCGGACATTTCAACATCCTCGACGGCGGCATCGTCACCCAGAAGGAGCTTTCCGTCAGCATCGTACTTGGCGGCATGCTTTCTCTTAGAACCAGGTCCGGTGTTCAGGAAGCGCAGACTAGGCTTTGTGGTAGAGATGTTGGCCAGAGCATCAGGTGCCAGGAGATCCAGCGGGTTATCTTCAGGCGATTGCTCGCGGATGTACTGGCTGTTCTGTTGGGACTTCTTGCCGCGACCCTTGATGCGAGCGGCGCCTCCGTCGACATCAATTTCGTCAGCACCGTCATCAGAAGCATCAGAGCCCTCGTCATCAGAAGAGTCAGAACCGTAAACAGCCTTATCAAAAGCGTTGCCAGGTTGCTGGTCTGATGGCTTGGAGTCACCCCCTTCGTCGTCGGAGCCTTCGGCGGCACCTTCCTTCTTCTTGCGCTTGTTGCGTTCACGCTGCTTGCGAATATTGACCACCAGCTTGCGGTCTTCTTCACCAACAAGATTCTCCATAAGAGGAGCTCCGAAGCGACGGACCAGTCGGTCGATGATACCCTTCACCTTGCTGCGGAGACGGCCCTTGTGTTCCTTGTTCCAAGCCATAAGGTTGGGCACGAGGGTTGCCAGGCGAGGGCGCAGGGTTTCATCGGGAAGAACGACGACGGCGACCTTGACGAAGCCGAGGACGGATCGGACGATCTCACGGTTGTTGCTGGTGAGGAAAAGCTCAACAGTTTGAACAAGGTCTGTAAGAATTTCGTCGCGAAGCTGTGTGTGGAACTCGAAAAAGAGGCGGGAAAGTGCTGTGATAGAGGCAGCCACCATGTGGGGCGAAGAGCCGGCAAGACCAGCGGAAACCATGGTGAAGAACTCTTCAATTGTAGCCGGGGCGTCAGGAGAGTCATCTGGCATGTGTGAGACAAGGGAGTTGCGGATCACAGTGCCGGGTGGGTTGCGCTCGTCGTCACTTGTGCGGCGAGAAAGATGGATTAGCAGGTCAAAGGCTGCCGTACGAGCCTTCTCGTTGCTCTCCTTGCATCCTAAGACAACTTCAGACAGAATAGCTGGGATGAAGTGCAGATCAGAGGTGGGGAGATGTGTGATCAACTCGTGAATAGCAAGCATACGGTCTCGGCGTCCAGAGGCCGGAGTCTTGTCAATTGTTGCAAGCAACAATGCTTGCAGCTCGCCACTACGCTCCTTCAGGGCATCAATACCAGTCTCAGTCGAGGCAAGTCGCGGGATCAGCTTGTAAGCCTTCTTGATGAGCTGCTGGTCTGGGTTGGGAGAAGATCCGTTCAGGATAGCGGCCGCCATAGCGAAAAGCCCGGCGAAGCTGGAACGGGGCAAGTAGATAGACATAGCAATAACCAGGTCAATCAATGTATGCGAGGTTGGAGGCATCTTGTTGGATGGATCCGGCTTGACGGGGTTGTTTTGCTCCATAGCCAAAGAGTCCTCGAGCATCTTTGTGACACGAGTAAATGTCTCATTGAGCTCCTGTTGGGATTTTGTAAGCGTTCGTTCTTGAGATAAAAAGGGGAAACAGTAGACAGAGGGGATGAGAATTTGCAACATAACCCAGAACTTACATTTTCAGGAGTGACGCTCAAGTAGGCGTTGATGCACTGGAGGATGTATCCACGGTGGTGTGGGAGAGTCTGGCTGTAGACGTTGAACAGCACGGCCAGTAAGTTACTGGCGAAAGTAGTCAAATGCGCAATGTTCTTAGCGGCGGCGGCCTTGGTGATACGTCGCTGCAAGATCAAGTCATCTTCCTCGGCCTCCACAGACAGAATAGCCTGGTTAGACTCAACCAAGTTCTGCAGAGCACGGCAGATCTCAACACGCAGCTCAGTCTGCTTGTACAGGACGTTGGAAAGCAGCTCAGCGAAGCCCTGGTCGAAAGACTCAACCACGTCAAGTGGCAGTTCACAGTAACCAGGAAGGATTCCCCAAGTTTGCTGTACCAGTGTTTCGAAAATCTTTGCTTCCGTGTGCTTCTCGGCGGACTGGAAATCCACCATCCTAGAGTAGAGCGCCTCACTAAGGGGAACGAACTCGGAGCGGAAGTGTGCCAGGTTGGTGTTAGTGACGTTATCACGGAGAATGGGCAACATCCAGACACGACCAGGTTGGCCATTGCTTTGTTGGATGATGTTCAAGGGCATGATTTCGAGAACAGCGGCAGGTCCCATGGCCTCGATAGCACTTCCGAGGACTGCATCAGCCTCCTTCTTGCCGTGGAATGACTCGTTGGTGCGTAATTCGCCGACAGTTTGAACAATGTCAACAAGGAAGGGGCTGGAACGCCACTTGAAACAGTCGAACATGGCGGAGCAGACGTTGAAGACCTCCATCCAAGCAGCTTGGTACTTCACAGAGAGTAAATCATTTGCCGCGCGAGCGAGCTTCTCCAAAGTCTTCTCATCGTAGACAGAAGGCTCAATGATTACACTCTTGGGAATACAGTTGTGTAGGAATGAGATCAGACACTCAGACGCCGACACACGGATGTTATGCGAAGGCGATGCTAAGAATCCAGCGATCAACTGGAACAGTTCTGGGAGCTTCTCAAATGTGTCTTCGGGGGAAATCTGAGCAGATACATCATAACCACGAGACAGAACGGCAATCCAAGGCGGGAGGAGCTGTGAGTCGTTCTGTGCGGGCTTGAGTTCAGAGATCGCCTCTAAAAGACGAGGCAGCTTCGAAGATGAGAATTCATCCGCCATACCCTCAAAGATAACCTCGAAAACCTCGAATGCGCCCATAGTGATGTACTCGTTAGTGGAGCGCGAAGCATTCATCAGCAACTCGCAGAGCGCCTCGATCTTCTTGCTGGGCCAGCCACCGGAGGCCGTAGCAATGGTCTTAACGAGCTGGAGAGAGTGAATAATCAAAGGCTCGTGACTCTCACGGTTCTGTGAATCATGGCGATTCTTCTTTTGCTTGTGAGCAGCAGTAATGCTGTCGCCAAGAGTCTTCATAGCAGACTCAGCGCACATGTCGGCGGCCGGGTGGTCCAGCGATGGGCTAGGCGGGGGGTTCTTAAGGACCTTGATCAGAGACTCCTGGGCGCCCTTCCGCACCTTGGGTCGGTGGTCAACCGAGAGGCTCAGCAGACCAGCCGTTGCACGGCGCGGGCCAATTGCGGTGTGTGGGAGGTTCCAGGCCGCGGCATCTTGAGCGATCAGGAGCGATTCAAGACAGCCAATGGAGGGTCGTAGGAGCGGAGCTTCGACATCCGGAAGAGAAAGTGCGGGCGCGAGGCCGGTGAGGATTTGTGAGAATTTTGAGCGGAGAATTGGGGCAGGGACGTAGGCGGTGGTGATATCAAGCAGGTAGACGACGGATGTTGCCAAATCCTTGTTGACGATGCCTTCTTCGGCTGAAAGAGACTGTGATAGCAGAGCAAGAAGAGCGGCAAAGTAAGCAGTAGAGGAAAAATCTGCCTTTTGGTCACGAAGAGTATCTTCAACTGCAGAGAGTACCACAGCGGTCTGCATGATGCATCAGTTTTTTTTGGTTCGATTTGAGGCGGCGGAACCCGAAGGGCTACTTACATGGTGCTGATTCTGCAGCTTGGGAGACTTGATCTTCTCGAGCTTCTCCGCCAGAGTCGCCATTGTGACTGTGGACGACGAGACGAGTCGATTCGAGAAAAGCTATGCGGGGGAGACTGTTCTAGCGGTGATGGAGAAAAATCGTTGGAAAAAAAAAAGGTACGGCAAGTCTTGGCGCGGGTATCGATAAGCATCTATGAACCCACCAGGACAAGACGACCCTTTGATCTTATGCTAGTACATACATTTGTATTGCGATAAGGGTTTTTATAATAGGTTTCTCTCTAATAGCTATACGTTTGTTTATTTTGTCGAACATAAAATTTACTTTGGGAAGATTTGATGGCTTTTGAATAGTCCTCATGTTGGCACCAGTTCTTTGGAGGCAACTTCCGCCACCCGCTACTATGCACTCTACCAGGATAAGACATATCACTACTGTAGTTCATATGAGATAGCCTATTGATTTTTCTTTAAAACTACTTGAATGTTTTTTATTTTAGGAACCGTTAATTCATCAGATGTCTAACTATCTAATCGATCCCGATTTGAACAGGGAATTTTGGTCGTCCTCTCCATCATGATCATCAATTATCCCCCATGTCTCGATTTTGACATCTATAAAGTCAAAGATGGGATATTTGCTTCGCATGAGGGTATCAAGATAGTAAGGCAATTCCCCAGCATATTTCGGGACTCGTCCTCGATGAAGCCACATCAACGGCTTCGTGCTGTCCCAGGGTAATAAAAAAAGGACCAGACTCGATGCGTCGGGGAAATTATCTGTTACGATAAAATCCCCACCGTCTCACCAATTATATTTGTACACGCCCCCAAAAGAGGAGACCACTGAAGCCCAGCCCTTTCGGTGGGTGTTACCCCGGGATGATAGCCAGCAATAGCCCAAAGGACTTTGGAGAATGTCTCGGCCAATCGAGGAGTCGCAGCAAAGGAATAGAGAAAAATGACACTTAGAACAAAATTTCGCCGCTGTGCTCTGGCTCGAATCCCATAGCTTGCAGTTCAGTGTTTCGTTTCTTATCGCTGTTCTTGCGCTGGTCATCTTCCTTCTTCTTAAGCGCGTATACTTCTTCGAATGAGGCCTTTGTTACGGTCGAGGGAATGTCGTCTTCACGGTCAAGATCCTAAAAGGTAAATAATTTTTAGCAGTGCCACTAATTTGAATGCACCATCTGAGCAGCACATACCACTTCGCCCAGTAACAGCACGTTCTCACCACGCACGATGAAGATTCCGCGGGGAACATCGGCGTAGAGCTTTCCGGCATAGATTCTTTCGATGGTATCTTGGAGAACGAGGTTTGCTGTAGAACGCCAAAGCAGGCAAATTGTAAGACACGGTTTTGCACGAGGTAGTCATGGTATTCATACCGAATTGATCCCAGCTTCTCAACACACCGATCAATTTCCTGCCATCGCGCAGAACAAGAACTAATTTCTCTATTTCGCATAATTTCTCAAGTCAGTCATCGCACATTTCGCTTCTTTCGAGCTCTTTCCGCCGGTTGCAACGTACTATCTGTCAGGTCCAGCAGCTGTGCGGCGGTGGTGAACATCTGCGGAGGAAGTTGCGGAGGCCCAGGGGTGGGCTGAGGGCCTGCGGGTCCTAGGGCATTCTGTTGTTGTTGTTGGAATTGCTGTTGCTGTTGAGGGTTGCGCTGCTGCTGGGCATTGCCAGGGTTGTCGTTTAGAGATAATCGCTCCATTTCAGTGGTTGGATGGGATGGTGGGGTGAGAGAAGGTCGGGTGGGGAGAGCGCCCGGGTGAAATTTGGGGCTGAATGAAGGATTCGGGTTTATGTTCTTAGATTTGAGCGATTGAAAAGGATGTTCGCATTCTGGTAGAGAGTAATAGTTTATCTGTAGAAGCCAGAATGGAATCCAGGTCGTAGCCACACTGAAGTTCTCTAGGTCGTCGATGCGGACAACGGCATGTTTGCCTTGTTTGCTCTGCGTATTGCTGTATGTGATCTATAAGATCCCGCTCACCTTCTTTTTGCTGATCTGCTGCTCTTTCCTTTCTGTCATTTCTGTGTCATTTCATGCTCGGTTTGTCCTTGGGTTCCATGCCTTACTGTGCACTTTCTGGGCTTTGAATTTGGGTATTCGAAATCTCTTCGTCCGATATCATTATTGTGCTCTCAAGTGCCTACATGTCATGAAGGAACTGGCAAATCCCTTGTTTCAAGCAAGACTGACCATATTCCCGGGCTATGCTGCTCGTCTTGAATCGGAAGACCATATGGGACACGAAGCGCTACTAATATCAATTGAAAGCGACAACTGGTCAATTCATTCTATCAAGCACTACTTGCATACTGCACATATATCATTCTGAAACTGCATAAACAGTCATCACAAGAAACAAGTACACAGCAACCATGGGAAAAATGCCGCTCAAAGGATATATAAAAGATGTACAAAGTGAAGTGAAACAAAGCAAGCGGGGGAATATTCGCAAAAAACGCAAAACAACGGTTTTCTCGGGTCACATGGATGGTTGAAAATCCAAACTGCGATGAACCAAACCTCGAACAGAAAAAGGGAAGACAAGACGGCGAGTGGCACAACTCAGACAACACTAACCCCTTTTGTTGCCCCTCTCATTCTCTCCTCTCGTCGCCGACTATAAGGTGCATAATATGGCTCATCTGAGGATCCAATACTGGCACGAACTCTATCCTGCGAACGGTGATAAGCCGGGCTCGAAGGTGCAGGCGCAAGCTGCATAGCCTTGAACTGAGCATCAGTTATAATTCGCCGTCCATAGAGATACCGCATGAGTTCAAAATCTGGTCGACTGCCCGCTAAGGTCTCACCCCTTTGGTAGTGGGCTGTTGCGACATGATCCAACATACGAAGCCAGGCTGATTCTTCTTGTTGGATAGCTTCTTTGTTATCTGGGATTGTCGTTATCATGGTCTCATCTTGATGGTTTTGACCAGGTATCCTCTCGTTAGACTTGTCACTAATACCGAGGCCAGCGATACTCGACTCTACTATGGACAAGGGCGATAACAATAACGACTCATCATCACCTTCATCGACAAACTCTGCATCCGAACAGAGAGGACACCGCGCCGTTCGCGGAGGCGGATGTGTTCGGAAATGACTCAAAACATGCGTTTTCCATTGCGCAAAGTCATCAAAAGAGTCATGGCAATCAAGCATATGGAATAAGCATGTATAAAGCCTATCACTCGGATCCTGCGACTGAGCATCATTCTCCATGACCCCAGCTGACGCAGCCGATGCAGCTGATGGCGCAGCAGTACTCCACGATGAGGATGAGGCGCGGGACGAACGCTGCTCCATGGCCCCATTTCCGTTTCCGTTTCTGTCAGAAGGAAGAGGAGCAGGAGCAGGAGTAGTTGGAGTTCCGGTTGGAGTAGCCATGGCTGTGATTACGGGGGCCGAAACACCACTTCCATCACTTCTCACATCAACACTATCTCGACGAAGACCAGTTGTTCCCCCGCCGAATCCAAAGCCAACACCGGTAGACGAGGTCTCGACCGACGTGATCGACGGAGATGAAGAGGATCCGCTCGAAAGGCCCGGCGGGGCAGGTGAAGACGAGCGCATCCCGCCGATGATCGTCACCTCACTTTGCTTTTTGCGGTTGCGGTTGCGGGATCGGGCAGCGCTGGGGTCTGGTACTATCTCTTCTCTCATCTGTTCTGCTGTTAGAACACAAGATGTATTAAGTACAGGTTGTGATGTGATGAGATGAGATGAGATGCGGTATACGCTGTGATGCGATGCGATGCGATGCAAAGAGAGCAAGCAATAACAAAAACAGATTACCAAGACTCGGTCGATCCCAGGTATCTTGTCAGCTTAGGCTTCTGCACCGCAATATGAACACAGGGTCGAGCGCTGCTTAGTACTCCGACCTGCTGGGTACTCAGTCACGCTCCGACCTGCTCCGCTTCTTGCGCGGGGAAGGGGGCGGGCCAGTGTAAGTATCAAGCCTATATTGCGTCAGTCGTTCTGACTGCCTAGCCGCTAGGCGACAGTTGCTTTCCTCGCACGTTCCGTACGTCTTGCACGTTTCCCGGGGTCTCGAACATCATTCATGCCAGGTAACAGGTGGGATGGATAAGCCCCGCCAAAAAAAAGAACTAGGGTACGGCTAAAAACACACAGTAACAGCTAAAAGCACACCAGGTGCTAAGCCTAGTTCGGAAATGATATACGTGAATATTTTTGATCTATTTTCTAGTGTAAATACTGTCCAGGTCTTTCTTATCTTCAACAATATTTTACTAGCCTTGAATACTGATTTTGACGAAATATTTAAAAGGGATCTAGGCTTATTGTGTGGTGCACTTTTATTTTGCCTTGCAGTTATTCGTTATTGGGTGTTTTTAGCCGCACTCAAAAACTACTATGTACTATGTGACCCAGTCTACATCTGAATATGCGTGTCTTGACTACATCTTCAAAGGTCAGCCCCAACAAGCCACGAGTAGGCAACGATCTTCGCCACAGTAGGAAAATAAATTGACCTAGGTTTCGTCAGCATGCACGACACAAGTCCATGCGTGGGTCGGACGGGAAGTCCTGCACAAAGTACAGGTACATGCACATTGACAGGCTTGCGGAGGTCGGTGCTGCAGACAGTATGTACTATTAACTGCCAGTGTCTAGTCAACCCAGTTGGAAATCCTAAGGTCTTTTGTAAGGTTACATGCCAAGAATAGCACATTGGAGTGCACAGAATGTATATGTAGGACTCCTACGTATCTCCAGGGCTCCTCCCATGTCTACATGTGCTATGCTGCTACTCTCCTATAGGTACATTTTTATTTTTCCTATAAACTCTTGCACCTATCATTTTCTAGATTTCAAGTTGTTAAATATCTTTCCCGATTGTACCTACTTGTATTACACTAATATGAATCGTAAAACCGACCTTGAGGAAGATAAGATAGGGTATACACGTAGCCACCTGGGCAGCTGAATAGTAGACACTGGTACTATCGCTTAGAAGGGAAAACGTCAAAAGGTGGCAGGAAAAAGAAGTAACGGACATTCTTCAATTTTAGCTACATAGCCTTCCGTCTTTCTTTTCTATTTTTCCCATCTTTTCTTTTGCTAATTTCATATTTCATATTACTTATATTATATATTTTCATTTCTATTTTACAAAATATCAGCAATCCCGAGGCCGGATACATATACACTTTTTGGACTCCGTCTCCAGTTTAATAATAGATAGCACAATACCGTTTTATATATCATGCCATAGATACCTATGATGTGATGCTAATACTTGATGACAATCGGAGCCACGCAGGCTTGCATAATCTCAAATTGGAAGATGCGTCTTGAAACAAGGTCTTTTTCTTTGCGCGCTAAGCATTGGAGGGGAAGCGGGGGCAAGAGGCTAATGTTTGGAGTGTGCAGTAGCTGGGCTTGGACTCGGGATGTCGGGAGTGTGAAGAATGGCCACAAGGCTTAATTTGTATATGTAGGATTATACTCCTGCATTTTTGTCGGAGATTTCAATCTCAATTTCGGTTTCTATACTTTGGAGACTTGTCTGCCAGTGTGGGAGGGGTAATCCCGCAATCCATTCATCTCCAGACTTATGAAGTCTTACTATCATATGATGTTGTCTACCTATACTATCAAGTATATTTTGAAACTTAAAAGTAAATTGTATCCTGAATCTTACAACTTGAAAATATGTAGTGGTATCGAATTTTTGGAATTTCCCTGTAGCACAGGTAGCAAATTAAGTTGAGAAGAATAAAGAACAGGGTTGTTAAGAAGTAAAAAGAGACCACAGGTCTCAGAGAGGAGTATAATAGAATAAGAGAGAAGTAAAAGCTGAGGTAATCAGAGAGAGAAATTTTTGAGACTGGAACAGAATAAAAACAGCCATAAGAAAAAGAAATTCCCATCCATCTATATTTGGTTCGAAGACGCCTCAAGAGTAAATGAAGATAAAAAATAGTAACCATCCACCGACACCATTGATGCCCGCAAAAACATGGGGTAAAAAAAGATAGAAAGAAAGAAGAAAATGCACAAGTCTATCGTTTCGTGGCGCACATTAAACAAGTTGCAGACGTTAAGAGGATGGAAGTCGCTATTTTTAATAGCGTTCCGCCAAGTCGCCGCCAGCAACGGAGTTGTTGGTTGACGAGTTCATGGATGAGAACCCAGTGGCGGGATTCAGCATATCTTGCACTGCCACCTTGGGAACCTGGGGTACTGGCAGTTTGCGCTGTGTGCCGTCGGATTTGGACATGATGTCTGTGATTGTGGGACCCATGTTGCCGGAACTGGGGCTGTAGTAATTGGGACCCTCGGGTTGGGGTTCCATGGGGGCCAGGGCGGGTGTGTGTTGGAGAGAGAGGTGGCGGATTGAGGGAAGGTGCAGCTCGTTGGCGCCCATTGGACGCAGACGAGGCGAGTGTGCAGGGGTAGCCAGGGGAGTGTGATCGGGTGTGGGCGAAAGAGAATCGTGCGAGAATGTGGGGGAAGAGGGCGCGGTAGAGTTGGGAGAGTTAGGGCGGGAGCGCTTCACACGGTGGTGGGCGTAGGCATCGTCGTCCTCATTAGAATGCGAGCGTGTCATGTTCTGGGAAATGGCGTAGGCAGAGAGCGAAGGAAGTCCACGACTGCTATTGTGATGACGCGAGCCGAACATGCCATGACGCGATCCGTGGTAGCCCATGTGGTCATCTCGCTCAACCTGAGAAGCAGCAGTAGCGAGCAGGTTGATATCCATTCCGGAGGAGGCCCGTTCGGTAGTGCGCGAGTAAGGACCCAGATTTGAGCGCATGTGGTTGGCGTAGTTGGAGAAAGAGTGTGGGGGAGACACATCTGGGGAACCGACCTGCGAAACCGGCGCAGAGCGAGTGATGGGCTTGCTGGGAGGGGGCATCATGTTGGCCATACTGGGCATTTGAGGCGCGTTGGTCATGTTCACATCCTGGTTAGCGGCGGCAGAGGCAGCAGCTAGATGCTGGGCCTTGTTGCTGCGGCGCGAGTTGGGGTTGTTGTGAATGCGCGAGTGACGAGTCAGTTCGTCGGAGCGGCTGAATCGCTTTGTGCAACCGGGGAACTGGCAGGCGTGAGGCTTTTCACCAGTGTGTGTCCGGATATGGCGAGTTTGGTGCTCCAGACGGTGGAAAGCACGATCGCAAAGAGGGCACTTATACGGGCGAGGCAAGTCCTGACGAACTTCCTCGTTGGCAGGACGAGCACCCTTCATGAGAGGCGGCAGCAAGCTTACAGAAGAGGCCATGGTGGTATCAGAGTCCCCGTGGGTAGGCTGAGGTTGAATGGGGTCGGATGCTTCTTGAGGGTTCAGTAGATTTGAGAAACCCACTGACGACGGTTGAGACATGTGAAATTCCTCACCGGAATTGACGGAGTGGGAATGATGAGAGTTTATAGGTAGACCAGGGTGTGCCGAGGTGAATGAATTTCTTGTGGTCGCAGGGGTCCCAGATCTAGGATGTTCCGGTAGATCTGCACCCGAGGGAGGCAAAGTAGTAGTCGATCGGGTAGAAGGATGATCGAAGTATAAACCTTTATTTTGGTTGTCTTTTAATTTTCCTGCTCCCACACTGGATATAGTGAAGGGAAGTAAAGAAAGTAGGGGGGTAAGACAAAGGGGAGGGGAAACAGAAAAAATCTGGAGACGACGATCTGGGGAGTAGGAAGATAATAAAAGAAGAAGGGAAGGGGGTCACAAATAGAGGAATGGAGGGGAAAAATGAGGAAGGGAGAAATCGGGGAGAAGGGGGCTCGGGATGGGGATTGGGGGAAAAGGGGAAAAAAAAATTGGAAAATGTAAAAAATCAGAAAACAGAAAAAAAAAGAAAACGTAAAAAAAAAGAAAAAATGTAAAAAAGCACCTTTTTTTTTATCGGATCGTGAGAAGGTTAGTAGAAGTGTGTGGGGGAGAAGGGAACTGTAGGGAAGGGACAAGACACTAGAGAGAATAAGTGACTGGGGCAGAATGGGAAAATTGAAAAAGAAAAATTCAAATAAAATCTGAAAATAAAAAATAAAAATAAAGAAATAAAAATTTTGCAAATAGAAAAATTAAAAATTCCCAAAATGACCCAAAGGGGAAACTCTGGGATAAAATTAAATCGATTGCACCAACTCCAAGTATCGAATAGCCTGCCAAATGCGAAAAAGTACCAGCGAAGAAAAATTGGGCAACGTGCACCGGTAGATCGCCGTGTGTTAATTGTGTTAATTGGTTTTGATCTTGTTATTCCTGTGCGTTTTCCCCTTTTCTTCTCCAGGGCTGTCATCTGGCGATTTTAATGTGTATATCCTATTCCTTATATAAATCCCCGCCAGCATAATCTGATGTTCATGCACTTACCCAGCTAAGGGTCTAAAGGACTTGAAGAGATCATAATAAAACGAATTAAAGGGCCTCAGGGCTTCAGGGCTACGTACTTCATACTGCAAAAAAAAATTAATTATTTAAATCCCAATCCAAATGTGGGGACCGGGCTAGTGCCGACGCTACTCAGAAGGTCCTTGGATTATCTCATCCGTCTTGCTGAAGAACCCCGTGTGGCGTGACCACCAGTGCGTGGCCCGTATCTGTCCTTCTCCCCCCCTTCCGGCTATCGCGCATCTGGAGAAAGCTGCGACTGAGCTGATGCCTCCAAAAACGGGCTTATCGGGGCCCCGGCATTCCAAGCTGTCCTTTCCCCGGGGCTCTTTTCTCCCAGCAAACCATATTCCACATATCCCACATCACCTTCTCACCCCTCTCTTCCGGGCAACCAAAGAAGTGATTGGTGACAACCGAATGATCGCATGAGGTCAGTGGCAACTTGCTGGATTGTACATATGCTCTCCTCACCGGGGAATCGGGAAGAACAGTCTAGACTGCCCATATCGTTCCCAAGATAGACGATCATTTAAGTTCACACAACCTTGTTAAGCTATGTAGATAGGCAACCTTTATAATTAAATTAAATATCAATAATCAAAAATGAATAAATAAAAAAAGTAAATACACTGAATCCTGGGGTTAGGGTAAAGTCTCCAGTAGTGACGCTGGGCAGGATCATCGATGATGTCGACACATGATACATGATTCGAGCATGATTTAGTCATGGGAATGGAGAGGTCATACAGGAGAAAAGAAGCGTAAAAAGGAAAAAGGATCGCGAGGATCGCGAGGATCGCGCACGAAAACAACCCGGATCTTTTCACAATCACCGCCAAATCATTTAATCACCACCAACTATATTCGCTACAAACTTCTGATCAGCTCTGGGTTTGGCCGGTTACGCAAATCACGTTCATCCATATCACAGGACAATCATGTACAAATAGACTGCGTGCAATATCCCAAAATAAAATAAAACAAAATAAAATAAAATAAAATAAAATAAAATAAAATAAAATAAAATAAAATAAAATAAAATAAAATAAAATAAAATAAAATAAAATAAAATAAAATAAAATAAAAGCAAACTAAATTAAATTAAATCACTGTATGTACATAATGCCCCGGATTCCATGAAGCCGGGGTTACGAAGCGGCAGCTTCAAGCATGCCAGTGCCTAGATAGTAAGTGGTCCGTGGCCCCCAAGGGTACAGTGGATTGGTAGAGAACAGGATAGGATAGACATAAACAAAGATTAGAAAATCTCAACTGATAGGCGCAGATCCTCCAATAATTGGCGATGGTGCACCATGCACCATGCAGCCGCAAAGCCGCACCGGACCAGAACCAAATTCCCGCCAATGTCCCGCCTTTACACCAGCTCGTTCTCTTTCTCGTTGCTGACTAGATCTATAACATAATACACATGTGCAATTAGGCGTCCTTCATTTTTGTGTTGCTCATTTGCCTCCATAGAATCAAAAGAACTGTCCTATCTGCGAACTAACCCCGAAAACCGGACCGGGTGGCTGACTTGGAATTTGGGGCTGTGGAGGTGCGGAGGAACGGTACGTACTCCCCCATGGAGTATTTCCCCGATGACAGAAACGGAAGGGAGAACCAATTTTGACGATTCAATTTTGCAATTTTTTTCAAAAATTAGTTTGCTCTCAGAAAAATAATAAATCAAAAATAAAACCGAGTTTCCGCCGTCTACTAGTACAAACTGCTACAGGTTCATGCCCTGATAGCCGGGGATTCCCCCATCCTGGATGTTTTAGCGATCACCCGGTGGCCCCAGAGTGGAGCCTCTGCCCTTGACAATTGATAACCCCCATCCTCCCAAGTGGCCTACGATCGCGCCACGGGATAAAGAAAGATACGCCCGCTCGGCAACCGAGTACGGAATCCCCCACCCCATGTGACGAGTAGATAGAACCTGGTTGGATCACCCCCCATAAACGGATGGAGATTACGGAGTACACTTCTACGGAGAACCCTGAGGAGGGGGCGCTGGCGCTTCTGTACAATTTTTCCGTCTACTCATGAATTTTTCCAGTGCGCTCCTTCTCGGAGATCCACATACTAGTACTGTAGGTACCATCGTGATTATCACTTACCTCGAACGCCATGTTCGTTAGCGATCCAGGGCGGTGGACGACCTGCATATAGCCGTGGCACCAGGGTAAAAATGGAGGGAGGAGAGAGGGGGCAAACCCTTTAGTGGCAGATCTTAAGCATGAAATTGCGACGGGAGGGTCAAGAATGCTGCCATCACCCTTTTTCAAGCTTGGCAATCAATATTATACCCAGCACACAATTACCCATGACCAAAAAAGGAATTTTTGCCAGTCACTTTGCTTTACCTCACTTATCATGGCATGGGGTACAGTGTTCGGCGTGTGAAATTCCCCCGACCTCCGCAAACTCTGTATCTGTGATCTATCATTGGGTGGATTATGAGGGGAACGCCCTTACCTTACTTTGCAAATCCCCAGATTAAGATTGAATCTGCCTCTCCTATCGGACGATAGAGAAGAGGGGCCAAGGCCTGAAGAAACACTGGCAGACAAAAAGATTATAAAAATTACTAAGAAAAAATAAAATAAAAATAAAGATAATAATTAGATAATAAATATAACCTAACGTCCCACGGAAAACCCCATCACCGAATGCGGTGCGCAACACCCGCATTATTTCCAAGACGGAAAAAAGTGGGCTGTCAGCTCTCCACGGGGAATGGTGCCATTGCTCTGGAGAAGCTCCGGATTCGGCGCCCCTATCTGCAGGGGGGGAATGGGCTATGTCTTGGTGCTGCGCTACGAAGCTGACTTGCCCTTTCTTTTCCAGGCACGGATACTGTACCCAGCAATTACCCGCTTTTTGCCGAGTAGTTGACCTGTACGAAACGGGCCTTGAAACACGCTGTCCGTTTGACGTGGTGTTTCAGCTGACGACATCTTTGACTGTGCATCATGATCTAGCCCTGGATATTACGGGGAACGTATGTAGTATGCTAGGTGTCCGGATATATGTATGCATGGTTCGTACAATATGGATATAAATTCAAGTCTATCTTGGAGCTTGTATGGAGAATGTATATCCGGCATAATGATAGAGCTCGGGAGTCCTCCGTACTCAGTTTTATACCATGTAGGCATGTTGATGATCCCTAGGGTTATCGTTGGGGAATACATATAATTTCATTATCGGGGCGCAAAAGAAACCACACCCATATTGTATCGGAATTCGTCTTCCGTATCCCACCGAAATCCAATTATCATATCTATCAGTGGACTCATATCGGTTTTTCGGTCTTCCGGAATCACACACACCGAAAAAATTTTCATTCTCGCTTTTCACTTTCCTGGGTATGTTCCCGCCATCCCCGCGATCGCGACGATCGACACACACAACCCACATACTATACACAGTAGAGCGTGGGGGATGTACCAACAAGGTCCCCACTCCACTGGAACCCAAGACTACAATTTCAATCGCCGATAATAAGTAACCTCGCCGAGCGCTAACTACAGTAAGCTAAGTATCTGATGGAACCAAAGTACGTACTCAGCACACGTTATTAAAACTTAGGCCAAGCCCACAAAAAAATCAACTTCAAGTTCCGAGTCCATCTGCCCCATAATTCTTCCTAAAGGGTTTTCCTGGGAACGGGGATGATCGTCAAAGTTTGGAGGATGTACCCGGTGATCGTCACACTGTTAAGACTCATACATACCCCCGCAATCTTCAGTATCATTCCGTTCCATTCTAACTTCCAGGATCGACCTTGAAGGGCAGGGTAAAAAGTCAAATTTGTCAAAAATAGGATGAAAAAAGCAAAAAATCTAAAACATCAAGCATGTTGTCTTTGCAGGGATGTTGATCGTTACGAGTCCTTCCGTCGCGCCGCGGGAGATACCTACTGACTGTACTTCCTGCCTACAGTAGCGGTCGGTCGAGGTCGAGGACTTGATAAG